AACTTTATAAATATTTAAAAAACCTTAAATAAATTTTAATAAAAGGTTTATTAAAAGCTAAAAGTATAATACCCTTTAGTTATAAAAACTTATTAAAGAAACTTAAATTAAAAACGTTAACTATATTAATAAACTAAGTATTTAAAATAATATTAAATTTTTATTATATAATATTATATAATATTATCTTAAGTATTTAATAACTTTATATTATAATTAAATATTTTATTATTATAATTTTTAATCTTTTACTTTAGGTAATAAATATATTAAAAATAAGTAAATATTTTAATAAAAGCTACTTTAGCTTTATACTTTAATATAAAATATTTTTTAAAATCTTTTTATAAATAAATAATTAAAAAAATTAAAAATATTAATAAAAAAATATTATTAAAAAAAGTATATATATTTATAAAAAAATATAATTATATTATTATTATAAATTTTATAAATATTAATATAATATTAATATTAAATAAAATAATTACTAAATTTATATTTTTTTTTTATAATATATTATAAATATAATATTTTTATAAAATTAATTATATAAATTTAATTTATTAAATATTTATAATTTTTATTAATTTACTTATACTTTATATTAATTAAGTAAAGTTTAACGTAAGTTTAAAGTTTTAAATAATATTTAGCTAATATATTATTAATATAATTATAAATAAAAGAAATTATAAAAAAAGAATTACTATAAATAAAAAAGTAATATAATAGAAGTTATATATTAAAAAATATTATAATATATTAATATAAAGGAAAGCCTAAGGCTTTATAATAGGTTTTAAAAATAAAATTAATAAAAGAAGAATATTATATTATAACCTAATATTTTATATTAAATATAATTTAGTATATACCTTTAAATTAATAAATAAACTAATTATTAATTAATAGTTATTTAATATAAAAATAATATATTTTTATAATTATTTTTATAAATAAAATAATAAACAGTAACAGTTATTTTTAATTACTTTAGAAATAGTAATTGGATATATAAGTTATATTTTTATATTTATTTAAATAGTTTTTAAATAACTAATTATAAATATAACGTTTAGATTAAATTTATTTAATATTATCTACTAATTATATAACTACTTATATTACCTAAACATTTAGCTTAGCCTATCCGCCAATATAAATTAAAATCTAGGTTTATCCTTTAGAAATCCTACCCTATATTAATATATAGGCTTACAGTTTATTACACTAAGCTGCTATAAAATTAGGTAATACTTTATATATAAATTTTAAAAGTAAAATTAATAAAAAAGGGTATTATATTATAATTTAAACTAATAGAAATATATACTATAGTAAAACTATAGGTAAATATAATTAATAAAAGTATAGCTTTTTCTTTTTTATATTAATATATATTATAAAGTTTATAAAAATAACTTTATTTTTATAAATATAATAATATAAGTTTAAGTAAAAATAAAAAAATAACTAAATATATAAGTGTATTTTATTATAATTATTTAAATAGTTTAAATAGTTAATTATTAATAAAGTATTAAAATTAAATATAAGTTTAACCTTTTATTTTACGTTTATATATTTATAATTATAACTGCTTAAAAGCTACTTTTTATTCTTTTTACTAATATAAACTTATAACTTAAGCTTATTACCTTAAGAACCTTTACTTTATATTAAAAATAAAGATTAAAACGTTATAAATATAAAGTAAATTAAATAAACAGTAATAAAGTAAGTATTTTATTATTATAAAATTAAAATATAATTTTTTTTTTTTAAAAATTATAAGTAAAAAAATAAAAAAAACTAGACAGAGCCTTAGGGTTATATATAAAATAACTATACCTTTATAATTCTATTATAATAATCCCCCCCTTTTATAAAGCTAGGCTTTAATATTATTAACTATAGAAAAACTTTAATATAAATATACTAAAGTTATTACTAAGTTAAAATACTTAAACTTAATTTTTTATATTTAATTTTACAATATACTAAAAATAATACTTTACTTTATTTTAAGTTTATCCTTTAGAAATTTTAATTTATATTAATGTATAAATTTATAGTTTATTATATTTATCCTTTAAGACAGCCTATATATTAATATATAGGAAACCAATTTATTATAAATTAATAAAAAAGTATACTTATATAACCCCCTTTTTGTAAATATAAATTAATATTTTGTTTTTTCTTTTATTAAATTGAAATATAATAAATATAAAATTTAAATAACTGCAGCTCTTACTGTCCTGGTGCCTAAATAACGACTTATATAAGTAGTTTACTTAGTAAAAGTTAATAATAAAATAAATAAACAAATATATAAAAGCTTTCCCTAACCTAATAAAATATATCCAAATCGAAAGGTATTGTATTTTATGGAGCAATAATATGACGGCCCTTATGGTAATATTTCTGGAGCAAAAATTCATAGTACCCTTTTCAGAATCCATTTCAGAAAACCCCCTCTTGCGTATAGGTACTTAATGCCCTATTTCCCCTTGTCTTTGCTATTGGAATCTTTCTAGAAGTGCCTCAAGTCTCTTGATTTTTTCATTTGCTTCAGCAAGTTCTTAAATCCTCAATTGCTCTCCACCCAGGCCTGAATATTTCGTGTTCCTTAATTATCGACCGGAAATCTAAATTGTCTGTCTTCATATCCCTCCACGCCGGATTTAAGAAGTGTTTTTGCACTGCCATCCAGATACCATAGCCATTTGACTTATATATATGCCGCGCGTTGGCACTGAGTACCATACGAGCTTACACAATCTCGTTTAATTGAGCCTTGATGTTGTACCATTGGCTCAAAGATATATAAGTCGTCTTTCTTTGTGTATTTTTCATCGCCGTCCGTTTCTTCGTGTGTTTAGTCCAATCTGGGTCGTAATTCGAAAGCTTGTGTGTCATGTTGACTTGCTTGGGAAGAAATATGGTGGCGATCAACCATGTGGCCGTGGCCAGCCGGGATATTGTGAGACTTATTCAGCGTGTAATCCCTGCCTATAATTTTAGATATGTTGTCATAAGTGCTTTTCTGTGCTTCCTTAAGTTCCTCGGGTGGCAGCCGTTTAGGCAGATTAATTTTTATTTTGCGAAGTTCCTCTCTATGTTTTGAATCTGACCGAATCGAGTGGGTAATTCCTTTTGCTTTTATCAGAGCCCTTTTATGTATGTTCGACAATTCCTTTTCCTTTGTGTTTCTCTTCTTCATTATCTTAGAACCTTGACTGACTTGCCGCATATCAAGTCCAGGCTCCGGTAGAGTACCGCATGGGTCTGTCAACTCAACTGGGTTGTTCCGAACGTGTTCGTAGACATTCAAAGCGTCTGCCGTCCCAACAGGGTCCGGGCTAAGCCATCGACAAAGCCATGGTGCATAGTAGCGTTGTTTGAAGTAGTAGAACCCAGTCTCTCGATCTCGCTGTTTACCCATATCCACATCTCTTGGGGGCTTTTGCTACCTTGTCTGAAAATGTTATCCTTCCGAACGGCGTGTACTCCTTGTGGGAGAGAAGGGTACCATTTTCGTTAAAATCGCTTCTCGTAAGTTCGGCGGATTATTCGTAGCTGAATCTCCTATTTGTCTTGGTTATTCTTTTACTTTGCCACGACAGCCCCGACCAGCTCTCAACGATAACGGATCCCTGAGCGCCAGTATTAACGTGTAAAGCATCGCATTGCAAGGGGCATCGTTCTTGTTTGTCATACTTGATCAAGATCTCAATATTGTCCAAGAATATGGTTTCATTGGACTTGACGAAAGTGTTCGTCTCTGGGCTATAGCATTCAACAACTTTGCGCACGCGATTTCTGGAGTTGTTATACACGTACCTGGAAATATTGTCAGCAAGCTGTAAAGTGAGACGAGTGAAGCCTGGACTGCCTTACGATGTCTTTTCATTCGGAGACTGACCTCTCTCTGTAGTGCTGCTCTTGAGGTGATTGATATAGTCCCATTCAGTTGCTACAATAACTGGCATTGGGATAAGGTTCTCATTTTCATCGTATTTGTATTGGTCAATAAGCCCTTCAACCTCCCCCAACTCTCGAAAAAATCAATCGGTTGTTATGAACCTTCTCTTCGATGTAGCTGGATGACTGGTACCTAAAATGTCGCGTCAAGCCTGGGTTTTGTTCGTACATGATGCGACGGGCAAGCTCCAAAATATTGCCAGCACGATCATACCTGTAGCTTTCCATATAGCGAACGAAGGCAGTATCATCCGTCACAGCAAGACCATTCCCAATATGTTTGGATGAGCCAAGTTTTGCTGAATCAAACGGGCGGCCTTTGGTCTGACCAATACATTCTCTCCCACGAGATTCAATGAGACGATAGGCTGAATCATAACTAAGCTCCTTGTTGGGTGGGATTGCCTTTTCGCGGAATAGTATTGGTTTCTCTGCTCGGTCTTCCTCGCATATCAAACGACTACCAGCGTCGTATGAGAAAAACAAGTGTCGAGCCACCTTGTTCTCTTGAAGCACTTCTCTTCTGAACTAGCCGTTTTATCAAGGGGTCAAAGATGTGTTTCACAACTATGGCGTCATAACTTTGCCGTCTCTCGATCTCGCGCGAATATTCATCATATGTCATCGTGAAGAACGTCTCTGTCGTCTCTTCGCCAAACAACTGAACTTGCACGGGAGAAAATAATCCCATTATCACCGTAGGAGAAATTTGTAATCCTTTGATTGTGAGTTCGAGTTGATGTCTTACGACTAGCTGCATTAAACTGTGTTTTTGTGAGGTATTTTGTCTCGCTGAGTGACGGCAATTTATTTCAGTCCACATTTGCCTTGTAGTTAACCGATAGCTGTCGTTCTGAAGCAGTGCAGTGGTTTGCAACATCATATTTAAAAAAAAAGGCTCTTACTCCACTTTGGTCATAGAACTTGTATATATTTGCTGAAAGTTATATTTCACAGGTGATAGAATACTTTGCTCTTGTCAGATGGAGTCCTCATATATGGTGCATACGCTCAAATTTCGTCGCTTGAATCATCCAGAAGGTATTAGAGATTAAGTTTTCCGCCGCAGCTTGTCATATTGGTAGCGAAGTCTTCTCCCAGGAGAATACCAAGCGTAGAGCGGCAAGTTATTGACTGAGGATAAACGCTATTGGGGAACGTGATCTAGATTTCCAGAAAATATTATTCGCCCGGCCATGTTGTAAGTTTTCCGGGTTGCAATGCGATCCTCTCCATCAACCGTGGTTGTCTCGTTGCCTTGAACGTCGAAGAATTGCGTAGTTGTCAGCTTGCCACTACTAGTGTCTGTGTTGACTAGAAATTGGTTACCGAGGGTGTCGTAGTGAGTAAGAGTTTACATGTTCCTGTGTTGGGAGCTCTTCTCCGCCGCTATCTTCTCTATGCTTCCGAGTTCTTCCTTGCTTCGTGCATTGTACCACGTTGGTGAGTACGATTCTTGAGGCAAATATCTCACCGCGAAGGAGACGTCTGGATCAGTGGATGGATCATTCTCCACAAGATCGTTCTGACGATATACGGCCACAGACCATGTATCGTATACAATTTCGGTCCAGGTATGGTCGGGGTAAATTGTAGCGATCAGGCGGTCTCGCGCGTCGTACAAGCTGCTGGAAGTACTTCCTCTCCGAGCATTGAAGTTTAATAATTGACCATCATCGAAAAATAAGTCGAAATTCTCAACAGCAAGACCTTTGTTATTATAGACTTTCCAACTACTGATCAGCCACTTTTAGTTTCAGCAGGAGCCTTCTTGTGTATGGTATTGCCGTAGTTATCATAGTAGGACAAAGAGATTTTATTGTCACAGGTAGATTTCATGCCAAACTTTGTTGCAGTTATTGTAGATGAAGTGATAGGCAACGCATAGTTCATGAAGCTGTGATCGTCGTGTATATTGCGAGTGGGCGCTTTTGCTAGAAGTTCCGCAGCATCTTTGATGGGGTTGAGCGGATACTTCCGAAGGACTTCTTCCGGTAAGTGAAGCTCCAGAGAGTCCATATAGTCAGATGGCTCCCCCATTACTGCTGTGCCAACCAATCTTCCAAACACATCCCATGCTAGCTTTGTCTTGTTTGAGATGCAATTGATCATTTGGGCGATTGCTCGTTGGCGGTAGTCATACTCATCATAGGTTTTATTTCCCACTGCATCGAAAGTTTATATGGGCAGAAGCGAATACAGATCGTACGAAACTGAAAAAAGACCACCACATGGGTCCACGGATTACTTCAGTAGGAAAAAGCTCTTCTGTGCTTCAAGCAGTTGGTTGGCATCGGCACCATAGCGTACGGTGCTGGGGGTAATCCACCACATCTCATCGTGTTGAAAGTGTGTGTAGCCGGCCTCTTGTATGATTTTTGCTGTCAGCCAGAGATTTTCCATCTCTTTTGAGAATTTCAGGAATATCCGGTGTCAAACACAGTTGGTACTGTTGGCCTTCCAACACATGTGCAAATATGATCGGATGGAAGAAGGTTCCCGAGAGATCAGTTGACTTATAAAGAACTCGAGAACTTGATATCAGTCTCTTGCCTGGATTTACGTCGGTGCCAGTGTGGTAGGGAATAGTCTTCAGCGATTTTATGTGGCTGAAATCTCCACCCCCCGCGAAATCTTGAACTTGAAAGCGCTCAACGTTCGATTCATCCCGACGAGTGTCGCTAGCACACAATTTTAGCGTCAGATACTCTTCTTTGAGTGAAATTGGGATGGTGAACGTGTTGCACGTACAGACGATATGAGTCGCTTGTTGCCAAGCTGAATCTTTCGGATATAAGCTTGATGTTATTTCTCCATAGCCATCTACCTCAAGAGAGAGTCAGACTCTGTGACATGGCAATATCTTAGGGGTTACTTGTTGACTGTAGGGTGACCCCTATCCGATCTGCCTCATCAGATCTCGTAGATTGTGTATATATAAGATGTCCTGCCCCTGACTTTGTATCTAGACAACTAAGACCTTTAACTAATACAATATTACACCCAACATCACTTCCAACATTACTCTCTGAAGAGAGGGAAAGACTCTCACTCTGGAAGATTTGAAGGGATGCATGGGCGTTTGATCCTCGAGGCTGAATCAAACGCACCTGACCCTTGCTTTCGGTCACCGAGAACGGAACGTCTCCTGGTATCCAAGCGGTAAGTTTCTTCTTGTAATTGAGTTCCTTTCAAAGCTTCACACGCTTCCTCGAAGTCATTTGGAGAAAGCTTGGCTGCCACCAAATCGAATCAACGCCTTCCCTTCCTACCACTGCTCAACCCTGCTAGCTTTTGATTAAACTAATTTGGACACACAACTTGTATCCTTTCAATTTCGACTGGAGCACCTTGGTGAAACCAAGTTTTCGTGTATTTTGAGGTACATACGTTACCCTGTCCACACTTGTAGTTGCTCGAGAGGCGATCTTGCACAACTTCTCGAAGCTTTGTGTGCTCCAATGCTCAACCATGTTGAATCCTCGGAATTCACGCTCAAGATCATAATAAACGTGACGATAGCTGTACCGCTCAACTTCGGGAGGGTAATTAATATGGTCGTGGGACCTTGACAATTTCGATACACCGGATAGGGACAGGCGGATTTGTAGCCCATGCGATACCTTGACTCTCGTCCGACAAGTAAAAAGAAAGAGAGGATCTATATGTTGACATGTTCTCCAGTCCCATGTTATTTTTCCACCCTGTCAATAGGTGTGATTTGATACCATTCATGAGATCAACATATCGAATAGCGTTAGAAAAGTCTCCGTTGCTCCATCGAGTCGCAGAGGTCCACACCAAACAGGTAGTTCCCGTGCCGAACAGGTCTGTGGCTGACAGATAGGTCAAATCGTCAAACTCTAGGAATGGGGAGCCTAATAGGATCGCCTTGATCCAGCTGTTCCCAGCCTCATTGTGAAAGATGACGGGCACCTTTCCAGTGGAATAGATTGTGTCACTTGTGTCTGAACCATCGATATCGTACATTGTGATATCGCGAGGGTTAAAAGAATCGTGACTTGCGAATACTGGGCTGTTCTACATGGTCACTTTCTGGCCGAAACAGCCATACCCGAGATTTGGCCAGAAGCAAATCTCTCCATTTCGGATTCTTGCCCTTTTTTGCCACAACAACCAATGAGTGGATTAGCGGAATGCTGTGGCCATTCAATCGCATAGTTAGTCGTAAGCTGAATTAAAGCCGACTGTGATTGGGTGCCTAACACTCTCCGGGAAGACTTTTTTCGTCCCATGATTTTCGTATTATACAGCGGAGACAAAGTATCTCTGTACGAATCAAAGTGACCGGCGTGTAGTTACGTCGGCTTCTATTAGCCCGGCTTCGGAGGCTTTCAGTTATAACTCGAGCGATTGTGTAGCCCTGTATTCGGGAGAGAAACGTCGGTATTAGTCGAACCACTAGCCGAACCAAATGTAATAGATCCACATCAGACATCAATATCCATGCATGAGGTCAACCGGCAGTTCGCCATATTTACGCCTGGACCCATTGCGATTTCGGGAGTTACAGGCCTATACAGTTGACGTAGCGCGTAGAGATGGCTCCGCCTGTTGTTGTAGGCCACGCCCTATTGTACGCCAAGGCGGAAGGCGGCGGGGCAGAAGAAGTGTACGATATACCCAACTTGTGGGATTTGCCCCCGTTTCGGCCATGGGCTGAGGCAAAAGCGGCTCCGCACATTGCTGTAAGGCACGCCCTACGCTAAGGCACGGCCGATTAACGAGGCCGTTGAAGCTAACCTATAGGTAATGACAACGTCCTATTTCAACATACAAAACCTGGGCGAAAGAACCCTTGCTGTCCTTCGCTTCGACTCCTCGCTTGGTCTCAATACTCAATCTCCCCATTCTCGCCCACCTCGAGTCTCAAAGTTTTCTTCTTCTAGTTCAGAAGAGTTAAGCACGACTTTTGTCCAATATTCATCATGAGTGGTCCTGGATCTATGCAAAAACTGCTTCAGGCTGCGCATGTAACCCCGGAGATCTTCGAGCTTCGTCCTGATTATCGCGCTCTGTTGATGGTCGTTGATGGTATACCCCCGGGTCCTAGTGACGATAGCAGCGAGGCTCTTTTGCGCGAGGCCGAGACTTCTGCCAAAGGTTTTCTGTCGAAATATACAGTTACTGAAATTCCACATATCGCTACGTGGCGAGAAGCATATAAGGCCTTTGGGGCGAAACCCCAGAAAACACGCAATAGCCTGGAAGCGTTGACCCGCCGCGCAGAAGGCGGCCTACCTCGTGTGAACCGGTTGACAGATATCTACAATGCGATTTCCGTGAAGCATCAGGTACCCCTCGGTGGCGAAGACCTCGACAAATATAATGGATCACCATTTCTGACCCGTGCTAGCGGGCAGGAGCAGTTCCAGACTTTTTCTGGAGGGGAGGCTCAAATCGAATGCGCTGCACCAGGTGAGCCAATATGGTGTGACGATACTGGCATCACCTGTCGTCGTTGGAATTGGCGCCAGGGCCCGAGGACTGCATTGACCGACAAGACCACGCGCGTACTGTTTATTTTGGATGCATTGGAGCCACTTTCGGACCACGCTTTGATCCAGGCTGCCGATGAGCTTGCTTCTGCATTGAAGCGCCTGTCCCCAGAAGTACACACTGCACAGAGAATCATCCGCGCTTCCTCATCAGCTCAGCTTAGTGAGTCTTGACCAGAATGTGAAAGCTCAAGCCTAGATACACAACTGTAGAATAGCCGGGATAAATGGCATGGAGCCAGTACACTTAGCTTATATCATGTGTTAACATTCGGATAAACAATAGTACAAGCTGGAACTGATCCAAATGGTCATTTTATTTATTAGTGTTCAGTTGTAGATCGGGGTTTAAATGGTTTTGTATTATACTGCTTAAACGTCCCGTCCCCCGTTTGTCAATCTATCTTCTGACGAACTGAGTCCTAAATATGATCTGTTTCTAAGCGATAACCCTCTAGGTTTTAGAGTTATGTCGGAAGATCAGTGAAGTTGGTTACAGGCAGTATTATACAGTATTACATACCATGTAAAGTGGTACAAGAATTATATTCTAATTGCCACATTAACAACTAGCTATATAAGTTGCTTAACCACTGTAGAATAATACACATACATGCCTAGTTAATTTTGGGTTTGTTTGACTTGCTGACCGAGCTGAGAAAGCACTGAGCGGGCCGTATGATCCAGTTGCTATTCTTTAGTCGGCCGATAGTTATGCCAGCTCGGCCTACTCTGTAGGTCTATTATCGCGACCATAAGAGTTAGAGAGTGAGAATAACCCTTATTAACAGCTAATAGTATTGGTTAAACGACTAGGAGCCGCTTAGTCAGGTCACATCCAATATCACATTCAAAGCCCAATAGCTCGCTATTATATCTTAGTAATGATGCAAGAACAGTAGTATATTAAATTGATACAGAAGGATATTATTGTTAATATTTGCTTTGATTAAATCCTCCTAGAGGAGCCCATCACCACATTTGCCAAGTTATTAAGCTTACTAGGGTTACACAGTACGCCCGTCGGTCTCAGTCTCCTCGGCCTCGCTAGTCTTTGTCGTTGAGAGCACGAATTCTTCCTTGTCAATATGGCGGAAGACAAACCACTAAATTAAAGTCAGCAACGTTTCGCCTTAAACAGGACTGGGCTTCAAAACATACAAAGCCAACGGTAACAACTCCGCCCAAGATGGCCGGACCACCGAAATCCCAGACCAGGTAAGGATCCACGATCGCAGCTGTGGTAGCCAAGTTGATGATGTATGCAAAACCAGTGTTGAAGAGGTTGATGGCTGAGACCAAGCCTCTCATGTTAGCTGGAGCACGAGAATAGGCGATACCGTAGGCTACAATTACACAGATAGCATTAGCATCCATACAGAACGTGACGTATTAGGTTTTGTACGTACCCGGAACATTAATGAACAGTTCGGAAAATCCACCGAGAGCGTACGGGATAGCCTCCCACCACAAAGAGATGGGCGAGACCAATCCATTATCCACACACTTCGGGTCGGAAGAGCCATACCAACCGCAAGGGGAGGTCTGGTAGGCTTTGTAAGTTAACACGGCATAGCCAACGCCAGCAAGTGTACTAAGGAAGAAACCGGTCGTGATACGAGCAACAGGGCCGTAGTGAATCTTAGACTTGCGCAACAAGGGGTATAATCCGTACTGTAAGGCCATGGTTAGCAAATTTCCCATTTACAGGTACCAAAGGCAAAGCGAAACCGCAACCTTGATACGGAGTAACTCACGTTAAGGATCGGTCCCAGCAAAATAATGCTAAGGGAGTTGAAGTTGCCAATGACATCGTTAGGGACACCATTGCCTGTGAGCATAGTGCCCAGAAAGTTTGCTGAGCTTCCGATACTACATCCCCTAGGTTAGCACAGTAGCGTGATGAGTAGATACCAGACAACCGTACCCATTGTCATTCCAGAACTGAACAGGGAAAAAGCAGAACATTCCCGTTGCCTGCATGGTTCGCTGTACGTCAGTGACGAACTGATCACTGTAGCGAGTTTCGGCGGACAATCCCTTTGCAGCTCTAACAGACGGCTTGGCGTTGTCCCACCAGCCCTTGCGACCAATTCTGAATATGCCACCATTCGCCAGACCGTGACCAATGACTCGGAACACATTTGGTAGATCAGAGCCGCCAGGCTGGTGCAAAACGAGACGGGGTTTGAGCCAGATAAGAAGAAGGGGCAGGGGAAGATAGAGGAGGAGAGGGAGCAAGAAAGCCAACCACCAGCCTACGTATCTTGCTGAGTACGATGTAGCTGTGGACATGAAACCGCCGATGTTAATGAGGAGATAGAACCACAACATGACTCTCTCAGCGCTATGTTCAGGATCTTCGATTACTCGTTCACCAGATTTCAGAGTCTTGACCCTTGGTACGTGCGATTTCATCTGGTCCAGTAAGAGGGGTGTGACATTTGGTTTAAACATAGCTGTGAGAAGCAGGGTTAGCCAGGGGATTTAATCAATACGGGTTTAATTACTCGGGGTGCAACGTACCAGCTCCAATAGCGAGGATGTACACGCCGATAAAGAAGGGAATCTTGGCAGTTCCATTGTCGATCAGTGTCTTGGCACCACCTGCGACAATAAGGACGTGTCCAACACCGCAAATAATGACACCCCAGAAAATCATTGGGAAGCGACCGAATCTCGTGTCGGCAAGATATCCGACAATGAGGGGAAGGCAATAGGCTAACAAGCTGAAAGACTGAGTAGTAGCATTCTGTATTTGATTAAAAATTAGCATGGAAGACGCATAAAGGCTCAAAAGTTGATGGGAGAGAATTCTCACGGCTATTTGCTCGCCCAAGCCCAAGGCACCTTGAGTAGCCTGACTTCCAGGCGCAGGGGAGCCATAACCATTGCCACCCTTAGGCAGAGGTCGGTTGATGTAGTTGGTCCAAATCTGAGCGCATCCTATTGAAAGTATACATGTCAGTGCTCCGTCACATAGAAGACACCGTGAAATACAGCTTGTAGGCAAGCGTACCATAGTAGGAAGCTCTCTCGCAGAACTCAACAACACAGAGGAGGTATGCAACAGTTGGAATCTTGCCAGGGACACGGCGCAGAGTAGCAAATTCCTCGTCAGTAGGTTTTCCCTCGTAATCCTGATTGAGAATGGCAACACTCTGCCCGTTGTTGAAGTCGGCGGCAGAGTCTTCGAAGGCCTCCTTCTCGCTGGGTACGACCACAGCGGTCTCGTGCTTCACAGCGTCCGCTAGATAGAACTTGGGTTAGTCATCACATAGATCAGGCAGGCATCAAACTAGACTGGTGTGTAATACTACATGGCACATACCCATAGCTGCTTATGTTTTCTACCTCCCAAGAAAAAAAAAAAAGCGATCGAATTCAATGAATTTTACCCTTGCCCCTACCTTGGGTGATCCTATTCTTTTGTATTCTCCAATGCAAATGCATGGATTATCATTATCTGTGGTTAATCATCATGTCTCCAGCTTCACGTCTGACCTCGTAATTCTAGACTCCTGCCTTAAACAAAGTTCCAACACTAGCGACGATTGAGGTGAGTTATTTTCTGCATCGTACGGAGAACTTTGGAATGTTCCGCACAAAATGTTGCCTAAATCAGCGCTCCCGTGCCGCTTCTCCCGAGATACTGTTCATTTCGAGTCAAGCAACGTTGAAGTGTTGGCCCCAGTGAGAACTACAGCCCAATCAATGAGGAGGATATCCAAAAATGGCATCGCGTCATCGGCTGTTTTGCACTAAAGTGTTAAGGCATCGGAGTACCCCATGTAAAATCATCCTAGCGAGAGCTGATAATTCAAGTATAATTGTATGATTATATTAGATAGGAAGAGGGTATGGAGTACTTTAATGATTCCTCATAATCGACTTAACCAGGTTTGGCATAGTTGGTCCGTATTATGCATAGATAACTCGCAAGCTTATGCAAAACTTTGTAACACTTACGCATCCAAAGAGGTAATGACTCGGACAGGGGTCCATTGCACTCGTTTACTGTACTGTCACCAACTTCCAACTTTATGCTCGCCCAAGAATACAGTGTAATAGGCCACTAGAAGGAACAAACTACTCGATGAATATAAGTGTTAGCCTGGCGTCTTCTCCGGCTACAGCTTCACCTTTAAAAAGCATTTGTGAAGATCCCTGAAGAAAATACAAAAGTACTCCCCTTAAATACAGTGGCAATCAGAGGCGAAGCAGACGTTCTCCTCCCCAATGCGGCAAAGAGGCTCGGTGTCCAGGCCATAAGAGGCAAACTAGTAAACAGCCACAATATAATGTGCAACCACTAGAATTGAAGGGGCTGACGAGTAAGATAGATAAGGCTATACCTAGAATACATTAGCGTCATATTATAGTCACTTAACAAAAGTTCCGCGCAATCCCCGCAAATCGAAGCTTTCCCCTTCTAGCTAATGGTGACTCGGGCTACTTATACTGGGGTGCTCCAGAGGTCCGCGTGCTAGGGGTCCGCGTGTTTGAAGATGAATAGGCTATCCCCAACTACATCGGTGTAAACCCGCTGAGCACGATTTATCATGCCCTTGAAGTTAATTGACTCTGAACTGTGACGAAGGTTTTGCTATCCGCACGCTGGATGCCATTTGAAAGAGCATTTAGACGAAGTGACAGACTTCTCATATGTTCCGTGGTAGTAGCTACAGTGCACCTTTAACTCCTTTACCCCCAAACTTAGGATGAATGACGTCCAGCAGCTAATGCCGCGGGCGACTCGCCCGTTGCGGTCGCAGTTGGGCTTTTTGTACGTCAGATGCCGCAGTATCCACAGCGCTCTCCAGTCGTACTCGTATGACATATATCGTACGCGGATGAAGAGTTCCATTTAGTACGGCGTCTGCGTCAGCGTCCGGAGATGGGTGAAAATGTCAAAAGTGGCCTTGCCCCGGCAGCTGCCCCCAACCAGATTCGCCGCCGCCACCGAGTGACACCGAGTTTATCGAACCGTGGAAGTAGGTGTCGTTGAGAGTTGCACCACCGGAGCGCACATCTCGGGGTATTAACGGCATTTATTTGTTCGGACGGCAATAACATATTTTACAATACGAAGAAGAAGAAGGAGAAGAAGAAAGAAAGAAAGAAAGAAAGAAAGAAAGAAAGAAAGAAAGAAAGAAAGAAAGAAAGAAAGAAAGAAAGAAAGAAAGAAAGAAAGAAAGAAAGAAAGAAAGAAAGAAAGAAAGAAAGAAGGGCCTCTTTGTTGTTCTCAACGTCGGAGCCAACAGAAGAAAAGAATTAAGCAAGAGGAGTGCAGAAAACGAGTTCGCCACGGCGATACGCTCTCGGACAGGTCAGTCAGGTAGAGGGAAAAGACATGACTAAACGACTTCATCGTGCTATCTTCCACAGAATCGACAAGTACGACAGTCCAAAAAAATTATAATAATAAAATTGTTCAGACTCTTCCGAGTCGCCACCTACGGCAATCTTACCCCTTGAATCGCAAATCATCTTCTTAATGCGTCGGAAGTGTCTCGACTTTACCGGACAAAGCTACGCCTTTGCGCCGTTGGGGAAGGTTTCCTTCAACTCCGCATTCATGGAAGATTAATGTGTCTACGACCTCCTTCTCGACCAGTACGTAGTTTTGGGATAGGCAGGCTTGGCTGCATTATTCACCTCGGCCCATAGAAGGTGACAAGCCGTGAGCTGGGATGTTTGGCATTTTTTGGTTACGAAAGCTGGATTTCTCCCACCAAGTTCGAGGCAGAGAGGTGTCAGGCTCATGGCCGCCTTGGTGGCGATGTGGACGCCCGCCCATCTGGACGCATCTAGTCAAAAGTCTTGTCCTACATCTCTTCCATCAAAGCTGTCATCTCGGGGGTAGAGCTATTGGCAATGGCAAAAGCGCCAGCGTCAAGCCTCTACTGTATCTTCTCCTTGATGGCCGCAGCCGATCAGAGTTGAACTCAGGCTGCTCCATTACAACTCAACAGCCAGCACTGATTGCGCCGACCCGTCAGTAGAGGAATGGCTAGAGGGGAGAGTCATTCGACCTAATGACGAGGACAACGCACATGGGATTCTTCTGGATGCGGAACTTTAGCATCGAGAAGGCATACGGGACATGGAGCGCACCAATGATTTCGTCCTCAGTGAACTTGTGGAGGTTGCCAATCATGGATAGGCAGGCAGTCATCCTTGACGAGATCGAGCCCACCACACGAATTTGAAGGCGCTCTTTTCGAGATCCCCAGGTCTTTGGTTCGGTTGGAATAGAAGGCATGCCGCACGGTGCTGGTGATACCTGGGATGGCATCCAGCACCGATACCTGGTAGCGATCTACACCTTGGCCACACTGATTTCAACAGGCCAAGAATTTGCAACTATGCGTCTTGCTCACACCGACTCGTTCGCGGTAGGACAACGGATCCGCTTTGATGATGTCGAGAGGCCGACTGAATAATACAAGCTCGTTCTTCTGCATGGGACAACTAACAGACTTAGATGAGATGCGCCGAAAAAGGGGAGAGGTGTAGGGTTAGAGGTGAGTCGTGGCCAAAACCAACTGCAAATGGGAATTTCGCGATCCGTCATGTGAGGTAACCAAATGCAATAATCGTTCACAAGGTGAGACCAGAAGGTAATGTACAAACCATGGTAGCATTTGAAGTTTTGTTTTAATTGCACCTACCTACCCTATATTAGACCGATAGTCACAAACATTCTGGTAGTGAACACTTAGCTAATCAAAACTTGTATATTTTAAAAAATTTTAAGTGTACGGAGTATGCCTCGGTAGCTTAAAAAATCATATACTCCCTTGAACTCCAAGCTACTAAACTAGCAACTTGCCCTAAATTTAACTTTGAATTATGCTTTTTTACAGCCCGTTGAAATAGAATTGGTCAAAGAATGTCTTCCCTCGAGGATCTCATCCACCGACGCCGGCCGAGCCCTTGGCTTGTCTTTCTCCAAGCACCGTGTCTTTTTATTGCGCGATGGATATACTTGTACGCTTCAAAGCGCAGTCTCCCATCTCGCCCAATCACCAATGCGCTCTCAGTCGTCTGTATTTCAGACACCCATAACAAGCAACCGCCCATCCCCGAGAGCGATATTCTCATCCACGCTGGTGACTTGACACAATCAGGATCTTTCGCTGAGCTGCAGACTACAGTATCCTGGCTACGCAGCTTGCCTCACCTACACAAAATAGTTATCGCCGGAAATCACGACACCTACCTTGACCCTAACTGGGGTGATAGATCTAAAACTTCCCACGACGAGCGCGAGGAAGTGGATTGGGGAGATATTATCTATCTCCGAGATGAACGACACACTCTCAAATGCGCCAACGGTCGACATATCACGGTCTACGGGAGCCCATGGACCCCAAAACAGGGCAACTGGGCTTTTCAGTATCCACGAGCGGTGAATATATGGAATGGTAAAGTGCCCCGAGAAATTGATATTCTGGTCACGCATGGCCCTCCCAGAGGCCATCTTGATCTTTTGAAATACGGGTGTGTGTACTTGTTGGAAATATTGTGGCAGCTGCAGCCTAAATTACATGTCTTTGGACATATACATGAAGGATATGGAAGTGAGTGGCTGCCATTCAATGGCTTGCAGAAGGCGTTTGAAAAGAGCGTTATTGATGGGGGAGGAGCAAGCAATCTATTTTGGGTGGCTTGGGAGTTTTTGAAGGTCATATTTATGCCGCGGTGGGAGGCGCAGACTATGCTGGTGAATGCGGCTATGCTTGGGGGATTGAGGGATGATTTGGAGCGGCAGCCGGCCAAGATATTGATCTGAGGTGGATGAGTTGACAGTATTCCAGAAGCATGTAACTTTCGAATGATACAAGGGGACGAGGGCCGTCTTCTGTGGGGGCCTTTACATACTGTATCAAGGCAACAGAGCGTCTCAGCTTGGTGATTATACTTTTCATTCAACAAGGCGTGGATATATCCTAAATGTAGGGCGCGCAGTTCTGGTTGATAAAATTCAAGCAGCTAGACTTGAGACTCGTGCCGTAAGTCCTCCTTGATGACACCTGATATGCACTAGAAACACTAACTGTATATGTTTCAGATAGAAAGTCTCCTCCACTGAGCGATGGTGAAATTATGGATTCGAATCTGAACCACATCACGTAAAATGCCGCGATAGTGCCCCTACACTAAAGCATTATCCGTACACTAACAGGTCACAACCGCAAGACTTCCATCCCTTATAGCGCCAAGACATACCAGGCTGTAATAGATATAGCGATCATTGCTAAGAAGCTCCCCAATTCCCACGATTCCGCAATTTGCCTCTGTCTGGTCATTTGCGATTGGATATTTACGGAGGAATACAGTCTGCGGATCAATTCGCTTGAAAGTATTCCGTATAGTCTCTCAAACACCTGGGGCAACGAGTATCGCGTAGGTTTGAATAAAGCCTGCAATCGCCTAGGCTTGATCTCACGCCCAAGCAAGATTCGTGCCCATTCCCTGGTGAGTAGTTGTGTGACGGCGCTGGTCGTGGAGTCGAGTTGACCACAGCCAGTTGTTGAATCCCCCGGTCGACTTAGTTCACGTTAGCTGAGAAGAGCGGCATTATAGTGCAGTCATAGGTTAGGTAAGTTAATTAATGTGGTCATTCGCAATCGGGGATGCACCGCGCAGCGAGTGTAACAAAGGCTTCGGGAACTGTCATTTTTCAAGTTTTGGGATCGGGGACGCACCACGGAGCGTGCGAGTGGGCTTATGGGACATGAGACTCGAAAGGACTTATAAGGCAGCGCTAGTGCACTGTATGCGATCGTGATTTAATTAAAGCTGAGAACCTCTGTTACTCGGCTGGCTCAACATCGGAAAATAATTCGGGGAATACCGCTCTTAATATTATTTCATGTTAGTCGCAACTGCTATTCAAGGTCATCTGATAGAACGTTTGTATTCCTGTAATTGGTTTATATGTGTAGCTTGAGAAATCTTCTCATAAATATAAGAATATAAGTTTCTCTAATTCATCTTGTAATTATTCTCATCGACATTCGGCAACGTTCGGTTTCGGATATTTGCTGAGTTACTAATCAAATCCGCATAAGCCTATAAAGTCAAGTTCAACAATGGCAGCTCAATATAACAAGTATGCCTGGCAACAGGTTGAACAGGGGGTTTGGCAACGTTCTGTTGATGAGATTGAACAAGCTTATGCTGTTTTGTCGAAGCTATACGAAGGCAGCGGTCGAATGTTTTTCGCCATCACCGGTCACATATCACTTTCTTTCAACTCTCTTGACTCCCTTGACGATGGCTCGGATACACGCGTTGATACGGCTCTGCGTAAGGCTTGGCTGACGCTTAGGCACGATCACCCGACAATTGCGTCGCAAGTGAAATATAATGCGGGCATGAATAGCTTTACTAAGCTGTATCGCACGATTCCTACCATAGCGGACCAGCAGGTCTGGCTCGACCAAACTTTTGTCAAAGTCTCGACGAACCAGACTGGCTCAGAATGGGCAAACAACGACCCTCCCGCTCCAGAGCTTCCAACCTTGTTTGTTATCACACCCCCCTCTTTGCCACGTGAGGGGAATCGCCCTGGACTGATCTGCCGCGACCTTGTTCTACGTTCTCCTCATGATGTTATCGACGGTGTCGGCACTCTTCTTCTCTTGGGAAATCTTGTTAATATTGGCTCGAAAGCCTACAACCAGGGATCTTTGTTTCAGCTCCCCACATTTGATGATGGCTCCGAGTTTGGCAATATGAGTCCACCCTTTCGCGTGGCGGCGAATCTACCAAAAAGCCTGACGGAACGGCAGCAACAGCGATTAGCAAACGTAGCAGCCTTGAAAGAACAACAGTTGGAGAGCAATATTCCTCTGTTACTTATTCCATGGAAGAAAGGGGAGGTTGTTCCCGGAATGCACCAGCGGATTGCCCTGACGATTTCACAAGAGAAGACTTCGAAGCTGCTGCATGCATGCTCATATATTGGTGTCACTGTAACACATCTCTTCCATGCTGCCATTCCTATCATGATGAGAGATCTTCAAACCAAGGGCCCCAAACAACAGAGGGCCAGATATGTCAGCTATATCTTGCGGAATGAGCGTGGAAACTGCACTGAGCCATACAATTCTGCAAAACATCCTGCTGCATTATATCACTCAGGATCGGGAACGAGCCTGTTGGTGGATATTAACATTCCGGCTACTGGTGATAACAACACCTTAGAGCAGCACCGGGCGGAATCTAAAGAATTCTTCCGAGTTCTCCAAGAAATGAAGAAATTCTACCATGATATCCGAGATGATGCAGAACATTTTCAACTTGCACCATACTATTGGGCAGCTGGCACACGGGAGTTGCCACCGGCGGTGAAGGGTCCTTTAGCAGTGCCACCCCCCAGTGCTCAGCCATCTGTATCAATTTCTAGCCTGGGCATCGTTGACAAGATCATACCTCCAGAGGCTGGTGCTATCTCCGTTTTCGATCCATGGGTAACAGGAGAAGAGCTTCGGAATGGTCTTGGGTTTTTCTTAGGAACATACAGAAATCAATTGTGCCTGAGCGCTGCGTACAACGCTGCATGGCATAGTAAGCAAGAGGTTGAAAAATATTTAGAAACTTGCGTGGATGTTGTGTTCAGGGGGCTTGAGTCTTATATATTCTAACACTTTTGTTGCAATACAAATAGTATACAATTAAGTACCAAAGAGGCAATGTAGTAACCATTAGACAAATGGTGCTTTATAATATATTTTAGGATTCATGACTTTACATTATGAAAATAATTTCAATTACGGTTTGTTCGATAAGTCAAGTTATTTTAGAGCCAAGCTGGTAAAAGATTAGGCCAGTGCGATATCGTTGAACCAGCCTGGACCTAAGCCTTTGGCCCTGAATTGTGGAAGCTAAAAACGGCACTCTTATTTAAGGAAGCTGAAAATGCATCAAAAATACCACCTGTTGGAACCTGTTAGCAGTAAATAATAGTCAATGAATTGATTATCCCTAGATAGGGTTGTCATTTGACATGTTATTGGAAATTAATTAAAAACTGAGCTTCGAACTAGTGATATTGTAACCAAGATAGAGTAAAAATTGCCTAAAAAATATCTTCCTCATCGTTTGTGATTTACTGCTAAAATAAGACGGAAAGATCATGAGTCATTCATGCGAATATCTATGCATTCTTTGCCACCTTTTCTTCTCCTTCTATATAAGCGTCGACTTTGTAACTCGCAAATTCCCTGGCCTTGATGCCTCGCGCGAAGAGAATATCTAGTTCTTCGAACGTTTTGTCTTTTGTTTCAGGGAGCCTGAACCAGGTCCACACGAAAAAGATGAAGGCCCAGAAGGCCCAGAAAAACCCGGTTTTCCCGCGCCAGTTTCCGGCAGTCGGATTCAGCATATAAGGATTGACCACATTGCAGATAATCTGAGCGATATAATAAGTGATTCGGCTAAGGCAGACGCTTTTATTTCGGAGACGAGTTGAGGATACTTCGCCGATAATAGCGTAACATATGGGGCCGACGGTCAGGTAATAAACGAACTGCCATAGCAGGACCATACTCGCTTGGGCGTAGTTGCCCCCGACCGAGTCAGCAGCCCCAGCACTGATGAATCCGACAATTAGCAAAATCGCGGTCAGTATACCCAAGCCCCAGAGGTACATGGTACGTCTTCCCAGATGATGCATTAGAAACCAAGAGATGATGGTTCCCACAGATGCGAGCCCCAGCCCGCCGACCGACATCTGGAACGAAATTGATGTCGGCAACCCAGCTTGGACAAAGAAATAGGTCGGAGTCCCCCCCATGGCTGATCCACAAAATGGCTGAGCAGCAAAGGCCATGCAAGCAATCTCAGTTCGATAACGATCGATGCCGCAGAAGCAATCCAAATACGAAGTTCCCTTGTCAATTGACTGTTCCAACTCATTGGTATGGACCATCATAGCCAAGACCTGCTTAGCCATACCTCTATCAGCACCGAGGCGAATGATACTCCTCTCTGCATCGCTGAATAAACCTTGACGGACATAGAACCACGGTGATTCCGGGGCAAACCAGAGAATGAAGAACAAGGGGATGGGCCAGGTCCATTGAATCGCAAAGGGGATTCTATAAGACCATTCTGTCGCATTCTTCTCGAACCCAGCCTGGATCCCAGCGGAAATTAGCTGACCAACAGCCCAGCAGAGGTTAACGTAGACGGTCAAGTATCCACGGAGAGCCATTGGGCAGACTTCTGAAGCGTATGCAGGGGCCTGTTTGATTAGATTTGTCAATAAATCAACGCTGTAGTAATGCATCGTGGCGCACAGAGGCTATCAACTAGTAGAGATTGAGTCCTCTCTCCTCCAATCAACAAATTTATCAAACTCAGGAGAGCGAAATGATGAGAGGGAGAAGTTGGAGCATAGCAGGACTTTTAACATTTGAAAACGCGCCTGGAGCTTGAATTAAAAACGTCTGGAACGTACCATGGTTGCAAAAACTCCCCAAGGGATACCACAAAGTAGCTCTCCAACCAACAAAACACCAAGATTGGGAGCGAAGAAGGGGATGAACACAAAACCGACAACGAGCAGGAGAGACGCCAAGAGGACTTTTCGATAACCGAATTTGTGCGTAAAGTATCCGTTAGCAAAAGCACCAACAATGGTACCAATGCTAACAGCATTACTGAGGCCGTTCTGCCACGACGCGGAGATCTGATATGTATTAGACCTAGGGTCAAACTCGCCGTATCGTTTCTGGAAGGATGGTTGTGCAAAAAAAGAAGAGATGAGGACTATATCGTAGCCTTCCATAATGATCGAAGTCGACAACAGAACCGACCACATGACAGCCTTTGGATAGTTGCGAAGAGCTTGTATGAAACCCAGGCTATGCTCAACCTGAGCTGCTTGCCTCGCGAGCACAACGTCATTACCACCATTGGAGCTATTGTGCTCTAGGATGGCATCATCAACCTTTTCATCGACGTTTGCCATAGCTACTGCTACGCGGAAGCTTAAGAAATGGGGCAGAGTAGAGATAGACGAGGATGATGGGAACGGGTTGGGAATGTTACGGCTCACGGCTCCAATTATAAGTATTGCAGGGGAATGAGAGTGTCCATTCACGCACTGTTGGCTAACAGTGCGTATGGGTTCATATAACTGTGTTATTGTTCTGTCGAGTCTCCCCTCACTCTATGAAGGTTAAGGTTATTGGGAATAGGGGAAACGTGAGGGGGGGTGGCTAAAACTAACGGGAAATGTGGGTGGAGAGACATGTGGTGTGATGGATTAATCACTTCGAATGGGAAGTCGTAGTCGTGACGTCCCCATGGTATTGAGCGTTAATTTGAAGACCGGCGAGAGTTATGGTATTCCCATTCGATCACTCTCCTTCTATAGTTCAAGGAGAGATTCGTTTAGAGAGTGGCCAGGCCCGGTGGCATCGCGGTGGGGAAAGGCTAAGATCTGGGGACGGGAAACCAAATCGCGATGGGGGTGGGTCTGGGGAATGGTACATATTCGTACATCTCAAGACGCACTGTTTCGCATATTCACAGCATATGGGTGGTCAGGGGCGTCGGGACGTGTTGGTTGGTCTTCAGAGGGGGAGGGTTGTTACTAATTCTGTTGCATCTTAATGAGAACTCTGAGGTTGGTTTCATTACTTTGGCAATAAAAGAGTTCACATTTTGGAGGTACGTTATGGCCATGAGTTATATATGAGTCGGGGATGATCATGCCTGCTTCTGCTCCATTGCCTGAGCCAAGGCAACGAGAACCTCCATGTATGACTGTTCCGCCCCCCATGTAGTCGTTTCAGGTATGTCTTTTTCACCTGCGCCACTCATGGATACAGAAGCGGCACCTGCTGTGCGATTTGCGAGGAGCCGGATGCCTTCTTGGAGGATTCTGCCTGGAGCAGAGACTTGTGTAATGACTCCAACTCTTGTCATATGCGCGGACATCTTATTACCAAAACGGAGGTACATTTGAACCATCTCATCGTCACATGGTCGATCAATAAAAAAGAAAGAGACTTCCGAACACAATTCCTCATCCTGCGTGGGAATCGTTGGTTGGTGGCACACAGTGCTTACAGCGCGGGTTTCAGGCGATCGGGACCCCTCTCTAGAAGGCGTAACTTGGAGTTCTTCCTGCTGTCTTGCAAACTGCACCGAGGTACTGTACGCCCAGATGATGAGCGTGGCCATGTATATGGTGAAAGGCTCCAGAAAGCTCCTTCTAGAGTACCGTCGTATATGCCAAAAAAGCGCGCCAGCGTGAATGATTGCGAGCCGGGCTTTGAACGAATCATTGATAGCCCATTTCAGCACACAGTTGCTTGCGTCTGCATATCTCTCGTTGACAGCGAAGTTCATAGTGTTTGTGTTCCTAAGATTGGTTGCCAATGTTTGGATTTGCCTTAGAGGGGTAAGTAAAATGAGGCGAGATAAATGTAAATACATGACGGTATGGTGTTCTAATCCACCAGTACTGGCTGCCTTCGCATTAGCCCGCCAGTGCAGTATGTCTAGACAATCACAAGCACTATTGCGCCACTTCGATAGTGTTGGATTTGATGGCGGCCAGGTTTCTGTCAAAGCGCTTGGTTGGGCTTCTCGAGCCTGGATTGCAGCACTGGGAATCCAGTTTGCCAGTTGCGTCCGGTTCTGATTGATAACTTCCTTAGTCCTTCGCCAAATGCCATGTATAATTAAAATGGTGCTGAATTCGCTCAGGTTCTCCGGGAGCTTCTTCTCGATATATAACATCTCAATCGTGCCTAGCAGCGTTACTATAAGTGGGCATTGTCAGCTTACCAATCTTATACAAAGTCCAAGCACTCTCGCAGGTATTATACCAGATGATTTCTGCTCTGCAACAACTTTCTCTTCCGATGGATATTCCCAAATGCCATCCTCGCAGGGCAGGGGGACATTTGCATCCACAAGTTGCATCAACGGAGCGGTGTTGAACTCGTACGAGATCATAGCGTCAAGTAACTAGAGGCAAGTCAGATAAGGGAGGTGGCTAGACTTCTTGCTTTATAGGCCGTACCCATATCATCAAACCAGTTCTGATACGAGACTGGTTCATAGGCCAGTCCTGGACGACTTTGTTATAATCATGATTGCGAAGACTGTCCTGAAAATCCCTATCCAGCAGATTTAAGTCGGTGCATGCTCCAACAAGGTAGTGTCGTTCGAGTAGCGCCTGCCTTGTCACGTCTAGTCTACCTCTATGTAGCGAACAGATCAAGGAGAGGATAGCCGCCTGCAATGTTGGCAGTTTAAATGCGCTATTTCCCGACCCCCATAATGGTGATGGTGAAGGGTTTCCGGTTTCCATTTGTTGGTAAGAGTACATTCGGCTGCTAGATATGCTGTCCAGAATAGCGATAAACTCCGGGCTAAGTAGTCTCTCCTCATGAGTGGTGGCGTATTTGGACCCAATTACGGCAACAGTAAGGAGAAGCATCCAGTGCTCATTTGACTCTTCCGAGAATGTCCTCTTCCGAATGAAAGGGAATATAGGGTGGAAAATAGCGAAATATGACTGGACGCATGCATCAATGCACTGCATAGATGGGAGGGAATTGGCATCGATAACCTCATTTTTCTTGCCCAATTTGAGGTGAATTTCTCGTATCATGTTGTTATAACCGCCCACACCTACCAAAGCACCACTCCATACACCACATGTTCCACCGTCGGTGTAATCAGTTACATTGCTTCCAGGTGTAGATGCGTCGTTGGCAAATATCATCCGTTGGCTCCTCCATTGTCCGGTAGCTTGGCCGCGAAACGGCGCTCGAGAGCCATCCCCATCTACGTAGTAGCTCCCAGTCACAGATTTGGTTCCCTCCGACTCGAGTTTACTGGGAGCAAAAGTCAAGTGACTGGCGCTGTTGATGCTGGTTTCATTTCGTCCAAAGCTGCGTGCTTGTCCGTTACTTGGCACGCACTCCTGATTAGGATCGGGCAAAGGATCCGAGGCAGCGAAGAAAAAGGGCATATATTGATCGCTGCTATCATTCTCAGTGCAAGGCGGCGCAGCAATGAGCCCGTTCCACCCAAATGAGGTAGACTTCTCAGGAGACATCCAATTTATCGAGAGCACGTCCATGGCCTGCTCATTCAACCCCGAGATAGAGCTGAATTCGTAGAGATGGTGGGTGCCAGAGTCCAATGACCCAACGGCCTGCGAAGCCTCAAATATGGCTGGTTGCTGGGTCCAAGCATCGCTTCTGGATGCTAAGTGATTGGAATTTGCCCCCTCGTGCACGCATTCGTTCAGACCGGTGCTGTTGACGTCTATGGATACCTCAGGTCCGGCGGTAAGCGGCGAGGGCCTGTCCCCAGCCCGCCTTACAAATGTTTGATGAATTGCTTCCATGCTCATATCTTGTGGCTCGCTGCCAATGCCCGCCCTCAAGCCGGCAACCGCTGGTGCCTTAGTTTTCCGCGCTGTAGGAAAAGTGCAAGTCAAGTGGCGTTCAACGCACCGCCTGCACGGATCACTCCGGGAGCAGCGGGCTCGGCTTGTTGCACATTGCCTACATGCTCTGGAACGCGCAGCGGTGGTTTCTTCGCTCTCCTGCCCGTGCGACGTGCGATGACGACTCAGTACATCCCTATTACAGCGTCACAAATGCTATCTCGTATGTGCAGACGGTAGAACAGAGGGGCTGAAGCGCGAGCCACTTACTGGCGAGAAAATCCTTTCCCGCAAATCAGGCACTTGAATGGCTTCTCACGAGTGTGACTCTTAGTATGGCGGTCAAGATGCTCCTGCCTGCTAAAAGTTGCATCACAAATGCCACATTTCTTACCCATGCCTACATTCCGTTTTGATCCAACCTGGCTGGCGGCCACCATGTCTGACATTCAGTCCTTATGTTATACAGAGTTAAATAGCGATCTCGTTTGGGTGCTGTAATAACGATAACAGAGTAATCCTGGTAACCTGCGTGAGGCAGCACGGCAACAGGATTGGAGAAAAACTTGGGGCTGGAATTAATACCAAATATTGATAGCAGAATTTTCGGGGAAAGCTGACGTACCTGCGGAGTAGATGGAGCTCCATTAAGTTACCTATGTACCTCCCTATTATGGACCATGTCGCACTAACTCGCTCAGTGGGCAGCCCTCGCATAACTGATGTTGTTTCCTGTGCCCACTCCTTTCGGGATTCCTGCCTTTCCCCCCATTTTCACGATACCCCAGCAGACAATTCCCCCCCACTGACCTTGGTCGCTTTTCAGCGTTAAGTATGCTGATATAGTTGCACGCGACGCCCAGTGTAACTGAGCAGAGCAAAATGCTCTCTCCTAGGCGAAACTGGGATAACTCAGATCGGTCTGTATAACCGGGTAGGGGTGTATGTTGTCTGATGCACCCGACGATCTAGTATTCTGCACAGAAGTGTCACGTTGGTGATAGGGCCGTCAATCGTAGCTAGTTTTGATCATATTAGATGACCTTGCAGAGAAAGATTAGGTAGGAATCGTTGTATCATCTATGATTGCGAGGGAGGAAAATTAGGTGCTTATATAGTATGAGGATCGGTTTGTGGATGAAAGCAAGGCGAAAAAACATGTACCCAGTATTATGCTTATATCGCACCACATTGATTCACCGGAAGTTTAGAGCAAGAGTTAAGTTTTAAGTCTATGTGGCCTTTACCCCCCAGACTTATGCCAGTTCAACTGTCTATTAGTTTGGCTAGAACGTGATAGACATTGTTGGTACCAATGAGACATGGTTGATACGCTTCTAGAACTCAGGCTGGATTGGGCGTGTTGGCCAGCTTGGGTTTGGACATGTCGCCTGTGTTCTCTCGATAACCTCTGTTTAATTGCGGCTTGTTTCCGTCGCTTGATATCTGTACACATACGCCCTGACTACGGCGCGATTCCCATGGGTTTGCGCGTAATTTTAACGGTACCACGCCACACAAATTGACTGTGGAGTTGCGGGACGGTTCGGCTCTACCCCCAAGTGGCGGCAAAGCGAATCAGGACTCAAAAAATAACATATTTCATCGCAACGCTCATCTTAGTGCTCGGCTGCGGAGAAGTCACCTAGCTCTCGACGAAACACCCGGATTTGCAAAATCTTGGTCCATTCTCATAGAACCGTTGGCTTGTTTCCCCAAAGCCTCAGGATGTCTAGCGCGGCTATTGCTGTAATCTATTAATTGATATTCTGATCGGATGCTATGTAGGAGTCGGGTGATATTCCGGTGGGGTAACTGATGACCTGGGGATCCATGGGTGAAATTTAAGCTTAGTGAGGCTGGCTGTCAGGGTGGCAGCTCGTGGAGGGAATAACAGAGGACAGCATGATTAGGTTATATCTGATCTTAATGAACGTCCCGAGCACGGGTGGTGGTAGACTTTTCCTCTGAAGATGGCTTCATGCAACTTCGAGCTTCATCTATATAGATGAATATTCGCCCGTAAACTTCCCCCCTATGCTGTTCCTCCTCCTCCTTTCTTTTCCTTTGAATTATTATCTACCACCGGGAAACAGCCCAGCCGGCTCATTGAAATGTGGAGCCATGTTCTTTTTCCGGAGCACTATTACATCACTGTTAAGCTTCGGGAAAAAAGGCAGCTTGGATATTCCATAACCACTCAAGTGAGAAGAAACCTACAGTACAGTGAAGTGCCTTCCATGATGCCGCCCTAAACTGTGTATTCCGCCCCCCCTCTTCTCCCAGATGTGGAAGCGCTCAGAATATAGGTAAATATGGTTGTGTCATGTGTAATTCCACCACGATAGCTACTGAACTGTGTGACGAATTACGCCAAATCTATCGAGTGCCAGAGTCCATATTACTTTGATCAACGGTGTCTTTACTGTAATAGATCAGTCAGGAATTAAGCCGGCCCCAGCGGAGGCGGTGGTTCCGCCAAGACTCCGGTGGGGGTGGGGTTGGAGAGTTTTCGAGGAGGGGCAGTTTCTGGTCTGCATAAGATAATGATCAAACTTCCCTTATCTAGGTAGATATCAATAGTACCCCAAGGAAATTGCCCATACCATGTTAGACTAAAAAAATTACTCCGGTGATGGTGGTCAGGGACATAGATACAGCCACCATCAAAGCTATGCTCTGGTATTTATCCCAAATGTATTGCTAGGTTCAGCTTAAATATCTAACCTAGTATGGGGAAGTCGTTCAGGTTCCCCTTTTTGTACCTCCCACCCAGTGCCATTGCTATTAGTTTCCCTGCACAAGCTGCGGAATTTTCTCCGATATAGATTCTCGATACTCAGGACACCAGAGATTGAGAAGAGAAGTAGAAGAAGAAGAAGAAGTAGAAGAAGAAGAAGAAGAAGAAGAAGAAGAAGAATAAGAAGAATAAGAAGAAGAAGAAGAAGAAGAAGAAGAAGAAGAAGAAGAAAAAGAAGAAAAAGAAGAAGAAGAAGAAAAAGAAAAAGAAGGAATCAATCACTAGTTCACGATGCTATTCTCCCAGGAAAATCGCCTGGTGTTTACTTACGATGCCGAAACGCTTTGGATCGAGCCGTGGGGCGAAAATTCGCTTAGAATTCGTGCAACAATGCTGCCTTCCATGTCGGGGCAGAACTGGGCGCTCCAGTCTCCTTGTTCGTCAGTCTCCAGCATTGAGATTACAGAAAATATGGGCACCATTATCAATGGCAAGATCAAGGCTGTTGTGACCAAGTCGGGGAAGGTCATGGTATGGAATTCTAAGGGAGAGCTAATGCTCGAGGAGTATACCCGGAACCGCAAGGACGTGTTCGATCCCAAGTGCAGTGCCATTGAGATTGCGGCTCGTGAGTTCAAAAGTATCCTTGGCACGGATAACTACCACCTCACGATGCGATTTGAGAGCGTCGCCGCCAGCGAAAAGATCTATGGCATGGGCCAGTATCAGCAGCCCTTTTTTGACTTGAAGGGTCACGACCTTGAACTTGCTCACCGCAACTCCCAAGCAACGGTGCCATTCGCGCTCTCATCCCTCGGATACGGCATCCTCTGGAACAACCCCTCTGTAGGACGTGCTGTTCTCGGTCGTAACATTATGACATTCGAGGCATATTCCACCACGACGCTGGATTATTGGGTGGTGACCGGCGACAGCCCAGCAGAGATCGTGGAAGCCTACGCGAATGCGACCGGCAAGGTTCCTATGATGCCGGAATATGGGCTTGGATTTTGGCAATGTAAGCTGCGATATCAGACTCAAGAAGAGCTTCTTACAATTGCCCGAGAATACAAGCGAAGGGACCTGCCTTTGGATCTCATTGTGATTGACTTCTTTCACTGGCCAATGCAGGGCGAGTGGAAATTTGATCCCACATACTGGCCTGATCCTGACGAAATGATTCGGGAACTTGACGAGATGAAAGTTGAGCTGATGGTTTCAATCTGGCCGACCGTTGACAAACGCTCTGAGAATTACAAGGAAATGGTTGAATGTGGCTATCTCATCCGTGTGGACCGTGGTGTCCGCATCGGCCTGGATTTCGAGGGCGAAACGGTCCACTTTGATGCGACCAACCCGAGGGCAAGAGAGTACATTTGGGATAAAGTGAAGAAGAATTATTTCAACAAAGGGATCAAGGTGTTCTGGCTGGATGAGGCAGAGCCCGAATATGCAGCGTATGACTTTGACAACTTCCGATACCATCTCGGCTCTAACCTTAGCGTTGGTAACATCTACCCTGTTGCATACTCGCGAGCCTTTTATGACGGTCTCAAGAAAGAAGGACATGAACAGATTGTAAACCTGGTTCGCTGTGCGTGGGCCGGCAGTCAGAAATATGGCGCCCTAGTTTGGAGCGGCGATATCGCCTCATCATGGTCTAGCTTCAGCAATCAGCTCTCAGCAGGACTCCACATGGGTATCGCAGGAATCCCATGGTGGACCACAGATATTGGTGGGTTCCACGGAGGTGATCCCAATGACCCAGCCTTCCGAGAATTGTTTGTTCGCTGGTTTCAGTGGGGAGCCTTCTGCCCCGTCTTCAGACTTCATGGCGATCGCGAACCGCGCCAGCCTCAAGTTGGTACAACTGGCGGCGCTACATGTCGAAGCGGCGCAAATAACGAGGTGTGGTCGTATGGTCCGGATGTGTACAGTATCTGCAAAAAGTACATGGCTCTCCGTGAAAGTATGAGGCCGTACACTAGGAAGCTCATGGAGGCGGCCCATGAAAAGGGCAGTCCTGTTATGAGAACTCTATTTTACGAGTTCCCGGAGGATATCAAATGCTGGGAAGTTGGAAAGCAGTATATGTACGGTGATAAATACCTATGCTGTCCAGTTTTGAAGCCAGGGGTAGCAGATATGGAGGTATACTTGCCAAGGGGGGCGAAGTGGAAGGATGCTTATGGCGCGACATTGCCAGGGGGCCAAACACTCCGAGTCCAGTGCCCATTAGACTACATGCCGGTGTTTGAAAGGGTTTAATGTTCTACTCTATCCAGGGTCATTATTATCCTTTCTTGCATATAGAAAGACATTTCTGTTCTGTCCACAGTAAGCGGATACCACTCCAGCAAGCGGACCAAACATGTGAATATAATAATAATGAAGGTCAGTAGCTATACGTTTTGTGCGTCTGCACATAGTAGGGCCTAGATCTCCAAGGTTTAATTTGATCAGTTGCTGCCAATTTAATTGAAGTATATCTAAGGATTGATTCTGGATTTTGAACTAAAGACTAAGTCATAGCACTTTTATGGAATCTATTGCCTTGATTAAAAGAGTTAGCCTTTGTATAGTGACAAAGATAATCTACATTAGAAGGCATTATTGTTTGGGGCCGGCGGTGGTGGGATGTATTATATTGAGCGTAGATGGGATTCTAGTTGCCGATTTCTGTCGGGGGGCGTTTCCACTAACTTATAGCAGTGGCCATGTATGGGAAAATATGTAGAATGCAAACTTGGAAGACAGGATTCTGACAGACTAGAGAAAATCGGACTTTAGGTGATAGTGAAATGCATTGTGCGTCACACTTCATGTCTGTGGTACAAATGCTTAAGCTGCAATAGCTTCGTAAGATACGCAGACAAGAACTATTACAAAGATTTCTCATATCAATAGCCGGCTTAAAAAAAGGCAATAGATGTGAAATGCTAATTCTGATTTGCTTAGAACTCTCAACAACATATATATATATCTTCTTTTCTCTATTGCCATCCCTTCATATTATCGTTGAAAACTCGGTTAGGAAAAGCTATGACTTCTTAATAATTTCCGGATTGATTGTAAGATAGACATCAAATTACCCAGTCCCATGATTGAGTCATCATCTGTAACTTCATAACCTTCATGGATTAACATGTTATGTAAAAGCGATGTTGTCGATGCTCTCCCAAACACGCCTTTACCGTCGCTGAGGTGTCTGATCTCACCATTTCCCTGAGTCTCATCTACTAGAGAGGCCGCCCATGCGTCATCTACTCGTTCTAACATATGCGTCATAACTTCCATTTGAACCCGTATTTTCAAAGCATCTTCATGCCGTAGCACCGGGCGCTCTGGCTCCGGAACAGCCAGTACTCCTGGCGCTGTAGAATGAGGCACGAGCCATCCCTTATTGCGCTGCTGTTGCTGATACTGTTGCTGCTTTTGGATATTTGAGTCGTGTAGAGTAGGCTCAAGGGCACTCAAGGCATCGTGGATATGAGTGAAGATGGCGTGATATACGGAGAGCAACCCGACGTAACAGGTGAGGACAGAGATTATAACAGGAAGCTTGACAACATATGAGCCTGTAGCAGAAGACATACGGTCTATCACCCAACCATTATTGACACTGTTGCGATAGTTATTAGGCGACAACGTTGTCGATGGGTGTGTAGAGTTCTTAGGATGCCTGAGAGAGGGGGGCTGGCCTTTGGAAGTGGTTAGTGTACTATTTTGGCAAGCCTGAGGCAAATGGACAGCTCCAGCGGTGCTCAACAGTTCGATTAATCTCTCTGAAGCAAAGAGAACACGGTGCACGAGATTCCCATCCGGTCCTGGTCTGTCGCGACTGGAGAAACTGGTACCCTCAAATGAGAATAGTGCTTCTGCTAGTTCGACATCCGTGATGCACTGAAGATCACTGAAAAGTAACGAGTTCAGTTCCAATAACTTGAGCCTAAAACTGTCTCGGGGGTTTATTGGGTCTTGCTGCAACACCATCTTTGAGTCGTCAGAGTTCACGGTGGTGTGCGAACTGACGCTCGACCCATTAAGCCGCGGAGTAGAACCAAAGTATGCCGAATCTACAAATGATTCAGATAGCATCCTGGAGCTGTGTTTTGGATCATCGTTGTAATTTTCCCAAGTATGACTTGAAAGGGACGGCGATGTCGATAGGGCAGCCGATACTGCTGAATGCTCATTGGTCTGGCCAAAGTCGCTAGTGTCAAAATCGAAGTTGCCAAGATCGAGGAGGGCATTTGCGTCATCGCCGCTGAAGAGCGGACTATCTAGCATGGAGTCTTCATGATTCGGGATATTTGGAGTTGCCGCGCCAGTAGAAGTGTTGGGGATGGCGGGCGGGCGTGCTGGAGATATGTTCTCAGCTGACTTCTTAGAAGCGGCAGTAGCATTTGTTAACGAATCGCCGCCGCTTGGAATGTATGTGCCATTGGTAGTCTGGCAGGCTACCTGAGCCTTCTGGCAACGCTTGCATGTGCCCAGGGGAATAGCTATGCTCCCGTTGACCATAATTGGGCTTCGTTCGCACCTCAATTTGTGTCTGTGGCACCGGTTACAAGCAAGGCGTCGCGATCGAGCGGCGCTGATGAAGTTATCCGTTGCTGATGTTGACATGATGCGTAATAATGTAGGAGAGGTATGAGCCAAGCACCTTGGACATCAGATGGAAGTTCATGCTGCAGTATGGCAATTAATATAGGGACAGTTTGTAGGCACATGAGTATTTAGCACTCATCTTTGCTTACCTACCTAGGTAGGTAACCAGCTCTAGAAAGGCGGGGCATTTAGTCTCATAATAACAACCTGAAATTACATATTAACCGTTGCTAGTCACAGCTGTAACATGTAATTCATAATAATAAAAAATACCTTTATTTTTAAACCGAGCTAGAACTATTCTAATTATACTTCAAACCCTTAGGTACATGAAGGTTCCCTAGTGTCAGTAAGATAATTGGGGTCACTTACTTAATGTAGAAAAAAGCCTCCTATATTAACATAGCCCTGCTGTGTGTAAGCGCAGTGAGATCGAATTTACAATGCTACTGGTGGGGAGCTTGATGGTTTAGGCAGGTGGGTACGAGTAATTGAACATTGTTAGACGCTGCCTGGACCAACACGAGCGCAGAGTGATGTAGTCCCGGGATTATAGGTGCCCTGCTGAGAGAGGTGAGATTTGTGACCCAGTAAATCGTATTTTTTGATCGTGGAGATCTATCTCCGTATAATATTCACCTCTTCATCGGAAAATAATTTTACCTTGACATTGTATGATGTATAGAGACGTTGCGGAAAATGAGGACAAAACGCCATCGTTATCAAACATAACGCATTACAAATAAAAGTCGGAGGGGCAACAATTTCCTTGCTGTGTACACTGCATGTTGGGAGAAGTTTTGATTAGCAGGCTGCAGAATTCTACCAATCGAGATGCCGCAGGGGAGCCGAATCCTACCACTTCAGCTGTATAAATCACTCAATACTAACACCACCACTTCCAAAACAAGTGCTGTATCACTATGGGTAATAATTTGTCTTATCGCTTGCTATTTGTTATGTGCTATAGAATATGTGCTGCGCTCAGCTGGCCTATGGTTTCCAAGTTGTCTATTCCTTTCCTCAATTGGCACTACTATAAACATATAGTCTCTCCGAGAAAAACAATATCCAGGATCTCATAGTAAGTAATGGTCATTATGCTCATCTGAGATTTTGTACGCTACTAGTATAATAACACTTACTCTATCATTTGCCTTCCGTCGCTGTTTCATAAATCGGTTCTACACACTCCCCACAGCCGGAACTGTACAGGTCAATTTATTTTTGCCTTGCTTATAGCCTAGTAATGCCCGAGCCTCTTCAGGTAGCTACCTACCTACCTATTGTACAAGTGCTGTCCAGAACCCCCCGCGCGTAGGTACCTATGTTGTGGAGCCTCAGAAGTACCTGTGCGACGCCCCACACCCATGGTCAAAACAGCATAGGACCCGGACCATTCAAGTTAAGTAGATTTCCTTAATTTGCAGGAGACCTATGGAGTAGTGCACTAAATTTCCAATAGCAACGGAGGGTACTGACTAAGAGGTCTATAAAATCATACTGGTATTTTTTATTGTTTCACAGTATCTATAAGTATACAGTTTGTCAGGAAACCTATATTTACGTGATTTAGTAACCTCTTTCCCTCAGTGCCCTATTAAGAGGAATATCTTGTATTTTGCTACCACCCATGCCGTATCATTTCAATACCAAAGGCGTTCCAAGTTCGTTGAAGTATGTCTCGCGTTGTTACCCTTGTTCGTAGCTACATAATTAGGCCAAATTGCGTCAACCACCTACAACCTTTCTGGACAGGCATATATGCAGTATGCAGTATTTGTACCCTCCATTGATCTCTGCGCATTACTGTTCGTTACATCACATTGGTGGGTGGAGATACTGAGAACGATTGGCTATGGCGGCGCTTAAGCCGTCCGAGGACAGGGGGCTCTTCATGTCAGACCCCAGATAAGAGTAAATCCGCACCCAATCGCCGAGGGAAAGGTTGATGTGAGTAATCGAACTTCAAACTCCATACGGAGTACTCCGTACAGGAGCTCTATTCAGCTGGTGGCGTATCTGATCTGTCAATGTTGCCATGCCACAGTCAGCATCTGCACATGTAAGCTTTCTGTGGACCCCGATTGTACAAGTAGGTCCTGTGAAGCCTTGCGCAAGCTCTTATTGATGCATTCGCGGCGTCAGCATTCCTGCAATGAATTTCTCATCTACCAGTCATTTGTTTGTCACCAAAAATGTCAGACAGCCCCTGATCCTTCTCGCACTGGACGCGGCCGCACAATCCTTGAGATCAATAGCGCATCTGGAGTACTGTAGAAACAGCGCCGAACAATTCGGTGGAGCCGAAGCTGCCGATCATACCCCAGAGGACAGGTCCACTCTCCGCATTCCCTGTCAAATCGGAGGATGACCTGTGCGGCCAGATGGAACATGGGGCTGCCGAATGGCTGTGCAACCATATTCGGCATCTGCCGCCCCCGATATGCCTCTTCTACCGAATGCCAAGGCTGTGCTACAGTATCGGACATGGAACGTAATGTCGGCCTTTGGTAACCTCAGTTGAGCCGCTATCAAATCGAGAGCTACTGGAGAACTATCAGCTGAGCTCGCTGAGGAGTGGAATGTGGTTCATTAATTGATATAACATTTCGCGCGAATTTACTCATGTCGCAACAACATCTTTGGCGGTCCTTATTCAGATTTTATCCAATTTTGTACATACCTTTAACCTAACATGTCTCAGCTACAAGGACCTGATTACCCGCAACCTCTTGCACCGCCAGCCGCTGATACGGTCTGCTTACTTCACCCTTTGAAGGCTCAGAATCTTGATATCAAACGTATTGAAGCTAAATATGAGGAAGAGCGAGCCAAACGCCTTCGATCCGATGGCATAGCACAGTTTCAATCCGCCAAGGGCTCATTTTCTCGATTTAAAGATGACATCGGCAGGGTTCCGATAACCAGGGAGAGTGTCACTCGCGAAACAAAGACATTGATTGTTGGAGGTGGATTTGGAGGTGTTATAACGGCAGTTAAGCTGAAGGAGCAGGGCATACATGATTTTGTCATGTTGGACAAGGCGTCAGGATTTGGTGGAACATGGTACTGGAACCAATATCCAGGTTGGCAATCCTCCAAAACCTTCACGTGGCAATAGCCATATTGACATTCATGGTTCGTAATTAGGAGTATACTGTGACGTGGAGTCATACGTCTATCTTCCTTTCTTAGAGGAGACTGGCTATCTGCCCACGACTCGTTTCGCATCTGGGCCAGAAATCCTCGAACACATTGGCCGAGTTGTAGAGAAATGGGACCTGGCATCGAACGCGTATCTTCAAACACAAATAACTTCTATGCTGTGGGACGGCAAAATTTCTCGATGGCACATCCATACAAACCGATCTGATCATTTCATTGCACAGTTCGTTGTCATGGCAACTGGTACGCTTCACGAACCCCAGCTTCCTGGAATTCCCGGCATTGATGAATTTGAACGCCCTCTTTTTCACCTTGGTAGATGGGACTATAGCGTCACTGGCGGAGATAGCAAAGGAGATATGACAAAATTGGCTAATAAGACGGTCGGAATCATTGGCACTGGAGCATCAGGCGTATCTGTCATCCCCATGTTGGCCGAAAGTTCTGGGAAACTTTTAGTTTTTCAGCGAACTCCGGCAACCGTTGCTTTTCGCGAAAACTGGAAAACTGACCATGATTTACTCTCTAACCTAAAGCCAGGCTGGCAGAGAGATCAAATGGACACTCTCGCCAGTGTGCTTGAAGGAAGCATGTCAGACGTCGAGGTCACGGCGCTAGAGGGTCTGGATGTTCTAGCCATCCGAGGGCTGTTCCAGGAAGCCAAAAAAGCTGGAGTAGAAGTGAAGCCAGAAGAAATACCTGAGTTGATGAAACTGGCAAACATACGATTGATGGAACGTCTTCGCAAACTTGTGGATGAGACGGTAGAAGACAAGTCGACAGCAGAGAAGTTGAAACCGTGGTATTCGTTTATGTGTAAACGACCGGTTTTCAATAACGATTACTTGGCCACATTCAATCGGCCGAATGTCAAATTGATCGACACGGATGGAAAAGGTGTATCTTATCTCACAAAACGAGGTGTCATGGCTAATGGACAAGAGCATGAGGTAGATGTTCTCGTACTTGCGACAGGCTTTGAGTTCTATCTGGCGTCAGACTACGAGCATCGAACTGGAATCAAGATTGTAGGGAGCTCAGGTAAAACACTCGATGATGAGTGGAGAGAGGACGGACCTAAGACTCTCTTCGGCATTCACCTTCGAGGCTTCCCCAATCTTTTTAATGTTGGAGCTGTACAATCTGGTGTAGGAGTGACTTGGACGCACACCACGTACGTAGCAGGAGAGCATATCGCTGAGGTCATCGCAAGTGTGCTGAAGAAGGGACGCTTTGAAGTGATTGAACCAACAGAGGATGCTGCAGCGGACTGGGGAAATCAGATAAAGGAAGGCGGTGAGATGAAGATTAACTTTCATCGAACTTGTACTCCCAGCTATTACAACGCTGAGGGAAAGCCTGAGCAGTATTCTGCAAGATGGGGAACGTATCCCAAGGGAATGACGGAATGGACGAGGATTCTTAAAGACTGGCGAGAAGAGGGAAACATGAAGGGGATTGAGAAGCAATAAGAAGCGCTTCGAGGACTGGCTTGTGACTTTCGACTCTCATATCTTAGGACCTTTAGTCCACTAGCGCGTACATAGATTCTTTAGTCTCGCTCGTGGAGCCAGCTACCGTAGCCTGGGCCCTGGTGGAACATATACATTGAGTCGCTTATTGTAATTCGAATGAAACTCCTAGTCGCCGCTAAGTGAGAAAAAGGGTCACTGTGGTTACTTCGGGTATTATGGTACCTCATGCGACCAATGCGTGCGACTGATGAACGGCGACTTTTGCAGCGCTGAATCATCTCAGTACCTGGATATGGATGTTTTGGTCCATTTTTTTTTTTCATTATAGGATTGTTAGTTTCTTTTCTGTTCCTTTGCTATATAGCTTCTTCTTGACTACGTAGTACATATACTTTTAATTACTCAATTACACCGCAACCTTCACATTTTACGTACCTCCGTGCACCCAATACGGAGCTGATTACCTTGCCTGTAGCAAATTTACGTCATAGCTGAGAACAAACATGAGAATAATTCCAATCCGAATTTGAAGCTCTGAATATAGAAATAGTAGATAAAATATACTTATTTCGTTCCTGTTGCCTGGTACATATGTAGTTGGCAGGCTAATGAGAACCGAGGCCACGACCCCCTAACAATATGACATAATGTGAGATTCTGAGCTCGTCCAGCATAAAGTGTTCAATATTTAATGAAATGTTCAAAGAATTTGCTGCCTCTGTATTCCAAAATGTCGATCTAAGAATTTGAATGTCTTCTGGTTGACGAGCTGCATTGCTCCCATCTTTGCTTGCAATGATCCCTGCCCAGGAGTGTTGGCCATCCACACCTCCTTGTCCACCTCTGCTTGGTGCTTCAGTCCGCTTATCACGCGCATTGTGTGGCGGTTAGCTTCAATGTACAGAGACTCAGAAGCACCGGAAACCAGCACTGGGCATTTGACGCGGTCAAGATAGCTTTTATCACCAGGGAGTGTCAGGCTATACCGCTTCATCTCTTGCATGATGCTGGCTGGCGAAGTAATTCCGAAGAAGGTCCCAGAAATGCTCACTTCCCAGCGCATCTGGAATGCCGACCACATGCCCATGTGGATGAAGAAGTCGACAAAGCGGTTGCTCAGCCACCCCCGCTCCCACGCACCGATAAAAGCTGGTGAGACGTGCGCCGTCACGAAGTCCCACATGCTGTAGACAGGGTCGATGGCAACACAGGCCTTGATTCGCGGGTCGGCAGCGGCACGCAGTGCGAAATAGCCGCCTAGGGATGCCCCGGCAATTGCAATGCGCGAGACATCTAGATCGAATTCGGGGTGGGACTCAGACAGCTTCTCGATGTAATTAAGCACTGAGCTGACCACTACCTCCCAGTCTGGGCGCATTTTGATGTCGTGACGGCGGAGAGTCAGACCTTGTCCAGGCCCTTCAAAAGTCAGGACGGCGTAACCCAAGTCCGGGCCCACTGCGGGATGCATGTAGTAGAGTTCCTCTTGCAAGGCATCGGCGCCGCCTGTGGCAATCAGTACTGGGATTTTGCCAGATGTACGTCGATTCGGAGGGGGTAGGTAGAGGATGCCGGGGAAGGAGATTTTCTCGTCAAAGGGGATAGTCAGATATTCCACGCCACAGTCGAAGAGGGCCGTAGCTTTGCGGAAGAGTCCGTTGACCTTTTCGCAGACATTGACGTGGCGTGGATCGGGACGGTTTGGCCCGTCTCCAGGTCGCATGTAAGCAGCTGCTCGAGTATAGTTGGACGCCCTAAGATACGCCCGGCGGGCTGCAATTCGATCACCATTCTCGCACGCTTCCTCGGCCAGAGCCTCCGCTCTCCGGGCTTGGGTTGCCCATGCCTTTTCCCAGCTGCTTGGGTCGCCGTCCTTGATTTTGCCCACAGCCTCGAGCACTTCCGCAACATCAGCACCCCCATGAGGGGTCATGCCTAGAATGCGGACCGTCTCGAAGTGGAAGAACTCTCCTTTGAAGAAACGATGCATACTGAAATTCATCTGATTGCACTAACACGAACATCAACAACATGCGGAAATGAAGCGTCCATTGCAAGTCTTAAGCCAACTTGCCAGGAGCCTTGGCAAGTCACGGTGCCTATTTGGGAGGTTGGTCCTCGGCTTGAGTAACGACGTAGCCTGCCCCACGTATCACCGATTGAGGATCGGAAATGCCGTACATGCATAGGCACAAGGGAAAACGGAAATACATGCGCGGTTGGATGCGTACTGCATACTAAGGTACCTAGGTAGGTAGTAATCTCAACAGGAGGTACGAAGTACTTCGAAGTCCTTCGCTTCAAGTGGTAATGGGCGTTGGATAAGAGCAGCCCCTCCTTTCTGCCCAAAAAAATATCTCATCTAGAAATCTGTCCTCTCATATCTACACTTTGGGAATGCTATACTGCCGAGGAAGGGATCTCAATAGTATAGAGTTGACTACAGCAGCTAGACTTCATGTCATCTCCCACTAGTATCACGGCTACCGAAGGCCCCGGCGGACCACCACTTGGAGCTAGCCAGCTCTCCAAGCTTCGTTGGGCAGTGAAGAATCCACCTTCCGACCCGAAGGTGTCATTCACAGGCAAGACAGTTCTCGTCACTGGCGCAAACGCCGGTCTTGGTTTCGAAGCCGCCATCAAATATTCTGCTCTCGGGGCCGACAAACTCATACTTGGTGTGCGATCGGTTGAGAAGGGAGAGGTAGCAAAGAAACAGATCTTGGAACGGACGGGCCGCAAGAGCGACACAATCGATATAGTCACGGTTGATCTCATCGACTATGCCTCTGTTCAAGCTTTCGTTCTGGCATTGGAGGCAAAGACTGACCATCTCGATGTCGCATTACTCTGTGCTGGTCTAGGCAACCCCTCGTACGTTAAGGCTGCGACTGGCTGGGAGATGGCAATCCAAGTCAACGTTCTTTCTACTGCCCTCATGGCGATTTTGCTACTCCCCCTTCTCCGAAAGACGGCGGCCTCCGGTAGACAGCCTCGTCTGACCTTTGTTGAAAGTGTGGGACACGAGTCTGTTAAGAAGGAATGGTTCAGTGCAACAGGAAGCCTGTTGAAGGCTTCTAATCAGGAAGAGGGATGGGACGCTGCCAAAAGCTACTCGATGGTCAAGCTGCTCGGCATGGCTGATATGGACCTAGTCGCACGAGCCACTGCTAACAACTCTTCAGGCATTATCGTTAATGCTGTCTGTCCCGGATTATGTAAAACTGATCTGGGTCGAAATTTTAATTTGGCAACCAAGGTGTTTATGGTTCCCTTCCAGGCTGTATTCGCCCGCACTGCTGAGCAGGGAGCACGATCGCTTGTGAGTGCTACGGCTCTTGGTCCTGAGAGTCATGGTAAATTTTGGAATCACGATATTTTATACCCGTATGTTTCCCATTGCTTTCCCTTCCCGCAAATTTTCTACTCTTTAATATCCAATTCATTCTGACTCTTCTGTGCTTTAGCATGGGTGATCTTGCTCGAGACGAGGATTTCATGAAAACGACCGAGGCAGAGATACTTGAAGTTATCGAAAAATTGCAGCCCAATGTGCAGCAGATTCTCAACGGTACACGGTAACTGGGAGTACTATCTTTCACGCCTCTTTCCGTGGGAGTCCAAGGTTAAAGCTGTACTTAAACACTAGTTTATGGATTATCCGAGGGCTACTCTGGGCAGATATTGGACTTTGGAATTTTTTTGTTTTCTTTTCCATTGTTTTCACTTCCCTCCCTTGAGATTGCACCCGATTTCTAGGAAAATACAAGGTTCTAGAGCCGCTTCGAAGTGACTGGCTGGTTTGATATTTTTGTTCAGCCCATGATTACATTTGTTGGTGTGATTTTAGCGTTTCTCTGAATACGGCATAATATTTTCAATTGTCAATCACTAGGATGTGACTTTTAAAGTGAAAATTTGCGGGTTTACTAACGCCCGGTTGACTTGGATGAAACCTTTCACCTCATCCATGGCAGCTAGCTTAATGCTTAGGGTGATAGCCTTCGAGTCATTTGTGATAAGGTAGATTGAATAGTTAATGCTACCTCTGCATTTGACGATGACAACAATACCCTAATGTGTGGCGTATGTAAATTAAGTTTGCATCTGATACAACCTGCATACCTGGCGCCCGCTTATTGTATTATTTTCTCCCACAGCTGCGTCGTATGAAGCAGTCAGCTTATTACACTTGACCGAGTTGGGCTGCCTGTTTCAACCAGTTCATCCGAGTTGCTCGGGCGTTATACTATTGATCCACCGAGGTCATAATGGGGCATGTAATATACATTCCATGGTGACAGGTTCATTGGCCAAGTGCGGCTGTGGTTCATGCATTCGAAACCTAGTTCTGAGCTGAGCCTTGACTCAGCCGAACATTCGGCAATTCCGAATCCAGGATAGAGATCCGCCAACGGAAGCTGTAGCACCACAATTCACTACCACTATTCCCCTGGAGCTATTTCGGCTTTGTCCAACAGGATGCATCACGTCGCCCAATCAAAATTTTCACCAGGATGAAAGGATACAGCAAATAGATTCTTTATCGCATGAAGAGGAGGCAAATGGAAAGAAGGAGAGAAAAGGGAGAAGAAAAAAAGGCTCAAAGAGGTCTAAATATTCACTCTGCAGGTACCCCAATGTAATCGTGAACCATTGTAGCTTTCTCGACAAGATCACCCTTCACCGTCGTGTTGTACTTACACAGTCGTCGCTCCCCATCAATTGTCTCGAATCCCCATACAGTAGTCGTCACCCAGCCCATATTCTCGCTCTCAACAACTTCTACTATAGCTGCATGTTCTTCATCTACGCTTTCAATGTCCCTACCAAGAAGTTGCCCCGAAGTAAGAGCATGGAGGCCAACGTAGTCGCAGTGCATAGTAATTTCGCCAAAAATGGGCACCGTATCAGTGCGCTTTTTCCCGTCAACAATGTATTCATTTTTAGTATCAAACCCGCCAGGTCGAACGGTCTGCTTAAAGCTGAATTTTGTCGCTGTTCTGTCGCTTTCTACTGGAAGCTTTATGTATTGGAGCTCCAGATCCGCCCAGTTGATAATTTTACGAACTATCCAGGGAATTCCTTGCTTCTGGTAGTTAGCTTATTTCCGTCTGAACGCTCAAAGCATTGGCAAACATACCAGAGCAAAAGTAGACTCTAGAGAGTCTGACAAAGACCGATTGAGACGCCATCGCCCCGTGACATCGAGAATGTTTGCTTCAATAGGAGTTGCCATTGTGTGTTAAGCAGGACCAGATATGTGTAGAGTTGTGTCTTTTAGAATCTGTGTTAATGGACTAGAAGAGACATATAGCCACTCCAAAACCCGCTTTTGAGGATGGAATTTCCATCTCGATCGGCTCCCGATTATTCAATCGGCCGACAAGATCCGCTTCCGCTCGGTTTGTACATCGGAGACGCCGGTTTCACCTCAAATCCGACCCCTTCCATTATTGAATGCCGTGTCTAATTTTATAATCAGGCAATATCTGGCGAGAATCATCGAGGACTCTCCCAACTATTGGTAGATACTCACAGTTATTCCTCTTTATTATTTCAAAAAGCGCCACGATGATCGGTTTCCAAGTTATACAAGACCTGCAATCCGAGTGTATTCGACTTCAAGAGAACTATTTAGTGATCAAGCAAACGTTTGCGGGTCTTCGTTTGACAAAATGGCAGATTGCTCGGTTGATTGTAGCCCAAATTCTACGAGATACCTCACCACGAATGTTGATTGGAATATCCATTGCGCTAGCTCTGTTCTTTATTTGGGTTACTAGGATGGTTTTTTTCCCCTCACGATCTCTCAAGAGGCTTGGCATACCGCTCGTGGGGAAATCCAAAGGTAATAAGATGGACTTTCGTAAAATGCTGGAAGATGCAGCCATAAAGGTGTGTTACCAGAGCTACCAGCCATAGTAGTGTATTTTCAGGTTAATATCTCTGCAGTATCCCAACCGCCCATTCCGCATCAATGCCTTTGGGACAGACTATGTTGTCTATCCATCAAAGCAATTTGATGAAATCAAGCGTCTACCAGAGTCGCAGGTGTCCTCACTTGAATATCTCAGAGAAGCTTTCCATGCGACATGGTCCGGTATTCCCCGCCACAGCGAGGAGATGATGAAGTATGCCAAGTATAATTTCTAATCTGCTTAAATAAACCTCTAATACAAGGGCCTAGAGCGGTTTCAGTTGATTTGGCACGTGCGATCCCATCTCTGGTCCATCAGCGACAACAGGACTGTGCTTCGTCCTGTGAAGCTGCGATCGGAAGCTGTGTCGAGTGGAAAGAAATCTCACTCTACGCCATATCACAGAAAATTGTCGTATCCACGAATTCGAGCGCTTTTGTTGGTAGAGATTTGGGCACCAGCTCAGCATGGATATCCCACGTCGACCGATTACCTATGGCTGTGGCCATCCCGTCTATTATTGTTAGCCTTTTGCCGGGTTTTATTCGCCCCTTTGTTAAACCGCTTCTTTTTGCGCCTGCTATCTATACGCGATATATGTTGGGGCGACTTCTAGGTCCCGTTATCAAAGAAGACATTGCAGAATACGAAGCAAGCAAGGTGGAAAAAAGGGCTGTGGCAGACCCAAAAGAAAAGGGGAAGGTTGCGTTGACGAGCTGGCTATTGCGCCGATATACCTCCAGCCCGAAAAATGCCCTCGCCAAACTTATGGAAGATTATATTAACATTTCCTTCGAGTCTACTACTTCCACAGCTGGCACGCTTTTCTTCCTGCTTACTGAGCTGGCTGATGATCCAGCTCTTGTAGATGCCCTGCGAGACGAGATTAAGACAGTGGCCCCTGGTGGGCTTCTGCCATTTACTCACCTTAATGAGCTCAGAAAGCTGGACAGCGTTATGCGCGAATCTGCTAGAGTTAACCCTTTCAGCCACAGTAAGATCTATGTGCCATTATGTCATGAAAAGCAATTTCTGACGCAATTTCTAGTAATTTTATGGCGAAAGGTGATGCAACCTCTCAAACTCAGCATAGGGCCTGAGTTGCCTGTCGGTACAAATATTTGTGTAGATGCCCATCATATTAATTTCTCGCCAGACCTCTGGGAACGGCCAGAGGAGTTTGATGGACTTCGACACTATAGAGCTCGTCAGAAACCAGGAAACGAACAACGTTTCAAATTTGCCAACTTAGGGTCAGATGCTCCCGGATGGGGGGATGGTTCGCAAGCATGTCCAGGAAGACTTTTTGCCGATAATACGTTGAAGATTATCCTTACCCATATCTTGATGAACTACGACTTCAAATTCCGCCCCGGAGAGACAAAACCCAAAAAGGGCAGCATGCCAAATGGCTCTATGTATCCAGATATGGGTGCGAAACTGCTTTTCAGAAAGCGCAACCAGTGATCCATGCGTCTTTGAACACGGGAAATATAGCTGCCGAGGCGCATGCATGGAAGACGTTATTCATGTTCAAAGATAGAGCAGATAGTTTACTAGAAATTCTGCCGTAACCTCAGATATCTGAACAGAAACTTAAGTTAAATTGCGTAAAGAACCCTCTTATCGAGGCTATATTTTGCTTGTATATATTCCTTTCCATTCCGCCTCATTGAAATGCGGCCGTCACTACCTCAACAAGAAGTCCAATTTTGTTATATTATTACCTTTCGCCATCAATTGGTGATAGGGGACTCTTGCGCTCTGTTCCTTTAAAATCAAGCCCGCATGATAGAGCGCGCGATCTGAATCTCACCGTATTATTCGATTTTCTTAGACGAGAGAATTCCGCCGAGCCATGCAATTCGTGGTCCATATCGCCGAGTACTATCGGGCTGCCCCACGCGCGGATTACAATAGAGGTCGGGATTTCCGCTCCGAACGGTGAGAGTATAGCTCCTTGCTGATTCGGCCATCATCGCTAAAAAGAACAAAAGATGATACATGTAGGCTGGACACCGCCACGGATTTGCTCACTCATTAATCTGTTGTCATTATTCACTTCCAGGACAAATTCCTTTGGCGCAATGGCGGCCATTAATGCATTGGTAGATCTACCAATTTACAACTACCTTATCATAGCGGTTGTTCTAGGCATCGTTGTTTATACTGCCAGTAAAAGATCTCGACCAAACTTGGATCATATTCCGGGCATTGCGTTCAGTGATGGTGATAACTCCACAGAAAGATATGTGAAAGATTCCGGGACTTTACTTCATGAGGGCTATTTGAAAGTTCGCAATATCCAAAAATCATTATTTAATTGGAAGCACTTCCTAACATTTGTTTTTCAAGTTCACCAAAAAAGGCATCCCATTCAAGCTCAGAAATCCCGCGAACCCGGAGCATCCTCAAGTGATCTTACCATGGAAATATCTCAGCGAAGTACGGAGCGCCCCGGAGAGTCGACTCAGCTTTCCTTTATACTCCAATCAGGTAAGAGCATGAGAGATCTAAATCTTTGATCAGCGAAGTAACATATATGTGATGGCTTTCAGGCATTTCTCCTTGACCACAGTAACGCACCTCAGCAAACAGATGTCGCTGTGCACATTGTGCGTACAGACTTGAACAAGAATCTGGGTACTTTTACATCCTTAGCTCATATATTCCAGTTCCAGCTTTAGAAGTTCTAAGATGCTAATTAATTTTCTAGCTGTTCTCATCGATGGAATGCAAGAGGAAATCGATTTAGCGCTTGCATCCCAGTTACCAAAATGTCCAGGTAAGACAAGCGCCATGATCTTGTAAAAGTTTGCACGTATCAGCGGGATCAGGAACTCATAACCAAGCAGAATGGACACCGTTTCCCCCTTACATGGCCCTCGCATACACCATTTCTCGAGCTACTGCCAGGGTTTTTGCAGGCACTGAGCTCAGCCGCAACGACGAATGGGTGCAAATCGGCGTGAATACAACCATAATGGCCCATCAAGCAGCTCAAGAGATTCGCAAACAATATCCTCCCTTTATTCGTTGGCTCGCAAAGTGGCGACATCCAGGTGCGAGGGCCGTGTATGCTAACCGCCTAAGAGCAGCCGAGCTGATGGCTCCAATTCTGAAAAAGCGCTTGTCAAACGATCTCACCGAGTCTGGAGAGCCAGACGGTGTCCAGTGGTCTATTGCCGCTACTCGTAGTCGACAGAAGAAAGTTCTGGAGGTAGTTGACGAACACCTGTTTTTAGGAATAGCTTCCGTGCACTCCAGTTCCGCCACGAGCTTGTCGGTATTGTACGATTTGCTTGACCGCCCTCAAATAATGCAGGAAATTGTCGAAGAGATTCAAACAATACATGCTACATGCTCTAATGGGCGGTGGAACAAGCAAGCCCTCACTCAGCTAGAAAAGCTGGACAGTTTCATGGCGGAAAGCCAGAGGATGTACTCCCTTGGTTTGGGTAAGCGGACATTACTGCCCTTGTGCTACACGGTCATGCTGATCAAGCTCTAGTCACTGTCACACGATCGGCTGTCAAAGCATACGTCTTTAAGGATGGGCTTCGCCTTCCCAAGAACACGCAATTTTCCTTTCCTAACTACGAGCTGAATCATGATCCCGATGTGTACCCAAATCCGGAGCAATTTGATCCTTGGCGATTCTTGAAGATGCGGAAAACAATCGACGCTAACAAATATCATTTCGCCTACACTTCGGATCAGATCCTCAATTTTGGCAGCGGGACTCACGCCTGCCCAGGTCGTTACTATGCTAGCTACGAGATCAAGCTCATTTTGGTCCACATTTTGACTCGCTACGACGTAAAGTGGCCTGAGGGCCAGTCTCGGCCATCAAATATGCCACACGATTTCGCGAATAGTCCAAGCCCCATGGTCCCTCTCCTCTTTAAGGAGAAGAGTATCTAGTTGCTGACAGCTATATCGTTCTATGGGATTTTTGTGTTTGCTCAGGGCGACAAATCTCAGTTATTTAAAGCTGTGGCTCAATAAAAAATTCTGGACTTTTCCTATGTAGATGATAACAGACTACCTATATATATGTGCTAGTAGCGCCCAACTCAGATGCATAATCATGGGCTCTATTTCATTCATACTGCAGAAAAAAGACTTCAGTTTTGCTTACATATATTACTCTGTTTTGTTTTGTTTACCTCCATTAAGCAGGCTATCTGTGTAAAAAGAAATCTTAACTGAGTAATAGAGGGGCAGGGAATATTCTTTAATGCTCTTTATCTCTACGCATTGCCAATAGAAGAAAACTAAAGGAGATGGGTATCATTCTGGGTCTGGGAAGAGGATTTCTACGTAGATTGAAATTAGAGTGGATTTCTAATGTATTATTATTACGTTTCTTTTCCATTTTTGTTTTCCATTTCGACTTTGTCATATGATTGCTAATAATATGCTATTTGTGTACCTTCGGCTACTTGTAGGAAGATTAAATACTACATGTAATTATTCTAACTTCCAAATGGGTGTTTCAGTGATCAGCAATTGTCTCACAGTTAGGTCTAGAATCCTTAAATTATCAGAAATTTTTTTGAAAGGAGCTCAAAAAAGGCAGATGAAAATGTGCGTAAAATTTTAAAGGGGGGGTGTCGTGATTTTATGACATCGGATGTCGGCTTAGCCGAGCTGATGGCACCGAGTGAATACGGTATGAATGATTACGCAAAGACCCGCACCGATCAAATAAGAACTAACAGGTGGCCTACCGATGTGACGATTTTGCGCCGAAGAGTAACGGAAGTCACAGAATTTATAGCTGCAGTCATACTTGTGTTGGAGATCGACTAACCAACTTGAAATTCCATCATTGGCTTCATTCAACCAAACAAGTCTCCAACTGGCACCATGGCGGTCCGCAGTGGCAGGAATACCAAAATACTTCCCCTTTATTTTGCCCTCTGTGGCCTCGTTTCTCCTTTCACAACCTCTTTTACAGCAACGAAGGCCGATTGGAAAGCGTTGAGCATTGAGGTTTCAGAAAAGCTACATGCAGCTTCACCCCTAGGCCGACCATGCTTCTCCACATTGAATGGTGAATCGGTATCAATTGAGGAAAGGGAATGTGCCATCACACAGGATAATTATTTCAATGGATCTTTTAGAACCGACAGATATGAAGGATTCCTCCACCTCTTTGGAGATGGCTGTATGTCCAACACTACAGACGAATGCTTCTTCAACAATGGCGATCCTCTGTCTTCAACGGATAATAAACAGTGTAATCAGGGGCTTGTGTCTCCGTACTACTTGAATGTCGGGGGTGTGAGCGACGTGAAAGCGGCATATCGATTTTCAAGAAAAACTGGGGTTCCCATCTCTATCAAAGCAAGCGGACACGACTATATGACTAGGAGCAGTATAAAAGGCTCGTTGGCCCTTTGGGTGCGCAATCTCAAGACAATGACCTATCACCAGTCTTTCAAGCCTACCGGAGACACATCCGCCAAATCGGTATCTGCCATCACTTTTGGGCCTGGTGTGAATTCTGATGAGGCCCAGGCCTTCGCCAACAAAAACAATGTCACGCTTGTTGGCCCATCTTCCCCAACGGTCGCCATTGCTGGAGGCTGGAGCTTTTTCGGCGGCCATTCCGTCCTAACGCCAACATTTGGCCTTGGTGCTGACAGAATTCTGGAAGTTGAGATTGTAACACCAGATGGAGAACACCGCATATGCAACAGGAAGCGTAATGCTGATTTATTCTGGGCTTTACGAGGTGCTGGTGGTGGCGTTTTTGGGGTGATTCTCAGCACTACTATCAAGGTCGAGGCAGCCATGCCCATTACTTTCGCATTAATAACTTTTCCGCCAACATTAAGCAGGCAGGATGAATTCTTATCTCTTCTCATCAACGAAACGCGCAGCTTGTCCTCGGAGGGTTGGGGCGGTCCTATGACTCCCAGTAGCCTTGTGCTGGTGAATCCGCGCTTGGACGAGGCTGCTGCTAATAAATCTATGTCACGGTTTTCCAGCTTTTCCAATGAAAACAATGGAACGGTGTCTATATTGAAGTTCAACACATTTTATGAGTTCTACAGTGCATTTATCTCAACAACTCCTTCTGACGCCGGCACGGGTCCTTTGTTGACGTTCCGCGTGTTACCAAAACGACTACACGAGACCAAAAAAGGCCAAAAAGACCTTCATGAATTTCTAATGAATCAAATCAAACAGGGCCACTCGCCTACCATCTTCATGACCCCCCCAGCCCAGTTCAAATATCCCACCGACAGCACTTCTATGCATCCAGCGTGGCGTAACAGCTACTGGGATATTGGTTTTACTATCAACTATGCAGTCAATTCGACGTTTGAAGAACGCCGACAGGCCGCGGTTCAATCTCAACAGCTTTCAAGAGACATTATAGCATTAGCTCCAGATGGTGCAGCATATCCCAACGAGGCAAACCCTTGGCAGCAGAACTGGCAGAAGGAGTTTTGGGGAGAAAACTACAAACGATTAACACAAATCAAGGCCAAATATGATCCCCATGGAATCTTGAGTTGCTGGAGATGTATCGGTTTCCAAGACGCTTGGATCCATAGTAATACACGATTTGGATGCATGGGCGAATTTGAGGGGCTTGCCTAATGGACGACAAGCTGACTCCTGGGTCGTTTTGTTTGTTTTTCTTTATTACTCAATCAACAATGCAAAGAGTTCAATGGGTTATTCTCCTTGTGTGTGTTTTCTCTTTTAGGATGGAGATCCTGTAAATGATACACTAGTACCTTATTGTTGCATAGGTACCTAGGTACCTAGTATGGTGTACCAAGGTACTCCGTAGATTGCAGCTAGTAATAAACGAGATTTATTTGGGTCACTCTCCATACGTCAAAGTGATACAACGATACTTCTCTATCAAGACATATTAGGAATGTACAAAAAGGTACCTAGCTTCAAGGGCGTGATATTTTTCGACAAATATGTATCTCACCTCGCAATTGTTGAGGAACTTTCGGACTTTCGGCAATTCCGATACGACCAAAGGCTGGGGCGAGAAGAACTGAACACATGGCTCCTCCAATGGAGTGGGGATATAGTTAGTCACTGGTTACATAAGCTGACACACTATTAGCCAATAAGAGCCATGACATTGCCTAACCTATAAGCCTCAGGAAAGAAAAGAAAAAGACAATATCAATAAAGTACTGGCAAAATTTCAACAGGCATTTGTAATTATTTCGACTTATAGTGGGTGTATTTTAAAATCTTTTTGTAATTGGATGCTTATCATATCTGGCGATATTGAAATTTCCGCAATATGGAAATGTGAGATATTACTATTTACGTAGAGCAATTTTCTTAAAAGAGCCTCCAATTCAAATATTGAAGTGGGTTTTTGAAATAAATTCATGATTTAAATAATCAAAAGACCAACCATTTCTACATTATCGTACAATCAGCAAAGCCATATTGTACGTCGGTTACATCGTCGGACAACAACATTTAGCCTCAAGTTCCCATGTAACGCCATCACTGTCACAGTTCACAGTCACTAAATTTTCAATGTAGATGAGTGAATTCGTAGTTTAGCTGTGGACCAATACCAAGTGTGTCACTTTCTGCTACCTAAAGTTCGTCCTTATCTTCTGGTACGGGATCAACGTAGTTAGGCTTAAAGAGATAAGAATTTTTGGGGAACTCTAGAGCCTCAGCAAATGCCGGGCCGAAGTACTGCTTTGCACCAATAGGCCCACCTACGGCTCTTCCTGAGTATCCGGTGCCTCCCACACCTTCACCGAGCATATACTCGAATCCAACACCCTCGTTCGTAATAATAAAGCTCCATTGATCCTTTGACTTGGGGGATACCATCACTAGCTCAAAGCCAGTGACTTTATCCTTCAAACTTCCAGTCACTTTGCCGCCGTACGTTTTCTCCAGGATGGCATAATCGTCAGTAGTGGATACTCCCTCATTTGTAGTTGAAAATATCACTTCGCCGTTCATCGAAAGGATTGTTGAGGGGCGATAAATGCTCTTATCAAAAGCAGATGTGAAACTGACGTGGCTGGCTGCATATGGCCCGGCCTTTATACGAGTGGCAGTCATGCCGTGGAGACAAGTGAACCAACTGAAAGCAGTCCAGAGACGCTCATGCCCTCCCAAGCCACTCCATTTGTAAGGCTTTCCTTCAATCTCCAAATCTACCCAGACATCCGCTGCAGGAATCGGCTCTACCCATCGAAAGTAAGGGACAACCTCAGTATTTGCCTCGCTGTTGGGATAGGTGGACCCATCAGGGTAGCGGGCAGGAATTAGGGAGTTCATTATCAGGGATCCCTTCAGGTCATCTGTGTTCACGCCGATACGGGCGACTTTCATATCCTTCGTTATCTCAAATGTGTAGCTGTAGTCGTCGCTCTTCCACACTCCGCGAGTTCCCCAAGGGCAACTCTCCACGGTAGAGCTGGTTGGATAGTCGACCCGCATGAATCTTTCTTGGTTGACACGTGAGAACTCTGCAGAAAGACGTAGGTTTCCTGAACCTAAAATGGCGTAGTTTGGATCGCGATAAAATCCGAAGCAAAATGCCATTAATCCGTCATCCGAAACGCCATCGAACTCCCACTGCTCACCACCTGTTGAATTGAGTGGAGCCATTTTGGGTGTCTCTGGGTCATCTAAAGGTTCAGTAGAGAAATAGACGGGTTTTCGACCTTTCTCCATCTCGTAAGCATCCATATGACTGACCGTGCATCCCTCCCGAGACGCAGTTGTCGAATCGACAGGCCATTTATTATCCCATTCCCCGGGCCAACTGTAATCCCAGCATATTACGAGAGAGCTGAGAGACAGTAAAGTTAGAGAATTCGTTGTGAATCTCATTTTCGCTTGATGTGATGTGATCTGGTGTGATGAAGGTCGTTAGGGAATACTTGCCGTGCCACGATAGAAGAGAATATTTTGTATATGGCAAATTTGAACCATACTTAAAATAGATTGATAGAGCACGAAAAAATCAGCTCTTACAATTGCGGTAGTTGGAATTCAGGAAACCCGACTGATCCAAGGAAGTCAATCTCGGCTTTCCGTGCGTTTGGTCAGCCTCGCCGATGCCGATTCGGCGAGACCCCACACGTTACCGAAAGCCTTCGTCTCATTGCTAGGGTGAGATTAACACTGTCGGAGATACCGCGAGTTACTTTTCGCATAGCCCAAGGCCATAACGTGACCTGAAAGACATCACATATTCTCACAGCGCTCCCGAATGTTATGCCCAAGCCATGTGCTGGAAGTAAAAGGCCCTTGGGTAACGATACGAGTAGAGATCGAATCGCCTTATCCTCTCGGGAAAAAGAGTTATTTCACTGTTTGTCACCAATTACCGCGAGACTGTCATCCCGCTCGAATGGCAGTCCAAGTAGTGCTCCCACCCTCCCACACCGCTGTTATACAGGGTGAAGGGGGGTCTCTGAAAGCTGCTAGCGGCCTGCCGTTGCCGGAGCTAGGGCCCGGACACATTCTTGTCAAGACAGCGGCTGTAGCGTTGAACCCTTGTGATTTCAAGACTCCTGCAGCTTGCCCTACTCCTGGTTGCTATGATGGGTGCGATTTTGCTGGAACCATTGTTGCGCTGGGCTCAGATGTCCAAGAAAAAGGCCCGTGGAAAATAGGCGATAGGGTTTTTGGTGCCGTCAATGGCAGCAACCCTGCCGACCTGGATTCTGGCTCATATTCTGAATACATCAAAGCTGTCAGCGTTTTCACATATCGCATCCCCGACTGGATGTCGTTTGAGGAGGCAGCTGGACTTAGTCCGTGCTGTATAGCAACAATGGGTGTTGCCATATTTCAATCTCTGGAGCTTCCTGGCACATTTGAGCAGCCGGCCGAGAAACCCCTCGACGTGCTTATCTATGGAGGAAGCACTTCTGTGGGCGGCCTAGGCATCCAGATGGCCAAACTGTATGTCTATGTTCTTCGCCAGCAACCGTGTAGGTGAGGTGATTGTTTTACTGACTTTTTTCATTAATTACAGTCTTGGCCATCGAGTAATTACCACTTGCTCTCCAAAAAATTTCGACTTGGTAAAATCGTATGGTGCGGATGAGGTATTAGACTACAAATCGCCCACCTGCGCTGCAGATATCAAGAAGCTTACGCGGAACTGCCTGAAATACGCCATCGACCCGTTTGGAGAAGTGAGAACAATGTCGCTCTGTTTTGATGCTCTGGGCCGTGCTGGTGGTCGCTACACGTCATTGGAGCGCTTCCAGGAAGATATTTGCAACAAAAAGAGTGTGAAACGTGAGTTAGTTATGGGTGCCAGCATTATTGGCTTTGGAATCGACATTGGTGGGCCATATGCAAAGCCAGAGAGCCCAGAAATGAGGGCTTGGGGAGTTCAGTGGTACCAAAGCGTCCAACGACTGATTGATGCAAAGAAGATTGTTCCGCATCCAGTTCGTGTTATTTCGGGGACTTTTGATGCAATTTTGGAGGGGTTGGAAATGCTGAAGCGCAGAGAGATTTCAGCCCAGAAACTTGTTGTCAAGTTCGTATAAATGGTTAGATAGCTATTTTCCCCAGTATGTTTGACCAGCAACCCATTTATCTGTCTAAATATTTGTTTCCTTCGTGATGGATAATTTAGGAGAGTGTTCGCATGAATTAGCAAGATTATGACAAATTTGATGGGACTGCAGCTGGATTTTGGATTCAGCACCGCCTCGATTGATATGACAATCTTCTTCACTCTTTGTCGTCGTACATTATGATGTGTCTTATCGTGTCTTTTGCTCTACTCCACATATCCTCAGTTGATAATCTCTGCGTAAAACAGTCTACAATGAAGTAATTCCATACAGCTGCTTGATGGTTTGGCACACGTTAGGATCGGCTTGTTACTTCTGTTCGGTGTGGATAATGGTAGGGATTGCCGACGAGGCTTAGCAATCCTCCGAAGGTTCGGATGAGGTAAGATTACGGAAAAAGCGTATACCGAACTCTACGGAGCCGGACAACGCCTTGAGATTCTTATCTACTTACTAGATAAACACCACCTACCTGTAATTCTTCTCACTGATGCTTCTCATGAGAAGTTAACAAATCTACAGTACCATCTCTTTGGCCGCAGCGGCAGGTTCAACACTTGCGTTCTATCTTCGACCTTCATTTTCCATCAGCACAATGCCAGCCGAGCCAATTGCCATAATTGGTAGTGGATGTCGCTTCCCAGGCGGCGCTACAACTCCATCTAAATTATGGGATCTTCTAAGATGTCCCCCAGATCTCAAGCAGGAAATCCCCAAAGAGCGATTCAGCGTCGACCGTTATTATCATCCCGATAATGCCCATCATGGAACAAGTAATGTTCGACACTCTTACTTCCTTCAAGACGATTTCAAGGCATTTGACGCGGGCTTCTTTGGTATTAAAGGTGTTGAGGCCTTGGCCATGGATCCCCAGCAGCGCCTGCTCTTGGAAACTGTGTATGAGAGTTTGGAATCAGCCGGTCTGCCAATGGAAAATCTGCAGGGCTCAGATACAGGCGTTTTCGTCGGTAACATGAGTGTTGACTACACTGAAATTCTGTCTCAGGATATTGATTCAACGCCCACATACTTTGCGTCTGGAACGGCGCGAAGCATTCTATCTAACAGAATTTCGTACTTTTTCGATTGGCATGGGCCGTCTGTTACAATTGACACGGCCTGTTCATCTAGTTTGATTGCCTTGCACCAGGCAGTTCAAAGCCTACGAGCCGGAGAGGTCCCTCTCGCCATTGCAGCGGGTGCCAACTTGCTACTAGGACCTAATCAATATGTGGCGGAGAGCAAGTTGAAGATGCTTTCGCCCAATGGTCTGTCCCAGATGTGGGACGAAAAGGCAGACGGATACGCACGTGGAGACGGTTTCGCCTCAGTGGTGCTGAAGAAACTCAGTGACGCAATCCGCGATGGAGACAAAATTGAGTGTATCGTCCGCGAGACAGGGACTAACCAAGATGGGCGGACAAAAGGTAAGATTCTACGATTCCGATACGAGTAAGATGAATGGCTCTGATTTGGTATCATAGGTATCACTATGCCAAGTCCAATCGCTCAAGCTGCACTCATCCAGGATACCTATAGACGCGCGGGTCTTGATCTAAGCCGACAATCTGACCGACCACAGTATTTCGAAGCCCATGGAACTGGTACACCAGCCGGTGACCCAGTTGAGTCGCGAGCAATCAACGCTGCTTTCTTTGGACCGAAGTCGGGATTTAAGCGTTCGCCTGAGGACCCTAAGCTGATTGTTGGTTCAATCAAGACTGTTATTGGACATACAGAGGGAACTGCTGGTCTTGCATCACTACTCAAGGTTTCACTCGCGTTGCAGAACGGCAAAGTTCCTCCTAACCTTCACTTCGAGAAGCTGAGCGCAACAGTAAAGCCGAATTTTACAAATTTAGATATACCTACGTCGCTACAGGACTGGCCTCGGATTCCTGAGGGCGGAGTGAAGCGCGCAAGCGTCAACAGCTTCGGTTTTGGTGGCGCGGTAAGTAACGAAAAGCCCATGACTTCAACTCCTGCAATATCAATACAGAACTAACGCCGGTCATAGAATGCGCATGCAATTCTTGAGGAATATATCCCACAGTCTGGTACTGATTCAAATATTTCCAAATGTACAACTTCATTCACACCGTTTCTATTTTCTGCGGCCACTTCGTCTGCCTTGTCAGCCAACATTTCAGCGTATGCCGACTTCCTCGATATCAACCCAAGCATCAGCCTCAGGGACGTCAGCTACACACTATTTCATCATCGCTCCAGTCTCCAGGAGAGGGCTATTTTCTCTGCGTCTTCTCCGGATGATCTCGTAGTTAAACTTCGTGCCTATATCACGGATGGCAAGAAGCCAAACACAGGCGTTTCCAAGACTTCAGCAGCTCAGCCACGGACTCTGGGTATCTTCACGGGCCAGGGTGCTCAGTGGCCTCGTATGGGTGCTGAACTTATTGAATCATCCGCTGCCATTAGCAGGATTGTAAGCGAGCTTGAGGAAAGCCTTGCAACACTGCCCGTTGAGGATCGCCCCTCTTGGTCGCTGCGGGAGAAGATGCTAGAGTCTCCTGAAACGTCCCAGATAAAGAAAGCCGAGCTTTCTCAGCCACTATGCACGGCGCTACAGATTATCTTGGTCGAAGCAATGCGCCATGCAGGCATCACTTTTGATGCTGTCGTGGGCCATTCATCTGGTGAGATTGGAGCAGCATATGCTGCGGGGGTAATCACGGCATCTGAAGCCATTCGCATTGCCTACTACAGAGGGTTCCATACACATAAATGCCAAGGCTCCAATGGCCAACCTGGGTCCATGATGGCTGTCGGAACATCTCTCGAAGATGCTCGTGAATTTTGCGAGTTGGACGATTTTGTGGGCCGTCTACGCGTGGCTGCCAGCAACTCCTCCTCTAGCGTCACTATCTCAGGTGACTCAGATGCCATTGAAGAGGCAGGCTTGATCTTTGAAGATGAGAACAAGTTCCATCGCGCCCTGCAAGTTGACAAAGCATACCACTCTCACCATATGGACCCTTGTTTGGCTCCTTACATCGAGTCCTTGAGATCCTGCAAGATATCCCCACAGCTTTCAAATGCCACTGGATGTGTATGGGTCTCCAGTGTCTATGGCGAAGATATTAGTAACGTTGAAGATGATCTTACAGCCGTCTACTGGGCTAATAACATGGGCCGAACTGTTCTTTTCTCCGAGGCTTGCGAGAGCGCGCTGCGTGAGGTTGGCCCCTTTGACCAAGTGGTTGAACTAGGCCCCCATCCTGCACTCAAAGGACCAGCGAGCCAAACAATCGAAGAAACAACTCGCGAAAAGATGCCGTACTTTGGCGCTTTGACCCGTAAGCGTAACGCAGTTGAAGCCCTGGCAGAATGTCTAGGAAGTCTTTGGGCTGCAAATAGCAACAAAGTGATTGACTTTGCGGCTTATGAAACATTCATGGCCGGTTCACATGGAACTCTGGTAGACCTTCCAATGTACCAATGGGACCACCATATGACTTACTACAATGACTCGCGTATTATAAGAGCCATGAGAACAGCATCAATCAAGTCAAATGAGATTCTCGGCACCAGAATTATCGATAACAGCATTACTGAAGTGCGGTGGCGGAATCGCCTTAGCAGCAACGAGGTAGCTTGGCTTAAGCACCACAGAATTCAGGATCAGTCTGTCTTTCCCGCTGCGGGTTACATTGCCGCTGGATTGGAAGGTGTCAGAGAGCTCTTCTACGACTCGCCTATTTCTATCATAAAGTTCAAGGATTTCGTCGTGGGACAAGCACTGATTATCCCGGAGAATGGGGGCGTTGAGACGGTCACATCTCTTACCAACATTGTGCGGATGGCCGATACAATCACTGCCCGATTCACGTTTTTTGCCGAGGAAAGCAGAAACGACTCAGTTATCATGAATGAGAAAGCTTCATGTAGCTTGATTGTTTCATTAGGAGAGCCGAATCCTGATGCCCTACCTCCACGACCTGAGCCGGACTTCCAGATGTTAGAGGTGCACGAAGATAGATTCTATGATGCTGTCGGAAGTCTAGGATTTGGATATACTGGACCATTCAAAGCCTTAACAAAGTTAAACCGCAAGATGGACGTTGCAACCGGCTATATTTTGCATCCGGACGCAACATTCGGATTTGACCGTCTTTTGATCCACCCTGCGGCTCTGGACGCTGCGATCCAATCCATCATTTTGGCATATTGCTTCCCAGGAGACACACGTTTGAGGACCACTCATTTGCCGACAACAATTGATAGCATCCAATTCAACGTCCCTCTTTGTGAATCCAAGATTGCAACCGAGAGCCTATTCCGTGCATCAGTACCTCCTGGCGGAGTGGAGTTGAGTGATATCAACGGTGACGTCGACATATTTACTGAGGACGGTATTACCCTCATTCAGCTTCAGGGTCTCCACACCAAGCCTCTTGTCCCTGCCACTGCTGAAACGGATCTTCAGCTTTTCTCCGAATTTACCTGGGGGCCGCTTCTCCCCCATGGTCAAAGTCTTGTCTTAGAGGGTGGAGAAGCTTTATCGGAACGTGCCCTATTTGAGGATCTAGAACGTGTGGCATACTATTATCTACAACACCTCAATAACGAAATTCCGCTTCGTGAACGCTCGAACTTGTTGCCTCATCAAGAACGACTATTCGGCTATGTTGATTATATCTTGGGTCGCGTCAACAACGGAGCGTTGATGCACATCAGGCCCGAGTGGAGAGACGATAAGCATGAGACTATTTTGAACATAATATCTAGCCGTGAGGATGACATTGATCTGAAGATCATGCACGCTGTTGGAGAAAACCTTCCGAAAGCGATTCGTGGTCAAATGAATATCCTGGAGCCGATGATGGAGGGCAATAAGCTCAATAAGTTTTATGTTGATGCGCTAGGTATGCCTCGCTATGTGGAAGCTCTTTCTCGCATTGCTGCACAGATAAGCAATCGTTATCCACATATGCATATGCTTGAAATCGGTGCTGGCACAGGAGGTGCTACGAAGATTCTTCTCAAGCATTTGGCCAGTGCCTTCGACTCCTATACTTACACCGATATCTCTAGCGGATTCTTCCCAACTGCCCAGGAAGTGTTCAGCAATTATTTGTCTAAAATGGCATTCAAGATATTAGATATTGAGAAAGATATTGAGAGTCAGGGTTACGAAGAGCAGAAGTTTGATCTTGTGATTGCAAATTTAGTAGCCCACGCTACGAAAGATTTGGAAACAACAATGAAGAACATTCGGCGACTCGTCAAGCCTGGAGGTTATCTACTTCTGCTGGAGATTACAGATAATGACCAGCTTCGCTTCGGTTTCATATTTGGTGGCCTTCCAGGTTGGTGGTTGGGGCACGAGGAGGAACGTCGCTTTAGCCCATGTGTCGATATCCCCTCTTGGGATACTCTACTGAGGAAAACAGGATTCTCAGGCATCGACGATGCAACGCCTCATGTTTCGACCTGTCCATTGTCAGTCCTGCTGACACAGGCAGTCGATGATCGGGTGTCTCTTCTGCGCGAGCCACTTAATGCAGCCCCTTCTGCTTTCGATTTGGCCGATTTGACAATCATTGTGTCGGAAAATGGAATATCTGCAGATGTTGGTCTTAGAGTCAAGGATATTGTATCTCCATACTTTAAAGAGACTCGTTTACTCACAAATATCAACGATCTCACTGAACAAACTCTTCCTGTGATGGGTAGCGTCCTTTCGCTCGTTGACTTCGATGAGCCCATATTCAAGGACATGACAGCCAAGCGCTTGCAAGCGTTCCAGCAAATCTTCAAACAGTCTAAGAATATTTTGTGGATGTCGGCAGGAGCCCAAGCTGACAGTCCTTATGCGTCCATGGTTCTCGGTATCGGACGAAATGTGGTTCTAGAGATGTCTCATCTTCGCTTCCAGTTTATTGATTTCGACGCTCCTTCTTCAGCTGAGCCAAACCTTGTCGCTGAATCTCTCCTTCGGTTTGAATTGGTGGATGTTTGGGAGCAAACTGCTAAGCCTGGCTCTATACTGTGGGTTACTGAACCTGAGATCAGCTATCGGAATGGAATTTTCAATATTCCACGTCTCAAGTTGAGCGACAGCCGAAATGCACGGTACAACGCCTCTCGCAGAATAGTTACCAAAAAAGTAGATCCCAAGTCTATACCGCTGAGCTTAAGCACGGATGGCAGTGGATCTTATACTCTTTCACCCGCGTCCTTGCGATCTGCGGCTGAAACTCGCCCAGAAACTGTGCTTATCAATGTCAAAAAGTCCATCCTAAGATCTGTCAGGTTGCCGTCTTCGGACTTCCTGTTTGTCGTCTTCGGTACCACGGATGATGGCCAGACTCTTGTTGCACTATCAGATGCGCAAAGTTCTGTCGTCATCGTGGACCGAGCATGGACAATGCCAGTGGTAACTACCAGCAACGACGTCATTGAGCAGACTATGTTGTCATTATATGAAGCTTTGCTGGCACAGAGTTTGCTACAAGGACTACAAAGTGGTAATTCGCTAGTTATTCTTGACGCTTCTCACTCACTGGCCAGGGCTTTGAAGAATGTTGGAAGCCGCCATGGCATCAGCGTAACGTCTTTATCATCCTCAAACGGCGGTGGCAACATTGGATCGGTAGGCGTTCACCCGAGGGAATCAATCCGATCATTACAGTCCAAGCTTCCAGTCCAAGTCCACAGATTTGCCAATTTCCATGGGGACCGAGATTTAGCAGAGTCTATTTGCGCCTCACTTCCAACCCACTGTGAACAACATGGCTGGCAAACTCTTACCCGCTCACATCCTTTCGTCACGGAACGAACGTTCTTGGGATTGGATGATGAGGTACGGTCCGTTCTCCGAGCTGCTTGGATACATGTGAAGACCGAACAACAGCGGGCAGTTGATACTAGCAAGGTTGTTTATGCAGACCCCATCTCTGTCTCGTCAGAAATCGCTCTCGTCGATCGGCTGTGCCTTATTGGGTGGGAGGCGCATACAAAGTTGCCGGCGCAGATACAGCCACTTGAGAAGACCCTGACATTCTCAGGCGACAAGACGTACTGGCTAGTTGGTCTTACCGGTGGCCTGGGGCAATCGCTCTGCCGTTGGATGGTTGACCATGGTGCACGCTACATTGTAATGACTAGTCGAAACCCAAAAGTTGATTACAGATGGTTGTCGAGCGTTCAATCTAATGGTGCTGTGGTCAAAGTGTTCCCGAATGATATCACCAGCCGAGAATCAGTGCACACTGCTTATAGGACCATTACGGCAACAATGCCACCAATCGGCGGTATTGCGCAGGGTGCCATGGTATTACATGATGCCATGTTCGCCGAGATGACCACAGACAAGATGCTAAAGGTGTTGAGGCCAAAGGTGGATGGTAGTATACATCTGGAAGAAATATTTGCGGATACTCCCTTGGACTTCTTTGTCTACTTCTCTTCTGTTGCAGCCGTGACGGGCAACAAGGGTCAAAGCATGTACGCTGCTGCCAATATGTTCATGACGACTCTCGCAGCACAGCGCCGAAAGCGTGGCGTCGCAGGATCCGCGATCAATATTGGAGCCATCATGGGTAACGGATATATTACTCGCGAACTTAACCAGCAGCAGCAAACATTTTTGCAAGAGGTGGGGAATATCTGGCTCAGTGAGCAAGATTTCCTTGCTATTTTCGCTGAAGGTGTGTTGGCTAGCCATCCCAACTCGACTGAAACACTCGCTACCACGACGGGCCTCCGCGTGCTCCGCTCCCATGACGAACTAGTTAGTTGGGCTAAAGACGCGAGGTTTCAGCATCTTGTACAGACCAGTGGAGCCAATATGGCCTCTAGTATGGGCAAGACAAGCGCTGTAGCTCTAAAGAAGCAGCTCGAAGAAGCAAAGACTGCAGAGGAGGTATCATCAATTCTTGATGGTAAGATATATACGGGGTTGCAAATAATGATGATAAACGATATACTAACATGAAGTACTAGATGCTTTTTCTAATAAGCTAAGAACAATCCTACAGATTCCTGCTGACCGCGAAATTATGAACACTGGACTCGACGATCTGGGCATGGATTCTTTGGTTGCTGTTGAAGTGAGATCATGGTTCTTGAAGGAACTCAGCGCCGACGTTACTGTCCTCCAGGTCCTCAGTGGTGGTACAACACGATCCCTTCTGCAGCCTGTCAAAGAGAAGGTGCTTGAGGCAATGCAATTGTCAGCAAGTGTCCAAGCGGCTACGGAACAACCCAAGACATCTTTACCTGTTCACAAAGAGGCTCTAAAGCCCGAGGTCATCATTGAGACGGTTGATAATGAGTCTGTCAGTCTTGGCAAAGAAGATACTAGGACTGCGTCATCATCAAGTTCGGTGTTGGATTCCTCGGACACGCCTTTGGGTACTGACCTGAACAGCTCAATAACGCCATTAGAACTCGACACTGACTCTGAAAATATTTCGCTCTTTGCTCCAGATACGGTGACACGGTCTCTGCCTCTTTCTTTTGGCCAATCTCGATTTTGGTTCCTGAAGCACTTCTTGCCTGACCAGAGTGCGTTCAATATCACCACGTTTGTCCGCATGCAAGGACGCCTAGATATTAACCGCCTAGCGGCTGCTGTTGAGACCGTTTCCAATCACCATGAGGCCTTACGAACGGCTTTTGTGAGCTCTCATGATCAGCCAGTGCAGGTTGTGCTCAAGCGGTCGCCTCTCAAACTAGAACGCAGACAAATTAATGATATAACTGAAGTTACACCTGCATACGAGTCGATCAAGCGACATGCATATGACCTCGAGGCCGGACAAACAATGAGACTTCAAGTTTTGACTCTCTCTCCAGAAGTCAACTTCCTCATCCTTGGTTACCACCATATCAACATGGATGGAATCAGCTTTGAGGTTCTATTCAACGATATTCAGAAAGCTTTTGAAGGCACCAAGTTCACTCCCGGTGTTCTCCAATATCCTGATTTTGCTCTTAGAGAGCAAGATGAATACAAGAGAGGATTTTGGAAATCCGAGTTGGATTTTTGGAGAAGCGAATTTAAGACTCTACCAGAGTCGCTACCTCTACTACCACTGTCACAAAAGACGTCGCGTCCGGCGGTAACACAGTATGGAACTAGGCGAATTGAACGTCGAATCCCCGAGGAACTTTCAGCTATTATCAAAACAGTCACTCGCAAATTCAAGGTCGGTCTTTTTGCATTCTACTTGGCCGTACTGAAAGTTACAGTTGCTCGATATGCCGATATCAATGATATCTGCATTGGCATGGCTGACGCCAATCGAAGAGAAAGGGACGTTTTGGAGAGCATTGGGTTGTATCTCAACTTGGTACCGCTCCGAGTAAACTGCGATCCATCAGAGCCATTCAGCCTCGCTCTGCAGGATATGCATCAGAAGTCGCAGTTAGCCTTTGCGAATGCAAGGGTCCCCTTCGATGTCCTGCTGAATGAGCTGGGAGTTCCTCGTTCTGCGTCACAGCCACCACTTTTCCAGGTGTTCATGAACTACCGACAAGGTGTCCGTGAAATTCGAGACTTCTGCGGCTGTGAATGCGAAGGAGAGCTATTGAGCGGCGGTGAGCTTGCCTACGACATCAGCTTCGACGTAGTTGAGAATCCGGGTGGTGAGACCAATGTTATGCTCTCTGTACAGAGTGCATTGTATGATGAGTCTAGTGCCGAAACTCTCCTAGATTCATACTTTGCCTTGATGGAAGCATTTGCCAAGAACCCGGCCTCACGCTCAAACAAACCAGCTCTATATCCCACGACATCAACAGACCAGGCGCTAGAGCTGGGCAATGGCCCCATATTCACACACGTTTGGCCACCTACTATCTCGCACAGAATTGATGACATGATCAAAGAAAACCCAACAAACATCGCCATCACAGATGGAACCGGGATTAATTTGACTTATGCCGAGATGGGCGCTCTGATTAACACAATTGCGGCACACCTAGAAAATATCAACGCATCCAAAATCGTTGGCGTCTTCCAGCAACCTACACCAGCACTGATTTGTTCCATCCTTGCTATCATGAAGTCGGGACGAACCTACGTCCCTCTCGACACCCGTTTGCAATCGTCTCGCCTTGCGGTAATTGCCTCAGGATCCGGCCTGTCAAGTGTCATTATCGATCCTGCATCTGAGAACGATGTCGGCTTTCTCTCGAGTGCTACGACCCTCATCAACATCGATAACCTGCCTGTCTCTAATACGAGTTATGTCGTGGCATCGCTGCCTGCTGCTCCTGCGGCGCTCCTTTACACTAGTGGATCTACTGGTACGCCTAAAGGCATATGCTTAAGCAATGCCGCGTTGCGCAACACAATCGAGATTACGACAAACAAATTTGGTATCCAACGCGATGGTGAGGTTGTTCTTCAGCAAACCGCATATAGCTTTGATATGGCACTGTTCCAAACCTTCCTTGCCTTGTGCAATGGTGCGACCCTATTGGTAGTGCCTTCTCACACTCGAGGAGACTTTAGTGCTATTGCACACTTAATGCTAAAGGCGCGAGTGACCATGACATCTGCCACACCGGCCGAGTATATTTCTTTGGTCCGATACGGCGCTTCAGATCTAAAACAGAGTGAAAGTTGGAGGGTCGCCTGTACAGGCGGCGAAAAGGTCACGGATTTGCTCACGGAAAGCTTTCGTTCGTTGAACAGCCAAAAATTGACTCTCATTGATGGCTACGGGCCCGCCGAGACAACCTTCCTTTGCAGCTCCAGTGTGATTCCCTACCAAGATCCCTTGTGTCACGCAACCGGCTTTTCACTGAAACCGTATCCAAACTACGCAATCTACATTGTCGGAAAGGACGGGAAGCCCGTTCCCATTGGCGTCAGCGGAGAAGTGTGCATTGGGGGAGCAGGTGTTGGCCTTGGGTATCTAAATAATGCCAAGTTAACATCAGAGAAATTTTTGGCCAACCGTTACGCGACTGATGCATTCATTTCACAGGGATGGACAACTATGCACTTCACCGGGGACCGCGGTCGATTGACCAATGATGGTTGCCTTGTTCTGGAAGGTCGTATTAGTGGCGATACGCAGGTTAAGATTCGTGGAATTCGAGTTGAGCTGGAGGAGGTCGAAAATGCAATTATGCAAGAATCTCACGGCAAAATTATCCAGGCTGCAGTTTCAATGAGAAAGGACGATGCCTCTGGTCACGACTACATGGTTGCTCATGTTGTGACGAGAGGTGGTAGCGTAGAAAATGAGCTGGTCTACTTGCAACAGCTCAAAGGCTTGCTTACCATTCCACAGTATATGAAGCCGTCGGCCATAATTTCAGTACTCTCACTTCCTCTCAACACATCCAACAAGCTTGATCGACAGGCTCTTCAGTCTTTGCCAGTCGCCTCATTGTCAATTGCAAGCAGCGAGTCTTTACCGCCAACTCAAGAAAGAGTCAAGAAGCTTTGGGAAAAGGTTATTCCTAGCCAGCTTCTGAGTCAAACTGAACTCAAAGGCAACACCGATTTCTTTCATGTTGGAGGCACGTCACTTCTTCTTGTAGAACTGCAATCGCAGTTCAAACAAATAGGGTTCTCTCCATCCATCCAGGAGTTGTTCGGGCAATCTACACTCGAGGGCATGGCCTCACTTGTCGAAGGCAAATCAAGCGCCCATGAGATCGACCAGCATTTAGACTGGGAGACTGAAGCCGCACTTCTTCCCTTGGATACATATCAACATTCAAAGTTAACGCCTCCTACCGGCCCTACAAGGGTGGTTGTCCTCACTGGAGCTACGGGATTCTTGGGTCGCCATATTTTGGAGAGACTCCTCAGGAGCAAAGACATTGAAAAGGTCTACTGCGTAGCAGTACGAAAGAGCGCATCGGAACTTCCAAGCATGTTCAAAGACCAGCGTGTCGAGGTATTCCAAGGTGACCTCGGTGTCGCTAATCTTGGCCTTTCTGTGGTACACGCACAACAAATCTTCAGTACTGCGGACGCCATTATTCACAACGGTGCCGATGTGTCATTCATGAAAACATACGCCTCTCTCCGGACAACCAATGTTAGTGCCACCAAGCAAATCGCACGATTTGCCCAAGGTCGACGCATACCTCTACACTTCATCTCGTCAGCTAGTGTTACACAGTTGACTCCCCTTGATGAGGTTGGAAGCGTTTCCATGGCCCCTTATCCTCCAATTGCTGGTGCAGACGGCTATATCAGCGCCAAATGGGTAAGCGAACGCCATCTTGAGCTGATTTCTGAGGCATATGGCCTGCCCATCACGATTCACCGCCCTGCCAGTATTTCTGGAAATGATAGCAGCGATCTAGATCTCATGGGCAACTTGTTCAAATTTGTTGAACGACTAGAAGCAGTTCCTGAGAGTAAAGATTGGAAGGGTTATTTCGATCTGATCTCGGTACACAGCGTGGCAGCCGCTATTGTGAAAGCCGTGACACAAATTCAACAATCAGTGGAGACAGGCATCACATATCAATATGAGTCTGGAGAGCTCGTTTATCCACTGTCAACCATGACAGATGTTACTAAGATGACGGAAGAGTTCCCTATCAAGGTAATGGCGCTGGAAGAATGGATTGAGAAAGCGGAGGCGGTGGGCCTGAATCCACTGTTGGCCTCATATTTGAAGCAAGCTGCTGCCAAGAACAGTCGCTGGGCTTTTCCCAAGCTTGTTAAAGAATAGGGCGGGTGGATTCAAATTCTTTTCCCCTCCTTTATTTTTCTTTTCCAGATTTTCGTTTGTAAATAGGCATTAGTTTTACACATGTATGTTAGTCAATCTACTAAACATTAGTTCTATATCAACTGAGGGAAGCCTACACGGTCAGCCTATTGTCGTTACTATGGAAGGCAGGTCACAATACGATTTTGATAAACTAGGCCATTCGTAATATGAGCTTTTAGCTATAGCTACGAATGGATGTTAACTTAAGCATCTAATACGGTTACCTACTCAGCAATTAAAGAGTGAGTCATGAATTACAAGATCCGTCAGCCAGAGTGGTGGTGTCGAACGGGCATGGTGGCCTATTGAGTATCAGAAGCCCTATGGAATCCAGAAGTACATATAGTCTTCTAGCCAGTGCGGTATATACTGGCGGGGAGTACCTATCCATATACAAATTACGTGTACATAGGTACATGTACTGATGGAGGGCTACTAATAGAACAGTGGGGGGTATATAGAGGGGTAAATCAACTTCTATTTTGTGCCTCCTAAAGCAAACAAGGAGAAGCGTAAGAATGTTGCATTCTTTATCGGCTACCATTAACGGGCCAAGCGGCCCTTTGAATGTTGTCTTTGGGGAAGGGACTCCCGAGCAGCGCCTCTCATGCTGCGAAGTTATCGTTGCCGCTTTTGCGCCGTCTTTTCCGGCCTCCGCCTGCGTGGAACATGAGGAGTATCTATCGCGGCACCCGTTGTCTCTCAACAAAGGCACCCGCTTTTGGTGTATATCCATAGCAGACAACCCAGGAACTATTCTCGCATTGTGCAAGACGATACGTCGGCGGTTCCTCGTGCGGGATAGCGAGTCAATTCATGAAGAGGATGGTTATTGCATCGGCACCGTCGCTACCCATCCTCATTACAGACGGCTAGGACTTGCGACCTTGCTCATCAAACACGTTGCAGAATGGCTGGATGGGCCAGCTGACGCGGCGGCGAGCATGCTGTATACCAGCGTCGGTGACGTAAATAATAGGCCCCAAGCTAACAGGGTATATCCCATCAAGCTGCTTGTTTACTAACACTCTCGCAGTTTTATGTTGGTCATGGTTGGCAGATGATATCCTCAATCATATCGAATATAACAAACCTCTCCGGTGATTTTCATTCAGGAAATCGCGCAGATCTGCCCAGCACCCGTCTCCTAACAAATGAGGAGATTCCAGCACTGTGCATGCGCGACGTGGCAGACTTGAATGAAAGTTTCAAGAAGCTGTCAGTCAGACCTGATGAGGTGCACCTCGCCGTTCTCCCGTCGCCCGAAATGGTCACCTGGTTGCACGAATGGGGCGATTTCCTCAACAACAAGCGGGGTGGCGAGGCGCCTTATGCGCACGGCGCGATCTGCGAAGCTGCCGACACTTGGATATACTGGCATCACGGCTTCCAGCACCTGGCAATATCAAGGGTGAGAACCCCTCCGGGCGTCGGCCTAGGTTCCCCCGAAGTACTGGCTAGTTTGCTACTGGATGCTTTAGAGGAAGCCCATAGATGGAAGTTCCCGAAGGTTGTCGTCTGGGAACCAAGCCCTGAATTGATTAGTGCAATGAACCTCATTTCGAAGAAGGTTAGTGTCGAGGTGGAAACCAAGCCGAGGCCGAATAGCATTACGTCGCTAAGATGGAAGGGCTCAGACGAGACAAAGAAGACCACTATTCATTTAAATGAGGTATACGCATCGTGTTGAGAGACTTGATAGACTAGAAATCAATTACAAGCCCCAAGTAGACATTAAAACTTCCAGGGTTGCCTAGGCTGTGTGATTCTTGCAACGCCGTACTCCCGTGGGCTCTCCTCGCACAGAGTTCCAGCTTGCCTAGTAGAACCAGACTGCTGGGAATAACTCAGTACTACAAGACTTAATACTCCTGCCTACAGGAGCCGCCTTCACTGCTATAGATACGTACCATCGCTACTGCGTTGGCACCCATGGATTTAAGCAGTTGGCTGGTGCCAGCACTCCATCTTCACTTAGATCAAGTCTGGTCCTGATGTTTTTGGCCGCCTAACATAACTGTGGACCTATAGGATACGCGAGCCAAAGGGAGCTAATCGCCTGAAAAGAGAGCTGTACCGTACGACCTATGGGGGATTAGTGGATACTTGACACAATCATAATGGCGTGCAACAACGCTTTTTCTCTGACCGGCGTTTACGGCCAAAACAATTACTGATCGAGATACGAGATTAATTTGTTGATTTCTTTGATGACTTCCGGATATTATGTGCCAAAACGGCGCTGATTGGATAAGAGGGCGATTTTCTATGATTTTTTTTAAGTTAATGGTTTGCTTGAAGTCATCCGCGAAAACGCGTCGCGGGGTTACTAAAAAAGCGTTTGTACCCAGACTTTTGACACCCCATTGTATCTTTGGTGGTAGTCGTTGAATGCATTTACCTATATGTAGTGTGGCTGCTGTTAAGAATGTTGGCCTGTAGGTTTAAAAGGTGGATGTCGCCCAATGTCCTTCATTCTTTTCATTCCATTCGGGCTTCCTTGTTTTGCTGCGCTCGATGCTGCGAAAAGTCTCTCTATAGCCTGTTCAAAGCAAGTACATGCCATGCCTCCTCCTCCTCGGCCAGTAGCTGCCGTCTTTGGCGGAACACGAATCGGCAACAGAGAGCTGTTTATGCCCCATACCCATCTCGAGACATTCTTAACGACGCTAACTCGACACCACATTACCAAAATTGACACAGCACAGGCGTACGGAAATTCTGAAGTTACACTTGGCAGAATCCAGGCAGGCAGCAGATTTGTCTTTGACACAAAATGGAGCCCTTTTTCATGGACTGAATCCAGTGCACCGTGGGCCACCAATGAGCGCATTATATGCTCCGCTGAGGAAAGCATCTACAAGTTAGCAGTTGACCAAGTAAGTTGAAACCTTGCCAGCTCTCCATACAAAGTCATTTTTCTTTTTCACAATATCAACTACCCTTATTACTGTATTTTCCCTATATTCTGCTGCTGCTGCTAACCAATATTTGTCAAAAAGGTTGACATATTCTACCTTCATAGGCCAGACCCAATGACGCCTATTTCCGAAACCCTTGCTGCAGTAAATACTATTCATAAGCGGGGCCTTTTCCGCCGATTTGGCCTTTCAGGCTTCCCTGCCACTGAGATTGAAGCCATATACAATCACTGCGCCGACCACAGCTATCCTCTTCCCGTCGTTTACCAGGGTAGCTACAATCCGTTGAATAGGCATAAAGAAACTGCCCTACTTTTGACTTTGCGCAGACTGGACATCTCCTTCTATGCGTACGGTACTTCAGCTGGAGGATTTCTCGGCAAGAGCGTGGCGCAAGCAAAGGAAATGGCCAACAATGACGCTTTTGTCTCAGCAACCTGTCGGCCGTATTTGCGCAATGCCAACTTTTTGGAGATACTAGCTCAATGGAACACTGTTGCAGAAATCGAAGGAGTGAGTCCAGCCGAGCTGACGTATCGTTGGGTGGCGTACCATTCAGCATTACGCCCAGACCACGGCGATGCCTTCATCATTGGTGCTAGTAGCCCCGAACAACTTGACGAAACACTCAGTGGCATTGAAAAAGGCCCGCTCAGCGACAATGCATGTGCTTCTATTCATGAAATATGGGAAAAGGTAAAAGGAGGATAAGTTGCCATAAATCATATAACTAACGCATAAAGGCTGTTACAATTAAGACTTTAAAAGAAAGCTAGCATATTCAGTCTTTATGTTGAACATCCTCTTCATGTTGAACACAGAATGTTATGAAGAGCTCTCCTTAAGTCTATCGATATGAGTTCCATACAATAATCCAAATTATTTACACAAATCTCAAGGTAAGGCTTCTATTGTCTACTTACTCGAAAGGTATTTCTCGCTTACTTTCGACAGTGACAATATATATATTATGCTTCTCCTGTAGGCCTTTTCCACTCGCGATCCCAGAACCAAACATTTAGTCCAATTTTCTTTCCCGAAAGTATTGGTAAAGCAACATGAATAACTTTGCCTTGAAACGAGCCGTTCGGATACTATAGCTCTGAACCTTATCCCTAACCACCAGCTACAGATATAAAGAGAATAAGTCGGTGTCGTGAGAGGTAGGGTTCGTGTATATTTAGACCAATAGTTAATTATTACTAGTTGAATAATCTGCTAAATTACATCTGCCAATCTGTTTATATTCTTTTATATTAATTAACAGTGCGATAACATATTATATCGTTTTTATTTAGTCCTTCGTAAGAGGTTCATCTTTTATAAATAGACTGTTCCGTCACACTGACTATTCCCATTGCGATTATTGGCCTGATGTTTTACCTTATTTGGTCTTGCGATGTGGAAGATTGTAACACGAATGCCGGGTGTCAATACCAATACAGTCGGTTGTGAAATTTTAATGCTGTGAAGCTATTCAAAAGTCTTTGCAAATCTAACTGTCACAATATAGAAACGAGTTAACACTAGCCCCTATGCTCTGAACTTAGATAAGCTTTAAGCTAGAAAGTTTTCTATAAAAGAAAATGTATTGCGCCATTGTGGAATCGTATTTTCCCAGGTTATTTGAAATCTAATGTAGGAGTAATTGCCGCAGCGCTACTGTCCTCGGATGTTTTAGCTATTCCTAGTTTTGCAGCCGTGATAGCATGATTATACTTCCCCTCATTAAAGTTGTAGTCAAAGTGGAAAGCCGTGTTCACTTAACTTCCCGATTAATCTACCTACTCAGAAGAGATTACCGATGCCAGATTGCTATACTTAGTTCCTTAATATAGAAGGTCGCATGAATTTTGACAGCCGTAATTAGTGGGTCAAGCGCGGGGACCTAGCTATAATAGGATAACACAGCGTTCCGTGTGTATCAACAAAGATAGAGAAACACGACCAAGTTTGACCGATCGAATCGGTGGTCACACATGATAATGATGTTGGATAAGGCGTGTTGCGCATGAATCAGGGATACTACAATCAAAAGATCCCTCGGCTTAGTATTAATTGCCTAACTTGCAGGCGGGGTTGTTCTTATTGATAATGCAGGCTTTACAAGATCATAACAGTGATTTCTCTTTACTGCCTACCTTCGTTACAGTATAGTCTTAAAATTAGGCTTAAAGGCAATCTAGAGATAAGCCTATTAGTTAAGACTATATGGTATTTTTGATATTAGCTATAACTCTATATATAAGAAAGAACTTTTAGTAGATTTCCCTGGGGGGTTTATCACTTTAAAATAAAGGTAATTTTACTACCTTCTGTTTCCAGTTTAGACATCAACTAAGATAGCGTTGGATTTCGGAATTTATATTAGGAAGGAGATCTTAGGAACTTTTTATCCTTCCTGTATGGTAATTACCGGAAATACAAACTGCTAGTACAAATTGGTGATGGAAAATAACAAACAAATGCATCTGTCTGATAAAGCACGTTGAGATTTATGTATAAATTGAACCTCTTTGCCCTTTCGTTAGAGAAAGAAAACCATCCACTTCCTTAATCTCATTTAACATATTGCAAACATCTTTACCCTGAAAAAGAGCAGATACTGTGACAATGGCACCCGTTCTCGCAATCGCCTCTGTGCTTGCAGCACTACCCGCTCTCACCATGGGAGCAGCTATCGCTCCTCGCGGTAGCGACATTGTGGGAGGAACAACCGCTGCCCTCGGCGAGTTCCCCTATATTGTCAGTCTGTCTCAGGGTGGTTCGCACTTCTGCGGTGGTGTTTTGATCGACTCCCGCACTGTTGTGACAGCAGGTCACTGCACTGAAGGCCAAAGGGCCTCTTCTGTTAAAGTCCGCGCCGGAACTATTGTAAGTCCATTCCATCAGACACATTATTAATACCAAAGACTCCAGTGGACATCTTTTCTATGTCTCTATGTATATAAAACTGGCAAAAGCCTACAAGTTTTCTGAATGGTTGCTAACTGATCTTAAAAGACCTGGGCTTCTGGTGGCACCCAGGTTGGTGTCTCATCGCTGACCCTGCACCCTAGCTACACCGTGGATAGCCAAGGTGTGCCTGATAACGATATTGGTGTTTGGCACTTGTCAACCCCAATTGCTACGAGCTCTACGATTGGCTATGCTACTCTGCCTGCCCAAGGCTCTGATCCCAGCGCCGGCACAACTCTTACCGTCGCAGGCTGGTATGTATACTGATAATCGGTTCTCAATAAGAAAGGAATGGTGCTAATCATAAAATAGGGGAACTACAAGCGAAAACTCCAACTCTCTCCCATCTACCCTGAGAAAGGTATCAGTCCCTGTTGTTGCCCGCAGCACTTGCAACAGCGAGTACAGCGGAGAAATCAGCAACAACATGTTCTGTGCTGCAGTTGCGGCAGGAGGCAAGGACTCATGCTCTGGAGATAGCGGTGGCCCCATCGTTGACCCTAGCGGAACTCTGGTCGGTGTCGTTTCCTGGGGCCAGGGATGTGCTGAAAAGGGATTCCCTGGAGTTTACACCAGACTGGGCAATTACGTCAGCTTCATCAACAGCAACCGTGGTTAAGTTACTGTTTGACGCTAAGTGAAGTTAAGACATATGAAAATGTTATTCAAGACTCCATCTAGTTTTAGTCATAGATCTAAGTGGCAAGTCTTAAGATTATTTTACCAATACTAAAGACAAGTGACTATTCAGAGCTTTTTTTGTAAGTAATAGGGCAGAGGATTATTGACCGCAAGGTATAGTGTGCGAGCTTTTCGCGGTGAGGCAAAGTATCACGACGTAGCTAGTGTCAAACCAATAAGCACTCTTGAAGGGTGGTCACATTATATCTACAGCACATTTATGTCCAACGAATGGACCATCGCCAAGTTCCCATCTTGATAGAGGAGATATGATTAATGGCTGCTACCCATCTCTTTGCTCATGCTCCAGTATTTAATTCTCCTTAAAGAAGCTCACTTTCCAAGAACCTTGTCTTGTTAAATTAAGACGAAGGTGTATCATTGTTGATCTATTTAACGGGCCTCAAGAGCCCTAGCAATCTATCTGCAAGCATCACCAAATTAGGTTATATTCCAATAAAACACAGGAATCTGCGCATAGAATTACTCATCTTGAAGAAATACGGATTTTCTTACGGTTGCCAAAAATGAAGTCGGTTTCAATGATTTCCAAAGCTCCTATTAGAAGAAATTGTCTACTATGTCGCATTTGGATCTGAATGCGCTGCCAGTCAGATGAGAGCAAGGCAGCCTTTCAAACTGCGTTGTCAGGGAGGGCTCTTGGTTGACTTCACCTAATCTAGGTCTGTAGACTTTTGAGTGTCTGTAGTGCTGATGCTATATTGCAAAAGGATTCTTAGTATGGCCGGCAGAGCTAATTCGCTCACAAAAGCTCTCGTTGTTCATGCCACAAGTCAAAACGGCTGGCCGCATCGCCTTAGTGGCAATATTATTACTTCCATGGAAAAAATACTTGTATAATCGCCAAGGCTAAGTCAACCGCAATGAACATAAGGATTCTAGCTTTCTTCATCACCATTTCACTCAGCAACAACGAAGGGAATTTGATGATGCAAGAGTATAAATTCCATCACATATTTATATCCATGGCATGAGCTATAACCTGATCATAAGACGTAAAGACTCCTGAAGATATTAAAAAAAATCAAGAAGTAACTTGATAATCTTCTGATATTTTTGAAGCGAAGCCGGGTTGGGACTGTCGCTGCCGCTGATCCGCCCATGAATACCATGACTCATGCATGTGAAATATTTATAGAGACGGGTTCTGGATCATTGCTTCCACCAAGTCCGTCGATATGACTATATACGACCTGATCATGAACACTTCTCATGCCATTGCCGAGTTACGAATAGGTTATACCAGGTATCATTAACCTATAAGAAGAGCTGACAAACCCCGACGGCACACTAACCAATTTCATGTCTTGCTTCGCCATACTAGTGCGATCATAAACCAAGTCTCATTTTGCAATTTCCTATATTAGTTGAGAACTTCATATCTAGACCGAATCCCCTTTGCTATCTAGAATATTATAGAAAAATAATTCCTGCAAGCTCCCAAGTCCAGGTTCTAGAGTATCCAAGTTGATCGTTGGTTCCGTATACCAAGGTTGATAACTCATTTCCAAATCAACTTGCCCTGGGTAAATAAAGGTCTTGAAAGGATTATCTTGCACCTCACCAATGGGCGCTATATTGAGTGGCTCCATAACATTATTCTCTGCTGTATACATATTAACAGAGAATTCTGTTGCTAGATTGAAGTCAAAGGAGCTAGACGACAATTTTGATGAAAATGGCATAGAATCGCAGCCTTCCGGATCCAAAACTATGCTTTCATGGTTTTTTGATTCACATCGTTGTCGCGTAAGCTCTTTTTCTCGGTGCTGACGTGCAGCGGTGACCATGCCAATGATAGAATCTCTCAGAGGATTCTGTGTCATCATTGCCGGAGGGATCTCATTTAGTGTCTGAGCTGCAAGTTTCCAGGCCCGTTCGCATACCGAGTCCCATGTCTGTGTCTGGAGATGAATAAGAACGATACCGATAGCGTACCATTGTTGGAAATTTACCAGGACCCAGCCCCATTGATGTGTTGAAGGCTGGTCTCGCCATTTTCGCATGTTCTCAATAAGAGTCAATGCAGAGAGAAATGATCGGTCTCTCAATTTTCTCTCCGCGGAGGATGCCCATTTTCCAAAGATATTCGTGTCCCTCACAATGATGCCAAGCTGGTCCAGAAGCATACCGAAGAAGAATTCTGTAAAGGGTTCTATAGCACGCCTTGAGTCCGAGTTTCCAAAAAACGTGGTAGTAGCCCACTTTCGTACTTCCTCTATCTTAAGCAGTGTGTCGTATTGTGCTTCTTGCTGCTTCTCCCCGGAGCTCAACAGGGCGGACATTGAGGAAAGTACAAGATTACACAGACGCCGCAGCTCACACGCCATGAGGGTGAAGCTCATATCCGTAAACCCCTCACGCGCAGTTGGCTCTTTCATCATGTTAACTTCGAGATCAGTGTCGTTACAATTTGTGGGTTCCCTCGTATCCAACATGCTGTTGGATATCATAGTTTCGGGTGCATAGCATTGACTGACACGGGCGTCGAAACAGCAAATATGCCACCACAATCTTCGTCTCATCTCTGCCTCAAAATGCGAGACATTTGGGAACGCAGCTCCATCTCGATGTAGCCCTACAGATACCGCGGCCCGCACTAAAATCCCAGACATCATCCACACAGTCCGCATCCCATAACGGTGACCTGCACTCTCGAGGTAGATTAAAGATGCTTGCGCAACGCATAGATCGGTCGTCTTAAGGATACCCGCCTGTGATAATGCTTTTTCTGTTCCCACCACGAGACGAGATAGAACCTTTTCCTTGGTATCGCCGAATGCCTCTTGTACCTAAAGGTTCTTTAGCAATATGATTCTTCCAAAACGAAGATAACTTACATCGGTGTCACTCAACGACGTTACAGCGGCGAGAGATATGGAACAGATTAAAGCGCGCATCCCTGCGGACAGCTTATCAAAGCCGCCTTCTGAGAGCCGAATGGCTTCAGTCATAGTTGGCACATGCAGCACTTTGATGAAAGGATCCACATTCTCAACGTATACCTGCCAGATAAAAGACAGGAGATCTGGCGCAGGGTGAAATAAAAATTCATGTGGGTAGATTTGGCCAAAAGTGAAGGGTATTTGGCCGGCCTCCACCTCAGGTATCGAGGAGCTGTCATCAAAGGCACCTGAATGGAAGATATCACTAGCTTCAAACGCTTTGCGGACATCTCTTAACTATTAATCATGCAATTAGAAAAACAGGCGTGCATATGTGCGATTGCGCCAAAGATAGGGAGCTTACCTCGCCATGAAGAGCAGCCCAAAAACCGTTGCTGGTATATAGGGTACCGCTTTCGCAAACGTGGAGGCTACCAAATGATCTGCTCAATTTGTTCGAAAGATCATGATGTGAATTGATTGCAAGTGTGTTGTCGGCGTCTTCTTCTTCAACTGCCGAGCCTAGTCCGTTGTTATTGGGGCCTGCATTGCCTGAATTGGTATGGCGAAGTGTGCAATCTTTGTCTTGTGCCTGAGCCTTCATGCCATCTACCACACTCTCTAGCTGCCTTAAGCGACTGAGAAGCTCATGTACCTGGACCTCCGACCGCTTCCGCGGCAGAGGCGTTCGATTTGAAGGGACAGATGCCGTTGTAGAATTGTGCTGGCGAGTTGGCATGCGCCCGGTGAAGGGATACAAGCATTCCACGCCTGCTTTGGAGCAGAACCCACATGGATTCTGTCTATTACAACGAGATTTGCGCCTACGGCAATTGAAGCAGCTCCAAGAGCTCACTACAGGGCCTTCGCCCTTCTTGGTGTTCTGTGGATTACTCTTCGAACCTTGTGTCGCCATTTTCTCGGCTTCGGACAGAAACAACAACGGCACCGGGAGATATCTGTTGGTCCGGATGCAGGTCCGAATACAGATGCAACAAACAACAAACAATTGCTGGAGATTTTTGTGAACTTGACATGCCAATGCAGTGACGATGTAGCTGCGTGGCGGAAGACTAACATGGTGTGATGACGAGGTGTGACAAATGGGAGTGGAGAAGAATCGTGTTGTTGATTGGTCCGAGGTCCGAAGCGTATGGTCCGAAAGCTCTGGTCCGAGAGTTTTGACAGCGCCAAATTTCACGGCCTAGACAAAAAAGGTAACACCAGTGCGAGGATCTCATTGCAACTCGCTTACTAAATTCAAGACGTTTATTCGTAATCTGCAGACCTCTGTGCTGATACGCATTGTTTACTTGGGCCGATGTTTTGTTTCGTATCAGAGGCTCAGGTAACGACAGTAGGTGAAGGCTACATAAAATGATGGTGTTGGCAGGCTTCATCAAATTTAGGCGACTCAAGTTTGAGGGCTATTGAACTGGCTCATATTACTAAGTGGAAAAAGAATACATGTCAATAAATACCATGCCTGATCTACAGCCCCTTGTCCTATACGCCTTTGCGCCTTTTGCGGCCTCTGCAAATCCATGGAAGGTCGCATTCATCCTGGAAGAACTCGGCCTTCCGTATCAATTCGAGAAGATTCAGGCAGCAGATACAAAACAACATGCCTTCCTCTCAATGAACCCCAACGGCAAAGTACCCGTGCTGAGGGACCCAAATAATAACAATTTGACAACATGGGAGGCAAGTTAAATCCATTGTTGTCTCAGTAAGTTGAGGTGTTCTAAATTACAGGTAGCTAATTTTACCTTGGTTGGTGTAGTCCGGTGCAATCATCGACTATCTTATCGATGTTTACGATGACCACAATATTCTGCACTACAACTCTAGCCCAGAAAAGCATTTGACTCGCTGCTGGGAGCATTTTCAGATGAGCGGCCAAGGACCATACTTTGGGCAGATGGTTTGGTATACCACCTTCCACCATGAAATTTTGCCGTCTGTTATAGAGCGCTATGGCAGTGAGATCAAACGTTTTCTGGGGGTCATTGACGCGCATCTCGACAGCCAAGAGACTGACTATTTGGTCGGTGACCGAGTGACCTACGCAGACATCATGTTCTTACCTTACTGCAAAGGTCTGGCCACTGTTATTTACCCAGACCTAGACACGTCTCAATGGAAGAACTATACTGCTTGGGTTGATCGCATTTCATCAAGGCCAGCCATTGCGCGTGCCCTACAAATAATGGACGGCGCAGTACTACAGCATAAGGAGTATCTTGCATTAGTCGCTGAAGGGAAATAGCATCATGTTACAGCTGCAGAAATGGGATACATATCTTATTGAATAAACAATTTAGCCATCATGGCTACAGAGTTCTTCGTCCAAAGAGTTTGCACCAGTAGTTAAATGTTTCTCCCGGTATTTTGAAGACGTCATCCTGCATAAACCCAAAACTTAGGTGCATTTTCCAAGCATCGCCTGACTCAATAGTTGCTTCAGCAATAGGCAGTTTCTGAGCTAGTAGTAGTGATCCCTGACGATTAGAGTATGACTCTTCCCTCTGGTGCAATGATACAATGATACTCGCAAATCGCTGGGATTCTTCCTCCATATCGTAAATACCTGGTGTCCCTTGTAAATAAATGCATGTATTCAGGCGGTTACTGTATATCATGCAGATATAATATATAATCAGCGCATCGTAATACATATTTCCAAAAGCTGGGTTATTGATTGGTGTCCCACTAGGCTGGATATAGGTGTTGTACCAGTTTTGGAGCGACGCTCGAAGTTTTCGGGCTCGAGAAATAAGCTTTTTAAGTACTATGATTGGCTGGTCGGGATTATGGCAAATCACATTGGTAAAACCTTTGAAGAGAGTCGGTATGGTGACAAAAATCGACACTATATAGATGACCATAGTACTTCTTTCCGGTACAAGAGGATCGTCAGTGATGATTGATCGAAGAACCGCCCTCCAAGTAGGCTGCTCAAGGAAGCAAGCTTCATTGTTGAGTATTGCTTCCGTTGCCTGCCAAAGACGTCAGTACGGGGTTTGTCAGATAGATTATGACATGGCAAAAGTACAAGACCCACCATTGGTCCGACATGGCCCATGAAAAGACTTTTCTCGAACTCAGAGCTATAGCTATGTGGGCCCCTCAGCTTCATTATGTGTGTGGCTCCCGCGGTGTGATTTATCCAGGCATTCTCCCGACTAGGGTTAAGTAACTAGACAGATCAAAGGAATATAATTAAAACACATCTTCCAAGATCTGATGGATTTGCACTTACTTCATATAAGCCTAAGATTTGTGTGGCGCAAAGTACCTCAGTTGCCGTATACTGAGAACTAGAATGAATTGCGTCTCGTAAATTTAACAGCGCTATGGAGTATTTTGAAATAGCAAATAACTCCCATTCTCTGTCGCCAGGGGTTAACAAGCATCTGACTCGAGCCAGGGCACAGTCTGTTGCACTGCGTATTAAGACGCTTTGATCGTAATGAAAAGGTATATATCGTAAGTATGACCAATTCTTTCCCTCAAAGAAATGCGATATGTTTTGAGGATTTTCAAGAAGCCTTTGCCCAGTATACCGACCAATCCCAACCGAAGCTAGTAAAGATAGATCCAGGAACCGTAGATTTGTTTTGGTAAGGATTGCCGGAGATGCGGGAGCAACGTTTCGCAGATATTTTGCATCCGTCCGCAAGCAGACATCATTAGGCCCGGCTTCGTCGGGGATCATTGGCATAAAAAATGTTTGAGCTTGCTTCTGGCCTGCCACACTATCTCGAAGATCATTGCGGGCTATAAAAACGGGAATTTGTCTGCTGTTGGGATGCCGATGCTTCGGTTCTTGTTTCCGCTTCTGAGCCACTTTTTGCATAACTTCACGTCGTATTTTAGCGCGGTCAAAGGGTATAGTAGAGGTCGTTGGGTTGATCCACAAGAGATTGTTGGAGGTCATTGAGGCTGAACTGGTCTCGCCTGTAGCTGAATACGCCTTGTGAATACGTAAAGTTATACCTATGCAATGCTTCTGTTCTTATCAATGAGCGGTTTTAGGTATCTTGCGAACTGTTATAGGCAAGAGCTGCCAAGTATAGAGAGCCACAGTCTCTGAAGGAAAATGCTGTTGGAAACTCCAGGAATCCCGCATGATGATCTAAGCTGCATGGTCGACGGAGTACATTACATAACAATAAGCACTAATGAAGTGGGGAAATCATGTCAGAATCCGCAGACTATGGAAAAGGAAGGCGGGGTTGAAATGGTTAGCCTTTTCAAGTTGAAGTAGGTACTCACGGATACCCTACGACTAATAATAATACTATTCAACTAAGTTCTTGTACTTACTATCTCTTGCTCATTTAGGAAGAAGAGGACAAAATATTATTTATATAGTCATGGGTGAAGAGGTCGCCTAAGACAACAATAAATTATCAGATTGTTGGAATTGTAAATCATGTAAGCTGGAGATTTTATTCCTATTGGATATTTGATGCTTATATGATTTGACCAGTAACATAATGCCCAGAATTAATTGTTATCGGCTCTCTATCCGCAAATACCATTCACAATAGATTGAATTGGATTACCTATATCACAATTTGAATGTGAAAGAGAGAAATATTTAACTAGTTGACTAGGAAAAGACATTTCTGTATACCCAATGCACTCATATAAGTAGGCTGTATAGGTATGTCATCATGTACCTACTGACTCATAACTATTCCCACACCAAATCACGCATGGTTATTGTAATCCACAGGGGTCAGCAGGCCAGTCTTAATGTCATACACAAAGCCAAAACACTGATCAGCAATCCTCTTAGGCACATAAGGAGATGTCTTCAGTATATGAAGGTCATCTCGGACGCTTTGCTCGACACTGTCTTATGAATTAGCATAGTCATTTTTTATTCACAGTTTGTGTTTCTAGAGTGTATGGCTCACTTGTCAAATGCTCCAAATACCATATTATCAATCTCTGAATGATCTGGCAGGCGGCATTTATGGGCTTCACGAATATCTGCATCCTTAAATTGACTTCCACCACAATCTATAAATAGGGTATCAGTTTAGCACACATTTCTCGCCTTAATGTTGATAGAAATGGAATACCTGTGTGATGAATCACTATGACACTCTTGAGACCAAGAAAAACATCAAAGAGCATCACTTCTTGCAAAGCAGGAGCAACACGGCCTGCAGGATTGCGCGATATAAGAATCTGATCTGAGACACATGTTAGACTTATACCATAGTAGAATAATTATCATTTCGCGTACCTTCGGGCTTAGTCTGCAGGAATTGATCTGGGTTGAGGCGGAAATCGACGCAAGTAACTTTCTAGGTCAGGCTTTGGGCTCTACGTTTTCTTTACAAACATTTCCCCTATATACTTACTAACGAGAGTAGTCTCGAAGACGCGACCGAGAGCCACCTGTTCGGCGATTGTAGGCGGGGGGTTGTGAGTCTCTGCGTATTTCCTTTGTAGCAAAGGTCAGAAATAACAATGGCACAGATCTTGATGTATGGTGTCAACTTGCTTGTTACGCTCAAGAAGAGTCTCGTAAGGAACTGGGGCCATTGTGATGGGATGGGTTGAGCTGATTTATGGTTGGTATACTTGATCGATATTGGCAGATGTAGGTAGAGATTTTTTGAGTGGCTATTGATCATCATTTATATATTCGAGAGTAATGTGTCGCTCAGTCATATACAGTATTAGAAAGCTACCATGTGTAATCATTCGCAATATTGTTTTGTATTTGAAAATTCATAATCTATCTTGTATTCGTAATCGTTTGCTAGCGTAGTTGTTGTCTATTCCAGGGTACTTCTACTTCACTTGGATTAGCACTGCGCTGTACCGGGAGCAAGTTGTTTGCTCCGCAGGGTGTTTACTCCTGTTAGATTTGTAAAGTTCTCTCTAATCCACTTCTGGTAATTGGACCTTGGTCATTTTAGCGCTCATATAACGGCCAACTGGGGAGCCCACCAAATGTCCATTTATGGTAATGGTACCCTGGTAATTTAGCGTCTTAGCTAACCAAGAACGGCGATCGAGAATTAAGAGTGTGTTTCTTTTGATTCGTTTTATGTACGCTGATAATTTAACGGTGTATGCTCTGCATAATCGCGAGACGTCTTCTTAACATTGTGTTATCGTATAGCTGCGCCTGGTGATGAATTAGAATCGAATTTTGATTGGTTATCAACTCATGTTCTGTTACACAGATTGGATTCGGCGTAGTACAGGACCGTCACCTGATTGACAATGTAACTAGGAGCGGTTCAGCATCTGGTTCATCGAACAAACATTATATACTTATTAAAAATGGACTGTACAGAAAATCTGTGGCAGACGTCAATTGAATCGAATGGAGACGCTCGCGAGGAGACTCTTGAACAGGCATTACCCGACACTCAAATTTCACTACCACGAGTGAACCAGGAAACTGCTGTATATGCAAATCCTCTAAGTTATTACCTAAATCGGCGTGCTTATGTCCCGTAATAACTCTTACAAAGGGAATCTTAATTGGCGATGAGTGTCTGTCGTACTTTTTATTATTTTGGTATTATTTCGGCATACAGGCAGCGCTGCTCCATTATCCATTACCACTTCCCCTCGACTTACTTTAATATATCATGTTCCTTTATGCTATGTTGTACAAAAGTTGGTTGGGGGCGAAATTTTGGCTTTTGGACTTACTTTAATGTTACGCCTGAGACACCAAGTAGACGATGAGTTGTCAATAATACCGAAGATAAATTAAAACATTAATCCATGCCCAAAGAATTGTGATGAAAAGACACATAGCGAGGCAATAGAGTTACTGCGCCTAAATATGTATGTGTCACTGAGAACCAAACAACCCACATAGTCTAAGTTATGGTTAAAGTCATGTTACTCATCGCCTGAAAGTAACTGACGAAAGCCCGTCAATAGATATCCGCGACTTCTAGTGCCCTGGCAAAAGGATGGCAAATAATTGGTGATGGACCTGAGCCAGCTTTAATCTAAAAGCTCTTTCTAGGCTTAACATGGCCGAAGATGTACACATAGAGTGGTTTCACTTCATGTCATCTACTTCAAAACGGGATATTGTTGGTTGAGTACAATAGCTTTAATCAAAAATCAGATATAGTGGTTTTGGTGAGATTCTTTTGTATTTTATATATTGTATTGAAGAAGATACCCTTCCCTCTGTTCCAGTCGTGGCTGATCCAGGGTGGCTAAACATCATGAAGATTGGCTAAAAACCTACATTCATGAAGCCCAGTTTGCTCTAGTGCATACCGCTTGATGCAACCTCATCGGGGAAAAGAAAAGAGCTCACTCAATCTTGGTCTGAGAGTGACCCAAAATGTGTTTCAAGAACGGCTCTCGGTTGTCTAGAGTTTTGGATCATGGGTGATATAATGACTACGAACAACCTTCCACTACGAACACGAGACTCCAATCGAATTTCTTCAAGCAATATAGTCCATGAGCCTGTTTGGGTCTACTCAAGTGCTTTAACATGACAGTGCAGAGATGGAGAGTTCGATAGTAGGTATAAGAACTTCTATTTGAGGAATTTTGACAATTCATCCTTGCAAGAAGAGTAAGAGAGGGGACTTTATCCCAAGGTAGAACGGGAATAAGCAGAGCGATCTCCACATGTTGAACCCTAGGCACATCTTTATCCATAAATACCTCCTTCACTTCATTCAACATGGAATTTCCGACAAACTTTATCGCATCTAATTCAGCATTTCAAACACTATGCTGAACTTTAGGTACGAAGTATTCTAAGTGGGTGATTGTGCGATCAGTGTATAGGCGACGGGGAAATTTCTCAGAGCAATCAGAATGAAACAATTTTTTTTTGATCTTCCGCGTAAGGTGCTATAGATTCTAAAGCAAATGATACTAACAATAGCCTAACCATCTTGCCGTCATATGTCCATGGGAGGCGCATCAACGCCTAGCAAAAGCTGAGAAGTGTCAAGTTACGCAGTGTTTTTTGCGTGTCAAGAGTCAAGGCACAAAGAGAGGAGTGATGGGATCAAGGAGTTGAAGCACGGCGAACTCGCACGGACTTCGCAGCTAGGTAGACCATAAAAACTGTATTTATCTCTGACCCTTTTGAACAGAAGGGAACAATTCTTTTTTGTAATTGCATTTGCGCCACAGCCTTCTAGTTAAACTGTGTTGCGTCTTTGCTGCTAGAGAACTCCCTTGTCTCTGACATTGCGACTCTGTAAAACTAGTAATCAGGGCAGATGCACTCCGTAATTTTGTGCTTATAACTACCCCTTGTTCAACGCATCCAGGGATTATAACAACTCCCTGTATAACAGACACAGTGGTGTAGGCAACAGCTCATGAAAATTGATTGGGCCTGAAGCATTTGCAAGAATACCTTATTTCAGGACGCTGACTATAAGTGGAACCGATCAGAAGGCACTTGGAAATGAGCCAAGATTGCCTCTGTTTATTCAGATACTAGGTTTGAAGAAGTTAGTCCGACACGTCAGATGGCTTCATATGCAGGACCTTCACCTGACGTGTGATCACAAACACGAGTTGACGATTACAGACCGACTTATTTTTGATACGAAATTTGAATTCAATATAGCCGTTAAGCATATCCACCAACTGAAACTATAACGGTGTCCCAACACCTCCTCGTAAGGCCACATGATACCGTAAGAGAAATTAACACTTAATAATTTGATGGTGGTAAATCTCTGCTCTTTTGCTTTGCATTATTGCAGCAGAGCTATTGGTATGTGTAGAATTAAGATGGCTTTATATACACCTAAAACTCTTATATCCTGAAGCTGTTCAATATTTGTGAACTTCTGCCTAATCAACTACTAAGCATACTCCCACTTATACATGATTTTTGCAAATACCTAATGTATTTTTCACGTCTGTTCATACAATTGTAGATTGGTTCCGCTTTTTGACAACTTCAAAGCTCCTGAAGAGAATGTTTCTCAACATGGTTTAAAGTGGAACTAACAGGTAAGGCTAGTTAGCGTTGTGGTGCCATAATATGACAAGACAAGTACTGTATTCTGAGCAGAAGCTAATAAACAGCGGTGAAGCTTACTGACAGAATATTACTCAAAGATGGGTCTCAGAAACTATGGATAGAAACCCCAGCATGGAGAAAATGTGGGCGAGTTGACGAGAAGTAAATATAAATGGCAGCCTACAAGAATCATCGATAAACACATTCTCTTCATCAAAACCATCATCATCACATTCACCATTTACAAGACTTTTTAGATTGTTCTATTACAATTTTATTTCACAATGGCTTTGAGAAACTCTGTGATTGGCCTTATGGCTCTTCAACTTGGAGTCAGTTCAGCTGCTCCATCAAACGCTTTTGATCCATCTCTTTTTAACAAAGAAGATGTTATTCAAAAAGACAGCGTTGTTATTGGCTGTGGTGCTGCTGGTGCATATGGCGCTATTAAACTACAAGACTCTGGAAAGGATGTGCTCGTTATCGAGCAGCGCGGTCGTTGTGGAGGCCATGTGGCATCATACATCGACCCAGCTACCAGCGTCAACATCAATGCTGCGGTAGTTATTCTTGTCGATCTGCCTGAGACTCAAGCCTTTTTTAAGAGAGTGGGCGTAACACTCGGACCAGCTACAGATCTTCTTGGAGACAAGTCGACGAATATTTTTGTGGACTTCCAATCTGGAAAGTTGGTTAACTATACGATGCCAGACCCATTGACTTTGTTTGGTCTTATAACAAAGTACACGAATATTCTAACCACACAATATCCATGGCTTAGTTCTGGGTGGAATCTTCCTGACCCTGTTCCGAAAGAACTTGTTCAAAGTTTTGGAGATTGGTTACTTGCGAACGATCTTGAAGGACTGGCATATCCTATATCACTTCTCAGCCAGCGTGGAGAAATCACAGCAATGCCGGCAATTTATGGGTTGATGCAATTCAATGTGGATTGGGCTACTCAAGCTCTGGTTGGCTTTGTTGCTGCGGAGAACATGCAAGATATTTACGATAACGCTTTCAACATCATCAACAGCATGCCCAACGGAATTTTCTTGAATACCACTATTGTTTCTACCCAACGCCAAGATGGTGGAACATCTCTGATTATCAACACTCCTCGGGGACAAAAGCTCGTGCAAGCCAAAAATACCCTCATGACTGGCCTTCCGACAATTAGCAACCTCAAGGGATGGGACCTTGATGATAATGAGATCTTGATTTTCAGCCAATTTACGAACGGTGGCTATGCTGGTGGCGTTGTGAAGAGTTCTACGCTGAATGTTACGCCTAGCTGGGGTAATGTCGCTCCTAATGGACCATTCTTTGTTCCCTCGTTCCCCGCTGTTAATGTATTTGGCGCGAAAGACCCTCAGGTTCATAACGACCTCTTCATGTGGTATTTCAATACTCCACAGCCAATGGAAACCGATGCAATTGTTAGTGCAGTGAATACAACGCTGAACAAATTGGGTAGCGCTGGTGTGCTTGACACCAGAGATATCTCGTTCCCCTTCTCTTACAACCATAAGAACTATTTCTGCAACGTTCCAGCAGATGCAATTGCCTCGGGCTTCTATAAGCAGCTTTACGCTCTACAGGGCAAGCGGTCTACTGTCTGGAGCGGAGCAACATGGTTTGCTAATAGCCATTCTGGCATCTACCAATTTACTGATAAAGTGGTCAAGACATACATGTAAGGTATTCTTTTTTTTTTTCCATAAAAAAAAAAAAACACGAAGTTTAATTACCAAATCGATACTTGTAATAGCGAGTTCGCGCATATGAGTCGCATTCAAGCACTATTGTGCAACATACAAGTAGATAAGACAGATCTAGTACAAAGAGGAATCGGGTATTTTATATTACTAATTGATAGAGCATAACTCTGTTTTGTTCCCACAACTTTTCACTATGATTCTTTTTACTTTTCCGTATAATCTTCATCGACGGTGGGACTCTGGCTTGATTTCAAATCTCTTGGTCCGATTTGGAAATTTTTGGTCCGATAGTGAACGTCATGGTCCGATGGTCTTGACCCCCGCTCATTTGAACAAATCAGTAGCTGCGGCACATGGTTCAGCCAAATTTTCTCGAGACATCACTAATACAATTATTGCGAAACAAAGTTTATAAATTCTATTGAATGTAGGGCCTCAAGAAAACATAAATGGAATTCATTTAATTACCCTAACCAAGAAAACTTTATACAACACTACGGCTTGAGGCTTTAACTTCAATCTCGGGATGGCCACTGAACTACATGCAGACCAACCTAACCAGGCCCGTACGGTCTTTGTGACCGGAGCAAATGGATATATAGGCGCCTCAGTGTGTCGAGCATTTGTCGGAGCGGGCTGGAGAACGTTTGGCCTTGTTCGGAAGCTCGAGGCAGTGGATGACCTGGTGGCGGCTGAAGTAATACCTGTTGTGGGTGATTTTGCAGACCTCAGCTTCCTCGACTCGGTCTATGAAAAGGCAATTGTTTTTGATTGTATTATCAGTTGTACCGAGAGCCTCTCAGGATATTCAGATCATTTCCTCAACGTTATGTCGCTGGTCAAGGTCTTGGCTGAGAGGAGCAAGCGGAATGGGGTTCGCTCCTTAGTTCTTTGGTCCTCTGGTTGCAAGGATTACGGGACAACAGATGTTCATGGATCACCTACATTATTTCCGCATACTGAGACATCCCCCACCAATCCTCCCCAGTTTCTTCGCCAAAGGACTGAGAACTGCCTTCGTATATTTGATTACAGCGATATCTTCGATGCTGCTCTTCTCCGGCCCACAAGTGTATTTGGTAGAAGCGGCAGTTATTATGGAGCCATGTTGTCTTGGGTTGCGGTTGAAGCAGCGGCCAAGGCCAACACGCTGAAAATCCCAGTCAACCCTGACAGCATCATGCATGCAACTCATGTCGACGATTGTGGCGCGGCTTACTTAGCGATTGCTGCTCACGCAAATCGAAAAGAGGTTGCGGGGAAGACATTTAATATATCGGGATATCGGTATGAGACCGCAAGAGAGGTGGGGGAAGCTCTGGCAAAGGAGTATGGGTTTAAAGGCGGGGTAGAATTCGTTCCTCTTGCTGAAGCAGCATCGTCATTTCCTGAAGGGCTACAAATTGTTTTTAACTTTAGCCAATGGGTCAGCAGCGAACATATTCGCCAGCTTACGGGCTGGAAGGATCATCGCCCATTATTCTCGCAAAATTTGAGTACCTATCGACAGGCCTATGAGGCAGCTCACAGGCGAGGAAATAGTAACATTCTGGCTATCGAGAGCAGAATGAGTAATAACTTTGGGAGGTATGGGTCAGAGTATTAGAAGAATATAGAACTCGATCGATTTATTTTAAGTGCTGGAATTGGGTATGCAGCGACATTTTTTCAGCTGTTATATAGGTACTGTGAGCCGTCTCCCCGTATTTTTTAAATTGTATTGTATTGTTGTATCTCATAACGATATCTCTCGTTGCGATCTCAGTCTTGAGCTCTGAAATATGAACTTCTTAAAACCTAGAATAAGTTCTTCCATTATGGGCATATTCGCTTTTGGCAAACCTTTTTGTCTTGCTATATGTTAGATATGGTGTCCTTGTTACAGCTACAGATACGCAATCGCTAACGGTGTTTTTATAAAGCTAGCATAGGGGAACAGATCGGACAGGATACATTTAACAAATATGATGAAAGTAGCACTAACAACACGCAAAGTAAGCTGACCAATTAATATCCCACATGCCTATTTATTCTTTCATACCTATATAACCCTTAGATGTGTATAAGCACTTATTACAGTTATGGAGAGTAATGTTTTGTTAGTTTGAGATTGCTTTACAGTATACGGTAAAGCTTCGTTATCCAATTCAAAATTTACTTCATGGCCTTCAGACTACCAACACTAAGTAAGCAGCCACCTCCGCTAGTGTACTGTAAGACCCAGCTCGAAAACGCACGCGTTTATGAAGTGTTGTGGTTGGAATGACGGCTTTTATTACAAGGCATGCATGGCGAAGGATGTTGCGGGCGCCCTGGTCCACAATGATTCCACAACCCCTCATACACGCAACAGATAATTGTTGTAGGGGGTTTGGGTATAATATTCTATGTTCCATGCTACAGCACATTTTCTTATATGAACTGAAGGCTCTTTCTAGCTACGCCTCTTATTAAAAATCTAATATATTCCTTGTAGACTTCCCTAAGCAGTGCTTGACACAGAGCCTTTTATTCCTGCAGGCGCCCTGTCTTTCGCGCAAAAATGCTTCAAGCGCGGAAAATCGATGATTTGCCAGAGTCACCCAAAAAACCCAATATTAAAGTGATTGTCCTTGGTTGCAGCAAGTGCGAATTACCTCCGTTTGTTTCTTAATTGGAGAAATGCTTACATTTTTTATCAAAAAATTAGGACTGGAACACTTGGGTTATATCGAGCATTCAAAATACTTGGCTATAAGCCGTATCACGCTGCAGAGCTCATACGAAGTCAAGATCACAGCCATAAAGCCATCTTCCAAGAGGCATTATTAGCTGAGAACGACCGCTTTTCGGGTATCAGACCATACGGACGAGTCGAATTTGACAAATGGTTTCAGGACTATGATTCAATCATCGAAGTGCCTTGCTACATGCCTGTACAAATCTACAGCGCATATTTGAGCGATCCGAACATAAAGTTTCTTCTAACTGAGCGAGACCCCGACAAATGGGTCAGATCATTTAATAAACAAATGGGTGGCATGAACGATTATCTTGCATCTATCTCTATGAGCGTCCTGAGATATTTCGATATCGGTCTATGGCATCACTGGCGATTCAACAGCCTAGTTTACAATTTGTTTAGCGGGACAACTAAAAGAGGCCATCCTGAAAACGAGCAGATATTGCGTCAGAATTATGTCAACTACAACAATTTTGTCAAGAAATTAATTCCTAAAGAAAGACTACGTGTCATTAAGCTAGAGGAAGGATTGGGATGGGATGAACTTTGCGACTTTCTCGAGGTTCCGAGACCCAACGTGCCATATCCAAATTTTGATGATCATATCGCACTCCGAGATGCATTGGTTGGGCAATTGATAAAAAGGGCTTTGATCAAGTTTACCTTAGTAACTGCTTCAATTATTGGAATTGGGATGGTATTTCTTTGGAAGCGGCGGAAGTAACAAACACTTGATCATGAATAGTCATGTTACAATATAGGATCTGGTCTTAAATGTTATCCCGCCGTCTTCTTTTACGGAAATTCTGACGCCTAGTTTTGTGGATAGTATGCTGATATACTTCTACAATATTGTATAAGATGAATTCTGCTTTTCAATCTCCCTTCCCATCTGCGATTACAATACTTTCCGAACAGTCAGATTGAACTTTGGGTATGAATGTGTGTATATCCATCTGTTCTCCATTACGAACTTACTTCTGTTAATATCCCACATAAGCTTACGTCAGATAAGAGTACTCTGTCCCTGCAACGCGTATATATTTATCTAACCACCTGGTGCTCACCATTCTGTCCTGGCTTGGAGGTGCAATCTTATTTTGCGTTGTAGCATGTTGATCACTGTTCCGGTCAATCCTCAGACTCTGAAAAATGGGACAAACAGTATCTGTGCCGGTAGACAGAAGGAGGAAGCTAGAGATAATTGATGCTGGATTCTCAAGAACCGGGACATTGTCCTACGCCTATGCTCTAGAGAAGCTTCTTGACGGACCGGTACATCATACAGCTACCCAGCTTTTCAATCGAGAAGATTGTAAGATTAACTTGCGATTCTTTTATTGTCCAGCTGTATTGATTAACATCGCTTAGCGTACTGCAAGAAATGGAATCTGGTATATCGATATCGGCGCGAAGGCAATCGCACACAGTTACTCAAAGCGCTAGAAGACGTTTTTTCAGGTTTTGTCGGCGCAACTGATGTTACCGCAATTGATTTCATTCCAGAACTAATGGAATTATACCCGGATGCGAAATTCGTACTTGTCACGCGCCCTCCAGCGGCCTGGTGGAAGAGCTTTGAGATAGTGGCCGATAACGCAGGAAGCAGAGTGATGGGAAACATCACCATGCCACTACCCGGTGTCCGATGGTTTGTTGACACAGCGCGAGGATTCTTCGAAGCGTGAGATACCTCAGTGTTTCCATAAAACATGGAAGGGAGCTTGGTTAATGTTTTTCACAGAGCTGAAGATCGAACCGGTCATAAATGCAACCCACTCTGGATTGAGCAACATAACGATTACGTGCGTAACATAGTTCCAAAGGACCGCCTGCTCGAGGTGGAGCTTGGATCAGGATGGGAGCCACTCTGCAAATTCCTGGATAAACCCATTCCGAAAGAGCCGTTTCCCCACGTCAATGAGGCTGCAGCACGAGATAAGTTTGCACTAAAAATCCTCCAGAAAGCCGCAATGGCTTGGGCCGGAATATTCACGAGCATCGGGCTCATTTCCTATCTATCCTGGCAACTTTGGGGTTGACGGCTTTAGCCGCTGAGGTCATCATACGAGCCCTGCTATCCCCAGTGATTTTTTAGGGCCCACTCACCTGTCAAGCTAAGGTCATGATGCCTTATTTCTCAACCCAACAACCAATGCCACTACTTCTTACTTGTGTAGATTTAATAATACAACAATTGTGTGGAAAATATGCCTTAACTGACACCCAAATATCCACCCCTACGGGACGGCCTCATGCCGGTGTAATTATTTCAATCGTGGTTCATTTTTATTAGCTGTTCTAGAAATACATCCATCCTGTATATACCTAAAACAGTTCCCAAACGTTGACAAGTATTCCCCTTCACTTTTGTTATATAGTGAACTAGCTTTGTTCATATTCTAGTTTCATTACTCCCACCAAACAATATTTCCACAGGTCAACTTGACACGTCTTTCGATATACAATACCAACCAAAGCCATGGTCTACTACGCGTTGATTAAATACGTAAGCCGGGTATCTCATAACCTCTTGTAGCTTGATCTAAATTCTATATTAGACGCCTTCGGAACCTCATTATCGTTATATTGTGGCCGCTCCGGACGCTGATACCATCGATGAATGGTGGCGAGTGGTGTCCGAAAAGGTCGGCGTTCAATGGCAACGTCTTGCACCTGACTATTATTCGTTTAATCAAGGTTTTGTCTGGGACAGCGCGCCGGAATTCAACGATAGGCTCATGTACACACTGCTCAATGATCGTGATGGCAGGTTCATGGGGGCATTTTCGCAGCAGCCACGGACAGACCATATTAGCGGCCAGACGTAAGATGATATCCTGAACGTTTCTAATTTATGTCGCCCTCCACTGAACTTTTCTTCTTCCCTCAGATTCTTCATACGGTCTAAATCCAGCCCATACATCTATTGGGCGGTAAAAGATAATCGCATCTACGCCAGCAGGTTTAGTCGAACCCGCTTCCGAATCAAGATCGATGGTGAGACCAAACCCAAGGTCATGATTGGCAAAGACAGCATTTCCATCACACTCACAACCAATTCAGCCCAGTATGTGAGTATCAGCAGCAATGGAGAGCTGAGCGTGGAGGGAGGAGGGCATACAGGAGGGATTTCCTTCAGCCATTTCAAAAAGGGTTTTCTAGCCGACAGTTACCAGATAGGTGATGATGTCAATGCTGCTGTTAGAAAAGTTGGAAATGATGATGGCGAGGAATGGGAGCTTGTGCAATAGATCACTTGAGTGTAGTTCAAAATTCATTGTGATATATCCAGTAAACAAATCATGACTGCTGATGTGAGTTTGAGAGACCGTGATTTGAGCTTACATTGTGACTGTGTCTATGGTTTAATCAACGGCCACCACCGTATTACGTCCAACTACTGTCTTGCGACTGTGGGTAGTCAGTCCATGTTTGCAGGTGGGAAGGCCTAATGTACAATCACATCATTTTGTCATGATGGGGCAGCAGGTGGTAAGCAACTTGACTAATAGCGTTTAGCTCTCAGCTCATGCAAGCCAGTGTGGCTTGACAGGTTGAACGTGCAGTCTACTCCATCGTAGGCGCAACTCGGACACGGGAAACAAAATAGCCTAATTACTTGATGCAATACGTGTACGCCCGATGCCTATTACACATGATAGATATTTGATACGTGCATTGTTTCCCGAGCTCACTGTTGCCTAACGCACCTACAGTGGGGAGTCAAAAGTGACGAGCAACTACACAGTATACAACAAAAATGCATATATTCTAAAACGCTATTATTGTATAATATATATATATAAATAAAAAATAAATATACTATTAAATTAATTAATACTTATATTTATTATACATATATTTTCTTAAAGTTTTTTAATAAGTTATTATATAATAATAGCTTTTTTATTATATAAGATTTCTAAAATTATATTTATAGTAGGTTATAGTAGGAAATACAGTATTAATAATACGGCCTTTATTAAGTAAAATAACTCTCTAAATTTAATAATATTTTTAAATAATATTCTCTTACTACTATTATTAAATTTTTTAAATAAAAATGATTAAAAATAAAAAAGATATTATTTTTTATTATAAATACTTAATTTTTTAATTATATAATAAATTTTTATAGAGATATTGCGGAGTGTTTAGTTTGCATTTTCTTAGTGCTTTAGCGTCGCACTGTAAAGCGGCTCGTCACTTTTGACGTGGGACTGTAGGTTGCATGCAGTATGCTCCTTGGTCCACGTTTCAAACAAGACCCCGTTGGAAGCAGGATTCTATAAAGAACCCCCTAAAAATTGAGAGCTGTGTGTTGACGCCCAACTGATGTAAATAATAGTGAAGCCCCATTGACAACGCATCTTCTGTGGCAGAATCCAGGTCACAAATTTAATGCACGCTAGTGGAGTTCACTCTTCCAAGTTAAGGAGTACATATAGATCATCTTGATGGAAACAATAAAGTAGCGTTGAATATATTCCATCAAACGCCAAGAACTAGTTTGTGAGAAGATCTTGGTCGGCTTGTGCAATAACCTCCGCATTTCTATTCAGACGACTGGCTTTATTGATCGTACCCACATCATTCAGTATCCAACCCCCCCCCCCCCCCCCTTTTATTTCTTGATCTGCTTTTTCTTTTGCAGATTTGGGCATTATAAAAATGGAAACCAGAGTATTGAGCGATTATTCGGATGAACGCCAGCGGCATTTCCACTCAGATTACACCGTTGGATGGGTTTGTGCGCTACCAAGGGAACAGAGCGCAGCATCCTTCATGTTGGATGATATCCACGATCCTAGGGAGCTTACCAATCCAGTTCACGACCATAATGCATACATTCGTGGCAGTATTGGCGGTCATAATATTGTCATTGCCTGTTTACCAATGGGTTTGACGGGCAACAGTAGCTCGGCGTCAGTGGCAACCCGAATGATAGCAACATTTGAGAATATAAAATTTGGCCTGATGGTAGGTATTGGAGGAGGCATGCCTCAAAAAGATGTTCGACTTGGAGATGTGGTAGTCAGCAGCCCTAAAGGCAAGTCCTCTGGAGTCGTCCAATGGGATTTCGGCAAGGCAGAATCAGGGGGCACGTTCCGGCGAACAGGTTCCCTAGACAAGCCTCCAAAGGGATTATTAACGGCCTTGGGAAATGTGCGATCAGACTCCATCAAATGTTATGATGAGCTCCATGCTTATTTGAGACATCTCGAAGCGCGAAGCGATGTTCCAAAAAGCTTCGTTAACCGTGACACGCTTACAGATGTACTATATCAATCAAGCTATCCTCACGTTGAAAAGATTCTCGCTACGGGTAAGGATCACTGGGAGAGCCAAATTAAAGACCAAAAAGTCGACTGCGCACTATGCGATAAAAGCAAGACGGTCGATAGGGAGCCAAAAACACGAGATATTAAGTTCCATTATGGCTTAATTGCCTCAGGTAACCAGGTGGTTAAAGATGCTCTGGTACGAAACGAAATTTATGACGATCTCTCCAAAGATTTAGACACAGAAGTTCTTTGTGTCGAGATGGAAGCGGCAGGGTTAATGAATGATTTCCCGTGTCTTGTCATCAGAGGTATCTGCGATTATGCAGACTCGCATAAAAATGATGCTTGGCAAGACTATGCTGCATGTGTGGCGGCAGCATTTGCAAAAGTACTTCTAAATAAATTGCCTGCAACCGACGTCGACCAAATGAAGACGATTCAAGGTAAGTGGCAAACAAAATGTTAGCTTAACTTGTCTTACAAGCGCAATTAGATCTTCTCCCACGCGGTTTTCTGCAAAAAACAAAGGAATTTTTAAAACCGTTGTGGTACTCAGATCACAGTGCGGCAAGCGCAAGCGCCTCCGCCGGTATGTTTCGTATCTTTAGAGATTATCGTGAGATCTTCACTGACAACTTCTTCAGCAATTGATGCGGGAAAAATTCAGTCACGAGACGAAATCCATGACCAAAGTGGTGGATCAGCAGCCAAGTTACTGCCGTCTCATGGACCTTCTTCTGCAGAGAAAGACATGATTATAAACACTCAACCCTGCCTCGAGGAGAGCTTGTCTCAAGAGCATGATATTATCAACAGATCGATGTCTTCGGGTACCGACAATATCGGAGCTGTATCGTTGAAGCCTGGCGAGATGAATCCCGGGGTGAATCTCCATCTAGACGGATCGCAAATAGTATCAGTTCTTTCAAATAAGGAAAACAACAAAGTGGATAACACATTAGAGGAGAAGAATGCGGTTTTCAAGCAGGATAACAACAAGTTTAACGCATTATCGGGCTCGGCGATATGGGAGGCAAATTTGAAACGACTTTTATTGGATACTGTGGAATTGGTCGGATAAGGCTGAACTACACCTATGACCCCATTGCAAGACAAGCTATCTCTTAGAACAATTAGAGAGGGTTACAGAATTCATGCTGCGAACTGGAATCAAGTGCATTGCTTCGACAAGGTAACAAATTGTCATATTCTGTGTTTATGATAACAACCCGGAGAACTAAATATAAACCAAAATATCTCTAAATCACCATGTCAATAGCCACGCTCAGTGGATGCCTATATCATGTAGCAAACTACGCTGATTATGTACTCATGATTACTAATAAGAGCTTGTTGCATTATACGTCATCAATGTTCGTTTATAAATGCAAAAGTGTGTAAAGCTTTAGAGGCAGGAATTTTTCCATATGAATCAAGTATAACAAGGTTTAGATCAAAATGCGGGGAATCATAATTTCGAAAGCAGAGTACTTATTTCCCCTTTTGAAACTGTGCTGCTTAGTCTGGTTTAATGCGTAAAACTACATGGATGCCTATTAGTAATTGCAAACCTGAAATTCATTTCCAGTATCAGGCTTTGGCCGGACGTCTTCATGACGGCACCCCTCTATCCGACCAAAAACGCCTCGCTACTAGAACTCGTTTTTGGATCCCATGATTTAAAATTGAGAGCTTGTGGCGTCGCAAGCCGAGCTGTGGGCAGAGGAAGATGAGTTAGAAGTAGAGAAGGCTCAAAGACAGCGGGCACAGGGCACCTGAGGATGCTGGTGTATCACCCTCAACAGCTTACGCAGGCCAAGCATGCCAACCGAGATGTCCACATCATCGGGAAATACCGATGGAGCATTGACGAGGAAGAACCTAGAAGATGTCTACGCAAGCAGTCACCAGGACTCGCAGCGTAATACAATGGCTTGATGCGAAGGGTCCTCCGCAGATCCCATAGCTCCACTGACAAGTATAGAGAGAATAGGTAGCGGATGAGCAATGTGGCCTACATGAGCTTGGTAGCGCTAGTTTAAAGCTATGCGAACCCGCTGACTGGCAATACAAGGCTGTAGTATCCTCTCAGAGGGCGGGAAATGAATACAAGTACATTATGTTTATCCGTGTGTTGAGTATCACCTAAATACTATCGTAATATTCATGATATTTTCATCTAATCGCGTAGCGATGAGATTCGTCCATGCCGAATTAATGGTTTAGCGATAACAGTTCGCACCCATCGAGTGATAATGCGGGACCCAGGGTACCTGTAGATTAGCTCTTCGCCACCCAGTATCAAGCATGTCGATTCACTGTTACCAAGCAATGTCAGGGCTAAGACGAACTAGAAACCCTGCAACTGCCAAACATAGTTAGGCTACATATTTGTCCTGTTTGCCGGCCGGCTCATATTTATTTTAGTTCTCTTCTCTTTCCTTCCATTTACCTGATTGATGCCCCATCCTCTGTCAAACCGATTGTTACAAATAGTTCTTGAAATGGTACGAAGCGCACACACATACAATGTTGTCTGTCCAGTGCCGTCCGAGGTCTCTGCTAATGATGTTATCAATGCCCTTCATCATCATGAAAACCTCCTGACGCTTCAGCCGCAAGTATCTTGTTACAGCGAGATTGACGGAAATGAAGCTTCCGATTTTGATACATATTTTGACAACTCTGATTACCCGGTCAAGGTATACAAAGCAACGGAAAGAGTCACGATACTCCCGGGAATTGGCGACTGGGGAAAATATCCCACAACTATTATTGTTACTTTCCAAAATACTACAAATGGGCTCAAATCTCGCGCTGTGGCATCTGCGGGGGTAGTTGTAACAGCAACTTATACAGTAAATAAGATAAACGAACAGGGTTTAATCTGTGATAGAAATGACGGAGATGGCAGAGGTGATGGAAACTGGATTTTATCCCAGAATGTGGTTTTGGAGTGCTCAAGCTGGCTAATGCCATTTGTGAAAAACAATATGGAAGGAGCACAGAAACACATGTGCCAAAATATGGTGAAAATAGCATCGTTATAATAGAGGCGGATATATGTACCACAACTGCCCTTTTCGACAGCTCTTCTATCTTGAATGAGACTAGTGAAAAAAGTCATTTGATTCCAGCCGGCAGTGTTGCCTCCTCTGTAGTTCTGGTGGAGGCAATAGTAAATGGGGATTTTATTCGCCCTGGCAGTTGCAATGAGTCGCTTGATATTTTCAACGGTATTGGTCGTTTCAATGCTCTCTTTTAAGTAGTCATATATCATCCCGTCTCGATGTATGAAGTCATTGTAAGGATCGATGAGAAGAAATGCGGTATCAGTATGAAAGGCCATAATGGAAGGATCGTTTGGAGAAGATTTTCACAAAGGTTTGGCAGACGTTTGCAGTCAAGTGTGAGGTAAGAATGGTATTATGGGGATAGCATAAATTGAGAATGAAATAGCCATTTATACACGTAATATGAATGTAACTCAGAAAATAGCTTGATAGTATCACATACCAGCATGTTTATCCAGGCCGGATAATACCAAGGTATCCAGGATACTTCTCACTATCCATTAATAATCACCACAATATATCATCAATACCAAGTCATTTATCATTATTCTTCCCTATAATTATACTATAAGGAATAGTAATTTTTTAATCAGGTTCTTTTGATATGACGCTGTACTTGGTGCCAGTGCCAATACTCGAAGAGCCTGATATTAGTGTGCGGACCAGGGCATATCCTGGTCCGCTTCGCGTGACTGGGGCGCACTACTAACAGGCAATGTCCCTAATCTGTTGAAACAAGTCCGGCATCTGGTTGTCAATTAGCCATAGACTTCTCTCGATCAGCATCTTGATGAGCTAGACTGTTTTGCGGTGTTTGTTTTCGCAATATTCTTGCCATGAGCAACTCAGTTGTATACGTCACCTCGCCCGTGGGGATTTTGGACCGTTTACTATTTTAAAATTCGCGTGAACACATGCCAACCATGCGACGCAATGTCCGCGTCGAGCTGTTCCGGCCCATCATTTCGGACGCCGAGTGTTTTTTTTTTTTTTTTGGCCTCGTTGTTACGCAAAAACTGTGGCCTGTAGCCAGTTAGAACTTCAGCTTCAACAATCCTCGTAAGCTCTGTGTTGCAATTATCATTATTCATTGGACAAGCCTAAGTACTTTTGCTCAATCCCATTGAACAACAAGTATCTGGAATCGCTGAAATTTTCTCACAGACCATTAACCTTTCTAATTGCTCATCTCTATCCAGACAAGAGTGAAGAAATCATGAATCCCCCAACAGCGCTTATAATTGGCGGTACAGGAGCTCAAGGTGTACCAATTGTGCAAGGTGTTCCAGATCCTTAGTAATAGTGTAATAAGGTCACTTACTGATATTCATTCAGAGCTAGCCAAGCACGGGTTCATTGTTCGAGTCCTTACAAGAGATGTTAATTCTGGTAACGCAAAGAAACTCTCAGTGCTTGCAAATGTAACACTATTTAAGGGGCGCCTCAGATTTCGTTCCCGACTCGAAAAGCGCATTCAATGGAGTTAACTATGCCTTTGTCAATCTCGAAAGTTGGGCTTTGGGTATTAAAGATGAAATATTCTGGGGCATTCGCATCTTCGAGATTGCAGTACAAAGTGGTGTAAAGCACTATATCTGGCCATCGCTTGACAACTTCCTCCCGGAAACAAACTACGATGACTCATTTCGGACGGGCTTTTTTGAACGGTGGATATCAGCTCTACCATAATCTCCAATGAGATGAACAATCCTTGCCACCAGCCCATATCTTGAGCAACCGTGTGGTTTAATGAGACCAACTAAAGACGGGAATGGCGCCTATGATTTTCGCTTCCCGGTCAATAATGGCGGCTTCCCCTTAACTTGCGTGGACGATCTTACAGCTGTCGATTACACCAATTTCTATGACGCAACCCAATGCTGCCCCACCAGCCAGAATGCTTAGCCACTGGCCACAGTGGTTCGGTTAAAGAATAAGTGCGCAAGCCTTCTATTGGATATAAATCCTCAGTACACATCACCTTTGGGTGAGTTGGGGTAATGCCCTCCGGAATATTTGGCCAACGGAATATGCTATTTCGATTACCCATCATATTCTCATCCGTAATAGTAAAAGCCAATGACTTTTTCTCATATAAGTCTTGCCGAAAATTCAGGTTTCAACCATGACACAGACTAGCTACTAAGGTCAGAAAAGCTACAGCTGACATACTGTACCAAGCCAGTCTGGCCATTTTGTGTACGATACGGAGTACTATGACGCAGAAACGGGAAAGGCTTGAAAGAGGAGAGAAAAAAAGGTTTACCGAGAATTGTTTTACTTTCCCAACGCTTTTAACCACAGCAGCAATAGTAGCCTAGTAAATGGAAAAATGAATGAATAAATAAATAAGTAAATAAATAAATAATAAAATAAAATAAAATAAAATAAAATAAAATAAAATAAAATAAAATAAAATAAAATAAAATAAAATAAAATAAAATAAAATAAAATAAAATAAAATAAAATAAAATAAAATAAAATAAAATAAAATAAAATAAAATAAAATAAAATAAAATAAAATAAAATAAAATAAAATAAAATAAAATAAAATAAAATAAAATAAAATAAAATAAAATAAAATAAAATAAAATAAAATAAAATAAAATAAAATTACTGTCAATATTGGCCATCAAATTTCCTGCCCAATTTTGAACCTCGATGCTATGAACGGGTATTAGCAGAGCGATGATATGATTAGAGGCAAAATAAGTACCCATATGCGCAGGGTTAGCGGCACCTGTAATGTCAATTTATTTGTTAATTTCTCAGCGAATGACGAGAGGAGTAAGTATAAATTTAAAAAGGCCCAATATTTATAAATGTAATCGTACTACCCCTTAAATATTATGTCTTATGTTTAAGTAAGCGGTTCCTTCGATCAAACCTTTATAAGAACTCACTGCCTAACCCCACTCGCTTATCTTTTTCTCACTCCAACACCAAATAACCATGGCGAAACTTTATGCCATCTCCGATTTGCATCTTGCATATCCCCTCAATTCCTCAGCATGGGATCTTCTGCAGCCCAAACCGCCTGGGAGCGGTCTCATTCTTGCAGGTGATATTGGCGAATCAGCTACCCACCTGAGCAATGCCTTTGAGCGCGCCAAAGAGTGCTTTACGCATGTATTCTGGGTCCCAGGAAACCATGAGCTCTACAGTATCTCGCCTTCTGTGGCCAAGCACCCTGCTGACCATTTGAGAGGTGAGGCGAAATACAATGCCCTGGTGGAACTCGCACGCCAGTACGGTGTCCTCACACCAGAGGATGATTGGATGCTATGGCCGGGACCGAATGGTGTTGACGTGGTGATCGCGCTCGTGTTTACGCTATACGATTATTCGTTTCGACCGGCAGAGGTCTCTCGGGAGCAGGCGTTAGACTGGGCCATGGAGGAGAACATCTGGGCTACGGACGAGGCGCTGCTCCACCCAGATCCATATAGCTCGCGGGACGATTGGTGCGCAAAACTGTGCGAGAAGTGGGAACTAAAATTTGTCGACTATGCCTCGAGATACCCAAACTTGAAGTTCGTGATTGTTAATCACTGGCCATTGCGAGAAGATTTAATCTACATTCCAAAGGTCCCCCGGTTTTCTCTGTGGTGTGGTACCAAAAGGACTCAGGATTGGACAAAGGGCGGGCGATTTGGAGCAAATTATGGAGGGGCGCAAGTAGTTGTCTCAGGGCATTTGCATGTGCGACGGACAGATGTCAAAGAAGGGGTGAGATACGAGGAGGTCAGTCTGGGGTACCCTCGGCAATGGGAAAAGGCACGGGACGTAAGCAAAGGAGCCAATGAACTGTTGAGAGAGATCCTGCCGGGGACTGAATTAGTCGAAGAGGGCCTGCGGATATGGAGGCCGCAAGGGTAGCCGGGTGTGAGAATAATTTGGGACAATGCTGATAACTGTGTACCTTTGCTGTATCATTGAATGTATCTGTACGTGCCTTTCACAAGAAATACTTGCTCATGTAAACCCTGAATACATGGTATGCATCATGGTGTGTAGTGAGACGAGACTGGCACAATGGTTTTTGACGTTTGCCATTATTCATGCCTGCTTCATAGGGCGCTTAAGAAAAAAAAAAAAGCGCCGACTAGGAATTTGATCGATGCGCAAATGTCTGCATTTTTTCCCCCTTGGCCAACTGAGACCTCTGCTAACGGTTTTGCGGAAGGCGCAGCAACGATGCCAGCACTTGACCCCAGATTCTCCTGATTTAGCTGGTCTGTTATTAGTACTAAATATAGAGCGCCGCAAACAAATAAACAAACAAATAAACAAACAAATTCTAACCTAATCCTAGCTGAAGGCCCGGAATTCTTCATCTCATTTTCTAGAATAATAGCTTCCAGACGGGCTATTCTTAACACCAGAGAAAAAAAAAGGGGGGTTGTTGTTGGTGTGCAATCAGGGTTTGGTGAAAGTCGCTCAACAGTTGCAGAAGTCACCAGTCAGCCACATGCCAAGCTACCTAAGTACAATCAATCGCTACATATTGACATAAAGTACAGCATCTATATGACAATGTAGCCATAATTGCTCTGGTAGACGGATAATCCACATTCTGTCACTCTTCAATTCTCAGACGCTGTAGGCTTGTCAATACATTCCAGCTACACTGTCATGAATTAGAGAATATTCCCCGTATGCATCTAGAGATGAACCGGACTATTCTATCAAAGATCTAAAATCTTGTTATTCCAGCAAAAATCCGGAATGCCCTTTACTAAGCTGATGTTCTACCCATATATACTAGATCCCAATCCTTCGTAAGAGTGAAAGTCAACTCGATATTTGGACGGGTGTAAAAGTATCTTGAAACATGTCTATTGGTTTAAAGCATCGGAAGGGTAGCCACTACTGACATCGCGAAACAGATATACCGGAGCCTTGTCGTTGACGTGAACTCCTAGCATGGAGGTTAATTTTAATATCTAGATGAGAGGTTCAATGCTGTAACAGCTGGTTCAATAACAGGCTATGCCCCAACCTTTGGGAACTCTTAGTATATAGCAAACCATCGTCCTTGCGACGCTGACGTCGCGAGGCAACGGAGAAATTGACAACAAAAATCTGAATTGCTAGATAGAGAGTAGCTAGCCTAGCACGTCTAATGCCTACCCAGGCCGGGGCCTATCCCCACTACGGACGGTAAATATAATCATCATCATCATCATCATCACCATCGTCCTTATTGCCATTCCACAGATTTTTTTCCCAAATTGGTAAATCAGCTCAGACAATCAAGCCTTTCGATACGATTCTGGCCATACCACAGTAGTAGGTAGTTTAGTAGTAATCAACCGAGTTACTGGCGTCAAATGTGATGCAGGTGGTTAATATTATCTAATCACCAAATGGGGAGAAAGAGACATAGATGAGCAACCTGGGAGCCAAAACAACTTTTTGAATAGGACAAGCATTTAATAATAAGAGAATGCCTAAATATACCTCATTAGAAGCTTTCTACTTTATTTTACCAGAGCTGGGAGCAAAAACACCCCAGGAGATATTATACCATAAGGGAATGTCATCAAATTCCATAGAAAGGCAAATGCTGCATTAGGTAGTATAGATGTGGTCAATGGAATGATGTGCCACCGTGGGGATCAACGAATTATATTTTTGAAATCATCCATGATAAACCTAGCTTACATGATGGACAACGATATACTTCGTGCTTGACTTTGAGGTTTTCGCGTGGATTATGAAACACATGGGTGACAAATATAGTGATGATTTCCGCTGCTAGATTTCTCCATTTTGCTGTGGTTGTACCACAGACCTTGCTATATCAGTGATTCCTGTTCTAAGAGGAAACGTGTCTCCTTTGGCATTATACACTTTCATTTATAGTTTGCTCCGCTGTCTTTGAACTTTATTGTCTGGGAGCTTTCGGTGCAATAGGTGTCTTTGGTGATGAACCTTCGTTTGCCACTTCACGGCTTGCATCCATGTTGCTTGGGCATATCAGCGATAGGAGGCTGAATGTTAGCTCTGATCCAATTGTTTCGCATAGCGTTCATTGAACTAGTGGTCACCTTTATCGACCTATGCCTATTTGTTGAAAACAGTGCTTCTACCTCAACGGAGAATTTAAGATAGAAACATTTGACGACAACCCGAACCTTACCGCTAGTGGATCCCGGCCACGAAAGCCAGATATGGAAGGCCACAGCGCTGGGCCAGCAACTAGGAGTCACAAGGCCCGTAATTTTGAGACAAAGGTTGCAGGGATGGTACATGTACTCCGTAATCTACGACGGAATGTTGACAGGTTTGTAGCTAGGAATGACCGATGCTCCGCACCATATCTCTGCTACTAGTAGAATTTAAGTATACTATCGCTGCTCTGCACGGATGTTACATGCCTTGCCAAGCAATGTAACCCATTAAGCACATGTTTCGTGCGTTTACTGCAACGTATTCTTGATTTCTCACATACGTACGTAAGCCGCGTCCCCGCTGGCCATTATCATCCATTATAATCCGAACTTCCTTCTTCAGACATTCAACACGCTTGCGTTGACTATGTTCCTAAAGATCTTTGTATGCCTTAAGGAAATCCTACGTTACTTTCTTTTACTGGCGCGAGATTCTGGTTCACCTTCCCATTTATTTACGCAGGCTAAAATAGTGTATACCTCAAAAGCTAAAATGCGGGGAATATGTATTCCCTGGATTGATGAGAATGCTGTGCACAGATCATGGCAATCATCACGCTGTATGCAAGGTTATCTTGGGAGCAGACACAAAGCTGAACCTTGATGATAACATCCTCTATGTATGTAGGGGCAAATTATTGGCCCGCTTACCTATGCTAAACATCGTTCAGCCTTTGTGGGTCTTGAGATATTGTAATCCATCTTGTAGTATGTGATAGCTTGAAGATCCGTTGATCCATAAGAATCTACTGTAACTCAAATGAAACCTAAAGTTGGTGTGAGTAATACTACCTTCTCAATTTGTACGCCATATAAGACAAAATCCAAAAGGCGAAAGTATCAGGGGGTTGAATTCTATAAAAGCACCATGATGCCCTTCACCGATTTTGCGACCAAACCGAGGGATACTTTATTCTCGTTGTTCGATTGAACAAGTCTCTTGATTATTAAACACTGACCTTATTAAGTGTTTTGACCATGACACGACTCCTCGACGCAAGTTTTCTCCTTTTGCCTGTAATCGCATCAACCCTGTTCGGAACTGCTTCTGCTCAAAACGCGACATGCGCAACTAAGGGGAAACCAGCGGGCAAGGTTCTTCAAGGGTATTGGGAGAACTGGGATGGATCAAGTAATGGAGTTCACCCTCCATTCGGATGGACGCCTATCCAGAACCCCCAGATTTTACAAAACGGCTACAACGTGATTAATGCCGCTTTTCCGGTCATCCTCTCAGATGGTACAGTATTGTGGCAAGACGGCATGGATGCTACTGTTAAGGTTGCGACGCCCGCCGAAATGTGTCAAGCCAAAGCAGCGGGCGCCACTATTCTCATGTCTATCGGAGGTGCTACTGCTGGCATCGACCTTAGCTCTAGCACCGTCGCCGATAAGTTCGTCTCGACTATCGTCCCAATCTTGAAGCAGTACAATTTTGACGGTATTGATATCGACATTGAGACGGGTTTGGTTGGAAGCGGCAGTATTAGTACTCTATCCACGTCACAGGCAAACTTGATCCGCATCATTGATGGCGTTCTTGCACAGATGCCTTCTAATTTCGGATTGACCATGGCGCCAGAGACAGCATACGTGACAGGTGGAAGTATTGTATATGGATCCATCTGGGGTTCATATCTCCCAATCATCAAGAAATACGTCGACAACGGCCGATTATGGTGGCTAAACATGCAATATTATAACGGCGACATGTATGGTTGCTCTGGCGACTCATACTCGGCTGGCACTGTCCAGGGATTCATCGCACAAACCGACTGCTTGAATAAGGGTATTGTCATCCAAGGCACCACAATCAAGGTTCCCTACAATATGCAAGTTCCCGGGTTACCTGCGCAATCCGGGGCTGGTGGTGGCTATATGACTCCTAGCTTGGTTGGCCAGGCTTGGGATCACTATAACGGCGCTCTTAAAGGTCTAATGACATGGTCAATCAACTGGGATGGATCGAAGAATTGGTCATTCGCCGATAACCTCCTCACCAGGATCTAAATCAATGATACTAGAAGAAAGCGGACGTCTATACCATCATTCTTCGTCATTCGGGATCCTGAATGATCCTATGTGCTTCGCATCGGGTTTTGCCGGCTTTGAGCCCACTTAACAAAAATATGTATATTCTTTGCCGCTGAAAATATAAACCGAAAGGTGTAAGGCATTCGGTAGAGCAATGGCACTCTACTGTATTCAGATAAATGTATATAGGACAGTTGAATAGTTAGTCTCAGTATATAAAGTCATTAGCCATAGGGCCAGATTATGCCAGAGACTGAATCAATACTTGGTGATGAAAATATTCAACATTTTCCAAACAGAAAGGTTTATCAACGACGCATATACGGAAATATGATTTGTTTTCTTCTCAAATGCGACAATTGTTACTCATGCCATCCACCGTCTTGCGAAATATTAGGTATCACTCTCTTGGTGATCAGACATCTATTATTATTAATCATATTTCCACTAGTATTACTATTGTATTAAAGGATTCATAAGCTATCAAACACTGTTTTCAAATTAGACCGCCGTTCTAATCATCAGGAAAGGAATCCTTAATATAAGTGGAGATAACGGTACATAACGTGAAATGTCGTTATAGTAATCTGCTACTCTAGTTTTAGGCATTACGTGTTAATCGCAACAGTTTTACAGCACTCTGTAAATGGTATATTTACAGAGTCAAATCTAGCTCCCTTTGTGGCAACATATAAACATCGCTGTCAAATTTTATCTGTCCAAATATAGAAGAAGTGCAACTAACCACTACTATCGAATTGAGATGGCTTGCCACTATTCTACTTTTACCGTCATAATTGATTTCGGTAACAAGATCAGTTGGACTCCCTACGTAAAGTCAGGATATTGGCTTCTCCAGAAATTGAACCAATCGAGACTGATCAATAATGAACGGTGGATTTGTCGATACAGTAGAGATGCCCGCCATAAAACTGTGGGTTCATTTGGCCCCAATTGGTTGTCTTGCTGTCTGGAATGGTTAGAGAATGCTCATCAAGCACAGTAACATATATTCAGATAATATATATCCCGGCTATTTAATATCTTATCAGTATTATGCCTACATAAGATTATGATGCTTCTATTCCGTTGGAGAGTGCACCTTCAGGGCTGCTGATTCCTTCGGAAATTCAAACCATGTTTCTGAATCATGCTTTCCGTATTCAGATGTTCTTATGAATGTATTTGGAACTACTTCTCCAACAATAAGAGCGCATTTGCAGCCGGGGAATTATGAACTATAGTTGGTGAAGTAGAGTTGAACGAGTGGATCTCATAACGTTGGGGCCCGCCCAAAACTACCACATAGATATTTCCGTTGAAAGATGCAGCAATATTCCCCATACACATCACTTTTTTAGATTGATAGAATACCTTCGGTCAAAGTCGAGACTGCCAGCTTCTCTTATTAATGTTGCTGGTCCAAGAGGCTTTGATGGAAGCGAGCAATACGAGCCGGGGAAAAAGGCGACAATGGCCTCTGTCGCTCTCCCTTTCGGACATTTTTTTTCAGCGGTCATTTAAAGAAAATAGTAAGTGTTTCATACTAATAGGAGATGAAAGTTGAGCGTTAAATATAAACACTCTCATTTGGAACAACATATACTTACAATACATTGAAGGCATCCTGTAATTGTGGGCGATAATACATTTGCTAAGTATGCCAGTGATTATCCGAAATGAAGAAGTGTTTAGTCCTATAGGGCTTTTATTTATAAATTAAACTTGCGCATGAGCTTAGTTAATTTTAATAGTTAAGTAGGTAGGTAAATATATCCATCTTAAGTTTATAATATTCAAGCCTTATAGTATTATTAGTCCAACACAATTTAGTCAGTATTTTAGGACCAATGCCTACAATTTTATTCCTCTTCCATTATACCCACACTGTTTTTTTTTTTTTTAAAGAACAGAATCTGACAGCTAATTGTTATCATGGAGATGCAGAAATAGTTTCTAAAGGACTTATAATAAGTACGGATGCTGTGCTGTGCAAGAGTTTGCACTGTGGAGTCGCCGGGTGCGCCATCGTGGCCTCAGCTATGCTTATTAGGTGCCTAGTTTGCGGTGCGGACTTACACTACGGACATACCAAAATAACCGGAACAATGCAATACATCCTTCGCCTCTATCTTTTGATGAAATGTTGGGTACCTCCAAGTGCCTCTAGCTCCGCAACTTCCGCGCAGCTTCTGCACTAAAGCAAAGCCCCGGCTAATATCTAGCCTCGAAACATCAATGCCTCTCGCAATATCTATCCACATGCCGCTCATTTCAACCGATGAGTCCGCGCCGAGCTCCCGCAAAGGTCTCGTACTCTACTCACATCCAATGGCTGGCACGCAGTCAATCAGCATAGGCCCGATGAGTGGCGTGAGTGTTACTCACTCACCGTATGCTTGCATCACTTGCCGGCATTCGAAGAGACGCTGTGACAGAACTTACCCCAAATGCACACTTTGCACGCAGTATGTCAATTTGAAGGGACATTCTTGTCGAGCAAGCAACTCTAATATCATTGGCAACACTTAGGAGACAGATCCCATGTGATTACCCTTATCGTCGAAAAGAGAGAGCACGCCAAGTTGCAAATCCTGAGGGAGACATATCGATGACTATTGGAGGAAATATGTCTATCTTCCAAGCATCCGGTGATAGATTAATGTCAGGGCGCTCTGGAATAACTACCTCTGATATCTCGGATATTCTAGCGTCACGGTTTCTAGATCCCGAGATCTTTAGTCTTCTGCAATTAGAAACCCCCAAAGTGGAGGTAGCGATTCCAAAAATGGTTGCTGACTATGTCGGCACCATAGTCGACATTCAAAACATCGCCAATGCCTATTTTGATACCATCCACACATGGATGCCAATTCTATCAAAAAAACAGTTCTTTTCAAATCTGCCCAACTACTTGACACACAAAAAAACCGAACTGTGTCTTCTCGTCATATGTATGAAACTGAGCTCGTCTCTTACAACTACAGCAAAAACAGTGCTATATCGAACAGCAAAGCAATTTCACTTTGAAGTGGAATCTTCAGGAATACTATCAGTTGCAGTTCTACAAGCCGGTGTCCTTATTGCGATTTATGAATTAGGACATGCTATATATCCGGCTGCCTTCTTGTCTATAGGGCAGTGTGCCCGGTATGCGGCGGCACTCGAGATCGACAAAAGCATCACTTCTCGTCTATTAGACAAGCTCCCCTGGAATGAGGTGGAAGAACAGCGCCGAGTGTGGTGGTCAATTATAATACTGGACCGGTAAGAAATTTTGACACCATTTTCTCCACTAGAAACTATGCGAGCAATTTTGCTAAGACAATAAAAAGGTATCTCAATCTCTGCAATCCTGGGCGCCATCTAATCACTCCAGATCCAACGCCGGATAGCTATCTTCCGGGAGATGACCTAGAGTGGGATACAGGAGTATGTAACAAAGTCTAGAACATTTAATATGATGCTAATCACGAATCCTCCAGTCATCGCGATCGGAAAACTCGTTAACACTTGGCTCATCGTCAGGCTCGTATATTGGTCGTTTCGCTCGATTTGCGCAAACAGCTCATTTACTAAGCCAAGCGTTATACACCGTTGCAAAAGACCCTACTACTGATCCAGCGCAATTACGGCGCACCCTTATGGCTCTTGTCAACCTTTCGTTCATGGAAGGCACGATGAGAAAGTGGGCATTTTGCAGCCAAATGGCAGTGTGCTTCAGGTGAGAGGCGTACTTTTCGCAGCTCATTGTTTGCTATATCTAATAAATGTCAGTGGGATACTTCTACTGGATTATCCTGGTTTTTCGTTTGAAAGAAGAGATCCAGTGATGCAGCCCATGTCAGTGGAAGCTGAATCTTCTCTAAACGCCGCAATAGAGTGGATATCGAATTTCCTAATAGAAGCTGCTGGACAAAATTGCGAACGCGTATCTCCTTTCCTCTTGCATTTTCTATATAAAGCAACGTCTATTTATTCAAGGCTTCGAAATTCAACGTCAGAGAAGCCTATTAATGAGAGAATCACCATTTTGAAAAACACCTTGCGTCTTCTTAACCATCGATGGCTGGCAGCTGGTAAGTGGGGACTTCCTTTGTTCTTCATGGAAAAACTGACTCTTGTTTTCAAGGCGCATATATGTCACTCCTTGAAAAACAAGAAATCATGCTTCTCGTACAATCCGACTAAATATACTTGGTTTTTTCTCCGGGTTGCAGTAACATATATTCCGTATATGGGGATTGCTTACTATTTTCAGCGGTACTATTATGGTGTATAGGTAGATCTATAGATACCAACGCGAAAGCGCCTGCATTCACCTTGCAATGCTTGATATCATATATAATACAGCTTTACAATTTTCATAATTAATATCGTCTTAAGAGACTGCGCCAAAAGGTTTTATTTAGAGTGCTACAGGGCACATGTCCGCGTTGCCCACCTAATATGATGCACACAAGTCTAATAGAGCCACTGCACCATTTGCAACATATAGTCTATTTTAAGTGTATTTCTTCTAGCGCTGTTAACAATATTGTAGTAATTAGGTGAGGTTCATCCAAATAGCACCTAAGCGATCTCATGTGGCGTGTATGGAATTTCTTGCGTTTGGGGCTGTTGCGCTACAGAGAAACCTCACTTACTTACGACCACAACTTAATTTGCTACGACAAAGGTGTCTTGGGTAACTGATATACTCTAAATATCCCATCAATTAGCAATGATGATAGATCACACGATGGGAAGCCCATATGAAATCAGTGTCTAAATTCGCCACCTATAATAGTTTGCTTTAGCATGTCGGGGTCGGACTAAAATGCGGTCATTCGGTGCGGGTTTTGATAGCGCGTGTCCATTTGTCATGCTAGGAAGACAGATGTTGTAGTACGGCCGAAATACCGCTATACCTGATAAGTATGAGGATTTTAATTTAGGGTGTTGACATTGAAGGGTAAAAAGGCAAAATGAATGTCGACTAGTTAATTTGCAGTAACGAAAAGCGGTATTTTGAATAGCGAACGTTTTGGGACTCCGCAATTCAGATACAGCACATCTTCATACTTCCGGCATGACCTATTCTCCGTTCGAGTTAGTAGACATATCATATAAACAAATTGCAAATTTTGTTCGCCCCTATACCTACCTTGATAAATTGTGAAGTAGTCGGCCGGTATATTTGTCTCCCGCCACAGGAGTATTGTGTAAACAGCAGCTGTGTTGTCATCAAGACGTAATGGCTGAGCTTCGTGGGGTATATATTCTTCGTATCTTCTCATCGTCCCTCCCGAGTCACTCTGTGCGAGATAATACTAGTTCTCAGATATCAAAGTCAACCTTGAAAGTGATATATTATCATGGCATCAAACCCCCCAAGAAGCTGCTGTGTAGTTGGTACCCTCCATGAGCATGTACCCCTTTAATATACAAGCTATTCAAATTGATACCTTTTTCGCTAATCTGCTTGCAGAGGTGTTCCAAAAGGAAAACTCATCAAACTTGACGGGGGAATCGATGCCTATCTTTCAACAGCATCTGATAAGAATGTGAATAAAGGCATTGGTATTCTCTTCGCCCCAGAGGCAATGGGCATATATCCCAACAGCCAGCTCCTGGCGGACAGCTTCGCCGCCAAAGGATACACCACACTTATCCCAGATGTATTCAATGGAGATGCAGTACCATTGAACAAATTTGCCACTATTGATTTGATGAGTTGGCTTACCAAAGGTTCTAATGGTAATAACCCGCATACTACCGAATACGTCGACCCCATTATCGTCGCTGGAATCAAAGCATTGAGACAGCTAGGGATACACCGAATTGGGGGTGTCGGTTACTGCTTCGGTGCTAAGGTAAGATCTACTCCATATATCTGTATATACTTATTTATTTATTGTACCATTCTAGTACGTATTGCGGCATTCCAAAAGTGGCATTGATGCCGCATTCATTGCTCACCCAAGCTTCGTCGAAGAAGACGAGTTGGCTTCTTTTTCCGGGCCTTTGTCCATCGCTGCAGCTGAAACAGATTCGATCTTCACTACCACGATGAGACACAAATCAGAGGATATACTCATTAAATCAGGCCAACCTTTCCAGATAAACCTCTATTCCGGTGTTGAACATGGTTTTGGTATTCGAGGCGATCCATCTGTGAAATTACAGAAGTTTGCCAAGGAGCAAGCATTTTCTCAAGCAATCATCTGGTTCGATGAATTTTTGTTGAAGACATAAACTTGCGTGCGTTTAGGTATTCATCTATATGAGTAGAGAAATGAATGTAGCTTATGGCTTAGCCATTCCAATGAAGAAAATCTTTCTAAGGGGTTTTGCCAAACTTCGATGATGTATCAATACTCGGTTGTGTAGAATCAAACCATATAATAATACATTAATATTAAATATTTTAATATTTGCGTTTATTTACCGGATGCATTTGGCAGGAGTACATATTTCTGGCAGTGGACAATTTAGCTTAAGAAGCGACATGATGGTGTCAGGGGTCGACTGAGCGGCATCAAGCCGGAGCGACCCTCAGCGTAACAATGCATTAATTACTCGGTATGGCTGTTTATAGCGTATTTAAAATAAACACATACACTCTTTTTGTCGATTTGAGGTAGGCATGTTGATGTATAGCTGCTCATCACCAGCTCGCACTTTTTTTTTTACGAGCCTTGGAGGAATTTGAGAGACTTCGTAACAGGACTAATCGCTAGCAGAAGTTTCATGCGCTCGTAATATTATGTAAACCCCTTTTTCTTTATGAATTACGGTTATCTGGATGCTGCTAACACATCTTCTTTGCAGTGAATAGCCCATTCCTGGTTCGACCCTAATGCCATCTTAACAAGTTCGAAGGAAATCTCTGTATGAGACACGCTTAAAAATCCTGAGACTAATACATAATATTCTCTAGTTTTGTTAGAGTCCTACTTGTAATTCTATGCTGGCAAATAGTACTTAGAAGAAAATGTTTCACGAAATCTGAGGTATTAAGCCTTCGGAATAATCCTGCCATGGAAGAAGATTAATCCAATGAACTTAACAAAACCACTAGGGCAGGTCTTTATCTTAGTATATGTTTTTTAAGAAGAAAAGAAGAGAAGGGAAAATACCATCCCATTCTAGCTTTTTTTCTAGAACGTTTGCGTAGTATAAACACCAATGTTCACTCTTCAACGACATTACATGGGATTGATTCCTTCTAGGCAACAAAGGATAAAAATATTCCGGTCCCACAACAGCCCCTCATTTGGGAATCATATAAAGCCAATATCCCCACCTCTTGATTGCGGAAAAAAACAAATCCTCTCACACATATTCAGCTACCCCTTTTCGTGTCTTTCTTCATCAACAAACGTTACCTTGACTCCCTACAAACGGGGGGTTTCGGAAAGCCGCGCACATTATGGCATATAACGATAAAAATATGATCTACGTAGTCACAGGTGGAAACAGGGGTCTCGGCCTTGGCCTTATTAAGTCACTTCTTATCCGTGCCAAAACGACCGTCATTGCAACCGTTCGCAACAAAGATAGCGTTTCAACTCTAATCGAAGAGACCTCCGTGATTGAAAAGGGGTTGGGTAGCACCATTCTCATCACATATTTGGATTTCTCCACAGCCATCTCCCCTGAAAAGGTTAGAGAAGCCTTCAAGTTCGATATAGATCATATCGATGTTCTCATTAATAATGCTGGAGGGGCACTCCCTATGGTGCCAGCTGCCGAGACAACGGCAGAAGACCTACGTGCTGCCTTTGAAGTTAACACAATCGCGCCCCTGGTTGTTTTCCAGGCACTATGGCCACTGTTAAAAAAATCGCCGTCGCCGAAGCTTGTTATGATTACGTCTTCAGTGGGTAGCATTGCGGAGATGGAGCCTGTTCCTGGTGGCGCCTATGGTCCGAGTAAGGCCGCCCAAAATTGGCTCACCAGAGCTTTGCACCTGGAAAATAAAAATAGCGGCCTCATTACAATTGCGCTGCATCCAGGCTGGGTACAAACGCGTGCAGGCCAATTTGTTGCCGATCAATGGGGGTTCACCTCTGGGCCTCCAGATACGATCCAGTCCAGTGTAGAGGGGATGCTTAAGGTTATTGATGAGATGTCGGAAGAAATGTCGGGGAAATTCGTCACTCAAAAAGGCCAAATTTTGCAATGGTAGATTGTTTTCGAATAATCCTGATTATCTTTAACTGCCGATAATCAGTTACTGTGACGAAAGAATAGATAGGAGTATCTTTTCATGCTTTTTCACATAGACACGATCGTTTAGTGCTACCAACCAGTTATTCACAGTTTCGGCCGCTCGTACAGAAAGTCCTATCGTATTCACACATGACTATGACAATATTCCGAGGCAACCTTCAAAGGTACTGCGATATAATATACGCGGCTAGTTTTCATGGGCTCCTTTTGAAACTTGAGATTGGGTTATTCTGTTTTGGAAATGTCTATAGCAATAGCATTGACGTGCTTTACAGGACCCTGATCCCCTTAAAGGTAGTGGGTAGCGGAAGTACAACAGTCCAAGTCTCATTGGCGATGAGAGAAACATTGTCAATTTCTCAGCTCAGCGAGTACATTGGTTGTAAATAACAGAATAAAATCTACCTCTACTTTGGAAATTTGCCCTCATATCGTGATCAGCAGATGAGGGAGTAAGATCCAGTGTGGAAGCAAGACTGATGGCACACTAGGAAGAGATATGAAGTGTACGGGGTGGCAAGATATAAACTAAAACATGTTTTTTCCACCAAATACATAAACCGACAACTGCTCTTGCCGTTGACCCAATAATAGTTCAAGTGCGTGGCGGTTTTCATTTGATCAAGTTGTATGACTAATGGCGTATATTGCGCCCGATTATTAGCTAATGAGCTCGTTTCGTGATTACTCAACAGAAATCCTACCATCACACCACTCCAGATGACGTCTTGGACTCGCTGAGAATTATGTAAAAAGATCCGACATGTCGTTGGTAGTTAGCACACTGTAGAGATATCCATGTGTGACACGAATCTTCCTACAGAATGCAAATTAGAAATCAATAGAACGACTTGCATAGGCCAAGAGTGGCGTTCGAATTCTTTTTAGATAAGTCGATGCGGTTTTAAATAAAACATATAAGGAGGTCTCGATGAGGAGAATTCGGTGTTGCTATTTCTGAAAGCAGTGTTCGTATATATCCGTATCTTGAACAGTTATCAACTCCTTCATCCAACATTAACAGCAATGGCATCATCAATTGTCTCGACTTTCCATTTTGAATCGTACCCAAGGTTGTCTCCGTCAAAGCTGCGCGATGAATTCAGAGGCAAATCAGTTCTCATTACCGGCGGGGTTACGGGATTGGTGCATCGATTGCTCGTAGCTTTTCCGAAGCTGGTGTTGCATCTATCATCTTGGCGGGACGTACCGAGTCCAGCTTGAAGTCCACTGTCGACGACTTGGCACAATCGTTCCCATCTTTAAAAGTTAGCTATCGTCTTGTCGATATCTCGTCCACATCATCAGTTAAGGACTTGTTTACATCTTTATCTGAATCGCCTGATACACTCGTCAACAATGCGGGATTTATGTCTGAGCCGCAGAATTTTGTTACTGCCGACATAGCCGAGTGGTGGAAAAGTTTTGAGATCAATGTCCTCGGCAATCTGTAGGACGGTAGTTCAATATCGACAACCCATGGTAATTGATTTAAGCTGTCATTGCCTTGAACAGCTGCGTTAACAAATAGAGTCTTTCCATGTCCGAGTTGTGCCAGTTTATCAGTAGAGTGATTTTGCTCACAATACCCGAGCTTCCTATAGCCAGCTATTCTCTCTTCTCTAGCCTTCCTTTCTTCTGCTGATTCAAATTTAGACCCCTTGATGCTTATCATGTTTTCGATGACATAAGATTTGTCGTTGTCTATGTCGGTGAAATGTGATGGTGTTTCTGATATATGGGATCTCCAAGTAACCATCTTTGCACCCCATCCATCATGAGCATGTCCAAAACAATGAATTCGCGGCTGAGCTTTCGCTACGGCTGCAAAAAGCTGGGGGCAACCAATCCTTTTCTTTTCCGGGGACATATCCATAATTCCATGGGGCGGGCCATGTGTAACAACGATGTCGATCCCACTGTCGATTTCAAAACTGTGAATGCCGCTGTATTGAAAGCCCCACTCGCCAGATGATGCAGTTGATGGCGTGTATGGACTCACATACATGCTCAACAGGGCGCCATTTTGAAGAGAAAACTGATGCGACCCTTCGTCAATAAACAAAATACCTTTGTTTCTCGATTGCTGCAACATTTGTCGGGCTGCACCGTAGTCGCCAAATTCCCCTTTTACTATCGTATCATCCAGAGGTTCCAGTGCCACTCTGTTTGCCTCGGAGATCTTGTGTTTGAAAACCGGGATATCGAGCGAGAAGTCGTGATTCCCAGCGATAACTATCTTGAGGGGAGCGCTAATCTTCTCCATTAAATCGATAGCCGCCTGAAATTCGTCCAATTTTGAATGCTGCGTCAAGTCGCCGCAGTGAATAGCTACGTCGACAGACGTATGTATATCAACAGGCAACTGCATCCCATGTGTGTCTGAAATGATAAAACACCTTGTCCGGATGCGATTAGATGATTTGCGTCTTAGGGTAGCCATGATTTAAATTGGGTAGGCGAAAAGTTCGATTTAAACAGAAATTCTATCAGCTCTGTTGATCTCCGTGCTTTAACGTCCTTCAGTATCGCATGGCGTTAGACTGGGAAAGACCAGCATTAGCAACATAGAATTATTGGTGATTTAGAATGTTGAGCCACATAAGATTGAAATTACATAGCCTTTGGGCTACGTGTCCCGTCTGGCCGTTGCCTAGGCATTGTTTCCGACGCGACGGAGCCAGTGCGCTAGCGAGAAGCCAGTTGTAACAGCCTTCTCGTGGCGTTGCCATGTGGGTGTTACAACAATGGAAAGACTTTGGCTTAAAAAATCTTCTTGCGGGGACCATAAATAATTCATGTGTATAATGGAGGATTGCCAAATAGTGTAAGCATAAATTGATAGGTAGATTGTAATACAAATACGGAATTATACGGGCCCTGCCATGGAAAGCTAATTATTACCTACCCGGCCGTTTGCAAAAATTTAGGGAACAGGGTACATGCATTATTCGACCACTTGAGCTACCATGCTTGGAGTCTGGATGGCACTGGGTAGACCTGGATGGTACTCCACGAGCATCCCTGTATGAAGCATAAATGTAAGATGACAGACAGGTTACATAAGGCTCGTTGAGTCCGCAGTGTTTACGCGGCCCTTTAGTGCACAAGTATGTATCAAAGTGCCTTTAGAGAGATAGTGACAGACTTGTTCGGAGTACGGATGGTAGGTATTTAAATTTAGAAGACGCCTTGTAATACTATGTGGGCAAATGTGGGCGAAGAAAACTGGCTGGCGGATTTGCATCGAATTCACATGCAGACAGCGCGCATTTACCATCTCTTCTAACGCTGCGTTGCGGGAAACCGGAAAATCGGCATTGTAGTGGCTGATCATCTCAATGCTCCTCGAGTTGAGCTCAGTATAAGGAAAACAAATCTCGGAGGCTCTGGCACCTAATTGGGTAACGTTCACATCACAATTGCATCATTGCATTTATAAGACCCACTACCGTGGAGAGAGTGATGATGAGCCGACGTCTTCGACTAACTACATATACAGCTGCAGAGCTGAAAAAAAAAATCCTACAATAAAAATTCACGTTAAAAAGGTAGCTAAAGAAGTGCAGAGACTACTTTGCTGTATTATTGTCTTATTCCAACAAGTCACCTCTCTCGTTAACAATGGTTTGGCAACACGGTGACCACCACGATATTCCGCGTCAGTGGCGTGTCCACAAGTAAGAACACTCTTCACATACTTTCATCAAACTACTATCAGAATCTCATGTGTTTCCACTTCATCTAGGCCGGGCGCATGGCTACCAGCTGATCATCGTGTCCATCGCGAGTATCTTCGTCGTGTGACAGAGCATGTCGATAAACACCCCGACGAAAAGCTGACTCCAGCGCTGCAAGAGTTCAAAGAGTTGATAGAGGGGAACTCAAGAGTATATATGTACTTTAACCAAATGTTTGAGGAAATACCAAACAAAAGGCCATACTGGCGCGACCCAACCGGTACTAAGCAGATCCGCGACTACCGCCATATGCTTCAGGTCCTCAATCACATTGTCTCGAGGGCTCCAGAATGGACAGATGCAGCTGAAAGTGCTGGCGTGGTGGGTGTGCCCTTCTGTGCAATCCTTGATTATCCCATGGGTACGCCAAGGTACGTTGAGGAGTCTCTGGAAGATATACTGACTAGTCCATGACATTTGGGGACTAATAAACAGCTAACTTGCCTTTGCCCAGTGGCCACGCCGCATTCCTAGACCCCGACGTGAATAAAGCGATCAAAAAAGTCTTAAACGAGTGGGGGAAATTCTTAGAGGTGATTTTGAAGCCCTTTGTCTCTCATCTCATCGCAAACTTATTTTGAGCTCCAATTGTCGGCTAACATGAGTCGGTTTGATCGCAGACTCCAAAATCAGCAGAGGTTTTAGGAGAACACAAGCAAGGCTGGTTCGGCGAAACAGGCCGTAACGATGTTATGCAGGTTGCCAATGCCCCATACAAGTCATCTCTGAAGTTTGAAGAAATGTTTATATGTGATCCATCCGCCAAATATCACGGCTACAAGTCCTGGGATGGTTAGTGCCTCACTGCCCAATTCCCTTAGATTGCCAACGCATGAGAAATAGGCTGACCCTTCAATTTAGACTTCTTCACTCGTAAGGTTCATGATAAGGCAAGGCCAGTTGCCTGTCCAGACGACGATAATGTCATTGCCAATGCGTGTGAATCCAAGGTGTTCAACATTCAGCGGGGTGCTCAATTGCGGGATCGGTTTTTCGCCAAAGGCCAGCCCTACTCGGTACTTGATATGCTAGCTCACGATCCACTGGCTCAGCATTTTGCCGGTGCGACAGTTTACCAGGCGTTTCTATCGGCTCTGTCTTACCACCGTTGGCATTCCCCAGTTTCAGGAACTATTCGACGCGCTTTTGTCCAGGATGGCACGTACTTTAGCGAGCCTCTCTTTGAAGGTGTGGGCGATCCCACGGTTCATGAAATTGATACTGGTGGCATTTCGGTTGGTCAAGGCTACCTCTCCGCGCTAGCAACTCGAGGCATCATCTTCATTGAGGCAGATAATCCTGCAATCGGTTTGATGGCGTTTATTGCTATTGGCATGGATGAAGTTAGCTCCGTCGACATCACTGTAAAAGAAGGGCAACATGTCGAAAAGGGTGAACAAACGGGCATGTTTCATTTTGGTGGATCAACACATTGTCTGCTATTTCGTAAGGGAGTTCAGCTGTCGGATTTTCCCGAAGTCGGGAGACAGGAAAATATCCCCGTTCGCGGTAAACTCGCTGTTGTCACGCCCTGAAAGTCGCGTAATTAGTGTATGAGTTCACTATTGTTCTACGACGGACATATTGTTCTACAGGGAATAATTATAAGACCCCATTGGAAAAGATTTCCACAAGAAGAGTGCTAATAGGCAACATGTAGACTCTGATTTGTAGAGCAAATATAGAAATATCTAGCATATGACCATTTAGGTGAATAAATTATAATCTCGCCACACATTTTTAGAAAATGAACACCTGATCACTCATCTTCGGGCTTGCACCCGGAGTCTCATATCCCAACTCCTTGAGGAATTTCTTTGCCGAACTGACCATACCGGCTGGCCCGCAAACCATGATTTTGACGTCAGTCCCTGGGAGTGGTAGCCTTTGTGCCGCTACATCTTTCGTTATGTAGCCAACCCCAGATTCCCAAGTTGGCGATGGCCGCTCAACAACATAGAAGACTTTGAACAGATTCGGATATAGCTGCGAAAAATTATCCAGCTCTTCTTTGAGTAGAATGTCATCCTCTGTTTGGCTGGCATATACCAAGCTTATTTCTGTCGTATCGCGATTGTTCTCACAAATTGCTCGAATGAGTTGGAACATGGGTGTTATGCCCGTGCCGCCGGCCAGCATTCCAATTTTCTTACAAAGCCCGTAAGAGTAGCGCATTGCTCCTTTAGGACCTTGTAAATGGATCTTGTCCCCAACTTGGAGGTTGGCAAGATATCCACCAGTCAACTTGCCGCCTGGATACATCTTTACCACCAATTCCAGAATTCCATAGTCCAAGTTATTGGATACTGGAGTATAGGACCTTGTCACCTTTTCTCCGCCAACAGTCGCAGTAATTGTGATGTGTTGACCAGTTGGCAGCCCCAACATTACTTGTTGGTGTGGCAGAGAAAAAACCAGCCGGTATACATTCGGTGCAATAAGTATCTTCTTAGTCAGAGGTACTGGAGACGAGACTGAATCCAACCAGCCTCTTTGAAGTAAAGGATCCCGTTCGACTGGTTTTGGCAATTTTAAGTGAGGTGGAAGTTTTCTAAAGCTCGTATCATTCATAATAATGCTGAAGGACTTTTTTATTGCCAGTGCTGTACAACCCATCAGGATGCATGAGCTTCCCAGCAGCCCCTTCAGGTAGCCGGTGGCGGTAGATGGTGAAGAAGTTATCGGCATAGCCAGGGTCGAGAGAACGTGCATTAAGGTATTCATCTGAGGCATTTTTGACGGTGTAAATGCTGAAATGCCACATTTATACTTCAAAACACCATACGATGTTGCTGCAATGCCCAACGAAAGACACGTCAATGTTATCCTGTTTGGGTTGGGGTAATCTCTGGAAGAATTAAATTTCTCGGTAGGAGGTTTCATAGCCGTAGGTATCTTTGACTTCTTGTTCGCACTGTTTTGTACTCTTCCGATACGGAAAGGAACCATCAGGTCGAAAGCATCATCTGAGTGACCAGCATTGTCAAATGAATCACTTGCATCGGTGCCGGCTGCTTCTATGAGGACTTCAATTCCTCCCGGATGATCCAAAAGATATTTAGTCACATCGTATACTGTTTAGAGTTAGTATTAATTGTTATTTTGAAAAGCAGATCATCGGACCTTCATCGTGGATAACCATCCATACGTCGTTAGGTTCCATATGCTGAGCAACTTCATCCACTGTATACTCCGTCTCCATGGTCATCTTGGCTTGCATGTATGATATTTTGGCGCATATAATCTTGACTGAACTGTTTTAAAAATGTGAGATAAGCTTGCAAGTTATATATAAAGACTGCGATTTGGGGTTTGATTCGCGAAGGAGTCTCCTATAAGATGTTGATAGTAGCAACGGAAGATTGTCGGCATCCGAAAATAAGTCTTGCCGAGAGGGGGATAGTAGTCCCTCACTAGATGGCGATCCTTGACCAAACGCCGAAGCCCCACAAACATATACAAACGCATGCGGCTTCTCCCTGCCCGCATATCCGTCATCAACATATACGGAGTGGTATTCAGCTGACTGAAGCCGTTAGACTGCCAACTTCGAAAAGGAGGGTGGCTTTCCGAGGAACATGGCATCGTCTAGGAGACAATCATATGACAAAACCTGTGTGTATTCTCTATTATTTATACAAAAATGGCACATTAGCCGAGGATTGAGTAGGTTACATCCAAAGAATATTACGAAGGCCTTATGGGATCGAACAATAGTGCAATACCGCGCCTTGATCATTTTCGGATTCCGGACCAAGAAGAAAGACCGAACATTGTTTAGTTCGGCCGTTCTCATGGAAATTCCATGGAGGCATGCCATGGAAAGTCAATTACAGAGCAGTGGGAAATAGTGTTTGTGATGATTACTTGAGAACGCACATGCCCGTGTATTCAATGTACAGACTCTATGACTATAAATTGTAATCAGCTTCTCACAACAACTCCCGCGTCACATCAAGTTAGTAGGCTCTCAGATCATCTCTAGTCATGATTTCTTCATCTTTCTATCTATTCGGCGAAGAGCCATCCATTGCCCGCCAAATCACCTTCCCTGCGACGTACAATTTTGCGGATTTGCAAGTGTTAGTTGCGTCCTACTTCTCTATTGTAGACGCTAAAGGTTGGTATAGTACTCTCATACATTTGTGTTTGAACGACCGCGGTTAATTGTTTCTCTAGATGTTGGCTTCATTCATCGAAATATTGAGTTGACATCGGCAAGCGAGGTGTATGCCGCAACTGGCCCCATTGCGATATCAATTAATGGAAAGCCAGTGCGAGATATACCGGGGCCAGCTGGTTTGCCATACGTGGGAAGCTTCTTCGAAATATATCCTGACCATCTTGGAAACCATCAGAGACTGTTTAATAAATACGGACCACTTATTGTCACAACTAATATGGGAAGCCGCATCCATCATACCAACGATCCCCGCTTAGCCAATATTTTCTTCTCCGAGAGCGCTTTTTTCTCGAAAAAGATCATTCCTAACCATCCGTTGCATGCAGTAGGGATGTCTGAAGCAGGGCTATTCTTTGGAAATACAGATTCTGAAGAATGGCGCATTACGCATAAGTTCTTACCTCCGGCTTTAGGCCCCAAGGCAGTGCGACATTATGCACCAGCAATGCAAAGGACAGTTGAAGAATCATTCAGTGTATTCGATAAACTAGACCTGGATGGGGAATCATGGAACGTATTTCCATATATGATGAAGATTGGCTCTCAAGCAGTTGGCAGACTTGTGCTCGGCTTGGAATTTGGGCATTTCACCTCTGTCGATGCCCCTCTACACGAATTTGTTACCAAGGTAACCAGTGTTGTCGAACTAAGTAAGCGAGTGACGTCTATTGGGAGCTGGTATACCAATATGCCATTTGGAGATCCGAAAAGACTTCGTGACAACATGAAGGAAGTCCGAAGAATACTGTTAGAGGCATCCAAGAAAGCATCCAAAGGAATTGAAGACCTGGAGCTCCAAGATGCCGCTCTACAATCTCAAAATTTAGTCGGTATGTATTGACACATTCTGTGGACTATAAGGGGCTGAAATCTGACATTTCATTCATCATTGCAGATTATTGCCTCAGAGCAAGAGATATGAAAGGAAATCGATTGACTTGGGATCAATTTGTACCGGCATTGGTTGTGATCACCGCGGCCGGGTTTGTAACGTCTGCTTCACTCCTCTCGTGGATGATATACGGCCTCGTGACATACGAAGGGGTGCAAGAGAGAATACTCCAAGAATTGATTGACCATGACTGGGATGAAAACATCCAAGTTACGGCCGATTTAACGAACCAGCTTAAGTTTATGAATAACTTTGTTAAAGAAACTCAGCGAAAACATAACCCTTCATTCCAACCCAGCAGAACAGCGTTGGTGGACATGATTTTACCTGGCGGGTATAAGCTAGCGAAAGATTCTATTGTTATTGCCGATTTACATCACATTCATACAAACCCACACGTGTGGGATAACGCTGACAAATTTGATCCTGACCGGTGGGACACTGAGAAAATCAAGAATCGGCCCCCTGGGTCCTACCAGCCATTCGCTTCCGGTCCCAGAGCCTGCATTGGATTCAATTTTGCTCTACAGGAGGTAAAGATTGTGTTATCTAAGCTGTTATACCGTTACAGGTTTAGCTTGGCCGAAACTGGAACAGTCGAGTATGATCCATATTACTTGATCATAAAGCCTAGTAACTTATATGTCCGGGCAGAAAGGCGATTCAAATGGCCACAGAAAACAGGTGCGAAAAGAGACGCATAGATAGAATAGGGGTAACGCTTTGAGAAGGACAACTAAACTAAATTTTAAGCTTTTTACAATACATGGATTTCCACACTGGGATAACTCCTACATGAAATTAACAAGTTCGTGTCATTGATTGAATGAGTTTTTTGGGCGGCGTAAACGGGTATAGCCGCGACTTCTACCACTGTACATTTAGATCGTCTGGCTGATCACTAGCGGGGATGCTGTCAGTAATTCATGGCCATTAATACTATTCTATGCCGAGTTGAGTATATATGCGTTACAAGTGCAAGACGCTGTTCTCAATGAAGCACCTACGTCTTTCTCAGATAATCCATCAGAACATAAGCTTTGCCCCAAAAAGTAAACAATTATAAAGGAAATAGATGATGCGTAGCAATCAAGTTCTTAATGTATCAATGCTTAGAATAAAATTTCCGAAATATATCTCGTTCTTTTTTGATACCGCATATTTTATGCTTGCCGCCGAAGCCATTCTCTCCAGCCATCATCCTTGGTGATGGATCTCACCCTGGCTTCTAGCCATTCCGTATTTCCCCAGAATCCCCATGAGGCTTGGAATCGACACCAGTCTACAAGAGCAGTCTCCCAGTGGCGAAGGAAATCGTCCCAATCATACATGGGTATTTTGCTCTTTGGGCGATTGTCCATCAGGATAGACCAATAGTGCTTGAGTAGCTCCATTTCGCATTCACTCATTCTCAATTTGTCTGGGGTTGGATTGTGGTTCGTCAGCATACTCATTGGGACAGAGCATGTGAACAGCTTGGCTAGGTCGCAAACGCCTAGTCCAATCCCCGCATATTGAAAGTCGAAGAACACCACATCATCACCAGATTCTGTTGAATAAAGATTTTCCGACTTCACATCACCATGGATGTATGTCTCAAAAGGCCTGCCACATGGCGTCAGAAAGTTGGCAACTTCTTCAGCAATGGATGAAGACCCATCCACAGAGGCACAAAATATATCAGACCACTCCGAGAATTCGTCTTGCTCAAGCGACTGATATTCTTGTCGTCGGGTGGCCAAATATGTATATCCACCATTCAACCATAGGGCCGTTCCACCCGATTTAGGATCAATTTGACGTCTGGAAGCTTCTTCAAGCGGCGGCAAGAGAAATTCGCTCAGATTTTGAGGCAGATAGGTCCATGAGGTACTATGGAACTTGGCCAGCCATGCTAAAGCTGCATAAACCTGGTTGCTTGAAAGAACTGCCCTTTTTTCGCCTGCAATAGGAAACTCAAGCCTTAGATCGTTCATAAGAGTAACCATCAAATGGTCAATACCATGTTCAACGGCTTTTTGTTGCATACTCCTCGTCGAAGCAAAACAATGGGCAACTGCTATGTTGTCGGCAAGCCGAGGAGCAACTTCATCGTAGAAATACTGCTCAACCTCGTAACTAAATATCTTTCGGAGGTGGCCCTCATCTCCAGTTTCAGTGGGCGGATGAACTATCTTCAGAACGAGATGGATTGTACTGCCTTGGCCATTTCCTCGGTCCCTGGAGAAACGCTGCCACCGCGAGGCTGCGCCATCAGTTGATCGAGCGGAAACAGCGCAAATGTGGCCATACCCCGCCCAGAGACCCTGCAGTGTAGTGCATGAAATTAGCTCAAGGTCGAGCCAAGAGAGCAAGATGGCTGCAACTTGGCTCGGTTCAATCTGCCGAGCCATAATAGCAGTGAGCCTGGTGATTATTGGCAAAGAACGAGAATCTTCCTTGCTAGACCTCCATGTGAAAAAAAAGGAAGTGATCTAACCAGCCGCATTATGTAATAGCTTGCAGCATCTTGGCTCCTCAAGGAATGTAGTGAGATCGCTCCACTTTGAGTTGAGCAGATATTAAATTAAAGTATGTGTAGTACCGGAAACAGCAGTTGGAATAGTCAAATTTGTACCCGATCAAAACTTGCATGTCAGTCGGAATGTCTCTTTCCACAAGTACTATTCTGTGCAGTGTTTCAATAGATTAATATGAGAGCTAGGTGGAGAAAAAGGCCACGCCGTCGTAAGATCAAATTGCCAGCATCGTATCCGTCAGATACTTTGTTGCTATAGAACAGTGACGAAGTTGATGAAACCGGCGTAACAACTATTATCCATCATAAGACTAATGGTTAACCATGTGTTAAAATCCTACTTTTTTCTCATTTTCCCTGCAAGAGATAGACAAACACTCGACACGAAGCTTTGTGCAAGCCGTAGTTTCTTGTAATGAGTGAGCAATTATCCCATAGCTGACTAGCCAGATAGGCCATGGCAGTATCCTGGTTTAGATCCGATCGGTTACAGCTGATCAGAGAGATATGACCATGCCGCCAGTGGAAGCTATTAAAGTCTGACAAATTAATGTTTCGGGGGAAAAAAATAAAGTTCCTTGCAAACGATAAATACGGCAAGATTACAGTCAGTCTATAGACCTAGTCTAGGATGCTCTGTGTAACTCATTATCTAGCTACAGTGTAAGGACAAAAGTCTGCGACCACTTTACAGTGCCTCACCTTAAAATGCAAAAACAGGTATTTTTAAAAATTACATAATTATTAATGTAAAAGTATAAAAATTATAAAAAAAATTATTTATATAAAGCTAAATAGTTAAATTTAATAATAAAAATATTTTTAAAAAATAATCTTATTAAGTAAATAAATAAATAAGGAAAAGGTAATAAAAAAAAAGAGAAAAATATTTTTATCTAAGAAAAACAGTAATAATAATACATTATTTCCCACTATAACCCACTATAGTAAATTTCTGCAAAAACACTATATTTTTAATCACTTATTACAACAGCAATATTTATTATAATTTAATATAACTTTAAAAATATAAAATACTTTAGTTAATTAATAATATTTTAGAAAAAAATATTTATTATAACTTAATGTAGTTATTTTGCAGGCGTTTGAAAATATAGGTTTTTGCGGGTATACTGTAGAGTGGTCGCAGACTTTTGTCCTTATACTGTACCTATTGGACGGAACAAGAAAGTCCAGTAGCGGCGAATGCTTGCGCTAAAGCGTGCCAGCCCACCTTGTATGCCAAGCTGTCTTCCACAGCACATGGCCGCACAAGACTTTAAAATTATTAGGCTAGTGAATCTGTGGTTCACTTGTTCTAGCTCGGATTTAGCAGGGAAATTTATTCCATCGCTGCAGTGTTGCTTCTCTAAGTTGCTCTAGGACCAGCCAAGTGGAAATGGTATGCCGAGAGATATGTCAAATAGCGAAATCCTTTAGATACGGTAGACAACACAGCGGAAGGGCACGTATTCGGATAATAACTTGAATATAGCCTAAGGAATCAGATGCCCATTGGGATATAATTTTGTCTCGAAGCTCTGACCGACAACAATTTATGATGGATATTATTACTCTACTAGGTGCATTTGCGAATGGGAAAGCTCTATGCAAATGTACAAGTAAAATAGCTATTCTTATTCAGATCTACCAGATCATATATGTTCAAGTATCGACGGAAATAACGTGTAAAGAGATACTTTTTTTATTCATCTTCTAGCCATTCAGCTATACTATTTGACTATGCTGTAGAATTCGCCCAGAGTTCTCAATGTGTATGCATAACCATTTTTTCCACAACGAATCAATAGACCACCAAGTCATTGTCCCCGCTCGAGGCATCAAATATGTAGCCAATTTAAGCACTGTTTCCATTGAAGATGAGGACGTTGGGGCTGCCGTTAAGGCTACCGGTGACACGGCCACTGGTAGCCAAGGCCTTGATGCGGTTGGTGACGGCGGTGGGGGTAGCAAGACCCTCAAGAGACTGAAGATAGAGAGCAAGGCCAACAACGTGGGGAGTAGCCATAGAGGTGCCGCTGATTGTGTTGGTAGCCGTGTTCGAGCCGATCCACGAAGACAGGATGTTGACACCGGGAGCGAAAACGTCAACGCCAGCACCATAGTTGGTGAATGAAGCAGTGCGCCAGTTGATGTCAAGCGCAGCAACAGTGATGGCATTAGGTACATTAGCAGGAGAGGTGCCGGAAACGGGCTGGGGGTTTCCTAAAGAGTCGCCGTTACCAGCAGCCACAATAGTAAGAACACCCTGGTTAAAGGCTGCGTTAATAGCGGTAGTCCAGGCGGAGGAAGCGGGACCTCCAAGCGACATGTTGATAGCAGACTTGCTAGCGCGGTTTCGAGAGACAATGTCGTTCACCGCCCAGTTATAACCGTCAAGGATTACCGAGGTGCTGGCACTGTTTCCCTGGAAGACTTTGACGGAGATCAGACTGGCCTATTATCTTCGAGTTAGCTCTACAAAATTCATCAAGCCATATATTGTAGAGCAATAGATGAAATCAACCCGCTTACCTGCTTAGCAACACCATAAGTAGAGCCACCAATTGTTCCGGAAACGTGAGTACCATGGCCGAGAGTGTCAACATGCTGTCCTCCGGCGGCGTTGTAACCGAGGCTGGCACGTCCGCCAAACTGTTGGTGAGAAGTGTTGATACCGGAATCAACGACGTAGGCAAAGGTTCCACTGCCAGCTGAGGTGTCATAGATATAGCTAGTGGAGCCAGAGGTGCGGTGGGACACAGTACCGAGACCCCAAGGAGCACCAGTCTGTGTAGTCAAAGCACGCTTGTCTTCAACAATGTCAGACAAGTACATAATATAGTCTGGCTCAACAGAAGCAACCTTGTCTCCATGGTCAGTATCTTATGTTTAGATATAACATATGGGAATGGTAAGTGCATACATCGGGGCTAGCCTTAATCTGCTCAATAGTATCCTCATCGAACTCGCCAGCATAGGCACTCCAGGTGTGGATATTATACGTCTTCTCAACACCTGCGGTGTTGCGCTTGGTAAGAGAACGACGGTGGAGGTCATTCACCCAAGTCAAGTGAGAGTCAGTATCAATAGAAGCGCCCTCCTTCAGAGTGACAATGAACTTGTTGGGAACAGCCTCGGGTGCCTTGTGGTGGCCTGCAGGAGCAGCGAGGACAGCCGGGAGCAGAGCTCCAAGATAGAGCGCAAGACGACGGATGCTGGCCATTGTGAAGGTATCTTCTTATTGTAGATTTGGAGGCAATGGTAGTTTGATGGCTGGATCTGATGAAAGATGTTTTTTCCTTGCGAGGAGAGGCCATTTAAATACTTTTTTTTTTGTTATTGTATAAGTAATCGATTTCACCAACCCAAGCTATCATCACTGCTACTACTATTGCGTCTTTCAGAATGATCTGCCAAGTCTCTGGCTACAGACGACCAAGCTGCCTAAAAGGACCTAGGACAAACCGATCCAACCAAGATTGTGTGTTTTTATTACGGCAGTCACAGCGCCCAGCTCTTGGCATCTAGTTTGAATGCGGAAAGCAATAAGATGTAGCAATATTGTCTGCATGTTTGCTCATTGAGATTCATGCTGTTTTTGAGGCGAATACGTATAGTCTTTCGGCTAGACTATCATATCTTGCTGAGACTAATATCGAGATATTATTGTCATCTTTGGCTAAATTTATGATTCTCATGAAGCCATATCCTAGGCACATTCATATGTTATATAGTTTAAGATTCTTTTAAGGTTATATATGGCCCATAAACTAGCTTTGGCGAGCTAGCTTACGAGCTTAACTGGAGGAGTCTATAGACAGCTGGGAAGGCAGATGCTGTGCACTTCAGCTAGCACCATGCAGACTAAGATCGCACCAGTATTTGCCCACCTGCTAATTGTGTCGCAAAGTCCGAAGAAAAGGAACCTTTGAATAGAAGGGACGGCAAATATCTATATGGCGCAATATCCGCCGGCGCCTTGTCAAGTTTTAAGAAGGAGGGGATGCCGAGTGCCGTGCCTTTGGTACTGCTCGAAAAGGAAGGTGATTTTGTCAATTCGTTAAGCAGCCTCAAAAGGACCCCAAGTTATCGGTGCCGCCTACTCCACAGGGATGGAGACGCGCTATCGGAGATAAATATGAGCACTCGCCTTTCATTCGATAAGGCACATTACTATTCCGCAATAAGACGCGACACGCGACATACTAGACCATTAAGATGAGTCTAGAAAGGCAGACAATTGTGTCATAACACACAATGCATGCCAACAATGCCAAATATAGCCATCAAACTTAGCATTGGGGTGCTTCGACGCGGGCAGCTAAGACATGACTTTGGAGTGGAAATTCAGAAGTTATGAGTAGCAATCACCATTATGCTCCAACAATTTCTGCGCATCCCTGCCACGGTATTGATAATCGCAGTTAATAGTTTTCCATTTATTGCATGTTATTAGTACAGGGTAGCATTTAAGAAAGGTAATGACCAATTCTAGGACATCTCATAGGCTATTGTTCTTTATAAGTATAAAGTTTAGATGTGATCGATATTTTCCTTTTACAAAGGCATTGTTTTAGGAACTCTCACAGAATAACTATTCACATCTAGAATCTATTAAGGACCTTGTTATCAAGAGTCTTCTCAGAGATAAAGAACCCAGGAGACGATTGAGCATTCAATATGAGATGATTAACAATTGGCTAATTTGCTTTGACGATACGGTTTTTTTTTTTTTTTTCACTATGTGAAAATCCAATTATTATACCGTCTCTCCATTAGAAACTGACGCTGAGTCATTATTTTGGTGATAGTGTAGAAATTGATTGGAAACATGGATAGTTTTCTCATTTCGCTGGACGGTACATATAGTCATCCATATATCCAAAATCAGGGTCAAAGAATTTAGAGATGATCAACTCTTAAATGTGATCAACCTATACATGTCGTTTTAAGAAATCAATCTGCGCTGCAAAGCTCTCCTTGCGTAGCTCACCCTGGTAATGATTGAAATGATTACCGCCTTTCAATATATGAAGCTCTTTGGGCCCTTGCGCAAGCCCGAATGCCTGTAATTGGGGTGAAAATAAACCCTCATCCTTTTCTCCCACAACCATCAGGAGGGGAGTGGGTGCGATCCGGTGGATATATCTGATAGGTTCAAACCGAAGGAATCTGAAAAGAGACATTGTAGTAATTTTGTTTTCCCAAATTCCACCTAGGGCGGTGGCATCCTGAAAAAAACGGAAGCTGGTTTCATCTCGCAGTAGTACAGGTGCACTCCTGGCTTGGGCCTCCTCAATAGTGGAGGCGACAACACGAGAGAGAGGCCACTCTTCCCCATTACGGATTTTGGCACGGTCTCGTTCGGCCATGTCGAGAAGCGGTTGGCCAGTTCCTAGTAAAAGCTCTCCTGATACATATGGTACGAGTGCAATAACGGCCTTGACTCGGCGGTCGATCGCCGCAGCGGATATGGCAACACCTCCAGCAAGACTTATTCCCCAAAAGACAATTCTTTGAGAGTCAACCTCCGAAAGAGATGCGGCGTAGTCAAAAGCATCAATATAATCGTCTTGTGCTTTGACGGGGTCTGAGTCATATCTGCGACCGCCACTTTCTCCAAATCCACGATTGTCGTAGAGCAGGACATTAAACCCAGATTTTTGGAACTCGAGAGCCATTCCATCAAGGAAGTGCTCTTTGAGGGCGGTGACCTAATGTTCATTGTTATTAACCTTGACAATCATCATTCTTGCCCAGTGACTAAGAGCAGGCTCGACAGTTCAACATACCCCATGAGTCATGATAATACATGGACCCGGTTCTGAGGCAGCTGGGAAAAACCAGCCTTTCAGGGTTACTCCATCAACAGATTGGAAAGAGACATTCCAGCGGTTGTCAGACATGGTGAGTGAGTTGTAGAGGTTGAAATTCTTGTATGGATAGTATACCAGCAGAGAGGGCAATAAAAGTGTAGGTAGTTTGGAGAGTTTTCTACTTTATATAGTGCAATTTACATAGAGCTGCATATGTGAGCCTTTTAAAGAGCGGTCAAATAGAACACGGAGTATAGACAATTACATGTAATTACTGGTTGATAAGCTTACATACAAAACACTTACTGATACAGTGCTGACCTTTCAGCCTGGAGGCTATCATACTGTGCAATGTTGACGAGGTACAAGCTGATCCAATAAAATGTTTGAGTAGTGATAGAGAGCGGGTACGTGACATCTATTTTTAATATTTACCCATATGATTAATAACCAAGTCGGTGTTCAGAAAATAGCCAGATATGATACTTGTGCGTGTGGCCTGGCTGTGTGACAGTTTTTGGTCCGTCCACGTCCGAGCAGCTGCGTACTGGCACACAGTGCAACTGAAACAGAGGTTATTAAAGTTCAGTCGCTGCCTCTGAATGGCATCGCTTTTTAAGTAAGCTGAGTAAGATTGAAGCCTGCTGCAGTGCTATTGAACAACAATTCAGTATACAGAGAGCACAGTTACAGGAACAACTAAGAAACACATGCTACACAAGTCAACAGAATAAAAAGACTCCGCCGGGAGGGAATCTGCCTCAAGTAATTTCATGGCAGCACGCAACCCTCCAAGGCCCACTAATGCAGTTGAGTAGAGAAATACGATTCTGTTGACTGTTATTTTCCACTGACGGTCACAGAACTTATGGAAGACTTGACACGCGATTTGAAGGTCATATATTACGGTTATTTCTTCGGTCTTCACCAACTTTGTTATACTTCAGTAATTGGCCATCACCTCGTGTTGTTATTGATGGATAAAGAGACACAATTTGAGTTAACTATAGCTTCCTTCTTCAAAGACATTGCTAGTTAGGCCTGCGCGCTAAGTTCACAGGGGAAGTGGGCCGATGTAAATGTACGGAGAGGATGGAATAGATGGAGCATGAGAACAATCACCGCGAGTCAAAATTCTGAGCAACTAACAGAATTTTCTAGGCTAACTCAAGACGGCGATTTGATTGATGTAGGATTAAGGGTATTACGTCTGAGTTGTGGGAATGCCACTTTAAAGTGAGAGAGAGCCGTAGCAATATCGACCAAATTAGCTAATACATGAGAGGCCGCGGACGAGCTCGGAAACAACGGGGGGCGTAATCGCGTTAGCGCCGTTTGTCTACAAGTACTCTTAAGTATGAAGGTGGAAGTGGAGCATTGAGAGCTCGCAATAGCATCCAGCCATATTTCTATTCCTAGATCTTCCTCTTCCTTTGACGGTCTTTTGTGCTCCTGATCCTTCGCCTCTTCTTTTCATGCGCTGACTCTCTCCCATGGGGCATGGAACACAGGATCATAGCTTCAAGCATCTTAATTGCGCTTAGCCTTAATGATCAATCTGCATATGAAAATATGCCCAGACCCTCACGAATATTGAATATAAGTGGAGACAAAATTGCTACTGCCTGACTTGTCAAGATAAGCTGGGAGGTGGGATACTTGGAGAAGCGCGACATGGAACGTTGCGGTATCGACAACCATAATTATATTCTCATTCCTTTAATAGTTCCTACCGTTTTACAGAGGAAAACGCAGCATTGTTATTCTAGTCCATCGTGATGCGTATCGTACCCCATTTCGGTTTTATCACGACGAATATCCAATATCTGAGCCTTACTTGTGCCCCTCCCACTAGATACCAGACTATTTAATGTTCTAGAGCTTTTTTATAAGCGCTAGTAAAGTACGTCCTTGCTTTTTTTTTGAGTAGCACGATGAACATGATTTTGCAACTCATTTCATTGCCTTTCTCCCTTTCGATAGCCATTGTCAGACTTCAATCACCTGAATAACTCTCTCTCACCATCATATCCAGACACGCAAGATGGGTGATGTGCGGCAAACAATCAAGCAATCAATTCCGGTAGACGTTAATAAACCGTATGACCCATCGACTCTCAAGGATAAAACGATTCTCATCACGGGAGGCGCTAATGGGTTGGGCGCGCATATGGTCCGCCATTGGGCTTCTCATGGTGCAAATGTCGTGATTGGGGATGTTGCCGACAGAGCTGGTGAAGAGCTCGTGGCCGCTCTTCGAATGGCATACCCCAGAGGAGTTTTTGAATTCCGACACTGCGACGTCACGGATTGGGAATCTCAAGTCAGCCTTTTCGATGCCGCCGTCAAAGCCAGCCCGCATGGCACTATAGATATTGTGGTGCCCAATGCAGGTATTATTCTTCCTGGGGAGGCGACTAAATTCGAAAATCCAGACTTGGTGAATGGCAAATTGCTTGAGCCCAACACGGCTACTCTTGATGTAAATGTCAAAGGAGTCATATTCACTGCTCACCTTGCGCTATATTATCTTCCACAAAACAAAAGACAGGATCGATGCTTTCTGTTTGTTGGCTCCGTGGCCTCACTTATCCCTCTTCCTGGCCAGAGTCATTATTGCATGAGCAAACATGCCGTGCTGGGCCTCTTTCGTTCAATGCGCGGAACTGCTTTTTTGAAGGGAATCCGCATCAACATGATCGCACCATACTATATTGCACAGACCAAAATGTTACAGGCAACCACCGAGGCACTGTTACTCTCTGGGTCTGCGGGACCAGGACAAGTTCCCGATGTTATTGATGCGGCAACGCGTTTGATTGCAGATGAATCAATAGTTGGTCGCGCGCTTGTTGTTGGTCCTCGACTGAAGCCTCACGATTTCGAGGGCATTGATAAAGAAAGTGGTTTGATGGAGGAAACGGATGGATATCAGGGTCAAGGAATTTGGGAATGCTACGCGCACGATTACGACCAGGTCGAGACTTTTGTGAAGAGGTATTTGTGGCTTCTGAATGCCGCTGCTAGGGCGCGAGGGATGCTTGCTTGGATTCGGGATATTATAGCCATATGGAAACGAGAATAAAAATTCAAGAACTCCTGCTTTTGACCATTGCATTTCCTCAATCTAAGATATGCACCAGTGTCGGGAGATCACGTATTGTTTCTCTGCCAGCGATTATTGGGTTCACATGGTGAGCCACTTGCTTTACATAGGTAGCAGCAACAAGCCATAGATAAACTGAACTGTGATTCTCTAGTCTGATAAAAGGTACTTCATGTCTTTATATCAGTTCGTGTGTTGATTTATTTTCGCTCTTGTCAGACAGTTGGGGACCCATACACAACTTCGTAGGGCCAACGGAAAATTTACACAGCTACGCCACGAGTGGCATGATTGCCGAAGTTGTACCCAAAATATTGGGGTCGAAGCCTCTTGGACTAGAAAGTAACCGCCTTGTGCACCACCTTGGTTCCAGACCATTTCAATGCTTCAGCTAAGATTGGTACCTGCTAATTACATGACAAGATGCCGTTTCCCACTTTGTTCATTCCCATTTAGAATATGATAAGATATCTCTTCATGACTGATCATTAGAAAGCGATATCTATGTAGAATTTAATCATAGTGACGTAACATATGCAGGAATTATATTAATCGTATTATGAAACCCCGCACTGGATGTGATTGCGGTAGAAGTATTAGGTTGATGCCCAACATGGGAATTTTGTATATAACCAGGGAGATCGGTTGTTATATCTCAAATTTCATAGAACTAAAAACTCACTGTGTGTTTATCAACCTTATAAATATATCAGAATAAAGGTATAATAAGAGATGGGTCCAAATCAAAAGGAGTCGGTTGGTCTTCAGGTGAGCACCTCGATGCGAATGGCTTGCCATGAAAACTCACCATGGATTCAATCAACAGCCTCCAAATGAATGGAAACTTGAACAAGGACTAGATCCGGCTCAGCTTGGTTTAAGGAACCAGAGCAATTTGGTGATCCATACGGAGTCGCAACCTGTTACGGCGACAAATTCAGCGGAACTTCGTCCAGATGCCGACGACGATGATCCAGCATTTGTTGTTGGGGAGGAGAGAAAAGGTTGGAAAGGCTATGTAGAGTGGGAAGAATACCCAGAAAAAAAGGCCAAGGCACGCAAGAGGTTTTCACGCCATAAATTCCCCCCGCCTCCCGAATTCCAACTTGGGCCAGTCCCAGCTACAAACCCGGTGCTTGAAGGGGTTCGTTGGAAGCTTTGGCATAAAGCTATTGGTGGTGCCCTCAGCAATGTACCTGAGGATAGCTGGAAGACAGTGCTGGAGGTATGACCCCTTCCCTACAATTCTGAAGGCATGCATTATGGTAATCATTTATGCAGGAAAAACACCCGGGCATGCTCCATCTGCTCCAATTCCCTTACAATGGTGAGCCGCCCAAAGGTCTGCTCACCAAAGAAGCCATAACTCCAAACGATCTTCATTTTGTTCGCAACCATGGTGGAATACCAGACATTGACCCAGTGGAATTTGACCTTCGGCTTGATGGCTTGGTGAATGAGCCTAGAGTACTCACTCTAGACGATCTAAAAAATGAAGCTCTGTTCCCACGCACATCCATGCTCGTCACTATTCAGTGTAGTGGTACGAGACGCGTTGAGCAGATTGGTGAATATGCCGGTGAAGGTGACGAGATGATCAACGCCCCATGGGCAGAAGGAGCAATTGGTACAGCAAAATGGACTGGCGTCAGCCTCAAGAAGATCATCAAATATTGTGGGGGTCTGAAGGGTGATGCTAAACATCTTGAGTTATATGGAGCAGAAACATATTTCAAGGGCGGAGATTGCATGAATTATGTGGTTTCTGTCCCTTGGTCAAAGGTCAAGGCAAACGAAGTCCTCCTTGCATGGGAGATGAATGATAAGCCCTTGCCTAAGATTCATGGGTTCCCATTGAGGGCAGTGGTCATGGGCTACATTGGTGCGAGAAGTGTCAAATGGCTCTACCGCGTCAAAGCAATCGAGAATCCAAGTCGTGCCCCTGTACAGAGCAGAGAATACCTGTACTTCCAACAGCAATACGGAAAACATAATCAACTGCCCACATGTAAGAGACTCTATACTTCAGACTATGACAGGAATACTAATCCACGAGTAGTGGGGATCCAGATTCAGGAGATGCCAGTTAGTAGCGCCATCATGAGCCCTTGGCACAAAGAAATTGTGGTACACAATGGTCATATTGAAGTCACAGGTAAGAAGCAGTGTGCTCTCTTTTCATGTAATTTTATCGAATGCTGACTGTGCAAGGCTGGGCCTATTCTGGTGGCGGTCGCTGGCCAGAGCGCGTCGAGGTCTCCTCGGATGGCGGTTGGGCCTGGTATGCTGTCCCGATCGAAAATCTGTCGCCAAAGCACAAATATGCTTGGAGAACTTGGTCTGCTTCTATTCCTTGCGACCATGAAGGGTGGACAGAACTCGTTGTCCGCTGCTGGGATAACAGTCTTAACACCCAACCCATGAACGTGCGCCACAGCTGGAATTGGGGGCTGCATGTTACTAGCAGCTGCCACAGAGTGAAAATTTACAGTGTCAACGCAAGCCGACCTGAGACAAAGAAGAGGCTGGAACAATTTGAACAACATGGAGAAAACTTTCTACCGATTACACGGCCAACGGAGTTTAAGTACATGAGTGCCGAGGAGTATGAAAAGGCATGGTCTACTATGGAACCACGAGATGTGGACAATTGATAGCGAAACGTATACAAATCGAGAATATGAAGTATGTTACATTTCCCCCATTGCGGCATAGCCACCTATGATGGTACATGTTACCGCACAACACTGTAGACTAAAACAGCATCTTGTCTATTTCGATGCCTATGCAAGGGTGCAAGCCGGGGCAGATTATCAAGTAGCAAAGTTCAGGTCAATCGTTCCCCTCAATATCTATACGATGTCTTTTTCAAGTGCTTCCACAAAGGTGAAAGCCTCGACGGATTTGCCGAGACCATTAGCGACTCCAAATTGTAAATGCCTTTGCGGGTCGGAGATGCTAAGACTTACGTTGAGGCGGATTGGGTCGGATTAGGTCGGATTAGGTCGGAACAGAAGACAGGGGGAGGGATAAATGGGTGAATCGGTATCAACTAGAAGTCCTACTCATAGACAATGCGAAAGTGATATTGCGTGGGCGTTTTCATATGTCATTAAGATCCTGATTACAAACATAATGGCTGGCGAGTACCAATATTCTGATTATATAAATAGGCAATCACTTCCTTCCATCACCGACACTCGAACAAGCACCAGCATTCAGAAAGTTCCAACAAGTCCATCAAGACAACGGCAGCAAGAATTACCAAAATGGCTACGCAAGAGACAGCAAAAACTTTATATCTTGATGCCGATGGCATAAAATATGCGTACCGGCTCATCGGAAATTACACAGCCCGAAGCCACTCTGTTCCTTTGCTGATGCTCAATCACGTTCGGGCCACCATTGATACCTGGGATCCTGAAGTCATCAACAACTTCACAGCGTCTGGTCGACAACTTATAACATACGACTATGCTGGTATAGGACACAGTCAAGGTAATATCGCGCCATCAATCAGAGGCTTCGCGGTTAACCTACTTGCCTTTCTTAACGTCCTACTCCCATCTCTCCACGCTCAGCAAGTGGACGTTCTCGGTTTCTCTATGGGTGGTTACGTTGCTCAACAATTTGCTTTGGATGCACCTCACTTGGTTAATAAATTGGTTCTCAGCGGTACTGGGCCAAGCCTTGGGCCAGGCGTCGAGCGACCTATGAATGAGGTACAATCCACAGTCTTCAACCCTACTCCAGGGCTGCCGACAATTGAAGCATTCTTCCCATCATTCACAACCGGTACCGAGGGACAAGCTTGGTTCAATCGAAGTACCAACTCGCGACAGGGTGTTGCTGGGAAAAATGGAGAACCTGGAATTGCATCCTTCACAACTGGAGAAGATCTGGTTAAGCTCACGCAGGCTTACTTGACTTGGGATGCCGATCCAGTCCCATATTCTCTGTTGCAAACTATACAGAAAGATGCACTCGTCACCACCGGAGATAATGATCTTATTGTTCCAACACAAAATTCCTATGTGCTAGCTCGACAGCTATCACGAGCCAACTTTGTCATGTTTCCCAGCAGTGGTCATGGTCATCTGTTCCAATACGCCGGCTATTTTACCAAGGTTGTTGGCGAATTCTTGGACGGTAAACTTCCAACAGCGCCATTCTCATCGGGCCAAGCTCCTCCATTCGGAACATATGGAAACATTAATTGAGACCAAAATTGGTCAATTACTGGGGATCTTCTGCACTCGTTGCTACTCTGCCAGTTTGCTTGATGCCAGACTAAATTTAACTTCTTATAGACAATGTTTTCTTGAATAAATCTTCATTTAACGATCATGCCCAGTTATATCCTAGAGGTTGTTTGCTATAGGCAATTCAATCGATAATCTCGAACTTGGATGTATGAGCAAGAGCTACCGTGCGGAATGGCTGGTAGATAATGTACTTCGTACATCCGTAAAAGAAGTTATAATATACCAGTTATCATTCGCGCATCAATCAGTTGAACATAGAACGCTGAAACTGTCAGATCTTTAAACTAATGCACATGGGATGGATGGGTGGATTACCAGCAGCCTTCCATCTCTTGCTTATTACAGTCAGTGCGTTTTTGATAGCTTCACATGATGCTGCAGCGCTGTGATCGTCTGTTCGCGAATACTCTTGAGCATAGAATACTGCTCCCCGATAAATTGCCTCTAGGCAGAACGGAGTGATTTCTTCGGCGGCGCAGCTATTCGTGGCTGTTATTGTGTGAGCTAATCGAAGCATACCGGCCGCAATCTCAAGCTTAAAGTCTTGGGATATGAAACTATCTGTCGTAGCGAGTGGAAATTTGCCAGTTGCATATCTTTCTTTATCATGTAGAAGTAATCGAGCAATAAAAATCTGTCAGCTGAATACATAGCATCATTAGGTGCGTCTATTACTTACCTGTAGCAGATAGTTGAAGGGCTGCATACGCCAATTCCGCGAAAGCGACCCTCTTCCAGCGAAACATTTGTCAACGCAACAAGAGTATTATCCAGTATTTTGACGTCGTTTTGCCAAAACCCTTCTAATACAGGGAATTCATGGATGCTACGAAACACCCTACCTAAAAGAACTGCAGCTTGAGCAGTTAGGGAGAAGCGACCCATTGACGTCGTCGGTGGCTCAAACAACCTGCGTACCGGGGCATCAATCTCTCTCTAAACTGGTATAAGCTATCAAGCCTGCATCTTCTCTTGATTCAGTAATCTTACATTTTCTTCCCATATAGCGTCATCAATAGGTAACAAGCTGTTACTATTAGGATCTGTCGTAAGAGAGACTCTATCGGCACTCCCAAGGCTAATAAAACTATTAACAGTTAGGCTTGGTGGCTACAACTCCAGATTCGATATGGATCATCGAAAATCTTTGGAGAAAATAGAAAGGCAAAAGAGCATTAACATCTCAACAGCGACAATCCAAGGGATATACTAACCGATCCAATACCAGAACAGCCCACCAACTCCTACGTCGCTCTTCCGACTCCGTGATACTGAAGGCCTCTTCTGAATACTGCTCCACAGCCTTGTGAATGCCCAATGCACTCCCATACCGGACACAATAACCTACTGTTAAATATGCCGCAGGGTAAATAGCATGGCCAAGCTCGTACAGCGCAATGAGGATAATAGCTTGGAGCACGCGCAGTTCCAAAACACACGAGTTTTCGGCTTCTAGCAGACTGTTTTTTATGGCATAGTATGCATTGCATCGTGGCCCTTCTTCTGTTATCGGAGTTGCTAATAGCTTCATTGAAGCAACAAGAAGGGTGTTTGCTGGTCGGGGAGGACTCAAAGGATTCAAAACTCTCTCTCTAAATTCCCTTTTCGATAAAAACGGTATCGAAGGATGAATAGTTGCAAAATATTTGCTTACAAATACCCTATCAGATGCAGCATAGCCAATGTAGTTTAGGAGAGGATTGCTCAGACTCAAATCCAGATCTGGTAGCCGATTCAAGGAACGCCGAAACAGAACAGAGTCTAGAAAGAACACTACAGGGAAACTCTCTTCATCCTGAGCAATCTTTGGCGGCAACTCAGACGATGGCAACCTGGTGGGTGCTTGATCATTTCCCACGATACTCACGGTGCTAGCATAAACGCATTCTCTCCCATATCTAGCCGTTAATGTATTAGATCTTGACCGTTCAGCCAGATTTCAAAAATTGTTTCGACTGACCGCACACATGCAGAGCATTGGGGCTTCTCTCGATCGCATCGTTTCTTTGATCTCTGACACTGTGAACATGACGGTCGCATCCGAGGAATAATCACGCGAGTTTCATTGGCTGCGCTCATTACTAGAATCGAATAAAAGATTGTGTCAGATGCAGAGAAAACAATGAAGCAGATTCTATGGCCGCTAAAGTGTAGAAAGTGTATCTTGCAAATGCTAAATGAGCAAGATAGAGAAATTTACGTTCGGGTAGGTAAGTAGCAACAGCAGAATGGCTTTTGTTTCAAGTTAGGTGGGCGCAGCGTGATTTTACGTTCGAAAAGGAATCTTGGAAGATTGTAGAGCCGAATTGCGTACGAAATGCAGACGGTTATTCCTCGCATTCTTGTGTGCAAATCCAATCTACGAATGCAGAAATACACCAGGTGGGTATATCACGGGAAATTTGGGTTCGTTTATTACCTTTCAAGAGGATAGGTAGGCACCAGTGGGACGCGACATTGGCGTTGACAGAAGCTCATCCAGGCAGCGAGTGATCCCATCATGCAGAGTGGAGACGGTGATAACCAGCTATTACGGCCAAGGCTTCTCTGAAGAGCTGCTGAAGAGCCAATACGAATTACTAGCACTATTGCAGTTACCTCTGGTACGAGTAGATAGGCATAGATATTAGCTTTCTTTTTTTTCCTTTTTTTTTTCAAATGTTGCTTTAATTGATGAAGATCGTATCAGTTATACAGAGATCACTGTATTGCAGTTCAGGCCATCCATATCTGTTAATGAACACGTTCCATAGTGACGGCATGACCAGAGCTGTACGCTTCACCGCTCTATTGAATTGCACACATCCTCCCTACGAGGGTAAAGTGTTAGAAGATGACGGAATGCTGAAAAATGTAGTGTAGCATCACCACAAGCATATACAGCGAGCCGATTGGTCGTATATGATTAGTGGTGGCCAAAGCGGGTCAAGGTCCCTGATTTATAACAGAATTACGGAGTACCTATTATCAATACGGACATGACGTTGCCCAGCCAGGGCCATTGTACTTACCGTGCTGCCCTGATGGGAGTGCTCGAACCAGCCATGAGCTTCCACATCAAGTCCTTGCGGAACGGACGGGCAGTCGGAATAGGCGGAGCGGGGCCGACTTCACTGCACAATGGGGCCAATGTTGTAGTTTAGCTGACAGCTCAGGGGTCGGCAGTAAAATTGCCACTCTGCAATAGTGCCAGAATTTTCCCTCGAATGATTTCAAAGAAGAGTGGTAGATGTCATAAATGTATGGCTGTTTTAAGACAGGGAATATGAAGGTTCCCGTTATTTCCATTGATTCGGCCTATAACACTGTTTTATAATTTTGGAAAAGGTTAAATGGGCAATTCAATTCATGTAGCGATGGAAACCTGAGCTGGGGCTACTTAATCCAATTTTCTCTTAATAAGGTCTATCTACTACCTAGGTATGTAGGTACTAGAGGAACGGTGTATTGCACATCAGATCATTTCCGATGGCAGCATTCTTTGTGTTTCACGGCTCGTCAAAAATGGACGGTAGGTAGTTGAAGTCCGAGGCGTCAATTAGAATTCTAAATACTTTGGATACTCCCCAGGTTCAACAGCCCAATTTGAATGGCATGTGGTAATATTGAGTAGCTGGGGATGAGAGGTATAGCGGGGCAACGAGTGTTCATGAATTAGTGGATTAGTGGGTAAGGGCGACTGTCGTCCGTGAGGCGGGAACCGATGGCCACGACTCGGTCAGTTGGGACGAATGTGGAGCAAAATATTCAGTGCGTACGGTGATGGAGAGGTTTATTGCACGGAGAGCTGTGTCCGCACTACGCAGCAGGAATATATACGACAGCAACACTGCGGCCCTTTTACCCGGCATCAAAGTATTTGCAATACAGGATGGATCAAACGTATAGGTCACTTGCAGACTGCGTCCTCAGCAAGTGGGAGGAAAAGAAGGCAAAGGCGGCTACTGCTGACGGTACGAGGAATCTGACACCTCGCCTCATAGTCGCTGTAGCAGGCCCTCCCGGATCTGGAAAGACAACAATAGCCAACAAAGTTGTCGACATTATCAACTCTTTGCCATCGAAGAGCCCCAAAACTATCGTTATATCTGCCGACGGGTTTCATCTTCCGCTTGCCACGCTGCAAAAGCTACCGAATGCTTCGGAAGCCCTTGCTCGCCGTGGAGCGCCTTGGACTTTTGATGGCCATGCCGCAGTAAGCCTGGTTCGAAGACTCAAGACCAGCGCGCGCAGGCAGCCGGTTCTCGCCCCTACTTTCGACCACGCAATCAAAGATCCGGTGTCGGATGGACTACTCATAGAGGCGGATGTGGATGTTTGCATCCTGGAAGGTAATTATCTTCTCTGCGATGAGCATCCATGGGATGAAATCGCAGACCTCGTTGATGACAAGTGGTTTGTCCATGTGGAGCCAGATCTGGCTTGTAAGCGAGTTGCATCTCGACATCTTGCTGCCGGAATTGAAACAACAATGGAGGGAGCAGTTCATCGAGCGACGGCAAACGATCTGGTGAATGGAGAGTTTATTTTGTCTAAGAGTAGGGGCAGGTATGATGTGATGATAGAAAGTATAGAAATATGACCAAACTAGAATGCGAAGTGAGAGAAAGTCATAAGTTGTCTACGTCTGACATGGACCGCTAACATTTGCTGTAGCAGGGAGAACCGCCGGAGGGGAAGGAATAGAAAGGGTTAAGGGAAGGGCACATAATTATATTTATATAGCCACACGTTAACTACAAGTTCATTTTTTTCCGGGATATGCGGTAGGCCTCTGTGAGAGAAATATCATAGGATTTTCAAAACATTTATACCATTTCCGTTATACGTGGTTGAACATGAAGCGTGACATATTGACCAGACGCGTGTAGACTTTATTCATCGATGGTGACGCTAAATACATACCCGTAGACATTGAACCTGGCGATGTGGGACCATCTCAGCTGTGATACGTTTAACCCCTAGGTACAAGACGCAGTGAAAGTCCGCCCAAATCAATGGAAGTTTATCGAGTTTAAAGCCATTTGCCATCATCTTCTAATTTCTCAAGCACAATGAATTTTTGGGCATTTGAGGGTTTTTTTGTCTTTTTTCATTGGTTCAAAGACTGGCATTCTTCGTGACCGCCGAGGGCGACTGTGAACCGTGCTGCTGACACAGCTACCCTCTAGGTTCGACGTTAGCGTTGCAGAGCATTTCGTCCCATGTTTTGGATCTCATCTCATCAATACAACAGTATTCGGAACGGACCGCATCAACACTTTGAAGATGTTTATAACTAAGGAAGTAGCCATCACTTAATGAGTACGCATCATTGTCACTGTCGGCAGAGTACCATCAATTCTGTTAATTAGGTATGTTTGGTTTAAAGAAAACTAGAACAACTAAAAAAAACAAAAATCCAAATCTAGTGGATTCCGATTGAGGAATACACAACCATACGCTCGGAGTTTGTTTGAGTTTATATCCCATTAAGAAAGTCCATCCAAGAGTCTTCATGCTCCTTGCCAGCAGTATCGAATAGTGTGTTGGGCCACATCATGGAAAAAACCGCATTCATCTGATCGTTTGTGTTATCCCCAGATATCATTGGCCTATCACCGTCTGCATCTGATGCTTGAAGGTATATTCCACCATGAGCTTTATTCAAATCTCCCGATTGAAGAGCTGATATTTCCTCTGCATTGGCATTTTCCAGAAGATGCGTTGGTGTATTCAAATGGGTTCCACATAGGCTAACAATGACTTGGTGGCATCGCCTAGCGCTTGGATTCACAGGTACCAGTGCCGCGATAACTTTTAAAGAGCTGACAATTTGATCACGCCAATCTGACGCGTTCGAAGAAGAAGGCTCGTTTTGCAAGCATATACAGGGGATCAAAGCTGCTTGGAAAAGGAAATATCTGTCTCATTATTAGTAGGGGGGCTTTTATTTTAGTTGTGGAATAACTCACAATGCATACCACGCAAAGAGGCGGATATGATCATTTGCAGCCCAGAATGCACTGATTGATAGTATGCTCTGCTTAGCATCGTTCAAACATCGCTCATAAGCCTGGAGAGACTCTGGACTCGAATTGTCTTGACGGCCGCTGCGTGCGAGTAAAGCCCGTCGGATAACAAATGGACGGTACATGATCATGCGAAAATTTCGCCACCTCCATTGCATAACAGAGTGTGAAAAGACAAATTTAGGTGGTATGGACGCTGTTTCTGAGAAATAAGATGGGGTGTTTTCTGCCCACGATTCCAGGCACTGGGCTTCTAATTGAAGTAACTCTCGGGCACTGGGCAAAGGCTTTGAAATGATGCGGATATATATGGGGTTTGTAGCGATGAAAAATCTTGCTTGCGTTCGAACTGCTGTGTAAACAGATATTTCTTCCGGATCAGAGGGATATGAACTGGACATGGCCGTGAGATCCTGTGAAGGTTAGCTGTCTGACAGGCCGAGAATTTTGGGATAATTCTACCTTATCATGAACATTCATGGGTAATGATATGTCAACACCATTGAATGGGCACACTTGCGGCCGACCAAATGTGATGGTAGCACCAATGTCAAATATGCTCAGCGTCCACCAAACTCTGCGTCGGATTTCCATGCTTAAAGGAGGGATTTTCCATCCCTGAAAGTCTTTGTGCAGTCCAAGCGCCATAGCCATTCTGGCCGCCAATCCCGAGTAACTATAAGCCGAATTTGGCTTATCTCTCTTTTGTTGATAATTCGAAATCAAGGTCAGAGCCTGGACCATTGTTAAGCTGCCAACTTCCAGTATGTCAAATGAGAGGAGGGATTTGGTGTGCTGAAAAAGATCCAAATCCAGATTATTTAGAGTCGTTGCGGTAGTAAACACTCCTAAGGCAGCCATAACATATGCCAAGATATACCAAGATCCGCCGTTGGGTCTCCGAATAACTTCAGAATACTGAGCTCGGAAAGTTGGTTCGTGGACAATGGGATAACTGAGATGATATATCCTGAAATAGGCATCGATCATGGTATCGGCTATGTGTTTGTTTAGATTGGGAAGCGTAACTAGGGAAATGCGGTTATCAGTCTCGATAGGAGAATGAGTTTGTGCATTTCTGTATTCCACAGGCTCTAAAAGGCGTAGGAAAGCGGCGCCTGAAGCGATCCCGAGATAACCACTTCGCTGCTCTGAGACGGTCAGCGATGCCATGCCATCTAGGATCTGTCTTGTTTCGTTGAAGTCGCTTGCAGTCGACAACCCCGGAGAATTTTGTTGGACAGCCTCATGCTCATTCCAACCAAAGTCGCCTGTTGATGGTGGGCTTTCAAATTCGTCATCCTGCGATTTTTCAGAACTCTCTATGTGCTCTGATGTCCCCATATTTCGTTGTGGTACTGGAGCTTCACCAAGAAGTTTCTTTCGGATGTCTGTGGCGGGCACGGAATCGGCGGCCAACGCATCGCTGAGACCAAGAGTTGATGGCTGCTGCAAATGTGACCTGGCCCCGGACAACTCGCCATTGACGACTTGCCTGGTGTTCAACGACATATCAATCTCATCTGAGCCTAGTCTGGGGTGATCTTGCTTGATGCGAGCCGGGTCAGTGGTATCAGAGAGCTGGTTGGGCGAGTCAATTGTGTTACTCGAACCCTCGCTTGACAATGTTTGTGGTGGGAGCGCAGCTCTTAGTTGTCTGATCAAAGCCTCTGCCTGCTCTAATCTTTCCTCTACTTCAGTCAAATGCCTATTGGATGTAGGTTAGAACAAACAAAATGCTATAGTGTAAGCCTCAGAGATCTTGGTACTCACCTCCTGGTTAGTGGAGTCCGTGAATGTTTTTCATATAGACAATGTCTTCTGTATCTTAGGCACATGTTACAGGTGGGGATTCCCTTATTACATTTTGATTTCCTCCGTCGACATTCTTTACATGCTTGCTCAGCATATCCAAGAGGTTGGGATAATCCCAGAGGCATTATACCAGGGGACTCCATTGTAGCAAATGAGAGATTGGACTGATTACTGATTCTCTAAGAGTCTTATGGCGAGTCTCTGGTGGGTGTTTACGATAATAAGGAGTAGATGCAGAGTTGAACTACAGAATACCACTACAGATACGAAGGAAGAACAATGACCCGAGAGGCTATTACTGTGGGGATTTCCAAGATCATCCCCACATGGCGAACATTTAGCCATTTTGGATGACATGGCTAGCTAGAGGGCAGTAAAATGCTATGGGCTGAGGAGCATACCAATTGCGTCTCAAAATGAAAAAAAAAAAAAAAAAAAAAAAAAAACCCTCTGGTGACAAATTGATTGAGTGCTAGGTTTCTGTTACATTATTTTGATAACATTCTTTGGGTTTCGGGTTTGTTCATGGTTCAAGTATAAATGGACTAGACATTGGGGGTGCCCAAAAGCGTCAATTCGTGAATGGCAGCTTTTTGTCAAATATCCATCCATGCCACAAACAGCATTTCCCCGCGTTTCCAAGTTGTTACCCAAGTTCACTAACGTAAATGTACCTCGTAATATGCCATCAGTTAGGTAGGTTAGTACATAACGGCAGGGAAAATTAGAGCCTACTTCTGGGCTCTAATGTGCTTCATCGTATCTATTAACCAATTACCCCTGTAGTAAGCCGTTTAGTATGCGGAGTACTCCGCAATTCCCTCTCATAACGCATTGAAGTCGCATCACGAAATTTGTGTTCGCTTTAGAAGATCCAGTGTCTATATTCATCACGAGCGTAAGGCCCTATCGCGGGTTGAGTGAAGATCTTGTCAGCGTGAATCAATAGTACATATAGAAAAAATACCCCTGTTATTCGTTTCATCACTGATGGTATTCAAGGTTATGTGTGCATGGATAGGAGTGACAAGATATATTAAATCAAGCTATACTTCAACTGCCTTTATTACACTTTCAAGCCTCCGAATAGATGTTTATATGATTCGCGACTAGTCATCTTCCTCCACCATGCGCTCAGATGGGGCCGAGAGTCTAATAATGTTGGATAGACTGTTGTATTCAAATGGTGCATGTAAGGGACAAAGAAAAGATCGACCACCGTTAATTTCTTAACTTTTGTTAATTCTCTTTCTCCATCACTTCTTTTGGAGAGGGTTTGGTTCTCAGGCCTGCTACTTACATCTCCCGCCATGAATTGTTGATCTTTAAGCCTCTTGTCCAACAAGTCAACAACTCGTACAAGCCCCTCTCGAAGAAGTTTGCATTTGTCAACATCCGTCTCACCGTTAAACCAAGACCTATTTATTTTAGCAAGAACTAGATCAAATCCCTGTTTTTAGAATGTGGGTAGTCAGAAAGGACATACGGCTTAAATAGTTCTTCAAACACTAGCTGATTCGCGACGGCGTCGAAGGATGTAAGTTCAATTGACGCTGCCTCCTCGAATTTGGCAATTGCAACAATGTCATTTGGATCGGGAAGCAGCGAAGCGGACACATCCTTGCTGCCGTACGCTTGTGCCAAATATCTTGCAATAGCACGGGATTCAGCCAACATTAAAGGGGGATCATATGTTTCGTCTCTGATGAATGGTACAGCGCCGAAAGGATTGAGTTCCAAAATTTCTGGGCGCTAAAAATTGTCAATAAGTAGTACATCGATGAGTGTTTTCCTGCAATGCTAAATGCTACCTTATGCTCAAACTTGGAAATATCCACCTCTCGAATATCCTTGATCTGGAGTCCAAGTTCGTGGATAGTGAGGAGCAGGCGCTGTGGGCAAGGCACTCGAGAATCAGTGAAGAGAGTAATCTGAGACATTGTGACTTTGTTTGGTGATGGCTCTTTTTGTCAGGCGGGCGTTTACTTTGTCCTGTATTACCATGACTTTAACACACTGGCGAACATTCAACATTTATATTCCAGACCGTGTTCATACGTAATTGTTATGATGCCTAACCCGAAAACGTGGCAGCTCAACATCATGCAATTGATTTCCAGTTCTTCAGCAGATGTGTAGATGAAGGGAGTAGGCAGATCGGGTTGACGTACAATTACTATTCCCGAATTGCTTCGCCGAACACTCGTGTCTCCACAGTGGCTGTAAGCCCTCTTCAGCCGCCGGCCACGTTGAAATAGGCTACTATATTGCATGCGTAATGACATTGTAATTGGAATAATTTTTAGTTCCTACATTGGCATGAGATCGTCCATACACTTGAGGCCCTAACATGGTTGCATGGTAACCTCGTAACGCATGGCGGTAGATAACATCGCCCGATCGAGTATCATATACCGCACCCGTCAAACTAATCTCGAATAGCTAAGTATGGGGGGGCTTCAGCGCTTCCATGTCTACTAGTGTTGGTCTTCATTAGGGTACGGGGAGAGAGGGTCTGGATTTTGAACTCATTAGACACTTGACGCCTTTTAGTGGCATGCTATGTCCCTCTTGTTGAATCAGCCCGCGATTGCTGGAAAATTTGAAATGTCGGGATACCACAGGTTACTCTCGACGCTGACTATATATGTTAAACTTGTTGCTACAAGAACGCTTGTCTACGTTACTTGGTAGATACGTGGGTTGTAAGCTCCGCGACGAAAATATGAGAGGGATTTTGACGCTTCCAAGTGTTGAGATTTAGAGAAAGCCAGTTCCAATTGACATGACAAACACAGATAGTAGAATTGGACGCAACAAATTCATTCATAATATATATTGGATATCATTAGAGGGACTGAGCCACCTCATCTATCTTCTATATCATCTCTAAAACCATGCTATTATTATTGGACAACAAATTGCTGGTCATGAGACTTGAAGAGCTTCGAACTATCCAAAAGATTTCCAGACGATGATTGGTAGAAATCAACCTGCAAGTTTTGTTCGTCAAGGAAACGAATAGTTGCATAGCTGAAATCATCAGCGTAGGCGAATGCGGTGTACGATGGCTGAGTGCCAACTGCGGAGAGGCCTTCGATGTTACCTGCGCCACCAGCAACAATATACATCGGCGCCTTCGGGTTAGTCATACCGGCCTTATCAGCAGTGCCGTTGAAGACTGGGAAAAATCTCTGGGAGTTGTGGACATGACCAAAAACTCCTAAGTCGACTCCGTACTTGTAGAAGAGTCCTTCAAACGCTGTCTGGCAAGGTGCGCAGCCTGAGCCTCCAGTTGAGTACCACGGTCGATGGCCTGCAACGATGAGCCAAGGTGTGACATTACGATCGACAGAAGCAAGATCCGCCTCGAGAAATTGTAGCTGCTGGTTGGGAGCCCCAAATGGTCCACCGTTCAAGCCGGCAGAGCCATCTGGCCCGTCCGGAGCATTAGCAAAATCTGTTTCTGTGTCGATCATGACAATATGCGCCATCCCGTATTCGAAAGAAAACCAGAAGGGAGGGTTTGCGAGCTGCTGTGCCTTGTTTGCATTGATTTTGGCCGTGTTGTTTGCGGAAGTAGAGCTAAATACGGTAGGCATAGTCCTGCCAAATCGATTGATGAAGTCGCTAAGTGGCAAACAGTCAGCATCTAAGTTTCGAATGCAAGACCCAGGACGCAAAAACAATACCTGAAGTTGCGCTGTCCGGCATTGCAAAGTCCTGTTGTATGAGGGATCTCCTGACAAGCAGCTTCGTGGTTGCCAGGGCTGGCCATATAGGGCTTACGGCCAGAGATGGGAGCTAGCTGGGCATAAAACTGCTCTAGAATTGCTTGGTACGCATTTGTTCCATCGAAAATGTTCTTTGGCGTCTCAATCCAATCATCAGCATAGGCCAGATCTCCAGGATGAATGACAAATTCATAATCGTCCACCGTTTGAGCCAGACGTTGAATAGTCGTGTGGTTCAACGAAGGATCGATGGTTGGGATGGTATCACGCTTTGTTTGGTCATTTTGGATGGTATAGCCATCGGGACCTACGACGCCCAAGTCGATAATAGCGTTGATAGAGAATGGAGTTTTATCTCCCGCGACACGGGGACTAAAAAAGTGGTCCACGCTTGAGTTGGTCGAGACAATCTTATAATAGTATGTTGTGGCTGGTGACAAATTATTGATTGTCACTACATTTGACCAAGTGCGTGAACTTTGATATGTAACAGAGCTTTGCGAGCAAGTTTGCTGTGTTAAAGATGTAGCAGAGCTGCCGTATGTAACACAAGGCTGGCTGAGTTGCTTATAGGTGTTCCAGGCAATTGACACGCCTGGGAAAGCTATCTCAGTATACATGTACTCCGTAGAGTCAATTTATTAAGTCCATCCAAACGTACTATTGGGTCCGTTGACGGCAATTCGTTGTTGCACTGGTGTCGTCAAATCGGCTGGAATAGGAGGGTAGCTTGCGGCGGCAAAAGCACCGGCTGCCAGAACTGGTAGAGCCTTTACCGAAGTGTATGCCGACACCATTTTCACTAAAGTCAGTGTCCAATTCAAAAGTAATTGATGACGAAAGAGATGGGCTAGCGATCGTGAGAAATACGCATCCGATAGTCAAAGGTTCGCATAGCTATATATAGTCACTCAAGAAAGGTATACTCGGTTTATTGTTGCTATATCCCATATGCTACTTTGTCATTATTAATTCCTCGGCTCCCATAGGAGAACAACAAAAATTCCATATATAAGTCCGCATGCGAGCTGCTATATGTGGGAATATGCCCGTAGATCGCTCCATCACATCTGGATGGCGGACGAAGCGGATGCGCGCTATGAGGATAGGATCTTTCCACTCGTGGGGCGATCGTGTAATGTTATTGGCGAAGAACTCAACTGAAACATACCGTTTGATCTGGATTTCCGCCTAGTTCTGTTCAAGCGCCTTATATAACGAAGCGCTTCTCGGTAATTGATTTGGCTAGACTTAACCCGCTAAATCACGCACCGGCATCTGATAGATGCCGGAGGCTGAGGATATTTGCAATTGGGCTGGTAGTTCACGTTCACTTTTTTAACCTCGGCGCTGTTTACTCAGTTCTAATGTCGCTCTGCGGCCAAACTTCACATGCATATCTAGCTACATGCACGCACTGCTCCTTCATATTATATTCCAAGTATGGAATAATATTACGTTTACAACCCCAATTGAGCTGGGCTCTTCTCTAACCCGATTGTTATCGCCGTTGACATGCTAGTCCGCCAACCGATCCAAATTTCTGTGCAGGCATTGCAAATGTACTGTGATGTAACTTCAAGCCATTGGCCAATGAAATTAGGTAGAGCATATCCTCAAACATCTACAGATTTTCCATCGCCGCCTTATTTCATGATCCTCCAGTAGCTGTTTACCAGCTAATGAAGTTTGCACTAAATGCATCGCGGCTTATCAGATACGTTAGGGGCAATCTACGGAGTACGGGTATCAATACTAGAATTCAGCACATACGACCCATTATATTATTGTTATTAAACGAAGTGCGTCTAATGGATATGAAATGCTTAGTAGAAAATGAAGAGTTGGTTGTCTGTTGGACCTTGCTCCAGTTAAACGTGCTATATTGATTGGATGTTGTACACTTGACGGAGTATGATCGACTGTTTTACCTTCCCTCTATCGAATTGCCCATAGTATATGGAGTTAGCCCATATTTTCTTTGCAGGGTACCTTTGGCTCGGATATTGTTTTCCGCTTGCCGAAAATGATCATTGCGCTGTCCTGAAACATCTACAATAGATGCCGTCGGACTATGGGCTAGTGCGTAGGCAGTTGCTTGAAATGATCGCTAAGTAATAAGTTCCTGCTCCTGGCGGAACACACGGCACATGAAGACCTTAATTCATTGAAACGAATCTGGGGTGAGCGGATGAATGTGTGGCTGATCTAGTTCGGGAAAGCATGCACGCGACACAACGGCACCCTCTTTCGTTGGCCAGTTTGCTATGCAAGGGTTTCCGCAAAATCTTTCCCTTCAAAAAAACATTAAATGCTTCTCTTTAGTACATACACGCATATAGAAGAGCAGATTGTCTGACTTTTGGTCCTTATGTTTGATGTGCATGCCAGCCCATGTAGTTACCATTGCAATTCCTCACTGCTCTCGAATCGTCATATCTAAATTTTGACAGTGGGCTAGTCCTCTGGGATTTGGAGTGGCCGTCATTTCTTTGTAGACGAATTTTGAGATAGACTGCTCTTCGCCTGCTCAACTGACACATTGCTTTCGCTATAGCAGGTGCAGTTACATCCAGCGCTAAACCAGTCCATATCTACGCTCATCCTGATACTCTGCCTCGAAAGCACTTAATATTATGGGACTGTCTTTCTATTCGCAGGATAGGGCTTTTCTGTTAGTCAATAGGATGCTGGTGGATCACTGCCTTAGTGTCATTTCGTCCGTATTAATTACGATCGCCGTGAGCTTTGTGCTCTTTGCGTCGGCGGTTTCAACATCCTTTTTCTTTACTACGGGCACAGAGCTCCAATGGCTCAATGTGTCTCTCGCTGGCGATTCATCTTCATAGGCAACGCTATCATGTGGGTGGATATCCTGCTTTTTAGTTTCTTGTTCTAACTCATGGCAGCTGGTATCTTTCAACTGCCATTAGATCAAGTGTCCAACATTGCTCTAGATGTTTTGAAGCAGCCGACTTCATTAAATATCAAGCAAACTGCCCGGCTTTGATCATTTTAGAATATCAGATGCCAGATATAGGCATCTATATCCATAAAATTTCGAATGTATCGAGGAGGCCGACGAGTAGGCCGAGTCCAAGGATTAGAGTGGATTTTATACTTTCAAAGCCTTTACTAGCGAGGCTGCTTGCGATTTCGGAAAACATCAACAGTCTAGTGGACAATTGTGCAGCTTTAGATGAGCCAATTCACTAGCCATGGCTACCCAAAAATGCGTCGCTTCACGGCTTTGAGGATTTGTTTGGAGAAGATAAAAGACACTACAAAACTTCAAAGGATCCACTAAAATTTGGAAAATCGATGACGAATTGCTTCTGCCTCTACGTGGAATTCTAGACAACGTTCCCATCCGACACGTTTTGTTAATCAAACTTGAGAGTACATGGAAAGACGACCTCCCTCTGAGGAAAGATGGTTATATATGAGACGTCTTGTTCTGTCGTTCCAAAACTCATTGTTGCCAATCGAGGCACAGAAGAGATTATCCTCCCTTAGTTCAACAGCAAAGCACCCCACGGATGACTTCAATGATGGCTTTGGCCATGAAGCGGGCACGCCACGCAGTGGTATCAATGCGAATAACGCATTCACCACGAGCACCTACACACTAAAAAGTTTAGTAGGAACCCATAATGCAGTCGGTAACGATGAGATATGACGAACAAGATCATCTTACGCCAATGATGAGATTCACCGATCCACTCGATTGGTGGGAGCTGGAGGGTGAGGCAGCCAAACTTGATCCGGTAAGTCTAGCTGATGTAAATTACTACGACATGCCTGAAGTTGCCGCAGAAGACTACCTATGAGGTATTTTTGCATTGGCTACGAAGAATAAAGGAGAGTGTTTTCCTGTTCCACCTGACGAACTCAAGTTATCACGACTTTGGCATTCCGGCAGACGAAAAATATGTCCCATTGGCAGGCGTAATAGGCTACGTTGATCGCTGTTTGAACAGAATACGTCGGATATGAGATGAACAGGGCGCAGCAAGCGAGACTCTTGAGGTGGCTGTTGCAAACTATCATGTGCCGCTAGTTATATCACATCCTATACTGCCACATATCAATATCGATGACCCGGTCTCCTCCATCCAAATCCTTCCCAACATCTTGGATATTCTCCTAGAAACTAAATCACTTTCGGCATCTAAAGCATAGGTCGCTCATGATATGGTCCGAAATTACAAAGGTCAATCCCTGTTGCGACCGTTGCAAAAGTTCCCAGAAACAACCGGATACAGCGGCTGGTAGCTCACGGTGATGAACCTAGGTGGCTCAATAATTGCAGTTCGGGATGCTCGCCAACCTAATTGGATAATTGATTGTCCCTGTATTTGACAACTACGAATGGAGATTCATCGACCTAGAAACCGATCCCATGATCAGGCTCTGCTGCTATCATATGACTATAAAACCAATTTGCGAAGCGTGGAGGCAAAATTCGGATTTGATGCGGCGATGTGGGTGGAAGAAGCTGCTACTTGTTACGGGTTGGTGGACTGACGAGAACTACAAGCGCTGGCGTTACATAGGATGACTACAACCAATATGTAGATGAGACAATTATTCCATGTTTGTGAAATTAGTTCATCGGCTGTGTGCGATTTCTCAGTGATTGAGTAATGATTAATTGAAGCAAGTAATTAATTGAGTCCAAGTTTACTTATAAATACTACCAAAGCATTCATGGTAATGTGATGCCGCCCATGCGGTATCATGCTATGTGCATCACATGTTGAGATGCAGGTCTCTAAGCCTCGGATCTGCTTACACATACCAAACTCGCCACAGCCGGCTGTTTCAGTTCACATTCGTATATCTTTGCGTCCTATATCAGATGCAATTATACAAAGCTGAACCTGTACTCCGTAGAGTCACCTTGAACGAGCGTTGTAGGTCGTCCCTTGTGGCGTTACCCCAAGGGATAAAGTTCATCGCCGCGTTAAGTTTGTATCTCGTCCTAAAAAAAATATAGTCGTGGCTCTAAAAAGAGTTTATTTGGTGAAAACATGGAGGCACCCGATTGTCCGTTGATGTTTGATGTCATAATGATGCCACTACAAGATCTGTGTACCTTCATTCAGCGATCCTTCGGCGCAGCACTCGATCTCATCGCGCCATCTCCAAATGCTCAGCTGTGACATGCCATGCCACGCCACCGAGGTCATTCATTACGTTTGTAGATTTGGGTATAAATACGCATCTTTTCCCAAAATTCAATTGCGATTTAACGCCTGCTATTTTTAGTTGACCTTAATTGAAACAAGCCCCATAACACCACAGGCCTGAGCGCACATCTTGAAAACAGGCCTCAGATCATAATCTACTATTCTGTAACTTATCAAGCATCCCATTTATAAGTCCCATGGTTATTAAATCTCAAGATGAGCAATGAGCCAGGTCAAGAGTTTCACGCCAGCGCTTCGCTTCGTCGGAAGTCGCAAGCTGAAAAGCTGGTCGAGAAAGAAGGATGCTTCGGCCTTAGTCTGACTGTTAGTCTTCGCCCTTCTCTTCATGCTCTCATCATCACATTTTCTTGGAGGGTGTTGAAAAGAATATTTGATGAACAAAAAAAAAATTGCAAAAATGAACCATTTATTTTTCATCGGCTAATAATCTTTTTTTGTAGCCCATCTTTATGGGAATATCGGCCATATCATCCGGGTACAAGGGGTACATGGTTTCCTTTGCCGTTCGCGATGCTACGTACCTAATTGATTTTGCCATAAAAAATGTGACAGCACCAGAAGGCACAAATAATCGCGATTTTCTCGCAGACTACATTATCAAGTCAATCAGATGGTACGAGCACACAACTTTCGTCAAAGTCGTAGGCGCCGGCCTTCCTCATGCATTGCAGACGATGAGCCCAACGCTCTGCTCTCGTCTTTGGCTGGAACTGGACATCGTCCCCATTGTTATTCAGCAACCTCATGAGCACACAGAGAGGATAAGTCTCTGGCTTAGCAAACGAGTGGATGAACAAGCTGATTCAATGGCACGAAAATGTATCATGTAAGTTGTGATATATCATTAATGATTCGCCTGGTTAAACGTATTCAAGTAAATAATTGACTCTTCTAGGAATTTCGGTCCCTCATTGGCTCCTCTTTTGCATGTTGCATGGCGTGGTATTGTGGAGGTCGATGCCTCATTTCAAGCTCCGCTTATCTCGGTTGAGGATTATAAAACGACATGCAATTCTTCGACCTGGGAAGCAGTGATGCATTATGCAAAGAATTTACGAAAGCGTAAGACCAAAATTGCGTTCTTCAGCAGCACTCCTCAAGGTGGTGGCGTAGCATTGATGAGGCACGCGCTCGTGAGATTCTCTCGCGTAATAGGAGTAGATCTCCGTTGGTACGGTATGTCAATCACCCCCGTTGGCACCGATATTTGTTGCGCACGTTCAGATACGAATGATGAACCATAGTCCCAAAACCTCATCCAGGGGTGTTTCGCATAACCAAGGATATCCATAATACGCTTCAAGGGGTGAGCCCCGATGGTAAATACATTTCTGCAGATGAGAAGAATGCGATAGTGGATTGGATTACCGACAACGGTAAACGGTACTGGTTCTCTGATGGTGGACCTCTTTGCCGACCAGATAAAGGCGGCGCCGACATAATCATTGTAAGTGTCAGCCGCCAGCTTGACTTATTTGGTATTAACTTGGATATATCTAGATTGATGATCCCCAAATGCCTTGTCTCATTCCCCTTATTAAGAAGCTGACGCCATCTCGGCCAGTATTTTACAGATCGCACATCCAAATCCGAACGGACTTGATCAAAGTCGCTGGCTCTCCTCAGGCAGATATTTGGGACTTCCTCTGGCAAAATATCAAGGAAGCCGACTTATTCATTAGCCACCCAATTCCTTCTTTTGTGCCCCATAATGTGCCCAAAGAGAAGGTGTTGTACATGCCTGCAACGACCGATTGGTATGTAAAGAATATCATAAAGTAAACGAATCACACTAACACTATGTCAGGCTCGATGGCTTAAACAAACCGATGGAAATCTGGGATACTGGATACTATGGCCACTTGTACAACGTTAAATGCCGCTCAGAGCGGATGACAGAGCTGCAATGGCCAAGAAGTGAGTGAACATGGTTAATCCAACAGTAACTGGCATTATGTATTAAATCACACATTAGGGAGATATATTATTCAAGTATCCCGCTTCGATCCCGCGAAGGGCATACCGACGGTTGTTGACGCGGTAAGTATGACCAGCAGCATGAGGCCCAAGCAGCTTTTGGTATCTTCCTGAACTAACAATGCCCGGCTGTTGCCGTTTAGTACGCCTGCTTTCGAGAGCAGCTTGAAAAGCACGGAGGGGTCGGAATCCCTCAACTGGTCATGTACGTTTTCCCTCTGTCAACCATGTTCTGTAAATAAGTACTAATTTCGTCCAAATAAAGTTGTGGCAACGCATCTGTTGATGACCCCGATGGTGTCGCCATTTATGATCAAGTCATGACGCAGCTAGAAACACAGTATCCCCACCTCATAGGCGATGTGAGCGTCATGCGTTTGGATCCATGCGATCAGTTACTGAACTGTCTCATGGCAAACGCTCACGTTGTCCTTCAGCTTTCCACGTATGAGGGTTTCGAAGTCAAGGTCTCTGAGGCACTCCATGCTGGTCGCCCTGTCATTGCTACCTTTGCTGGCGGGATACCCCTGCAAGTGAAAGACAAAATCGACGGATTTCTTGTCCAGCCAGGCGATTGGAAGGCAGTCGCTGGCCATTTGATGGAATTATTTACGGATCTCAAGTTGCACGAGCGAATGTCACAAGCTGCAAAAACCGGTGTTTCGTGCGAAGTTGGAACTGTTGGAAATGCCCTATCTTGGTATTACCTAGCTACGAAATGGGCACAGAAAGGGCCGAAGCTTGAATTACTTGGGAATCAACAATGGGTTAATGATATGGCTCGAAGCGAAGCTGGTCAGCCATATGCGGAGGGTGAAAATCGCTTACCGCGCAGCTTCACTCAGTTATAATCGCAAAGTATACAAGTGAGGTAGATGGGTGGTTTTTTTTTTTTTTAAGGAAATGACCTATCCGCTTATTCGAACTTTGAAGCCGATATTGGATCCCGTCCGCACATTCATCTTTCTCATGTAATTCCTTTGAGGTTGATGTAGAGTGAAGATGCTACATCCATATGCTCCGTACATATATGTATGTATGCATAAATCGATGCAACATAACCCCCACTTACTTTCCGAAGCCCCTGTGCAAGAAATGAATGTCAGACCAACACCGGCTAAGGCCGCCTTCGTAAGCACTGGCGTGTCTGGCATAGCGAGTTGAAGCTGGATTAGCACCAAAAGTCCCCGAGCGCGAATTTCACCCAACGCTTAATCTCCAGCGCGCCACCGGGTATTCCATTTGTTAATTCGTTGCCATGACCATCAGGATATAGTCATGGAAGTATCAGTCAGTCCGCAGCGCAGGCGACTTCGATCCGCCTGCGACCTCTGTCATGCGTCCAAAGTTCGGTGCACAGGAGGACAGCCTTGCAAAAAGTGTTGCAACTCGTACGTGAGAGATCTGCAAGCCCGTGATAATGTCTTCCTAAAGGCTCAAATGGAAGCTGACGATAAACGATTCAATATTTAGCAATCACCCATGTACATACAGTTACATGGCAAAGTTGGGGAAACCAAAAGGCAGCCGGAATAAAAGAACGCTCGAAAGATTAAGCCTCGCTATCGAAGGCGGCGGAAATTCTATCATTAATGAGCCTACTGAAGCTTCAGCATCCAAGGCTTTTCAATGCGACTGGCCAATAATCCTAAGCGCTCAGCAAGATCACCAGGAGAAAGGCATAGCAGCGACAACAATGTCGCCATCCCCTGATGCTGATGCTTCTGTACCAACAATCTTGCCTATCACAGCACCTTCATGCACTGCATGCACACCTATAATGAACGATCCCAGCCCAGATCTAAGCATAGAGCTAAGCAGTATCTTGGATTTGGACATGCCACTATTTTTCTCTGCGCAGTCTCCAGTGGGTAAAGAGCATCAAACCACGCCAGGTAGGACTTTCTATTCCAGGCTGGAGATATACATGTATAATAACTAATCCAGATTGCCTTGATGTTTTCTTCACTGGCAATTCTAACGATGATCCTGTCAGCAATGGTCAAGATGGTGACTTGAACGCAAGGCGTCGACCTCAAGCTGATGTTTGCGATGGCCCAGCGGTAAACGGATCACCACCATCATTGATACCACACAGCAGCTCGATTTCTTCAAATTCCCCTCCTGGTTTTTATGAAAGATCTAACCAAGTTCCACATATGAGAGGGGGGCAGAAAGAAGCATCGTTGCCATTGGCCAATTGCACTTGCTTGAAAATGCTAACAGGAATGCAATGCTCTCTCAAAGGGATAGAGCGCAAACAAGGAAATCGACGTCTTGACATTATTTTATCTATGGCCACAATGATTCTTGACTGCTCAAGTCGTGCTCTAGCCTGCGATCCCTGCTTGCTGGACGGCCAGGTACTTATGCTGATCATGATCTTGTTGCAAACAGTTTTCAACTGGGCCATCGTGAATTGCAACAATGCGAAAAGCCTCGAGGCTCATAAGCCGCCCTCCATCAATTTCGGCACATGGAATTTGTCAGAGGACGAAAGCACAGCTATTCAGTTATTGCTAGTTAATCGCATTATGGCAAAAAGCAGGTCCACAATTAACATAATCCGTCAGCGCATTGAAGAAATTTCGTCAATGGAGGCTGAGCACCGTTACCAGCCTATAGATTCCCAATTGTTGTATTTAATGTCAAAGAGAGTGTTAGATGCTCTAGCCGAAGTTAGAAGGCATGGAAAAGAAATGGGTACATGTTATGACTGATGCAGTATTCTAAATATACATCACTACATATTTTTAAGTGTTTCTACATCTACGAGAGATAAAGTGATGCTGTAAGGGCGATGATATGTTGTGAATACCGGTATATATTTCCCATGATTTATGAATAGCATCATTATTTGAGTGTCAAAGTTGAATATTGGTCAACATTGTATTTACGCTCAATGGTTTATCATAGCCTGAATTACTTTACCTCACTGGAACATCCAAGCAATCTCTCCTAACGAAGGTCCACTGAGTATATTGGACAAATCTCCACGTAGCCCTTTCTCACTTAATATATAGTGAAGCCGAAGTGCGGTTATAGGTGTTCCTCCCAGGTCATAGAGTGTTGTCTCAGGTGCAATATCTTCTGTATTTATACCCAATGCTTCAGAGACCGCATGGCGAACCTCGTTAATCCTATTTTCATATGTCGGAATAGCTGTCAATGGATTGCATTCCTTCAATTGGTTGAATGAGGAAAGAATTTCGGCAGGTGCTGAACCAGATGTAAGGCCTTTGATAGCAGTAGGAATGAAGGACACTATCGCCGCCATCTGAAGCGGAGAGAAAGCACTGGCATTGTACTCGATGCCGCAGTGCAATCCTTCGTCTTGCTCGCTGAATTCTAGCTGCAAAGTGAACTTGGCTCCTCGCGCTCGAATATGTTTGCTCGATACTTGAGTTCCAGGTATCTTGAGTGAGTGCTCCAGTGCATCCGACTGCCAGTGATAAATCACCACGACATCAAAGAGAGATCCCCGATCCTTTGCCAATTGTAAGATCTCAGAGTATGGTATTTGATTCTCGACTGAAAGATTGACCTCCGAAACAATATCATTGATAAGCATAGCAGAGTCTGCCATGTTACTGACATTGAGCTTTATGCACACTGGCAGTCGGTCGAGAAGGAGGCCCATAATGTTCGCCGTTCCAGGCTCGTCTCGATTCAAATAAGGTATGCCAAAAACAAATTCGCTATTGCCGAACACTGCGAAAATGGTGAGCGCAGCTGCAGCCAGGGCCATACGCTGTGAAAATCCGGCACCATCCGTAGTTGGGATGAGGATGGATTCATAGCAGGGTATCTCGTGGCCGAGGCTACGAAGGTCCCGTTTGCTTAATAGCGGAACTGCCTCTATGCTTCTAACACGATCATACCAGAATTGCTTCTTCGCTAATTTCGTCGGTGTCGCGGCAAGCGAGCTGTTTTTAGCAAGCCACTGCGACCATTCAATGTAAGTGCCTTTATGAGTGCTTCCATTACCATTCCGCCCATTGCAAATGGCACCATTGACTGCTGCTATGTATCTTTGGCTAATAGATTGCAACAAAATTGCAAGTGATGCCTTATCTGTAATGATGTGATGCGTAATCAGTATGAGTGACGTCTTTGCTGTGAAATGTTCATCTTCTTCCTTGCAGATAATTGACCTGATGAGTTGATCACGGGCAAGATCAAAAGGTTTATCTATCAAAGTCTGTAGGCTCTTGGTATCGAGAGATTCTCCTGTGAAAACAAGTGGCGGGGTGACCTCATCGCTAACTAATCGGTATATAGACCCTTCTTTGAGGACGTAGCGGGCTCGAAGAATTGGGTTTTCTCGGATTACAGAAGTCAGGCAGTCGTTTAATAATTTAATGTTGACATCACCTTTGATGACGAATTGGAATGCTGTGTTGAAAAGCGACTCTGTGCGAGACATAGTGTGCCAGAGGAATAGTTCTTCTTCCAGCTGTGATGGAACTTGGGCGGCGGTTATATTCAGCGGGGCGGATAGACTGGATAGGAACGCCTGGAATGTAGTAAATCCGTCTTCTTGTTCATCATGAGCTGCATGTCTATCGATTCCCCTTGCAAGATTTGATAATACTGTCTCTCTGATGAGGAGTGGCACAGGAGTGTAATGACCCGTAGACTCAGAGATTAGCTGAGCTGCCCTAATAGCTAATAGAGAGTTTCCACCGATGGCCAAGAAATCATCATCTCGAGAAATCTTTTTCCCCATATGATTGTCCTGAAAGTTGAGAATATTTCTCCAGATTTCTTCAATCATCCTTTCCGTCGGTGTTGACGGCGCATCTCCTTGGTCTTGGCTTTCAGTAGCCAGTACCCGAAGTGCTTTACGGTCAATTTTGAGATTAGACGATTGGGGCAAAGATTCCATCGCAATTATTTGTGCAGGGCAAGCGTACGCCGGTAGGATTTCTTTGAGCTTTCGTCCAGCTGCATAAATATTAACGGTACTTGGTGTGACAAAAGCGACAATACGAACGCGGTCGACGACAATTGCAGCGCTTCGTATGGAAGCATCCGTACGCATAAGGGCGCGCTCCACTTCTTCCATTTCGATTCGGAATCCCCGAACTTTGACTTGATTGTCAATTCGTCCCACATAGGCCAACTTCATATCTTGTGTCCAATAACCTAGATCGCCCGTTCTATACATGACTTTGCCAGGGGAGAATGGATTTGGAAGAAATACGTTTGTAGTTTCGGATTGTAGATTCCAGTAGCCATGAGTAATCTGCTCTCCAGAGACATAAATTTCTCCTGGAACTCCAACGGCGACTAGACACTGATGGTGGTCTAAAAGGTAGATATCCAGGTTGGGGACGGCATTACCAATAGTAACTTGCTCGCCAGGGAGAAGCTCAGCCCAAGTTGAGATAGGTCCACACTTTCACCAGCAGTCAGTATTGTCAATCAACTCCTCTGCAATAAGAACATTTAAAACATGATTGGCCGTGGCTCACCTCGCCTGGTCCATAAAAGTTAAACAACCTCTTGTGTGACCACATATCTGCGAGGCTCTGGGGAACAGGTTCCCCAGCAAGTCCAATTGTATCGAGATTTGGGTACTCTTCTGGCGATAAGGCCACTAGCAGCGATGGAGTAGAATAGGTTGCATCTACACGCCTGAGGTGTCCCAAAGGATCGCTCGGGTCCTTTAAAACTAGTGTGCCGCCGTAGGATAGGGCGCCGAATAGTTCAACCAGTACCACATCAAAGCCTATCCGACAAAGGATAGAACACATTGTGTCAGCGAGAGCTTTTACGTTGCGGGAAAAAGTATCACTAGGGCATGTTTCACTCACCAAGAGCGTAGACTTGAGCATGCCGGCGACCAGGCCCGGAGAAAAGGCGATTAGGCTCATGGTCAATGACCATAAGAAGACTGTGATTATGCAAAGCAACACCTATAGATGGAGTTAATGCCATTTTCTTAAGTCAAGTAGATGTTTGTCTAAAGAAAAAAAAAAAAGAAAGAAAAAAGTATTATACCTTTTGGAATACCAGTGCTTCCAGATGTAAAAACAAGATAGATGACATCCTTGGGCTTTGAGATGGTCTCAAGTGAGAATGCTGGTGCTTTGCAAGACGCAAGAAATTCGTCAGAAACAATGATACAGCGTTCTTCGATATCCTGAAGCGCTCGCACGCAATCTTGATTGGCGGCGATAAAAGTGGTGGCACCGCTTTGTTCCATTATGACTTCGATCCGCGCTGTTGGAAGGTTAACATCTATAGGACAGCAGATGCAGCCTGCTTTAAGAACTGATAAAATGGCCACAACCCAATGAAGGGACCCATCAGCGAGAATACCAACAACATCTCCAGGTTTTACCATGGAACGAAGATGATTGGCTAGCCTATTTGCAGATTCATCCAATTCTCGGTAAGTCATTGAATCATGGGGTGACTCCAAAGCTGGCAAATCTGGCCACTTCGCCGCGGCAGCTTCAAAAGCGTCCTTGACTGTATCATAACCTTGATAGCTGCCCCCTCTCTCTCGTGGCGGATTTAAGAGCGCTTTTCTCTCATCTCCAATAATAATTTCGTTTCGAACGTGTTGTATTAGTGTATTATCGGAATCGAGTAGCCCCTTGATTGCATGTTTAAAATGATTGAGAAGGCCAGCGATGCTCCACTCGGTATATAGCGAGCTATCGTACAGAATGCGAGCCCGGAGACTGCCATCGCTTTCATCCTCAAGCAACAGAGTTATACCAAATTCCATCATGTCTTCTCGTTCAATTTTCCATGGGTCTGGGAGCGTCTCACAAAACACCGACGGTGACGGGAGATCATATTCGGCGACCACAATTGTCTGGAAGGCATTGGCTATCCTGTCTGATGGTATTTTGGCCAGTGCATTGTCAGCGCACCACTGAAACTCAAGCATCTGTAGCAGCTGGCTTTGAGCCACCGAAAGCATGTCAGCCACAGATTGATTTTCTTTAAACTCGAGGGGAAACGGGCATGTGTTGAGCAGCGGGCCAACGGCTCGATCAGCTCCTGATGCATCGATATTCCTTCCAGAAAACACCACACCGAATGTCACTCGGTCAGAAATGCTATAATTTGATAATACCAATCCCCATGCTACATATATAGCCGCCGCCGGTGTAATACGTCGAAGGCGACCTTTGGTCTCCAGTTCTTTTGATCCAAATCCAAGGTTAACTTGCAGACTCTTGGACCAGTCAGCCACTGGGTTGTTGGGCGGCGGTTTCGGAAGTCTCAGCTTCGGTTGCTCCAAGCCGTCTTTTAGATGCCTTTCCCAGAATTCGTTTCCCTGGGGGTCTTGCTGCAGCCGGGTTTGAGCCAGAGCAATATCGATGAATTGTGGGGGTTCTGGGAGTAGCTTGCCATCCAATGCTAAACGGAGCTCTTCTAGAATGATACTGAATGACCAGCCATCCACTAAACTATGATGCATCAGTGCTAAGAAAGTAGAAGCAACATTGGGAACTGTGATCAAGCGGTATACCGAAATGGGGATGAATGTGTCTCCATGCTCCAAGTAGGAGATCCTCTTGCGTATTTCTTGGGAGTGGATCCGAATCACACGTTCTAACTGATCACCAGTTGTTTCTTCATTGCTCCAGTCAAGTTCGAGATTTGGCTGTACATGTTGCGTTTGATTCTTGAGATCGAAGGCCGTGCAAAAGATCAAATGTCTCTCAATTACCCGTCGCCATGCGGATTGAAGCACTTCCCCGCTAAATGTGCTGCCTTCATGCGGGAGAGAGATCCGCAGTAGCATGTAACTCGTGGCAGGATCCCTAAGTCCTGTTCGAATCATCTTAGTCTGGAGGGACGTCATCGGTGCTGTACTTGGAATCGGCCTGCGCTCTAAACTATGACCCTCTTCTTCATTCGCATCAAGTTCTCCCATAGCATCATGAATAGAAGATAGATTTGGAAGATCAAAAAGTGGCCCAAGTTGCATATGAAATCCTTTTGTACGTAGAAAAGATAACACTTTCAATGCCGCCAGGGAATTTCCACCCAACTCTGTAAAGGAGCGATTGTCGTTAATGTTTGAAAGCGGTAGAGATATAGCAAACGAAAGCGCAGCTTTCAATACGTCCATTTTTGAGCCATGACTAAATGCCACATGTAGTGAATTGCCGTCAATCATTCGTGGGATTTCGATATCCAACAATGCTTGTAAGGCGCGGTTGTCGACTTTATCATTGGTAGTAAGCGGAAGGAATTCCACGGAGCGAATAAGATCCGGGATAATGAAGGAATCGTATTTCTCAATCAAGATCTTCCGCAGCGCGACTCCATCAATGTCTTTGGGCGTAACAAAGCCCACAAGACGGCCTTGATACATGAAAGCCGTAGCGGCCATGACCTTTGGGTGACTGCATAACATGGGAATAACTTGTCCATCAAGACTCACAAGGAATCCACGGTTCTTAACAATGCTGTCTTTACGGCCGGCAAATTCTAGCCCGTGGTCCGTCAATCGCGCAAAATCTCCAGTGCGATAGATCCTTTCGCCTTGCCAGTAAACAAACTTTTCCGCTGTGAGCGATTCATTCTTGTAGTACCCTCTTGCAAGGCCTGGTCCCGCGATGCAAATCTCCCCATAGTGAGACTCCACTTCCCCATCAAGTAATATTACACGGCTGTTTGACATTGGATGCCCTAAAGTGATTGGCTTATCTGGGTGAAGCTGAGCCACGAGTGAGGCAAAAGTAGTTTCTGTAGGCCCGTAGAAGTTATATATGGGAGAAGTTGGTAAAGATGCTGCCCACTTGCGAACAAGTGAAGTGGGTGGTGCTTCTCCTCCAATCATGATGGCTCGCAGATTAGAGTAGCTTGCTGGGTCTTGAATTGTGGCCAATACTGAAGGAGTACAGGCCATGATTGTACAGAGTGTTGCAGTATACAAGAAATCAGCTGGAGTAGCGATCCTCAGCTCCGCACCATTACACAATGCTGATGCGATAACAGCCGTACAGGCATCGAAGGCGGGAGAAAAGATTAAAATAACTACATCAGCTGGAGTCGCACTCAAGTTGAATGGTGTTTTATCCCCCCCTTGCTGTACATAATTAAGGACGGCGCTGTGAGGAATCATAACCCCCTTTGGTGTAGATGTCGTGCCCGACGTAAAAATTATAAAGACAAGATCACTTGGATCGATTTGTTTCCAGGGGCGATCGAGTTCATTGTCCCAGTGTCGCTCGGTGGTCGGTGCAAAAGCACGCTCGATTTCCTTCAGCGAAATTTGCTCATATCCGAGATATTCGTTTGTGCTAGTATTCAAAATAACACGGGCAGACACTCGATCCAGCGTTGATATGACGCGATCTTTGCTCCAGGATTCCACATCTATGGGTACGTACAAAGCACCTGCTTTGAGAGCACCCAGGAAGCAAATTACCATTTCGGGGCTTCTCTGGGCCAGAACAGGAATTTTATCGCCAGAATTGATTCCCTTTTGAGACAGGAGCCATGCAATATGGGATGTGGCATGGTCGAGTTCGGCGTATGTAATTCTTCGTTCTCCAAAAGAAATGGCAATATGTTCAGGCTGCTTCTGTGCCCATTCTTCAATGAGATCACATATAGTTCTGGGCTCTTTGCGAACCCTTTCAACAGTAATCGCCATCTTTGGAATCCCTTTTGAAGCTGCAGTGGCGGCTGATGTTAGAGGTATTAAATCAGGATCGTAAAGAAAGATCAGACGAGATGTATTCTGCTATCTTCAATTCGAATAGTCAACGTTCATATCTCAAATGCAAAATCTTCAGTTATTATCAGGAGATGTGTGTAAAATAGACAAATTCGTGTCATCATGATATACTTATGGGATACTGGAGAGTAAGCTGACCGTGCTATTCTACTCCTCTCCACAAGCGCTGAGCTTATAGCGCCAAACTCATTCGTCCGCTGCTATGAGTGGCGACTTATAAAGAATTTATGATCAAATAATTAGATGTTAAGGTAATCCACATGGTTAGTTTACACTTGTGTTGAAACAGAGCTCTCTTGAAGATCATTACAGGGTACGTCCAGATGAGACTCGGCTCATATCGGCCTATAAACGTAAGTGGTCTCGGTGACGGTGAATATTTGGCCTTTGCACTTTTTCCGCGTGCATGGTGCGGTCTCGGTCCATAAAGCTATGGAGACTAATGTACCTAGAACCAACAACATCTCTTCCCTCGAGAGCCATATTCACTGGTCTCTCGGCACATATCGAATTTATAGCAAACTTATTTATTTACAGGTCGAGTTCAAGGTGAACACGTCCAATATGGAAAACCGATTCGTCTACCATTTTCTTTCTCATAGATTTCATTGCTCTTTGACTCTCCTGTTATATATTTTCCCTTGAATAACTACACAACGATGCCCAGTGGAAAAGCAGAGGCGTCTCTTGCACAAGAACTTTTCGTTATTCGCGGCGAGCATGCAGCAACTAATCACTCACCAAATGTTGAATGGAAAATCTCGAATCGCACACTGTTGGTCTTCATTACCATCTTACTTTTGACTCTCATGGTTGCTTTGGACAGTACCTCGATTGGTGTGGCATTGCCAGTTAGTCGAATTGAGCCTTGGTAGTGTACAAATTTAGCTGACCAAGAATGAATGTGCAGACGATTTCGAGGGCGCTTCATAGTTCAGGCATCGAGACGTTTTGGGCTGGTACTGGATTTTTGCTGTGTGCAACAGGTAGGGTATCCTCCGTCTAGCATCGTCTGTATCACTCGGCAGAGCTAACCAGCGTGGCAATACGCAGTCTTCCAGCCAAATTTTGTTTCTTTTTCCACCATCTTTGGCCGTCGATCTCTCTTCATCATCGGCATAGTCTTCTTTTTCGTTGGGGCTGTGGTGGCAGGTGTATCGAAGAATGTTACTCAGCTACTAGTTGGCCGATGCATACAAGGTGTCGGAGGCGGAGGCATTTCGGCCATTACCGAAGTTCTCATCGCTGACTTGGTACCGATGAGGTATCGAGGTCAGTATTACGGCCTCATGAATGCTATGTGGAGCGTGGGATCTGTCTGTGGCCCTATCATTGGAGGCGCTTTTGCAGGCAGTGCGTCATGGGTAAGAACCATACAAACCAATACAACTTGCATGTCTAGGGGTAGCTGACATTCACGGTGTCAAACTATAGCGGTGGATATTCTACATCAATTTCCCCTTCGTCGGCGTCGGACTTATTTGCGTTGTAGTGTTCATGAACCTCCACTTCGTCCCGACGTCACTTTCTGACAAGCTTCGTCAAATTGACTACATCGGCTCCCTCATCTTCATCGTCAGCACGACAGCATTCCTCATTCCCTTGACGTGGGGTGGCGTGGCATACAGTTGGCACTCATGGAGAACACTAGTCCCTCTCATTATGGGTATCACGGGGTGTGGCGTATTTGTTGTTTATGAATCGTACTTTGCCCGAGCCCCCATCATTCCGATCGATCTCTTCAAGAACCTCACTGCTAGCGTCTCGTTTGTCAGCGCTGGGCTCTCGGGCCTGCTTGTTTGGTGCATTGTCTACTATATGCCATTGTATTTCCAGGCTGTGAAAGAATACAGTCCCGTCTTGACCGGGGTGTGCATCTTCCCCCAAACGTTCACTGTCGCACCCGCAGGTGCGATAGCTGGCATGGCCATAACAAAGACTGGCAAATATCGATGGGCAATTTGGTCGGGGTGGGCTCTTGCGACTCTGGGGTTGGGCCTGCTTTGTATTCTGGAGGTCGGAACCAGCGTCCCAGGTTGGATCTTTCTGAACCTGGTCTCTGGCATCGGCCTTGGATTCCTCTTCCCTTCTGTGGCTTCAGCAATACAGGCGGCTACTGATCCAGAGCATGTCCCCATGGCCTTGGCTATGTTTAGCTTCTTCAGATCTCTTGGCCAGGCTGTTGGGGTAGCCATTGGGGGGGTGATATTCCAAAATCGGATGGTCACAAACCTCCTCAACTATCCAAATCTTGCGCCAAACGCCACGGCTTATGGTGCCGACGCCGCCGGCTTGGTCGATATCATCAAGTCCATGTCCGATGGCCAGGACAAGCGTGACCTTCAACAAGCCTTTGTTGATAGCCTGCGCATAGTTTGGGCAGTGTGCTGCGCACTTGCTGGTATTGGGCTTCTCTTGAGTCTGCTCAACCAAAAGTATAGCATTGATCGACAACTCGATAGTGATCAGGGAATCATTGAAAAGCATCAGTTTCGTCCTCATACGGAGAGCACGGAAGCTTGATATCACACTGCTCCAATCAGACTTAATTGGAATAAGCTTCTGTCTCCGCCAAGATCCACCTACAACAAGCGATTCAACGCTTGGTACATCTTCCGTAGTATAGTGGTCAGTATGCAAGCTTGTCACGCTTGAGACCCGGGTTCAATTCCCGGCGGGAGAGTGTCAAACACTTTAATTTTTTACAATTTTCTTTTCTTTTTGTATCATCCTTCATTTCATCCTTCTCATTTGATCTTCTAGTATCGAATGAAATATAGTGGCTGCATGTAAGCAAGCAATGCATCATGCAGTTCTCCGCACCTATGTCGACATCAAACCGCTGTGGGCCCCTGGGATCTCATCAGTAATGAGGCATTCTGCATGTGCAAATGGAAGGATGTCAGGAGCTTCTAATCTGTTGCGGGGGTCCTTAAGGAAGCACGGAGTACATAGCCAGTGTTGGTATCTAGGAATCAAACAATTGGACAAAGTTGATTGGTTCGTTCTCAGTGATCAACCACTCTGCGAATGTCGCTAGCAGCAGGCGCAGATATGCTCCAACCGATTGCGAGTCCTTGGCTGCTAATGGCGACATGGATGCAGGTGATTTTCGGCTTAGGTAACAAGATCAGTATCCTATCATGAGAGACCAAGCTTCCCCAACCTTCATGACGACATCCAGAGAACAGGTGTTGGCCATAATATTTAGCCGATGGCGGAGTGGTGATTTGTCAAGCCGAACCACGTACCGATGTGAACAAACAGAATAAATTGGGTACACGCGCGAGCAAACCGTTGTCTTTCTTCATAGGTCGCTTCCACGAGGCATTTCAGGATATCCTGTAATTGAGTAGTTTCAAGTCTGCTGCGAAAGATAACTTAATTCAATATGGCCGCCGCCGCAGTTCAAATTCCTAGACAGCCGGACATTTCATATGCCCCCAACTATGACAACTACCTCGACCGCATCAAGCGACGCCAAGAGAACGAGAAGCTGGACAAGTCTCTTCCCGAAGGCTTTCCTGCCAAGCTTGAGTCTGATCTTGTCTGGGATGGCAGAGACTTGGCAGAGACATACGATTGGAACTACGTTTTAACCGAGAGCAATATTGCTGAGGTGGACCAAGCTCTTCGTCACTTCAAGTGTAAGCCCCCTAGACTGTCTCCTGATATATGAAATCATGGTCGGTTATACTCACACCGCAAACTACCAGCACTGAATTTGAGCCTGGGCTACGTTACTCCAGAGACATTTCCTCTGCCCAAACTTCATGACAGACTACGGGAAATCTCAAAAGAAGTTCACCTAGGCCATGGTTTCAAGGTCGTCAAGGGAGTGCCAGTTGATAACTACACTCGTGAGGAGAATGTCATCATCTATGCCGGCATTGCATCTCACATTGCCCCAATCCGCGGCCGCCAGGATCACCAATTCGATGGAAAGCCAGCCGATGTTGTTCTCGCACATATCAAGGATCTCACCCAGGAGATTGATCCCCACAAAATCGGAGCGCCAGCATATACAGCTGACAAGCAAGTTTTCCACACTGACGCTGGAGATGTGATAGCTCTTTTCGCTCTGGGGGAGCCTGAAGAGGGCGGTCAGAGCTTCTTGTCGAGCAGTTGGCATGTTTACAATGAGCTCGCAGCAACACGGCCCGATCTCATCCGGACTTTGGCTGAACCTTGGGTAGTCGACGAGTAAGTGGCAGAAACAAGAGCCTTGCGATATGTAGGCATTAGGGTTAATTAATTCTTTGTCAGGTTCGGAAAGCGTGGTAGGACTCATACTGTGCGACCTCTTCTATACTTCCAGCCCGCTACCGAGGACACTCCTCAGCGCCTCATTATTCAATACGCACGACGCACCTTCACCGGTTATTGGGGCCTTCCTCGATCAGCTGATATTCCTCCAATTACCGAAGCCCAGGCTGAAGCACTGGATGCTTTGCACTTTACAGCCGAAAAGTACCGCGCGGCACTCGACTTCCACAAGGGCGACATTCAGTTTGCCAACAACTTGAGCATCTTCCATGCTCGTGAGAAATTTCGGGATTCTCCAGAGAAAAGGTGAGTGTGTTCGGTATACGAATGACGGTTTTTCAGTCTACAGTTCTACTAACGGTATCTCGACAACAGGCGCCACCTCATCCGTCTTTGGCTACGTGACCCCGAACTGGCTTGGAAGACGCCCGAACCACTGAATGATATATGGGACAGGGTTTACAAGGACGTTAAGCCGGAAAACTCCATCTTTCCACTAGAGCCTAGAGTTCGCAGTGCAAGCGACGGAAAGCCTAATGAGGGCAAGTACCAGTAAACTACGTAAACCCATAGACACAGGGAGGTTGGTTCGGAGAGACACCCCACAGACAGTAGTTCATCCAGAAGAGGAGCAGCTACACTAGATTCATATTTGAAGATTGTTACAAAGGCGGGCTATCATATCTCCACTGGTGTATCGGCTTCACCTAATTACATGCAGCTGCATTTACCCTTGCTAGATCGCCAATGGGACACAGATAAGCTCATATTATGCTACATCATCCTAAAAGGGCACTTCAAACTGGTGCAGCTCTTAAATCGTAGCACTTAAGATGGACCCCAACCCCATCATGCCCACCGGCTTAGTTGGAGTTGCACATGCATCCATGTCCGTCCAACTCGCATGACCCGGACGCCAGTCTGGCGAGTCAAGGCCTGAATATCCTGGTACCACATCACATCACAATTACGAATATGGCGACATGGCAAAATGTGACCTATCTTCTTTCTTGGAAGCCTTCTCGGGCAGAGCAATGTGATTTTGATGGCGATTTCAATATCGTGCTCTCCACGATGAATGAGCCCATTCCTCCACAAATATGCCGACTCCACGAGGCTGCTTATGATTAAGAGATTGGTGTAATGTGAGACAGGGCGGCAAAGGCACCACATGGACACCTGTCGCCTAATGGTAGTAGACAAAGGTTCGTAGTTAAGCAACCGTCGATAGGCGACTTTAGCGATTAATTACAGCCGTTTTGATTGCGTTATTGCTGCCTTGTATCGTCGCCATCAATAGTATTGCATCCACCAGACGGGGATCCGCGGTGCCAAGCTTTTTCCATAATGATTGGCAGAGGGTGTAGATCATCTTTGTGTAGCATCCCTAGCGAAGGACCGGGATTGTGTTGTGCTCAAAAGCAATCAAAGCCCACACATATCTCAGTCGAACTCATTTAAGCTTCTCACCGGTGCATCGTCTTGCTGATTAGCATATACCAGGCTTCGTAGCCGATCTTCTAACGCTGAATGTTACCCTCCAACATTACCTTCGCCCATCACCAGATATAATAACTAGTTGCTTGCGTTTTTGGACACTTCTGTACTATGCCTTCCTTCTGGCGGCGTCCCTTCCGCAGCAATGAAGAGCCTCAAGCTGCTGAAGTGGAAGAGCGTGGATCATCAGACAGCGATCCCTCTGAGCTCGTCGTTGGAGATACCTATTATATCGCAGGCAAGGCCGCCAACAACAAAGACACATCTTATCAAGATGCCTCTGGTGCTCCCGTGGAAGAATCATCGCCCCTGGGATATGATGTTGGACCCATGACGATTTTGTTCCTCAACGTGAGCAAGATGATTGGCACAGGCATCTTTTCAACTCGTCAGTAAACGACTCCTTCCATGGCTCTATGGTAATTGACCTACTTATACGATGACAGCTTCGACGATTCTTGCCGGGACAGGCAGCATTGGACTAAGTTTAATATGGTGGGCTCTTGGCTTCTTGACATCGATTACAGCGTTTGCCGTGTATCTCGAATTTACTGCCTACTTTCCTTCGCGATCTGGCGCTGAGGTGGTGTATCTCGAACAAGCGTTCCCAAGGCCACGCTGGCTGTTCTCAACCGCATTTGCTTTTCAGTCTGTTATTCTATCATTTAGCAGCGCAAACTCATATGGTAAGTGATTGGTCAACATGACTGCGTGAGCGGGCAACATTTAACATTGTACTTCTCACTAGTTTTGGCTCAATATCTTTTCAAAATGACGGATTATACCCCCACAGATTGGCAAATAAAGGGAGTAGCCATAGCTGGTTATACTGTCGCCCTCCTCGGTATGTCTTCCTTGACTAGAAAAAAAAGCAATATGAAAAAAAAAAATATGTAACGCTCATACAATGGTCTAGTCGTTATCTTACACAATAGATTTGCATATCACCTGGCAAACGCAATCGGCTTTGTCAAAATCGCTACACTGGTATTCATTTCGATAACCGGATTCGTAGTTCTCGGAGGACATACTCGCGTTGAGAACCCGACAGCCAATTTCCATAATTCTTTCGAAGGGAAAGCTACCGCATATGGAATAACGAATGGCTTGTACAAAATCATTTTTTCTTATGCAGGATTCGAAAATGCTTTCAATGTTGTAAATGAGGTCAAGGTAAGCTTAAGACAACGACTTCTTATAGAAATGGGATTACTTTGCATTGCTTTGCTTCTGACATGTCTCAATAGAACCCTGTCAAGCACATTCGACGTCAAGGCTACATTGCTATCTGGTCTGTCAGCATTCTTTACATACTCACCGTCATCGCTTATTATGCTGCTGGTAAGTTCATAATATCACCATACTGAACTACATGTAACTCTACTAACTGTGCTTCATTTCAGTCCCGAAGCAAGACATCATCAAGGGCAAGCTGACCGTTGCCAATCTTTTTTTTGTAAACGTGTTTGGAAATAGCAAGCAGGTCAAGGCCCTCAACTTCCTAATTGCAATCAGCGCTTTCGGCAATCTGGTGGCAGTCTTAATCGGGACCTCGAGAATCATTCGCGAATGTGGTCGGCAGGGCGTACTCCCATGGACAAAGTTCTGGGTCTCAACGTATCCTCTTGGTACCGCCCTCGGCCCGTATCTCTTCAAATACGGCATCACGCTTATCATGATCCTGGCCCCTCCTGCTGGCGATGCTTTTAATTTCGGTATGTGCCAGGATTTTGTGCCGATTCCCATCATTGTCGCCGTTTTGTCACTAACCAAGCTCACAGTCAGCGACCTTCGCATTTACCCTGGCTCTTTCTTCGACTTCTTGATGAGTGTCGGTCTCCTCATCGTGAGACGCAGACGGAAAGCTCTCAATCTACCAAGGCCTGCCTTCAAAGCCTGGGATGTCGTTATTTGGTTTAGCATCCTGAAAAATCTCTATCTCCTTATTATGCCCTGGTATCCTCCAGCTGGAGGCGCAACTGGTGGTGACGTAAGTTTTTGGTATGCTACATATGTAGTTGCTTCGATTGGCATGTAAGTTACGGGGCCTGAACAAAATGACGAACAGAAATCGGTTACTAATTTTTTATAGTCTGTTGGCTTGTGTCGCTTATTATTGGCTTTGGATTCACGGTATTCCTTATTTCCGAGGCTATAAGATCCGAGAAGAGGTTATTACTCTTGATGATGGGTCAAAAAGTCACCGATTGGTCAAGGTGCCAAATTCTGAAGTTGAAGAGTGGGATAAGACACATGATCACGCTGGGCGGATCATTGCTGAGGCTGCCGAAGTGAGTGACAAGACAGCTGACAATGTTTTGGTGGTCGGAAAGGACAGCGCCGTATCCAGCACAAAATGAGGTCGCATACTATCAAATACTGAAACTTATTCGTCGATTATCTTACCTACCAACATCTCCCCAGTGCTATGAACCACGTGAAGTGAAAATTACTTGATTATTTGCCTCTATAATTTCCGGGTTCCTGCAGGGAGAGCTACCCCCACCGACTCTATAATATCGGAGGCCGCATCTCTCAAGACGGTATCCCATTTTCCTCACGACGCTCTCTAACTAGGCGGGCAATACTTTTTTTATTTTCTTTAGGCCGCAAAACGATTATAGTCCTGGGTACATACACATATCCGATCTCAGCCGGACGTACGTACAAAGGTTGTTGCCTCGATGTTACAAATTCTCACCGCCGCTGCAGCCACAATTCCCCCTTGCTTCAAATACGCAAATGCCAGGGAGAGATAAGAAGTCTTGGCAATTCTGTCATTATGAGAATATGAATCTCACGCTTGATTCATGGGAATATCACGCCTTTCTCAGTCTACAGCCAATAAACAATCGCGCCTGTGCTCATAGTCATGAATACAGATTTTAAATGACTCTTCCACCAGAAAAATGAATTTTGCCACTTGACTGAATTAAAAAGAATATGTGTAGTTTTATGATTGCCTCCCTTGTGCGACGGCGACCATGACCAGCTGCAGGGCTATCGGACAATGTGGCAGTGGCAGTGCTATCATGGATATTCGTCATCTCAAGAGTATGACAAGAGGTGTGTTATCACAAGTTTGCATATAATTGAGGTGCTGCTTACTCGCAACATAAATCTCAACAGATTATCCATCAGCTGCTGAACACCCTGTGGTTTGCTTGCGTTGACCCGACCGGTCTCTTTCATTTGGGTAGGCTGTCTAAATTGTTGACCAGTTTCTTTTTTGCGATTTTATCAACATCATGATGTATTATTATCTCAAGAATTCATCGAAAGAGTGACAAACTGTGTAGCAAAACGAGAGGCACGAAACTCTGCCAATCTCACGGGCAGATGGACGGCCAAGTCTACGCTAATGATATCTCCATCAGGCTTTATACATCAACAAATCTCATATCTCAAGTGGATCAAAAAGCCATGCCGTACAAATAAGCTTAAAAAGATGGAGTAGGTCAATCTCGTTCGGATCTTAATCCAACGGAGACGGCCTAATCTCCAGTAGAGACGCATCCAGGCCCCCAATGAACACACCATTAAAATATTAGGCGCCTTGGTATTTCAGCCGCTACGCTAATCATGGCGAATGAAACCGGGTACGAATACTGCCAAGCGATCCCATTGCTTACTGGGTGCTCTTCTTTCCGTAATATTCTCGGAACCCAGTTACATCTACCCTCCTTGCGAGCTGAGGTTCCAGGCCGTTTGGTACATCAGCTATTTCCAACTTGTGCTCATCGCGTCTTGGCGCCAACGTTGGCCATGCAAGCTGCAAACAGGGATGTGGCTATGAGTAGCAATTCTCGTACCCCTGCCTCGGATACCGAAATGACGGCCTGGCAAACAGGCTACGAAAAGTATCCAAGTCACAAACAAGGCTGCAGGATGTGATATATTCCCCATGCTTGGAGAGACAAGTGGCCGTTTATTAAGAAATCCAATTTAGCTCGGCTGTATGCCATCTGTCATCATGCAAGTTCTCGAGTTGTGTAGCACGGGACTTGCAGAATCATCATGGGCTCGTGTGTGAGCGCGCCAAGAATAGGACTGCAATCAACAAGGCGGCTGTGAAGCATGGGTATCGGTAGGGCAAATACACGAGCTGTCACTACCCAAGGGATTGGTTTCAGACTAGGCAGGGTGGCGGCAATGTGTGACACCAGAAAGCAAAGTGTGTTTATCAGCCGCTCATCCAACACCGCTTCTCAACGGCAAGGTTTCATAAACATAACGAAGATCACATCCATCCATCTACTATAGCAGCTATATAGCACGCATAATCCTAAGCCAGTATCTCAAAGCATTTATTTTGTCAGTCGAGAAGTAAAATGAAAGGGCAGATAATCTTTAAAAGATATTCACGATTCTTGAGATGACTCAACTCCATCAGCTTCATAAAACCGTAACTTTGCAAGAAAATTGTGTTCCACTTCACTGCTATCATTTGCTTAATACATGTGCTATCCCGTGGCTCCGTCTCTCCGTTCCCGTTCCCGGTCCTGGAAGGCAGTGTTCGCCACACGGGTAAACTTGTTGAGATGACGAATGAGTTGCAAGCATTCTACCACAAATGCCAAATGCTGTATGCTACTAGGTCAAGTCTTTTTGCAGCCCCCAGGCCCAGAAAAGCGGCACACATCTCCTTCATCCCAGGCATTTACTCCGGAGAGGTTGGGGGCCTGAAAGCGCAGATCATCAGTCGGCACCGCCTCGTAACAGCAACTGAGTGACCATGTACCTCGCTGTTTGCATGTAATTCTCTTTTGTTCTATATTAGTCCACATGCCTTAGCCGTCGCTTATCACTGAGGGTCGGTGTGACCATGACCTGAATCCCGTTGGTTCTACCCGAAAAAAAGAGGTGCGTTTATGCATGGAGTGATTAGCAGCTAACTCCCAGAATGGAAATGTAACCAAGAGGCCGATGATTTAGAGCAAGATGTATAGATAAAGAGCGGACGCCCAAGCTGCTTTGCCTTGGTGCATACATCATCATGGTCTATTTCCACCTATTGTTGATACAATCAGTTTTTGGATAACATTGAAGAGGAGAAAGACCATATTCCCGGCCATATTCTCTTTTATACCAACTTTTCTACCCTCTTCTCCGCCGCACAGTTCTACTTACTCTGCTTTGGATAGAATAGAAGCCATGGCCAAAACGTTTATAAGAGATGAGGAACTTTGCAGGCGGTATGCGCAGTTTGCATCCGAGCTGGACCGGTGGCACTTCAAGATCATCTACTGGTTCATGTTCGTGCTTAATCTTGTGATCCTGTTCATTGCATCTTGGACATACACAAAGTACGTCGTCCCCTTTTGCCCTTTGAGCAGAAATGAGAAGTGGACTGACTCGATCCTGTCGTAGAAGCCAGGAAGCGAATGAGCAGCTTAGTCACGAGCCACAGAGGCGATCAAGGAGTCTAGTCAAGTACATGCTGATGTGCCTTGGCTGTGTTCTATTTTCAGCCGCATTGGTTGTTATGGAAGCCTTTGCTCTCTTGGCTCTGCAATTCTGCGATGGGGAGAATCTGATTTCCCTATACTGGTCTACTTGGACCATGATCCAGGTTGGATCCCTGATCGCAATGATGGGCATCATCCTTGCCATGGCACATTCGTTGCGAAACAGGAGACATCCGTAAGACTGTTGACCCTAAGCACTAGAAGCACTGCAAAAAGCTAATCATTTATTTCAGACCGTGGGCTCTTGCTTTGGGAACGCCGGTTCTCGTCATCGCCGGTTTGTTGCATCTCATCCACGATTGCACAAAGAAGCGGGTCAATAAGATTAAAAACGGTTCCATCATGAAGAGCAGCGCTCCTTCTATGAGTGAAGTGTAAGTCCATGTGCATCTTGTTGGTTAACTCTTGCTCACACCCATCATCAACTACAGGAATACAATCCAAGGGAACCCGGAAGACGATCTGGAGAATTCGATCTTGGGCGAGTTCATTGGATTCACAGTGGAAGGCGGTCCAATTGTCCGCTTCAACGATTCTATGCCACTGAATCTCAACCCCGACTACGGATTCGAAGTTTTGGGATACTGCGATGGCACTCGACCAGTAGTGGCATATCAAAAGGGCTCCATCCAGGTCCTACCCGCTGCGGACAGGGACAAACAAAGCACGCAGAAAGAATCTCGGCCGCCGCAGGAAGAGAAAGGGGCGCAAGAGTCTCGGCCGGGGGGGACTTGTAGTGGCACATGATGCTCGGTTTGAGCTTTTGCAGCATGGAGGAATGGGAATATTTACATGTATCTGTTGTGTGCGGCTTTGATGTGTAGTGCCACTATGAATTGTTTCTTGATGGGTGGGCGAGGCCCTAATTATGGAGGACAGTAGATGAATTTGATATCCATGAAAAGTTTGGAGGCGATGGAATTACTCCTTGCGCATATCCCTTAGAGTTGGCGTCTTCTTTGCAGCGTGCAAATACATGTACCTACCACATACGATTGAAGCTGCACTGGCCTAATCGATAGGAATAAAGGCTTCAATGGAGGGGTCGTTTTCTTAGATGGAGGGGGGTACATGTGCCCAAGAAGAAAAATGTGGCGGGGCAAAAATTGAGTGCTTGAGCCACAGTCCGTTCATCGGCGCTTGCTAATCAGCCAGAGATTGCTTCATCTTACAAATCAGCTCAGTGACGGCTTAAAAAAACACGTCAGTCTGGCCTTTGTCTGGTCAAACACCTTGATGCCGATGCGCCATCGACGCCCGGGCTAAGCAGCAGAATCGCCATGGGCTTGGAAAAGGTCAAGCACGTTGTGCTGGTACGTCAAGCCAGAACAGCCCAGAGGCATCGTACATGTACTAATACGCGGTTTTGACGGCTGCAGGTGCTTTCCGGCAAGGGAGGCGTGGGCAAATCCTCGGTGACGACGCAGCTGGCCCTGTCTCTGACGCTTGCCGGCCATTCGGTGGGAATCCTCGACGTCGACCTGACCGGCCCATCCATCCCGCGCATGCTGTCGATCGAGGCCTCCAAGGTCACGCAGATCCCAGGAGGATGGGCTCCGGTTCCCGTCCACGAGGCAGAGCCGGAAAACGGCCTGGGGAGTCTACATGCCATGAGTCTGGGATTCCTGCTGCCCCAAAGAGGCGACGCAGTGGTGTGGAGGGGCCCCAAGAAGACGGCCATGATTCGGCAGTTCCTCAAGGACGTTCTATGGGACGAGACCGACTACCTCCTCATCGACACACCTCCGGGAACCAGCGACGAGCATATATCACTGGCTGAAACGCTACAGAGAGACGCCCGCCCAGGCCAGGTGGCCGGCGCGGTGGTTGTGACGACACCCCAGGCAGTGGCCACCGCGGACGTGCGCAAAGAGCTCAACTTTTGCGTCAAGACGGGCATCCGCGTGCTGGGAGTGGTGGAGAACATGAGCGGCTTCGTCTGTCCACACTGCTCCGAATGTACCGACATTTTCGGGTCCGGGGGTGGGAAATCCATGGCGGAGGAGTTCAAGGTGCCGTTTCTAGGATCCGTGCCCATCGATGCGCAGTTTATTGCCCTCGTCGAAGAAGGCCAGCGGCCGCATTACCCGGCAGGAACGGTGGTCAATGGCCGGGACATTTCGAGCGATGAGAAGAAGCTCGACAACACACAGAACAAGGGCGACGGGACGCTGGTTGACAAGTACAAGGACTGTTCATTGTTCCACATATTCGTAGGCATAACCGCCCAGCTCAAGGAGAAGGTGACCGGGGCAGAAATTACATGACGCACTGTACTGCGTTCACCTGTTCCACCGTCGTTTTCGTGATATACGGGTTTACTCGTAAGTAGTATTGCTCGTATCTAGTAGCTATGCTGGAGCCGTGAGACTTGCATAAGGTATGTGGAACAGGCCCCTCATTTGAAGCTTTGAAGCTCTGAAGCGGGTGCTTCCGTTGCCCACCCGACTTATTCGATATTGCGTGGATGGAGGACTAAGCCCTAGGCACTGTTCTGGTCAATAGCCGCCACTCTCGCATGGAACACTACCTGTAGTAGATTTTGCCAGAAAACGGCGAGCAAGTACTATGTAGTAGTACTCGTACCTAGAGTATGTTGGTAGGCAGCTTGCTGTAGCTATCTCGAATGCTTACCGCATATGTCGCTATCTGTCCTACCTTAGTACATGTACTAATGTGCTACGTAATGAGACATCCTGAAGCACGCGACATGCATGGATACAGGGACTCGCAGTAATCCCCTGCTTGAGCCCCTGCGCCAAGTGAGTGCAGCTACTCACTCAGCCATGCAGTGAAAGCATCAGCACCTGAGACACTGCGCAGGCGGAGCGGAAAAGAACTCAATGCATCTCCGGCCTGGTGATGAAAGGGGCGCCCTCTTCTGCTACCAAGCCAGGCGCCCAACTTTTAGGCGATGGGAGCCCAAACCCCCCCATTTACATACTATGTGGTACTCCATATACCAGTATCAGTACAAAAGCCACCCAGACGAACGGCCTCTGACAAGGTTTCAGCTGATTTCTTCTTCCGGTAGCCCCGCCATCTCTCGCGCTCTGCGAAAGCCCTGATTTGCTGGCAAAAGGCAGAGAGACGAAAAAAAATGCAACCGTTTCTGGGGGTGCGCGCCATGGCTTGCCAGGGAGTACCTGGCCATCATAAGTGGGTACCTTAGTATCTTGGGAAGAAAAAAAATTACAGCGATCGTGAGGTGATGTCAACAGGAACAGGATGTATTTTTTTCTACAGCTGGATGCTGGGATTGTGCAGTAAATTCAGAGCGTGCGAATCCGTCGATGCTACGTCTGGTTATTCTCCATCACATCTGACATCACTGTCTCTCCTTACTCTTGTATGCAGGGAGAAATGGCCACGTCGTGTGCAGTTAGTTGTCTTTGTTTGCCATCTACTACTGCAATTCATCCACCACTCTGTGTTACTTGACTCTTGAATTTTCCCCCCTTGCTTGATAGCGGGGCCTTGTGCTTTAGCTGTAGCAGCAGGTACCTCAGCTGCATGTGCCGGTGGCCAGGTACGGCAGGGTACCCGTGGCCCGTCCCGATTGGGCTGCATCCATCCAGCTTCACACAAACACAAACCTCGTAGCCAAAATAAAATCTCAACCCGCACAAACAATTCCAAACTCTGTTTCCGCACCCGCTGTCCGAGCTCTGCTTCGCCCCTTGACCTGATCCATCATCCACGCTGTGCATCCTCATAGCATCCATCTGCTCCGCCAGCCACCGCCTCCCGACCATTCACAGCAACGGCACTGTTCCCTCCAGAATCCCCGCGGGGACAGAAAAAAAAAAACTGGGAAAAATATCGCCCTGCTGTTTTGCGCCGGAAGACGCCCACGTCACACGACCGCCTGTCGATTCGGGAAAGCCTCTTGTAGCTCTCTTGTAGCGACTCTGACCTACTGGATATGAGGAACTAGACGTTTGCCTGTCCTCAAAAGACATCCTCAACCGGCCGCTATCTGTAGTGGCCTGACTGACCCTGCTCTGGTTCTCTCTTTGGCCTTCTATGCGATCAACTGATCTCCTGCGATTCCTCTTTTCGCGACCTTCAAAGTACGGCCTTGTTTACTTGTCTTCTTCATCTCGAGCAATTCCAGCACTTGGACTCAAGACTGACTCCCATGGTTCTCTCTAGGCCCCGATAGCACCCCTTCAAGCAACCCAGATATTCGAATATTGAACAAACTGCAACTCAAGCCCGCCTACCCCAAGTCAACAGCTCCTGGCAAATTCAACCGATCCGATACTGTCACCCGAGTATCGGACAAGACATCTCCGCGCAAAATTTTGTCGCAGAAACGGTTTTTCTACCCTCTCTGTCCCCGGCCTCCATAACGTCCTCTCGAGACGTTAGCCTTTCTTACACCATCTTGATTGCTGCTGGCTTCCGCCAGCGTCGTTGGACTCACCACATTCCTGTGGGCCTACTCTCTCAAGCAGACGCCGCAAAGTCTGGTTGAGTGGCAGCTAGTGCTCCGCGGACTCATCGTCGGACGGGCATAGCAGCAGCGTGCTCGAATTAACCCTCGGCGGTCTTTTCTTTATTTGTCCCTTTGCTTAGGACTGCTGAGTAGCAGCAGCAAATCATCATCGAAAATGGCCAATCTTTCGGTCCCCAACAATTACACCTTTTCCCCGTCATCGGCAACGCCCCACTTGACAATCAACCACGACAATGCCGCGGAATTGGACTCGACCTATGCCTTTGAAGGTATGCGTTTCTCTATTGTGTGTTTAGTCATGGAATTCGGTTGCTAATGATATATTCAATCTATCAGGGCCTGAAAAGCTCCTGGAGGTGTGGTTCGCGCCGAGTGCCTCAGCACTCCCCAGGGGCGCTCAACCTGCGGGCCTCAAGGCCGTGTCCTCTGAGACTTGGGAGACCATGCTTGACATGGTAAACTGCAAGATTCTCTCAGTGCTCGAGTCCGACGCTGTTGATGCCTATCTTCTCTCTGAATCGAGCATGTTTGTCTTCCCTCACAAGCTCATCTTGAAGACTTGCGGCACGACCACTCTCTTGCTTGGACTGCAGCGCCTGCTTCACATCGCCGCCGAGCATGCGGGCTTCCCCTTTGGCAATGCCACGTCTGCAAAGGAAATCAAGGCCGTTGCTACTCCTTACCGAGTCTTTTACAGCCGCAAGAACTTTCTCTTCCCAGACAAGCAGCACGGCCCCCACCGCAGCTGGAAGCAAGAAGTCAAGTACTTGGACGACATGGTTGATGGCGGCAGTGCCTACATGGTCGGAAAGATGAATGGCGACCACTGGTACCTCTATATCACGTCTCCTAACCGAGAGTTCACCCCGCCCCTGACCCCTGACTCGGAGCAAAATGAGATGGCCCCAGCCAGCTTCTCACTTCCCGCCAGCTTTGGCCATGGAGGACCTGGGAGCGACGAAACGCTCGAGATTTTGATGACGGATCTCGATCCAGAGAATGCCAAGCAGTTTTACCTGGCACACGCGAGTGCGGTCGCGTGCGACAAACTCTCTGCCGAAACCACCAAGGCTCGTCAAGATGCCGTCGGCGGATCCTCGACTCCACTCGGTGAGGTTGATGTCTTTGCCGATAGCATCGAGTCCGACCTCCATGAGCCGTGCGAGAAGCCCGGTGAAATCGAGGGTCTGACCACCGAAGGCCACGCCCTCGGCACGGTTGTGTCCGAGCAGTGCGGTCTCGCCGACGTCTATCCCACCTCTGTCTACCCGGACGCCCGCATTGATTCCTACCTCTTCAGCCCGTGCGGATTCTCTGCCAACGGCATCATCCCTCCGCCCCCAGCCACGCAGGAGGGTGGCCAGGAAAGCGGTAAGAATGCCGGACACTACTTTAGCGTTCACGTAACCCCTGAGACTGGTTTTTCGTTTGCTTCATTCGAAACCAACGTTCCAGGAGGCCAGAGCGGCCGGACCACTGCCGAGATTATCGAGCACGTTGTTGAAATCTTCAAGCCTGGCCGCTTCAGCGTCACCTTGTTCGAGGCCAAGGGCCGTGGCGACAACACCTACGGTTCGGCCAAAGCTGAAGCCAAGGGTCTTGCTGCTCAGCGATTCATCGATTCTGTGCGCGGATATCGCCGTATTGATCGCATTGTTCACGACTTTGAGGACTACGACCTCGTATTCCGCTTCTATGAGCGTGAGGGCTGGGTTGGCGACAAGAAGGCCCGTGTGGGAGAGGAAATTTGATGCAAGTCCGCTGGCAATTTTCTGCAGACGACCAGCAATGGAATATGAAGAAGGATATGGGTGTTGGATTGGATCTGGACAAGATCCCCCTCAGTTTCATTCTGGACATTCCTTTTTGCGATCTATTCGCCTTTGCCTCCACATTTGATTGACTGTTGATGACGGTCAACTGGTTTCATAGTTTTGAGTTTGTGTTTTTGCTTTTACTGTCATTTATGAATAATATTCGCATCCCCAAATGCACGCATTGTAATACCGTTTCTCCTAAGTGAAAGTAATTCCTGAATCTGCCCGTAATCTAATAGATGAGTATGGCCTACAGGAGTGGGTTTAGCTAAAGCGTTTATCAATGCGCTCTTATCGATAATGGAAAACGGCAAGGCCAATTTTTCCCAGGCTCCACTTCACCAATTTTTTTCCAAAGCTACCAAGACGCATCACCAAAAACTTCATCTGACCAAACCCGCAAATCGACGACCAATTGGCGAACCACAGTCGCATACAAATCCTCCTTGACCGAATCTCTCGCCTTCAGCTCCTCCAAATCACTCGATCCAACCGCCCATCATGCATCTGATGTACACCCTTGACGCCAGCGGCAACCGCCTCTACACCCTCAAGAAGGTCGCCCACGGCCAGGTCACCAAGTCTGCGCATCCCGCCCGCTTCTCGCCCGATGACAAGTGGTCTCGCCAGCGTGTCATGCTGAAGCGTCGCTTCAACCTGCTCTTAACGCAGCAGAGTGAGTAGCAGCTCGTTTGTCGTGGAGCATGTTCGCAGGTCTAACACTGTTTGTTACCAGAGGAGGAGGCTATGTAAATTCGCATCATTGAGATGCCCTCGAACCATTAGCGGAACGAAAAACGAATCTAAGCGGCTTTTAATTGGAAGCGACCCCGGACATCCTTTTGGGTGGAAGCAATATTTCCAGCGCTCTTCTCTGTGTGTTGGCGGTATGAGATAATGAGGTCAGACTCTTGCTTGGAAAGCCACATGGCCGAAACCAGCTGGGCCTTTGTTACTCTCGCATGGTATCGACGGCGGAATGCAAATGAGCAAGCAATGTTTGTTTGGGGACAGCAGTGGGAGACAACTTGGGGAGTGCGCGTCTGGCGAAAGCTTGACTGGATGGATGGATGACAAGTTCACTATATTCTGGAATTGGAATCTTTCTCAATGATTCGGGAATGGATTTGGCGTTTCTTAGGCGATTACATGTACTTGGGACACATTTATACGCAGATATAAAAAAAAATCACAACCGCCTCTTCAAGGGCATTAACAGACATTTGGTGCTCTCTGCTATGATCTTTTTTTTTTTTAGCCTTTTTTTTCTGGATGTGTGTGCTCTATAAATTCATACAATCATGATGGATATTCACTTCTGCATCTCCTTTTTATTCCCATAATAACCGTAGCCAGCTTCTCACCATCTACCGCTTCCGCCTAGAGTTCACAGCACGTCCTGCACCAACCTTGATCCTGTTGCCTGCTCCCGATCTATTGCCCGTCAACAAACCAGGCAAGAAATCGTCGTCCATCAAATCCTTCTTCCTCTGTCTCCGCTGGTCATCCAGTGCCTTGACGTGCTCCTTCTGGTCCTCAGCCAAGATCAGGTCTCTGCCCCAGCCATTCTTGCCACCAACGTTCTTCGGCAGTCTTCCGTTGGCACTGCCGTGGACCGGCTTTGGCACGCTGAAGACATTTCCGCGGTTGTTCCACTGGAAGTTTTGCTTGAGATGGATCTTGAAGTTGCCGTGTTGGTCCGTTGAGCAACTTGTCCTTGTAAGAGTGCTCTGGCCGCACTTGGGGCAAAACTGCTTGTTCATATCCTTGGTGATGTTGAAGCAGCCATGGCACCGCAGGACCCACGTCTTGAGATACGTGATGCGAGAGAAGGAGGGCGTGACGAGGTTGAGATTGATACGCAAGGCGACGTTCTGCATGGCATAATCTGAGGTCAGGATGGCAGCCTGCAGAATTTTAGGAGGGGCTTTGTCATTAGTGCCAGCCGCGCCAGAGTCAATGGCTTGCTGCTTCTTGAGGTTGGACGGAGTGATCCAGCCCTCATCGTCAGACTCCTCTGGAACCTCTTCAGGCTGCTGTGCAACCGGGGAAGAATCTTGAGTTTCTTCGACAGCTTCCGTTGCCCCAGTCGGTGTGGGTTGCTCTTCACTGTTGCCAGAGGCTTCCAGACTGAGGTTCTGCATGTCATTGTTGAGGCTGGCCCCGGCATGTGGCTCTGACTGGGCATTCTCTTGTTCGTCTGCGGCTTCTGGCGTCTCTTCGGGTTCGGTGATCTGTTGAGCTCCATCCGCTGGAGCTGGTTCTTCTTGTGCTTCCTCCGTCGGCTTATCCTGTTGCGGCTTGCCATTCAATCCTTTCTGGCTCGGTGTATTCCTCAGTCTCCAGTCGCCTCCGTTCCTCTCGCATTCCAGCTCGTATCCCAGTGCAAGCACCTCCATGTCTGGTCTGCTAAGTACTCCATAATCACCAGTCTTTTTCGCAAAGTCTGCAATGAACTTTAAGCTCTCGGGCCTAGGGGACCGCAGGGTGACGAATGGCAACAGCGTTGTTTCAACTCGAGATCGGGTCGCAACGTCGCGGATTTCGCTAATGATGTTGGGAAGGGTGTAGAGCTTTTCGGCCTTGGCGATGAGGACACTGGCAGGAGGATCGTTCTTGATCAGCGGACCGGTATCAAGAACGAGGCTGTGAATCGGCTTCGCCGTTGCGACAGTCGGAGTCGCAGATGGCTCTGTAGGTTGAGCCAGCGGGGTTGCCATGACGGCGTCTTGGAGGGCGGTGTGAGAAAGACTGCGTGTCTATCGAATCTGTTTATCAAAGACGCGCAAATGCAGACGGCTCGACGACAGTAAATACAGCCAATAGAGAGCAAAGATGGTTTTCACATTGATTATCCGTTCCTCAGTGGTGGTTTCGGAGGGGCAATATCGCTACACAAAATTTAGGACGCCGATAAGATAAGAATTTTTCTGGCATTGATTTCAAAGGACTGCCAAATGCGAGGATGGAGCACGTGCAGCTAAAAAAAAAAAAAAAAAATGACATAAGCTGCACAGCCGCAACGTGAAGCATTCCAGGATAAAAGACATTGAACTACAGAGGACATGCATGCTAGAACACAAGTAACATTATCGAGGAGGCAATGATTATTAGGAAAATATAAATGATGCTACATTGTGTTTAGTTCCAAGTATGCACTTCTCATGATTTTATCAGCAGTCGCTGTAGAGAGGAAGTGGCTTTCACCTCCACTGTCGTTATCCCAAGCTACCCTATACCCATTCCATTTTGCAATGGATCTCATAAGCGTGAAGAGCGATGTTAGCATCTTTCTATAGATAAACATTTCTGACTTGCATCTGGGGGGCGATTCCAACGGCCCAATTACCCCATGATTAGTATTTGGCTATCGTTTGTGGGGATTTTGCGCTTGCATGGGTAGAAGGGCGTGCAATACATGCCTCTGAGATATCGCTGCCACCCTCCATCTTCATGGCCGGACAAAGTCGCTTAAACCGACGCGACTAATGATAAACTTGAAAAAACAAGGAACAACATGGTAGATCATGCAAAAGCTTAGGCAAGGTTACCCTGTCATTATGTCGTGTGATAGTCGTCTGACGCATTCTCCATCTTTGATATCGGTTACAGTAGTACGTGTATCGAACCATCGGCTATCTCCAATCCATGCAACTGGTCAAGGACTGATACTGGTCTGCATTCATCTCGGAATTTGATACTCGTTTTTGGAAATCGAGCATGCTAGACACTGCCCAGTGCATCCATCAACTTCGTATTCAAGTCTAGCTCAAGCATCAATGCGACATTATCATCCTGATTCCAGCAGGCAACCACCAACTCGGACCATCAATAGCTTCTTGCTAAAAGTTGGGACCGCTTCGGTGCTTTTCCATAACCCTTATATTTGTTTCCCACTCAAATGAGCCGTGGAACTATTCTGTTCAGAGATATATTGGAGGTACTATGTACTGTATCCGCAGGCTGTAGGTGGTTCTTCGCTACAACATCCACATTCTCGTCTCAGTGTAGATGTTGTGCAACGCCGGATCTGTTGGTAAACCCCTGAAGCACCAGGACTCGACTTGATTCGCCATATGCGGGGGAAAATTGGAGATTTGGGTAGGAATTTTCAAGTAATTTGTTTGCCACCCGAAGTGGCCCAATGTTTGAAAGAATATATACAAGCTCTTTGATTGGGCCACCTTGTCTACAATACCTGGAAGGGGATTCATGTGATGGAGGTTGACACTGAAGCGGAAGGATATACGCTCCGTCGTTTGAAGCAACTAATTTCAAGCCTCGTGGAGAAGACTACTTGTAACGAGATGGATTCCCCATAAACGTTCAAACAGGCGAATGTGAAGATGTCTATTACAGGCAGTGGGTATAGCATCTCAAGGGTCTTTCCGGGCCTCCAGACGGGGGTTTCGGGCCCCGGGATTTCTATTGAATAATGCATTGTCATCTTGAAAGTCCGCAGCGCGCGCTACACCCTGGCTAGTGGGAGCCATACTATTACATACGATTTGCCCAATAGAAACAATTACGGCGTAAGGGTCATCAATGTGGAGAGCGGAATTTCTTCCATGGCAGATCGTGGTAGAGCATGGGAGAGACTTGACCAGGCCTTTGCGCAGGTACGAGTATGATTTTCGTTGCCGTTCACCTGCGTAACATTGGCTAATGGGCGGCATCCCGAGAAGACGCATTCTGCAGGCATTCGGATATTTATTGCAACGTAAACGTAGTATCTCATGGAGTGAACCCTGAGCTACTTGCAGGCACCATACGGCTGCTTGTGGACAAGGGGCAGGATATGTCACGGTACTTGGCTTTGATGCTACGTAGCCGGGGCCAGCGGGCCAGTGCTCAAAATGGTAAGATACTGAGATGGGATGGCGGTAGATGGGGATTGAGGCGAGGGGAAAAGCAGCCAGTAATACGACGTGCTCATACCACTGATGAAGGGGCCGGAATTAGACGGACAAACTTGCACGCCGTGTTTTCCGTGGCCAGCCGGGAGGCACACACACACACGTAAAGGCTCGGAATACGTGGACTAAACAGGAGATTGGGAGTGGGCGCATGTCAATTTTAGAAGTACAGGCTATTTGTGACGGGCAGTGAGTGGTAAGATACAGTAAAGGTGCGGGTGGAATCAAAATAGCCAAAAGGCAACATCAGCAACGAAAAGATTACGGACGAATTATACGGAGTTTGGCATAGCTCCGTTCTGGGTAGTTTTCGAGAAGGCGCGTGGAAGTGATCGTCGGCAGTAGCGCAGCTCGGCTAGTCCGTAAGAGGTTAATGGCTAGAGGGCTACTGCAGGTGACTTTGTGACAAAAGATGGCAACCTGGAAAAAAAAAATTAGCACGCCCGATCAATCCATTGATAATGTGGCTGGAGATGGTCGGGTTTGTACAGCGGCTCGGCCCCCGTAAGGTTCGCTAAGAGGCCCTGCAGGGACAGGCTAGGGGGAGGCTTAGGGGCTGCTAGACCTGATGGAATCCGCTGGACCTGCTGGAAGAGGCAGCGCTAGCAGACATGGCGGTGCCTCAGGCGCTGCGCTGTTGGGAGAATCAGGCCAGGCCGGGCTCGAGGCTGATCCATGCCCGTCCAGTAGTAGTTGAGGTAATTGTACTCCGTACTGTACTATTATCCCTAGTACTATAACCGCTGGCCAAGGCTTTAGGCGGTACATACCGTAGTAAGGGAGTTAGTGGCGAGCTGCGTGTACCTGTCCGGGGAATTTTCAGTCCGTTGTTGCCGTGGCGGACCGATCTGTACCGCGGGTTGGCAGCAGACAACATCCATCTTGAAGAATGCCCGCTGACTGAGCGAGCTGAGGCTTGCGCAGGCACACACTTGGCGCGGCCGGCAATGAGTGCCGCAAGGTGGTGTGCAGAACTTTTGCCCATCAACCCGCTGGATCTCATCTTTGGTGCCCTCCCTATACCTACCTACTATACCTAGTAGGCGCTGGGCTATTGCTAATCTCGGCAGTGTCACGGTTTTGTGCCGACGCCAGCGGCAATCCGTCTGGTTCCTGGCTGGGCTGAGGCTTGCTGATGTGCTTTTGCTTCCATTTCCATCCAATTTCTTTTACTGTACGAATTACTCGCCACGAGATAGCAACCTAGAGAGACATGGCCAGCTTTGACCACGTATCAAACCGTGCCGGCCTGTTCTCGTATGTACACCCAAGCTGGCTCCGTCCTCGTTCCGTACCTGTCCCTGAACAGGCATACCTGTGAGAAGCTCCGTTGGCCACTGCGCTCGCCCCGACGAGGCATTATTCGAGCACAAACCTGGCTATCCGAGCCATCTCCGCTGGACTCTTGACACATCAAAACTGCCACTGAGTCGCAATAGGATCCATCGTGTATGCGGCGGTGGGCTGCTTCAGCGAGTGTCGAGTGGACAGCGCCTGGCCTCAGTGGGCTCAGTGGACTCAGTGGACCTGAGCTGGGCCATGCAGTGGGTTGTACTGGGTTGCCTCAGTGGGCTAGGTGGATCGCTGTAGGGCTCCGCTCCAACGCAATGACGTTTTGGGTTCGGGGCTAGAAGGAAAAGAAAAAAACTTGAGCCGCTCAGCGACCCACTTGGCGGAAACTCGCCTCTTCTCTCTCAAACGACAATCCACAACGACGATGATCCATGCCTGTACGATTCACGGAAAAGACGGCAGCCCGAAATACAATGGACAGGCGCAGTGCAGATTCACCTCCATGATTGCCTCGAAGAACCGGCCACGATTTGTTTTTACGTACAAGAATGCGGAGAAACGTTGTTGACGCCAGATGCTGGCGATGTCTTTTGCGGGGGAGGTCTGGGGTAGAGCCTGAGCCAAGAAGGGCATTGGGATCGGTTGGGGAGGACGTGACGTGACGGAGAGGGTGGAGGACAAGCTGAGGACAATGGGAGCATCATAGCTGAACCGGAGGAGCAACTCGAAGGCTCCCCTGCGTCCCCGTGGACGAGCATCGTGCTGGCCAAAGTGGAGGGCTGCCCGAGTCTAGATGCACGAAGCTGCTCGAACAAACACGCCGCACCAGTCACTACCATGGAGGACCGCGCTGTTTCTTTCTTATCTACGCACAATGGAGCACCGAACCCGGAGCTTTCGCGCCATCTCGTTCCAGCACGCTCTGGCGAGATCCGGTGGCCGGAGGCGTTCGCTCCTCGAACCTTGGAGCCCAGCTATTTGCGCCCACTCCGTCCGTGGCGCTTCTGCCCCGACGACGCGGCCACCCCGGCCCTCCTCCTCTGGCTCATGCAGATGCAGCCTCTGCAACCTTATTAGCTTGTTCGACGAGTGCTGGGCTCGCTGCCCACAGCCCATGCTCCATCTTCGGCCCTTTGCCTTGCCTGGTCAACGAATGGCAAACCCAAAATACGACGCTTACAAGACCTGACCTTATCTACAGGTACCTACTCCGTAATTGTCGAGGCGCTTGGGGATCGTCCTTGATCTGCACAATCCACATGCTTGGGGTATTAAACTGCCTCGTCCTCCACCTCCGCACTTTTCATCTCGTTTCCTCCTTCCTCTCATCCATCCACCTCGCCGGGTTTATACATTAGGAGACTTGGTATCGACCCTTTGGTGCCAACTACTAGACTCCGTATCCTTGCTTCTTTCCATTTTTTCCTTCTACGTACGATTACACGTATACTCGTACCCTCATATCTTTGGGTCTATACCCACAGACTTGTCTCATAACTCAAAAACCTTGCCTCGTCCACCCTCCTCTCGATCTCTTGACTCCCCTACCTTTATCGATATACCGTCAATATAGATATCCATCATGTCTGATACATCCATCACTTCGCCATCGGACTCTGAAAAGGGCCGCTACGATGTGAAAAAGACTGCCAACCCCAACCTGTCAGACGAGTCACCCGGTGAGACTGGCGAAGAGTTCCGCGAAGACGCCGAACGCGCCATCGCAGAGGCAGGCGAGCACAAATTCAACCGGTTAGGATGGAAGCGTCTCACCGTCGTCCTCATCGTCGAAGCCATTGCCCTCGGCAGCTTGTCTTTGCCCAGTGCTTTTGCTACTCTTGGTATGGTGGCTGGAACCATCTGCTCTGTTGGCCTCGGTCTTCTTGCCATCTATACCAGTGATCTTGTCGGCATGGTCAAGATCAAATTCCCCGAAGTTGCCCACTATGCCGATGCTGCTAGGTTGGTTGCTGGCAAGTTTGGATATGAGCTCGTTGGAGCCATGTTCGCCCTTCAGCTGGTTCTGCTCATCGGATCGCACTGCTTGACAGGCGCCATTGCCCTGCTCAACATCTCCAACAATGCCATCTGCTCCGTGGGCTTTGCAGCAATCTCCGCCATCATCCTCTGGCTTCTGGCACTTCCCCCCAGTTTCACCGAACTGGCCATCCTAGGCTACATCGATTTTGCTTCCATCATCATTGCCATTGGTATCACCATGATTGCTACCGGTATCAAGGCTGGCAACGCCGACGGCGGCCTGTCATCAGTTCCCTGGTCTGCATGGCCTAAGGAGGACTTGACTTTCGTCGATGCTTTCATTGCTATTACAAACATCGTCTTTGCGTACAGCTTTTCCATCTGCCAGTTCTCCTTCATGGACGAGATGCACACTCCCAAGGACTATAAAAAGTCCATCTGGGCTCTTGGCCTCATCGAGATTGCTATTTACACCATCACCGGTGCAGTCATCTATGCCTTTGTTGGACCTGATGTCAAGTCCCCCGCTCTGCTCTCTGCCGGCCCTCTCATCTCCAAGGTTGCTTTTGGTATTGGCTTGCCCGTCATCTTCATCTCGGGATCCATCAACGGCACCGTCGTCGGACGCTTCATTTTCTCACGCGTCTTCAAGAACTCCATCATCCGATACATCAACACTCCCAAGGCATACGCCATCTGGGCTTCTCTTCTTGCTGTCCTCACCATTATCGCTTGGGTCATTGCCGAAGCTATCCCCTTCTTCTCCGACCTTCTCTCTATCTCGTCATCCCTCTTCATTTCCGGCTTCACCTACTACTTCCCCGCCATCTTCTGGTTCATGCTCCTCCGTGAAGGCAGCATCTTTGAGAGGAAGAACCTTGTCCACCTGATTCTGAGCAGTATTTCCATGATTGTTGGTCTTGTTGTGCTGGTCGCTGGAACCTACGCCAGTGCTGTTGACATCGTAAGTCTTACTCTTTACCTTTACTGCTCCCCTAAAACAAGACTAACCTGCGGCTACAGAAAAACCAATACCGCAATGGAAGTGTCCGGGGACCCTTCACCTGCGCACCTTTGGCGTAAATCGCCTGAGCGCTGTTTACGAAGCTGTACATCAATTTTATGAAGACATGAATTCTTGTTATTGTATTATGCGTTTTTATTATTTATAGCATTAGGTTAGGCTAGTAGCGATACCATTATTGAAACTTTTCTACCAATACCTACTCGACTCGACGTCTCTAGTGATTGATCGTACAGGCACTCCATTTCCAACGAAACTCTCCATCCCCGAACCGATCCGCGTCCATCGAGATTAACTTCCCGTCGCGATAAACTTTGCGGAGCACACGTACCCCGTACACGCACCCCGTATCATCGTGAAATGAAAGTCCCGCACAGATCCGCCGATGATACCCGATGATCCAGATAAATTGGTGGAGTTGAGCGGACCCGACCGCATCTACATACCGTTTAACTTTATCTTGCGGTCATTACGAGAAAAATGCGGAGGATTATCAATAAGCGAGCAGCTATCTTTTTTGTAGGACCAAGTTTAGGTGGCTGACTTGATGCTGCCTCGTCGAGGAATTGACTCTGAGGGATGGCCCGAGGCGTAGCACCGTTTCACGACAGCATGTGTGGCTTGGAGATTTCAAGATTTACAGGGCTGAAGCGGGGGGCTCAGATAGGGCTGCTTTTATCAGTCTAGACCTTTGGCCCGCCCTATTGTGAGTAAAGAGAGTTTCTGTTCGATCTATGGCGTCGCTAAAAGAGGCAAGCCGGCAGATTGCGCTTCGCATGAGTAAGGGCTGTGCGGGAACTGGCAGCTGCGGGCTTGAGCATATTTTAAGCTAACGGGAAGAGTGATGAAGCAAATCTACTGACAATTCAGTTGAGTCCAATGAAAAATATAGTGGTGAGAATCCCTTCGTTATATGTCTGGCATCAAGGAGCCATGGCTGTATGCATCCACGTAGATGGTCAACGGCATTTCAATGTTAGAGAAACTTGAGCCCCGCTTCTCATCGCTTTCCTCGGCAATTCCACGCAAAACGGCGACACCTCCATTCGCCGACTTGAAAGTCTGCCGAAACGTCTTGAAAGATGAAGTTACCGAGCATTACAAACTACAGGTATGTCTGTACTTATATATACACATTTAAGCGAATCAACAGGCAATTGGCTCTTTTGACTTGCATTCTTTCGCATTCTCTTACCTGTGGTAATTCTCTCAAAATGCAAACATTTGCCAGGTGCAAACCTCTTCATACGCTTTCAAGGCACTCGTACACTTGCCCTCATGTAAAGCTAAATACTGCCAACGTCACATCACTCCCGATCCTGTCTAAATGGAGAGGCATAGCCACCTCACGGAGCAACGCCCTACCGTTGGATGGTATCACAGTCGTCTCTTTGGAGCAAGCCATCGCAGCCCCCTTTTGCACTCGGCAGTTGGCCGACATGGGCGCTAGAGTCATCAAAGTTGAGCGTCCCGAAGTGGGCGACTTTGCTAGGGCGTACGACTCGCGAGTCAATGGCATGGCATCGCATTTTGTGTGGACCAATCGTTCCAAGGAAAGTCTCGCGCTCGATCTCAAACGTCCACGAGACTTGAGCATCCTGAAAAAGATTCTCCTTCGCGCCGACGTCATGGTACAGAATCTGGCGCCGGGTGCGGCGGAAAGGCTTGGGCTCTCACACGATGAACTTGGAAAAACAAACTCGGGCATCATCGTATGCGACATCTCAGGCTACGGATCGCACGGGCCTTACCGTGACAAGAAAGCATATGATTTGCTCGTCCAGAGTGAATCGGGAATGCTTGACGTAACAGGCGGCAAAACCGAACCGGCCAAGACAGGAATATCTATAGCAGATATCGCGGCCGGAATGTATGCCTATTCAAACATACTGGCAGCACTTCTGGAACGCGAAAAGACCGGAAGAGGCCGCCGTATTGATATCTCCATGCTAGAAAGTATGGTTGAATGGATGGGCTTCCCCATGTATTACGCCTTTGATGGGCAGCCGGGGCCGGCTCGGGCAGGCGCATCTCATGCGACGATATATCCGTATGGACCCTTTGAGACGGGAGACGGAGCTTCTGTAATGATGGGCGTGCAGAATGAGCGAGAATGGACTATTTTGTGTCGTGATGTATTAGGTGATGCAGCTTTGGCAGCGGACGAGCGTTTTGCAACTAATATCCTGAGAAGTACTAACCGGGTAGAACTGAAGAAGATTATATGTGCCTGCTTCTCTGATCTCACAGCAGATGAGGTTATTGAGAAGCTGGACAAAGCGGGCATTGCAAACGCCAGTGTCAATGATATGCAAGGGGTGTGGAATCACCCACAGTTGCGGGCGAGGGAGCGTTGGGTTGAGGTAAAGACGCCGAGTGGAATCGTTTCTGGATTACTACCACCTGGAGTTGACGATGCGTCACGGGCCAATATTGGAGAAGTTCCAAGTGTAGGGCAACATAATAAGTCTATAATGGCGGAATTTGGTATACAGGAAGAAGAGTAGAATACGCTAGGCTGGGAAATAGGTATATGCCGCCTATGAATGAGGTAATTCATGATTCCTCGTATTGTCCACATCAGACAGCATGGAGAGAATTTGCGTCAGTGTTCTGTGTCCGGCGCGAAAGCAAATGGATCTCTCAATGTCCCTGCCCCATATCTCTGTGCACGTCTCCAAAGTTTCAAAGATTGTCTGCCTAGGTGGGATAGAAAAGCCATCCGCAAGCGGTGCGTCTATTAGGAGCAGATGAACGCCAGCCGTCAGGGCGGCTGCGAAGAAGTCGAGCTTATACATGCGGCCCAAAAGATCGCGGTTATCGGGATGTCCCATGTGCTCGCAGAAATCTCGGTGATGGACTAGGATTGCTAGGCTGCACTCAAGAGAAGCCCAATACGAGACGGGGTGCAATGTAGGTGCGTTGGGACGCAACGCGTGGCAGCGATGAAGGACCATTAGAATGCGGCGGAAAAAGATGTCGAGGGTGGCACGCAATGGGCCTCTGCAGCCAGGATGTTCTAGAGTGATGGCCATGAGTCTTCTCATGTCGGCGTTGTATCCAAGGATCTCGTCGTATGAAGGCTTTTCGGTGTTGGAGTTCACTCTAGCTATGATTTTGCATATCGTAGGAAATGAATCACTCAGAGATAGCCATGGGCCGAGTTCCTCAATATGAGACAGAAGGGTGTCCTCGATGGCATTTCTTTCGAGGATATCATCTGAAGAAAGCAGACACGGCATGCCTGTAATCGCCGCTGTCTGTATACAGAAGTAAACTATGGTTATCCATAAGATTTGGCCGGATTGCCAGTCGGAATAAGTCATCGCATTACCTTCAACGGGGGCCGAAGGTGGAGGCTTATGGAGGCCAATGCAAACGGCGAGTCGAACGACGATGCCCAGCAGCGTCCAACTTGAATCAATTGACCAGCATGATCCGTTTGCCAGTTGCTTAGCAAGGACCATGAGACAAAACGTCCGCATCACTGACATGCTTGGCCGGACCATGAAGGGCGTCTTGGCTAAGCATGCTTCGGCTGCTACGCAAAGCTCGATTGTTGATGCCGCATCTCGATTCACAGCGTAGCAGCCTAATGCCAGCACCATGAGGAAGCTGGATAACCAAGAGACATCGATTTCTGAAGGATCGTTCCAGAAACAGTTGATCTCCTCCATGAAGCGAGCAGCATCAATGATAGGATGCACAGGCTGGTATATAGCGAAATAGGCGTCGACAAAGGACATGTAGTTGTCACGGTAGCTACAGATGAGGCTGCGGACCTTGTCTAACGATGAGTATTTCATCGCACCCGGGCTGTTGAAGGGAAAGTTGGTGGGAAGGAGGATGTCCATCGAGCAGTCAACATGAAGTAGTGAGATGTCCTCGGCATGAAAAAATTCATGGCCGATGTTGGCGGCACAAGCCTGGATCTGATTGGATTGCCATCCGCCAATGTTAGCAAATTGGTGTGTCCCCGATTGACATATACGGTGCTGGCGAATTTGAGCGCTTTGGAGTCTCTTACGCGTAATATGAGTGCTTTCCAATGGGTCGTGCCTCGGCGTCTCGTGCGCCACGAGGTAACGGCATATTGGGGATCCTCCTCTGCCTTCACAAAGACAGCGTCCGTTGCAGCATCGCTCGCTGAAGCTGACGAGTCATTCTCGACTCGATGAGTGTATGTGCATTGCCGACCGAATCCGGAGCGACGACATCGTGAGCAAGGCAGCTGTTTGTCGCATCTGACTTTGAGGCGATGGCACCGTGTGCAGGAGAGATGCGCGCGCTGTCGCCTCCTAACCGTTTTTGAGCTCTGGTCTCTCTCGACGGTGACGGTGTCAGATGAAGGCGCAGATCTGTCACTTGGAGATGGTGACTGATCGGAACTCGAGCGCGCCGAGGGGTTGTTGGTAGCGTTGCTCTCTGTAGTGGAATGATTCGATGTTGATTCTGCTTGTGCTGAGTTGTCAAATCGAAGCGAACAGCTGGCCTTGGACCGGATACACCTCTCGCACGACGGCTTGGTCTTGTCGCAGCGGAGTTTCAAGAGACGACATCGGCTGCATGCCTTGATTTGCCTGGTGTTGGGCATTGCGTCGTCGCGATCAAGCTGCAAGGCGGGCAGGATTGTAGACAACGCGCATGAGGTCGATGTGCACAGCCGCTAATCTGGACTCTCTAATCGATTGGACTATTATTCATAGGGTTTGCTGAGATGTCGATGTTCTGACTGGTTAGCTATTTCTCCAGCATTGGCCACACGTTGATGTTGATGCAAGTTGGGCATATATGTAGTGCCCTCACTCGAGCTTTCTCAGAATTGCAAAGTTGCCCGGGTTTAGTGCCTTACATGTTTCGTATACCGTGCGCTTAAGAGGAAATGATTCGATATGCTTCCACATGGCTCGTTGCGTGATAATACGGATGGCACCTCTTCGATGGCGCAGGATTCGCCGTCCCCGAAGGCATGTCCGTGATGAGAAACTGCGAACTAACTACGACTTTGAAGATACATTAAATGATGTTCCATGGTCTCTAGCAACCATCTTGGCCATGTGCTTCAAGTGGAGATTCGCCTCCTTCGGCCGAGCTTACAACCCGCTAAAGGCCGAGTGGCTGTTCAGTTCCCAGTTCCGTCAAGACACCAGCCGCCCTGTTCCTGCGCGGTTACTTAAAGAAGGAATGTTATTTCATATTAGAGGTGGAACTACCTATGAATGAGCTCCAATGCTTGCGAAAACCTTATTTCCACGGATTCTACGGAGTAGGCTTTGGATCTACAAAGGATGGAAGCGAGAAGTGATTGGATGTGTGATTGGTAAGCGTGCTGCTTCTCTGAGATATCGTTGGTACACGTCTTCTTGAAGCTACGTATACCGTCACGGACACACGCCACTGTATATTCATCTACGGAGTACACTATAGGCTCACTCTCAATCGTCGAATTTGGGTGTTTGAGGCTTCGATTCGTCTGTCTGCCTTGCTCAATAGCAGCTGAGGCAACGCAATGCAGGGATGAGAATGCGGGGTCGGCTTCCCATTTCGCTAGACCGAGATTCACGGCAATATCTTGCGAGCTTCATTCGTCCAGCCGTTAGGATCTGGGGTATCTCAGCTCCGGGCCTAGGTTAGGCATCGTTCTGTATTACTAAACAGGCTGCCGCTGACCTCTGACTTACCGATCACCGCCTGCTATCAACTCATAAGTAGAGTGTTTTGTTGTTTCCCAGTGCTCCTCTTTCGAGCATGGCCATGCACCAGTCCAAATGACCCGTGTTCCCTAAAGCTGCTGCGTACACGTATCGATTTCACCATGTCTTCACCCAAGTTTGATCGCCCTCCTCCAGAGATAACCATTGCCAAATTATCCTTCCCGGCACCTCGCGTGCTTCTCGTTACGATTTCACGTCCCAAGGCTCTTAATGCCATTGATATTGCAGGTAGCTGGGAACTCGCTTCGCTCTTTGACTGGTTCGATCAGGAGCCCCCGTTATGGGTCGCTATCGTGACTGGAGAAGGGCGCACCTTCTCAGCAGGTGCTGATCTAAAAGGTAAGTGTTAATAGACGAAACAAGCCAACGATGCCATCTCTGATAATGACCATTTTGAAAGCGTGGAACGCCGAGATTGGATCTGGTGGGTTTAGAGAAATGCCGCCTTCAGGATTTGGTGGCCTCTCGCGTCGCACAGGCAAAAAGCCCGTCATCGCCGCAGTCAACGGCATTGCATATGGGGGAGGCTTCGAGATGACAGTCAACTGTGACCTCGTCATTGCGAGTGCTACTGCAAAGTTTTGCTTCCCAGAAGTGAAGCGTGGTGTAGCTCCGTTTGCGGGTGCCATGCCGCGTTTGGTCCGTACGATAGGAAAGCAACGCGCCATGGAACTGATGTTAACAGGACGCGTGCTTCCAGCTCAAGAGGCCAAGGAGTGGGCCCTCGTGAATGTAGTTTGTCCAGAAGGCCGGGATGTCGTTGATGAAGCTCTCGAGTGGGCTAAAGTGATTGCTGAGAATAGCCCCGACTCTGTCATTGTGACCCGTCAGGGAATTAATTGGGGTTGGGAGGGCGTAGGCGCTGATGAAGGGACTCGTATCAGTAACAGTTTATGGCATCATAAGCTGATGGCTGGAGATAACATCAAAGAGGGTTTGAAGGCCTTTGTTGAGAAGAGAAATCCTAAATGGACTGATAGCAAGCTCTGATATAACTTCGGAAGTAACTGATATCTGTTGTTACCAAAACTACTACTCTATTACAGACACGATATGCGGAATAAACAAAGCTGCATGAGTTGAGCGTAATTAAATGCGGTATAACGACAATATTTCATACAAGCGGCCTCTCATATAAGAGGACGACAGTAAAGACTAGGCTTTGCTAACGCGAGTGAGCAAATATAGTATAATCCAGAGGCAACTTCTCTCCCATCCAAATGGCACGATGAGAGTGGTCACGGTACTCAGATTCATTTTCCGGAACTCCCTCCTCAGGAATTGTGTTGGGGTGGACCAGAGCAGAAAGGGGGCCCCGCCAGATGGCTAGCCAAGACACAAAAGCTCCGAATTGCGCGGGAGTGAAGACATTTACTTCGAACATTGCGACCGGGTGTGGTCCGATTGGCCGATCCCAAAAGGTGTAGACTCTCAGCTCCGGGACTTTTCATGGCAAATGCAATTAGTGGGCATTCTTAGCATTCGTGGGGGCAGATATGTGTAGTACTTACACTCGCGTCGAATGCGTTCCCACAGCTCGCGTGCATATTTGGTTTGCTCCTTGCTCTGCTGGAAATAGTAGATGTGTATGTCACTTGTTGAGCACAGGTTAGTCGGCCATACGACAATACGCGCATCGCGGACAGTAAAGAGAATAGGGAGATGATTGACTTACAAGCCACCTCTTCGTCCGTTATCCAGCGGTTCGGTGAACTTGGTGTATGCCTCGCTGAGGCCCTCGCGCTGAGGATTGACATAGCTCTTTCCATCTTCATTCCTCTCATCCGACAGCGGCGGGGCATTCTCAAACCCGGCCAGTGGAGAAGGGAACGTGTATTTCAGGGGGTTTGCCATTGGGAATTTATTGAAGAGAGAGGTGGAAAAACGTGGGTAAATGAAAATAGATCAATGAGGCTGAAATTGGCGCTGTTTGAATATTGTGGAGGAGTGGATGGCGTGCTTTGGCTGCTGGAATTGAATGTGCGATACTTCGGAACACTTCGTAAACCGAGTAAGCGGGTATTGTCGGTGTTTATAGGTTGTCTCGATCGTGATTGTAACTCAGTTAAAACACAGAATCAGAGTGTCGTAATTGATGAATGTTATACAATTGAACCAAAATTACCAATGAATAGAAAGATGGTTTTGATTTATAATTTCAAGGATTGCCTACGAGGTGGCATGCCTGATGAAGCTGATGATGTCAATAGTCAGGCTCGTCTAGCAGCAGCTGTATAACTGGTGTATGGAATCAAGACTCTGAGCGCTTTCATTGCTTGCAAATGATATATGAGAAATATTTAGTAATAAATAATTGCTGATGCTTACAAACTGTGATTCTTAATTCCCTACTCCGTCACTCCGAAATAATTCCTGCTCGCCAGCCAGTGAAGCTATTATCCCACTTTAGTTTTCGGTCAGCGGTGGGATAGGCGTCCCGCGTGGTGAAGCGCGCTCAAAACCGCAGTCTGACTAATTGGATTTCATTCAGTTCACATCTCTTTGTAAACTATTGCTTTGTAGAGAAATGCAACAATAATCTTATCAATCTTATCAATCACATCACTTATCCAAGGTATGTATAAAGAATGAGCGGATGTTACCAAGTCGGGTAAGTGATCAGCGGGATTCAAGAAGTGCATATAGGATCAAATGCATCCGCGATCCACCAGCTGTTCTTATTATTACTCTGGGAATCCTCCTGGACCAATACGCATAATTGAACACCAGATGGGAAATTATTTTTGTGATGCTTTTTGCCGGTGAATTAGGTTGTGAGGGTTCCGGTATTGTTGAGAAATACACAGCGTTGGCCTTTACAGCAGGTCCTAGGCAAGATCTGTTGGGGTGGCTTGTGTGTGAGTGTGATAAACATCACGGTAGTGAACAGCAACTCGACACTGACCGCAAGATACTTTTTACTACCCACTCCGTACATGTTCGATAGAAACACTGTCGATTTGCGGTCCATTTTCTGCTACGGTCCATTTTCGGCAGTGCGCCACCTTCGGCAACTGCTCTTCGGCAACTGCTCGTCGGCAAATGCTCTTTATTGGAAGTACCTACTAGGCAAGAGAAGTGGCTACATTTTGTTCTACTTACATTCTTTGACCAATTTTAACATGGATAACGCCTCCTCGCCAAGGAACGACTCAACAGGGACACGGTCAACTAGTGGTCTGAGCCGTATACGCGGCCGAGTTAAAGTGATGGCCGAGGCTATGCCACTCGTCTTGTGAAGTGGATGGACGCCATAGTGAGAAACTTGACGCAATTACCATGAAGACAGCAAGTCTCATCTATGATGGTTGTAGTAAATATTGCTAGAGGATCTATCAACGCTTCCAATTAACTAACACTTCGATTCAGAGTGTACTAGAGAGTCTCACACATTGAAGGCTTCCATTTGCGAAAGGAATATTCTCTGCTTCTGAAGGAGTAACCTGCATATTTTTCACCTAACAATGTGGATATACCCCCTTACATGCCATCGTTAGTTCGCATTTAGCTACGTTCTATGGAGTAAGAAGGTGAATATTCTCTTCGGAACTACTCCGTACATGATAGTGGGTAACCACGCCACTCGGGAGTTGTAGGTTCTTAGCAGCGGTCCTGGCTGTCTATATGAGATATAGGGTTGAATTCTATTGAACAGAGATTTCAAGACAGTCCACAAGTCAGAAATACGCCCAGCAACGTCGTTTTGGCATGATACGGAGAGTCGTGCCGAATGTCTGCTCAGTACATGTAATATGGGAAACAAAACTCTCCAGCCATGCGCCTAAATGCCTCCCAGGAATCACCAAAAAATTCTTCATCCATCGCATCCGAGTCAGCTGGATGGCACGTTCTCAGCTACTAATGGAGCACTGGCCATTAAATAATATTTTAGCAGATTACCGATACAGTGATTCGTACAAGGTTAATGAATGTGACTACCTATGCATCTGGTGATACTTCACCCAATTCAGTGGAGACATTGAGCCTTGTATATTAGCCTAAATGGAGAAAATGCGGAGAGCCCATCATCCATTTGTTTCTGTCCAAGTTCTCAAAACCGTCGGACGCATACTTGTACTCGTACAGGGACGAGCTCCATTAACGGCATTCCATCGGCGAAATGGCGACCATGACGCCAGTGCCGGCGTACCGACCAAGCTAGGAATCGTATCCGCGGCTGTGGTTCGCTCTTCCGGTCAAGGATTCTTGGTCCAAAGCCAGCGTGGGGGGTAGCAAGTTTGCCCAGCCAGACCAGGGTGGGCGGGTTCACCACCAATCATGTTAGCTTTGGTTGAGAACACGGCCTAACGCCTCGCTGCTCGCTAAGCCGACGGGCAGGTGGAGGGGAGGATCATTTGCCGAGTCATTGCTGTAGAGGCAGGCTGTTTGGCTTGTAAATTTCTGCGTGCTGCGATGGCTGCCGTTAGGAGCAGGCTGAAGCGTACAGTTTATTAAGATTTCGGAACGAAGATGGCCGGAGAAATAGAAGCAAAATGATCGTCGAAGAAGACGGGATTAAAATGTGGATTTGACGGCTGCCGTCTCAAAACACATGGCGTCGGTGTATGACCATGCATGATGCTCCTTCGTCTCCAACTTTTTTTTTCCAACTGTCGTTTCCATCCCCGCTTCTCAAGTCTCGGAGAAAGCGACCAGGGGATCTACAATCTAGAAGGCCAAGAAAAGGGCAGAACGACTCCACATGGACGGCGGCTCTTGAAGCTTGGAGAGAAAATGCCGCCTAATGTGGCGTCATTCCCGTCCAAGGAGATTTTCTTATGGTGCGTAGCCTTGCCACCGGGAGCTATTCAATAGCCTTATGGACTTGCCGTGCTATGTACTCGTAGATTGAATGACTGCCTTTGAAACGGCGAGTCGACATTATTGAGCTATACTTGTATAGATACGTAATAAGAAATTAAAGTCAAGAAGAAGAAAATTCTGTCTCGCTAGCCAAACTCCATCAACTCTCTCCAAATCTCGCAACGCCGCCAATGGCATTCAAGTTTGACTCAGGATCCTCGAACTGACTCCACCATCCTCATGCGTCCCGTCAATCACTCCTCACAAGGCAAACCGGGGGTGTTCCCTTTGTGGCTGGTCTACGCTGATCTAGGCTGCCTAGAAACGGGGATCTCGTTCTCCATATCTCCATACCGCCGGGGAAAGTTGGGGGAGCACTGACGGGTAAGCTGAACGAGTATGGACGTATCTGGATGATGGCGGGGAGACTCCGGGGAGCTTTGGATCAATACGACGCTGTTGCCATTGTTCGGGCCATTAACCCCCTTGTTCGCCACGACCATGTGACGCTTATCCGTTGGGTGTCTCAGTGCTACCCAGTCATGCCAGTTTCTGTATTCGTGCATTATATAAAAGCTCTGCCCTCTGTACTCCGGTAGACAGACCTCCTCTGGTGTTTCCTCGTCCCGGAATCGTCATTTTGAGGTGTAGACAGTCTTTGCTTTTCCCAAGCCAGCCAATATTTCTTCCCCCTTTCACAATGACTGACGATATCTCGCGGGCCAATGACCTGGCCCTGGAAGCCGAGAAGCAGAGGATTGAGAACCTCGAGCACGCCCTCACAAATGATGCGCCGCAGCCTCATCCTGCCGCGGCCATGGATCCGGTTCGGCGAGCTCAAGTTGAGAAGAGCCTCAAGCGCAAGCTTGATGCGCGCTGCTCGCTCTTCATCCTCATCTACATCATGAACTACTTGGATCGCAACAACATTGGTGCGGCGCGTCTCAAGGGCTTGCAGAAGGATCTCGGGCTCAATGACACCCAGTATGCGACATGTCTCAGCATTCTGTATGTTGGGTACATTCTCATGCAAGTCCCGTCCAACATGTTCATCAACCGCATCACGCGCCCATCTCTCTACATCTCCTGCGCCATGATTGTTTGGGGCCTCATCTCCACACTCTCTGGCCTTGCCAGGGACTTCAAGGACCTGGTTGTCATTCGGTTCTTCCTGGGATTCATCGAAGCTGCCTTCTTGCCGGGTGCTCTGCTCATCCTGTCCAAGTGGTACACGCGCCGCGAACTCACCACGCGAAATGCTCTCCTCTTTTGCGGTAACCTCATCTCCAACGCCTTCTCATCGCTGGTGGCGGCCGGAGTATTGTCCAATATGCAGGGTACACTGGGTCACGCTGCATGGCGATGGCTGTTCTACATTGAAGGTGCTGCCACTATGGCTATCGCACTGTCTGCGGCCTTCATCCTGCCCGATCTGCCCACTAATGCCCGTGGCTTCACTGAAGAGGAGAGGCAGGTTGCCCAGCTGCGTATGCTTGAGGATGTCGGTGAGGCGGATTCGGACTCCTCTGAACAGGGAGTCTTCGACGGTCTTATCATGTGTGGCAAGGACGTCAAGGTTTACCTCATGATGCTTACACTGACGGCTTATGTCGTTGGTCTGTCTTTCAACGCCTTTTTCGTAAGTGCTGCTACTACCATCTACCAAAAGCAACTGAAATGAGTGTTGATTAACCATCCGACAGCCTACACTGACTGGAACCCTTGGCTTTGGTTATGTTCCTACCCTTCTGATGAGCTCTCCCCCTTGGGTCTTTGCTTGTCTCGTCTCGCTCGCTGTTTCGTGGAACGCTGATCGCACGCAAGAAAAGGTGGGTTACTACCATTACTTACACACACAAACTTTCGCGCACTTCGAAACTAACACACGTTTCAGTTTTGGCACATCACCGGCCCAATTATCATGGGAATCATTGGCTTCATCATCTCCATGTCCACCCTCAACGTTGCTGCCCGCTACGTCGCCCTCTTCCTGCAAGCCGGTTCCTATGCTGGATTCATCGTCTTCTACAGTTGGATCAGCTCTTCGTTCCCTCGTCCGCCCGCCAAGCGTGCAGTTGCCATTGCCATGGTCAATGCCTTCAGCCAGCTCGGTAATGTGGCTGGCTCTTACGTCTGGGCTCTGTCCGAGAACGGCTACCGCAAGAGCTACGGTATCGTTCTGGCCATGTTCGGCGTCACCATTGTCGGCAACTTTTTGTTCAAGATGATCCTTAACAACTTGAACAAGAAGCTTGAAGAAGGTGAGATGGCTTGGGAGGCGAAGCCAGATGTTACGGAGAAGACGGCACAGGCCGAGATGGAGGACTTGGATGAGGCTCTGAGGATGAGAAAGGGCTTCCGATACCTTGTATGAGTTTTTTTGATGATTATGATAAGACGGGTTGCTCGAACATGTAGGCGAAGAGAGATGCATGTGGAGAGGCTTGTATTGTAAACTAGCATGGAGCATTGACTTTGATATGGGGAAATGTACGACTTTACGATTGGTCAGCAATGATGAAGAAATAACAATTTAACATAATTTATTTCATTATTGATTACTGGTTAACTATAAGAGCTGTTGTGGTGTGCATCCTGCTACAACTACAGCTTAACAGTGGTGGCCGCGATATTCCTGCCACTGACCTGGATGCTGTCACCACTGGCATCCCATCCTCCTACCTCTAACTGCAGCTTCTCTTTTGGCCAAAGAGTCACATAGTTGTCAGACCAGGAGACAGGGTTAACATCATTGCCGCTCTTATCTACAAGAGTTAAGCGGATAAAGACAGCCGGCACAGAAGACTTGTTTTCGAGCGTGACTGTGCGGGTTTGTGTTCCTGGAACGCCGGCTACGCGCCTGCTGCTACCAGTCGTCACAGAGATCTGAGCGGCAGACAGCTTGTTGAGAGGAGTATAGTCGACAAAACTGGTGACTTGAGTGTAATACCAAGTTGAGCTATCCCAGTCGAGCTTATCGATCGAGTTGGTGACCCAGTAAACGTTGCGGCTCAGAACATTGCCTTTGCTGTCAGACAGAATCAAGCGCAGGAAGGCAACGCTTGACAGCTTGCCAATCTGGCTGGAGATGTCGGCAGCCTTGAAGCCCGAGTTAGCCTTGGTGTTGATGTTAACAGACTGCTTGGCGATTTGCTTGCCATTCGTGTCAATGAGCTCAATGTCAACCTTGCGGGGGCCCGTCTGGTCTAGCGAATGGTTGATAACCCAAACTTCCTTCTTTTGGTAGTTGTACGCAACGTGCTCAATACGGGAGCCAACCTTGGTGCCGAAATAAGAGCCAGCAGGGTGCATATAGTAATCAAACTGGTTCCAGTGAAGACTTGGCCAAGCGTTGTTGAGCATCCAGTAGATGTTACCGGTTGCAGGGCGGCTGGCTGTCCACAGAGAGGAAAAGCCCTCGTATTGAGCTCGGGTCGCTTCGTAGTCCATCATCTGGGCCTTAAGAAGATAGTCGTCGAGGGAGGTGGGGGCACCGTAGCGCTTGAAGAGACCTTGGTTGTAGATCTTGCGGTTATAGAACGAAGACACGTTGGTGGACATGTGGTACAGGTTCTTGTTAGGGTTCTTCCACAGATCATTCAGATCACTCTGGCTGAGGAACCTCTTGAGAGAACCCAACTCGGGAGTGCCGACACCAGCTCCCAGCTCAGAGCCGAAACCAAAGGCAGCACCCAAGCGGTCCTCGGAAGGCTCAGTGTCATACCAGTAGTTGGGTGGCACCCAATCGTAGGGGCCGTCCATCTTCATGCCACCAGGACCAAGCAGTGCCGGGAAACCGCGCTTGGAGGCAGAGGCAATGATGGGAGTCTGCCAGCCAGCATTCTTCAGGGCGTTGACATAGAGCACAACCGCCTCGTCGTTGGGCCAGAAGTCACTTCCTACGAGGAACGTCAACACACTGGGGTGTGGCTGAAGCATGGAAGCCTCGTGAATCATGCTGTAGTTGGCCGTCTGGTAGTCGTTGTCATCCCAGACAGGTGGCGGGAAGATGGCAAGTTCATCGTTATAAGCCCAAGCCTCCCACTTGTCACAGCATTCCCAACCAGGCATGACCATCAATCCGTACTTGTCGCAAATCTCATACAGCTCTGGGTGCTCCATCTTGCCCTCGAGACGGATGGTGTTCTGGTGCATATCCAGCATATACTCGACAATGCGGGTGAAACGATCGCCGTCCCATCGCAGGAACATATCAGCGCCATAACCACCGCCTACGACTTGGAAGGGATGACCATTGACGCTGTACTGGGTGTCGTTGTACTGGTTGACAAAGGACGTGACTTTGCGAACGCCAAAGTTGGTCTGGGCGGTGTCCGAAACAGCTTTGTTGACGGAGAAAGTGACCTTGGCATTATACAGAGGCTGGTCACCCCATTGCTTAGGCCACCAGATCTTTGGCTTCGCAATCGTCTTGGTGAACTCAACAAGCTTCTTCTCACCAGGTGCAAGCTTAACCGTCTGCTTCAGAGGCCCTCCAGAGCATGAGTTGCCAGACACAACGGCTTCGGCATCGAGAACGACTGCAACGTTCTCCAGGTTCTGGGCTTCGGCACGGATAGTAACCTTGGCAGGGCTGCTCTCAACTGGGACGGCAATGTCGACCACTACACTGATGGGACCCATAGAGACGGAGCCGGTTTCCTTGACGGTGATATCACGCCAGATTCCAGTTCCTGATTATCAAAGTCAGCAATTGATCAGAACACTCAGAATTAAGACTTTTCCTGACCGTTATCAGGGGGGTACGGATTCCAGTCAACGTATCCGAGCGCAAAGTCGTACAGATAGTCCGTCGGGTGGACTTGGACGACGAAGGCGTTGTCTTTGGCGGCAAGGCTCGTGATGTCGTAGGTGCGGCCGGCATACGCACCCGCCTGGTATTCGGAGTCGGCAATCTGCTGGCCGTTGAAAAAGAGATCGGCTTTAGACGTAATGCCGTTTGTTTGCAGAATAAAGTGCTTGCCCTTGGCGGGTGCCAGCGCAAACTCATGGCGATAGAGCCAAGGAACCGAAAACTGGCCCCAGTTGAAGTGATTGAGGTTGTCCGAGTACCACAGATCTTCATCCTTGTAGATTCCGGCATTGAGAAGACACGCCATGAGCGTGCATTTCGATGTGCCGGCGTGATACCATGCTGAGGTGTCGACACCAGGCTTGGACAGCCCCTTGAGATCTTTAGATACCTCCGAGGAGCTCTTCAAATCCCAGTCTGGAATGGGGACCTTATCACCAGCCTTGGACGTCAACGGAGTGCCAGCTGCGGAGGCAAGGCCGCTGCCCAGCAGAAGGGCGGCGACAGCTTTGGCGATCATGTTTTGTGGCCGCTGTTTAGAGTAGCTTTGGCCGTCTACACGGGTCTGCACAGAGTCCAGGTCTTCCCATGTCGCGTCACGGGCCCTCGGCTGTCTTTATAACAAAAAGCGATATCCATTCCTCTTTCCCCATGGGTTCTATTGCGTAGCTGACCCAGTTCCTAGTACCACGCGTCCAAACCTTTCAGGAAAGAGGCGCTCTCTGCTGAATGCTCCGTACTCATCCTCGTACAAGCTGTACCACCAATTCTCCGTCCACTGTTCCTTGTCCTACATGGATTGCGATTCCCACAAGCTCTTGGGCGACGAGCATTGCCAGGGCGTAATACAACGTTACCTTACTAACTTGGAAAAGCACAGAAGGCCTCGGCTGTTAATTGAGTGGGCGAGGTTGCACCCAGATTTGAGCTTAAGAGATTCTGGCAGCTTGTTCCTGACGAAGCGGGGAAGCAGGACAGCCAACGGCAGGGGTCTTTGCACAGCTTGATTACCGCATCTACTTGCTCTAACCATAAACCTCAATGCAAGTAAGCATATCAGGCGGTATGGGATGACCTTGTCTCGTATCGGGAACTGTTTATCTTCCCAAAAAGGCAATTGAAGTGCTTGCTATCTTGGTGCGTAATGCATCACCAGCAGCCTCATACATGTGCTACATAGTACTTTACTTGGAGCTGTGGCTGGGGCACCCGCCATTGAGAGGGAGGATGTCGATGCCCAGACTGCCAAGTCCAAGATGCCATCTGCATTGTGCAGATCAGCCCTTCGCTCTCCGTTTCTGCCTCCTCACCCTCCGCAGTGGATCCATTGATAGAGGTAGACAAGTGCGGAGTAGCTCGAGTTGACGGAATTTTCCACCACTTGATAAGCTTAGTTCGGCAAACCATCGGCCGACCAGGGTTTGAGGTAGCACTTCGGATACGAAGCTGCAAAGTCTGGGGTCAAGGCGGATCTGCTGAGACAGAGTTGTCGTAGCACTTTGTAAGTACTTGCCAGCAGCCTGATACGATGAACACGAGCCGGATTGATGATTCTCCTGAGAGAAAATGTAACTGTACGCACAGACGAAGTAACCAATTGGCATTGATGTCAATACTTGGCTGGAAAAAAAGCAGCCGGTAACAAGTGCCATCGCCTTGGAGCATCTAGTCTTTTAGTCATCATGTACGACGGTGCCAATTCAACCCCCCACCCATCTAGACCTCCTCTCGTGGCGTCCTGATTGAAACGGAACTTTGTGTTTCTTGGATCAAGGCCCATGCCAGGCCCCATCGCGTCGGCTCCCATTGCCGTGGATATCCTTATCGCGATGACAAGCTGTCTAATGTTGCATCAGCCAATCCATACCTCTCATTAGCCGTTTTCCCGCCAGCATGGGACAAGATCGCTCTCCCGTTGTAGCAACTTGACGCGATTCGCCTACCACAACGATGGAAACCAAGCCATCAGACACCCCACGTATCCGCAAGAAGAGGATTCCGGTAAGCACATCCGTGCCTATAGCATTATCGCTGCAGATAGTCGCAGGCCGCTGTCATGAGGGGGCGTCCGGCCCGCCACCATGTCACGTTGATGTCTACTCGGGATGATCCGCTGCTGACAGTTGGCCGATAGAAATCGTGTAACGCATGTCGCAGATCTAAGGTGAACACAACTTAGAGTTAATAGCTTATACTTAGAAACGATAGTTGACAGTTAGTCCAAGGCTAAATGTGATGGCAAAAGGCCTTGCTCACGGTAAGTTGATTCCGGCCGTATCGACTCCCCCCGGAGGAGAGAGCTTGTGACACCTCCTCTGCCTTAACTCAGATTAACGGTTACATCAGATGCTCCGAGCTGAAAAAGATCTGCGCCTTTATCGATCCTCCGAAAGAGGCGCATCAGCTGTACGTATCATTGATCAGTTCGCCGACAATTGCGCACCATTGCATCACTAATCGTTGTATCTCAATCCTGTAGTCGAATAGAGGAACTTGAACAACAGGTTGCAGCACTAAAAGATCAACTTCTAAGAACCTCTCCTGGCTCTCACATTGAGACAAGCCACACAAATCTCAGTCAGCCGGGCGTTGGTTCACAGGTTTCATCAAACTTGGAGCAGGCAACCTTTGTTCCAGCAGCTCAATTCCACTCTGGTGAACTGGCCCTCATACGCCCATCGCACACAGAGTCACCGACAGATACTGTGTTGTCCAGCAAACAAATCAAATCCCACTTTGAGATTGAGTCTATCACAGTACCTGACTGTGTGGATGCCGGGCTTCTGACCATTGAACAAGCTGAGCAATACTTTTCCATCTTCTTTCAAGGATGTGACCACTATGTACCAGTCTTCGATCCTCGATATGACTCGTTTCAGAGTATTCGTGCGAGAAGCAGTCTACTTTTCAGCGCCATTTGTACAATTGGCTGCCGCGTTGTGATTGGAACCGATACCCAGCAATGGCACATGCTGGATTTCCATGTCAAGAGAATGCTAAACTGCGCTTTGGCAAGACCGGCTATGGCTTCGCTGGAGACGATTCAGGCATTGCTGGTCCGATCGTGCTATGCATCTGAGAGATCGCTCCTTGTCGCGGCAGCAACACGGATGGCTCTTGATCTCAATTTTCCCGATTCCTATGACGAGATGATCAATCGTTCTGCGGTGCCGGCAACACGAAGGCCTTTGACAGGCACCGACGTACATACAGTCGTTTTAATGCGGAGAGTGAGGACATGGCTTCATCTATTCGTCCTGGGTCACATCTTACACGTTGATGCTTCCGATCTACCAACCTTTAAATTTGTTGGCGACTCCCGAAGATGCCGAATCATTCTAAAAAGCCCAGCCGCAACCGAACTTGATCTATTCTTGTTCTCCCAAGTTGAGCTTAATGTAATCCGTGGCAGGATATACGACTCGCTGTCTGGTCATATAGGCCTTAGTGATGAGGACATGATGGAGGCAGTCCGCGAGGCTAGAATTGACATTTCTATATGGTTCGATGACTGGGCGCACATTTTCGAGAAGCACAGCGTTCAAGCACCCTGGCTCAGTTTCAACCTGCGTGTTCAAAAGTGTTGGGCCGAAAATATGGCTCTATGTCGTGTCGTTCGAGCTACCGGGGTGGAAAACGTTGACTTCATGTCGCCTGCTCAAAAATCGGTTGTTGCCATGGCCAAGGACGCTTTGGAGGAGCATCTGGATATCATGATTGAAGAACCGAGATTGTATATCCGCAATCTGCGATTCGCAATGGACTTTGTCTGGGCAAAGTGTGCGTTTTGCTACTTACTGCTTCTCAAGCTTTCTATTCTGTTGCCTGAGAGCAAAGGACGTTCCAGCAGAGAGCTTGTAGCACACGGCAATATCCTCTTGACTGAACTAAGCGAAGCCAGCGGTGGTAGCCACAACGGAAGCCGGAGCAATACTGGAAAGCAATATCTACAGCTTCTCCAAGCCGGCATTGAGAAGTTCAGCAGTGTCACTTATGAAGCTCATGATACGAGCCTGAGCGCTGCAAATGTCGAAAGCCTTTCATCTCGACGAGCACCTGGCTATGGCACGCAAAATCGGATAGAGTTGGACTCATTTATCCCCGAGCAGTTTATATTTGAGTGGGATTTCCCCGGCCTTACGCTTTATTCTTCATCGGCGACTGGCGTTGCCTGGCTTGATGATATCCTTGTCGAGGCGCTTAATGGGGGCGAAGACATATTTGGGTGGCTGCCGAATGACGCAGAGAGCTGAATGATAATATGAGAGAGTAATACATATATATAATATATAATTATGCATATAGTCACTTTTAATGTTTTATTTTATCTAAAGTTCAAATCTTTTCCTTCCCTCATCGTCCGTACCCAAATCACGAGCCTGGACGCCATCGGCCGAACGAACCGTTCGCGCATCTCCAGGAGGCAACACAACAACCAGTGTCTTCCAAGGCGCGACATACCCAGATGTCTCATCTCTGGAGAATTGGACCTTGATTTCAGATCCCTCAGCCGAATATGCAATAGTGTATTTGGAGATTTTATTCTTCGCGACAGCAGATACACCATCGTCTTCATACCACACCGTCTCATAGCGCTTTGAGCTAGAGCCTTGGCGAGGAGGAAAGATTTCAACTGCACGATAGTCGTCCAGTGGCAGATTGGCGACATTTTCTTTTTCTCCGGGAGACAAAACTTGCACATCTCTGCCGACTGGGATCGCTGTTCCGACCTTGGCAAGCACAGCAATACCTGCGCCGTGCCACTCCGCATCAATCGTAGCCCATTGTCCTGCTTCCAGGTACTGATAGGGAGCTTTGAGATTGATGTAGCCCTCGTCATCATCCGAGGCTTTTGGAAGATAGACTCGTGCTTGGGTAGCGCCGGGCTCGTATACGCCGCCAACCAGTAGGGCATCTCCGAGCCAAAATTGCGTCTCGCCCTCTGTAATTGGTGCCGTCCAAACCTCCGGGTCTTGCTCGTATCCCCAGCCGGTCCAACGTTGGGGAGGAAGGGCTGTTTGATGACTCTCCAGCATCAAGGAGTAGATGTAGGGGATCATGGCATATCTTCTCTTGATTGCCTTGCGAACCAAGTGTGTAATTTCCGGGTACATCCATGGCTCAATAACGTCTCCGATGTTATTTTCGTTGAGCGTCTTGAAGCAGTTGATCGCAAAGCGCTGCGAGTATGTACCAATCTGAACCCATCGAAGAAGCAGCTCAGGGGATGGCTGCGGGCCCTCGAATCCTCCAATATCGTGACCATAGCATTGCATTAAAGACATGCCTGCGTTAAGCGCAAGAGCGTTGGCGCCTTTCATGCTGGCCCAGCTAGTCGTGTTGTCTCCGCTCCATGAACTACAGGCATATCTCATAGTACCGGCAGTTGCACTTCGAGTAAGAACAAATGGGCGGGCATCTGGATCGACGGCGACAAGGGCATCATGAGATGCCTTTCCATGAAGTTCTGTGTGAAGACTCCGGCCCCAAAGACCGATTTGTGGCCTATCTTTGACATCATCTCTCACCTCGAGAGAAGGCTCGTCCAGGGCGCAAATCCAGCCGTCATCAGTGACTGTGTACTCGTTGTTGTCGTTCCAAATACAGTCAATACCTTCCTGTCTGAGCTTCTTGACACCCTCGTACCACCATTTGAACCCAGCAGCGGAGGTAAAGTCAATATGTCCGCCCTCAGCGCTTTCACCTCCGCCGGCGCTCCATAGTCGGGTTACCGCCGTCTTTTTCGTGTGGGGGTCGATGAATAGAGCATTTGCAGCTTTGAGCTTTTCGTACTCTGGATGAGTGCCAATAACGTAGGGCTTCACGTTGGCGATTAACCTCATGCCGAGTTTGTGATACTCCTTGATAAAGGCCTCTGGATCCGAAAACCGATGGCGATTCCAGGTGAACACGTTGCGAGTTTTCGGTGGCTGCTCTGCCACTGTATAGCCAGATGACATTTGATACGCCGAGCATGGAATATCGTTCTCCTTCATCTTGCGCGCAAGATCAAGCAGCGCCTCAGAGGCCGGAGGGTCGTCGAGCATTGAGTACTTCATACCGCCGGAGAGGTACCCAAATGCCCATCTCGGCACAAGAAGAGGATAGCCAGCAAGTTCCGCATAAGTTGTGATGATGTCCTTGAGAGTTTTTCCAACAATGATGTACTCTTCTAATCCTCCATAGTCTTGTCTCAAAACTTTGTAGCGACCCCACATGCCGTCCATCTCAGCCCCAATAGAGTACGAGCCCCTCGAATGAGTGGTCGAAAAGAGAGCCAGACAGCCACTCGGCGTCGCATTGATGAGAAGCGGAATGTTTTTGTACAGCGGATCAGTGCGGTAAATGTCATAGCCGAAACTGTCTGTTGCCGAAAGCTCAAATTTCCTCCCTGCCAAGTTCATGGGGGCTGCCTTTTCGCCCAGCCCGACGTACAGGGTATCTCTGTTGTAGCGCGAGTAGTGGGCAATGCCCTCGCCGTCAACAACATATGAGCGATTTGGCAAATCTTCGTGAAGAGGCCCATTCTTGCTGCCGTCAAGAGAGATTGAAACTAGAGGTGATGACTCAGTCCAGTCAATTGTTGCTGTGATTGGACCGATTTTGATCTCCTTTGTTGTGCTGGTAGAAGAAACGTTTACTGTTGAAGCCTCTATCTGTTTTTTGAGAGGAGGCACACTGGGATGAGGGGGCAGAGGGTGAGTTTTAGACGTGAAAGTTGTCCGGAACACATTAGAGCGAAGAGCATCAAGTGTGAACTGAAAGGGAAGCTGAGAATCCGTAGAGTCGAGCTGCAGCAGCTTGTCTGAAGTAGCCGTGTTCTCCACCCAGGTGGATGGGACACGCTCCTGTTGAGGCATCTTTGCAGCGTGGAAGGGTGATTTTAATGTAAAAATACAATTTCAATTGAGGAGGGAAAATGAAGTAATAGAACAGCTTTGAAAATTGGCAAAGACGAGATGGAGGGCGTTGGAGTCGATTTATATGTCGGTTTTACACGTGTATGTTTAAAGACACGACACTGGTGGTCCCCTCAATTGGGCGGATCAAGCTGCGTGGGGATCAAGACCGATTTCGGGCTTTTTTTGATACCTGCCGGGTAGTAAGACACTTCGTCTATTATGAGCCGAATTGTAATTTAACTTCTTAGGCCAAAGTACATTTGCTATTGCTTGCTTACTCTGTTCCTTCTATCCAAGGCACTTCATGAACACGAACCTGGTTCGGCTACACAGCAAAACGGCCAAAACTGTACAATCTCCGCTGAGGGGCAAATCCAGAACGGAGAAGAGTGATTGAAACCCGACGGAGAAAAATCGCCATGTCCGTGTAGCCTATCAGACAACAAGATTTTTTCCCCGCATTATGCTCTACAACCATGGTGTTTGCCCCATGGGGTTCTGTGGCGCTTTCGCTGCTTATCCGAAAGCCCTTTTCATGGAGGCCGGGGAAGAATCAGGTGAACTGTGGATGTTTATAAATATCATAGAGGATTGCCTGCAACTGTAGCGGTCAAGTATTGTGGTCTGGGCCACATCATCACTCCCATAGTCTCCATTTCTTGTGTCGATCAGTACAATCATGGCTGCTCAAAAAGACAATCCTGATATTATTCACCTCGAAACCCCTACGGGCCAAGGTGACTCCAACTCCAAGAACATCACCAACGAAATCACCCCTGTCCCAAATCCTAACACCGACACTCCTCTTACGGGCAGAGACAAAGCTGCCCAGTTCCTCAAGCAAGCCAACCAGGGCAACATCATCGTTACTCCTAGTGAGAATGCTCGTGTCCTCCGCAAGATCGACCTCCACCTCCTCCCTATCGTCCTCTTCGTCTACTGTCTCCAGTCACTCGATAAGACAACTCTGTCCTATGCGTCAGTCTTCGGTCTCATCGACGACACGCATCTGCAGGGCCAGGAGTTCTCATGGCTAGGCTCCGTGGTGTATGTCGCCCAGCTGGTTTTTCAGCCGCTGGTGGCCTATGCCCTGGTGAAGTTTCCAGTTGGCAAGTTCTGTGCGACCATGGTGTTTTGCTGGGGTGCGGTGTTGTGTGGCATGACGGCAGCGAAGAGTTTCGGAGGGCTGATGGCCGCGAGATTGTTGCTAGGAGCGTTTGAGGCTTCAGTTGGTAAGTTTCTCTTCTTCGAGTGTGATAATCATTGTCGAACGTTTTGGCTAACTGGTATAAAATAGCCCCGACCTTTATCGCAGTTGTACAAATGTGGTACCGCAGAAAAGAACAGACCACTCGAAACGCCTCTTGGTATGCAATGCTTGGAGTTGTCAACATGGTAAAGCCGAAACCACGAGCCTACATAATAAACTGAACCGCTTCTGACGACTATATAGCTCGGAAGTCTCCTTACATATGGCCTGGGCCACATCAAGTCTACTCTTCGACCCTACCAGATCATCTTCCTCTTTTGTGGCTGCATCACCGTTGCTTTTTCAATAGTCATGTAGTACGTTGAACAATACTCCCCTTTCTAAAACGCACTTCTCACATATACGCAGCCTTTTCATGCCCGATTCTCCCATGGAGGCAAAATTCCTTAAGGAAGACGAAAAAGTCATCGCTATTGAACGTCTGCGTATGAACCAGATGGGCATCGGCTCTGGTGTCTGGAAATGGGAGCATGTTCGCGAAGCCATGCTAGACCCAAAAACGTGGCTCTGGTTTTGCCTCATGCTTACCATCTCGTAAGTTCAGACCCATTTGCCACTGGGATTCAACGATAACTAACACCGATGCTTCAACAGGATTCCCAGTGGCGGCATCTCTACCTTTGGTCCGCTTATCATTCAGTCCTTCGGTTTCAGCTCCTTCACCACGATCCTCTTCAATATCCCCTTTGGCGCCGTCCAGATGATTTCCACACTAGGCGGTGCTTGGGTATCTGACAAGATACACATGAAATCCGCTGTTCTCCTATTCCTCTGCCTTCCCCCTATTGCGGGCTGTGTCATCCTTCTCGTTACCGGCCGTGCTCCATCAGACCGAGCAGTTCTGTTGGTTGGCTACTACATCATCTCCGTCTATCCTGGCATTTCTCCTCTCATCTACTCCTGGTCTGGCCAGAATACTGCCGGCGACACCAAGCGCAAAGTCACTACCGGTATGCTCTTTGTCGGAGCGAGTGTCGGTAACATTATTGGTCCACAGCTCTTCAAGCCCAGCGAGAAGCCACGCTACGACCGAGGTCTGCGATCAAATCTTGCACTTTTCGTGGTACTGGCAGTCTTGATTGTTGCGGGGATGCTGTGGATCAAAGTCCTCAACACGCGACAAGCGGCGAGACGGCGAGCGCTCGGCAAGTCCGAGGTGATCCGGGATCTCAGTATGATGGATAGGAAGGGAGGTGATAATGAATACGAGGAGGAGGGTATGAACATAGCGGATGATAATGTTGGGGATAAGGCGTTTGAGGACGTGACGGATTTGCAAAACGAGGATTTCATCTATGTTTATTGATATGTGTTAACGAGTGGGTATATATATCCTAAAAATTGCCGATATACTAAATCTATAATATTTGAGTTGATGAGTATGTACAAAATCTATAATAGTTATAGTGCGTAATGAAGCAGTATTGAAGTATTGAATTATTCTTTGAAGCGATTCAAAATGTGGACCACATTCGGATTTCCCGAGATACTAGGAAAATAGTGGAAGTGATGCATCAGCTTCATCGCCGCTCAGGGGGGCAGCGCGGGCCTTGCTCGACGACATCTTACGGACGGCATCTCCGGTTATGCTGGCTGCGGTGCCAGTCCATTCAACCATGGTTGCGCCGCGGCGAAAGTGAGATGCCAGATGCTGGACCCTCTCGTCCCAGCTATGCATCTTGAGCTGGCAGAAGCCACACACGCTCTCGTACTTGTCCTGCCGATGCTGTAAGAGGTGGAGATTCGGTTTCCATCCGTCCCACTTCCGGCAGCGGTGGAACTTGTGCAGGTGTTGCCATAAATGGTCCTTTCGAGTAAATGTTCTCTCTGACACAGGACGCTCTGCGCAGGACTGAAACTCGTGAGCTTGCAGATGCTCCTCCGTTGGCGACGCCTGACCGCAAAAGATGCATTCGGGCTCACTGTGATTCACGCGCCAAACAAGATGTGACTGTTCCTCTGGCAGGGGAACTTTACATATCCAAGAGTCGAGGCCAGGTAAGTGGATGGATCTCTCGTGGCGCACCCAGTCATATTTCTTTTTAAAGCTTTGGCGACAGAAGGTGCACTGAAACATGTGGGCCTTTCCTCGTTCTGCGGCGGCTCCTCTAGCAGCCCTTGCATTGGATGAGCCAGCCATCAGATCGCCGTCGCCACCATGGATGGAGCTGTGTGCTGATAGAGAGAAGATGCCCGGGTCGTCGGATTGATAGAAGGAAAAGGCAGACGATCCAGAGTTGGAGGAGGCCTCGTAGTGACCTGAAGGGTGCTGGTTGAAGACGGCTGACTCGCTGCTTGCCGAGGAAGGGGCGCCGTCGGTGCCGTAATTGCCGTCGAAGCTGTAGAGGTAAGCATCTCCCTCGTCACCCTGGTTAGAGATGGCGTTCTCGATGGCCGATGCCGAGACCGGTTCCTCATTTGGGGGAGAATGTCTCCAGCGCTCCATCGGTGACATGCCACTCAGGAATGTCTGAGGCATAGGAGATCCTTGCAGAAACACTTTACTGCTGTTGTTGAAGTGCGACTGGGCGGTCAGACGATGACGGCGCCTAGCATTGGCGAACCAATTGATAACCTGCGTCTTACTGAGGCCACTCTGCTCGGATAGCATAGACTTTTCGTCTTCGGATGGATACGGATGCTCTTGATGAGTGGCGAACCAGTTTCTCAGGACCCTAGTCTTCTTGACGGACCGAGTGCTGTTTCTCTTATGTGAGACGGACGATGATCGAGTTGCCGTTGGAGCAGCCTCTCGCTCGATGCGCCATTGCGTCGTCCCCTCGCGGGTGGTGGCATCGTCGACCTCTTCGCAAACGCCGTGCAGATGACCAATGACTGGGAGAACAGTTTCGTAGGCAGAGGCTTCTCTCTTGCTCCGCTCAGCAAGACTGCAATCGCGGTAGAGGGCTACGCAACTAGAACAAGAGCTGACGGGGTTTGGGTTTGCCTCCGTCGTCTGCAGGATGAGGCACTGGAGCCGTAGGCGTTTGCAGTAGTTGCAGGGTACAGGTGGCCGATGGGCGCCGTTTTTGATGAAGAACTCGTCGATGGCGTTGAGGCTCCTGGTAGTGTCTTGCAGTGACTGCTGCGGCTGCTGTTGCACCTCCGTTGCCCAGAAATGTCCGGCATCACTCAGAGTGCCCGGAGGAAGCGGCAACGGAGCGGCTCCGTCAAAGGGAGAGCCGGGGCCGCCGGGGAAGATGCCGGAGTCGGACCCCAGCTCGTACTGGAATTCGGGGAAGCTGGAGCCTCCACCGGCCGGGCTCGCATATGGGCTGCCGGCATAGGGGTCTGAGGGGGAGAAGAAGGGTGGCCCAAACTGGTCCATGGGGACGGATGCCTGCAGCTGGCGGGGAAGCTGGTCTGAAGCCTGCTGGTGCTGCTCGAATGGGAAATGCTGCTGAGCCGGCAGCTCTGGTTGCGAGTGAGGGTGAGAGTGCGAGAGAGAGACGGCGTGAGGCTGGAGTTGGGGCTGGTGCATGAGGCGGTGCTGGGTATCGGTCATCCCCATCCCCATCTCCAAGCCGACGCCCGCCATGGTGAGATTGCCGACGTTGCCCCGATCCTCGTCCTTCAGGAACAGGCCGTTATCCATGGCGAGATCGCGTAATCGTCGGGGGCGTAAGCGCTCACCGTCTCGCGACTCGCGGTTCGGCCACAGCTAGCTGGGACAGTCGCCTATCTCGGGCTCTCCAATTGAGTGTCTCACCAGCTCCACGCTCTGGATCTTTTGCAGCAGGCAAGACAGTCCCGTGTCACTGTTACTGCCACCGCTACAGGGCTTCTTCCGCAGACTAGCGGCCCAAAACCCTCGTTAGTCCGCTCGATTCAACATGGATCGACTGTTTCGCAGCGCTTCGGTGCCTTCGACCGGCCGTCGGGGCCAGCACAGCAGCAACGGGCCTTCCAGCGTTCGGCGCCTCGGCCCTTCTCAGCGGGTCTTCCGTTGGAGCCTCCGTCGGGGGTCCTTTTTTTTCTTCAGCGTCTGTCCGAGCACAGAATTGCGGTTGGCGGAGGGCGGAGAAGGCGCACGCTTGGATGGTGAAAATGTTAAGCATCTGTTTTAGTCGTAGCAGGAGGGCGCTTTTTTTCTTCTTTTGGTGCGGTGTCTCGGGTTAGTGGGGGAGCACGTGCACGACAATCTGGCCAATGCGCCTTCCGCCTACAGACAACCTTGAAAGCAAATTGATGTACGAGTACGTACTTCTTACGAGTGCAGCGCTAAAAATACAGCACTCGAGGTGGCCACGGCGGCAGAGAGGCGCGCTGTTGGGTTAGGGTTCGGGGGGGTTCTAGGGGTTCTAGAGCCGTTGCAGGCGGTCTACAGCGGGAGGTTGCGCCTAATCCTTCGAGGCGCTTCGACGGCTCGTCTGAATGGACACATCGATGGCAATGATGCTATCCATACGTATAGGTACCGGTACGTGCGATCTGTAAGGGGCACCAGACGCCTTCTTCTACATCTGATGAGGGGCGAAAAATGGCCTGAGAGCACATGTATTTTGTCATCAGGCTTCAAATCAACCATCCACGGCGCCTTCTGATGACAGCAAGCAATGTGGTCGTGTTAGGTACATGTACATGTACACGCACGTATGTACCTTATGTAGCATCTCGCCCACTGTTCCCATTTTTACAGCGGCCAGAAACGTCCCAGCCAGCACCATTCTCTCTCTTTACAGCGCCTTACAGCTTCCTACAGCATCTTACAGCATCGTACAGCGGCAATGCGCCTTCTCCTCCACATAAAGAGGGGCGGCACTCGGCATTATCAGCGCACTACCGCATGTACTTGTACATGTACATGTACGATTACCACACGAGGGAGGGAAAAAACGACATCGAAGCACTCAACAATATCAAGAACAAGATTTTTTCAGCCAGCAGAGCAGCAGAAACACACCAACGCACCGGATACACTTCCGCTTGCTCGCCAAGGGGTCCATACTGCCGGACACTTACCGTCTTGGGTGTCTCTTGCAGACTTGTCGTCACTAGCAGCCAAAGTTGCCATCGATTGGCTCACGCTTGGAGCTGAAGCCGGCGCAGATAGGAGTTGGTCCCGGCTATGAATGGAGATGATTGAGACGAGGGTATAGCCGCAACTGGGAGCGAGTCAAGATACTGATACTACATATACCTGACAGAATCCACCGCCTTCTTTGGTTTGTTGTCTTTCATACTTCATCCTGTCTTGTTCCACGTCCTCCTACCCTGCATTTCACATTGGATCCGTTACCTCATCTATCCCGCTCCTCCTCACTACCAGACCATGACTCGTCGCCCTGTCTACTTCAATCCCGCTGCCAAATCGTGGATCGCGCCATTAACAGATACCCCAGAACTGGCATATCGTTTCCACTCACAGCTGCCGGCTTATTCACCAACCAGCCTGGTCTCTCTCAAGCACTTGGCTGAGCAACTCGGCGTCGGCGCCGTCCACCTCAAAAATGAGACATGTCGACTCGGACTCCCTTCCTTCAAAATATTAGGGGCCTCATGGGGCACATTCCGAGCCATCGCCCAGAAACTTGGGCTTCCTCTCGACTCTTCTCTCGACTCCGTCAAGCAAGCGCTGAAATGCACCAAGATTACCCTATACGCGGCCACGGATGGTAACCATGGTCGGGCCGTTGCTCGCATGGCGTCCATCCTGGGCGTTCCTTCACAAATCCATGTGCCCGTTTCTATGCATAGCGGTACCATCGATCTGATAAAGTCAGAAGGAGCCCGTGTTGTCGTTTCGGATGGCTTCTACGACGCTGCCGTTGTCGATGCCCGAGTGGCAGCTGCCCTTGACAAGACCGCCATTGTGGTTCAGGACTATGCGTCTGGTGATTATGTTCAGATCCCACAGGCATGTGAACCAGCTTTCACTTCTTCCTTTGGAGCCTGCTAACATATATCTTTCAGTGGATTGTAGATGGTTACCTTACCATGATGCTGGAAGTCGACGGCCAGCTTGGGGCTACTACCCCTGACCTCGTTGTGGTGCCTGTGGGCGTCGGCTCTTTTGCCCAGGCTGTAGTAACACACTTCAAACAACAAGGTAAACAAACCACGGTTCTAACAGTCGAGCCTGATACATCCGCCAGTCTCTGGAAGAGTCTCAGAAAAGGTGAATCTTCCACCACGTCGGAAAAGACGCCCAGTATCATGGCAGGATTGGACTGCGGGACCCCTTCGTCCATTTCTTGGTCTATCCTCCGACACGGAGTGGATGCAAGCCTGACTATTTCGGACTTTGAGGCTCATCAGGCTTGCGGCTACTTAAAATCCCAAGGCGTATCCGCAGGTCCATGCGGTGCAGCACCCATTGCCGCACTCAGGAGGCTGAATCCTTCGGATAGAGAAACATTAGGTCTGACCAAAGATTCGGTTGTGGTTGTCTTTTGTACAGAGGGTCCGAGACAGTATGAGATTCCTCACAGCGTGGCAAGCGATGACCCTGTCGAGTTGACACAAACCTTGGTCAAGATCAACTCGGCCAATCCCTCCTTGGGGTCTATTCCTGGCCCTGGAGAGACTGCCATCGCCCGCTACATCACTGCCTGGATGGAGCATCGTGATATTGAGACTCACTGGGTTGAGCCAACACTTGGGCGGCCTTCTGTAGTAGGCATCGCACGCGGATCGGGCGGTGGTAAGAGTCTTATGCTTAACGGCCACATCGACACTGTAACACTCATGGGGTACGATGGAGATCCCCTCAGCGGCGACATCAAAGACGGCAAGCTCTACGGCCGTGGAGCCGCTGATATGAAATGTGGCGTGGCAGCCGCCATGGCCACCCTAGCCAACGCAAAAAAGCAAGGCCTAAGGGGAGACGTAATTTTCACGGGGGTAGCAGATGAGGAATTCGAGAGCATCGGTACACAGCAGGTACTGGAGGCGGGCTGGAGGGCCGACGGTGCCATTGTCAGCGAGCCGACCAACTTGGAAATCCAGTACGCGCATAAAGGTTTCGTATGGTTCAAGGTGGATATCCACGGCCTAGCATCCCACGGTTCGAGGTACGATCTCGGTATCGATGCAATCTGCAAATCAGGATATTTCCTCGTCGAATTGGATAAGCATGCGAACCGTCTGACAGCGCAAGCCGGCGATCCTGTTCTTGGCCCAGGAAGCATACACGCTTCCATCATCAAAGGTGGCGAAGAAGTCTCATCCTACCCTTCTCTCGCCCAGATCCAGATAGAGCGTCGAACTGTGAACGGCGAGACGCCAGAGACAGTGAGAAAAGAGCTGGAAGATATCCTCAATGACTTGGTCGAAAAAGTCCCAAACTTCAAATACAATCTCCGGACCACCTTCCATCGCTCCTCGTTCAAGGCTGGCCTTGACCATCCTTTTACAAAGCTTGTTCACAAGCATGTTGGGAACACTCTAGGCAAGGAACCAGTCGTGTTAGGAGCACCCTACTGGACTGACTGTGCATTATTAGCCGATGCTGGTATTCCAACGTTGCTTTGGGGACCAAAAGGAGAAGGTTTGCATGGAAAAACAGAGTATGCAGAGGTTGAATCAATAAAGCAGGTCGCGGAAGCACTGACTGCAGTTGCTGTAGAGTTTTGCAGCTAGCATTTACTGTTTGATAGAAATGTCAAAACACAAAAAAACAATTGAAATACTCATGTATAGAATATTTATACCATTACACCTTTAACCCACTAGCTTTCCTCCAACTCTTTAGCTAATCTCATAACTTAGACATACTCTTCAGCCTCAGCTGTCATTGCCTCGGTCTTCTCAGGCGGAATAGAAGCTGTCAAACCCAGAGAAGCAGCAATAGCAAACAGCCTCTCCTTTTCCTGCAGAGCTGTCTCATCACCAAAGACGCGATCCATATCCTCCAATGTGCGACCCTTGGTCTCAGGCACGCAAAAGTATGTGAATACCAAACCGATTAAGCAAAAGGCTGCAAAGAAGATATATGTGCCCCACTTGAGAGTCTCGAGCATATCAGGAGTGACCAATCCAATAATGAAGTTGCACATCCAAGTTGAGCTAGTAGTGATCGCCATAGCCTTGGATCTGCTACCCAAGTTGAAGATTTCCGAGGGGTACACCCATCCGATAGGAGCAAATGAATAGGAGAAGTTGACGTCGTAGATGTAGATAAAGGCAATTGCAACTCCACCTGGGACTTTATGATCGCCAAGGCCAGCGCCGTATTTGCCGACAATAGCACCGACAATGATAAGGGAGATGAATGTCCCAGTAGCACCGCACATGAGCAGAGGTCGTCTTCCAACTCGATCAATGAGGAAGAGGGCGGGTAGAGTGCTCAGGGTGTTGACAATGCCATAAACTCCTGTTGCTAGTAGAGACGTAGTGTTTCCTGATAGTCCCAGCTGTCCAAAAATAGTCGGAGCATAGTAAATCAAGGCGTTGCATCCCTGGAATTGTTGCAAAAACATGATGGCACTTCCGATAAACACGCGTTTGAAGCTAGGCCAAGTTGACAGTAAACCGTAGTATTCGGCGAAGAAGAGGCTGACACCATTCTTGCCGGGGTACTTCTCCCGAGAGTGAGCTTCGTCGAACATAACCTCGGCTTTAATAGAGAGATACTCTTCTCTTAGGGACTCGGAATCGGGGTGGACACGTCGGAGGCGGGCCAGTGAGCGAAGGGCTGCTTCTTCGTTCTTTCGCATGAGGTAGAAGCGCGGAGACTCGGGGTAGAAGATCATTCCAATACCGAGAATAAGTGCAGGGACAATTTGCAAGGCAAAAGGGACTCTCCACGCAGCTTGGCTTTGCCCAGTGCAGCCGTTGGGGCCAACGTCGTTTCGGGGGTCAAAAGTTGGCTTCTCAGGAGTGCCACCTGAGTAGGGGATGTCAGGGGCACAACGGGTACCGCCGATGTATTGAGTGCCGTACTCAAGCCAGTAGCTGACAAGAATTCCCAGAGTAATGCTCACTGTAGAAGAAATATCTTGTTTAGGAGACGGAATCGGTATGTGGAGTTAAGAATCTAAGACTTACACTGCTGTAGCACAACAAGCGTTCCTCGAATACCAGCCGTAGAAACTTCTGACATATACATGGGTACAATCATTGTAAGCATACCAACTGCCAGACCGGCAACAGCTCGTCCTACACATAATGTTACTAAAAGCCGATCCAAAATAATGCAAGATTTCGGACTTACCACCAAACAACATGCCGATTGTAGTTGCGCCAGATTGAAGAGCAGATCCAAGAAGGAACACCACTACAGCAGCCATCATTGAGCCCTTTCTACCAAAGCGATCCGCAATCGGACCATTCATCAAGGAGCCAAACCATGCTGTGAGAAGCAGCGTAGAGACAAACCAGCCCTTGAAGCCACTGTCCAGATAGATCCTTGGGAAGAGCGCACCGAAATTCTCCATCCCAAGGACACCAGAGACAACACCTTGGTCATAGCCAAAGAGGAATCCACCGAGAGACGCAAACTATTTTGTATTAGCGTTTGCGCTGATTATGCCATAAATTGCGTATTCCTTCAACTTACAGCCGAGAGGCCAAAGATGTACGGATTTTCGCGAAATTGGCGGAAAACACCCTTGGTAGGCTGCGCCGCACCGACGTCTGTTGGATTTGGCGACATCGTGAGTTGCGCTTACAGCAGTAGTTGTACCACAATAACCGCTAAATGAAACTGAGAATCCACAAGATACTTCAAGATATCCGGCTCAAATCCCACCAAGAGCAGTGGATCAGCGGGCCTTTATATCTAATCCTTTCCCTTATCACAGCCATTTTCTTTCTGAACACAGAATATGGGTCTTGTCTCTATTCTGACCGCACTTAGGGTGACTGTCGCCCTGAGACCCGGTACTCGCTCTCCGCATTCCCCCTCCTCGTCCAAGCTACCGAAACTAGCAGTGAAGCCAAGTTCTTGCACCGACAAGCCCTAAGCCAACTTTTCACGTTCTATGTGGGGAAGAGATCGTCATCAAATCCAATGGCAGGCGTTAAGATGGAGATAGCACTGGAGAACGTCTTACAGATCAGTGCAATAGCGCCTATTACCCCGTAAAGAAGGATGCCCGCCCTTGTTACTAACTGCCATGTGCCTTTGTATGTGGGGGAATAACACGGAGACTCACGCCATTGAGTCAAGGCATCGGAAGTTGAACGAGCCAATTTCTCCACATCGATGCCACGGTAGTGGAGACTAGTGCCCGCAGAAGCAAGGATAGAATTTTGCCGTATCACACGAGGAAATGTCTGGTGAGGGTCACAGTGATGCGGCGTTGTTGGTTTAACGGTACCCTCGCGAGTCATGGTGGTCGGCCCTGTAATTGAACTATGTCATGATGGAATGCGGCGTCGGTTGCCTGAATAAGGAAATGATGAGCTTTTCTCCGAAGCGAATTGCAATATTGATGGTTGACAATGTTGGGGAATTTGCGGAGAGAAAAGCATCTTGCAGATTCCCCGGATTCATCTGACTCTGCCATGTGAGCCCTTGCTTAGCCATTTAAGCGCTTAACCTAAGTGTTTGCCATCACCACCCCATCAGTTGAGCATCGTCATGAGGAGAATATGAGAATAAACCAGGAAATCGCCACGAAGAGTGAGTATATACACGCATCATAATCATTATTTCTGAATACTATATTTGCTTCAATATTAGTACAATCGAAGCCACATCCAAATTTAAGATCAAATGACTTGTGATAGAGTTCTAGGTTAGATGCGACCAGTTACAGAATGCGGAATTACATCCATGCCATTATTTGTCGGTAACTACACTCTTTAGTCCTTGTCTTGAGCAATGCCGATCAGCCCATATCGGTGCCATTCCTTGTCAATCTGCCGTTCCCATCAATCATGTCCTTGGGCGAACCAATGTTCACGATCCTGCCCTGATCCAAAACCACCAAAGTATCATATTTGCGAACAGTATCGAGGCGATGCACCACGGACAGCACTGTATGGTTCGCAAACTCCTTCTCCAGTGCCGCTACCATCAATTTCTCAGTCGCACCGTCTACCGCGCTCATTGCTTCATCCAAGACGAGAATGTTGCTTTCCTTCTTGTGGAGGATTGCCCTTGCTAGGCAAACGAGCTGCTGCTGGCCAACGGAGAGCGACAAGTTTTCGGTGTCGGTATCGAGGGACCCAAATTGCTGAATAGCATCCCAAACCTCGAGTGATTCTAGCACCGCGATGATTTCCTCAGTAGATGGGGGAGAGGCCTTGCGATTCGGGAGGACAAGGTTGGAGCGCAAGGTGCCCGGGAGGAGTGCGGGATGCTGCGAAACAACAATTATGCGAGCGCGCAGCTCTTCGTTCGATATTTTGGAAATATTCAGTCCGTCGATGTTAATGATGCCCGTGTAGTCGACCAGCTTAAAAACTGTCGAGAGGAAAGAAGACTTGCCGCTGCCCGTCCGTCCACAGATGGCAACCTTCTGGCTGGGGTTAATGGTCAGTGATACATCGCGCAGAACAGCCGTCCTCCTCTCCTCTCCCTCTATCTGGTATGTGGCTTCAATATTCTGCCACTCTATTCTACCCTGTGATGGCCAAGATGGTGGTGGTTCAACACGGCCGTCTGGTGTAGGCTCGATCTCCTGTGGCGTCGCCTTGACAAACTCTCTGAGACGAGTGATGGCTCCGAGAGAAGTCTCAAGCGCCGTCCACGACGTCAGGAGATTTGAAAGAGTCTCACTGAAGCCCATGACGCTATACATTGCGACAGCCATGTATCCTGGCGACGTAGAGTTGGTTACAACTGCGAAAAGGACTAGAAGCACAGCAGAGACCGTGACCAAGAGATCAAGCACTAGCGTAAGCCATCTCTGGATAGATAACAGGAGGTAATGCGGCCGCTGAGAAATGTCCAGTAATTCTAGCGATTGTTGAGATATCGCTTCTTGCCAGCGAAACGCACGGATAGTTGCCAGACCCTCAATCGTTTCTAGAAGTTGCCTATAAAGAGGCGCCTTTGCCTGCAGATCCAATATTCGGAGTTGGCGAGATGTACTGAGGTAAAACTTCTGTAATGAGTACAGAATAATAAGGGCAACAGGTAGAGTCGCTGCGAGATACCTCGCTCCGAGAACGATCAAGATGAACTCGCCGATGCATAAGAGTATGGCTAATGTTTGTTAGCTAAGACATAAGCTTATGGTGCTATGAGCGGCTACGAGGGGCGACATACCGGCAACAGTAGTATAGACTGCAGTAGGGAGTTCGCGATCAACAAGTGTCATGTCTTGACTAAATCTGTATCGTCCGTTAGTTTCTGAGCTGGCTGCGCAATATCTCTGTTTTAGTCTACCTATTGATTAAGTCGCCGTTGTCAGTGCGGTGGAAAAATGCCATCGAAGCCCTACAGGAACTTGTAAGTAAATGCCATACAGTGTATAGACGCAATTCTTGTTACACACTTCAATGTAGTTTCAAGCAACTTCCAATGTAGCCATGTAGCTGAGCGAGGAATGACCTTAACAAACATAAACCTGTGTGCTTTATTAGACATAGACTTTTGGCACCAGGGGCAATAACGTACCAGCAGTCAAGACCTGTAGTAAGAATAAAGAGGGACAAAAGTGCTACGTAAACACTGTAGTACATTCCGTTATTGGTCTGAGAGCTACCGTCACTTGCTTCGGTCCACCATTTGAGCCAGATTTCTGCAAAGGCTTATTAGTATATGTATCGATAGAAAATAAGCGGATAGACAAACGAGTGAATTGCTGGAGGAATACCGGCATCATTGCGGTAAATAGAGCCACCAAGGCATGTTTCCAGCCAATAGACTGGAAATAGAGGAGATAAAGTGCGGAATCTCCTGTTCTAGCCAAATCTTCCGCTTCCTGCTCGTCTTCGTCTCTGGATTCACCGTGGGCTTTCGCTGATACTTGCTCACTAGTTTCCGATGGACTGAGCGATGGAACGGGGTCCTTTTCATCTTGGTTGACTAGATGAGTGGCGGTTTCACGGACGACAGTATATGATCCTTGATGGGCGATTTCACCCTTTTCAAGAATAATAATCTGATCGGCATCTCGGAGGTATTCAACTATACAAAGTAATCACATATTAGCTTCTGTGCCCAATTCCGAAGGTAGTGGGGACCTTCCACATACGTGTGTGAGTGACAAGAATGACAGTCGTACGCAACTGGCGTAAAATCCCCACTGGGCCAAATACTTGGACCCAAATATGCCGTCGTGTGTCTGGGTCCAGACCTGAAAAGATATCATCGGCAACAAAAACTTGCTTTCTGGAATACACAGCGCGTGCCAACGCCTGAATCATATCTAGTTAATGCCTGCTTCTGAACGGCAAAAAGCTTGAACTTACAACGCGCTGCTTTTGGCCGCCACTGAGTGTCAAGGCGTTTGTATTGTCACCTAAGGGGAGTTCTTGGAAATCTCTTGTCAAAGCACAGGCCACAACAACCGTGTGATACCAGTCATCATCCACAATGCCGCATTCCGGACCGGCAATATTTTGTTTAATGGAAGCCTTGGTAAGCCAAGTCTGCTGGGAACAATATGAAGCGCCAGCAAGAGAGCCTTGCAGCTCGCCAGTAGCTTGCATCTCGCCCAGAATGCCGAGGAGTAGCATAGACTTGCCAGACCCGACCTTGCCAGTAATAATAGTGAAGGTGGATGGCTCTATAGAAAACGTAAGATTCTTCAATATTGGCTCTTGATGTCCAGAGACACGAAAGGAGACATTTGTTGCTTGAATAGCCTGCCGCCTAGATTGGAAAGTGATAGCTGAAAGCTCAGTGTCGCTGTTGAACATGCCGCTGTTTGAAGAGGGCAATGTATGTGGATACTCCATCATGTTCTTATTAGCAAAAGCCTCAATTCTCTCAAAAGAGCCTAGGCAGCTGAAGAAGGATGGCACAGAATATAGAAGATGTGAGAGCGGAGCGACGATCAGACCGATAATAGAGAGAGATGTGAAGGCTGAAGTGACAGTAAAGTGTGCACCGCTTTTACTCTGAACTGCCATTGCGACGCCGAAAGTGACAATGGGAGCGAGGGCCGTCGGGGTATTGCCTACATATAAGCAGTATCTTTAGTATAAATGATTGGCACGATATTTACAATGTAGTAAACTTCTTACCCAACATGTTCATATATGTGATCAATGTACGAAATCTTTTAGATTGGTCGAGCTCGGTAACTCGTAGTGCCTGAATACTGTTCATCCAGTAGGATATAATGCCCAGCATCTTGAACTCTTTCATGTTGCGGAGAATTCCAGATGTAGTGCTAATTCGAGTTTGTATAGCAACGTTCCATGATTTCATCGCTGGCCCCATTCGCTTGGAAAGCTTTGTCATGCCGAATGTACACACTATCTAAGTTAGTCGGCGAATAGGAAAAAAAAGAGGCAGATGCCGACTAAATCAACATACTGATGACTGCAACGGCTGGACCAACAGATCCAGGACCAGTTTCTCTAGATAGCAGCCATATGGCCAAGACAATCTCAATTGGGTTTGCCCATATCTCATGAATAGTCTCTAATGCACCGGTGATGGCCATGACGTCGGGGCCTATCAGTGTCAAGGCAGCGGAATTTGGGGCAGCGGATTTGCCATCACCAGTGACCGATATCGTATTTGCATCAAGCGTGTGAATATAGACTATAGAAACAAGAGCTCCCCGAACCATAGTTAAAGAGCGGAATAGCTGATGCTGGTAAGCGCCTTTTGAGATCTGCAAAACATTGCGGGTTAGTGTGAAGTCCTGTCGACACGAGTTACTCAACATACAGCTATGCCCAGGTAAACCAAAGCTGTGGCACCGACAAGAGCGAAACCTGTGCATTTCTGTAAATCATCCCCCTTTTCGTTGGTAATATAGCTGACAACGCGGGTTAAGAGAAATGGCTGCGCAAACTTGAACCCAATCCAACAGAAGCGAGGAAAGATGGCTAAGATGAGCGCCCCCTTGATAGAGTCCAGCAGAGCAAAGAGCAGCTTGTTACGACGACAAAATTCGAGCTTAGGAGCAGACCATTTGACCCTAGCAGCTTGGATTTGGCCGAGGAGCTGCGTGGACTTCATTGCAGCGTCTGTATCATACAGCGAGTTGTCGGAAAGGGTTGCCCGAAAGCCCCGGATAAGTAAGTCATTCAGCCACCAAAAAAGACTTCTATTAACGATACTCCCAGTCATTTCTGGGCTGACATGATTCCATGGAGGCAGCAGGATGCTGCGCTTCTCCTTGAGCTCGAGAAAGAGCGTAATGACCTTGACGCCTAGCGCGGCTGTATATACTGGAGCGACTGCATCTGCCCTGACTAACCACAAGGTGCGACATTGAACAGCATCAAATGCAATGGAGAAAATAAGATAGACGATGATTATTGTGGAAGGACGAACTGAGCGTTGGTACTCAAGATGGCTCAATGCAGCCAATGCGATTGCATCGACTAGGGTGAATGTCGCCGCTGTGATTGAGATTGAAGTGGCCAGCCCCTGGTATTTTGACCAAAGAACGACCAAAGACAATTGCAGTGTAATAAACAAGAGATATATCACCTATATATACCGATTACGTGTATGGTGAGTGAAAGCCCAAGCTTGAGATTCAGAGTCGTTACGGACATACTGATTTGAGGTGATCCAGAGAAAGTCGAACTACTTTTGGCGACTCCCGTAACAAATGCGCAATTCGAGGCAGCACACAGATAAAAAAGAGCGTACATGGAGCGATAGTGAGGATGGATTGCTCGAATTTGAGGGTAAAGTCGAATCGAGGAGATGAACAGTTGGTAGCGACTGGACCAAACAAGTCGTCGCAATCGGCGAGGCCACCTAGTGCTGGATCGCCTATTACATTCATTTTGATGGCAAATTCATTGAACTCGCTCTCGATGCAAAATATGGGATGGAGTTCGAGGTAAAGAAGCACAAAAGCGACGAACAGGAACAGAAAAGCACCTGGCAGAGCACCGCTGCGAGGGAGAGTTGCTCTCGCCAAGGCCCCAGAGCTACGCTTTCTGCGATACTGGAAGTGCGGCCTTATTTATATTTGCATGTCCATATCTATGATGTTGGTCAGCCTGATATGCACATTTACGCAAGTGGATACAGCTCCGAATGGGAGGTGGTAGCCTGCAGCTGTTGTTGGTTACTGATTAGACGTTGAAAATCCTTCATGTATAAACAAAGAGCATTTGGGAGATAGTGCTGTAGGGAATATATGAAAGAACCATTTCAATTAGATCTATCTAATTATATCAGTCTTATTTCGTCTGATCAAGGCAAAATATATTGTTGATGATCATCCAGCTAGATCAGCTCACTCAATCAGGGTTATCGGGTCGAACCAAAGTTACCTGTATCCTATTGAATCGCAATCAACCACTTCATTTCAGAGCACGCAAACGCAGATAAAATCACCCACTATATGCTATTATAAAGCCATTTTGACAAACTTCAAAAGTTCATATAATCTTCCGTAATATAAATGATTACCATATTGTTTTGAATGATCTTTCCCTCTCATTTGCGGTTATTTCTGCTCTCTGCTTTCCCCTCACTCGCCTGGCACCGACCTCGTTCTCGCCCCCCTGTTGAGTGGCGCAACATCCATGTCGCTTTTTCTGAGGTGACGATAATTGGCTTCAATAAACGAGGGGGGGAAGCCTGGGGAGCTTTGCATGGAACTTCTGCAACTCTCTTTCTCCTGCTGCCCCACCCCTAGAGTAACCAACGCCACTATACATTGCATCAAAAATACCTGAAAAGGATTTAACAACTGATTGGAGCTGGCTACTGTACTCCGGACCACCCTCCAACGACCCCCCCTCCCGGCTCGGCAATCCCCGCCTTCTCGCATGGTCCTTGGTGTTGCATCTTTCACTTCACAGCCTCGCCAAATATCTTGCAACGATTATTGATGCCTCGCCGATCCACTACTGGTAAGCTAGACGGCGCCGATTTCCGTGACAGATTCCTGCAGTCCATGGTAGATCAAAGTAGGTAGTCGAGGTTCATGGAATGCAGGAAGTGCTTGTTATACAGCTGGTGCCCTCAGTTGGCCTCCAGTGTTGCGCAACTTCGAAGAGGCTACGACATGAAATCACCTTGGATTATAAACTGGAAATTGAATACTGCAGAGGTTCTCCCTGAAATAGATTTTATAAATTTTACGCAGATGTAGCTGAACAAGTCATTTTTCACTTGACTACATGAAAGTATACCTAGCTCCTTGACTTGCATTCACGGGATATATATGTGAGAAAAGTGCGCATTTTATCAAGCAGTCAAATATACAGTTATAGCTCTTCATCTGATTTGACTGAAGCATCCCATAATACGGTCCAATCCCTACATTTCCTCTCCCCCATCCCATTCACTCTCTCTTGCCCCTTTGTGTTGAGCATTGGGGGCTCAATTGTTGAGTCAGCCTCACAGAGTATAGTCTGGTTCAGTTAGATCATCATCCCCAAAGTCTGATATAATACATGTAAATATACCTGGCGTAAGTAATCAAAGCAGTGCAGCCAATGTGGAGAACCATCAGTAAGCTGTTGGGCCGAGTGTTCGTGACGGCTATGTGCAGGCATCTTGGACAAGCTATCCTTGAGGCTCAAAGCTTCCTGTAAAGCCGTCCTGATCATGGCTAAGCAGTGAAGTTGGTGGAACATGGATAAGCCATATTGATGGACGGCATCTTCCTCGTCCTTCTTCATGATAAAGCCGCCATTGGGGGTCAGTAGCTCATCCCAGAGATGGTCAAATTCCCGGCTCAAGTTCTTGTATTGAGGATTTTCGGAGAAGGTCATAGTCTTTGACTTTGATGACAACTCCGAGGTGTGGAAGCCCGGTAGCGTTTGATGGATACCGCCATTTTCAATGCCTAGGGCCATGAAAATAACGATACCGAGAACAGATAGACAGGCAAATATAAACATAGGGAAACCAAGATACGAGAGCCTCATTCTAACGCTCTCTCCCTTTGACAGTCCAGCCATCCGTTCAAATTTATATATTATGTTAGACAAATGAGTGAGGATGATTCTCTTCAGAAAAGGAAATTGGAGGTGAGAGGGGGTGGAAGACGGTGGATATCGCAAATATTAGCAAGTCGCGGGGTTATTCCTTCAGAAGAAGCCAGAATATTTTTGTTCGCGTCTTATTAATAGTACAAAGCCCAGATAAGCACTATAAGCTTATCCGTTACCCCTGTCACCGCCAAAAGCGTTCGTATTCAGTCCTAACCTGTTGCAGTGGGTATTAGATTAGTGCATTCCCGCGTCCATTATGCTTCTAGGTTGATGTAAACCATCTACGCAATAAATAACGCTAAACATATGCCTAAGTTGTTACAGCGGCAGCACTATGTTGAGTAAAGAGATCTGGAGTCCATTACATGTCGCATTTGTTCTACACATTCTTTGGGTTCATATTCAAGATGATGTCAAAGAGTGTTGCATAGGTAGGCATACATGTTTCAGAATCCGAAGTACCTTTTGGATGAACATATGTGCAGCCAAAAATTGTCAACAATACGAAAATACCCGTTTAGTTGGGTATGGATACAAATAGCACCATAGAACCTGTAAAGTATGTACCCAACAGGAAATAGAAGTATTGATACAAATTACCTACATTTCTAAAAGGTTGACAAAACTTTTCACCGGCTGTGTAATTAATTAGATCGGCTTTTAACATAAAAAGAAGACTGTTTCTTTCCCCTAGGTGGTGGAAGAAGACAAATTTGACGCCCTAAAATGACCACTACCTCTGTCAGAGACTTGGTACTTTGGAGGAATGCAGCCGCAATAACTAGATTAAATGATTACTCGAATTATTTGCGTGCCGCGATCTTTGAAGCGGTCATTTAAGTTAGGCTTTCTGCTGGTGCGTTTTGTGTTAGTCGACGCAGTTTGAAGGTGAGCTCCATAGCTGTCAATAAAGCGGCTTTGTAACCACCGTGTCAACCTTTACCCTTAATGCGTTGTTGTAAACACTTGTAAGACGTAAGTTCACCACTTGTGCCTACTTGGCCTGATGTTCTGAGCTAAGTTTAAAAGCTTAACTATAAACTTCTAGTGTTTCGGTCTCTATGTATTATTATTATATACTTGTAACTATATGGAAATATCTATGTTGTGATTCTGAGCTTTTCACAAAGAAAAATCTGACGCAATTCTCACTTTATCTAGTTACTGTACTACATTATTCAGTATAATGCGGGAAACCCGCCCTTTATCGGCAATGTAAATATTGCTGCAAACTTAGCTAATAATACACTTTATCAAAGTCCGCTCTAAGCAAGGAAATAAGCAGGTGATACACATATGCCAGTGGCATTACTAACTGAAAATTAGCAATCGAAGTTCCGGATTCAGATTTCCGCCAGACCTCCGCCAGACCCATATCTCCGCCAGTCCCAGACCTCTGTCATATCTCCATTATACCTCCGTCAACATTGATCTTGATAACTTAGTGTTTGCCAAGCTCATTACTTTGAGATCTCGGAGTTAAATAAAGTCCTACAAATCCCATGTATTGGGCAGAACCTACTTCACCCTGTATTTGTAATACATAGATAGGTATCTTCATCATATAAAATCTTCGCGAAATATGCTCTACAAAGACCTTCCTTCCGCCTGCTATATAACCTTACTTTTATAAAGCCATACCAGTATTTCAACCAAACTGTACCTCGTGCGATAAGATGCCACCCGCTTTTGAAAATAAGTATGCAATTGCCACCGGAGGTTCCAGAGGCATCGGGGTTTCTATTGCGCTTTTATTAGCGGAGAGAGGCGCCAAAGGAGTAAATTTTTCGCATAGATCATAACTGTATCACTCGAAACCATATATGTCTAATTACCTATCTATTTCTATCTGGCTAGGTGGCCATCACCTATTCCAGCAACAAAGCAGCAGCAGATGACACTGTGGCCAAGATCAAAGCTCATGGAACAGACGCGGTTGCGATACGTGCTAACATTCTCGACGTGGACATCGGAGACACAATAGTGAATGCAGCTCTCATAGGATTAAAAACGAATACAATCCATATCCTTATCAACAATGCTGCCCTGTGAGTATAATTCATTACGAAACGTATATAATGCTAAAGATGGTCTAGTGCCACATCGGAGCATCTGCTTCCTATTCTTCAAACCACCGTCGAGAACTTCGATAACCTTTTTCACGCAAACGTACGGGCGCCAATTTTTACGACACGTGCAGCACTTCCATATATGCCCATCAAGGGTGGCAGAATTATCAACGTGAGCTCCGTCACAGCCAAGGAGGCGGCTGACGAGCCAGGAATACTTTATGGTGATAGTAAAGCAGCACTAAACAGTATAACTCGATCTATGGCAAGCGCTCTAGCTGCAGAGAAAGGCATTACCATCAATTCAATAAGTGTCGGACCTACTAAAACTCCTGCCGTGGAAGATGCTTTGGCCAACTTGCCCAAAGAATTTACAAAAGGGCTCAAAATCTATGCCACTGCTGAAAAGCGATTGGCAGAGCCAGAAGAAATTGCGGCAATCGTGGCTTTCGTGGCAAGCGAAGATGCTCGTTGGATGAATGGAGCTAGTGTCCCAGCGAACGGAGGTGCGATCTTACTAGCAGAGGGCTAATGGCTTCCGAGACGGCTCAATTTGAGGTTTCGATATGAAATTAATGACAGCTAGTTAGTAAGTCAATAACTATCCCTAAATTCGTCGACGAGAGACGGCGTACTATCTGGCCCTCGCCTATTTCTATGGCTGCTCATGCTTCAACAATTGGCCAAAATACAATACCCTTCACCTTGTCATAATCTTCTTCATATGCTATCTTTGCTATTACGTATATGCAAAGATTACAGCAACTGAGATGTAGCACTTGAATAACCCGTTGTCATGGCAAGCAAAAATTAGCGGAAATATTCTTCACACGATAATACCTACCTGCTCCATCAGTTATTGAAGTCTATGGCAAACGCATTCTCCCTGTGATTGAAAATGGGAAGAGATGGCTTCGGATAGGCTGAGCAGACTGGTGAGCTCACATCTGCATATATGCTGACCTATTGATGCTTTGGATATAGAAGTTGCACAATTTCTTAAATCGAGCTCTCATATAGATCTATATAATATACGCCGTGACAAAGACAAGCTATGTTAACGACGATATTGTACTTTTGAGCTTTCATCAACGCTTTCCCCAACTATGGTATACATCTAAATCCTGAATATATTGCACCGCTCTCGATTGAAAGAGAGAAACATAACGCCGTCTATCATCTCATTCCAAATTAAACTCCTTGCCATTCTAAGTGTAACCACCTTTCCCCGATGCTTAATGAGTATTCATAGGCTCGGTTCCAGAGGCTCCAGCTGAATATCACTAAAAGACTCCCAAAAGTTGAAGCATGATGCTTCATCCAAAAGGTTGGTAAGAATATCATCGTTGATGATGGGCAGGGTGGCCGAGTCATCCGCGGGAGCCGCACGAGGCAGAGAGACTCCTTCAACAGTCGAAGAACCTCCAGCCGCGCTGGCAGAATAGTTGGGATACAATTGACGTATTGCTTCCAAGAAAACGCCTCGATACACGGAAGCTGATGTATATACCTCCTCCAGCTCTTCCATGACCATCATGCAAAGCTCCAGCTTGTTGAGACTGAGACGTCGAGAGAGGGCATCTGTCGATTTACAATTGAGAAGATGTACATGCATGGCCGATACTAAAAGCGAAGGACTGCAGCCAGTTGAGAGAATATAGTCAGTAATTATGCGAATACTAGAGCCATTCACCAAGCTAAGGCTACTGAAGAAAATACTCACGTCATTGGGCAGGCAAACCGGAGAAGCTTATCCCGAACAATGTTATCAACAATGGCATTGGATCGGACAGCTGCAGAGTCCATCTTGTTCCGCATCTCAGCTTGCCATTCGTTCTTAATGGCCGGCGATAGGTCTTCTGGGGCCTTCGCAATGTACGGGCAATAAAATGTGATCAAAATCGCGCTATTACCATGTATAAGAAGGCTATAAAAGATGACACGGAGACTGCAATTGCGACTCACTGATAATGTAACTGTAAATGATACAGATAGAAGGATGCAAGGCGACTTTGTTCAGCTGCATATCGTTCCGGAATCTGCATTTGCAATAACTTTGATTCAAGAAGTTCAATCTGCCGGAGCGTGGGATTGGGGCCGAAGGGCTGGTAACACAAAGTGAGAACGTCGCCGAGAAGTTTACTCAACTGGATTAGAGTAATCCAATATTGAGCTAGCTGAGCAAAGTCGTCCGGAATATATCCGTTGGCAATTGAAGTTGGTATTTCTGCAAGGTCGCTCAGCACATCCTCGGACGAGACCATAGGAGTGTTGCAGTCGTTGAGGTTAATTCTTAGCGGCCTCCCAAGTGTCAGGCTCAACGAACGATCTCGGAAGAAACAACTCCACCAGAGACGACGCCAGAGATGTCGCTGGTGGTTAGGAAGGGAAGTGTTGTACTTGACCGAATCTGGGTCCCGGTGTAGACCGAGCATTTGACAGAGACTAATCGCAACGCCTATCCAATACCACGGCTGTGAGTGTCCGTCCCATTTTGAGTGCCAGAATCCCATGAGGAGAGCCGATTGCAGTAGGACGACTTTGTCCGTCTCGCCACCATTGTCGTACAAACACTAAGATGAATGTGAGAGTTGTTTCTTATTCGCAACGATCAATATGCACTACCCACCTTTGCACGAGAGTACATGGCAGCCTTCATCTCCTTACGGGAGGAGTAGCCCTCGAGTGTCCAGACATGGGCATCGACAAACTGCGAATGAGAATTAGTCGACAGGCTACCCAGGTCGGTGTGGCAGGTAAACATTAAAACACATAGCTCACATTCACTGCCACAAAGAACATACTCCACAGCAACAGCAAATTCCATTCACTAGCTTTGCCTGTTTCATGGAATTTGAGAAGCACTGTAGCATCAACTATCGGCATCATGGGATGCACATGGTGAAAATAGGCGCGGAGAAGTTCATTGCAGGTGCTTTTCTGAGGCAGGGTAAAAACGCCCTTGTACTGCAGATACTCACGATCCTGCGCAGACAATGAAATGGATGCTTCCGAGATGAGAATATGCCTTGCGACAGGTTGTGATGGCGAACACGCATCAAGAACGGACGTGAATCCTGGCGCCTCTCCTGTTTTAATAATGACTGTCAGCGCCATTTCTGGTGATACGCCCAGCATTGCACTTCTCATACCTGTGTAAAAAGGTGCCCTGGCAGCCTGGTTACTCTGCCCTAAGGCTGCTGAGGAAATCTCGGCCCCAATGCGCTGGTCGTCTGGGCTGCCACGGCTATCAGTGCTGGCAGCAAGGCCGCCATCATCTACAGCCTTGCTGGAGTCACTATTCCGAGGGGCATAAGATGTTATAGAGTTGGACCCCTGTTCTGCCGAGGCCTGTGGCAGTGGTTGTGGCACTGTCCTGGATGTGGTTATTGAGCGGTTAAGTTCAAATTGAATAGGTGCATGAGACGGGTGATTATGGCGGATACCAGGCGATTGCTTGTGCCGACTAAGCCGCATTAATAAGACCATTCAGTGTCTTTCCAGAGGCAAGTTGCATCGAATCTCACCTGTTACGGTTGCTCTCTAGGAGGACACAGCCGACACTGTCCTGGGAGCAGTTGATGCACGGAATCCCCGTCACTTGGACGCTGCAACGGACTTTGCGCCGACGACAATTTTGACACGCAACTGCCGAGCGGCGGTGACGGAAAGTCGACATTGCCATCGATCCTATCGTTGGCTCGAGATATTGGGAAGGCATGGGAGAAGCCGAGATGAAAGCTGAGAGGCTTCCGAAGACCTCGGGAGGCCACATCTCGGGCATCACGTGATATGCCGAGGTTATGAGCCCCTCTATCCGACTCATCAACGGGGAGAGCGAAGAAGCAGGGAGTTCCAGAGGCAGAACTTTTTGCCCTTGCGGGTTCCAGGCCTGTTTATTGCTCTCGGATTGAGTCATTGAAGGTACAACGTGTCGAGACTTGATAGGAGAGTAATGTTACACTCTTCCAGACTGGGGATAATGCGCTCAGGCTGAATCGCATGTAAGACGGGGGGGTAACATTAGTTAGGTCTCGGCCGACTTACACCCGACTTGTAAGGCTCCTAGCAGGGTGTCAGGAGAGGCATATGCACCGGTAACGCAGGACCTAGAGCAGACAATCCTTCATTATATACGAATATACGACCATTACATAGGAGGCACATAAGGTGTCAGATATAACATGTAATTCGGTACCAACCCCCTCCTCGAATATGCTCGAGGGTTCCACTCCTCCATAGGGACAAACAAAAACCAACTCTGTTATAATTTACAAATTGTGAAGCAGCATCTGAACTACGGTATCGATATGATGTAGGACGTGGCTGTACTTCACTGCCTATTAAGAGAACAGCATAGGACCTATATTCACAAAAACGACGGGACCTGGTAACTAACTCAATACTATTGCAGTATTATACATTCCTGTAAGTCTTTCGTGTAATATGTTCTACTCCCACCTAAGGCATATACGTATCACATCTTCTGGTCGGTGCAGGCACTCTCGTCCGGGTAATACTCATCATAGTAATCGCATTAAATTCACACCGTCTCCCCTGACTTAGTGCCATGTCCATTAATTATGCTACCGCTACCATTACAATCCTGAGCGGTATATATTCTTTCTATGCCATTAAATACCGCCAATAATAATGCTATTACATGCCGGTGCTTCCCGCCCGAGCTAGTCACTCCGCCACTTCATAGCCAGCAAGGCTCAGAAATAGGGGCAAACATGCATTCCTATTGCCACCAATCTACCGAACCGAAGTCCCCTTTCCCAGAAGCAACACGGACACTACATTCAGAGCCACCCCCCCACACACACATTCAAGGGTTTCGAATAGAGGATCCGGGTGCCGAAAGAACAAGGCTAGAACAACCCCAACAGGCATAATGGAGGCGAATTTTGAAGAAATAAATTGACTCACACACACTAACAACTCATTATCCAATGACACCTTCGCTAAATGTGCCTTTCTTTGGACTTTTACCAAACTGGTCTCACGCCCCAAGGACAGCCCACCCCCCTATTGCAGGGTCTACATTCCGAAAAGTACTCGGCAACTTACCATCTTGCCACGGCTAAAATTACCGGTCTCATATTAGCAGGGCGAGAGGAAGAAAACCCCTACTGGTTGCTGTTGAAGCTGTGGGTAATACAACAGTTTAGGATATGCAAGTAATCGGGCGTATGTTCAATGGAATATGGGTTGAACTGACATAATTTGTCACGGAAGAACCCAGGGCTTGCTAATAACGCGCAAGATGTTTTTCATCATCCCATTGATGCAGGAGAACGAAACATGTGCTGCAGAAGGATGCGTTTTATTGGGTAGGATTGCTCTGATCACAAGATTTGTTGCAAGGTTATCACGCCCTGTTTATGTGCAAGTGAATTAATGATACTCATCACCATAGCATCGCTTGTGAGATATTGAGAACAGGGTTTCTCTTGGAGATTAGTTAGAAGCATTGACTTAGTACCTCCAAAGATAGGAGAGGCTAATTCAAGTACCGTAGCTACAAATTTTGATCGGCATATAAATATAGATACGGTGCCTAACATGAAGTAACGCAATCGAACTGACCTCGGAACAGCTGAGGCTAGCATGTTACGGGCAAGTGTATAGACTGATAAGACCCAAATATGTCGGAATGATTCAAGCATCCAGGGGCAATTAGCCGATGAGGCTTAAACTGACTCATGTCCAACTATAGAGATACAATTGGTGAATAGTTGAGGTATAATTGGTCTAGTCTACTCGCCTCTGCTTGTGCAGAAGCAGTTACGCTACCCGTAACTCTCCGCGAGCCGGACCAATCGGAGCTACAGAAGACTATGAACTTAGAGACCCTCAATTCTCCTGAAGAAACCCATCAAGCTCTAGAAAGACCCTCTTCTGAGACAGGATAATTCTGTCTTTTCTGATCTAACCAAGGCACATGTATGAATCCAACAAAAGTGTGTTACCGAGGCTGCCTTTGCCAAATGAGGGTATTCGTCAGTCCGGCGCAGTTCTAAGCAAAATGCTATATAGTGGATCCCGCAAAGTAAAATACATATGTATGACCCTGTTCAGGTCGCAATCTGGCAGCCTATATGGGTCTTGCTTACACGTACAGCTTACGTGCTAAACAGTTTTATTCCCTAGTCTTTGTGTTTGATTGCATCATCACAGCTCGCGTAGACGGAACCCTCTACGACCAGCTCATGAGACCTAGAGACGTAGGACTGAGTCGGAGAACCCGGATGTGCAAAGCATTGGTAACCGATCTCAATAAGTTCAATAATAGTAATACTAGTCGGGCGAAATATAAACATATTGTGGGTTCAAATTGGTGGATGCTTGTCGTCGAAATTCCCTGGCATTGCGTCCCCCAACCATATTTGCAGTAATTTCCCGACGGACTTGAATGTAGTGATATCTCATGAACTCTCACATTCAACCGGTAATACGGTGTCAGGCATTAATGACCGAAGTTAGCTTAATTATCTCCTGTGGCTGTTAAACTATACTTTCGACGATGGCCAACCAAAATCGGGCAAAGGATAAACAGCAATAGCTCAGGGTATGCACAGCTCTCTAGACAAATGGTCAGGCCAGATACCCACCAATGCAAGTAGCTGAATCATTCATCGCCTGATCTCAAGTTACATCACACTTACTTGCGTAAGAAAAGCCTCGCTCTCACCCACCTTCATAGGAGCACCAGCTCTGGGTAAACCCAATGAAAGTATGTGTGCCATTCTTATGACCTTAGGCACCTGATACAGAACATTATCTTAGAGTCATCATTTGCCAAGTAGCATGTATTAGAGATAAAGATTATAGTTAACTAACAACACAATTGGCTAGTGAGAAAAATGAAGAAAAACGAATCGTAATTGATCTAAATCCTATCTATATTCTATGATTGAGAAACTGTATACATGTCTTAACTGTTGAACATCTATCTTGTAGTAGTCCTCTAATGCAAAAAGGAGTGCGAATATAAGTCATCTTATGACCATGGTAGTAATCAGCTTCCAAGAAAAAATAATGTCATCTATTTCGACGTTTATGCAGCAGTATTCTTGGATGGTACAGCCTCAGACTTGGGCGGCCACTTGACGCGTCTTTCGGCGCGCACGTACAAGTTGTTTGGTCTGATTAGCTGGAACATGGGATCGTACTCGACCGTCGCGTCTCCTTCGCGAGTGAACTTGTATCGGTAAATCAACTTTGGTAAAAAGACTTTGATCTCTTGGAGTGCAAAGTTGAATCCAATGCACATTCGTGGTCCTGCAGCAAATGGCATATACGATCCCTTTGGTCTGTTCTTAACTTCGTCCGTGTCCCATCTATCAGGGTCGAACTTGTCTGGGTTGGTCCAGAGATCAGGGTTATGGTGGATATGGTGCAAAGCAGGAATCATGACAGCATCTTTAGGAATTTTATAGCCTCCCGGAAGGATGAGATCGGTTTTCGCTGTTCGTCCCGGCTGAAAAGACGGGTTGTGCTTTCGCTGCATCTCTTTGATGTATTTGTCTTGGAATACCAATCGATCCGTGTAATCTGAAGTAATCTGGGTATCTTCATTGAAATCGTTGTCAACCAGCTCTTGCAGGAGTCTCTCCTGCATTCCTGGATAGGTGACTAATCCATAAATGAGCCATGAAAGCAGCGAGCTGGTAGTTGTGAAGCCAGCTCCAGTGGCGACAACAAGAGCCCAGACGAGGCTAGACTTTGGCAGCTTCTCGCCTTTGTTGTCAACAGCTCGGATCGCGTAATCTAGATAATATGTCGTATCAGTATCAGAGAATACAATACATAGGATGCGGTGCTACTGACCAACCATGTTTGTTGCCTCCACGGCAGCGTCTTGGAGAGGAAGATCTTCTACGCCGCCTCTAGCAGCCCTCTGAATAGACTCCTCGACCATTTCTTCGACCCGACGCTTAACGTCCTTCAAGCGCTTGGGATCACCAAAAGGCAGGCTGCTGTACCAATCGCCTTTGGAAGTAACCTTCTTATTTAACGATAGCACCTCGGCAATCAGATGGACCATCTCATGGACAGGTGCATCAGGTGAAGAAAAATGGTTAAAGTCAAGGCCCAGGGTAAGCTTGCCAACGGCTTGGGCTCCAAGCTTGAGCATATACTGGTAGACATTCCACGCTTCACCCTGTTCATCAAGAGCATCAAACACTTTAGATGCATCCTCGACAGTTTTTTGCATAGTCGGCGCGTAGTGGCGAACAGCCTTGGGGCCAAGTGCCGGAGGTAGGAATTTATGGGCAATCTTCCATTCCTCTGTATCAGTGTCTCCCAGGAAAACGCCAGCTGCTGGCGTCTTCAAGGCGTAGAGTGGATGGGCTTCGTTAATTTTCTTTGTGAAGAAGTCGGACTCAGCAAATGCAATAGTTGCAATGTTTGGATCATTCGTTTGATAGACGACACGGCCCATGTTATTGGTCTTTATGACCGGTCCGTAGTGATGGAAAAGGCGCTGATGGTTACCCAAGTGGTCTGGGTAAATCTCAAAGAAGTTGCCAAGATATGGCAACCCTTTAGGGCCAGGAGGGTCGCGGACAGCATGTCCATCAATAGAGATAGCCACTGGCCCAGTGATGGAAGCGATGTCTGAGACTTCTTGTAATGCGCTTTCTTGAACCTGGAACCCAATCCCTATTAGATGGTTAGTAGCTGACATCAGTGAAAGTAATAAAGCTGACTCGAACACTACTTACCATTTGGCTCAACAATGGCGAAATAAGAGGCAACTAAGTGCTTGAGTCCATCGAGATCCAAGTTTGATGAGATGTCGATTGCTCTCGCAGACGTTACTGGCTCTCCAAGGAGATAGAACTGTTGTACTGCCATGGTGTTGTAGGCGTCACAGGTATTTCTGATGGTGTGCTTGTGTTCTCGTAAAACTTCATTGTGTGCGAACTCCAAGATATATAAGTACAATTCAAATGGTGTCAGGCTCTGCAATCTCGGGATCGCGAAGCCGGGAATACAACCGCCGTCAATCAATCCAGTTTGTGTAATGACGTTATTCCTGCAGCACATTCAATACTATCCTCGGCAACGCTGTCCTAAAATGCTACCCGAGGATAGCTTTTTTTTACGACAGCCAATCAATTGGCTCGGCAAGACTCGGCAAGAGACCGTGGGAGCATTGCCGCGGGAACTGTTTCGGAATGCCCGATTTGGTGGGGGCCAACTTACACGCCCGAGATTGATGCAATGTTTTTAACTCCTGCGGTTGACATATCATACGGACGTTTTGTTGTTATATATGAGATATAAAGTCTGTCAGGAAATATTTCTGCTAAGACACATCACACAACTTTTTACTTTGATCACAACATTCTGATTGGTCAGAGTTAGAACACTTCTACCAACCTCCTCCCACGAAAAAGATAAATTCTATTTCATCTCTTCTTCATTTATAAGATATACAATCAATTGAGAGCATCTTCGCAGTCATGCAAGAGTACTCGCTGGAAGAAGTTGCCGTGCACAAGACACGAGATGACTTGTGGGTAATAGTCCACGGCAAGGGTAAGTCATTCTCCCACGAGGTAGTTTTCCTATCGTGTCTTATTTTACTAACTTATCCATCTCAGTTTATGATGTCTCGAAATATGTGAGAGATCATCCTGGCGGTGCAGATGTCCTAATTGATGTTGCCGGCACGGATGCAACAACGGCCTACGAAGAAGTAGGGCATTCTGAAGATGCAGATGGGATCCTGAAAAGCTATTTAATTGGCACTGCCAAGGATGCCCATGAAGTTAGCCGTCCCAAGACTGTTCGGCTAGTCCAAAACCAGGCCGAGAGCCCAAAGTCTGTCAAGCGCTCATCGTCCTCTATCTCCACAGTTACACTGGCGGCTATCCCAATTGCCGGTGGACTGTCACTTCTATTTGCTTCGAACGGCCAACTCAGTCTTCCAGACGTGTTAGCGAAGACTTCGCTCTCTCAGTTGTCGCTTCGCTGGCTTCCAGCTGTTCACTTGCCCCAGGGAGGATTCTCAAATGGGTTTATTGCAGCCAGTCTTTTGTGTGCTGCTGTCGGCGGTGTTATTGGAAGCCAGCTATCCAAGTTTACTCAAATCGAGTCAGGCTTTACAAAATATCCCCCGCATTTGAAAAGCCACAATGTCGCCAAATCCAATCCCCAGCTTGCTCGAGGCTGGCTGGAGCCAAAGGAATACAAAAGCCTTCCGTTGATTAGGAAAGACACGCTGTCGCCAAATGTCTTTCTCTTTGTGTTTCAGTTACCAAACCCAACGGATGTGATTGGTATTCCTATTGGCCAGCACGTCGCTATCAAAGCTGCCATCGATGGAGCAGATGTCTCAAGATCGTACACTCCAGTTTCGAACAACGCCGATCTAGGCAGACTGGAACTGGTCATTAAATGCTATCCAGATGGTTTGCTGACTGGAAAATATCTGGCAAACCTAAAGGTGGGCGACAAGGTTCTCTTCCGTGGGCCAAAAGGTGCAATGAGATATAAGAAAGGTCTCTGCAAAAAGATCGGAATGGTTGCGGGAGGCACAGGAATTACACCCATGTATCAGCTAATTCGCGCTATCTGCGAAGACGATACAGACACAACTGAGGTCAGCCTGATCCTTGCCAACCGAACCGAAGAGGATATTCTCCTGCGCAAAGAACTTGACGCATTCGCCAAAAAGTACCCCAAGAACTTCAAAGTTTGGTACATGTTGGATCAACCTCCGCAGAAATGGGCCTATGGCAAAGGTTTCGTCACGCAGGCAGTAATGGCTTCTAAACTACCAGCTGCATCACCTGACACTAAAGTTATGCTCTGTGGGCCTCCTGGAATGGTGAATGCTTCTAAGAAGGCCTTGGTAACCATGGGATTTGAAGCTCCAGGGGCCGTTTCGAAGATGACGGATCAAATCTTCTGCTTCTAACACTCAGCATGATTTATTTTCGGTTGTGTGTGCGATTTTTGCTACTTTTTCGCATTTTTCATAGATCTCTTGATTTACCATTACACATAGATGACTCAAATAGAGAGTCTTGCCAGGTTATAGAAAATATATTTCGTATACTCAAAGATTTGTCCTATCCAGCATGTTCAATTCCCTTCCAGCCACCTCAACCACATCCGACCATACGCAACCCAGACCTGACCCGCAACCCAGACCTAACCCATAGAGAACCGGAATATCATGGGAAAAGAGTAATGAATCGGAAGTATATAGATGATATAGCTAGCACCATCTGAGTCACAGAGATTCTGTCACGGATTCCAGCTGGGATTGATGTTGTAGTCTACATGTTCCCAGGACAACAAAGAGTACAAAGAAGAAAGAACGAACGCCAGTAATCTTTTATCGCAGCGACAGCCGCCTCACATCTTAATATTTTCCAAATCTACTTATAGTTAATATACTCCATTCGGATATGCTACTGTTTCTTTAATTATCTCAGCGTTGTAAGACTGCTTTTTTCTTCTTCTCACATCGCGCATTCCTAAGGCTTGTAATATTTAATACGAAGAAGGCAACCGACCAATACCGAAAGAGCTGGTTAATAAAAGTTTCAATTTAAATCTCACGCATGGTAACAGCAATGTGGCAGCAGAGTTAGAATGATATGCTTAGGAGAGGATGCATTCGAAATAGGAGCTAAATTAAGTCACTGCATAATTACTTATTTCATTGGCTACTCTAAATAAAATCTATGAACGTCTCTAATTTAAGTTTGCAGAATATCCTTCCAGATCGGATAAATGGAAATAGGGCTGCTAGCTCAGGCCAAGTTGACTACCGTTGCGAGGTTGAAGGAAACACTTTTCACAGTAGAGTGATTCCAGTAAAAGCTCTGAAGTCGTCTGAATAGAGAACCTTCTTGTTTTTACCATCAAGATCACACTGGTAGATGTTGCCACCGAGATCAGTCATGTAGATGCGGCCATTCTTGGTATCCAATTTCAAGCCAATGGCCTCCTTGAGATGCCTGGTGAGCACTTCGTAATCTCCAAAAGAGAGGGGCTTTTCTGTGAGGCCAGATCCATCTAACTGAACCTTGTTCAAGGAGTTTCCAAAGGGAATTTCGCCGCGATCAGTCCAATAGAGAGTGTTTGTCTCTTCATCCACCTCGAGGTCGATGGCTTCGGGGAGATCCTTCAAGAGACACTTAATATCATCTCGTGATTGGGCCGACTGACCCGCAGGAGTTGTAATGTTAGCGCAGAAAATCCGGCCGTTGTTACCCTTTGAGGGTCCTTTCTGAGTCCAGTAAAATTTGCCAAGCTTGGGAGCCACAGTGACGCCGACACACCATCTGGAGACGTCTTGTCTATGCTCCTGGTTCTCAAAATCGCCGTTCTTGATCAACAGCTCCAGGTTAGAGCCATCAAAGTTGCAGCGGTAAACAGAAAGGCCCTCACGATCGCTAAAATAGATTTCCTGGCTCAAACTATCAACGATCAGTTGCTTAGGGGTGTTGATAGTGCCGGGAGCCACAAGGGTGCGAATATCAGTCCCATCAGCGTTTGCGGAATAAATGGCTCCATCAACCTTTCCCGGAATGCCCATATTAGACCAGAAGATACGACCGCTTGGGCGGTCAATATCGATGCCATCAGGCAATGCCTGGCCCTTGACCAGAATTTGCGGGGCTTTTGCACCTGGGCTGAATTGGAGGATTTCACCTGAGCTCATGCTGGGCGTAGCAGCAGAAAGACCAACATCCAGAACGAGCATATTGGGGGCACTCAGAGTACCATTGGTAGCAATGGTCTTAGTCTCTGGAGAGTAGAGACCTCCCTTTCCGCTTTTAGTTCCAAGTTTACCACTGTCGAGATAGTTTTGTTGCAAAAAGTTGACGGTAAACTCAGGTGACAAGCCACGCTCTGCGATATAATGGTTCTCAATGAAAGCCACCGTATCAAGACCAACATCTAATGAATTGTTCGTTAGTCAACAATTTCCACTAATATCGAGCACGAGAAATACGTACTGTCCATCGTTCGGCAAGGCGCCATGCCACCTTTTATGAACATTTCTGTCCACATGGAGTCGATCTCCTCCGGCACGGATACCCCTTGAGCCAGAATAGTCAGAGCCTCACGTTTAATAGCCGCCCAGAGGCGGTTGAAGATGAAGCCTGTGGACTCTTTCCTTGCGACATATGGCAACGTCGCTGCCTCTCGTGACCGTTCAACCATGAATGGGAAAATATCCTGCGTTGTATGGCCGTCCGTCATAAGCTCCACGACCATGCATTCTGGGGGCATATAGTAGTGCATATTTAGGATCTGAGTCTTTCTAGCAGCAGAGACTTTCTCGAGCATTTCGGACGACTTGTATGAGGATGAGTTCGAAGCTAGAATGCAATCGGCAGGTGTGAGAGCGTCCAGTTCAGCAAAGGTGTCGATCTTCAACTGAATCTTTTCTGGAACAGCTTCTATGACAAGCCAGGCATCAGAGACAGCAGCTTGCATATCCTCAAAAGCCTCTGCTTTTCCAGGAGTCTTTCCAGTCTTCTGGGCGTATGAAGACACGTTTTCCTCGACGTACGCAACACCGTCGGCACGTTGCTGTGCACTGGGGTCCCGAATTTTCACATTGTAGCCTGCTGATGCCCAAATACACGCTATTTAAAGCTATTAGTATTTGATTCTATCTTGATACATAATCGTGAGCATTGCCTACCTATCCTTCGCCCAAGAACACCGGCACCTAAGACGGCAACGGGTCGGTTGAGATAGTTCAGAGGGGGCTGCCACAAACTAGCCATTGTGTGATAGATATTATGAATGCTTTGAATTGTTGATTTCAATTGAGAGTTGTTGATGAGTTCCTGGTGAGGGAAGCAGATTGACGCCAAAGAGAGAAACTCTCAGACTTAAATAACTTTAGAAGCACACACACTTCAATCTCATCTCCACTACTTCAATTCTGACTTACATTACATCACTATTATTCCCGCTACTTCCCTCATAATCCCGCCACATAATGCATCACAACAACTGGGCGTGGCATCGGGAGAGCTGTCACTTCGGTCCGGGAAGACCATGGCCGGCAACTACCACTGCCGGCCGGAGATGCGGCGCTCCTGAGTCGGATTAGGCAATTACTAGATGGGGAAGACCGTTGCCGAGCCTCGCTATGTGGAGCCTAGACAGCGCTCGTCACACAGCTTTATCAAAGCATGCTACGGTATTCTGATTGGTTAGCTGAGCTTAACCGAGGTGTGGCTATCTCCAGCTCCCTCGGCGACGAACTTGTTTTTCAATGCAATGCAGCTCAATAAGGAGGAAACACCAACATTTCCGCAGAAAAAAATTCTATCAGATTCCTTATGGCCCAAAATGCCCCTCTTAATGAGGTATTATGTGTCGCCCGATGATGAACGTTATCAAGAACTGAAACAGGTTGTCCACAGAGAAGTGGCCAGAAACAAAAGTTGTCGGTCCTACCGATATACTAACACCTCGGTCGTACTCATCGTCGTAATGCATCATCCAAGCGATGCGGCATTATCTCGTTCTTTCGCTGTGGATTTTCCTGCTTTCAGCCATCGAAAACCCGTCATGTCCGCTCTTGTAAAGCCAATCAATATTGCCGATGCATTCACCTTTCGGACAAGCTCTGTACCGTCGACATCACACTCCACTATTACTTCGAATGGTCAAGGGCTTTCAGGAATGCCAGTAAGGACAAGCTACTAAACCTCTAGTATTATCTTTGGTTCTATAAGGGCTCTACAGCAGGTATATGAAGGAATGGCGAACTTCAGGTCGACAATCCCTTACGCGCTATAAGGCTGCCTGTGGAAGCGAATTTCTTACATCACCCATTTCAGATGCAGTATTGGGAAACTAATCGAGACCTCGCTTGCGAATCAAATATGACATGGTATTTGAAAGAAGAAAGAGAGGTTTACAAACAGAAAACAGCAAGAGATCTCTCATATTCGCCGCCTTGTCCACCACAGAAGCACCCTGGATATCATCAAGGCCATCGACTCATTCCATATGTACAAACAATGGAAGAATTCGACAAAACATTATATCTCGCTCATACAACGCCCTATTCATCGTATATCATCTCACGACCCTCCAATGCCATTTCAGACCCTAAAACCTGATTGTTGGCAAGTCCGACATGTGTACCTTTGCCCCTCCATACGGCACCAGCTTGTACGACTTCCTCTGCCCGATACACTTCCTCTTCAGAGGCGGTACATCCGGCGTCACGCCTAGATACAGGGGCCAGTCGATCTCGCAGCCATCGACAGTCATATAATTCGGTGGTGCGCCTTGCTCAAAGATGGGATCCGGGAGGATTGCGATGCTGCTCACGCCGTGATATCTAATGGTGGAGGGATCGATCGCGACGTTCCACGGCTTAGTGCTATTAACGTAATAATCTCGGAGCTCAGGGAACGGCAAGCCAGAAATACCGGGACCACTGGGGTCATAATATCCATGCGGAAGAGACGAAGTCTGTGAGAAGCCAACGTCCAACGCGAAGAGCAAGTTGCCATAAAAGACTGCAACACTGTTGTTTGGCCTTTGTTCCGTCCTTACCCCTGCGACGATAATGTATGTAACTGTAGTCTTTCCGGGATTTACAAAGATCTTGGTCATGCCAGTCTCAGAATCTGCATCCAGGGTGAGGCGAGATGAAGACGCGCCAGACTGAGACAAGGTGGACATCTGGCTATTTGACCACTCGGGCATGCGCAGGTATAGAGTGAATGCCTTATCTGCGTTGATAGAATACTTGAGAACATTGCTGAAGGGATAGTTTGTGTCGCACGTAATCGTTACCGAGCCTCCATTGACAACAGTCTTTACGGTCGATGGACTAAGCAGAGCATGCGCCAAACCGCCTTCGTGCATCACCCAGCTGTTGGAGACAAACTTGGGATATCCCTGGGGATGGTTCACCGTACAGCAGGGATACAGCGGCTCCATGCCGTACGTTGTGGCCACGCCGCTATTTGCCGTCGTGAAGACTTGCGGCACGCTGCCGTCGCTTTTGATGATGTTGAGTGCAAACGGTTGATTTGGCTGGTCCATGTATTGGTGAGCCCATTTATCGCCCGTCATCATCACGGGAAACGCGTTGAAAATGGTCTTCTCAGCACGGTCGGCATACGAATTGTCTCCAAAAACCTGATACATGTAGGCCATTGAGTATGCTGTCTCAACGGCTGTGCAAAGCTCGCTTCCGATGTAAGGGGCCAAGTCGCGTTCCCTCTCGTCGGCAAGGACAGATCCAGAGGCCGAGCCGTGGTACTGAAAGGTCCAATCCACGGCATTCTGACTTTTAGTGACCATATCATCGTCCCCCGTCATTCTGTAGATGACGGAAGATGCCTTTAGGCCTGTGTGCAGTTTGTTATAAGCAGAGCTCAACGGGGGGTAAGCGCAACAAGAATAACCACATACCTTGGCCGACATTAACTCCGTGAATATATGGAAAATTGGAAGCATTATTCGGATTCACAACCTCCTGGAATACGCCCTCGGTATACCAATCTGCCCACTTATAGTTCGTCTGAGCGTAAAACAGATTCATATTCTCCCACAACAGGGAATCCTGGTCAGATGGATATTTTTCCAGCATCCACTGAATCGTGATGATGAGATCGTGCACGCGCGCCTGTCCCCAAGTGCAGTCCACGTATCCAGGGCAGCTTGCAAATCCCTGGCTGTTGTTGTGAAGCATCTTGTTTGCCAGCGTCATGAAGCGACGGAGTGCCGTGACGACTCTGGTCTCCCACGAGCTATCCGCCTCGACAAGCTGCGTCAAGCCAAAGAAGAAAGGAGTGCGAGACCAAAAGTTTCTGGCATCACCAACCTCCGGCCCGATCCATCCGTCAGTAGCCTGATAACCCAAGACGGTATCAGCAACATCGTGAACCTGCGCCTTGAGTCTATCATCGTCGAGCTGATATGCCAGTGGCACCAGCCCGTTGAACCAGTACGGCAGCGCCTCGTTCAGCGAGCTGTACTCGGATCCGCCCTTGCCCGGCGTGTTGAGCCAGCTGGACTGGTTAACATAGACGTAGAAATCGTGCTCATGGCCCGCCAGGCCGTTCGCCATGGCAACCATCTCGCCTAGCAGCCATCCCCCAGGCTTTACCGAGCCGAGAGGAAGCGGGGAGAATGCCCATGGCCGAACTGTTTAGCAGAGAAATAAGCAACGTGATCGAGAACAAAGCAAGGCACAGCTTATCTTCACTCTCAGCAGAGTGGAGAGAAGTGCGAGACACGCGGGAGAGCTCACGAGATGATGTGACAGCACCGGCAAGCGGTATCTGTGCTGCTGCTAAAGCAAAAGTCAACTTTATGTTCAACATGGTTGAAAATCTCAGTGAAAAAAACGAGCAAAACGGCTGAGATGAAAGGGGGATCAGCGTTGTTCCTTACAGTCCCATCCAGAATCGACGCGCATCTCCATCGTCTCTTATTCTTTTGTCTTGCGTCGTATTCTCGTCTCCCTCACGTTATACACATCTGCTGCCCGTCGTTCTGTTGTTGCAGTTTAATTTCCCCGTCCTCCACTCACACGGCAACCGGGCTTCCTTTTGGGTCTTTCCTCTCTCCTCTGCCGGCCTTTTGTCCTCTCCTCCCCTTGGCGCCTTGAGACAGCAATCAAAAGGCAGAATGTTCCTTGCCGTCAGCAGGCTGCGTCCCCGTGACAATCCAGGCCGCCAGATGCTGTGATTGGCGACTGGAGTCTTGAGACGTACAGGTTTAAGGGATGGTGGTCACATCGTGTCTCTGTGCGACTGAGCCGCGGGGTTTCTTGGGGTCCTGAGACGCCATCGAGGAGCCTAAAGCAGGGAGGCTAGGCGCTGGGGCCAATAGCGCGTGCCTGTAAGTGCCCGGAGCAGGCGGTTATTTGTGTAGATCTGCTCTTCTTCAGCTTCTTTGTGCCGGCGTCAAGTGGTCTTTGGGCTATTGATGATCTGCTGAGGACATGACAGATCCATCACATGGCGAACAATGTCGTGCTATATATTTCCAACATGCGTTGATACAGGCACTAGCTGAGGTAGGGCTTGCTGTTTGGGGTGCGAGACGGCATTAGTATCACAATCTAATTGTTCCAAGGCTGCATGTGCTCATTCTTCGGGACTGGACACAGCAGCTGACGAATGGCAGCATTTTCCATTTGCCAACGCCCAGAGGTTCTAGAAGCGACTGCATCTCAAGGCTGGGCGGAGAGTCCAAAATCAACCAGCCCAGCAAGAGACATGAATGTTTAAAATGTTTGCCGGGCTGGATTCCCAATCAGACAACGCCATCAACGCCCGAGATGCCTATTCAGAAGCTTGATCCTCAGCCGCGACGTCATGACCCTTCCCGAGGCATGTAGACTGACATCTCCATCTGCCTCATGTCCTTACCCTGCAACCAAGCAGTTCTACACGATGCATCAAGACACAACACCCATATTCACATCACCTAACCTACCTTAGCACATGTACTTTTCAAATGTATACTCGTACAACCCCCCAACCTTCTCATTATTCTCAACGTTCCACATCCCAATCCAGCATAGAATCATTCCTCCATCAACAAAAACGGGCTTGCATCCAATATGCCCCGAAAAGACAAAGATGCGGGGAAAGCGGAGCTTCAAGACAGCCTGACATGGAGCCGAAAGGCATTAGCATCAGCACCAAACAGGCGCTCTTACATGTGCCCAACCTCCCTCCCCATCATGTCATGTCATTTGCACAAAAAGCTCAAATCCCACAGTCACCCAGTCAACCAGAATGTAACCAAACCGCTGCCCGTCCCCAAGAAGATCCCGTGGCCTTTGTTGCAGCAAGCCTTTTTTTGCTCGCTTTTCCGCTCCAATCCGGACTTCCGTCCCTTTATTGCTCGGCAACCCCCGTTTGTAACCAGTCACAATCCTAAACCCTCCCCCTCCTGTAACGCCCTTGTAAAGGACTCCAAAAATTCTACTAGCATGTCCTCCATAATAATAGTAATACCTGTTTGTACTTGGACATGTAGGCAGAAAGAGGGGGGACCTCGTACAGATCTGGAAGGTGATGCAGGCCGCCCAAAGCCGATCAGCCGCACCGCCGCCTTGGATGCATTTGGGATCGTTCTTTTTTTTGAACGCTGTCATGTCAGCCTGACAGCGGTGAAATCGGGGAGCGTAGGCCGTGGGTTTTTGCTCATCGTCTGTTTGCCTATATTTGGATCTGGGCCGATTCAACGATGCATCTTGTCTCCGCCCGGTCGCAAGGATATAGGATACATGGACAGGGCTTCCGGTGTGTACGAGTACAGTGCATGTATGATGTATCATCACCAACACAAAACCGCCCATGGAGATTTGCTGTTGAATCCACTCGCCGCGCAATCCGTTTCTACTGTACTCCGTAAACATGAAGGCCTGCTATCCTCCGGCAACCCCCACTCCTTGACCTCCGTACAAAACCTGCATTCCTTTCCAAGGAAGACCAAAAAGCAAATAATAGCCAAGACAAATCAGGCTTTACCGAACCCCCCCGTGTCTCTCTCGAGCATTCAAAGTTCAACACTTCACCCTCTCCCCGCACGTCAACTCATTCCCACCGAAAACGGTAACTCGGCGCTCTGCCAAGGTTCCAGAACACACAAAAAAGTTCAAATGGCGCTCAGCATCCTGCCATCAATTCCACAGCAGGCCAAAGCCCATGTACCCATGTAGACCGCGAAACCTGTAGCTTCCCATGCTCTCTCGCCTTCTCAGGCCTGATTACTTACCAATACTCGTAATTTTGACCCTCATTTTTTTTTTTCCATCCCGTATTCCGTGCCCAAATACAAGCACTCCGTTTCCACCAAACCCCCCTATTTTCCCTCATGACATCGTATCAGCCAGTATCTCTCACCGAAAGAACATCAAAGCTCCTCGGAGAGCTCCGTACGAAGTGACATGCCCAGACGCGCTCCACCCAATTGCAAACCCACCATCACGAACGTCAGAATGAGTCCACCAAGAAGCAAGAAAATAAGCTTCCACCCATTTCAGCTCTACCTCGAAACTTGGTGCCACGCGTTGTGCTTGCCAAATCTGACACGATCTGAGCATACTAGGCGCCAGGCCGCTCGTAATGACCTCCCATCACACTCAGCCGCCTCATCAGCCCCTATCCCGTACTGGCAATGCCCTTCCGTGGTGCCGGAGCATAGGAGGATCATTGTCAAGTTTGTTTTCCTGCTAAGCTGCACAGCATACGGACATTGTGTGCATCGGTTTGTTTCAATATGAGGGAAAAGAGCAAGCCAGCCGAAGCCAAAGGTTAAACAAAGCCATGTTCCGAGCCGAAAATCCCGGGCCTTTGGCTTGAACTACCAAATTAGTCTCACTCTTGAGTTGTACAGACTGATGGAGAAAAGAACGTTGTAATGAATGTTATTCATTTGATCGCTAGATACATGGCGAATTGCGTCGCCGTATTAATCTATAGTTGCAGTGTCCCCGACTGTGTCGAGCATGTACCTTAATTACCTTATTGTCAAGTCAAAATATTCACGTGTCTGTCTCTATGTTCATACATATCCCTTGCGCCTTTCAACATCTAAAAAAAAAATTCACAAAAATATCCCGTAGAACCCAACCCGCCGCACTGGTCGTAATGCTCCGCAGCCATCAAACATCCCTCACATTCACATTGAAACACGTACTCCGATGTCGTGGAGCCCGAGACACGGTTTAATGTGCAAGTGTCCCTGAAAGTTTTCCACCGTAATGCATTTAGAAAAGGAAAGATGCGACAAATATAAGACAGGTATATAGCGTCGAAAAGGTGTACTCGAATTCGAACCAGGCGGCCTGGCCACCAAATGCAATCTTCTTGCTCTGGGTTGTCGGGTGCGCGACCTTGGTTTCGGGGTCGCGAACAAGAAGATCTTCTCGGTCGGGCATCTGGGGAGGGTCAATGGCGTAGGCGACTGGAGTCCAGAGAGAGCTGCAGATGAAGATGAATGTCAAAGGTGGCCAGAAGGCGTGCGTGACCAGGCAGAGGAGGATGTCCCTGACGCGGTTGCTCTCCTGGAAGAAGCAGCGGTACGAGACAAGGCATACAGCAACCAGGGTCAGATAGACGAATGCGAGATGGAAGAGAGCCATGTAGTTGATGAGAATGGTCCACAGACGACGGAACATGTTCTTCCTGAGCTTGGGATCACGCTCGTTCAGGGCCGAGGAGAGCGAACCGGTGGGCTTGAAGGCCTGGGCTTCTCCGCCAAGCCACCTTGGCAGGAGGAAAGCTCGAACGATGCAGAGAGCAATGTAAGGCGACATCCAAAGCTGGTAACGAGAGCCACGCTGGCCAGTGTGATAGCCGGCGGGGATAAAGAGAACAAACTCGCAGAGACGGTTGGAAATGGTGTTGGCAAAGCAGGCGCGGATGAGCCATCGCAGCTGTGTATCGTTGGCGTATGCGACGAGGGGTTTGCCCATGATCAAAATGATGGGGATGGCAAAGAGCGAGATGGACAGCAAGATCGTGTACAGACTAAGAGAGGCGTAGAGGAAGCCAGAGAAGCGCTGGGCGAATGTCATTTGGCGAACCTTGTCACCCCACAGGCAAAAGTTGAGCTTGAACGAAGTGTCCACGGTACCAATGGCCCATCGAGTGCGCTGTTTCAAGTGGCTGCCGTAATCTTCAGGAACGGTTCCAAACTGAAGAGGCTCGTGAACGTAGGCCGTCTTCCATCCCTTACCGAGCATGAGAGTCGATGTCGCCACGTCTTCGGCCAGCGAGCCAAGGGGGAAGTTTCCAATTTGTTCCAAAGCCTCTCGCCTAGCGACATAACCGGATCCAGTACACCAGGCTACGCCCATGGCGTCCTTGATGGGCTCAATGACGTGAACGAAGAAATCTAGAGACTGAGCTAGAGGGTCGGAAGGCGGCGTGTTGTAAAACAGCTGGGGAGGGCAAACCAAGGCCATTTTGGGATCCATTACAGCGTGAGGAAGCAAAGCACGAAGCCAATCTCTCTCGGGAATCTGTGAGACGTGTTAGTCAATGAAATTTGGCGGTTCAAAATGGCCTTTCTCCTCCTTATATATATCTCTCTATCCGTACACAGAAAAGGGCAAAACTTACCATATCAGCGTCCAAGGCCGCCATGTACTGGCCAGCGCCGCCAGGCAACAAGTGAACTTGATCCAGACCATAGTTGAGGTTTCCGGCCTTGAAATGATGGGGCTGTCCAGGAATTTTGGTACGGGCCATGTAGTACAGATTCGGGTAGGTGTGCGAGAGGATAGCGCAAGAACGCTCCAGGCCGGGAGACTTGGCGTCGTCCAAAACAATGACTCTAAAGCGGTCAATGGGGTAGTCTTGATCACAGGCGCCGCGAACCGTATCCATGACAAGCTCGTCATCCTCACCGCAGCAGGTGACGAAGCAATCGACAGTAGGCACATCGTTTCCAGTCAGCCTCATCTTGGGCCTGTGTCTCTTCTTCAGGGACCACATGGTCCAGGTGTTGTGCATGAGCGAGGGGATGGCGACAGCCAGTTCGACGGCAATGAAAACCCAGGCGGCGGCAAAGGTAGTGCCCGAGGCCTTTTGCGCCAAGATGACGCAGGCAATGCGAAGTCCAAGGTAGGTCAGGTACATTCCGGTGTTGAGAAGGGTGAGAAATGGCGTCAGAGTGTAGAGATATCTCCTCCAGCCTTTCCAGATGTCGGCGTCGTCTCGGTCGTGCAAGATGGTCACGCCATTGTGATCGTCATTGTCGCTGCTAACCTCTTTGCTTGGAGAACGCCCATTCTGCGGCAAAAGAGTGGTCAGGCTGATGTGACTTGGATTCTGCATTTCAAGGAAAACAGGAAGTAAAGGACGTCAGCGGCGACTTCGCGGCAAGAGTCATGGTCACAAGTATACAGGGAGTATATACCAACCACCAACAATTGGGTCAAAGGGAGAGAAACAGGGGGGGAGGGGAGTTGTAAATACCATTGGAGTAGATGATCTCGAATCAGCATATATCAAGTGTTTTGACGAGGACAAGTGGTCGTATGGCGTTGTAGCGCCGCTTCTCAACGTCAGTGACGGGGAGCTTCCCGTTCCTGCAATGGAAGGAGGCCATTGCGGTGCTGTGAAGTCATCAGGATGGGCCGCGCTGGAGCGGTTGGACCTCATGTTGTCAGAGAGCAATCGGGGATGAGAGTCGTCGGAGCCGGTTTGGTGATGACGCCGGAAGTTTCCAATATCAACCATCTCCTCATATTCTTCCTGGTGACCTCTCATCATGGCGGGCGAACGTTTTTATGTGGCTCGGCCACAAGCGAGAGAGAAGGGCCTTATCGGTAGCCAAAGGGGTGAGCGAGGGGAAAAGCCGGTCAGCCCGGAGCAATAGGGTTCAATGTTCTTTTTTCTTGTGCCTCAATGATGAATAGCAATGTGCTGTGAAAGTGTATCCTTGACCGAGTCGGGAGAGGCTGAAGATTGCACCAGATAAACGAAGGTAGCAGCGCAGGGCCTGCACTGGGCAAGCTATCCTGGTGGTGTAACGGGGCTGCTGCTCAAGGGGATGCTGTAGGTTCCCCCCTAAAAAATTATATGTACTAAACGAATGTGAAGCAGCGAAGCTATTCGCCGCAGATGACAGTGACAGCGCGGGAGGAGGGAATAGCGAAGGTTGAGGAGAGAGAAGAGAGATGCGAAAAAAGAAGAGGCCGAGACGGAAGGAGATGAATGTTGGATGAGATGGAGGGTGGTGTGTGTGGTGTGGCACAAGTAAGTACCTGGTACCGCGCGAGGTACGGGTTCTAGGTAGATGGAGCTAGCGCTGGTACGAGGGTGGTCGGGCTTTGTGCTAGCAAAGTACGAGGTACCTACTCGAGGAGGGACAGGCGGGTTGGCACACGAGGGCGGCTGGGAGTGGGAGACGGGTGGGGAGGGACGGTACATGTACATGTACTGTAGGTAGTACTTGGAAGGTCTTGTAGTAGTTACAAGGTAGTACAGTAGAGCAGTACATGTACAGTATTGGCGATGCAAATGTTCGGCCCTTTGGGTGGCTTTTTTCCAACAGCTCCATCACTCGCTCACATCATGCTTGCAAATGTACAAGCGCCAATGCCGATGGGCGATTTCCATCGTCGAGCTTCAGCGAGTGACGACAGCTGAGGATGGAACCTTGTTAGATGTACCAGACCTTGAAAGCAGCACGGCGGGAACAGCGGGTGGCAGTGGGCTGCCAGTGGCCAACGCTAAGCTCACAGCTGCCTGTAACGCCTGTGCGTGTAGGCGGTGCTGCTAGCCTGCGGAGCCGCCAAACGGGCTGGCAGCTGATGCAGGTACACAGTACTTTGTGCTGGTGGGCGTACACAAGCCTCGACAAGCCTTGACAAGCCTTGACAAGCCTTGACAAGCGCAGCTGGGCCGAGCGGGGTTCCAGTTTTCGCATCGTATCTTGTACTGGATACGCGCGGTGCCGACAGGGTTCACACCATTTTTTCTCGTGTTCTGACGGGCGGATAAGGCGAGCAGGGAATCGTCGTCATAGGCTAGCAGGAAACGGGCTGGTTTGCAGGCAGGTCGGAAGCGACAAATGCAGTATAACGCAAGCAACGTTGACACAGGCCAGCCAGACACAGCACCCTCTTTTTTTCATTTCTGCTGGTCTTTTGTGCTGCTGCTTTCTTCCCTACTGTATGTACGGAGCATGTACTGTCCCAAATACGAGGCCGGAGTGGCGTGACGTGGGCCGGGAGAGAAACTGGGACATGTACTTGTACGAAGCGGTCCTAGCAGAGAGGAGATGCTGCTATATTTGGACGGTTGCTGGCAAACGGCGCGCGCGCAGCATCCGAACTGGTACGTTTTGATCTGATCCATGAATTGCTTCGTCGGCTTCAAAGGAAGCTTGTCCATGCTATTTGCTTTGACATGCAGCCCAGCCCAGCCCAGCCCAGCCCAGCCTGCGGTGCGGAGCTGCAAATGACAAGTGCGTCGGGCGCTTGCACGAAGCATTACCTTGTTTGTATGCTTGAGCACAACCCACTAAAAACATGCTTCTGTCTCTGTCCAAGCCACCTTTTTTTGGGTTCTGATCCAGACAGACAGACAGACATCGAGCTGACGAGTAGGTACTCGTACAAGTACACTCCTCGGTACCTCCAAAAGGGGGTGCAATAAGGCAATGTACCTATAGATAAGCATCACCTCAATCCTGCTGGGCGTGATTGGCCACAGCGACCAAACTATCCTATGCCTACTCAAGGTACCCGTTCCCACCATCCACTAAAAAATCTCCTGGCAGAGTTTTTCCGCAACATGGCACAGCAGCTGTGATCGGCCTGTGGTGAGACTCAGACGTCGGGATGGTGTTAGTCAGTTGTCAAGTGATGCTTGTGCTGCCGTGATTTTCGTCCACTTTGGCCCTCATTCTTGTTTTCAGAGATTCCGAGGGGAAAAGAGGGGCAAGCCTCGTCTCCACCATCGGGATAAGGAAACCGGATTAGATCGTGATTGGCCTAGCGCTGAGAAAGAAAGAGAGATTCGAGGTGTAGTGTGTGGTTAGGAGGAAGTGAGTGAGTGGTTGGAGGAAAAAGAAAAGAAGGATTTTCTAAACAAAGAAATTAACAAAAAAGAAGAGGAAGAAGAAGAGGCGAGAGAAGAGTCGTTATTACTCCTCTCTTCCTTGGCCGGCGAGATGGCCTGAGTGAGAGCCCATCCCGCAATCATGTGTCCAACAAAGTACATGCAGCAGGCAACGTCAACTTCGTACTCGTCCATGGAGCAGGCCATGTACTCGTACTATACTTGTACCGAAGCCCGATTGGGAGCGAGTCGTGCGGTGGGTTTTGTGATGGCATCGCCGCAATCGTTGATACGGCCGAGATGCCACCAAAAGCTTGGTAGCGCTGCGTGTGTTGGTGCTGCGCTCGGCACTACAGCGGCGCACAGGCTGGCACAACTGACAGAATGGGAACGAATCGGCTATGCCACATGCTAGCAGTGGTGATTGCTCGTAATACTAGTACTTCGTAGCGGCCGTCAGACATTGACATTGATAACGGGAAAGCGGCTGGTGTCAGAAACGATGCCTGTCTGGGGCTCAACGCCATTGTCAAGTCCGGCTCCATCGGCTCTGCTGCGAGGCTTGTGTCGTTTGTTGACTTGAGGCTCGTTTTGTTTACCTGCCCCTTTTCTGACTGATGGATGGGTGGATGACCAACCTCGTATGTACCACCTGCGGTTGGTGGCAACATACAGATAGCAATCACACAGCTATGCAAGGAATTGTTGACGTGAGCCTGCACTGAAATAGCACAGCAGCATCTCGACTCCCGTCCGTGGCAGATGGCCGTCACCCGTCTTCAGCCCCCTAAAAACTCTCTCTGGCTGACACAAGTGCATCATCCCCCGTCACAGACGATCCACCGTCCCAGTTTTGACTTTTTTTTTTTTTTTCCTTTTCTCTCCCTCGCAGTGCTCGTACCGGCGATCAACGGACGCAGCTGCTGCATCGAGCACTAAACTCGTGTCTGTGGCGGCGCCCACTTGTTTCCAGCAGAAAAACTGGATGGACGGGATTTCGGAGCAATCGACATGGAGCTGTGGCTCATCGTGCGTTGAATTGAATTGTCAATCCCCTTGGCACCGCTGCTTCAGGTGTTCCAGCACTTCGCGGAACCGCTGAGGCGTACCGGCCTGTGCGCTAGACCACTAAAGCCCGCCCACCGCGCCCACTAGTGCCGCCTGTACTTTGCAGCAACCAGCAGAATTCAGCGCCACTGTCCGGCGCAGTACATGCGCTTGTACGGGCTCGTCCACGCCCCGGCTTGTAACTCTGCCCACAGCTGAGTCCAGGCACCCGGTACATGAGCATGTACCCGAGCATGTACATGTACATGTACAGGTGGGCAGTACATCGGCCGCGTACCTCGTAACCAGTAGCCCGTAACCTGTATCCCGTACCTTGAACAAAGCACAGCTCCTCGTATCGCTGACTCTCCTCTCACGAGTTGAGCTTCCCCCTCCATCCATTCGACAAAAAGCATCCAAATCTCTCGACGGCCCTCAGCGACCCTCGACGACGCTCGCTCGTTGACATCCGCAGTTTTGCGGCAACAGACGCTCGTTTTTCTCCTTTTCTCCTTCTCTCGCTTTTTCAGCAGCCGCCATGACGATCCGCATCCTCGTCAACGCTGCGCTGCTGGCCATCCCCATCGCCGTCACTTTGGGCATCTTGTTCGGCCTCCAATCCCACCGAGCAGCAACCGGACAGCCGCCTCTGTTTGCGCCTGAACCGCCCCCGATTCCATCGCCCAAACCGCCAGCACCTCCCAAGAATGGCATCACCAAAACGAGATACTGCCAGAAGTCTTTCGGAATCACGCCCGACACCAAGGGCCAGCAATATACCTGTAGGTGCCGCCTACATGTCACTGAGAATGTGATGTGGTGCAATGCAATTCGAGGTCGCCCAAATGGATACAGCCAAGGCGTAACACATTGGTTTCCAGCTGTGCTCATGCCGTTATGGCGGGGCCTGCCATGTTTCGACGCTGTGGCTCTGATCATGGACTTGTCTTGGATGCTTGCGAAAATATTTATGATGCCACACCAGAGCTCCATGTCCTTTGATGAATCCCTAGCATCACATGAAAAGCTAGTTGCTGCATCCTGGGGCTTGCTTTGGCCTAGCACTGCTGCTTCACATCTCCCCTCATTCACACCCATCTATTTCGTACATGCAAACGGCGACTCAACATCTTGGCTAACATTTGCTCTTATTAGTGAACCCCAATCAGTGGAATTGGAATCCGGGTGAACCAGGAGCGCTGTGTGTAAATGTATGTACTTGGAACCCAGGATTTCTCGTCCTAATGTAGCACCTGCTGATGACCATCCTCAGGTCACTACGTTTAACAACGGCACATATGCCACAAGCACCACTGCTCCCCAGTTTATGATTTCTTGGCAATACCCTCCTGGACCGGCGGATGATCCAGTCCATGCTTTCCCCAACATCCAGGTCGACAGCGGTGTATTCCCTGCAACCATTAGCAGCATATCCAAGGTCGATGTAGATCTCGAATGGTCTTATGGTATCGGCAATGAGACCACTGTTGCCGCAAGTCTTGCGGATCTCCAGGCCGATAACCTCAACACCAACGTCGCCATCGACATGTTTATTGATAGCGACAAGCAAGCCGCTCAGAACCCTTCAAAGGCCAAGTACGAACTCATGGTTTGGTTTGCTGCCATCGGCCCAGCTACTCAACCCATCGGCTTCGCCCAGGGCCCTGTTTCCACTCAGACGCTAGACGGCAACCAATTGTGAGTATCCTTGTACTTAACTCCGCACCCTCACGTAGTAGTACATATTGCTGACTTCCACCCCTTGTAGCAATCTTTACACTGGTGTCAACCAACAGCAGCAAAACGTCTTAACATGGTACACGAATACGCCAGTGGAGAAATTCAACGGAGACATTTCTCCTCTCATCAACAGCCTGTTCAAGCTCACCGCTACCGACCTTCCAAAGTCTGGCGACTACCTGGGATACCTGGCTCTGGGCTCCGAGGCCTTTTCCGTGGACAAAACCGTCACCCTTTACGTGCCAAAACTATCGATAGATATAGAAGCAGCTACATCAAGTAGCACCTAATAATATAGCGACTTGATTTTTTTTTTTTTTCTTCTCTTTCATCGTATCTCAACCGCAAGCCCTGCTCGATCATTACCCTGTTTGATCTTCCGACACGATCTAATTGGGGAAAATATTGGTGAAAATTTAACCGTCCAAGATCAGATCCGGCTGAAGTGATGCCGCCAAGCCCCTCTCTGGATGCAACCTCCCGTGGCAGTGGCGATGAAAAATCTCCTAGATGACGGCACGGCAAAATAAAACATCAATATATCGATCGAACAAGGCATGGCATTACTCCGATTCGATCTCGACAGGCAACGATGGGATTAGTGGCCTAGCGTCCCAGGAAATCGGGCGAATTTGCATTGCATGGCTGTTGAGCCGATTGCGTCTAGGGTATGGAGTTTGGGTGGGTTTGGTTAAGATGTGTATATGGATTTTTAAACCGTGCGCGTCAAGATGGCTTGGGAAAGCTACGAATTATGGAACTCGGGTGACACCTTTTTTTCGGGGTTTCTTCTCTTCTTCTCTTTTTTCATCACACTCATACCTAGTGCCAGCCTTCCCGGCAGCTTGGTAGGTAGTGGGGAGTGGCATCTCAGGAGTGAGGCTCTCATGGCAAAACTCTTCGGGTAAAAGCTGCGGAAGACTTAATTAACCTGTCGCCACCGCGCACCTGCGAGCCTTGCAATTGACCAATCACAATGGAGTTCGGGCAATTGTATTTTTAGAATGGGATGTTTTAGTGCAACAGTCGCGGTGCCGGTCTCCAGCTAGTATCTTCACGCTCTGCCTAGATGGGAGTTGGCAGCGGGTTTGGCTGAGGTTCCTGATGACGCACCTCTAATCTTAATAAGTGAAACGACGAGGCTGTTGGTGCTGATATATAGTTCAATTTCAAGACATGACGGGAAGCGTATTGACGCGGATTTTTCGAACAGTGAATGACTTTGTTACTTTGAAGCCGGAAATTTCCAGCTTACTCTTTCCGTGACGAACGTGAGAAGCTGTCAACGGGAATAGACACGGGCTAGAGGAAAAAAGAGAAGGGACAGAAAAAAAAAAAAAAACTCATCCTCTCCACCACTCTTTTTTTTTTCGGCCACCCCGGAGTCTATGGAACCCAAGTTTAGAGTACAAGCAGCGGAGACTTGCTTCTTTTTGTTAGCTGTCACTTGGCGACATGCTGCGGCCCTTTTTCATCCAATTAGTTTGAGTTCGTTCCTGGCTTGTCACGGAAAAGTGGTGCTGTGGCCCACGATTGAAAGGTGGGCTCGATAATCGGCTTGCTTGGCTGCCTCGTAATGGCGAATCGTGATTGATGATTAAGCTGTGCGGTTACGTACAAGTAGATGTATCGTTTGCCAAGTAATGCTGGGGACGACGGCTTTGACTTGCCGGCTGGATGTACAGCCTGACGAATGAATAAGTAGATCCAAATACTTAACTCGTATGTTGCCGGTGACTATCACGGTATCTCTAAAGGTACCTGTAGATCTCTCTTTCTGTGTATATGTTCTGGACTAAACAGATGCTATAACTCCATGGGTGACAAAAAGGTTGAAACATCATAGTCTACATCGCATTTGATCTTCCTTCTTCGACAACGATCCCTCCCAGAAATTCTTGATTATCTCCCAATACTTCTCTTCATTTCCCCTGGGTAGCGAACAATGGCGGCTGTTTAAGAAGCAAACATTCTCAACTTCGTAGCCCTTCTCTTTTGCTTCCTTTATATGCAGTTCAACATCTTTATACCCAACCACTACATCTTCCTTTGCATACAAGTAAAGCCGCCTTGCCAAGCTCCCAAAGACATTCGCATCATTGAGTTGGCGGCGGTAATCTTTTACGCCAGCGACTAGCCCAGCATGAGTTAAACTTGTAGAGAGGGTGACGGCGAGAAAGAGGAGCGGCTTTCCGAGTAGCTGTCCAAAGAGAGTAGATGGAAGAGACACTATAGCCCCGTTGTATGTGCGCATATAATCTGTTTGTCCAGGGCAACAGTCTATGATGATACCGTCGAGATACAGTCTAAGATCCAGCGGTTCGGCTTTCTCCTTGGTGTCCCGCAGCGAGAGGGTCAAATGAATGGCCGTATGAAGTCCTCCATTGGAGAATACGTGGAATAGTATCGAAGGCCTGCCTTTTACCCTGCTACTGACGTGCCGACGGATAGCATCGCGAGCCGGCTTTAAACGGGCACGAATAGCACTGGATGGCGCAGCTGCAAACTCGAATACTCGCGTAGTGACAAGGAGGATTGTTGCTGCAGGCCAGATGGTGCGGTAGCTGAGGAGATATTTCTGAATCCTGGTGGCCGTAGCCCCGCCGAGCCAGGTGAAGAGAACGATGAGAGAGGGGCCTTTTCCTTTATCGGAAGTAAGATCTGAGGATTCATAGAGATACAGATTCTCGCCGATAGGTTGGAGTGGCTCGAAGAGGTTGGGGCGGTTGGACATAACTGCCGCAAGCCGGAAATGCGATCCTTCAGATCGCAATGCACGTAACACAGGGAGATTTGCAGGCCATCGCACATATATTCTCAATGTAAAAATCCGCGCCCTCGGCTGAAAGGCTGGGCTCTGCCTTTATCATGGCATTGTGGATGGACTCTGCATGGGGCTGAGATCCTACGTCAGATATTGGTACTACCTTGCATTATTGGCCAATAGTCCTTCCTATAGGAGTTGCACATCCCTACGAATACCCTGCAATGGATGCAACCAAATAGGCCAGCTGCATACAGGTCTTGGATAATTCCCTCCAATCATTGCCTCACTTTCATACTTTGTTATCCTGAAGTTTCCGAGACAGGAATCATTCTGTCAGCGACGTCGTGGAACCGGAGAGCTGGGCGAACTTGGAGAACTATTTCGCCAAAGATTGCCATATATATATATATATATATATATTGCATGGGCAATTGAATTAAATTATTTATGGACTCTTCATTTGAAGCTTTGGCCTAACATGGCCGTTTTGCCTCGGTATCTACACGAGAGAGATGATTGCAGAGGTCCTAATATTGACTGACTTTTAGTTCCTGTTCTATTAAGTCGATAGCCTCGAGGTATGCGCCTGTATTCCCTGTTTCAGTATACCAGCACTAAGTGATGATCGACTACTACCTTTACTCACCTGAAACGTTCCATCTCTGATTTGCCTTTCGTAACAGGTCCATACATAGCGAAACCTGCGATGGATATCCCGAGGCTTCTACGGCTGGAGTCGTAGCCATGAGATAAACGATATTGGCCAAGCACTGGTAGATGCTATCCAAGAACCAAGGCGACAGGCTGGCGAGATTCTCGATAGATTCCTGATCCTGTACCATTTCTCTCAGTACTTCCACGAATGACATGGCCTTGGCGATGCAATCCTTCATTATGCTTTGGCATCGGAGAGCTATTTCTCGAGCAAGGGCCATTTCCGCCACATCAAGGGCCCTGTCGTTATAAATGGCGAATGAGTCGCAAGAGTGATGATCACATAGCTTCATCAGCGCGCTGAAGAGTAACGTATTAGTCTCATTGTTGTAACTTCTATGTTGTCTTCAATAAGCAGCATGAGCCTTGAATTCACCTCAGACACACGCCCACGGAGCTGTAAAAGTGCATCATGCTGGCCCTGTCTTTGCCGATGACCTCTAGGAAGGACCACAAGACCTGGCTGAGCACCTCGACGTCGTTCTGCACGAGTGCTAGGCTTCGCGTATTATCATTACAATGCTTGATAACTTCGCCTTGGAGGTGGGAGGCCTGAGCAAGACGAGCAAATGGACTCGCAGACAAATGTTTGGAAGATGATAGAATGAGACGCTCAGGATACATGGCTTGCTATAGAAAAAACTATTAGCTCCACTACTCTAACATTCAGTGTTGGCAAATCGGATGTTACTTACTCCAGCATCCCAAGCGTCATCATTGACAGGTAGATGAGATGTTGTCTTAGGGTCAGCGGATAGGAGAGGTCGGTTGTCTCCTACCGATGTTATATATCTGCTTGTGTTTAGCACTGCGCGATCTAGATAATACACACTGAACATGCCAATAGAGGGAGAATTACCGTTCAAGAATTACAACCAACCACCATACCCGCTGTCTCTCCTCCCAGTCTATCCAAGTGCGCGGCTGCTCTAAAACTTGAGGAGCATCTCGATTATGGATGCCGAGGACCATGGCTTGAGTGACACAACATCCCATCGAAGCATAGGCAGCCGGGAAGATTCCGTGCCCCATCTCATACACCGCGATAAGAAGGTTAGCCTGAAGCTTGAGCAGCGTGTATACACCTGCAATTTCTAGAGAAGCTGCGAATTCCTTTGCGCAGATGTACATCGCATCTCTCACCGCGTTGGACGAGCTTCCAGGCACATCCTGGATGAGCTTCATAGTTAGGAGCAACAAAGCGAAATCCGCTCTGGGCCGGTTACCCAGCTCTGAGTCAGCCAGTGACGTTAAACGCACTCGGCTGATGATGGGGATCCATTTATGAATGGTCTGGAAATACTGTGACATGATGATTGCGCACTGAGCCTGATCGCCTAAGTAGATCAAAACGGTGGCAGGGATCATGTCGCTCGACGGCGGTGACGGAGCATCCGGACGGGTCTGGATGTCTGTATCCAAAAAAAGCTTCTGGAAGCGGAGGGCTGCTGGATAGAATGAGCAAGGGGGCTGTGATATTAGGCTGGTAGTTTCTCGACTGGAAGTTGTCGGAGTGGATTGAGGCTGGGGAGAGAGCCTGCCCACATGGGTGGCAACAAGAGACTCCAGCTCTTGGATCCGCGTTTTCAGCTCATTCTCCGACTGCCGATTGGTATAATCACATGGCCTGCGTAACCTGTGGACGTGAGCAACAAACCAATAAGATATAAGGGCTTCTACGAGAAGGGAAATTGGGTTCGGGACAGGGGCCGGAGTCGACAGCCGGTAAGGCGGCCGCTTTAAATCGGTATGCGAGAAACGGAAGCCGGCAGATGCCAAGCATTCACGTATCATACCAGTATAAGAGAGACGGCGGTGAATTCATGGCTACCTGAAGCAGCGGGTAAAAAAAGGACGAAGATTTTGGAATATGTACCTGGTGCAGAGAGAGCAGCTGGGCAAGGACTTGTCGCACCGCCGCTTGTACTTTTGGCAAGATGCGCAAGCACGCGCAGCCTTTTGATTAGATGGGGACGATTTCTCACTCATGCCGGCAGAAGAAAATCTAGAGGCGCGCCCAAAGGCGCAAAGTCTGTCAGTAAGAGTTTCGATGGCTGTTGATGGCGATAATCATAGCTCCGGAAGGGGTACAAGCGGCCGCTCAGGAGCCTTACAGATCCGGAGCGGACGCTTCTAACACGGAGGTCCAGGTCCACTCACAGCACTTGGAACATCGGCAGTTGATTTGGAAGACGGAGGTGGCCCGACGGCGAGTTAAGAGGAATTCGGGCGGCGCTGTCGACTGACAAATTCTCTCCGTCCTTCTGTCTGTGTACGTATGTATGTGTATGTCGCACTCCGCACAAGCGAGGATGAACATTACACAGGAGACGGATTGATGAGAGGCAAAGGCTTTGAGAGCTATTGCTCCATTACAGCCCGCGAACCTTGCTGAAAGCGGCAGGGTGGGATATCTAACAGCTGGAGCGGCCGCACTGAGCGGGAAAAACCCGCTCGCCCCGGGGATAACAAACCTACGTCACTGTCGGGCCATGTCCGCTAGCTTGCAGACAGGCTGAGTTGCTTTTGGCAGCGTGGAGATCCGCAGAATGAGGCGGAGGCAAGTTTACAACTCGAACTGTAGATTGCCTCCTCACGGAGTTAAGGTAGAGGAATGGGGTGAAGATGAGGAAATTTGGAATCAAGGCCCGCGACGTGGGTGGAAGCTCAGGTCTATAAAGATGAAGGAGATGCCGCGTATGTTGATGGAATTGACAGCAAGTCAACAGCCTCATCTTTCACAACTCAAAGCACTACGAAGCACAAAAACTCATTTACTGATATATACACATTAACGGTATATACAACAAATCACCTCAACTTCACAACAATGGCCCGCATTTGGTTTGTCACTGGTTCCTCCAAAGGCCTCGGTCTCCGCATTGTCGAGGCTGCCCTCGCTGACGGCGACAACGTTGTTGCTACTGCTCGCAACCCTGCCACGGTCAACTATCTCGTTGAAAAGTACGGACCAGACCGCATCCTGCCATTGGCCCTCGACGTCGCCAACAACGAGCAGGTCGAAAGCACAGTCAAGGCCGCCATTGACAAGTTTGGCCGCATTGATGTTGTCGTGAACAACGCTGGCTATGCTATCCCACGATCACTGGAAGATACGTCCGTCGACATCTACCGCGAACAAATCGACACCAACCTGCTCGGAACAGTCTATGTCACCAAGGCCGTGACCCCAATTCTGCGCAAGCAACAGTCTGGCCGCATCTTGCAAGTCTCGTCTGTAGGCGGCAGGCTGGCAACACCTGGATTGTCGGCGTACCAGGCTGCCAAATGGGCTGTTGGAGGCTTCACATCTGTTGTTGCCAAGGAGTTGGCGCCATTTGGTATCAAGCTGACCGTGTTGGAGCCCGGTGGCATGAAGACCGACTGGGCCGGTTTCGCGGACGATGAGATTATCATCAGCGAGCCATACCAGCAGAGTGTGGGAGCGTTCCAGAAAATTCGGCAACAGTACAGCGCCTACCGCTCAGATCCAGTCAAGGTGGCCGATGTGATCCTCAAGATCTCCAAAGAGGAGGAGCCGCCCCTGCGATTGCTGTTGGGCCCTGAGACGGTGGATTTGGTGAAGCAGGCCGCGGAGGAGCTCGCTGCATCTGACGAGAAGTGGAAGGCTGCGACTCTTTTGTCCATCTAAGCATGTTATCAAGCAATAGAAATTCGTATGCTTGAGAAGACTACTTAGCGAGTATGTTGTTTATTTGTTTGTTTGTTATTATCATCTCGGTTAGCAAGACTTTTTAGCTACGCATATTTATACAATGGTACCACAGTATCATGGAAATACACTATTATCGGCTATCCCTTTTCTCGGTCTAATTTAAGTGATATATGTGGTATTATGGAGCCTGCTAGTATTGGAGACTGTTTACACGACGATACTAACAAATAGTGGCCGAGACATGAACTCGGCAAGGGAGAGCTGTTTTTGCAAATCTTTCTAGATCACTATTCATGTCCTCATCATATGCACACATCATTAACTGGCGATAAATACGAAAATGCCTCAGAGTTCTCGCGCAGCTGAGTTGGTCATGCAGTTTGTTGCGAAAGTAAAGGTAGTATTTTTGGGTAGTATTCGCTCACCTAATCCATTTCCTCACAAAACAAAGTGCATCAGTTCCTCAGGTCAGATGCCGATCAGCACTACTTGTTCACTTCAATTATCCGCCGGCGAGACAGTGTCTCAGTATAAATGAAAAACACCATAGAATAGCAGGAAAATTTCTGTTCGCACATGAAACAGGTCGGCGATGTGGATGGAGTATGTGTTCAGTGGACAATACATGCACATAAGTTTTGTTGCACGAGCGTATTTTGTACAAGTAGTGACATCTGATGACGAGTCTTATGGCGGGCGGAAGTAAGGTTTGAGCATAAAATAAGAATTTGGCTTCCCCTCATTCTAGGGATGTTGTAAACTTGAGACCGACCAGAGCGTTGATCATCTACCCAGGCTTTATCCTGTGTTGGCGACGACCGCCATCTCGATCATGAAACTTGCAAGTATCATTCCCCTTCTGTCAGTTCTAGGCAACCTTATTGTGGCCGCGTCCACGAATAGCGTTCTAGAGTCCGCAGTTCGACCTGACTACGATGCGATAGTCATCGGAGGTGGTCCTGCAGGTCTCAGCGCAGCCAGTGGTTTGGCCCGTGTTCGTCGGAACGTCTTGTTGATCGATTCGGGAGACTACCGAAATGCTCCTACTCGGCATTTGCATGATGTGATTGGATTTGATGGTAGGTCAACCCCCCCCCCCCCGGCGTATGAAATGGATTGTGTGAAAATCATGTGAAAAACATAGCTACAATCACAAAGGTTGCATACAAGTGGACTAACCCGTGGACAGGAGTCACACCGGCATACTTCCGCTGGCTGGCACGCAAACAAATCTTAGAGTACGTCACCGCCAGTTTGGTAAACGGCACAGTCACCAAGATCCAGCCGGAAGCCAATAATTCATATTTCACGGTCTCGGCTGACTATGCTGGCGACAATAAGCTCACATTCACGGCACGAAAGATCATTCTCGCAACAGGATTACGTGACTTACTTCCATCGACACCGGGACTCATTGAGAACTGGGGCAAAGGGATCTATTGGTGCCCTTGGTGCGATGGGCATGAGCATGCAGACCAGCAACTAGGCATCTTAGGGCCGTTAAAGAAGGGTCCCGGCGCGGTTCGCGAGATTATCACACTTAACAAGGATATCATCTTGTTTGTCAACGGCACGGATACTCCTGCGCAACGAGCGGCCGCAGATGAAGGCTTTCCGAGCTGGGAGCGGTATCTGCAGTTGCACGACATAAAAATTGACAACCGAACCATCACCTCCATCAAGAGGCTTGCCAATGGAACAGTTGGAGACGAGGATCCTAGTTTACCATCTCACCCCGAGCATGACCTCTTTCAGCTCAATTTCGAAACTGGCACACCAGTAATTCGGGCAGCTATTTTGACCAACTTTGGTACGGCACAGAAGTCGAATTTGGGTGCGGAGACTGGCGTGGCTCTGTATGGTGGAAGACTTGCTGCAGATCAATCTCATGGCCTGGTCACGAATATTCCCGGCATATTCGCTATTGGGGACGCGAATTCAGACAATGTCACCAATATTCCGCATGCTATGTATAGCGGCAAGAGGACTGCGGTCTACATTCAAGGTAAGCTACAAATGGGTAAAATTACACATTCTTGAAACATAATCATGATGCTGATTCATTTGCTTTTTAGTTGAACTGGAAACTGAGAATGCAGACTCTGAGCTAGCAACTGTGCCTACCAAGCGGGGTATCCAGGATCGTATGCGAGCTTTGTGGCCGCTAATGAATGTGCCGGGAGAGATACTCTACGCAGGAGAGTTTAATCAATGAACTGACGGATGCCAAATAAGCCGTAAATACATTCCCCATAATTATAGATACAGAGCCGCAAGGGTAATAGAGCCTATATACATATACCATAGCTGCGTACGGATTGTAGTGCCGAGTCGACTTCCTCGGTAAGTACAGTCGAGTGATGGGTTGTAATAATGACCTGTATATCAACATAGTCCAAGCTATTTTCCATCTTATAAAACAAGACCATCTGATTTTGTGCTCTCTGAGCAATTGGGCCACTCTTGAGTATGAACCTTCCACTGGCTGAGCATGCGACGAGCTTCATCACGCTGTGAGTCTTCCAAAGCGAACTGAGAAACGATAGTCACAGAGAAATTTGTACGAACTGAATCTCCACAAAAGGGATTGATCATGTTCAGATACATAGAAGCATTGAAAACACCCGTGGCATACGCTGAAATCGCAGCCTGGTGTGCATCAACCTCTGGCTGACCGTCGGGACCAAGAAAGTTTGGGGGTTTCGATAGAGAAACCACAAGGAGAATAGTGTGGATGACCATATGAATGGCGCTGTATATGGAAAGCATGCTCGCGGTGAGCGTTTCGCTATTGGCGACCATCCAGGGCCCGGATAGAGGGAGGACCGATGAGGGAGAAGCAACAGTCATGTAGGCGTTTTCCGGGCTGAATGAACATTCTGGATTTAATGTCATGACTTCGTAGTGCTCTTGTATGAAACCTAGCCACCACTCCTGCAGCTTTGCTAGGAGAGTGTTTGCCTTTTCTTCGATATCAGCTTTGCGAGCTGTAGAGAGGTCGTGAACCCGATTTACTGAACGCCTCAGTGTTGCACCTTTGTGGTTCATGTATGGAAGGCGAAGCACTCTAGTGAAGGAGAGGAGAACATCTATGAGCCGGTCGTAATATATCTTATGCTTCTGTTGAAAGGGAATTGATAGCCACTCAGGCGAGGAGAAGTTGGCAGTTCGGTTGTTCATAATGGAGTAAAAGGCCTAAGGTGAAGTCTAGTTAGCCAACAACAACAAAAAGAACAATGACGCCAGTCAAGATACCTGAAAAAACAAGTAACAACTTACCTCTCTGACTCTTAATGAGCGCATAACACTATGAGCGAGGCCACTGACACACTTCTCTGGGCCCCGTGCCTCCAGCATCTCGGTAGCTGCCGCGTGGTGAAGCAGCTCTGCGGCTGAGCTTCCGCCCTGCAGAGCCTCATAGAAGGAAAACATGATTGGAACACATATTTCTGCAATTTCCGATATACATGGTTCCTCGGACGTTTGAGTCTCCTCCGTCACAGGGGCCATGAGTGCCTTTTTGGTTTGCGGTTTGAGTATCGTAGCACGATAGCTCTGTATCCCGGCCAGATACCACCTTACGGCAGCTACCTTGGCTCTGATATCGTTATTGGTGACTGCATGGTACAATAGTGCTGCCGCGTGCATCGCATATCTGAGAGAGGATGGCAAAGCATTTGTCGCTGCTAGGTGGGGAAGCTCGAGTATCCAAGATTGTGGCCTGAGAGATGAATAGCTCCGACGAGAGCTGACGATAAGTTGAGCAAAGTTGCCAACAAAGCAATATTCGTTGTAGGATGAAGCGTCCAACTCTGGTGGGATGTTGATGTAACTGTCGAAAGCCATGCCGAAGCATTTGTCGTCGTCGAAATGGGAGGCAGATGTGCTATTTGGTTGGTACACTATACCACCATCGATGTCATCGCTTTCATCATCGTTTTCAAGAAGGTCTAGGTAAGATATTTCTGCTTCATTTTCCAATGTACTGTTATAGCAAGAGGATGAAATTGCGATAGAATTGTTCTCTTCGCTTCCTTCCGTACTGCTTTGTCGCTCTGTCGAACCCTTTGCAGGGAGAGGTTCCTCTATTTGCTCTTTTGTCGTTGCTTTGGTGGTGGCAACCCTGCTTCTCCTCTTCTTTCGCGGCCTCAAAGAGCTGCAGGTCACCTTCTCAGTCATGTCAAGGAAGACTGCCCCGCGAATAGCTCCCGAGCATGGGAGCCCAAAGCGCGCGCATTTTTTGCAGCATCCGGCTCTTTCATCGCACTACACAACCGAGTGAGTTGTCAGGGTTGTTCAACAGTTAAATAGGGCAAAAGCGCAAACGACAAGAAGATGAGCTATAATCACCTTGACGCGACGCGAAATGCATTGTTCACAGCCTTTGCTGCGTGGTTGGCGGCGAACAACTATCGTGGACATTGCGAAATGCGATGGTTTGGAGGCTTTTGTGGTGTCCTCGACGTGGTTGTACTCTGCCCCCCTTCGGTAAGAAATATCACCAGTGTTCCAATTGCTCTTTGCTTTATTCCTTTTCACTGTTTCTCAAAAAGGAGAGAGTACCAGATCTTATACTGTAATTGTTGCAAGTCGTAAGCGGTGTGTTGGCTGATACAGTTGTCGATTGCATGTCTCAATACAGTTGGAGTGTGGCATGACCCAGTAAGCCCGTTCAATGCGACATGAAGAGAGGTAAAGAGAAGCATTGCAACGAAGCTTCAAAAACCGGGACTCCCTTGGCACAGTGGGGGAAGAGATGCTGAGTGCATATTAACTAGCGAGAAGCCACAAATGATGACGCCTCTTGAGACTTCCACTGCCCAGGATGTTTGCCACAAGTTGCTCCGTCTCCGTATTGCGGGCTAAAGCCTATTAGCAGAGTGACAGAACGTAGCCGGTGCCGAACCATCTTTTCGGTAGCGTTGAGGCTAGTCGATGTCCCCGCTGTAACTAAACAATGCACACTGTAGTTGAACTTGATCACGAGCAGCTTGAGGACAGAGCCTCTTGAATGCCTGACGGGCCGATAGTTTAGCTATTGTTGTCTAAATGTTTGCAACTATTAACAGAGAAGAGTTATTGCATTGGAAACTCTGACATAATTTGTAATTATAGTATCTGCTGACTTTGACTGATTACGCTGTAAACGTATCCTAGTCTTGTGGATAGATGTGTGTTCCGCTGGCCCCTGCATATCTCGGAGAAATGCGGTTCCCAGTTGACAATGCTCGGGAGGGTAAGGGGCTTCACTCAAGCTCTGCGCCGTAGCAATATTCTTGAGAATAGTAAGGAAGTCTCTAGGTCGTCTCCGATACTTCTATCAAGATCTTCCGTTCAAGGAGCCAATAATGACCCATGTCAACATCCAATCTGTTCATTCTAGATCCTTCTCAAAAGCATCTCTGGGATAGAAACAAATGTTACCGGCAATGCGCTTACACTTGAATCTGAAGAGGGGAGTGCAAAGGACAAGGGTATGCTTCCGATATGGTGCTAGCTGGATGCATGAATATGTCGCTTAGTATACGAAACACGAAGGGCGTTTATACCCAGGAGGTAGCCCTGGTCCTATAGTGGCTCTGATTATCCTTGGATCGGCGTTCATGAACGCTATTCTGATAGCACAGGATGAGGATAAACGGTTATTTCTGGCATCCTTGCCAATTCTTACCAAATCATCTTCGTAACTGACTATACTTGTACAGACATTCTAGATACATGTAGGGGGGAGAGTCAGACTATTCGCTAGAGTAGTCAGCCATAGGAGTCATGAGGACTCTTTAGCCAATTTTCATCAGCAACCATGGAGCTTAGCTCAGCCAAGCTTTTTATAAAGATCCATGCTTCTCTAAGAGCTAGTGTAGATATTGGAAGAGATTAGTGGTTCTGGCTTCGCAATAATGCTTGGCATCTTCATTCTTTCTCTTGCTATTTATGATATTAAGGACCGTGGTCGAGGGAAACTGAACACACTATTAGTCAGTACCCGAAAAAGACTCTTGCCGCTGAAATAACATAAAGGACCTCAGTAGATGTGAGATGCTGTGATAGAAAAGCATCAGCTCATTAAAGCAATTGGAAGGATGGTTAGAATAACTGTAGTCTAAGTGATGTGCGACTTCGAATTCTCAGACGCCGGCAACTATTTCGTTCAGTTTCCTTCGTAGTGGACTACTCCGTATTGTTGCTAATATGATCCGAGACGGAGGGAGGAACCAAGAGCAGACACCGACTAAAATCCGGCGCATTCCCTTGACAATAAATATCTATTGCCATATCGAATAACCTAATAAGCCCCACTGCTATGCAGCGAGAGATCATATGACGGCGCATATTCCGGAGTGTATTTGGTGTTCCCATCCCATAGCTAGATTGTTGGAAGTGCCCCTTAGGAGAATCTTTCGCGCCTCGATCTTTCGACTGTTGAACATTAAGAATTCTAATGCCTTGAGGAGTATGTCGATTTTGAGTAGCAATCTTTTCGTACTTTCTGCTTCTTAAGAGTTTAGACTGTCTGTCATTAGCTATCCTTAGTGCAATGTGTCAGTGTCTAACGCGTTAAGAGGGGAATGAAAAAGCTGTCGATATTTCTCCTTGTAACAGAGAAACATGGACAGTAGCCATTTTAAATACACTGTTGATGAAATATCATGGTGAGTAAATGACTCCTTCGACTGGTAATTATAGGTAAAAACTAGAATACTGTATACTGCAGTACGCGGCTAGTTGTGGTGCCGAACAGTCCATAGCGGAGATTCATTCGTTTGGGATTATTACCGAAAGAGGAAATTATCGCGACACTTGCATTAGACTCGTCACGGCTCTCGCCAGTTACCCAAGGCGGAAATCTTCCCTCCACTACGGCCAGGTCCGGAACAGATCCATAGACCAAAAGGGCGAAATTCAATGGATACCAGCAGGCTGTAAACTGGTTTTGCGGACTTGTACACTGCGGAAAGTTGCAAAAGTCCGTATATCGATGAGACGTACCTACGTGACCTAATCATTCAGCTTTGCGTGCGGCGTTCGCGCCATCAACACTATTGCTGATTATTCACAATGCGGATCTTCCACGGATTTTAACTCTCTCTATAATGGAATCAACATGTTTAGACTCGTCATTCAGGAGTTCGGGACCGAATTCGGCAAGCCATGGCTCAAATCTGCCTGGAGAAAGCTGGCGAAGGTAGCTAGCGGGATGGACACAGCTGGAGAAGAAACTACATATAATATTGACGAAACCCTCTCTAGAATGTCAGTTCTTCCCTCTCATCACTATCCTCAATCATCTGTTTTCACTGTTCTCTGAAATATCCAAAACACCAAAATGCCGATCTCGATTACGATGCGTCAGCCGCCCAGCTTCCGGGACAAGGAAAGCGAGTTGGCTATGCGTATCAAGCAGCCTTTCAATGTTGTGGCGGTTGGCGACCTTATACAGATGGTTCCCTTTTCGAATAGAAATGACCCAGATATCCAAGCCCTGGTCCAATTGATGCAAAAATCCGATATCACCTTCGCCAACAATGAGAACACGGTAGTTGATCGTCTCACTTTCCGCGGCCCTATTGCCCATATGGAGGCAGACAAAGACGTTGCCGAAGACTGGAGGAATATGGGTATTGATATGGTCACGAAAGCGAATAATCACACGTTCGACTGTGGCGATGCTGGCCTTGTCCAGAACCTTGAACAACTTCGCCGCGTCGGTATTGATTATGTCGGCACTGATTACAACACTGTTGAGGCCCGGCTTGCTCGCTTCAAGACTACGCCTAAGGGAATTGTAGGCTTCATTGGTGTTTATTCAGAAACCGAAGACTTTTCTCAGCTAGTTGGTGTACCTACACGAGACCCGATTGTTGTGACGCCAGACCAGCTTGAGCAGCTCCGAGCAATACGTGATAGCATCCTCGCTCGCCGCGATGAAGTCAGCAGGCCGTTGGGTATTCCCAAGCCTGATCCGGAGGGATCTGTCCTTGTTTTTGGACGACAGTTCCGAGTTAAGAACGCCAGTGCAGAGGCTGATGAAGAAGTGTCTGGAATCAGAAAACGATTAGAACACCACATGGGATCGAAGGGTCCCATTACCTACAAGAATAACTCGCTTCGTCTAAACGTTTCCCACAGCGTCACTGCAGAACAGATGCAACAACTCCGAGCTATCGCAGGTGTCGAGGCAAGCGATTCTGCTGATACCCTTGACGCCTTTGACGTTCACTTCCGAGTGGCTCCTAAGCCAGGAGAGTACGGCTACGAGATGGAGCCCCAGGACCTACGCGATATTCTTCGTGAAGTTCGCTCTGGAAAGCAATTTTCTGATTTCTTGAGCGTCACTGTTCACTGGCACCAGAACCGCTTTTCGTTCCAGCACTATTCATTCGACCATTATCCGGCCGACTATCAGATCAGGTTTGCGCGTGAAGTCATTGACAACGGCGCCGATTTCTTCTTTGCGCACGGCGTTCATACTCTCAAAGGAGTCGAGATATACAAGGGAAAGCCTATCTTTTACGGTGTTTCCAACTTTGTCTTCCAAAACGCCCAGTTCCGTTCGTGGCGCGACGATGCGGCCGGCCGAGTTCCTGCTTCACTAGAAGGTCCTGTTGTTGGAGATGGTGAGGTCAATGAGGGCCGTTGGGCTTGGCTAGATGCCCCAGAGAACAAGGAAGCTCTATTAGTATCGGCAGATTACACCGAAGGGAAGCTATCTCGAGTTCTTATCTATCCAGCAGATTTGGGAAGAACTTATCGTAATGGATCTATGATTGGGACTCCCACAAGACCTACCCTTGAGGTCGCAAACGATATTCTCAGCCGTCTTTCTGAGTATTCGCAACCATTCGGGACGAAGATAACAATCGAAGATGGAGTGGGAGTGATTCACATTCCATCCCAGTAGAATGGACATCTATGGATCGGGTAGTTTGCTTGCATATAGAAATAAGCAGCCAATTTAGGATTACTCTTCCATAACACCGTAGTTAGATAGTAATTAAGTCCATCTTTGAGGTATTAAGACATGCTTGACTTAGTTTGTCCCAAGATGTTTCTGCGCTACAATAGTCCGTACATCCCAGAAAGGAAATGTTCGCGATGTGCAAGTGGCTGCACTAACGGTCGTTTCTTGCTCTAGATTACACAAAGCGTTCTATTGCATAGCTGGGCTATTAACTGGAAGAAATCCGGTTGTACGGGTATGAATGCGGCTCATTGGCGAAAGCTAGTTCGGGCATGGCAGGAGTCCACTGCTTCGAAACATATAACTGTAGTTAGCTGTGAAATCGATCTCCTGCAGTGGGTAATCGGTGATATGCAGGCAACTATGGACACTAAACCTAGACCCATCAATAAATTTCCGAAACTATACAAATTGAAGTTTAATTGAGCTAATGCAAGGCATGGTTTGAGGGGAAAGAAGAAAGCAGGGATGTAAAAGAAAAGTAGAGAGTGCGCAGTTAAAAAAGGGTTATATATGCACACTAGGTTAGCCTCCAAATTGCTGTTATTGCTTCCAAGCCATGATTGTCGTAAGAAGGGGGCTGAGATCACTCTCCACAAGCTTAGCCGTATTCACCGGAAATAGAGGGCAGTTGTCTCAAAAGATAGTCTACCCAGATACGTCAATGTCGCAACTAGTTATATGAGGCTGCCCACGTAATCTTAAGCCTGAAACTTAGACATGTTTAAATTGATATGAATGTGCGTAAGAGTCATCGTATACGAAGGGATCGCGTACCCGCTTTCGGAGATATAAGCATAAACCCGCTAAGAGACTCAAAACGTGACTTTATGTTTAGTTCAGCAGTAGTCATCAGTGCCGAAGCCAAGACCATCATGCCACAGGCCTGGAAGCATCACATCCCTCTATATTAACCAATCGTTAGGCTCAACCCTTCTCTTTCGCTACAGACATTGCTGCAACTTACACAACTTGACCAACATCCTGCCAGTCTGACAAGTTAAGCGCTCTTGGAGACTGAGCGGAGGGAGATGAAATTCTCCGACCACCATGTCAACAGCTGGCCAGGCAATACAACCTCACCCTCTGCAGCCGCCTGCAAAGACCAAGAAACCACTCTCTTGTATCTCATGCAAGATCCGAAAACTAAAATGTGACCATCAGAAGCCTGCTTGCACTCGGTGCGTGCGATTAAACAGCGAGTGTATCTACCCAGAGGCTAGGCGCAAGCCGACTTTGCAGCGAAGTAACGTCAAGGAACTGGCGGCTAGATTAGGTATAACTTATGCATTTGTGTCATTCAGGGGTCGGATAGGTTGAAGCACCAACGCTAACATGTTGTAACAGCTCAAGTGGAAGGCTATCTCAAAGAGGCTGGCAAAAGCGGCCTCAACACTGGGAAAAGTAATCTTCTTGCTGACCCAGACAGCGAAGATGGGAGTAGAGACCAACACAGCGCTATAGCAACAGTTGAAGCAGATGACGCCGGTCTTGATGAGCAGGCCACTCCTTTCGATGACTTCCTTGTCCAAGACGACTCATTTGGACAAGATGAGGCTGTTGAGCATACAACGCAAGGCTCGCAGCTGCCGATCGACATGCCAGGCCTTGACGATCAAGCTAGCGGTACCTTTAGTAATGACCAGCTGATAGATCTCGGCATGGCAGAGTCATTACCGCCCTTTGAAGTAATAGAAGAGTTGTGAGTTGCCACGTTATCACATTTCCCAAGGACAATTTTGTTTACTTGACAGACATAACTGTTTCTTTTCCACACAATATCACTATATGCCAGCAATTCACTCCGGTCGTTACTATAAAGACTTTTATGGCGCTCCTCTGAGAAAGCCGCCAATGTGCTTGCAGTATGCCATTTGGGCAATGGGCGCTCTTTGGCATCCCAAATACGATCGAGTCGCCGACGCATTTTATAAACGAGCCAGGCAATATGCCGAGACTGATGAAATGAAGGTGGGAGTTTATAGCAGGTCTTCAACACACTAGATAGCTAACAGATACCCAAGGATGAAGGAGAACACTTCATTACGATACCGCATGCCCAAGCCTGGGCACTCATCACTTGCTACGAAGCCAGAGCAATGTTATATACCAGAGCGTCCATGAGTGCTGCCCGGTGCTGCCGCCTCGTACAAATGTTGGCTCTTGATAAGCTCGATAGCTCAGATGACAATTTCCCAGCAACTTTGGGCCCCCCAAGTGACTGGATTGAATTGGAAGAGCGGAGGAGAGTCTTTTGGGTAGCCTTCTCAATTGATGCCCAGGGAAGCATAGCGACCGGCTGGCCTAGTCTCATCCATCCTGAAGACGTAAGTTGCTGCCTTAACAATCAGTTTAATATGTCATATACCTGTATTTACCACATATAGATAATGACTCGACTTCCGGCTAGCGAAGAGGCCTTTGCATCTGGCCAAGAAGAAAACACCCCCTACCTGGATGAAGTTCTGAAAGGTGCGCCATATGGCGGCTTTAGTGGCTCTATCATCCTCAACCACATCCTAAAAGCCATCATGTCACATGTCCACATAATAAAGCCATCTGATCACCCTGAAGATGTGATGAATGGAGGGTTTTGGAAGAGGCATCGCCGTCTAGATAATCAACTGTCCTCTCTATTTATGTTCATGCCAGATAGGTTTCGCCTTCCCGAAAACTTACGAGACCCTCTGGCCACCTATATCAACTTGAACTTCCACGCATCTGTCATATGCTTACACCATGTTGCCCTTGAGATCATTGAGAAGCACGGTCTTGATGGTTCTTTGAGAAAAGACAGCCTGTGTCTTTTAAAGAATGCTGCTGAGGAGATTGTTAGCATTGTAAAGGTGACATCTCATCGCTCATCGTTGTTTGTAAGAGTGTTCCTTTTTCTTTCAGCCAACCTTGACTCTTAAGTGAACTAACGGAGCATATAGAGCAACCCATTGTGCGCGTTCTCGCTGTACTGTGCTACAACAGTATACGTGTATTTGGCTAAACAAGACCCATCGTCTGAAATAAATCCTAACGATATGTCCAATCTGGAACTGATCATTAATGCCATGGAAGCTGTGGGCCGCATTCACATGGTTACATGCGCATTCATGCAGCAAGCATGTCTTGACATTGATAACAACGGCCTCTCCGGAAGAATTAAGCTCCCTATACTCTATCAATACCGCAATCTCTTCGGGGGCCCGGCTTCAAACATTCCACTGCTCGCACGAAGCCCAATTTCAAGGCATACGCAAATGAGCCCCCCATTACCTGGGCGGCTTCCACTAGACAAACCTTTGGGCCAGAGACGACCAATGCATCTACGAATGACAAAGGCAGTTCCACTATTGACTGGTGTCACAGCAAGTATGAGTCGAATGAGTATTACAGACAGCTTCCGCCCGTCTCTTGGTGCCATAACTAGGAATTTAGCGCCCCAGTCCACTGACAATGCCCACAAGAGGAAACGGCAATATTCGAACTCTCAGCCATCTACAAGTCGGGGTAATGGTTCAATTGGAGTATCCCAGTTTAATGGACACACCGGAGATGGGGACCCAATCGGGAAACCCGTGAGTTATCAGTCTATGGTAACAATGGGGCAACAGCAAGACGCGGAAGCGAGGCCTCAGGATCCTATGATAGATGGCAACTTTGTGGCCCCTGGCCGGCTAGAATCGCCATCCCTTTCCTATATGCTTCTCGGCCAGCCAGCAACTAGCGGTCACGAATCCAATGGCGGCCATGCGTTCCCAGACGCAGGACAGAGATCTTTTTCCGAGCACAACGAAGCCGACTTCCAGCAGTATCAGAACGATACACCTTTAAGAACATGGCAGCCTATGGATAATGACATGCTGGCTTTTTCTGAAGTGATGAGCTTTCCTACAGATATACCCGATGCAAGCGGCAATCCGTTGCTGTTTTTTTATCATGACTTTAATTCATGATAACTGGTCAGCGTATACAATATTTCTAGAGGATTTGGACTTTCAATGAACAAAAATCGTCACTCATAGAAGGAGGAATAATTTATATGTACACTAGAAGTTTGTGAAACAATCTACTCTCAATTATGTTAGATCGATTCATCACTAGTAAATCCACAATACCATAATATAATACAAGTCTTTCTATATAGATTGATAGAAGTCCGTCTACTTTCATCTCCGTTCTAGCCTATGCATTTCTGTGTTCTAATCCGCTAATTAGATATGCTGCCGCTCTATACTGAAGTAGTTGGTCATCGGATGCCTCAACACCGTCTACCCTTGGAATAGGATCGAAAATGACATATTTCTGCTTTGCCACATTGTCATCCAATATTTCTACCAGAGTGATCGTTCCAAGCTCTATCACTGTCCTTGTCTCTGGCCACTTGACCAATGGATCACTTGTTATGTCTCCTTGCTCCGCTATCTGGACCATCAGCTTAAACTGAACAGGCCCCTTGGCCAGCATTTCTATAATCCCATCATAGAGGTAACTTGGGCCCTTGGCAGCTGCCTCCTCAGCGCTCAAATCTTGAACGCCCAATACAGGCTCGATGCGGTATCGAACGAATGTTTCTTCCCCAGATGCGGCAATGAACTTGAAAGTATTGACAGCGAAAGGCCGCTGGTGTGCGAAACTAGCTGGAAATGGCCTCGGTAGCTGTATAAAATGGGCTGCCTTGGGATGGTCCTTGATGTATTCGGTGATGGTACCATTCTTCAAGGCCGTGAAGAACTCAAGTGTCTCTTCGCCGTTACTACCGGGAGTACCATCTACGCTATGAGCTGAAATATGAAACAATAAATGTATCAATAATTTTATTCCTCAGTCTCAGAGATCAAGACCACAAGTGCTAATTTAGTGGCGAGGTGTTTCTTAGACTTACCAACAATGTCGGTATGGAGACGCCACGGCGTCTCGGCTAGTTGAAAGCGAATAGCGAGACCACGAGGATTGCTCCGCGGGTCTGAGTCTGGGATATCAGGATTTCCTGTCGACAAGGAGAAGCGGGCGATTACAGGGGTAGAGGCTTCATTGAAATGCTGTGCCTTTGAAAGCGTTTTCGCCTCTGGCGTGGGTATAAAGATACCATTGAGGAGAATCCCTTTAGCATGACCTTCACAGGGACCTTTGTATTAGTAAATGGGAGAATAATCCTGCCATCAAAAGATGTGTAACAGCCACAGTAAGAATCTTACCAGGGCGAATGCCTGGACGAGGTCCAAAAAGTGACCGTAGCGTCTCAGCAAGCTTTTTGCCAACACCCGCAACTGCAGGATCTGCTGGAAGAGGCATGATGTGATTCTACAAGGGAAAGGAGATTTTAAGTATTCTTATAAGATTTTGATTCTGTGTATAATGAGCTGCAATAGTGTCTACCAGTCAAACGTCACAAATATCAATTCTGCTTATATACACACACATATATATTTACTCTCTACCTTGAATACACCAAAATAAAACTAGAATATCATCTCAGCTCTCCATCCGCAGTTGCCAGCGAGCTTCATCGCTACCACGCTTAAACGACACTACCGGACTTCGGGCTTCTCTCATCAGCGACAAATTTATGCGGTGGCGTCGATTCGTCAGCGACTCGTCAGCGAATCATCGTCGTTTTATGCCCGTGCTTGCGGCTCTCGGGCTTGCCAAACAGCGAGTTAAGTCTGAAACCACCAACATCAATATTTTGTGTATAAAGTGAGGAAATGGATGGAATCAATTTATTGAAAATATTAACAGCGATTATTCATAATTCATTAAGCAAAATGGACGCACAGTTTTTGTCAGGCAAAAAAATCATTGTTGCAGGTGCCGGCATCTCAGGTCTCTCTTTCACTCTCGCCATTCGACAACTTTGGCCAGCTGGTCTAGAACCTCCACACGTTGTTATTTATGAACGCGATTCTGATGCTGTGACTCCTGGGCGAGAAGGATACAGTCTATCTCTCGCTGGCTTCGACGAGACCGGTGGCCTCTATGCAGCTCGCGACCTCGGAATTCTGGACGAAGTCCTTAAACACGCCACTCAGGGACTAGGGAATCAATTTGTCTTCAAAGTGTGGAATAGCTCATAGAACGAGCTGCTTAGTATGAAGTTCAAGCCAGCAGCGGGTCTTCCTACTGCAGGCATCCGAATTGCAAGGAAGAACCTCCGAAGGGTCTTGACCAATGCTGTTGGACCCGGCCGTATTAAGTGGAATACTGCATGTGTGGATGCAGAAAGGCTTCCAAATGGGGGGTTTCTAGTTAAACTCTCCGGAAATGATATAGCGGCAGATAAGACGACGACTGAGTGCGATCTACTCATCGTTGCAGACGGAGCATCCAGCAAAATTAGGTCAAAACTCCGACCAGATGACACGCTGCAGTACGCTGGAGTTATGCAGAAAGGTGGCCTGGCCATTTTCCCAAACGGCATTCCACAGCCTGTTGACAAAAATTGGGGAATGCTGCTCTCTTCTGGCAAAGTAATGGCCTGTTTCTTGTCACCGTACGACGAGACCAGCGTTGCGTGGGGCATGAGCTATCGTGCCTCAACTATTGAGGAGCCTCTGAAGTTAAGCGGTCTCGACGATGCCCAAAAAGTGATAGACGAGTGCAAAGAGCTTGGAAAAGAGTTTCCTGAGCCCTTCCAAAGCATTATCAACGCAACAGACCCTAAAGATGTGTCTCGACTAGCTGCTAGGGACAAACAACCTTTCAGTCATGATCTCTCTTTAGGACCAATCATATTTATTGGAGATAGCAATCACGCAGTTAGCCCACTTTCCGGATATGGTGCTAGTCTTGCTCTCAAAGATGGCTGGGACCTTTCAATACAATTGTGCAACTCCAACTCTCTCGCAGAAGCGGTTAAGGCATATGATGCTATAAGTGTACCGAGGGCCAACAAGGTGCTCAAAGAATCACACCAAACGATAGATATGGGCCATGCGACTGGTCTGAATTATTTAGTCACTAGAAGTCTTTTGAGCATCGGAGGGTTTGTTTTAGGAGTCAAGGAGGCTATAAGCTTCACATAGAACCGAGGGATAGCTGCTGGATATTTTCCTACTACGCAGACAAACGGGGCTTTTTATTTGATTGTCTCATTCTATAAAATTAATTAGGTATATTTTTTGAGTTATCCGTGTCATACAAGCATTGCTTGCTATTATACACCTATCTGAACGATGCTGTACCTGGATGTCCAGAAAGCCGGCTTCGCGGTCAAAGATCAGATATGTTCCGTGCCCTTCAATGGGCGATGAACAGGGCTATCCACACGTCAAAGGGGTTGTAACTCGCCGTCACCCTAATCAAGTCACAGGTTTCTAACGCTTAAATTACACTGCGTATTATCACAATGCTTCGATTAATGTGCAACAATCCAATTCGACATAGCATAGGTGCATATAAGCAGTAGACTCAAGTAGTTGGCCTAACTCCCAGAATGCCTCCTTGATTAACAGACTGAGGGTACATGACCAATGCACTTGAAATCGAACTAAAGAATTATCTTATATTGCAATATACTATCTCAAAGCATTTATGTCGAGGCCTAAGTCATACGCCAGATCTTAACCGTATGATCATGCGATGCTGTTGCGAGTTTTCCCCCCTTGTAGTCCCATGCTAGCCAACGAACCCAATCTGAATGGCCCTGGAGAGTCATTACAGTCTCTTGCGTGGCTATATCCAACACTGTGACCGTCTCGAGGGTTGTTGGCGATGCGACTTGCTTTCCATCCGGCGACCAGACAACATTGTGATCATAGTAGTTATCACCGGCCGGAAGTGATGCTATTGCCTGCCCTGAGTTTACATCCCAAACTTCAATGTTGCCAGTCACAGAGCTCAGAGCTGCAACCCGGGATCCATCACAAGACCAAGCAGGGAAGACGTGCGCATCTTGAAGATTCCAGATACACTGATTTTTGATGGGGTCCCAGATCTTGCCCGAGTCTACGCAAGAAGCCGATACAATTTGCTTTGCATCTGGCGACCAAGCCGCCCCAAAGGCATCTTGAACGTTAAATGTGGCTAGGCAAGCAGCAAAGACCGGATCCCAGATCAGAACAGTATTGCCTCCGCTCGACAACATCCATCTATCGCCAGTTGACCAGGCTACAGACATGACAGTATCGTTATGCCCTGTGAAGGATGCTGAGAAAACACCTGTCTTGGGATCCCATATCTTGACAGTATTATCAGCCGAACCCGTCGCAACTTGTGTCCCATCATGAGACCACGCAGCTGACATAACGGTACCCGTGTGGCCTTCGAACGTAGTGATACATTTGTTTGATGCGAGGTCCCAGATCTTGGCTGTCTTATCTCCTGATCCTGAGACAACTTGGCTGCCGTCAGGGGACCAGTCCACAGTCATAACTCCATCGCTGTGGCCTGTAAGTGTGGAAAGACACCGATCGCTATCGTTTCCCATGGCGGTGATTGTTGAATATGTCCCTGGGGCTCAAAAATGATAAGGCATGCGGTTGTCTTCTATTTCACCCAGGCAATCTGCCCCGCCTTTAAGTAGGTATACCGATTATATGAGGATTGAGTCTCATTAGTAAAGTAGACATCGCCTTGCATGCACGCTGTTTCGATTGTAGGAAAGCATAATAGACTAGCACTCTAAAGTGGCTGGCTGATGACCAGGGTCAAATATGCAGCCCAGAATCTTCATAGCCAACCATCATGAGAGGAGGTCTGCTATGCGGGGAGACGATGAAAATAGGAGAATAGAGTTAATGGCCCAATACCAATTACCGGGCAAGTTTCCAGACCTACGATTGGCATCTCTTGGTTGGGCATCAACGGCACAACTTGGGATGCTCATTTATTACCCCATGTGGGGTGCAAGGAGTAGCAACAACCTACAAAGATTAACGGAGCTTGAAGCATTGATTGGTTCCGAGAGCACATTCAGCTCATATGGTACATTACAGATGGACAATTTCGGCTACGGACATGGGTACTTCTTTAAACTGGTAACAGACAAACTGAACATAAAAGTAGAATGAGTAAGAAAAACTTGGATCTTAGTATCTACATGACACTAATGTCAGATGTTCGCTCGTGGGGCATTGTTGCTCGTTCAGTGGAAGCTGCACCAACGCAGAAGGAGTAAGCACTTCCCTTAGAGGTTATTACCGTAAAATCTTTGTTGGCCCTTAGGGATACCGTTATCTAAGGTATTACTTCTAAAGTTATTTCTTGATTATATCAGATAGGTCATCGCAGGCGCTGACGCCGCTCAAGTGTCAGCACTTATCATTCTACCCCATCTTTGCTCTGTCTCTCGCACTTCTATCACTCGCTTTTATATCACTAACACAATACAGTTATATTAGATCGCGTGTGTGTTTCTTGAAATAGGTAGTCTTCTGTTTTTGCCCTGCCAGATCGTCTCCATTCCATCATCCAGAACTGTACCAGATCAATAGATATTATTATCTCGTTGTATATGGTGCATCTTCACTGGGAATTTGGTTCCAATAAAATTTATAGTTGATGAAGCATTTTGCCATTTAGTTGGCGCTCTAGACTGGAAAGAGGCTAATGTCTGCCCATTTGGACTGAACCTTTATTCCATTGAAGTAATGACAGAGGAAATTCGCCTCCAAGACAGCTGGATATGCTATCCAGGCTACTCTTACTTGCAGAATGTGTTTGGGGACTCATTCAAACAGGAAGTGGGCAGTTTAGCACAGGCCAATAAGTAGATTATCAAGCCGACGGGGGCCATGGGTTTACTATTTTGTAGAGGATTTACCTGTTGGCTTGCAATGAGCCTACCCTCGTGCCTATTACTGAGAATGAGATTGGACGATATAAAAGGCTAATTTTAAATGAATTCCTGATCAATCCGGCAACAAGGCTCCAAGGTATTGAACGAGAAGTTCGCGTCAGTGATAGCCTTATAGAGATCGGAGATCGGATATGGATCAAGTGCCACGCCTGGGGTAAGGCTGTACCGAACATATGGGCGAACTAAATTGGCATCTGTGTTGTGGATATGTCAATACAGGGCGCGATAGGTATGATGCTAGTTGGATGTAGTTGGATGTAGTTGGATGCTCGGCATCACTGCGCTGCTGCATGTTGTAAGATGAGGGTACGATATATCTCATGGTGGACGTTGGATTGCTTAAATATACGAAAAAGCTCACGTCATCTACCAAACTGATGCAGCAATATTACGTTGTTGGGTTGTTGCCGTCCACATTGCATGCGGTCTAACGCGAGTCGCAGTGTACCCGTATACTTCATCTACTGAAGTATCGAGATATTCGAGTTTTGCGCTCCGTCCGATATATTGATTAAATGCCAATATCCATTCATAAAGAATAGAATGATGGCGAAATTCGGAAGAATAGGCCATTTCACGTCTCCAGTTCTGAACAATTCGGCATTTTGGCGCTGGGGCTGACATTGACACTATATACATATACACACATATTACTGCTACGCACTCTCTAGACCACAACATCATTAATTAAAGACTGACATAAGATCAAAAACAATTCAAAAAATACTACAATGCGGAGGCCCCCCGGTCGACCGCTATTTTCGAATTGGGCAAAGGGCTTCCAGGCTCGGGGGTTGCCTGATTCTGAATTTCTGATTGCAGCCTAGCTAGCGAAGCGAAGCCTCACTTTACCACCTAGTCAGATTCAAATTCAATATCCAGGCACCAATGTGGCTGGACTTTCTAGAACTATTTCATCAGTGAATGCCTAGAGGCCTCATGCAAAGTCTTTTCTCTTTTCCATCTTTCAACTCAATTGTGCGTCGGGTACCTGAATCTGTGTGGGGGGGCTCACACACAATATGTAGGTACGGGTTGCTTATGGCCAATCAATGCATCTAATCTCTACAGGCTCTCGGCATGAAGCAAGTGGCAGGTGATGAGAAGCATCATCAGACAGCTTCACCGCCCCTTCACCTTGTATTACACCGGCTCAGCGATCGACACAAGGCGCACAGAAATATCGAAATCCCATCGAACGAAAACATATGCCCTAGCAAAATAATATGGCAATTGAGCAGCGCCACCTGCTCCGCCGCGCTAATTGTTCTCTGTTCCTCTCCCTCGCTAACATTTACTCTCTGCTATTGGCACACATCCACACAAATGGGAAAAGGGAAAAAAATGAAGTGCGTCACCTGGCACTGATTTGGTGAAAGGGAATGCTCCGAGATGTGTAGCTAATTTAGAGGCCTCACACACTTCAGAAAGAGGCCGTTCTGGAATTAATCTAGAAAACCACATACATTGTTTCCTACCTGTATATATACCTATATAATGTGCCTCCAAAACCAGGCCTCTGTACTACAGATTCATAATCTCATGCCAGCACTTTTCATCAGTAGCCCTATTAATACTACGTTGAACAGCCTAAATTGATAATAGCATTTGCCTCCAGAAGAACCACTTACGCTACCCTTTATCCCGATCAATCATGTCCGGAAGAGCCACCTCCAACTCCAACTACTACTATCAGGAAGCTAGGGGCAGCAGCTCTGGCAACCGACAAGGGCAAGGAACCTCAGGGTAAGATTCATGTGGAAATAAGACAAAGCATGGCATCGCTAACAATGAGCCAAACTTACAGCGGCAACAGACAAGGCCAGGGATCGTCAAGGTTAGACTCATACGAAAATAAAACGGTAATGCATGGCATCTCTAACAACGAGCCACAATTATAGCGGCAACCGACATGGGCAAGGATCACCAAAGTAAGACTCGCGTGGAAAAAAGACAAGGCGTGACATCGCTAATCATGAACCGCAGCTACAACAGCAACAGACAAGGTCCGCAGGGATCGTCAAAGTAAGACTCGCGTGGAATAAGACAAGGTATGGCATCGCTAATAATGAACCACAGCCATAGCACCAACAGACCAAGGCAAGAATCGTCAAGGTAAGACTCATATCAATAAAGCACACCAAAGGAGACATTGCTGAGTTGAGACACAGTTCTGGAAGACCCTCGCTGGGATATTCCATGGATCGATATTTGGACACTCGCGAGAGGCACGAGACCTGGGATTGGGAGACAAAGGCCAAGCACAGGAATGACAAGAACACACGACTCTAAGACGACAGCATGCAATCACAAGCATAGCAATGAGTCAAGATTGCAATTCCTCGTTCTTATCCAGGTAAGACTCTATTTCATCATGTCATCGTATCATCATCCGAAACATACATGTACCTATCGGAGTTTGAAGCTAACCGATACAATTGTAGTAAACCACCAAGTGCGCTATCGAACATATACTCTCGGACATATACATGTACCAACGCCCAAGTTATTGAAACTGCAACATATCACGCCCATTTCGAGCTCCGCATCCATGGCTGGACCATGCGATATGTTTATTGTTTATTGTTTTGTTTTTGCTTTCGTTCTTGTTTTCGCTTTGGTTTTTCCTTTGGTTTTTCATTTTGTTTTTCATTTTGTTTTTCTTTGAGTCTTTTTACGCCTCAGCCTTGAAATCAGCTCGCTGTAAGCCAAGCCAATCCCACAGCTTCGTGTCCGCCTCTTCTGGCGCAGGCATGCTTCCCCAATATTCCACCCCAGGGATGGAGTTCTCGGCAGACCACGACTTTTCCACTCCAAAGCACTTTTTAATGATTTGTTTTTTGATAGGCTTATGTGACACCGTCTGTGGCATCTCTTCGCCGGGGCCAAGAATCTTGACCAGCACGGGAAGCATATATTTCGGCAACGTTTCGTTCATATCGGCTCGGAGGCGAGCGAGGTCGATTATTCGCTCGCCATGTCTGCTCTGCAATTGCTCTTGTTCGCGAGTAAGGCGCACGACGGCGGCGCATATTTGTTTTGCTTCGTGATCTGGTACGCCCAGGACGCAGGCTTCGGTCACATAAGGAAGAGCTGTAAGTGCGACCTCCACCTGGACGCTGGGAATGCGATAGTGGCGGAACAAGATGTCTACGAGATACTAATCAGTACTAGGAATCGATAGGAAAAGAGGTTTTGATAGAGGAGTTATTGTGAAATTTCTTACAGTCGGTGTTAGCGCGGCCTGAGAAAATGTATTCGCCATCTTTTAATTCAGCGAAGTCTCCCGTCTTGAAATACCCCTCGGCGTCAAATGCAGCTTTTGTTTTTTCCTCGTCACCAATATAGCTTAGAGAGCTTCGTTAGCAGTTTTCTTTTGTCAAAAGTTGTTTTGTTTAATATAGACTCACTGCGTTAGCATGAACGGGCTCTTGACGCAGATCTCTCCGTGATCACCATCAGTCAGCTTGACTTTTATACCTGGGAACGCAACACCGATTGCATCCTGTAAGCCACTCATTAGTATGTTAACCACATAAAACCTTCAACGCATTGTCCAACATACCGATCGTTCTGTGCCGTCGAGACACTTGAATGTTGCAAGGCCTCCAACCTCTGTTGATCCGTAAACATTGTTGAATACCAATCCCGTTGTGCTCTTCCAGAATTTCAGAACTGATGGTGAGACCATGGCGCCAGCGCAATGAATTATACCAATCCTCTTGAATGCTTTGAGATACTCTTCCTGCTCATCCTCACTCTGAGCCTCTAGCCACTCCTTCATCTCGCGCAGGACGCCAGGCGTAAACCCTGTTCCTGTGATCTGATTATTGCGAAAGACTTTCCAGATATTCTCTACGCCAGCTCGCTCTCGAAGTATGTGGACCTGCTTGCCCGTGAGCATCGGCTCGACCAAGCTGATGGCGCCACCAAGCCAGTGAGGAGGGCGGAAGCAAATAGTCTGGCAGTTTGCGGGGGCATCCGGCTGGAAGACAATGCAGATTCGAGGCAGAACGGCGCCCTTTGGAGGCCCAGTGGTTCCAGATGTGAAAATCACCAGGCCAGGGCCTCGAGGATCCATGTTGAGCGTCTCATCGATTGTAACCTCAATCTCTTTTACAGGCTCAGAGTCGCATACGATAGGTATGGGTATAGTCTTGAAATCGGTCGGGCCGCTGGAGAGGGAGGCAATTCGCTCGGCTTTCTCGTAACAATCTTTTCCGGCGAGAATACATGACGCTTTGGAGCTATCGACGAAGTATCGGGCTTCTTCGGGGAGAATGCCAGATCCTGGACATCGTCATCACAATTGGTTAGCTAAGACTTTCATAGTAGCAATTCGTCACAATATGTACGCACCAAAAGGAATGGGCGCTCCTCCCAGCACTCGAGTCGCAAAAAAGGCAACGATAAACTCATAGCCACTCCTTGTCAGCACAGCGACATACGGAGCCTCGTCTTTAAAGACGCCTCGTTCGCTGAATACAGACGCCGGCAATTGCTGTCGCATAAGGTCGCGCATGCGCAAAATGTCTGCGATGAGCTCCTCAAAGCTCTTTTCGAACCCAAAATGGTCATGGATATAAGGCCCTTGCCCGGCGCATCTCTTAGCGGAGCGGAGGAACTGGACTAGAAGGAGATCGTTCGGGAACTTGTCCCTAGCAGATCCGACTGCCATGGCTTGCGGTTGCGGATGAAGCCGATCAAGTAACTTGTTAGGGGCAATTTTTTGTCTCGCTCCCCTGTATTTTTGTAGTTGCAGTTTAATATAGTTATAACTATGTATCATCCGTTGCTTGTTTCGTTATGTTATAGAAGAGATGGATGATGTCAACAGTGCGGGACTTGGAATGAGACCGTGGGAGCAAAGGCAGCACGAGATGCCGATACAAGCATGCACAGGCAGAGAGAAAAAGACATGATAACAAACAGCCAATGCCGTAGAATTTATTCATGCCCGTCTCAATCGTCGAACCTCTTTGTCTGCCACCCAACATCTTGCAGAGCAGGGTCATCGGACAACGGAGAGCGACCGAAGGGTTGTTTGCTTGCTTCATCCTTGCACCATGCAATGTAACCGGGCTTCCTGGCAAGGGTTTGGAGCCGCCCGCGGCTCGTGTCCACAGCTTCCGTTGGTTAGCCGGGTTCGGCCGACAGACGAATCGTTGTCGATTCGCCGGTGACACGATCCAAACGCCCCCAACTCTCGGGTGTCTCATCTGGACCTATTGCTATTGTCTGTACGAGTTGCTGCTCTCCGCACCAGCTCTGGATATCCCATCCTACCGAAATTGTCTCAAGTTCGACGACAACAAGCGTCACCAGGTGGAGAGACTGCGCATTTAACCACATATTGTGGCGCTCGGCCTGGCTCGAATACGGTATCGCGGCAGCCTCACAATCCCCGCATCCATGGAACGAGCAACAAGACATCCGAAGCCCCTGTTGCATAGGGAGCGTGTCAAGCCCAGCTGAGCGCCTCAAACGTGCCAACTCGCATCCGATCTATCGCATCGCACAGCATCTTAGCGGACCCGTGCGTCTAACTAGCCGGGAACCCATGACACACACGTGTAGACAACCGCCTTTTATCTCTTCCATCTTTATCTTGCGCCCTCATTCCGGTTCATAACCTTGCGGAAACGCCCAACGCCCAGTGTCGACCTGCGACCGCCATTTCGCACTTCCGAACGCCGCCTTGGCTAGTTGGAGGATCATGATATCGCTGCCGTGAGGACCCATGATGGAGCCGCTAAACGGACGACTCTCGCCTTTGTTGGTTACTCGTGAATAGTACGGCGTCTGTGCGACTGTATTGGCCATCGTTTCATCAGTCCAGCGTTTCTCAAAGGGGAAGGACGGCAATGGGGGAAATGACGCCAAGGTGTTCGAGAAAAGCTCACAGGGAATGACAAGATGCGGCAGTCCTAAAAGAGGCGCAAGTGCTTCAGGGCCAATGCCGTCGATTCTGCTCGGTGGTCTAGATGATGTTAGCTGCATGCACTGAATCCTGCAAGTAATATACAGAAACCATGTCATCAACCCACCGTGGTAAGTCATCGCGGTACTGCACTATATATGGGCCAATGGGGATAACCATAATGGTCCCCGAATCCCCGAGCGTCGACATGATGGTATCGCCAAACCATTTGTTGAAAACCTCAATGCGCTCGCGGTGGAGGGTGTAGTCGTGCTTCGATTCGTTCGCGCCAATGCCCCTAATAATCTGCTCTTTAGCACCACTTCATCTAACTCTCGGCCTGCTTACTGCAGTCATGCCTCTCCAAGTCCATGGATATGTATCTATAGCCGCACGCAGTGAGCTTACCATCTAAAACGGGGCGTCGCCTCAACATAGGGCTCGCGACCAAACTTGTTTTTGTAATCATTGCGGAAGTCCTGATTCTCCTGATAAAAGTCGTAGCAAAAGGAGCTAAAGGGAGCCTGCATCATATTTAGCAGGTGACTAAAGATCGGAGTAATTTATACTTGGCGAAAATCTTACACACCTCTTTCATATACTCTTCAAGACTTTGCCCATTGGCCTGGTTTGGGGGATGCGCATCCCAAGCATCCGATAGGCGTATCTTGTCGGCTTTGGCTCCAAGGAAATGCTCCAACATGGCGACAAATTTATCATCTAGAGCCTGGTCACCTTCGGCAGTCGAAGCAAAATCCAGAGGATAGATGATGCGCTTGGGAAATGGCATGTTCGCATTCGATGTGTTTAATGTGAGCTGAGCGATGCTGAGCAAATCGTGTAGGTTGCGATTCAGCAAGCCAACCGCAGCATAATTCCTATGCAGCAATATTAGTCCAACATCCAAATATTCACTAAAAAAAGGAGATTCTTCAAAAAAAAATCTTCATTTTCCAGGGCTTACTGCGAGTCGTTTCTCCATCCTTGCAGAGAGGCAGCGTTGGCTGAGGCTCTGATTGAGTAAACTCCATGAACACGCGCTTGCTCACGAACTCCCTCAAAGGCTGGATTCGTTACATGTAATTAGCACACTGCATGTATTCTCACTTACGATAAGAGCACTCACCATCTTTCGCAATAGCGTATTCCATCCAGTCATAACCGCTCACGCTTGCTCCAGCGCCGGCCGCACTTCCACCAGAGTCCAGATAGCCATCACCTCTTGGATTCCACGGTGCGGCCACATCGACCCATTCCCTACCGGAATCCAGCTGCGATGATTTAGTCTTGCCCACAATAATAGCTCCCATGTCGATTAGTTTCTGGGCAAATTCGGCCGTCTCAGATGCTTCAGCTCCATATAGCTGAGTCCAGGATCGACTCGACAAGGTCGTTTGGACACCTTTCAGCGACACGGCATCGGTGACGGATATGCGGACTCCAGACAGAGGTTTGCGAATAGATGGTACAGCATGATAGAGTCTAGAAGGCACCGCAATAGACTTGGACGAGCCATTGTCCGATAAAGACGACAGCGCCTCATACCTACATCTCGCATTAGATTCAGCTACCCAGGCTATTGGAGACATTTCGCCGGTTGGGCAATACATACCCATCATCAGAACCATTGATACTGTTGGGAATTACCCCAAAGGTAAATGCGTCCAAGATATCGTCATACAGTCTCCATGCCTGGTAAAGGTTTGGCCCATGGAGAAAATACGGACCTGAAGGCAAGTCTTCAAAGGCGGTAACCTCAGCTTCGGGACGCTGCAAACTGAACACGGCTCTGCTGCGGGGGACTGGATTATGGGCGAGACCAATCGTCTTGTTCTTTTCAGGCTTCTCTACAAGAATTCCACCAAAGTCAGGCTGAAAGACATCGTCTACGGTCGCGAATAGCTCCAGGATGCCCTCCAGATCGGTGTTGATCTCACTTGTCGTGAGGAGAGTGACGGGAATAAGCGCATCGGGATTGATTGTCTCCTCAATTGTGCCCTAAATGATAATCGCCGACAGTTAAAAAAACGTGAATTTTGACGACATCCCTTTGGCGGACACATCGGATCATACCAGTTTCTGAGGATGCAGCAAATACTGGGAGCCCGCTATCACAACGGTGAAGAGATTCTTCATATTCAGGCCTGGCGCTGATGTCGCGTGGTTGGGCTTCGGGAGATGAAGTTGGGGGGAATCTGGAAGCTGGTTTTGGAGCAACCGCTGCGCCCACCCGAGATATTTACTCATCCTCTCTCACTCTCAGTCAAGATAGCCGAATGTCAGTTTGCGCCACTTCAGTTGTGAGAGGAAAACATGCCGGGAAATAGGAGACACAAAACACAGCAGCCACCGGAACGCATCTTCTGCTACTTTACGGAGTATAGTGTCTCACTGTGAGTGCTGTGATTGGTTGTTTGTGCTCTGATCCCTGTTTGTGCGTAGCACTATGACAAAGTCCTATAAATTGGCAATATGAGCACTCAGCATCTGATTTCTGGAGAACTCATTTTCCTCGGTACTTGGTAGCATTTTTTTATTTTATTTTTTTATTTTCTTTTATAATCCTCAATTACATCTTCATTCTATCTTTCTCGAATTCCTAGATGCATGTTTGTAATACGCCAGTTCTCCAGTATGGTTAGTCACCAGCCTTTTCCCATCAGCAATCTCAGCTCGGAGTCAAGAGGTCTGTCATGACTGTTCCCGAATAAACACTGACGGCTCGTACATTGGGGTTCTCCAAAGCGATGTACGCAGAAAGCTGAGCTATGGCAAGCTTAGACAAGGTATAGCTGGCCTGTCCTGGCAGGTGCACAAAAGCCATGGTCGAGGACAAGTTGACAATGGTGGCCTCTTTAGTTGCCAGATGTATCCTAAAATGGCATTGACATAGGCTATGTATGCCGCACTTATAAGACGCTCTTACACTGGTAGTTAATGAACTGATGAATAACATGTACAATCTGGAAATCATAGGAAACACTACTTCTAGTACTAAACAACATGCCTAACATTTAATTCAGGGAAAAAGGCAAGTGTACGTAAATGAGGCCCATTGAGCCGGAGTATCTGGCCAGTAGGATGAAACTACTCGATTAATGACTTGGCAATGAACCGGCGATTTTCTCTCTTGCCCCTTCGAAACCCCCTTGATTCAACGCTGCTATTGAACATAGGCGACGCAGTCATGCATAATACGAACTACCAAGCGTCAGCGGTCCGATAAGCCTGTTACATAGAGCAACAGTCTTGGTATAGGAAAGCCGGCTTCCGATAGCTAACGAAACGATTTGCCAGATTATGCACAGGCTTGGTAGTGTGCGTATATGTATGACTACGGGCTAACCATAATGAATACAACTGCTAATACAATTACAGCAAGAACGTGCATAACTGCAGTTACAATGGATTACAACCACGGCGGCCATCGTACAATTATCGCGCACCCAAGCACATAATGCCGTTCCTCTTTCCCGTTTCTCATAGATGTGTACATAATCTAGACAAACAAAAGGCTTGGACTATGTAGGAAAACCAGCCGTCTGATTTTAAATCTATAGAAAACTGCGCATGTCCCAAGATAAGGCTCAACGGACCAGGGTATCTGGTTATTAACCCGAATCTGATCCATCAATCGCTACAAGTGAACAGATATCTTTAATGCATCATGCCGCATATTTCAATCATGGTTTTAACAACAGGAGTCCGAAAAGGCCGCTCAAAGGCCGCCCGGCCAAATTTTTTCCGTCAATGATACAACTCAGCAAAGCCCTCATGTCAGTTGCCACTACTAAACCACGAATGCAATGCTACAGCGATAGATTGTTTCAAATAATTACCTCAGCTTACAACCTTATACCAAGATCGTCCACGAATCCTATAGCTTGGCCGTCTAAATGTATTCCTTGCTTGATAATCGCTTATGTCATGACTAAGCGCAAAATTGGCCTCTGGAGATGTCAAATATTGGAAGGATAGAGAGGAGAAAGATATCTCCGGATTTTCGAGTCTATGCCATTGGGCGTCTAGGGAGAAGCTTTTCCTCGTATGGTCCAGAGCCGGTGGCAAATGCCGACGACCCCACAGCGCAAAGAATTCCAAAAAGGAGTCAAGGAACAAAGCAGGAAATAAAAGGACCTTATAACGCTCAGGCCGCTCATGCCACTCTATGTGGCAAAAGAATTATTATATTTGAGTGATAATCCATTCTAGTTTGCCAAAGGAGAGGAATGCAACGAGTCCTATTTTCAAAACGGGGTCAACACCACGACGGAAGGGACCTTACTACATCACCCCCTGTCTATACAGCTTCGACACGCATGGCCCCCTTTTGACTCACTCCTACACGAACGCCAAGCACACAGTACTAATCACGAGCATCATCGAATTCTTCTCTATTCTATGGATTGTCTACTCTATGTGCTCCACTCTAATAATGCAGGCTACAATGACTTGAGTGAGTCTGAATCTATCAGGCCATCCAATATCCCCTCTTCTCAGGCTCTACCGTCCGTCTAACGCAGACACCTTCCTGCTAATGCTTATCTCGCTTCTAAACAGCCTCAACCACAGTGTCCGGATGAACCAAACACGAGAACTTCCCTATCTTTGATTTCAAAGCACCGAGATTTGATTTATCATAGGGTTAGCCGCCTCAAAAGCCTCCTTTGCGTTTGCCTTGGGGGGGTAGATCACACAGCTGTTGATCCAGGCCTTAATCTCTTTTGCCGGTCCACCTGACTTGAAGATTTTTCGATCCCATCCATCGCACACGACGGCGCCCCATCCGCCAAGATCGAGACAAGTTCCGTACGAGGGCTGCAAGTATGGTTGGCCCGGAATATTGAGCAGATCGGCAGCGACATTATGCCCGGCGGAACGGCCAAGCGGCATCGCGTGCTGGCACGACATGAGCGTACGGTTACCCTTGTCATCGGTCTGAGCACTCGCTGCGTCGCCGGTGGCGAAGACATCGGGGCTTGACGGAACGCGAAGGTCGGAGTCGACAATTAGCCGTCCTTGCCTGTCCTTGTCGCCGGGAATCTGTCGCGTCAGGGGCGTGGCCTCCACTCCAGCAGTCCAGACGACCGTGAGGGCATCGATCCGCTCTCCTGAAGCCGTAACGACGCCACGGGCATCGATTGTCGCCACAGCATTGCCCAGTTTAGTCTCAATCTCGAGCTCGCTGAAAGCCTGAGCGATAACCGGGCGAGGGTTCTCGCCCAGATCAGGGCCAATAACATCTGCCTTCTCAACAACAACGACCCTCACCTTCTCTGACATCCCCAGAATAGCTCGTAAGCGCCGAGGCAGTTCCGTGGCAAGCTCGATGCCCGTGAACCCACCGCCGCATACAACAACGGTGTTTCTCTCGGGGCTTGAGGGCAGCGCCGCCAAGCGTTGAAGATGGGCCTCGAGCTCTGCCGCATCAGTGATAGTATCGATGCTGAAGGCGTGCTCGCGCAGTCCAGGGATGTTTGGCTTCACCAAACGACTTCCCGCTGCCAGGACCAGCCTATCATACGAGATGTTTGATCGCTCACCCGTAGGATCAACCACCTCCACTTGCTTGTCCTTGGTACGGATAACGTCGACAACTCCCCTCACATATCCAACTCCCGTGGCTTTCAAAAGTTCGTTCAGCGGGGCCGACATGCCAGCAGCATTGGCTTCATAAAGGCGCGGCCTAGTGACGAGCTTGGGCTCAGGAGCAACCATTACGACGTCGATGCCATTGCCGACACGGTCCTTATTCTCCTCGATAAGTCGTCTGGCGGCTAAGGCGCTGTAGAGGCCGGAAAAGCCAGAGCCAATGATGACGATCTTTCGAGCCATGGCGATAGTGTTGTATTGACTAGTTGCGAGGTTGTGTCTTGATGTGATGTGTTAACCTCTTTTGATTTTGCTGCTGTTGAACTTGAGAGAGATCCAGAAACGAAAACTCCCACCTAGCCCTTTTATACAATTTTTGTAAACAGCACAAACTGACCAAAAACATTCACGAAAACCGGTTCCGACAAGCAAAAAAAAAAAAAAAACCATACGACGCAATTGCGCGTTGCGCATCGAAAAGCCTTTGCCTTTGCCATGCCACCTCTGTCGTCACTCCCGAGTCCCAAAACGGATACCCGGGTGGCCACATGGGAAGTACACGGCCCCGTCACGATTTCGATTTGAAACGACTCATAGCACATTAGTCATGGATCCCCGAGAAGGGTGCCGCTGCTACCGTTTAGACGCCGCCGCCATTGTTCCTGAAAGATCGGTTCAATGGAAATGCAAAGTCCACCATTCAAGCCGGGGATCGCCACCTGGAATTGTCAAAATGCCAAGTTGAGTATTTGACACAAGATAAGAATTAACGTTAGCCGGTGGAACGAAAAATCGGGGTGGACAGGTCCGGCGTTACCGTAAACGGCATTGGGTACGAGAAGACGGCGAGCACCAGCACGAGGCTGCATATTACGTGTATTAAGACGAGTCAAGTTGCAGCAGGTAAGACAGGGAGAGGTTCTCCACGGACAATTAGATTGCCAGACGTCTCTCTTTATAGGGACTCTGCAGAATAGGCTCATGTTGTAGAAGTTGTTTGTTTTGTTGCTTTACGATTCGACAACATCATGCGTGGCTGCTGATATTATGCTCATGTAAAGGTAAGTACAGCAGTGGGAACTCACTTACAGTAGAGCTCACCCAGGTTGTGCGAGAACACAGTTTCAAGTTGCCCATTACGCAAGAGACTATACAAACACAGACTATTCTATTCGTAGCCCCCAACTAAGACAAAGTAAGCACTAGAAAGAGACTTTTAAACGAGCTTGAAGACCAAGACTTCTATTTTGTCCGATCAGCTTCCTAGGCAGCTTCTCGTGTATCCTAGTGCATGCATCAAGTACAGTGTCAGAGACCTATACGGGGCCGGATGTGCGCTATTCGGAGCCGCCCCCAGTCGTCTGAGTAAAAGACCATAATTATCCTTCCAATCACTCCCAATGAATTCCCACTCTGTAAATTAGCCACCTATGTTTACGAGCAAAGGATGCGGCGTAGACGAGCGCTGAGTTTTTGCATCTCCGGAAGGGCTGGTTTAAGCTTGAATCGACGGCGGGTATCCGATTTGGCGAATAGCCGGATCGGATACCCGCGGGGTCCAAAACGGTATACAACGCGCTGAGCCCCGAGTTGCAATTCACCAATTGCCCTCCTCATGCCCCTGGAACTCGAAGCCTCGTGGACTCACCCATTGCCAGCGGATTGCTACCCGCAGTGTCGTGGATATCCCCCCGTTTTTAGGGGTCCAGCCGATTATCAATTCATCGATCCGGCGGCACCAAGTTGCCGTGAGAGAGAGACACACTGAGAGAGCCCAGCTAATTTGCGGGAAACCATTCACTCACAGGCCAGCCAACACACACAAGCACAGCACAACTTGCCAATGGATCCGGACTCTAACATGTCGGCCGGTAAGGGCGGCTCCCCCAAACCCTCTTCCGGCAGCCGAGTATCACTAGCCTGCCTGCCCTGTCGAACCCGGCACGTCCGTTGTGACGCAAAGAAGCCGCGGTGTGCTCGGTGCTGCGAGGAGGACAAAGAGTGCAGCTATGCAAAGTCAAGACGAGGTGGCCTTGACCGAGCCGCTCTGGCTGCTCGCCGAAATCAAGCTGCTCTGGCTGCTGCGAGGAATGGCGGCCAGCTTTCACCTGCCGGGAGCAACGACGGAGGCATCGGCGGTGATGTGATGATAGGACGGCGTGAGTCTCAGTCTCAATCTCAGTCGCAGCTCCATGTCTTGTCGTCAGGCTTAACTCCGAGGCACCCGGCCATCGACCCCAGCCTGTATACGCCTCCAGATGATTCCTGGTCTTCTCCCAGCGTTACGCTGCCGTCGGCGGACATGCACTCTGTCAACATCACCAGAGATGCCTTCATCGATGTCTATTACAACTGCTTTCACCGCTATCACCCCTGTGTACTTCCTCGCCGGTTCCTGGAGCGCTACTTACAGGACCCAATCCGACAGGATGAACTGCGGCCGCTGGTGTACGTGATGCGCTTCATCGGCAGCATCTACCTGAGCAGCCATCAGCCGTCGCTGCGGCCCAAATGCCTAGAGTTGGAGGAGCTCGCAGCCTCAGCTATCGCCCAGGTGCCAACATCGTCATGCAGCTTCTTCATGGTTCAATGCCACACCATCTTCTCGGCCAGCATGTACTGGCGCGGCAACACGGCGAAATCAAGACACCACATGGACACGGCGATCCAGCTTGCGCTCGACATGGGAATGCACCACCGTGAGTTTGCCGCAGACCACGGAGACGGAGATGCCGTGCTGGAAGAATCCTGGCGGCGCACATGGTGGCAGGTGTACATCATCGATGCATATTACTCTGCCATCAAGCGCAACGTCAGTTTTGCTACTTTCAACGTCAAAGCCACAACAGATCTTCCGTGTGAGGAAGAAGAGTATGAGCGAGGGGTAAGAACTTACACCCATCAGATATCATTTGAGATTCACATTGCAATATTTCAACGCTAACATATGATAAAAAGGATATTCCACGTCCAAAAACATTGGATGAATTCAACTCGCGCGAGTTCATCCCCGAAGACACAGTCTTCTCATCCTTTGCCTACCTAATAGGTGGCGTCCGGGGCATGGCATCAGCCATGTTCAGAGCCCTTTCTTTGCCACCAGGCTCATCTGATGCGGGAGTCACATCGCCAAAAGTACTCGACTCTGTCGATTCCATCATCGAAGGGTGGTTGCTGCTATTGCCAGAGTCAAAAAGGGACATTTTCTCGGCGGATGGTCAGGTCGACGAGCTGATATTCCAAGCCATGATGGCTCTTCATGCGTAAGCATTCCCATACCCCCCCTCCTTTTTTCTTTCCACATTACCATCTACGTGAGGTATCCGACACATATACATGCACTAACACGACCATCTCTCTCCTCAGAACAACGGTTGGTCTTCACCGACCATTCTCCAACTGTGCCTTTGACGCCCTAGAATGCATCTCGAGCTGCTCAACCCCCCCGCCAGCAAACGCCCACTCCGACTCTGCCGAGTTCCGCCTCGTCCACACCATCAAATGCATCCGCGCCGCCGAGGCCCAGATCGGCCTCCTCGCCCTGCCCACGAAGCCCTGCAGCCACACGCCCTTTGTCGTCTGCATGCTCACCACCGGCACGCTCTCCCTCCTCGCCGCCTGCCGCTACACCCTCCGCGGCCAGAAGCTCGCCGTGGCGCGCGACCAGATCCGCATGAGCATCGGCTGCCACAAGGCCATGGCCAACGTGTGGTCGCAGGCCGGCAGCAACCTGCACGAGGTCCAGGCTATAGCCCGCGAGGTTCTTGGACTGCCCATGAGCGGCAGCAGCAGCAGCAGTAGCAACAACAAGCAACCCAGGACGCCCATTCACCAGATTCCGCCCAGTCCGGGGCCGCCGTCGATTTCAGGCCCTGACCTCGACGCATCGTGCAGCGCCGACTCGCTCAGCTCGTTCCCAATCGACAGCCTGCCAACATACTGGAGTATGAGCTCCATGCAACCAGACATGTCGTTTTCATGGTGGCCAGGCAATGAGCACGTATGAAATACCATTTCGAAAGAGAAAAAAAAGCAGAAAAAGAAGAGAGAGAAAAAAAGTTGTTTGAGCTCATCTATTTGTTCGTTTGATATATAATGAAACAATACTCGACTCCATATATGGATGGGCATTTGGCAAATTGCCCAAAAACAGTAAACGGTAATGCAAATCTAGCGGGAATATCCCATATCTTCTGGTTACATAAAATTAATAGAACTCTATACTCTGACCCAGTCAGAGAGACTCTACTTACTAAGTCATACCTAAACATCGCCACTTACAACTTTGTGTTCCATTGCATTGCATTGCAGTGAGCTTAAAATAGCCTCCCGAAGTACATAAAGTACGTACCGCAACGCAGCTTGAACGTCTCCACTTGCCGCCCCTGTCGATAAATTCCCGTGGAGGCTTATCGGTTATCGATTACCCATCCGGCCTGTAAATTTCCATTCACAAAAAAAAGTCCACCACTCAACCTTCAACCACCAGCGAACCCAATCCCCCCCTCCAATTCTCACCATGGCTCCAACACAAAAGAGAGGTTTGTCTCCCCTAAAGCCTTGTACAACCGCTCCTCCAACTAAGTCACTAACCAAAAACCTTCCCCCAGCGCCCTCAAAACGCTCCCGCGCCGCCCGCCGCGCAACATCCCCCTCCATCGACACCGACAAGTCACTCAAGGACGTCTCCCTCCCATCCACAAAATCCGCCTCCTCCTCATCCGCCCGCCCCTCCGTCCTCGCCGCCCGCCACTCAGCCGGCGTCACCAAAAAGTCCAGGCGCGGCCGCCAGCTCTCGGCCAAGGGCCGCCGGCGCCAGGAAAAGGGCCTCGAGATGGCCGAGGCCTTCATCGAGCGCACGAGCAAGAAGCTCGAGAAGAGCATCGGCAAGGCCAGGGTCGTGCAGGCCAGGAGCAAGAAGTGGGAGGACATCAACAAGGCCGTGCAGGAGAGCAGGACCAATGCGTTTGAAGCGCTGAAGCAGGACGACGACGAGGACGACGAGGCCAAGGGTGCCGAGTGGGAGACGGACGATGACATGGACGGCGAGGCCAGCGCAAAGACTGATGCTGCAGCTGCACCAGTACTGGATAACGACGATGACGAGATTATGTAATGTGTTTATGACTGGCGAAAAGATCATGGCAACATCTGGGGGACGGCCTGTTTTGCTTTCTTTCTTCTTCGTGGGACTTTGGCGTTGATGGCTTATGAAAAGAGGAACTGGCTTGGGAATATGGCAAAATCTGCAGTCATCTAAAGCGACGATGTTAAAGATTCGCCTGATGTGGATGCTTCCTTCAGGGAAGCTCTCTACTTAGTACATATATATAGTACATCTGCTTCTATTATACACGGGATACCCAAGAACCAGGTCCAACACCATGCCACCAGTCATTCAATCCGTATTGATCCTATATTCGTACACCATCACCTCTTGATTCCCTCCAAATACAACCTCATCGTCCCTCCAACCTGCCCCTCAGCCTTCTTGGTCTCTCTCGCCCCCTGCGCCTCAATCTCTTCCTGGACCTTTTTCAACACATCCTTAGCCTCATCCATCTCCACTGCCCTTCCCCCCTTCTTCTTGCCAATCATTAGCTCGACCTTCATCCCCTTTCCCAGAAACCCACTCATCTGCCGTAACTTGGTCGCCAGATCGTGCCCGCCAATGGCCCACGTCAGCTCCATCTCCTTGGTCTTCGCCTTTGCCGCCACGGCAGTCTTCTTGCGCTCCTTGAGCTGCTTCTGCCGCTCATACTCGTCGCGCTTGTTGACAATCTTGCACACGGCGAACTTTGCCGGCGCGCCCGTCTCGCTGTTGGCCGGCACGTACGGCGTCATCATGCGCAGCGACTCACCCGCCTCCAGCTTCGTCAGCACGTACCGCGTCGCCAGCGGGCCCTCGGCGCTGCCGTTGTCAATCACCATGATCTGCGGATCGGTAATCTCGTGGTCCCACGGCGGCCGGTCGCGGCCGGACCGCTCAATGTCGCGCTGTGTTGTGAAGCGCTTGTCATATCCGCGGTCCTTGTCCTGGTCTTCGGAAGAGGGACCACTCGCCGAGGCTTTGTTGCCGCCTCTGTAAGGGCGCGAGCTGCCGGCGTATGATCTCAATTGCCGTGCGGATGGTCGATATCGGGAAGTAGAGTAAGAAGATGGTATTGCAGGCACGTGCTGCAGCAAGCTCTGTCTTGAAGCTTGACAGCTGATGCTCGAAGAGAGGGGTCGGGTGAAGAAGGAAGCGAATCTCGCCGAGTCGCAGACACAGCGAGTAGCAGCCATTGTGTGTTATAGACTGCTCATCGGCATGTAGGAAGACGCAATGCCAGCAGCAACTGGTGCCGAGAATAAAGAGAGATCCAGAAGCTGGGATTTCTAGGTGGGCGCTAGTATTGAATTCATGGTGGAGGGGAAGAGAAAGCGAAGCCTCGGAAAAATATAGCGTCACAGCTTAGTAGGTTGTATGGAACTATGGACCCTTGGAGCTGCTGGGGGGGATATCAGCCAATCAGAGGGGCGTGTTGCCTAGACTAACAATTTACAATGGATGACTGCGAATAGCCTCATAACCTTCGACTCTCATACGAATCTTTTTCTCTACTCAATCTCATCCTCATCTTCAACACAACACCGCTATTTTTGTCCCATATCATACCGTTACACTCAATCTCATCTCAGCTCCTATAAATCCATCTTGCTTCATACATAGAAACTCAAAAAAAAATATGTCCACATCATCACCACCACAGCAACTTCAGCCATCATGATCTCCCACCTCCTCGGCCATCCCCTCCGCTTCACAATATCCACCCTCAAAATTACCTGCCTCGCCCACCTCACCCTCTCCCATCTACTCCAAGTCTCCCCCGCCCAGGGCCCCTCCATGCTGCCCACATTCACCGTCGACGGCGACTGGATCGCTGCCGACATGACCTACCGCCTCGGCCGCGGCGTCAAGGTCGGTGACCTCGTCCTCTACAAGATCCCCATCTTTGCCAGCCAAAACGGCGTCAAGCGTGTTGTGGGAATGCCGGGCGACTACGTCTCGTTAGGCACGCCGGGAGAGCCGGGCGAGGACCAAATGATTCAGGTATAGCCCGTTTTCTTTCCCTTTTTATTTTACTGACATTCTTGTTCTTTAAATGTACAAACCGCTGCTATACACGTGTTTGTGTGTGTATATATGCCGAGACTAAATTGGAGGCAGGTTCCTGAAGGTCATTGCTGGATCGTCGGCGACAACCTTCCAGCTTCACGAGACTCGAGACAGTTTGGCCCGCTACCACTTGCCTTGGTTCAGGGCAAGATCATAGGCAAGATTCTGCCCTGGAAGGATCGTCAATGGGCAAAAGACGGCCTCGAGAAAATAGACTCATGATTATTCGTCACTCAAAGATATCCACAACAAGACATATTACTCGTATCCACGGGGGCGTGGCTGTACCAAGTAACGCATAGCATCATTAAACTCCAGTCACCAAAACATCTAGATAAGACAATCGGCCAATAGGTGGGCAGTTGCGTGTCAAGCATGTCAAATATCCTTGTCTAATTACATCTGCTTTTGCTCGTGCCCGAACCACTCAAGTCCGCCGTCATCATCCTTGTCTCTACTTTCATTCCAATAGGCATGCGGAACGAGTCGCAGTCATTGGCTGCGTAATATGTTTTGTACAAAAGAAAGGGGGGGAGGGGGGGGAAAAACATAAGTGAATAATAAAAAAAAGCCGATGTCTGCATCTTTGGGACATGGCACTTTGTCCTCCCAGTCCCTCGGAAAAGGCTCTCTCTTCGGCTGGCATAAAAAAAGAAAGAAAGGGGGACTCTCCTGAAATAGCACGTCCTCGGGAATTCTTCGCTGAGCGGGGAAGTAAAAAAAAGTGTTATCAAAACGAAAAATCGAAGACCAAAGCCCGCAGAAACAAAAAATAGAGGATGCGAGGGCAAAAGGCCTCTTCCCAACTGACTTGGAAGCTTGGGTGGGAAGGCAGCGACCCTCGTGGCTTGATCTGGAACAAAGCTTGAGACGCCTAAAACACCGTCGCCTTCGCCATGCCGCGCTAATCCTCCTCGCAACCCAGTTCACGGTTTCAAAGCGACACTTGCAGATTATATGCCAATCGTTGTTGAGGGTTGCAAAGGCATTTAGCCCTCAATGTGCGCTTTGGATCCGCCGCTCTGGCCCAGGAGCTCGAGGCATCGCTGGGCCAGGTTGATGACCTCGCCTTCGTCCTCCTCTTCGGCCTCAGGATCGGCAACCTGGCGGTTGGCAATGAGTCGAATGTTTTCGATGATGTCGTCAGCCTTTCCAATTTGGCCAATCAGGGTCTTGTCTTCAGACTCGAACAGCTGCAGCAACGTCCACACGGCAATGTGCTGGAAGGTGGCGTCACCGGACTGGAGGAAGCGGCACAGGTACCCGTGGACACCGCCGTTGGGCTCATTCCAGTTCTGGACGAAAATGGAGTAGTCGCCGACTGACACACCGTCTGTTAGCTTCATGCTGCTGGGGTAATGGGAAGAGTTGGCAAGATCCTTACCTTTGGATGAGAGGTTACCCAAGGCAGCAGCGCTGTTGCCCTGCACCTCGATGCTCTCCGAGTGAGTCAGAGGAATCAAGACGTCGCATACGCCAAGGTTCAACAGGTGAGACTTGAGGTCGTCGCTGAGGGCGAGAACGGCGATGGCGGCCGTCATCTCGGACTGAACAGTAACAGGGACATCCAGCACCAGCTGCTTGCACTTTTGCACAGCTCCCGCTTCCAACACCAACGCCTTGTTGCGATCCGAACTAGCGGCCAAGTTTCGCAGCGTCGAGATGGCGTGGCACTGGATTTCTTCGTTGTCGGTAGAGCCCAAGAGGTCCACCAGGGGCTTCAAGAAGTTTGCCTCGATGATGGGAGACTCGTTCAGAGGGTGGATGGAAATGTTGCGAATGCAGGCGACGGCGGAGAGGATGAGAGGAAGGTAAGATGACTGAAGGAGGCGAAGCAAGGGGTGGAGGCCGTTGGCTCGGACAATGTCCAGCTGGTACTTTTCGTCGGATGCCAAGTTGCGGAGGGCCAAGGCGGCCTGGCATTGAACCTTGGGCGAGGAAGAGTCCATGAGGTTCACCAGGGACTGGACAAGCTTGGGTTCTGAGGAGGCCAGTTTCCGCCGGTTGTTGGAATCGACGGCAATGTTACTCAGGGCGGTCGTACAATAGTATTGGACGTCGACATCTGGGGAAGACAGGAGCTGGACAAGCACGGGGATGGCGCCGGCGTTGACCAGCTGTTGCCGGTTCTCGTCTATCATGATATGGCGGTTAGCAACCCAATGTAATTGCGTCACCGCTTAAAATCTCCGAAACCAAGTGAGGGGGTATAAAAAAACAAATAAAAAAGCTGATTAAAGGAAACGTACCAGAATGTGTCATGTTGAGAAGGGCACCGGTGGCATTCCTTTGAACTCGCATGTCCTTTGACTTGGCCAGTCGAGTCAAGGGGCCCAAAGCCCCTGACCGGGCAATCTTGGCCTTGTTCTCCTCGTGCGTAGCCAAGTTTGTAATGCATCCCACGGCGTTGCACTGAACCTCGACATTTGGCGAGAGCATTTGGCGGATCAGAGGCGTCAGGCCACCGAGCTGGACAATAAGCACCTTGTTCTCGGCTGCAGATGCGCGCACGCAGTAGTTAGATGGCTGTTCAGGTTGGGTCGAGCGGGAGCGCTTCCTTACTGTTGACGGCGAGATTGCCAAGGGCCGCACTGGCAGCTCTCTGGACCTCGATATCGGGGCTCTGCAGCAGAAACAGGATGGGCTCCAGAGTATCGCGATCGACCTCGCGGACATCTACCAAGTTTCGTATTAGCACCTGCGACACCGCCCTTGCGTGATGCCAGCCGCAGACACCAGCTGCCCGACACGGTCATACCTCGTTCTGTGATTTCGGCAAACGTCAAACTGGCGCTGCGCTGTAGATCGATGTTTTCCGAAAAAACCAGCGTGCTCAAGGCTCGGAGCGGTTCGCCAGAGAAGAAGTCGGTCTCGCCGCGCTGTGTCCGTAGAGACAAAGGTTAGTTTTCGACCTGACGGCAAGGGAGACAAGGGATCGAGAGAATGACGGCCAGAAGCATCAAAAGCCATCATTAACAGAGCAGACGCACGTTTTCGAGGTACTGAAGAAGGTCGGCGACTGCCTCTCGCTCGCTATCAGCGAGGGCGGGCTCGTAGAGGCCATCGCGGGCTCGCCCTGGAAACGGGAGTTAGCCAGACTCGGAGAAGGGGCGAAAAAAAAAAACGGAAAAAAAGAACAGGGCAGCGGATCAGGAGTCGCTCACCTCCGCAGCATGTCGAGTTGCAAATACCCATGGCGGCGACAGCTGGGCTTTTGGTCGACTTTGGGCGGGCGGAGAGGATGGAGAGGAGAGATGGAAGATGCTTCTGTTTCTTTTGTTGATGCTTCGCTCTGGCTCTGGCTCTGGCGGTGCTTATTAGGCGGTGGTGATGGAGCTGGGACGCTAGCGCCACCTCTAAATGGGTACCTGTGCAGCTACGGGCCAAGTACCTACAACGGCGACAACGGCGAGTGCTGTTGGCGCTGCTTTGTGCTGCCTTGTGCTGCTTTGTGCCGCGACAAAGGCCGAGGCGCCAAGTACCAGGCGTGTACCCGCCGATGGGCCACGGCAACGGGAGCGTGACGAAAGGGCGGGTCCTGAAGCAACTGCTGGTGGCTGCTGGCGCGATCGAGGGCCGCTAGAGCGAGCAACCGCAGGCTGTGTGTCCACTGAAGAGGAGACCTAAAGGCTAGGAAACGGGGACCTAACGAGAACGAGGACCTGGAGGGACTAATATGGATGCGATGATAGAGCTTGCAGAGCGATGGATGGATTGCTGGAATTAAGCCTCTCCAGCACCTAAAGGCACAGTACAGTACTCCGTACAGTAAGCAAAAAGGGCGTGAGAAGGGGCAGCGACCACGGCAAGAGGATTCGCGAGCGATGCGGTGACAATGCGTCTGGCTTCTTCAGATCGGATCGCTTCGAGAAAAAAAGGGCAAGGGCTAGGCTGGGCTGGAAGGGACTGACTGGCCACCAGAGCTCGACCGTTACGTTAGGCCGTCGTCGTGGTCGTGGTCGTGGTCGTGGTCGTGGTCGTGGTCGTGGTCGTGGTCGTGGTCGCGGTCGCAGGGGGTCGCTGAAGTCGTCACAAGCACACAGCATTGATCCATTGATCCATTTCACCAGTCGAGGCGGTACTTGCGGCAGCCATGCAAACCTCGCGCTGCGCCAAAGTACTCCCGCGACACGACCCCATGCAAGGCGGCCACTGCTTGGGCGGCATTGGGAATAGTAATACGGAGTCTGCTGGCAGCACTAAGGCAGTAGTCAAGGGCTCAGATAGGCGGGCTCTCGAGATATGCGGCCACAGTGCTGGGAGGAGGGCGTTTTAGTGGTGGCCCACAGCGGCCAGAGTCGAGCGTGACTACAAATATGTACGTCGTTTAAACCTGGAGAGCCTCAGACAGACCCGGAGGTGAGGTGAGGTGGTATCAGGTTTAGGTTTCTTTTCAGTTTTGGACGGTCCAACCCCTGCTATCGGGCATCTACGTGTACTCATACAGCACGAGTACTATGTATGTGTATGTGTCTAAGGTGCTGCTGATCAATGCCGCTAGGTTGCGATGAAACATGCAGCCTATTGTTGTACAAGATACTAATGTATCCAATGCCGCATGCCTGTCCTTACATGCTCACATGCTGGTGTATCACTTGTATGCACAACAGCGACCAGCAAGGCACTCCGTCTTGTTCACGGCGTCTATTGGACCATTTGCTTTTTTGTTTTTTATTTATTTTTTCACCGCGGCATGATTAAGTGTTCGGGATCCTACGTGTTCACGCCAGACGGTGCTATGAGAGCATGGGTATCTGCCAACTGCCGTCTCATTCGCAGCGCTTGGGGCCAGCCAACCTGCGAATCGGCGGTCTATGCTGGTTCAGGCAGTGTCTTGGGTTGAGTTGACTCTGCGTTTGAGGGGAGGGGGATCGGGATCCGCAAACACGTATGTAATGTAGCGGAACCAGTGCTGCGAGTCCAGCTGTCAAGGAGCCCATTGGCTGCGCAGTCCTACCGTCTTGGATTTTCCAAGCATATCGGCGGCTACGACGATAAATGACGACCTGAGCACTCTTTGGCTGTGGCCAGTCGAAAATTTTTCAACCCGACATCGATAGCCTCGCTTGGGCATGTTCGTGGGCCAAAAGGCGGAGATGTGCAGATGGATGGAGCTTGGCTCGAATGTTGGCTGCACCTTGTGACCGTCACCCAGGGCTCTAGCAGTAGTAGATGCTGATGAATGATGCTGTACTCCGTACAAGGCGGAAATACGAAGAAGCATTGGGTACAGTAATCTGAGCCCAGCGCGGAAGCAATGTAAGAGATTGAGGACATGCGCATGCAAAAGAAGCCGTGCTGCTGTTGGAGCATGGAGTTTTGACTGATTCTGCCTGCCTATTCCTCAGTAGGTTACCCTAGATGGACCTATATGGAGAAGAGAGAAAATGGGCGGTGGCCGATAAGGCGTTGATGAAACTCAAATGCGACTCCAAGCGGTGCGATCAATTGAGAGCCAACAAGCACGTAATTGCTAACGGCCCTCCTAAGGAACTAAAGCCAAAAGCACGCCACATACTACACCGACATGCATGCGTCGATTGATATCACCACTTCCACTTGTTCTATCTTATCGTGCCCACGGGGGAGGAGGTGCTTTGCATCGGATCAGTCAGCACATGTGCTTATGCAGCTACACACCAAACGGGCTCGCCTCACCTCACCTTACCCTGCAGAAATCCAGAACCGAAAGAAGGGTCTACGATGAATCCGGCACGGTGACGTCAGACGGGATGACTCTGCACGGGCGTAGCATGACTTACTTGCCTTGTCGTGTATCAAGACGCATAAAGTGACAGATAACATGAGACTATACACAAAGAAAGAGGGTGTGGCCTGTGTTGTGTTTGCAGTGGCTATCAAGTCGCCCCAAGTGGGCAGAAGCCGCAATGCTGCTGAACCTTGTTGCTTGTCTCGACGAATTGATTGCTGCAATGCTGCTACATGTACTCCATACTACATGTATTATTACGATGCTTCCATTTCCGGGCATGACGAATTACGTGTGTCCTTTATCAGTGGATGCGAGAGTACGGAGCACGCTACAACAATATGTACATATATGTACCTCCCATTGATGACGTTTCCTCAGCAATAAAACAACAAACACTGCATAGTACCTACAATGAAACTCACCACCGTTATCTGTTTGGATCAATGAATTGGCATGGGCCAAATACCACGCCCAAGACAAACACAACAGCCATTGACCCATCAATGAATGTCTAGACCCAAAACAGTGCATCCTCACTCAAGTAGCGCAGCCGATCGCCGTCCAAACTGCTCCTCCAGGTGCAAGCATCGGGCAATCTGGATGGGATGTATCTAATTAATTAATCTACCTTGTCTACGTACATGTACCGCCCCGTTATCTTGGCTGAAAGTTGAGGCATAGAAAAATAGCCGCAGCCGCCGTCGGTACATACAGTAAACTCATGCCATCGAGATCGGCCGCAGGGCTGCCTGTTTCGTCGCATCCGTTGAATTTGCGTTCTTTTGCGGTCCTGAAACAAACAAAAAAAGTACACCAAGAAAGACGATCAAATCAAAGCCCGGCTCCGTACATGCAGATTCGCGATTTCTGGCCTCGACACTGCACGACATCCGCCAAAGGCTCGCGTTGACATCACCACCTAAGCTTCAGCGCCTGTGACACGCTGGAATGGCGGAAAGCGCAGAGGCTGCTAGCGCTCAGCTGGCCCCCGCACCAGCTGATGCGCCTGGCGATAGTGATAGCCGACAAGCCGCAGCGTCTGGACCAGGCATCAACACCATCGCCGGTGGAAGCAACCGCAGCAGAAACACCAATTCACTCGACAATCGCAGCAATACCAGAGTCGACGGCACCGATTGCGGTAGTGGAATCACCACTGGAATCACCTCTTGCAGCAGCGGCCTCTTCAACACCGCCAGCGCCGGAAGCCCTGGATCAGCAGCTGCGGCACCTCCTCTCGGAATAGCACCAGCAGCAGCAATAGCACCAGATCCTGCACCCGTACCCATACCCGCATGTCTACCCGCATCTCCATCTGGAGCATCGCCATCTCCCGGATCTGCACCTGACCGCAGCCTTGCATCCCCTGCAGCGTCCCCTGGGTCCTCACCTCGGTCCTCATCTCGATCCTCGCCCGGCTCTTCTGGGTCTGCGTCTGCATCTACGTCTGCATCTACGTCTGCATCTACGTCTGCATCTGCAGCTACTCCCGGCTCTGCTGAATCTGAACCCACCTCGACTCCGGCGCCGGGCTTCAAGCTTCGTCCGCCGTCCATTGTGCTGCCTCCCTTTGTTGCCCCCTCGTCGTATCTCTTCAACGCTGGCGTCATGGCCGATGCGCCAGATCCCAAACCGCTGAGTCCCCTCGACAAGGAGCAGCGACAAGGCTTGGTATGTCTGGCTACCCTCCTATTGCACCCTCTCTCTCTACCTGCACCGATAGCGGCGCCATGCCAAGGAGAGGTCGCCTGTCTCTCTTTGATTCTCTGCCTTGGGCTTCCTTTCTACTCCATGTCTTCGTCCGAATCGAATCGCCGTCCTTGCTGACCCCTTCTCGCCTCTCCACAGAAAGCCATCCGGGATTTCCTCCGCAAGCGAACCAGCTACGATGTGCTCCCCCTATCCTTCCGCCTCATTGTGCTCGACACAGATCTTCTCATTAAGAAGAGTCTCAATATCCTGATCCAGAACTGTGAGTGGGATCAATCGATATCCAGATGATGCCGGCTGCTCTCTTCTGCCCCGCGCTTCTCCCCGCACCAGCTTGTGTCACGATGCTAACAGGCGACTCTGCTACAGCCATTGTATCTGCCCCTCTATGGGATTCGCACACCTCGCGCTTCGCCGGCATCCTGACCGCGACCGATTACATCAATGTGATCCAGTATCACTGCCAGTTCCCCGACGAGATGAGCAAGCTGGATCAATTCCGCCTGGGCAGTTTGCGAGGTGCCTATCATGCCCGTAGCTACAATTGTCATAGCGTAGGCTAACCGTCAAGTACCCAGACATTGAAAAAGCCATTGGAGCGACTCCAATTGAATCCGCTTCCGTCCATCCTTCGAGACCCCTGTACGAAGCGCTTCGACGCATGCTCAAGACTCGGGCGCGAAGAATCCCCCTCGTCGACGTCGATGAAGAGACTGGCAGAGAGACCGTCATCTCCGTCATTACGCAATACCGAATCCTCAAGTTCATCGCTGTCAACAACGAACACAACACAATTCTGCTAAAGAAGACACTTCGCGAGATCCAGTTGGGCAGCTACAATGACCTGGTCGTTGCACGCATGGGAACCACAGTCCTCGAGGTTATCAACCTCATGGTTAACGGGAACATTAGTTGCGTGCCCATTGTCGATTCCGAAAACAGAGTTCTCAATGCCTTTGAAGCCGTAGACATTATTCCGTGCATCAAGGGCGGGGCTTACGACGAGTTAAACGGCAGCGTGGGCGAGGCGCTGTGCAAACGACCCGAAGACAACCCGGGCATCTTCACATGCAGTCAAGACGACAGGCTAGACTCCATCTTTGACACGATCCGCAAGAGCCGCGTCCACCGGTTGATTGTTGTCGATGATGAGAATAAGCTCAAGGGGGTGATTTCGCTCTCCGACATCCTCAAGTACGTGTTGCTTCACGGCGAAGAAGACGAGTAATGGTCGGCGGTGATGGGCGCATGACACGATATCGACGGCGGAGGCTGTACACGGAAGAACGGGCAAGGGGATTAGGGATACATTTGGTGCGGCGTACTGGTGATTTTGCGTTGACGATGAGTACCACTCTGGGGGAATTGCTAGGATTCTGGTACATACTTACTTTAGCCCCTTTTTTTCTCCTTCTCATTCACCTGATAGAGTTTGCAAGGTAGGTTTCTTTTTTGGTTATTTTGGTGGTTGTTCAAAGAGTCATCGGCTCCTGGCTGGAAATTGTGTAGGTTGAGGCTGTTAACAAGAACTTTTTTTTGACCTTATCAGCTCGAGGCTTTTCTTTGTGAAAGTTAGACCGTCTGGATTCATCATTTCGTTGTATCTGCTACACCTGTCACAGGCAATACTCTGGCGGCATAATGGCTGCCTCTACTATCGAAAAAGAGGCAGAAGAGAAGAATGATGGAATGGATTCAGGGGTGTCCAAGAGGAATCGTCAAAAGCGCTGCTTTCCAGACAAAGAACAAGATCCCAGCCCCTCTGGGGCGACCAAGGTTTGGGAGAGCGCCTTCTCTTGAATAGCTTCGTTTTGCCTTTTTCTCCTATCTTTTACTTTGCAACACCTAGTACCTACCTACTTACCCAGGTACGAGCATCAGGTAACCAAGTACCAAGTACTGGTCCATGACCCGTTGCTCGGCCATTTCCACAACCTTGCTTGAAAGCATATCCCTCACCCAACTTCAAACTTCTTTCCTTCGCTCCCTAACTCTTCCATCTCTCCATCTCTTCCATCTCTTCCATCTCTGACTCTACATACTATTCGAAACATCCTACTTAGCATTACGAGAGCTTGGCAGACGCCGGCATCAGGCAATCTCAGAACAACGTATATCCTATCAAACGAACGACATAGCAGCAAGAAGCATACATATATGCTGGTGTTGGTTAATGTACCTATGAGAAGCGCGCTGCTTGGATCCTCATCTACAATTTGGCAAAGATTTACACAAGCATCTTCAGCCCATCTTGAGCTGTATTATAGGTGTATAAATCACTCTCATCAAATCAACCTTCACTACCGATCCATTATCAAGACATCATCTCATATCGCTCGGCATGGATTCGTCTGCTAGCACGCCGGCGTCTCAGTCGTGCAACCAACCTCCGAGCTCTCAGACGACGGAGCAAGCCCCTACTGCCTTGGACCCATTACGACGTGCATCGAGTAATGCATCGCTCTCATACCCTCGAGCTGAGGGCATCCGAGAGCTGCTGGATATAAATTCCACTGTGCCCACCAGCCGCACATGGACACCAAGCAGCGGAGGCTTGAACTTGCCCAGCGGCACGGATGAAACTCATAATCGAGTTCACTTTGTAGAAATGTATAATCGCCTGGCAAGCAAAGTAAGTAGAAGTTCCCAAAACCATCACATGAACTTGAATCGAGTCTAACGACCACCAGAACGGAGTGAGGCCACTAGTCGTTGGAGACCTTGATGCTCATCTTCACGGCCGTGTAAGTGACAGATGTAGTGAATGAGTAGATTGTTCTTGTTCTAATGTCTCTGGTGTTATAGAATGGTTCCTCCAGTCCTGAGAAGAAAAGTTGGTTCGCTCGAATCTTTCGAGGGCCGTCCAACCAGTCAACACCAAAGAAAGCAAACCCTGTGCCTCGATCCACGCACAAACGAAGCTCCTCGGATCTAGGGAGCTTTCTGCGCTCCAAATCCGACGCGCCCAGGGCTCTCGAGGTTCAAGACTTGGTGCGGCTGACCGGGAGAAGCGTGCTGTACTTGCCTCCAGCATTCTCTCCGTACGACCTGGTTCTTCCTACGTGCATACGCGCGACTGCACATTATCTTGCTCAGAATCCCGCCAACCGAGGCCTTTTCCGAATCCCAGGCTCCGCCAGGACTGTGAATGCTCTTTGTGATTATTACTGTGGTGAAAGCCGCAGTGGCCCTTTTATATCTAGCACCACCTATCTTCCCACACTGCCGGATTTCATCCCGCATCATATCCATGATGTAGCTTCTACTTTTAAGCGTATGCTCTCTGGCTTACCACGAGGTATTTTGGGATCCTTGTCACTGCTCGATGCACTTCTTGCGATCTATTCGCAACTTCAGGACCACCCAGAGATGTCAGTATCCAGGCAGGCAAGGACTCGCGCACAACTCATTGCGCTGGCCATTGGAACAATTGAGTCCAAGTTACAGCGTGATCTGATTTGTGCAGTCTTTGGCTTGCTCAGTCTAATTGGCCGACTTGGTGAACTATCGCCGCCGAGTGATGGCAATGGTCGACCTAATCAGTTCATGACGTACAGTACACTTGGAGTTGTTTTTGGCCCGTTGCTGGTTAGCCTAGACGACCTCAACAACTATGATATAAAGAGCTCTTCGCCAACCTCGGGCCTGCTTCTGATCCCGATACCACCAAAAAAGCAACGCCGTGATCGGCAAAAGGCAAAGGAATCCGGGGATGCCGTGACTGCTATTCCAGGATTTGAAAAATTCGGTGTTCTAAATAGTGTTGCCGAGATGCTGATTGCCAACTGGCGAGATGTAGTTCGTCAAATGAGAGCCCTGGGGACACACCGTGACCAAGAGATGGCGCCTTTGCAAGAGATGCATGCCGATGGTTATTCATCCCTCTCTGAATCGTCTGTGGCTAATCATACGGCGGATTCGGACTTGTTGGCCGTGAGAGACGATGAAGATATTGGAGAGTTGCCCGGCAAAGATAATGGTCTCGGATCGGGATATACCTCGGTAACCATCAAGAGAACAAAATCAACAAGATCGACAAGATCGACGAGGTCGACAAAATCACGAATGTCGAGACAAGGAAGTGTCAAACGGCCGTCCAGACAATCATCTGTTCATCTGATGACACCAGCTATGGAGGAGGGACACCAAGGGGAGGATAATTCCAACCTCAATCCTTTCCCTACCACATATACTGGTGATATGGCTGGGCCAGTTTCAACGGGCAACCGGAAGGTCACGCCGCCCCCAAAGCCGTTGTTTTAGGAGCACAACTGTGGAGTCCTTGGAGCTCGACAGAATGGCAGTACAACTCTACTCCATTCCTATAGCTGGCAAGAAGTCGGTCGACCATCGGCCGAAGGTATTACAACTAGTTTTTCTCAGAGCACAACTATGAAGACGATCCCCCCTCGCGTATCCTCCCGCCAGACTAACCGTTGTGGCGGCTACACAAATGTACCAGCTTCCGACACATTTTCAGGAGCTAGGAACATCATACAAACACCTCCTTCGGGAGTCCGATCCAAGAAAACACCCAAAGGAGCTAATCGGCGGGAGGGCAGAGAGGTACAAACTCACAGGACTATTAGGTCCCCGCTGTCGGACAGGCTGCACGAAAGAAGAAGAGCATTTGAGAGATTACTCACGCGAAGCGCGGAGAAGCCCCGAGGCACACAACCACCTTACCACTATCCACATAGATATATAAAAGAATTGGCAGATCCATTTTTACAGCCGGCCGAATCGGTTGAAATCATCCAGTACAAGCCAGATAATGGATCTTATGAGCCCACAGATTGTCCGCCTGCCTATTTGAAGGCCGTTGGCCAGAATGGCTCGATTCCCATGTACCAGCAGCCTGAATACGGCGTGAACATGGGGGCACGCTATGACTACCTAAGACCTGAAAGGGGCCAGAACGAGGCTCGACTGCCAGATTTGATCTCGATTGAATTAGACACTGGCCACGACACAAACAATAACAATCAAACAAATGAAGAGAAGACTCCAACAAAGAGGAGATCTGTGAAAGCCTTGGCGGCCATGTTTGAAGACCATCATGAGTCTCCGCCGATGGCTCGAAAACCCTGGGTTGGGGTATCAAATGATGTCGCCAATCCTGAAGGGACATACCAAGATAAATCAGCGTCATGTCGAATTTACAGCGGCCCTCAGAAGCCTTACCATTTAACCAAAGCCCTCCATGGCCATTCTGGGACTGCTGGAGACGTGGGGCTGAAGGACATGACGAATGATAAATGCAGCCCATCTTCAAACACATGGTCACCGCTTGGCAAATAGGATGATGCACAGGGATCAAGTGGGAATAGAAGAGGGAGACTTGCACATATAGAAACGCTTGAAAAGGGCACGCAAACGGAAGAGATACAAGATAGCCCATCCAGGACAGCTGGAGAGGCACTCTTGCATACCAAGCCCATTACAGGAACCGGGGATATCAGTACTCAACTTCAGGAGCTCGAACTGCTCTTGAATATGAAGTCAACAGAGGCCGCGCAGCTCAAGCTACGGATACAGCTGCTGGAAGAATCCAACCCGATATCCCTGCGCGAAGAGCTGCGAGAAGCCAACAATGAGATTCAGAAATGGAGAGAAAAAGCCGAGGCTGCCGAGAGAAAGGCAAGACGGTTCCAGAGATTCACAACCCGTATCAGAAGCATCCACAGCTCGCTCGCCATGGCGGAGGGATCTCGGCAGAGTGGCGATGACGAGATGGTTTCTTGGGAGGGGAGAGATGCTGAAGGATCTTATCGAGCTTATAGGGTTCGATTTACAAAGGCTTTGAGTAGTGAAGCTTATGGTACTGCAAGAGAGGGCGAAGGCGTCGTTGCGGAGGAGGCGCAAGATGGCCTGCATGACAATAAGAGTGATGAAGAAGCACCGTTGACGGATGACGTTGGATTTGCTCGTCGAGATTTGCATGGATTGGACGGAGTGGCGAGTCCCGGAGTAACAGACTTTGGGTCTGCGGCGGTGGCGATGTGGATTGCTGCCCAGGAGTATCTTTCGATGGAAGAAGGCGAGGCTTCGCATGATTCACTGGAGGGTACTACAAGTGGGAGTTCTGTGGACGTTTGGGAGATGGCGGAGGAGAGTTTTGATTAGTATATTTTAGATGATGGGTTGAATAGTTTTGTCAGTAGTGTGTTACTTTAAAGGAAAAGGGATTAAAAAAAAAAAAAAGAATACGTTTGTTGTTAGTAGTGGTTCTAGGATTAAACAAAAAAAAAAACATGATTGTATTTCGTTGCGTCAATAACAGACTTCTTACAAACTCTCCCTATCTGATTAATCCTACCCAAGAGCATTGGCTTATACATCCCCTCCAAGGATCGCCATTTCGCAGCACTGACATCAGCCCTTGATACTACCAAGGAGAGTCATTCCGGCGCGCGATCCGCCATCTTCCTGCCTGGTCTAGACTCATGCTGACTTGCATCCTGCCGATGCCATCGACTACCGCATTGAGCGCCTGAGCGTCCGTTTCCTCCAAATCTCGAGCGAAGCCGCCACGGCCCCGGACTTGGGGTCGTTGTATTGGGCTCATTGGCGGAGAGGAGAGCTGACGGGAGTCGCCCTGGCGGAGCGTGGGCTGAGAATCCGTAACAGAGAGGGGAGAAGTCGGCCGTTTGCGCTGGGAGCTCGGCGGTGAGGGGAGAAAGCTTGCGGCCTGTGTGGAGTAGGTCATGTTTGTGAAGGGAGGCGGAGAAGCGGATGACGAGGGGTAGCTGGAGCGAGGTTGGGCGGAAGGGATGAGTTGAAAGGGGAAGACGTCTGGTGGTACGTCTTGTGAGGATGGTAGAGAGGGATGAAAGCTGTGAGGGTTGGTGGATTGCCACGACGACGGGGTATCGTGCGCGAGGCGGAACATGCCTTCGTCTTCGGAAGAGGGCGAGTTGGGCCGAGAGTCGGGATCGAACCAGTAGGAGCCCGGCATGGTGGTGAAGTCGGATGGGAGAGCGGTTGACGGCAAGGACGAGACGGATTGGGAGGCGCCGGAGACATGCTGTGTTAGAGGATCGTAGGGGACGAGGTCTAGAGACAGTTGCTGCTGGCGCTGGTGCTGCCAGTCCTGTTGGCTGGCGGGACTGCTGGAAGAGGAGCGAAGAGGAGGAGGAGATGCAATGCGATGAAGACGATCAATGGACAAACGAGGATGCAGCTCAAGCAAAGATGAAAATGAAGACGAAGACGAAGACGAAGACAAAGACAAAGACGAGTGCGAGGTTACGTTTGCTTCATTCATGGGGATTTGGTTTTGGGGCCAGACCATGGCGATGCGCGGTTGGTGCTGAGGCTCATAGTTGCGGAGCAGCGAGACGCCATGGCCTGGCTGAACCCGTCAGTTTTCGGAGATGAAGATTTCCTTGTGCCTGTGGGTGAGTTCTGCGACGGCCGCGCAGAGCGTCATGTCTGTGTTTTCGGGGGGTCTTGTAAGCCCAAGGTCTTTTCCCTAGGTATTATGGAGATAGAGAGAACACACCAACTCCAGCACCGACATCACGGGTGCTCAGGGCCTTGATGGACAGATCCGGGTTGACTTTGCCAATGACCTGGGCGGCGTTTCCATTGGCCAGATGGGCATCCTTGAAAAAATTGCATTGTCAGTTATATATAACATGGCGTTTGGTTTGGTTTGGTTTGCCCAAGGCAGAGTTTTGAGTTGAGGCGTACGCGGTTCAAGAGGATGGTGACGACTCCGTCGGCGTCGATTGTGGCCTGGTCGCCTCGCAGCTGCGTGACCTTTCCGACGATTGTAACGACGCGGCCGACGAAGCTGTCGAGGTAGGAGGCGGTGATGCGGGGGGCGGACATTTGCTCAGACATGGTGAGGGCTGTTTTTTCTGGTGGCTGTGGTTGTATGTGGCTGTATTGGTGTCTGCTGTGTCTGCTGTGTCTGGTGTATTTGTCTAGGTACTTGCCGTTCTATGCTGTATCAACCGGGTGTGAAATGTAACCGTCAGGTCTGTCGAAAGCGGTGGGAAATGCAAAAACGCAGCTGTCGTGGGAACCCCTCAACGCGTGTTACACCAGCTTTGTGTAGTCGCGATTCCAAGGCCTGGCGGTATCGCGAGATCAGGTGACACGGCATAATGCGCATCACGTGCCACTGCCACTGCCCCTCCATACGATAACAGGCATACTGAGTGCTCTCCTCCAAAGGGTCCATAGTACATACATATTGTCTTCCCCCTCCATCCCCCTCTAGCTCTAGCTCTAAGCTACAGTAGCTCCAGTCTTGGTGCTCCCAAGAAGCTTTGGAGCTCCTCCCGGCAGCGGAAGACGAGAGGAAGAAGGGGGGAGGCCTCACTCTGTACAGCACAGTGGCCGTCTCTGCTCTGCTCTACTCTGGTCTACTCTGCTCTGCACCAAGCAAGCCGTGGCCAAGGGACAAGGCTGGCATCGCCCCCGGCTGATTCGTCACCAGTGGCTCGGTTCTCGAGCATGCGTGTAGATGGAGGGAAACAAACTTGCTGTGCCGAGCTGCTGAAACTCATGGCGTAAAACATTCATCTTTTCCCGAGGGTCTGGAACTTTGACTTCAAATCGACCTGCCACGCCAGCTGAGCATGATGCTCACCGTGAAGCTCCACATTGGCCAAGAATATCCAACTTGCCTTTTACGCGGCCAAATCAGCTCTCGCAGCCCGGACGTCTGATATCTCAAGCAGGGGGCGAGATAGAGGCAAACAGTTCCGGCCATGACAGCTTCGACCATGTGGGACTGCGAGTATTGGCACATACTGTACAAAGATACGCAACAAGTTCTAGTCTGCTCCATCCGGGCGATCCAGGGCCGCTGTCTCGTCTCGGCTCGCTTTACATCTTCTGCTGCTGCTTGCCATTGACCAACTGCGGGAGACGGCTAGACGACACCCACTCGCGCAGTCAGCACCACACCTGTTTACCCATGACTGGCTGCCCGAGCCCATCAATACATGTATCAATGGGCCGTTGGAGCAAAGCGGCCGGCCAATGTTTCTCCAAACACGACCTACTGTACTCCGTACGAGTACCTGCTATCCATCCCACATCGCTGCTGGCTGGGTAGGTACTTTGTTAGAGGCCCTCGCGGTGCACACCCATCTTGTCGCCCGACGGCATCAAACTCCCGCAAACCTGCGTCTCGTTGTGCGCACATGATTGGTGCCCTCCTTTTGATAACGTTTAGGTAGCATTGGCGCCGACGTGCGCCAGGCACTGAGCCCGAACATGTTTTTTACCTGCTTCGTTTGCCTCTCAACCTCTCTTTGGCATCAGGTGTGCAGCCATTTGGGCGCTGGCGAGAAGCTTCCCGATAGGATGCCTCTGGTGAGAGCCACAGAAGCTTGTCTGAGCAAGAACGGAATGCTACCTGGGAGAGGGTGTAGACCGGCCGCAGCGAGGTCGGGCCAGCAGCCTGTCCAGCAAACAAGGTCGAGAGTGAAAATAAGCCTTGGCTCATCACGGCGAGACTTGATTTGCCATTGAGCTGCCTTGGATTCCGGCTTCGGTTCGGGGATAACCTGAGTCAATTTGCCAATGGCTCTGGAGTCGGGAGTATTTGTGCAAACTCCACGGCGTTTGCTCTTGATTTTTGTAATTAACCTTGACGGCTTTTTTAACCTTGAGGGCTTCGCATTGCATCGACCCCCGTCACGGCAAGCCGCCATGTGAAAGTGCCGACATCAACGAGCTGACGGCGGGGTAGCAAAATGCCAACCTGCATACGAGTACGTTCCCAAGCTCTGCAAGTTGTAAGAAAAAAACTCCATGCTAGTGCTACGGCAAAAGCCAGGCTAGAGCTGCAATAAGTCCGGTCAGGCCTGATGGGAAAAAAGAGTTGTCCATCGAGCAGAAGTGGTATGATCGACTGACGGCCTGTCATGTTACTGTCTGCGCATTGCTAGCTCCTCTTGCTGGCATCTGCTAACCGGACGTCGTTAAAGTTGCCGTGATCTGCACCTTGGTTTTCCTCTTTACCCTGGTTATTGGGACAGATGGCCAAACTCTGTCTTTTTGCCTCTTTTGCCTCCCGCCGTGTAAACGAGGCTACCTGCGGATAACTCGACAAGAAGCTGCTGCTCCATAACATCCACTCACCACTGCAACAGAACAGACACGGACTGGTGCTCACTAACTAACACAACGGGCTACTCATCAAGCGGCTTAGCGGGTCGTGGCATGTCCCCGTTTGCGTTTTCAGCTCCAGCTCCAGGAACGCCCGCTTTGTTAAACTTCGCCGGAGCTGTCTAGCGGCTCAAAGGCTCCGGGGATAAACTCGTAGAGCGAGTGGGAGCGAGAGGAATTCAGAGCAAATAGCATTTGGCGGGAAAACTCAGAGCTCGGTCAAATTCTAAACACAGCCCAAAAGTCTGGAGCAGAGTTTGCCTGCCCTGCTTTACCTTCCCACTTCTTTGCCTTCTGCTGCTGTCCGTCGTGTTGCCGAAGCAAAGCCTCAGCCCGGATAGCCAGGGGAGCCATGCCTTGAGCGGAAGTAGGGCAGGGTCGCACCAAGCTTTTGTGGTACGTGGACGTGGCCAGCAGCGGCCAATGAGGGCGGCCAGGATGCATCTAAACCAAGGCACAGGCATGGAGCGTGCGTGTCAGAGTGCGTGGTTGCAGAAGCGCGGATGCAAGCACAGAGCAGAGAGACCAAGGTATTGTTGCCTGACGGACGGGCCTGCATCCTGCATCCCGCATCCCAGGCGATTCATGGTTCGTCGCGACATCCGTTTGCCCTACAGCACAGCATGCTGGGCTCGGCCTCGGCTTCGTGTCCAGCGTTTCCCTCGCAGCCCAAGGCCTGGGCCGTGCAAGGAAGCTCTCGCCCAGCCTAACGGGAAGCGGGACGACTGGATTGGAGGCGCAATCTTGCAGTGGAGATGGAGAGAGAGAGAATGGGCGAGAAGCGATGGATGGCGAGGGAGTGTTGAGAGCTCCAGGTGGCGGATATGCTGTGGCTTGAGCGAGCCCAGACTCAGGTTGCCAGACCAGAGCACCGCCCGCTGTAAAGCAGCACAGCGAATTCTCTCGCTGCAAACGGCAGCTTGGCAGCGGCTTTAGTTCCAAGGGTTGCCCCCCTATGGAGCCAAGAGCTGCCTACCTATGGAGCGCTATGGAGCGCTATGGAGCCTGTTTGTATGGGGTTCACGTCGACGCTTTGTGCTGGGGCGCCGCGGACAAGTACACAGCAGGTCGCGGGCAAGTACACAGCCAAGTACAGCGGGAGTCGCCCGAGCATTGCGTGGCAGCCGTCTCAGTGGCTCCCGCTGCTCGATGGGCGTCTCGGAGATACCAGCGGGATACCTGCCCTGCGGTGCCGTCGCTACATCGCAGTACAGCTCCCAGCCCGGGCGGTACATGGGCACTCAGGCTGGTACAAGTACGATACGACCAGGCATGGCCGTGGATCGCAGGCCGGATCGCGATCGCACTAGAGGCACCCGTTGGCCGAGGTTCCCACACTTTTCCAAGGATCGCCACAGCCCACGGCAGAACATGACCGGCATGTGTTTGTATTTGTGGCCGTGACTTGGGCGGTAACTGGATGCAAGTAGAGGTGCGTGCGGTTTGCGTGCGGTTTGCGGAGAGGCGGTACTTGGGACCGGTATGTGGGTTAGTAGTATCGATCGGACAACACGGTAGAGGTAGGGAGTACAGGAGACGGGATGGGGGCCAAGGAAGTTCTTGAGGAACAACAGGAACATGAAACTTTGGGAGCCCTGTCTTTGCTGTTTCTGGTTCGTGTTTGTCATGGAAGCTGCGCCCTTGCCACCACAGGACAGGACAGGGGCTGACTGTTTCCCATTTCTTACTTGTGCAGTAATAAGTGCTGTAGTAGGACAGTAGTACTACAGTATAGGTATGTAGCAGTATGTAGTGTGTAGGTACTGATCTGTGAGATGGAGGCATTGGATGGGCTCTGCTATGCTCTACTCTACCTGGCACAAAGCTGGGCATTGATGCCGTGCAACGGGTTCTATGTAGATGAAACATCCATGGATGTTGACCCAACATTTGATGATTGCTAATCCCCTTTGTTTGAAAAAAAAAGCCCATCACCATCGAACCATCATGACCCGGATTGCCTGCGGTGGCGTCTTCGGGCTTTGTTCGCATCTCGCAGCGTCTTTTGCCCGCACCGTCCGTCTCGGCGCAAAGGTTAATGCTGGACTTGGATGATAATCCCGGATAACCTACACAAAGACGCTCGACATGCTTTGGAGGCGCACCCTAAATTGCCTAACAACCTAAGCAGCAATCGGATGCGGGCATCTGATTTGATTCCCACTCGACTAGCAGCTCCCTTGCTTACACTGGATTGGTGCGTCGTGCATGATGCTGTGCTGTGCTGTCTGTACTGTATCGCCAGCACTCGAACCATTTAGCTCTTGCGCGCCCCCCCTCTGCTCAATGCTGTCTCCCGTTTCAAGCCTCGAGACGAGAGGAGAGCTGGTGCTTGTTATTATCGACCTGGCCTAACCTGATTGTCTCCAAGTCCAAGTACGAGTACAACAAAGAATACCTTAGCTGCCCGTATTAGTAGCAGGTGCCCAAAGCTCTGTGAATCACTCAATCCCACCTTTCGCTTCCTCTTATCATCTTTTGCCGCCCTCGCCTCGCTTCGCTTCCATTCTTCCATTCTTCCATCTTTCCCACCCCCTCCCCGGCTTCAAAGCTGAACTTCACATCGCGCCCCCCCCTTGGGATTTTTACCTTTTCAGCTGCATCGACTACTGAATTGATTAATCCATCTCCTCCTGTCGCCGCATCTGATCTGATCGACCCTACTCTCTCTCTCTCTCTCCTTCACTCCATCTCTCAGCTCAGTCCTGCCTGTCAAGCGGCCGATCGACCCTGTCCAAGCTCCACTCAGCTTCGTTGCCCTGCGATTGAGACGACGAACTGCCCAGCTTCCCCTCCCAGACCCGGATCACCCCCCCCCTGGAACCTGGATTCCGTGCAACGGCCCCGCAGCGGCTTTGGAGAGCTCCAGCAGCGATCCCCTCACCGAGCTGTCAGGCCCTGTCGCGGGACATTGGATTAGCAGTTGAGCAGCAAATCGCCAGTGGATGATTTGCTTGCCTGCGCATTCATTCACCTTGTGCTTTCCCGGCTTTCACCAAGAATCAAGAGGCGGCAATGAACGACAGTCCCCCCTTTGTCGATTACGGCCTGGGCATCCACGATAACATTGCGGGCTCAAGCTTTCCCTTTGATTTCCAGCCAGAAGGCCTCGAATCCCTCGCCGTCGATCCCGGCTTGACGCTGTCGCCATACGCAACCACCACGCCAGACTCGCACTTCACAACTCCCCCGTCTGTGCCCTTGCTGTCGCCCGGGAGCTCCATTGAGTATTTCGGCGACCACCGGAGCAGCATTGGCAGTCTCGACTCTACCATTGCCCCTCATGAGATTGTCACCACCACTGCCACTAAGAGTAGCAATCACAGCAATAAGAACAGCGGCAGTAAGCCGAGCAAGACAACGCCTAGCACAGCGTCAACAACAGCCACCGCCACCACCACCATGATGACAAGGACGAGAAAGGCCGCTGCGCAGAATGCAGATGCGTCCACCTCAGAAGCTCAGCCCCGGACCAAGCGGCAGAAGACGGCTTCTTCGGCTCAGGCTGCGACAATAAAGCAGGAGCCTCAACACGACGAGCAGCCGTCGCCGCCGCCAAAACGAAAGATGGCACGAAGGGGAGCGGCGGCAAAGAAGGAAGATGCCGCGCAGCGCAGCAAGAATCTGGAGCGTAACCGCATCGCTGCATCCAAGTGTCGCCAGAAGAAGAAGGAATGGGTGCTGGAGCTGGAAGAGACCAAGTCGGGCATGGAGCTTCGCCACAACAGCCTGCGTGTGGAATACTTTGCGCTTCTAGATGAGGTGACTCGTATAAAAAACCAGCTCATGGCGCATGCAGGATGCAACGACCCCAACATCAATTTCTGGATCGAAAAGGAAGCGCTCCGATATGTTGAGAGGTGTATGGACCCTCCCGCAGAGAGGCGTCCATCCATTGCCGCCAATGGTGAGTGTTGCTCGTGAATCTGATGCAGCTGTACATGCATGCATGCATATGTATCATTACTAACAAATGATGAAAATGAAGCTCCTGGATCATGCACCCTGCCATCGCCAACAGAATCGCAGCGGTCCCAACTGGAATCGCCCATACACAAACATGAGGGCATCAACCTCGACTACATGCCTGACGAGCTACTATCTGGTGAAGCTGTCTGAAGCTTATCAACAAGGCACCAGAAAAGAACCAGTCAGGAAATTAAAAGGGCTGTGGTGGACCAAGTATAGATTTATCCTTTATGGGGGACAGAGTGTACATGATGATTCACACGGAGCAACTGCACTGCAGCTCGTCGCCATCTCGTCGCTCCAGTGCCGACTCTCTTGATGAGAGTCGTGGCGACAAATGGCAGCCATGACGGATGGCGACGCAAGACATATTCCTGGAGGATTTATTAATGGATGGGGCTCCCTAATTAATACTGGAATTACCCGGTCTATGATGCTACGAGCCCTGAGTATCTTGGTATTCAGCTTGACCTTTTGCCATGGGAGGGAACGGAAAAAAGGAAGAATTGGGGACTGAAAACTTGCAACTTTTGTTTTGCAAATGGAGAGAGGTGGATATTTAAAAAGGGAGCTGGGGCAATTGCAAGCGTTGTCGAGGGTCTGTATTTGTGACAATATCCCGAACCGCCCAGTTTTGTTGTAAGTACCGTACATACTTTAATTACAAGTGCCGACGAATATATCAAAAACGCACTCTTTTCATCTTTTCACACTCGAGCATCGGGCCCCCTTTGGGTGATTATCGAGACGTAATATTTTCTTTGTAGGTAAGTAGTACATGAAGCTTCCTTTCACGGGCCATATGCTGGTAACCAACTACCACTCCATTTTTGTTTTATACACATCATAAGAATATCGTACAATAATATCATGAGCTTTCTATTTTTATTTCCCGGCCCCCCCTCTACCTCCTCTTGGTCCATCCACGGGCGTTCGACAGGCCCTTGATGCGCTTCGTGTACTTCCACAGGTGCCTGTAGGCAGGGCCCTGTCTCTTGGCCTCCCAACCACGGGGCTTGACCGGAGGCTTCAGGCTGTGGACGCGAGTCGGCCTGAACTCGACGTCGGCGCCGGGGAGGTTGTGGCGGGCCATGACAGCGGCGGTGTTGTCATCCCAGACAGAGCGGAACATGTTGAAGCCGACGGGGGTGAGGCTGAACTTGTCGCGGAACGACTTGAGCGAGAAGCCGTCGCGGGCGGCGTACAGCTGCTTGAGCTGGGCGACGTCGATGGTGGCGCCGGGCTTCTGCTGCAGCAGATAGATGCCCAGGCGGTGGTACGGGGCGCCCTTTTGCGAAAAGGGGGCCAGCCAGGGGACGGCGAGCTGGTCGTCGGCGGTGATGCGGCTGAGGGGCAGGGACGTCTGGTCTGGGCTGAGCGGGATGTTGGCGGCGAGGAAGTGGCAGCGCTTGGAGAAGGCGTCGTTTTCCGCGTCGGGGACGTCGGCGTCGAGGACGACGAGGGAGACGAGGCGGGCGCCGGCGTCGAAGACCTGGACGCGGAGGCGCGGCGGGTGCTCGCTGACGAGGGAGTCGACGACGTTGCCCGGCGGGATCTTTGCGTGCCGGAAGTAGAGCTGGACGTCGGCGACGGGGTCGAGCTTGGGCAGCACGTCGGGGACGATGTTGAACTGCTTGATGCGCTGCGTGATGAGGCGGTAGTCGTAGGAGCGCCACTTGCGCTCGGCGTAGTGCCGGTAGATGGGCTTGTTCATGTCTCCTAAAGAACAAACAGTGAGCAAAACATATTCTGGCAATGAGACAAAAGTGATGTTTTTTCTTTCTCTTTACCTAAACCATCTTCAAAGCGCTTCTTGACCAGAGGGTCGTTGATATCCGCCTGGATCTTGAGCTGCTCGACGTAGCGCCTCAAGCTCGCCAGCTTGGTGTCCTTCATCGACTGCCCTCCCTTGACCAGCGCCGCATCCTTGCTCTCCAACGCCGCAATCTTGGCCAGCTCCTCCTGGATCTTGGCCACCTTCTCCTGCCGGTCCGCCGCAAGAATGGCTCGAGCCTCCTGGAACGCCTGGTACGGCAGCTGCTCGAACGGGATGCTGGCCGTGGTGCGCATGGCGACTCTCCGTCTCCGCGAACCGACCGGCATTTTCCCCGCCTTGATCAGGTCGGCCTCGAATTCCGGCAGCACGCTATTAGGGTCGAGGTCGAGGGCACTGGGCTGCTGAGCGGGAGTCGACGAGGCTTGCTGCTGCTGCTGCACTTCGGCGGCGGCGCGGGCAGCACCCGTCGTAAAGGGCCGGATTGCGCATTGCTGGCGCAGCTGCCGTGCCAATGGCCTCGCAACAGCCTGGCACCGCGACATTGTGTCTTTGAGTGCTGGTGGGCGGGCCGTGGAAATCGAGACGAAAGAGGATCTCGTGATATCGAAAAAGCAGGTTGTTTCAATTGGTGGTGGGCTGCAAAATGCTTGCTTGGAGTTGCAAACTAGCCCCGCTAAAATTTTCGGCGGCCGGAGGCGGAAAACGCCGCTGCGCATTTGGGCTTTGCACCACCAAATCGAACCGTTTTTTTGGCACTCTATACAAAGAGGGAGAGAGAGAGAGACGCACACAGCCAGGCATTTGCTGCGAGTTGGGAACAAGTCGCTGTTGAAAATGGCTGGAAAGGGAATTGGGTGCCTCGGCGAGGCTATGGCTGCGCTGAGGATATCGGCGTCCAAGGTGTGTTGGGAGAATGGGAAAGTCTTTGATAATGACGAGAGACTGACTTGCGAAATAGCCGGCGACGACAGCATTCAGCAGACAGTTTACACGGTCAATGGCTACCGAATCACCGGTAAAGGAGATTACGAAATCAGCAGCCTCTGCGCAGTCCATCATCCAGTCATGGAACCCAAGTGAGCGACCATCACGAGACTCAAGATTCAAGATGGCCCTCGACTAACCCCTCCACCAGTCTCAACCGTCCCCGTCACCATCCACAGCTTCCCGTCGCTCGAGCCACAGTCCCTCGAGCAATGGTCCGTCCAGCACCTCTACCTCCCCCTCCGCCGCGACCTCCTCCACCTCGCCGTCGTCTACGAGGGCGACAACACCAGACAGGGCACCGCGTCCTCCAAGACCCGCTACGACGTCCACGGCTCGCACCGCAAGATGCGCCCGCAAAAGGGCACCGGAAGAGCCCGCCAGGGCACCAGGCAGAGCCCCCTGCTGCGAGGCGGTGGCAAGTCCTTTGGCCCGCACCCTCGCGACTTTGGAACCCGGCTGAACCGCAAGGTCTACGACAAGGCGTGGCGCACGGCGCTGAGCTACCGGTATAGACGGGGCGAGCTGATTATCTGCGAGGATGGCATGGAGCTGTCGATGCCCCATGATTTCGACCTGGTGGCGGATAAGTACCTCAAGGATGGTCTCAGGGAAGCGTATCTGAAAAAGTACATGTCCGGCGTTCTGAGCACGCTGGGCCTTGGCCGTGAGGATGGTCGCACGCTGTTTGTCACGGGCGACCGAAGAGACAGGCTGTACGAGGCCATGGAGCAAGTTCCTTTGGAGGGACGGGCTCTTGATCTGGAGGACGTTGATGTCAAGGATCTGCTCGAGACGGGCAAGGTCGTCATGGAGAGGAGCGTGCTGCGTGAGATGATTGAGCAGCACCAGAGCGACTTGGTGAGCCGGATTTTCGTCAACGGGCTCCCCAAGGGAGGGCCTGCGCTGGGAGAAAAGGTCTTGTGAGAATAAAAAGGGATTGTTAGACGAAGAGAGATATGTACCCAAATGAAATGTATACTAGTCATGGATTCGATATCCTGAATCTCAATGAACAAAAATCACATTACAAAAATCGCCATGAAAACCCCAGTCACAAGCATTGTGTCCTATAACTGCATGTCCTTATGAGAATAGGCCATTCCGTTCTCTCTACAATCTTCACTCAGACCAGTTGCAAAGCGTAGTGCTTAAATTCTTAGCTAATTCGAGGACATTATTTACGTGTTTCTCAGACAAACAAGGTGTGCGTGAAAAAAAGAATTCCGATTCATAGCTTAATGTACCCGGTTGATGCTAGATTACAAGCCAAGTGTCATTTTCAGCATCACCAAACGCCACCCTTGATCATATAACAGCGGTTCCTAGCGAAGTATTCCAATTCTCCCATTCTCTAAAAGTCACATATACTCGTCTCCTTTTCCCCGGGACGTCATATCTGGACTGGATTGCGCGTGTGGGTATCGCAGAAATTAGAGCTTTCATACAGCTTCTTATCGTCGAGGAGGGGGCTGGAAGCCAGGAGGTGGGCCACCAGGAGGGAATCCAGGCGCGCCGGGGAAACCTGGAGCACCGGGGAAACCCGCGGGAGGAGGGAACTGGCCAGGGAATCCAGGAGGGGCTGTAGTCCAAGAATTAGTACCAATGGCTCTCGAAACAATTGGAGACAACAACTTACGGCCACCTCGTCCTCCAAAGCCTGGAGCACCAGGAGCACCGGGAGCTCCAGGGAAGGATGGGAATCCTGGAGGCGGAGCACCTCCACCAACACCAGCAGCCGGACCGGCGAGAGAAATCGGGGCCGCAGCACCACGTCCAGCAGGTCGAGCAACACCAGGGCCAGCCTGAAGAGTCGAAGCAATGCCGCCCGTAGTGGTCTTGCCCAGTCGAGCGCTAGGATCGGCAGGAGGAGGTGACTCGACGGTCAGGGAAATGATGTGTGCTCCACGAACAATCACCAAGCCAAGGGTTCTCTTCTCCTCCTGCACGACGGTCTGGCCCGACGATGAGCCGCCGGGGGCAGCCGGCTTGTTCTGCTTGCGCTTGATGCGGCGGAATTCCTCGGTGTCGGCCAGGACGAGGTTCATGTGGCGGTCGTAGGCGAGCATCTGGCCGACGAGCTGTCGCGAGTCCTGCAGGGTCACGCGCATCCGGTAGTTGATCTGCGAGCTTCGTCAGTGTCTCTCCCGCCAAAATTCCACGGGGCATCGAGGGCGTCTGCGTACGTAACCGGCCTAATCACGTCTCGTTAGTCTAACAACGTCAACGTCAACGCTTCCAAGAGACGGCGGGGAGGAGAGCAACTGACCATCTTGCCGAGCTTGTTGGACGCCATTTTGACGGTGAGATGCTACCAGCGTAGCTCCTCTGGTTTGTTCAAAAATTGCTTGTGTGGGTTGACAAAGCCGCTGTTCTTCAGCCTCGTCGTCGCTGCTCTGCCTCGTGGGAAGCTGGAGAGTCTGCGATTGATGGTGTTGAGATGCCCTGGAAAAAAGCAGCTCCAATGATTTTGGACCCAAACTGCCAGCCTGCAATTGGAGTGGAGCCTGGCGCGGCGGTTCCTGAGTACCGACTTTTTGCCTGGGCGGATGGTGCAGGCAAAGGTAGAGGATACCTTGCACGTGCTGAGTCACATGATGATCCTCGTCACTCATCTCAGCTTGCATGAATCTCGAGACTTGTGAGCATCACAACTCATCATCTGAGCCTCTTTTTTATGCACTCGTTCTTACGGGATTATCCATGATAGATCTAGTATCCATCAAACACGAGATTTATTACTTTCATCCATAATGAGTCCTTCAATGGCTGCATGATTCTTCTCAGGCGACATTACTTCTTTCAGTGGTCACATCAACTGCATCTGATTCCATGTACCGACGCCGAAAAAGAACAATTTTACTACCTCATTATAATCATATACAAAAGATTGAATCAATACCTTTCTCCAAAGAGAATCTTTGCAGTTGATATCGCGTCCGTCGTCCAAAGTACCAGGCAGCAAGGATGAATGATACCCAAATCAACACTCTCCACCTACTGACTGGCTTGGACGCGCCTTATCCTCATCATCGGTATCGACATACCCGTCGAAATACCCCTGCTCTGGACGTATCGCTGCTCAATCTCTTCCAAGCTGTGGCCTCGTGTCTCGACCATGCGCAATGCCACAATGACAGTGGTAAAGAGGGAAGAAATGGCAAACAGATAGTAGGCTCCGTAAGTCGACTTTGCAATGAGCACCGGCGTGACAAGGGCTACGAGATAGTTTGAGAACTGCATCAATTAGCTTTTGTGACTCAAACCCATCATAACTGTCGAGAACATACCCAGTTGGCGCTCTGAGCAAGGCTCGACGCGCTGCTCCTCGTCTTTCTTGGCAGGCTCTCCATCAAAAAGGTACGGAAGCCGATGGCCCAAGTTCCGTTGAATACAATGGCAAACAAGTAAATCGATACAATAACAACCCACTTGCCAGCGCCTCTGTCAGCATGAACCTTGTCAGCCGCATACAGAGACCCCATCAAGAGCATAAGGGTTGTGATCAAGATGCCACCAAGCAGACTTGAAGTCCTCCGTCCCCATTTGTCTGCTAGAAAGGTGGCCGGGATAGTGACTGCCAGGATTGCCAGTGCAGAAACGCCAGAAGCCAAGAAGGACGCCTGAGCACCACTCAGCCCTGCCTTTTCGAATAGAATCGGTGCATAGTAGAAGACGCCGTCAATTCCAGCAAGTTGCTGCATGCCCATGATGAAGCATCCAAACATGGTGCGAGCACGGAACGGTGCTGAGAAAGCCTCCTTGAATCCCACAAAGGTCTCCTTGAGGCCCTGCCAGAGCGTCTCATCATCCGGGTTGTGAGCCTGAACTTGGTTCATGGATTCCTCCAAAAGCTTTTCACGCTCGACATCGTCAAAACCTAGTCGAACGAGGACATTGCGAGCTTCTTCAACTCGGCCTTTGGCAAGCAACCAGCGAGGAGAGGCCGGTACGAGCCAATAGGTTCCCGATAGTAAGAAGCCGAGAGCTGCTGAGATGGCCAACGGGATGCGCCAGCTAAGTGATGTCGATGGGCCGAGGCGGGAAGTGCCGTAGCAGATGAAGAAGCCGGAAACCACCCCCACGACGATGGTGAATTGCGGCAATGCTGTCAAGGTGCCCCGGACTCTGGTTGGAGACATTTCGGAAACCTGCACCCATACATTGCTCACAAACAAGCCCTCGCCTATACCCTGGATAAGACGTCCAACGATGAAAGCAGGGAGTTTGGAAGCAGAAGATTGAACAGCCGCACCAACAGCATAAACGAAAGCCCCTATTGAAAAGATGCGAACCTGGCCAAACTTGTGAGCAAGAACACCGGCGATGAGCGCCGTAAAGGCGCCGGAGATGAGAACCGACGAAACAATCACTCCGTGGATGGTGGGCGAGAAGTCACCAAAAGTGTTGCGAAAGGCAGGCATCGTCGTCACAGGACCAATGTTACCAGTATCCAGACTACATCGTTGAAAGAGGACTTGTTAGTGACATGACGTTTCGAATGCTGGAGAGTTGCATTATGCTATCACGCACCCAAAGAGTACGGGGACGCTGGATGCCGCCAAGCTGGCCCATACGTAAAAAGGAGGTCCCTTTGGCCAGTTCATCTTGCAGTTTACGTGCTTCTCAGACTTTCAAATGTTACAATGTTATGTTATGGATGTGCCCAAATTCCCAATTACGGCGGGTTGCAATCTAATAAAGGGAGAGCCCCCAGTGGATTCTGCACACCAGACAACCAACTAGCATATGGGGCTTTCATTGAAAGAGTCATACCGATACTAGTGATTATGCAGTTGATCGAATGATGCCAGCACTAGCCATCGTGTCTAAACACCGGGGCTCTCAACTCCGGAGCAGACAAATTCCAACTTCAACCCCGGAGTTTAGTGCGGAGCTGCTGCTTAGGGTAAACGGCTGGACTTACACCGAGCACGACCGTCCTCGGGTATCGATCGTGTGAAGATTTAGGCCGTGTCGTACCCATTTATTATCATCACGCGGCTTGCCCAATTTTTTCAATCTATTGGTTTTAGCATCAGATGCACATGATAGCTCGTGTTCTTGAAACGACAGACGTGGTGCAAGCTCTTCACCGAACTGTACATGCATCCAGCCCCGCAACTACCCTGCGATTTCCCGGGTTCTTCGGAGAGTAAAGTATGGATACTATAATGGGGATATGCCTAAAATATCATTGACAGCCGTGATTAGAGTCTCCAAGACAATGTTTCTCGTTTTAGGAGGTCCTCTGCGGTAGATGCTGTACAAGGTATTTGGCGCCTGAAAAGGTTCAGTGGCAATGACTTCATCCTTATACAGACAGCATTAAATAAAACCGTGTAAAATAAGTGCCGGCCAGAGAAAAATTACAATGTAGATGCTGAATAATTTTTCATTTTTTTTTCCCTCCGAACGAATAAATCTCTTTGAACGTCATACGTAAGCAATATGAGTGTCTCATGTCATGTGTGTGTTTGCGTGTTCACATATGTCTTCATGTATCTCAACGTTCAGCCAAAAAAAAAAGCACAAACAGCACTTCTCAATCTTTGAGAAACATGGCCATACAAACTCTTCTGCCAAATTGAATGCTTCATCCCTCATTATGTAAGAATCTCGGCGACATATGGACAAAAAGCAAAAAATTGGTGCCCCCGGCCAGGATCGAACTGGCGACCTTAACATATCTCCAAGACCATGTTGGATCTATAAGAGTTAAGTGGTAACCACTCCACCACGGGGGCTTCGGAGTTGAAACGTCCAAACATAAGTTTATAAAATCACAACGGAGGGGAGACAAAAGCTTTTCGCTTGCGTTGCAAGACTTGTTGTCGACTGGTTTGGGTCGTTGTTTAGGCCGTGTGGCTTGACGGCTGGGTAGAAGCTCTTATATATAGAGTTGGTGGCAAAAAAAATTTGCTTGGTGAAGCTAGTGTTCCACAACACAATCGTCTCGATTTGACTGCCTCTCCTTTATCGAAATAATCTCCATCCGGCTTTCTATTAAAATGTGAGGATATTGATAACATTTTATCAACTCAACTGTTTCCTTTTCCACGTAAATAAATAGTATTTTATTATGATTGCATTGGTTCGTGTCTAGTTCTTATATATATTGACTACATCGAACATGGCCTTGCGTCACCAGTACAATTAATGGGCTAATTACATATGATCCATGTAATTGTACAAACATGGCTTACTTTTTATTATTACACTTTGTTCATTATACAGCCATTATAATCGACCTTGGTAATTAGCTAAGCCCTCCCTCAAGCTCCCTCACCACCCGTTCTTCATTCGCCGCCCAGACCATTTGCGGTAGTCCCTCTACATTCAGGATCAAGTCCTCATTCTCAAACGCACTCCGTATTATCGTGGTGCCTGGTGTACTTGCAAATAGCACTTTGATAGAAGCGGGTATGCTTGTGTCCTGAGAAAGACGAATCAAGATTGAAAAGATTTTTAGCGCGTCCGACTCAAACTCGTCTCGTTCAAAAAAGGCAGCGTTGTCGATAACAAAGAATACCGAGACTGTCGGAGGTAGTTGTCGCACTAGATAGCATAGCAGCTCTATCAGTGTATTGAGATTGCCTTCCTGCAACCCAGAGAGGTTAATAGTTGTGGAAGACAGCAAATGAACCTCGAATGTGTGCTGTCTCAGTAGCTGATCAATCAGACTTGTAATCATGGCACGCCCGCCAACACAGCCTCCAGACTCTTCTGCTTCGACGTGCCGTCCGCAGAACCACAGCATCGACAAAAATCGTTCCTTGGCTCTCAGTGCCTTTGTAATTGTCATACAAAAGACGGAGAGTGGTGAAACACCAGCGATGACTTTTGGAAGACGGGAGTCCCAGTGGATCAAAAGCTTGGAAGAAGTCGGCGACACAACCCAGTTACGAAACGGCTGTGTGTTAACGATTTGCTCAGCCAGCAGCCGTTGTTTGGGTGGAAATTGCCCTTTCTTATCCGCAACATAGGCGAGATCTTTAAGATCGACATCGAACATGTTCAACACCTGTCGTAGGTTGGGCTGACTTATATACCACTGTGGCGCCAATATCTGTGCTTGTGGTGGTAGATATGGGGATCCGCCTTGGAACGGCGAGTAGGCACGTAGAGTGTTGTTTTCGGCTCTGAGAAAGTGGTTCTCGCGATGGGCTTCTTCAAGCTGCCGACGAGCAGCCTCGAGCATTTCTATGCAAGGTAATTAGTAACTGCATTGGATCCACCACTATAAGTTCCATCTAAGATATGACATACTGTCTTTTTCTTTGACGTGTTCGGTCAAAAGCTGATTCATTGAGTTGAAGCCGTCTCCCAAGTTCTGTAGCTGCTTATCAACTCTTTCACTCATTGTCTGAACATTTCTAGAAAGCTTCTGTGTCTCTTGAGAATCTTTGATCGAGAATCAGCTTGATAGATTCCGTATTCCAAGTGGCATTGAAGCAAAGGGAGTGGAGAGTGCATACACATGTGAGATTCGTATATATGTGACTTCAAAGCTTCCTCCATTAAACTTTTGCTTTTAGCCTTAATCACATCAAGGCTTTCTATCAAACCTTTCTCGTACTCATTATTAGTAAGAAATGCCTTGGTTCCTCTCACCACTGTTCATTCAATAATATGAGTTAGTGCCATCCACAACTATATGTCTGTCAATTGGACCTTACGAGAGTTGCTAATGAAGAAACCAATAGCCAATTCGATTCCTTTGAGCGTTGCAACGGTCAGATCCACAGACGCATTTACGATATTTTCGTCGTTTGGAAAGGTTCCCAGAAATAGCTCAACATCTGAAAAGATGGATACATTATCATCAAAGCTTTCAAGAACTTTTTCGCGTAGGCGTGCGGCAATCTTCACAGCCTGATTCCAAATCTCGTCAGTCTGGCAAGATTATGCCCATAATTCTTTGGTATGCTCGTCTTACATCCAAAAGTACTTGCAAAGACCCTAGAACAGGCGTCGCACAAGTGCCTTCAGGGACAACCTTGGACGCTATCCTAACTACGCCCTCCAGAGGGGCAATTTTGCTTGCGGCCTTTCGCCGCACTTCGCGTAGTTTATTTGCTGCACCTTCTTTGTTTTCATATTTAAACCTGGCTGCTTCGAGGCTGCTATAAATGTCACTCCAACTGGTTTTGTCCCGGATACTATACGTTGTTTTATATCGGTCCTTCGGCTCCGCTGTCGAGTTCAGCTCTGACATGGCCTTTGGAAGTATATCCTCCCAAAATTTCATCGCATTTATGTTTGTTAACACTGGCCTCGACATCGAAGCCGTGCCATCATCCTCTGTTGACATGCTAGGCACATACTTCTTAACAGCTGAATCATAGCGTACAGAAGGATCTGCAAACATCTGGTGGTGCTCTTGAAGTCGATTGTCGATAAAGACAACACTGGCAGGTCGATGATCAAAACTTGATCCAACAGAAGCAAGATTCGCCATATTGCTGACATTTGGAAAGAACTTGAAGGCGCTCTTGACGAACAAGGTTGAAAGAGTTGTTCCACTTTTCGAATCGAAACGTCGCTGGCTGCTGTATACACCGCCGCTTGCGCTGATCCATTAACAGTTGTGCGACGGCATGTGTCTAGTTACCGCCGAGGGAAGGTTATGACGCTAATCATGCATGTAATATCCAGCCATCATACTATTGGCCTTGGAATCTGCAAGGATGCCCAACTGATCAACATAGTCTTAGGCAGCGGCGTAGTTGTCTCAATTATAGAATTCTCTTTCGCAGGCTATCCAATCATGCCATTACCCCTCATCTGAAAATGCTATCCCGGTTTGCCCGGCAACTTTGAAACCACAATTGGACTTCGGCTATGGGGAAGATGGTGGTGTGAAAGCTGAATTATCCCCAAAACGCGTGGGAGTGGGAATTCGTGTGGCTGAGTATGCCATGCAAATCGCAATGGGATTACGCACAAGAAAATAGGGTCTTGCGCATATCGTCTATTATTCGGCGCCAATTTTACGCGAACACAGAATCTAGGATTTAATTCGCCTATTCTTCTGATCTAAAGCGATCTCGGCGTGAGGCTCTTCCATAGCGTCCTAGGATTTTACTCTTAGTTTAGAACTCCTTTTCCCTCATATTCCAGTGCTTTAAACCCCTCTTAATCGTTAATAAACCACTCACAAGTGTCTACTCAGCGAAACAACCCAAAAGACAAGGAGTTTGGTGGATCGATTTACCACGGAGTTCAAAGGGCATCGAAAATGACTTTAAACGGCTCTCATTCAGAGGCCGAAGAGTCTAGGACTCTTGACACTTCTTCGATCATGGCTTCGACTATGTTGACTTCAAGTCAGGATAGTGAAATTCACGATGGCAATGGTATCTCTGGTGGTCTTGACACTATAGCCATAGATGATGCCAAATCTGCTGCACAGTATGCCAAATTGGTCGACGATTTTGAGACTCTGAAGAAGAAGATTCTCGAACTTGAGCAGCAAACCAAAATCGCTTCAGCAACAAATACGGAACAAGAAAATTTGTCAGCGGACAGAAGAGCTGAAAGAGAAGATTACAAGCGGATGGAAGAATGCCTTTATAGGCACCGAAAAGAGTGGGAGGTGGAAGGAGGATCAACGGGATGGAACATGTGGACTTTCAGCGACTATTTTTCGGACGGAAGAGTTTCGCGCCGTTGGGAACTTAATAACAATGAACTCTATGAACGGCCAAACCCCTTTAATCCCTCTCATGATTGCAGGGATAAGAAAGATGATAAAAATGCTCGCGCTTATGCGGAGTTTGATCGCGACATCGATTATGGGCACCGCCGCGAACGGCTCCGTAAGAACTTTGAATGGGACATGGATCGTCTTTACCTAGCAGAAGAAGCAGAGAAACGAAGGAAATTTAAGGAAGAAGAAGCTAAAGAAGATGCCGAGAAAGAAGCTGAGACCGACATAACCACACAGCAAATCTTTGCAGAGCCCAAGAATAACCGGCTAGGCTGGTCCGCGTTCAGAGACATGGAATTGGTGGCCGAGGAGAATTCATACGCTCTTGACATTCTCATAGGCGATCCTATTATCGATGATGATGCGCGAGATTATCGGCGGTGGTATGGCTACTCTGGTCAGCGATCGCGCAAGACAGAGATTGCACGGGATCGCAAGGTGTATGAGACGAATGAAAATGGACAAGTGGCACTACCTGAGAGGATCAGAGTTCATTCAACTATTCTTCGTCATATCCTCTCCAATATACTGGCATCACACGCAGGTGAGGCATTGACCAACAGTGGATACCCTTCGATAGTCTTTGTTAGGCCGTTCAAGGCCATCTTCTACTGCAAGGCTGCACTGCTAAATTTGTGAGGTCATATGACCTCCGGTACTTAATATATAGGTATATATATTAGGTAGTTACCTCCACAGAGGTTAAATAGCAGTAAGTTATCTTTTATATATCTTTTAGTCCTTTACTACAGTAACCTAAATGTTTAATTTTTATATACCTCTCCCAATGTTAATACCTTATATAGTAGTAATTACAGACGCCTTAAGATCTATTAGTAGAACCTAGTAATTGAAAACCATTAGCGTTTTTGCAGTAGATTAACCGGACGTGACCGGCCCCAGCTGGGACTTAAGCTAACTTAATATAGCTGTTTTTATAGATATATAACAGACGGTACCCCATTTTACTTATACTAATAAAAAGAATAAAAATAAACTGCTACAGCAATAGACTATAAAACAGCCTTAAGCAGTTCATCTTATAAATAAAGGCTAAAAGCCAGCTGTTAGTAATCCTATCCCAGCTTAAAGTTATTCTAATATTAATAGATATAATAGATATAGCGGCACCTGCTTTTATAAAACCTACGTTAATAGTAATACCTCCTTTATAAATAGCCAGTCCCTGCCTAACCTTATTTATTAACTGAATTTTATTAAATTAACCTTTTTTAACGATAGCAGCTGAGTTAATGGATTAGGAAGTAATAAAGCTTCTCCTACCTATTTTAAGGCTAACAGTTACTAAATAAGATAACCTTCCCCTGCTTTTTAATATATTAATAAACAATATATTCTTACTGTTATTAATCTTCTCCTTATATTACCTTAAACCTTTATAATCTTAGCTTTATTTATTTTCGCTAAAAACTATTATATTACTTTTACCCCCAGTTATTATAAAATAAAGTATATATAGGGAGTAGAGTTTATACTTATAGATTATTTATTAATAACGTTTTCTTATTACTTAAGATATATTATTAATATTAGTAGGTGGGGCTTAAAGATAGATATTTTTATAATATATATAATCTATAGGTAATATATAGTAATTACTTTTAAAAATATAAAATATATAATATCTTCTGTTTATAAAATAAGATAAGTTAGCTGTATAAAACTTACTATCTGATTTTAAAAAAGCTATAATATCTCTCCCTTTTAACTAACCTAACTAAATTCTTCCTAATACAGTAACTATACTAGGCTAATTAAGTACCCAGCCTGCTAATAAGCGCCTTATATTTAATTAAGCTATACTAAAGGTAATTAGCAGCCTTTTATAAATAATACTAATAACTATAGTACCGACGACTACTGTAAAGTTAGCTTTAATAAACCTAAAGCCTATTTACCCTAATTTACTATAATATCTGCAGATAGAATATTTAAAGAATACTATATTAATATAACTAACCTTCTTTAAAATTTAAATAAGATAATACTAAGACTTTATTTCTATCCTATTTAAAGATTTAATAGTATTAATAACTGCTGTAATTTATAAAATGTTAATAGGGGAATAATAAATAATAAAAGTAGCAGTATTAAATAAGTTATATAACTAATCCTCCCTACTAAATAATATCTAAGCTATACAGTAAATAGCTAAGTAATTTTATAATAGCCTAACTGCAAAGGATAATATAAACTAGGCTAGTTGGGGTTATAAGGCAGCTCCCCGGCTATAGGACTCACCAGTATTACTAAATTAAGTAAAAGGTTATAATTACTATAGTAACTTTAAGCTATATCCCAGCTAGGATAATATATATAAAGATATAGACTAAGGTTTCTAATATACCTTATACCTAAACCAATAGGCATTTAGCCCTTACTAAGATATATATAAACTATATTATAGCTATAATTAATAAAATAAATTATATAACGTAGATAAGCTAATATTTAACTCCCTTAAATATATACAATAGTCTGACGTTTAACTTAAGGCTTTTTTAAAAGACTATTATTATAACCTATAGTATTAGGAAGCTAAATACTAACGATTTACAAAAACTAACTGAAATTATTATATATATAATAGGCCTTAATAGAAGATGCAGCTATTTAGAATAAACTATCGTTATATATTTAAGGTAGATATCCTAGCTTTAGATATCTTAGTTATAACAATCTTATTATATATTAGCCTACTAAAATAGTTAGCGACTGACTACGGTAAGGAAATGGTTTTATAAAATATTATATTTAATATTTTATTATCTTTTAGGTTAGATAAATATAGATAGTTTTAATCCCTAAATAATAAAATATAGAGAAAGCTAATGTTTAGCTTAAATATATAGATTAATATTCTTTAATAGAGATTCTAATATAACTGCAGAGCTATTATAATAAAAGTAGATAAATTATAATATTCTTTTAATAAAGAAAAAGTATTACTTCTACAGAAGTATATTAATAAAAAGTTATTATTATATAATAAAGTAGGTAAGATAGATAAAGATATAAAAGCCCAGCGGTTTATTTTAAGAGTAGATTTAATATTAGTAAAGCTTATAAACGTTAACTGGCATTAAGTTACTGTAAATAAAGTTAAAGCCTAACTTATGGTAAAGGAATAGACCGTTAAATAAAACTGAAATATATATTAAAATAATACCTATTAGAATTATACATAACTATAAAAAATATAAACTGTAATTAAGGAACTATAAGTATATAATAATAAACTTTAGTAATAGATATATAAGGAGAACTATTATTATAATAGGTTTTATAGGGAAAATAAAATATAGGAACCTACGGACTGTAATACTCCTTAAATATAAGAGGAGGACTAAATATAACGCTAAGATTAATAATAGGGGTATATTAATAAAAACGCTGGCTCTACGCTACCACCTAAAATAAATAACCTAAAACATTTTCTATAATAGGATTAGTAGGACAGTTAATAAGATAAAAGACCCTTAAACTTTAAACAGCAGAGCGAAACCTTAAATTTCAGAAGATATAACAATAATATATAGGCTGCTACCTTAGTAAAAGCATATATTATATTTAAATAAGATAAAAATAATAAAATAGATTTAGATAATTAAAATAAGTATACTAGCGAAGGTATACGCTTAGCTACAGCAGAACCCCTCCTTTATCTATTATATTTAAAAAACTAAATAAGCAATAGCCAACTAGGGTTACTTTGCCTAGTAACGGCATACCCCCTGGTTTTATAATTAGTATTTCTATAATAGCTTTTAATAACTTAGACGCTCTTTATAAGTTATACGACAACGGCGTAGCAAATCCTACTAAAATATTTATAACCATAGCCAACGACGAACCCAAAACATCATATATTACTCCCAAGTCCCAGCCATTAAAATATATTACTCCTAAGTCCTAGCTATTAAAATACCCTAATATTAAACTATAGAACGCAGACGTTGTAGGATAACTATAGACTTATACCTAGCTCCGTATAATGTACTTTACTATACAGGTATATACTAAAGTATTATTAAACATTAGCTTACTTATATTAATTATTAAATAGATATATTTTAAATGTTATTTCTCCGCCTTAAACCTAATTATATTGTAAAGGTTAATTTTTATTAATGGAGTAGGGGAGGGGGGTCTTAGGATTATTAAAGCAGCTACTGTTAAACTTTATTTATAAACTATTAACGGTAAGATTACTATATTTATAATAATATATATAGTAGTTGATAAACTTTCCTATAGATTATTATTAAGGACCTCTTTTTTACGTTTAAATAAGTTAAATATTATATAAAGAGAAAAAGCAGAGGTAGATTACCTAGACGCTGGGCAGGGGTGTATAGTGCTAATAACCTATTTAACGGAATAGGTTTAAAACCTTTAATAACACTTATATCCTTTATAAGCTAGCTAAGACCTTTTACTGCTACTAAGCAAAGGCTATAATATTTATATACACTTTAAAAAATTAATCCCAGTTACAGCTAATAGGTATATTTTAGAACTATAGGTTCTAATAGATTTTATAAAGCTAGTATTCGCCTTACTACTTAATATAATTATAAGTGGTTAAGATATATATTTATTAATAGTAAACCTAAGAGATTCCCCTATTTATATATATTAAAGGTTATACCTTAACTAATTAAAGCCAGTTTAGCTTACTAAAGATCTAAAAATATATACTACTAATAATAAAATAGGTATTACTTTAATAGACTTATTGAAAAATAAATAATTAAAAAATAAAAAAAATTAAAAATATAAAGACAGATATCCCTTTTATATTATACTATATAATAAAGGAGATATTAATTTAATAAATGTAAATATTTTTAATATATAGGATCTAAACTAGTGTTAATATATTATAGTAATATTTTGTAAATATTAATGGTTATTTTACTTAGGCTTAGGGAGGTTTAAGGATAGAGTAAAAATGCCTATCCCTTTTAAACCTAAAGTAAATATTTTTAACTTATAATAATACCTATTTAGCCTTTTCTATTAAAATTAGACTGCAATAGACAGTATTCTAAACCTATTAAAGAAGATTAAGGTAGTAAAAGATATCTCCCTTAAAGAACTATTACTGGCGGTATCCCTAGCTTTTATAGTTTAAAAAAGGGGTAAACCCTATTTTATTGTTAATTTACACTGGGTAAATATAAAGTTAAAACTTAACGCCTACCCTTTACTAAAATAAAAGAATATCTTCTTTTTATTATAAAGGAATATTATTTTTATAATAATAAACCTTATTAAAAGATTCTTTTAATAGCTTATTATTAAAGAAAATTAATAAAAAATATTATTTATAATACCTTATTAAGGTTAAAAGAGATTTACTGTTAGTATTATAGGGTTAGTAATTAACTCTGCGTTCTTTTAATATTATATAAAGTTTTTATTAAAATAATACCTATAGTAATTTATTTTAATATATATTAATAATATAATTATTTACTTTAAAGACTTAAATTAATATTTACTATACTTTAATAATATTTTAAGTATTTTAATAAACTTTAGGTATATAATAGCGTTTTTTAAATATTATTTTATATAATTAAGATTAAAAGCGCTAGGCTACTTTATATTAAAGCTTAGTTTTAATACATTAGTGGAGAAGATAAAAGCTATATAATAATTAAATATACCTAAAATACTAAAAGATTTAAAAATAGATTTTAGTTTTATAAATTATTATAAGAACTTTATAGCTTTATATTTAGTAATTATAGAACCGCTATAGAAGATTAAGGCTATTGGTTTTAAATATATATTAATTAAGAACCTAAAATAAATAATATATATAATAAAGGTTATACTGCTATTAATAGGGCTGGAGGAGCTAGATGTATCTATAATAGAATAAGTTTAGGGTAGTAGGCGTTAAAAAAAGGTAAAATAGGTTAAAATTAATTAGTAAAAGCTTTAAGAGGATATATAATATATATAGAAAATCCTAAAGGAGAAATTATATACTATAGTAAAATTAGCCTTTTTTAACTACTTATTGCTGTTTAAGTTATATATAGATAGTAGTAAAGAATAAGGGTTTAAGGTAGGATTATATTAAATATAGGATAGTAAAATATAATTTATATTATTTCTGTTTTAGTATTTAACGCTAGTAGAGTATAATTACAGTTTAACGGAATTAAAGACAGTAGCTTTTGTTTAAGTACTGCAGAAGTTATCCTATATCCTAGACTATTCTAAAATATATATTATTATAGATTATATAGCTATCTGGGATATATTCTAAAATATTAGATTTTAAAAACCAAAAGGGAAATATTACCTTATTAATTAATATTTATATTTAAAATAATAGAAAACTTAAATTACTATTAGCTATTAAGAAAGAAAGAAATATATTAATATAGATACTTTATTATATTTACTTATAATAAATGTAGACTGTAATTTATTTATTATTACCTATAGATAAACCAGGGAGCTGGTATAATAAGTAAAGGATGTAGAGAGACAGTTAACGCCTATAGATAAATATTAGGATTTAGGTAAAGGAGGCAGAAATACATTAAGGCCAGCAGTAGATAAAATGTAATTAATAAACCTAATTAAACTTATACCCCTAGCCTTAAAAAATGTAAAGGTAATTAAATTAATAATAGCTATATTAATAAAGATAATTAGTTTATTGCTGTAATAGTTAAATATAGCCCTTAAACTAAGACCTATAGACTAATAGTAGGAGGGAGAGGACTGTAAATTGCTGTTATTTTTAAACAAAGACTTCCAAAGGTAACTAACGGTAGTATTACCTTAAGATAGGATATTCTAATATATTTATAACATTTTATAAAGTTAAATAAAGTAAAGAGGCTTTAACTCCCTACTTAATTTCTATATATATTTATTAATTATATTTTTATATTATAATATAAATAATAGCCTCTGTTTTTACTTTCTGAAGGAGGTAGTAAATAAAGTCTATAGACTTATATATAACCAGCGAGTATATTTTAATTTATATAAGTTTTATAATACCCTTTAGGATATAGTCTTTTTTTATAATATAAAATAATAAATAATTAAATATATATTAAATTGCTTAAAATACTGTAAAGCTAAGTTATAAAGGGGCCTCCTGTATAAAAATATATAACTAATATTAATATTATAGATATTACTTTTAATGTTATACTTAAACTTTATCATTAGTCTTTTGCTTATATTAAACAGCTATAATATTATTTTACTTATAATTAATAAATTTATTAAATTTATTAAATATTTTATCGGGGATATAATATAAATAATAAAATAATAAGCGTTAGTATATATTAAATAAATATACTTAGATTAAGGATTCCTATATATATTTATATATAATATAAACCTAAAATTAATATTATATCTTTAGGAGTTATTATATTAAATAGCTGGAATTTATATTTACATTAGTGCTGCATATTATTAATAAGCTAATAGATAAAGTAAGAGAGCGATATAGATAGTAGTTTACAGTTTATAAGCTTTAATAAGAAGTAAATATAACTAGGGATATTAGCCGTTATTATTGCTGTATATTATATATACCTTAAATATATTAATATATACTATAATAATATATTTAGCCTTTAAATTTCTATATAAAAAGAAGGTAGTATACTTTTTATTAATACTAATTATTACTAAAGGTATTTATAACTATATTAAAAATTATTAATAAATATATAAAAATATATAAAATATAGTATAATTAACTATAGTGCAGATAAAAATATATTATAACCGATAATACATTAACCCACTTAATATTATAAAAGGAAACTTAATATATATTAAACTAACTAAGCCTAAATAACCTAAATATTACTTATAGAATTAAACTAAACTATTTTATTACTGGGTGGGATTATTTAAAGTCTTAAAAAGAATAAGCCTATTAAAATATTAACTAAACTTATTAGAATATTTTAAATAAAAAGATAAATTTAATATTAAATATCTTAAGATATATTTACATTTAATTTAACTAGCGGAACCGCTGGGACTATTAAATATAAACAGAATATATAAATTCATTATTTAAAAAATTATTATAAAGAGAATAAATAGTAATAGAAAAGAATATAAGGTTAAATAGCTGAGATATTTAAATATTATATAGAAACTGGAGGCAACCCTATAATTAAACGTACCTTAGATATTATAGGATTTCCTTAGCTAATAATAAATATAGCAGAGCTATAGTAATATTAACTTTACGAAGCTAGTATTAATATAATATTATAGTATACACCAGCCGCCAACCTATAAGTAAATCTCAGTATTAGCTAATTAATAACCATTAACCAGCAGACTTTACTTTTTAATTATATTATTTATTTTTCCCCACTTATATTTTAGATTTTTATATTATAACCTTTTTTTATATTTTCTTTTTTTTTTTTTTTTTATTTTTCTTTTTTAAAACCTCCTTTATTATTAAACCTTAATAAATATTATAGCGCTAAAGTAAATATTACTTAAGGAACCACCCCAGTACTTTACTATTATAGATATTATAATCTTAAAAAAGTAAAAAACAGAGATAAACCTCTCCTTAAATTTATTAGACTATAAGAATATTATAAACATTCTGTAAATATATTATAAATAAATAATATAGCTTTTAGTAAATAACTATTAGACTTTTATAAATATTATTACTTAAGGAAAATTCTTTTAAACAGCTAGTTTAAAAGCTTTGTTAATATTCTATAGCTTTTATAAAGCAGTATAAAAGAAGGGTTTTAAGCTAAAATATATCCACTGGGTTATATATATCGTTTTATATATATTATTTAAAAATAAAATACTTATAGTATTTTTAAACACTGTATAAGTAAAGTATAATATAATAGTTATTAAAGACTATATATATAAATACTATAAAATTTATATTTAAAAAACAATTATAAAAGTTCTAAAAATAACTGCCCTAACGTTAACTGCCTTAAAGTTAAATACCCTAAAAACAATTGCCTTAAATACAATATTTTAAAAAAGTGCTATTATAAATAAACTAATGTAGACCTTAAAGGAAGTCACTGCTGTAAATAAAGAAGAATCTTTAATTAAGTCTATCGAAGAGTCTATTATACGTAAATAATAAAAGATAATAATATAATAGCTAAAAGTCATTAGCTTAGTGCCTATAACCCCAATAATAGCTATACTTTCCTAAACGTTTTTAATCTTTAACTTATTAAATATATTTTCTATATAATTATTAAATATATTTATTAAATAGAAGTCCTTTAGCCTCTTATACAATTAAATATTATAGGCTAATAAAATTAACTAAATAGTAAAAAAATAGGATTAATTTATAGAAGATATCTATAAGGAGTGTAAGAATATATATATACACTAAATACTTTAAGATAATTCTAAAAATTATATAGTAAAAGATTAATAAAAGGCTATAGTAGACTATTGCTAGGTAGTAAAAGACTATTATTGGGTAGCGGAGGATTATTGCTAGGTAGCAGAGGACTGCCAGCTGGCTGTAGTAAATTAATAAAAATTAGCTTAAATAATTAAAAAAATTAAGACTTTTATAGAGACAATTGTAAGCTTTTATTAAAAGATTAATATATACTTTAGCTTTTAAGAACCTTTTTTTTATTATTATACTTAGACGTTTATATTGGTTTTACGTAAAGGGACCTGCGTTATTTTTATTAGGGGGATGTAAGGTTATATAACCTCTGGTACTTAATATATAAGTATATATATTAGGTAGTTACCTTTATAGAGGTTAGATAGCAGTAAGTTATCTTTCACACATCTTTTAGTCCTTTACTACAGTGACCTGGATGTCCGACTTCCATACACCTCTCCCGACGTTGACACCTCATAAGATTGGTACACAGCGCTTGAGAAGAAGTTGGAGGAAGAGAAGAACAAACCAGTCATTACAGATGTGCCGCCTACTGAGGGCAATCCTGAGGTTCCGAAGCCAGTGAAAGAGACTGAAGACAAAAGCGAAGGCGGTGCCAATGAAGAAGCAAAAGCAAAGGTAAAGAGTGAAGAAGTGAAAGCAGAGGAAAGGAAAAGTGAAGAAGGGGAGGCAGAAGAAAAGAAAGCAGAAGCAGAGGAGGCAGGAGAAGAGAAAGCAGAAGCAGAGAAAGCGGGAGAAGAGAAGGCAGGAGAAGAGAAAGCAGATGGAGAGAACACAAATAAAGAGGAGGCTGAAGAAGAAGCGGACGAAGACTCAGAGCTTGATAACTTCACAAAGTCGCCGGCTGCCCTGGAGCACTTGAGATGTCTTTTGGACTTTATCGATTCCGACATTTCCAAGAGGATAGATTATCTCCAAGGACCTCAATGCCGCAAGGTTTATTTCTCAGATCTCTGGTTCCTTTTCCGACCAGGAATGGAAGTCATTGGAAGCGATGGCAAGCAGGCCTACAGAGTTATCAGTGTCACCAGCGCAAAGCACAGAGTCGCAGCACCTTGGGAGAGATGGTACAACAGCATCACAGATGACAAACGCAAGGCATCGCCTTTCAACATTACTTGTATCTATATCGACTTTGACGGAAAGAATATCGGCCCAGTAACTAAAATCTTTGACTTCAAAAGATTTGACGGCGAGAAAGAGGTTACGTTACTAGAAGTCTATCCCCTTCATCTTCATCCTGTCAAGCAATCGGATTTTGATGACTCGACGTGGGCGGAAATTGAGCCACTTCCACCAAGCCAAAGATATCGACACAAATTGATACGCCGAGGAGCCATGTTCCTCGAGGTCGCTGCCGTCAAGCACATGTACTACGCGGGGCCGACGTTAGAAGTGCGAGACGACGTTGAAGGCCAAGTCGTTATCGACTTTGAAACAGCCTTCTCTGTTGAAGATGAAACTCAGAAACAGTGGAAGCCAGTATTACAGCCGCTTATTGGAAATCCCTCTGTGGAAGAAGATGATGAAGCAATGGAGGCTCGTTGTCGCGGACGCTGCTGTGAGGGTGATGTTGTATACGACGACATGTACATAGACGATCAGCAGAAAACCGAGTACCTCGACAGTCTCTTGCCAAAGATGACGGCGCTAAATGAGCAGCCTTCTATTGCCATCTTTCCAAGGTCCTTGAAAGAGTTGCAAGCTGGTACTGAGGACTTCCCTTATGTTACGGATGAGGAATTGGTCATTATGTCGTATCGGGTGTTTGGCTTTGTTCTGCGCAACCGAAAATGGGGTAAGTAGTCAAAGGTTCTCGTGGCTTCAAGGTTACATGTATCTTGTCATTGTTTGCTAATACTAAACCTGCAGCCAAATTGGATCTTTCGCACATGACGGCCGTCCATGCGCCCGATGCGTCAGCTGTATTGGCCGAAGAACGGGCACGTAATAATAATGAGAGCAAGAAGCCAAAAACCGCTTTTGATCGTCTTGTTATCGAAAAGGAACACAGATCCATGATTGTGTCACTTGTTGCCCAGCATTTCCGAGACAAAAAGTCGTCGAGCAGACAGCAGCAACAGTTTGACATCGTCAAAGGCAAAGGTATTTTCTCAGAGTTATTTGGATGATACAGCATGAACTCACACTCGTCTCAGGGAAAGGATTAATTCTTCTTCTTCACGGCGCCCCCGGAGTGGGTAAAACGTCTACTGCCGGTTAGTGATAGAATCCGCCCACTTCACCCAGATGCCATCTTACTGACATGATATGAATCAAATAGAGGGAGTAGCTGAACTCTTCAAGAAGCCATTGTTTCAAATTACGTGTGGTATGTAATTCTTTGGCTCAATTATATATTGCGTTCATTCGATGGCTAACATTGTTTCTGTTATTAGGAGATCTCGGGACAACGGCAGCAGAAGTCGAAAAAGCCCTGGAAACAAACTTTGCACTAGCAAATCGATGGGATTGCGTTCTTCTTCTTGACGAGGCCGACGTGTTTCTAGCGGAAAGGACCAAAGAAGACTTTGTGCGGAATGGGCTTGTAGCAGGTGCGTCAAAAGTGCATAAGTATTCAACATCATCGTGCTCACCATTTGATCACTTTAGTTTTCTTGCGTGTTATGGAATACTACGCCGGTATTCTCTTCTTGACGACGAATCGTGTTGGAGACTTTGACGAAGCTTTCACCTCGCGCATTCACATCAGCTTATACTACCCAGAGCTGGATGCTGGCAAAACTCTTGAAGTCTTCGATAACAACTTGGCCATGATTGAAGGCCGGTTTGCGAAGAAGAACAGAGTCATTAATATCGAAAACACAAAGATTCGAGGATTTGCAGCCACTCATTTCCTCCAGCACAAGGAAGCTCGCTGGAATGGCCGGCAGATTCGCAACGCTTGCCAGACAGCGCTGGCGCTAGCCGAGTATGAAGCTCAGGGCAATAGTCACGAGGCTATTTTGAAGCCCGACGCTGTCATAAATCTCAGTGAAAGACACTTTGAAATTGTGCGAAACGCGTATCTCGAGTTTGCCGACTACATGAACAAACTATATGGCATTGGCACCGCACAGCGCGCCAAAGAAGGCAGACTACGAGCTGTCTGGGTCGACGAGAATAACAATATAGTCGACACTTCTGGGTCAAACAACAGAGGACAAGACAAAAAGAAGGCCTTTCTCAACTCAACACAAGGACAGCTCCCTCAACAACAGACATTTGTGCAGAATTCATCTCCACAGCCGCAGCAATATGTTCTCCAGCAGCCTCAGTTCTCTCAGAATTTCCAGCACCAGCAGGATTTGCAACAGCAGCAACTATTTCAGCAATTCGGAGTGCCACAACAACAATACCAGCACCAGAATATCGTGGCTCCACAGCCTGTCTACCCCAATTCCAATCAGATGCAGATGCAGATGCAGATGCCAAATGTTCCCATCAACCAGCAGTGGAATAATAGAGTAGAAAATACAGGTAATGCTCCATTCCAGAGTCCGACGGGAGGGCAGGATCAGATGCAGATTCCACGTTCAATTGTACAGCAACAGCCTCTAGCACTGTCACCGTCAGCAGGCCAGCAGCAATCAATTGCACAACAGCTCGGCCAGGGAATCCAGAGCATGTATACAGCATCATCTACCCAGTAAGAGGCCAGAAAAGGATCAAGAAATTACAAAGCCTTTTTAGGAATATGTTTCCAATAGATCGAGCATCTTGGTATCTTCATAGAGACAGAGCTCCATATAATCGCCCGGTGGTCATGTCACAAGAGCTAAAGATCGGATATAAATTATTCTCATTATGATATTGTTTTCAGTATATGTACTCATAAAAAGATGATAACAGTCAGTGAAAGGAATCTGGCGTTTTAAAAACGTAGCATAGCTTCATTAATATGCAATAAGAAACACCCTCAGCCATCGATTCTGGAAGACGAAAATTACGCTACACCCTCGATTGATATTCAAACCTACAGGCGAACGAGCTATATGTAATAGAGATATGGCAATGTACTACCCGTATCAAGTCAGGGAATATTCGCAGTTATCGCAGCGCCAAGATTGGCACTGGGGGCAATTGTCGTCAATCCGGATGCTGTACCAGCCTCCACTGCATTTACACTAGGACTATATTAGCCGCCTTCGATAAAGAGATGACAAGTGGAAAGGAATCGTTAAACATACGCATCGCCAGTGCAATGATTTATCTCGGACTTTTTTCGCTTCTCGTGCTTCGTGTGCCTCTCGTGCATCTCGTGCATCTCGTTCTTCCCGTTCTTCCCGTTCTTCCCGTGCTTCTTGTTCCCGTGCTTCTCGTGCTTCTCGCCCTCGTATTTGCATTTCAAATTTTACTCGTTCTTCCTGTACTTCTGCTTCTCGTGATTTTTGGTCATTTCGTGCTCTTCTCTTTTTTTGGATTTCCGTTATCTTTTCTCTCATCTCTCCGAAATCGAACGATTTGATTTTGACTGTCAAGACGTGTGCCTTTTTGCTCCTCTCTGATTTTTGAGATTCCATTAAGAATTGACTTCGCAGCTCTTCAACACTTGACTTCAATAACGTCATTTGTTGTGCCAACGTCTGTGCTTCCGAGTTAAGCTGCATATCTTGATCTTCCAGTGCAATTTCTGCTAAGATATCATCTTCCAGTTCTCTTACAATGTGTCTGAATAATCCTAATTCTGCCTCTATATATTCTCTTTCTACTCGCATCTCGGAATCTTCTTCCACTGGGGATAAAGATCGAGAAGAGGTATTGGAGCGGGCCGCAAGATCAACTCCGAGAGAGGGCCCCAAATTGCCAGGGCGCAATATTTCGCTGCCGGGATGGAACGGGTCCGCAACCGCTCTCGGGCGAGATTTTGGACGACCTGTGGTATCGTGTTAGTTGTAATTCATATTATATGATAAAGCTATGCTCTCGCAAAGATGAAGGACTTGCCTCTTCCTGGGGGTGTTAGTGAATCCTGATCCATGTGCGATTTGGGTGGCTCAAAGCTCCCTTGTCTTGAATTGGTCGTGGGCGCAAAGTCAATGTTGATGGCTGGTGGTGCCATTTGGTGCATGTCAGCACCCATACCGTCTTGCAGTAGTGGGTGTTGATTATGTGTCGTTTCCTGCCCTACGATGGTATTTAGAACAGGTAAATCGTCCCTTGTGTCAGGCCGGTTTGGCAGGTTGGGCTCTTTCCAATCTTCTCCATAAGCGTCTACTGTAGTGAAATCGCCATTGTTTCCTGACTTTGGGTATCTGAAGATAAATCTTGCTTTGTCGTGCACAGCGATTTCATCCTTGTCTTCCAGTTCGCGACGCTGGTTCCGTCCGATAAGACCCTCGTTAATGTACGTTCCATTGCTTGACAGGTCTTCAACGATTGCTACGGTATCTGTCCCGACGTTTTCCTCAAAAATAAGGCAGTGTCGGTTGGAAACGGCCAGCTCGCTAATAATTAAATCTGCCAAATATTCGTTAGCATTCTCTGCTCTCCATATCAAAATTAAGCACCAAAGTTATTAGATCTTACCACACTCATGGTGACGTCCAATTAAGTACCCTCCGGCTGCAATATACTTTACTTTAGCTGCTAATGAAGAGGCTTTCACAGCAGCGGAACTGGGGTCTGCGACACGTTTTCTGACTACCAAAGGCTTGTCGCCATATTTGGGATCCAAGGGGACTAGATAGCCCAAGACACCTTCCTTGAGCTCGTCCACAGCATCACCAGAGAGCGCCGGGTGCCAATCGGCGGGCTGTTTTGGCATCTCCGAGTCGTTGTCAGGCTGGTCGTTAATCACATCTGGATACAGGAGCTCCATGTATTCCTCATGGTCAAAAGGTCTCCCCCTAAGGGCTCGCGACAGAGGCTCTCGCTATGTTAAATTAGCACTTGAAGCCAACTTTCCAACTTTTAGCGTATAGGCAAGTCGTGGCCTCTAACTTACCGCGATATGCGCTCTCCATGCCTCCTCAGTCGCCGTCACTGTCCTGGCCACGGGGTTGTAGATGAAGTCCGGGTCCTCTCGAAGGCCTCGCCACAGTCGGAAGCTTTTCCGAGCATCGTCGCTCTTGTTGATCAGATAGCCTTTAGCAGGGTAAACACGGTGGTGTTCCTGTAGAGCCCGGGCGGCGCGCTCCCAGGCTTCGTCCTTAAAGGCGTTGTTTTCTCGCATGCCCAGCTGGACACTCTCACACAGACTGCGGAAAAGGGTGGCCTCATAAGCTGGTGTCCAATTGAATCCGGGCGCCTGGTGATCGACATCGACATGGCCGGGCCCTTGTCGGTCAGCTGCGGCTGCGGCTTTGGCCTCGGCTTCGGCCTTCATGGCAGCTTCGACTCGGAGACGAGTTGCCTCTTCAATCCTGGCAGCTTCGTCGGCGCTTTCTGCCTTGATGGTTGCCTCTAGACGAAGGCGAGTTGCTTCCTCGGCTCGAGCGCGGTCTTCATCCTCTCTCATCCTCCGCTCTTCGGCAGCCTTAATCTCTGCTTGAAATTTGAGTCTCGCAGTTTCCTCTGCTCGAGCCATAGCCTCAGCATGCTGGCGCCTTCTATCCTCTTCGGCCTTTTTCTCGGCCTCGATTCTCTCACGGGTTATGCGTTCAGCTTCCAGTCGAGTGTGCTCAACCTCCTTCTTGGACTCCTCTTTCTGCAATCTTAATTCTTCTATCTTCTTAGTAAGGGCTTTCTCGGCATTCTGGCGGGTTTTTCCCTCCAGTTCTCGCTGATTTGCGGCTTCCTTGGCCCTCTCCTCCTCGGCCTGCAAGTCAACAAGCTTCTTTCGCAGACGCTCATGCTTACTTCCGACATCATCTCCTGTATCTTGCGGTTGTTGATTTTGCGGTTCCTCGGTCTCGTAACCGGATCTTGGGGTTTTTCTTCCCTCGGATCGCTGGTTTTTTTTATTCCAGTAGTGGTTTACCGCGTCGCTAACGAGTTCCCAGTCATTGTACACTATTGATCCAATAAAGAACACCTTAATGTTGTGTTCCACTGTTACTAGCCTAGAGTAATTGACACGGGATTCTTTTGAGAGCTTCTCGCCCTCTTCTTTTATGTCGACCCTAACCGGAGGAAACCCTAGCTTTGGTTCATTATCAAGTAGTTGCGGTTTGCTGCCGCGCTCATGAATAATACCATGTTCGTTAGGGTTAACACCTTTCTTTGTACAGCCGTTGCCGCCATACGTTAAGATTTGCCTATTGAAAGTTAAAATGACATCTTAAAAGGGGGAGACTTCATGTAAACATACACACAGGTGCAGCGGCCTAGATCGCTTGCTATCACAATAAAGCTTTTAAAGCCAATAACACACCTGGTTCCAACCCGGCTTTGGACTTCGTATTTGCTGGATTCACTTGAAGTATCTTCAGAGCTGGCGCCTTGAGTCTCCGGCCAATGGATTTTGAATATCTTTCCAAAACCAGTGTTAGTAATCTTTTTCAGTTAGGGGCACAGCTATACGTACCTCGCCCGGTTGAAACTTGCTAGACGGTTCAAACCGGTAACCTAGTTTGGGTATCAGATCAGCTCTTCTGGCGCGGTTTGCAACAATAGCTACAAGAACCTACGTGGATCTAGTCTTTTCACTGACTGCTCAAGTGCTGCAACAAGATGGATATATGTGCCTGGCTGAATATTTCTCGAATTTTCATTTATGTCGCGTAATTTTTCGTAATCTTTTGATAAGATGGATTCCTGAATAAACTGAGTTGAATCATCTGCGTTGTCAGGATCTTGTCCCACATGGGATATATCCGGATTATTCTCTTCCCAAACTAAACGCTCGTCATATGGCAGAACTGGGCGTTGTTGGGGAGAATCGCGATTGTGTTCGAGTTCTCGATCGCGCTTCGTTTGTATGTTACGACGCTCTGTCTCCTGTTGCACCAATCTCTCTTTTCGCCTCCGTATAATTTCCCTAGGGCCTGGTGGTGATAACGGATCGTCTACGTAAACAGGACTTCGCGAAAAATAATCGAATGACTGTTCGAGACGCTGTTCGTTTTCGCGATCGTGCTCATTTCGTTTTTGTAGATCTTTCCAGATGGTGGGACCCCATATCGTTTCGGCGTGCCTCGCCCCAGCCTCAGTACGAGCAAATATATCAAGAGCCTTACTCTTGCTTGGTTCTGTATGTAGGTCGGCATTGGCGTTCAACCTTTTAGTCACTTCTTGTAGCGCTTCGTGTACTTGGTAAGCTATGGTTAACTGTTGCTTTGTCTGCAGTAGTGCCGGGTCGTCATGGTCAAGCTGACTGATCTGAAAGAATTTCAGGTGCTCAAGCGTCTCAATGGCTTCGTCTATTAGTCCAGCCGCAATACATGCCTCCCCAAGCTCAAAGAGAGCTGTGTTTGTTGTGTTACTCGGAGGCCAGGCTCTAATAATCTTCCCATATTTCTTTAGCTGGAAGCATATTTTTTTCATTTGCTCCAAAAAGAAATCAGTCTCCTCCAATGATAGCATGTGCACTGGGGAGCGAAGCGTTGCTATTTCGTTGCTCATGTCCCTTATTTTTGTCAATATTTCATGGTTTATGAAGTTTTCATCTCCAGTTTTGCCAGTAGCATTTGATTCTGCATCTAGATCTCCGTCGAGAGACTTATTGGAATCAACATGAGCACTAGCAGACCGGCCTCCAGAGTCTTCTCTATCGCCATTGTCTGTGCAACGAGGTATGGCAAACATGGCGAAGCGCTCAAGGTGAAGTGCGATGTGACTCTGTAGCTTTTGCATAGACCCTAAAACTATGGAGCAAACAGGACAGCTTCGCTGGTTATTGGTAATTGTTGATTTTGCAAAATTTAAGGACATTGAGTCTTCTTTATGATACTCTTGTGTATGCTCTTCATATGTTGATAAGGTGGTAAAAGTTGTTTCCTCATGTTTTGGGCACCGAAATACGGTTTGGTGCGCAGACGTTTCGTGCTGGATCCAGTCGTCACGGCTGTCATACAATTGTTCAGAGTTTGAACAATGTTCAAAGGTGCAAATATAAGGCCGTAAATCTCGTATTAAATGAGCCCTGAAGAAAAGAATGGTCAGCACAAGGTAGTCTCAAGATATATAAAAAGACTTTTAAAACTTGCGAAAACATCCTTACCTCCAGGCCTTTTCTGAGAGAATGGAAGCTGGGCAGATGGTATAACAGTATGGGCATTCGAAAAACTCGTCAGTTGTAGATACCTTCGGAGGCAGTGGAAAGCTGACGATGTCTTTGCTAGGGTTCCATGCTGACGGAGCATACTCAGAGACAGCAAGCGGCATGATGTTTTCATTCTCCAATAATTCTTTCCCAGCTCCGTGTGAAGGATGTAATTGAGTAGCTGTTGTGACCGTTAAAGGTGCTTTATGCCTCTTGCTTTCGTCTTGTATGATATTATCTCCAGTGGGTAACTTGTGCGATAACAATTCGACGGTAACAGCTGTATGTTCGCGGAGCTTGCCTTTATGCTTTCTCCAGTAAGCGAACTGCCGCCTTCTGAGTCCGTTGGCCTGAGCTATTCGGTGAACCAGGTAAGACTCATTGCCATTTGATATTTTGATTCTGTTCAGCTCCAAGGTCTGTCTAATCGGCTCCCATACTTGATCTCCGACAGCAGGCTCCTCGTTATCACCAGTGGCATCATGATGCTGGGCTGTTGGATTTTCCTGTAGGGCTTTATTCTTCTCATACTCTAGGAATAGAGAGCTGACATAATCATAATCGAAGGTCTCATATGATTTGAATAGGTCTATGTTGGTTTTCTCGTCTATTTGCTGAAAATTTCGGGCTTTCGAAGACGCTATTCTGGTCGATGGGTTTCGGATCCAAACAGCCATCTTATAAAGACGATCAACCGGATCCTTGATACTGTCAAGAAGCAGGTCCATATCTGATTCCATTTCAGAATCTGAGTCTGCATCGGAATCTTCATCTTCTTGTTCAATATTGCCATGGAGGTAGGCAAGGACTATGATACGATTGTTAGAGTGATACCAGAGTGATAACGCAGCTGTGGTCAAGAATACTAGAGACTTTTGTATGAGAAAATTTTCACTCATTACCTTCATCAAGGGACCTATTCAAATTTTTCATCATTTTAAGTATGGCCTCTTTCATACTTTCGGAATCGCGAATCCTGTAATCCAGAGAGCCGTGCCCCATCACGAAAACTCCGAGATTCACTGCCCAAAGTTCAAATCGCTCAAATTGGGCAAGGAAAAGATGTTTCGGCCATTCAAGAGACTGTTTTTCAACTAATTCCAACTCAGCCTCTTGGAGAAGCTTAAATCGCTTCATTGTTGCGAGACCAATATCAGCGAGGGATTCCATCGTTGCGTATCCTGACGAAGAACATTTGTGGAATACAAATTGCTTTCTGGGTCGATAGCTTGTTGATAGCAACTTAAATCGCAAATATAGATAATACCCTGTCTGATAAATTATGTTTGCAAAACCATTTACAATTTGGTGATCTGAGTATTGGCTTGGAGGCAAGGGTTGTACGGTGCTTCCGAGAGCTGAAAGCGGGGAGTGGAATCCGTAGGTCAAATGGAATATGTGATATCGATGGTACATGTAATTATTTGTTTTACAAAGCCGAATATTAACCAGATACTCAGATGCGGCATTGATCAGCTCCAATGGTAAAAAGATGCGGTATAATTTGTCTAAATATATTCACTGTCTACTATTCAATTATAAGACATTTCTTATGATTTTCAACAAAGGAAATGTATTGATGCATCTTCACAATATCCTTCTTCGTTCTTTGGACATCTTGTGACCAATAGCCCTGGCAATACGTACATGCTATGCCGGCGAGTTACAGCCTGACCAGGAATATATCCCCGCACCTGCAGAGCCTCATTGGAATAGCGCCAGATTTGCATTTGATGACGCAGATTTATTGAACAACAAACTCGTTAAGTTTTTTCAAACCTAATAGAAATACTACATGTCGACCTTTGAGGCTTTCGGAATTGTTCTTCGGGCGATTCCCATCCTTATCTCAGGTGCAGAGCTATGGCGTGAGGGATACGACAAAGGCAGACTAGCATTCCGTAAGCGACAATATGTCGACAAGCTTGCGAATGCCCTGCTGTTACAGCGACAGACAGTGTCGGAAACAGTTCATCTCATCATTACACGGAGCGGTTACAGTTATGACGAGGCATTACTTAACGAGGATCCTCTTGCATATTTTCAGAATGAGAACATTCAGACTCAGGTGGAGGACTTCCTAGGGGATGAGAACTACAAAGCTCTGATTGGAAGGATACGAGACATGCAAACTACTTTAGAAGAAGTAGCCAAACATTTGGATGGTCTCATTCCTTCTCACAAGGTATGGTGAAAAACGTATTACATAAAGAACATCTTTCTCATTGCTTGATACAGGATAATCCTCATGATCTTGTCGGAATCATAGAAGCAAATCAAACAGCAAAGAAACATAAACCAGATTTTCTCCCCCGCCTCAAAGTCGCTCTCAAGAGCAGCGAAATAAAGCAAAGCATCAGCGAGCTTGACACGGCCACCAGTACGCTCCACACATTCTCACAAACAATGTTAATGAATCGGCATGGTCCTATCAGTTCATTGCCATCGTCAAATAACACCAAGCTAGCCAATGCTTTCCGCCGAATTCAGAAATCCTCTAAAAACTTGTACACGGCTCTCTGTCGTTGTTGTACGGGGTCATGCCACCACGAACATGATGTGCACGTATTGCTTGAGGATCGAATTGACGTGGCAACTAAGCTTCTTCGCTCCAAAAAGCAATGGAGTGAGGAAGATAAAGCAATATTGGCGTTTCAGCTGATCTTTGCCGCAAAGCTTCTCACTCCTATTCAGACGAGATGTCATGAGCTGTCTGTCAGATGTATGCAGCAAGACGAAAGCGACGATTGCCCTCCTGCTCTAGAGTCGAAACCTTCACGGGTAAAAGTTTGTGAGCCTGAGCCGATCAAACTGAAAGATCCACACTCTTTACAGTCAAACTTTGTTCCAATAGACAATTTTTGCGCCGCAATTGTAACGGCTCACGATAAAGCACAACATGTCGCCTTTATCCTACATACAAGTAATAGAATGGGTGTTGTGACGGCGAAAGAGAAAACAATAATGCTAAAACACAGTTGCCAAACAATTACTTTGAAAGATGTGCTTTCGGGAACATCCAAAGCTTACGGAGCGAGGTTGCCTCTGCAGTCGAGCATGCTGCTCGCCTCAAAGCTCGCCTCAAGCCTGCTGCAGTTTTCTCAGACACGTTGGTTTGGCCAAGCATGGTCGAAAGATTCAATATTTTTCTTATTACACCCGGTATCGGAAGGCGTAGCACCCCTGGCTGACTTCAATCGGCCCTTTGTGTACGCAAAGATCGAAGGTGGGGAGGTGAACGGGGCGAAAACCGCCGAACCCAAGTCTATTCTTCTAGAACTTGGAATATTGCTCCTTGAAATATGGCATCACACCGCATTGGAGAATCGATTCGCCCAAAGGATAAATCAGACTTCGGGAGATTACTTCTCCCGATTGTCTTTTGCGGCTGAGTGGTTGGATGATGATTACAACCCGCTGTTGCCGATGTACGAGAATGCTGTGAGATATTGCATTTACGGGGCTGCTACCAAACGCTGGACTGATTGGAATACGAACGAGCTATGGAGTGAAATATGTAAAGAGATCATTAAACCTCTCTCAGAGAACTGTGGGCAGTGGAGGAGGAGCACGGTGACTCTATAAACGTCAAAGGTGGAAATACTGGCTAATAGCGAAATGGAATACGAATGTTGATGAACTGCTAGGAGACAGAGGACTAGTTATGAGGATATAAAGCGTATGTACTAGTTTGAAGCTACGAGAGTCAATTTAATAAAATGCTATGCCTCTTGGACTTGGTGACTTGGCATCAGTTCAAGGTATCCATTATAATATACAGAGGATTATAAAAAGTGAGGATTACACATTAATTCCCATCTTTGACCGAGTAGCGATGTCCATATTCGACCATTGTCGATGCTCAATGATTACTCCTTATAAGCCGCCACCGCAAATCCATGTCTCTGAGCATGAACCCTTACCGAGCCACCCTCGTCCGCCTTTGCCTTGACGACCACCTCCTTTGCATCAATACTAACCAGCTCTCCCAGTTCTTTATGGTTAACTCCCGTATCCGTTGGCCACACTTGTACCAATTGTCCCTTCTTCAACCCCTGGTGTTGCACTAGGGCATCTCCCTCATTAACCTGACCTTCAGCTTCATGGTACTCTGACCCCAGCACCACCTGTGCAGCTTCCTCCCCGGTCAATGTTTTTGGCTCACCCAACTCTTCCTGTGCCTTTTTCACAACATCCTTGAATCTCTCCATCCAAGCAAACACCTTTGGATACGCCTCCTTCGGAATCCACTCATCCGGGATCGTCTCCGAAACCCTCTCTAACCACAACAACGGCCAAGCAGCCTCAATATCACCAATACTCGGCTCCTTAGTCCCAAGAAGCCACTCTCTCCCATCAGACAACAACGTACGCTCCAAAAACTCAAACCCATTCCTCACCACCCGTATCGCCTCAGGCTTCATAGCCTCCAGAGTCTCCCGCGGGAAAAACGTAGTGCTTCCAATAAACTCCGCGCGATCCTTTACAAAAGCCGGATCATTTAGTCCCTTGTGGTTAAAGAGAACAAGCTGCACGATGCTTCTTGAAAATCCGGCATCCATGATGTAGACTTGAAGGAGGTGCTGCAGCGCTCTTTGTTCGGGAGTCTCTGCGACTGAGAGACGGACATTTTCCTGCCCCGGCTGTAGTTCACTGAGTTTTGTGAGGATGAGGCGAGTATCCAAGTAGACGTCTCTGCCTATTGTGAGAATGGGAATTCGTCTGTATTTTACGCCCAGACGTTGAACGTCTGGCCGTGGCATGATCCGTGGTTGTATCTATAGTTGTATCAGTTGTTATTCTCACTAAGGGAAATAGAGCTGCTTCCTGCATACACATTGCTGGTATTTAATCCCTTTCAAAGCAAGATACCACAGCACCCTCTGCGAGTAGGGAGAAACCGCATAGTAATATAGAATAATAGGCTTCTCTGCTATGGCCATGGTTGAAAGTGATGGTAATGATCGGTGTAAGTGCTAGTGCGGGGCGGTATGGATTCCAGGATTATAGAGAGACGAGGAATTACTGTCTTTATATCCGTGGCCGAAGGATTCAGACGCTACGTCAGGATCCGCGGAATTATAGTTACAGTCCCCAATTATTCAGCTTGTCACTTCGGCGAATTTTTAGTAGCTGAACCTCCATGTTCACAAGTTCATATTGAAGCTATCATCCCGGACATATCGGTAGTGTGATGCAGAGCAGACGGTGACTCACAATAAGTACGCCATCGACTATCGGCGTCCAGCTAGAAATACATCATCTAGTCTATAAAATTCTATTTCATCCCATTTGGGTATCTCGTTTTTAAATCTCTCACTCCGAACCAAACCCAAAAAAGCCCATCCCAATCACAAAGCGCCTCCCACAACCTTGACAATCCACATGGCAATCCGCACCTTGAGACTGACCCTCCGCTCATTCCTGGTAAAGTCTTCCATCGTGACTCCCGCGGCATGATCCTGCAGCCAGCCCTGTTCCTCTCCGAGCCGGGCCTTTAGTGCTTCGTTGCGAGTCACAATCAGGGCTCCCGCCTCAAGATCGAGCGAGTAGCTTCGCTTGGTGTAGTTGGAACTGCCAATGATGCTCATGCTAGGGTTTGCATCGCCGGGCATTGTTATCCAGAGGCCCTTTGCGTGGTATGTCCATCCCCCAGGCTGACCAGTTGTACCAAAGCGCCACTCTTTCAACGTAATGTCCCCTTCGCGACCACGTTGCTGGACGGCATATAGAAAGCGACGAGCGAGAAGCACATAAGCATCCGGCAAAAGCCCAGACACTCCCTTCGACTTGTAGAAGCCGTTAGCTTCAGGCGCCGCCGTAAGGACGACGTTTTTGTTGGAAGCTGTGTTAAGAAGCAGCTTGGTTAATGACGGAGCTGGGTTAAAGTATCCCGCGGTAAATGTCCATGACGATCCAGCATATTCCGGCTCAGACAACCTCTCGAGAATCCGCGTCAACACAGGAAGCTCCGTCGATGTATCTGGTTTCATGACTTGAGACATTTGGCTGAGCATGTACACTCGAGTGTCCTTGAGCTCGCTCTCTGGCTGCTTTTCGGGTGCGGCTATAAGCGCCTGCAGCGTAGATGTAGTTTTCTTGACAAAAGTCTGCGGCTTCTCCAGAGGTGATGGAGCAGAGTTTGTCATCGGCCAAGAAAGGGTGTATCCAGCGACATCCTCTTTTGAGGGCTGAACGAGGAAACTAAACGATGCGACGCCATTGTAGATGCCCCAAAAGTAGTCAGTTACCTCCTTGGACGAAAAGAGGTGATAGCGATCCTGTCGGTTCGTAAAGTAGTCCATCGACAAGTTGGCCCTTTGCGCAATAATGTCAGCGCGTGTATACCCCACATCTTGATGCTTCGAAACAACATACCCAGACATGATGATCTCATCGTCCACTCCGTAAAGCTTCATGTGCTGCAGTCCCCATCCCTCGTTGATCCTCTTCGGCACATACTGCTTCCGCAACCCCGTCAAATTCGGCGTATGATACATGCGAATCTCCACGCGATCAGCCCCAAACTCGTCCACCAGCGGCGCCAGCAGCGAAGCGCACGAAGCCTCCGGCGACTCGCGCGTCCCTCGCAGCGCATCCGTCAAGATGCTCAGCTTCAGATCCGGGTTCCGCCCCAGCGCTTCCCGCAGCGTCTCGATGAGCTCCTTTTCCGATTTTCCAATGTAAAGCGTCGACAGGAATATCCTCTTCTTGGCATGTCGTATTCGGTCCTGCGGTTCAATCCATCAGCCCAGCCATTTCTCTTTAGCTTTCGCAGCGCCATTTCGTCCTCTTCGCACCTTGAGCGTCTCGTAGAACTCGGCCGGCGTCTTCAAGATGCGGATCTGCTCTCCTCGAACATCGAAGCTCGGCGCCATGCGATCCAGCTCGCTGACAAGCGGTGCCAGCAATCCCGCTCCCGTTCCATGAGCCTGGACGGGAGCTCCTTGAGGTGTCGCATAGCTTCGGTATTGATATCGCGGGGGGGTGATGCTGGGCTTCGTCCGCAGAACTCGGGCTCTGGAGGCGCACCGGGCGCAGCTGCGCACAATCATTCTCTATGCGAGCAATTGATGGTCTTTTCGTCAACTGTAACCGCTATTCACAATTTGCAATGCATTCCAGAAAAAAAAAAAGTAAAAGTAAAGCGATGCCATCTCAATGTGGCTGCCCGCCATAACCCACCAAGGTAAAATCATATTTCAGCCGAGCTTTTGCCGCCCCGGAATCTTCAAACCAGCCTCAATGACCTCGAACTCTCACCAGCTCCCAAACGAATCCCGCCAGCTCGCAAACCATCTCTGGCAGAAATTGCCCTCCAACCGCAACCATGTCGACTCTCCCCAGGACCCTGGGCAACCTGCGCAAGATTGGCATCAAGGTATTTAACGCTCTGGACCTGCGTCTCCTCCGCAATTGCTGTCCGCCGCTGACATTTTCCCGCAAAACAGGAATACTTCCGCCAGATGCTGGTGCGTCCTCGTCTTCTAACCTCCAGCTCTCCCACGGCCTCTGGCTAACGCACAGCTCTTCGCAATCCTCCTCGAACAGTACATCGGTATGCCCTCACCAGCACCTCCCGCCATCTCGCCCAGAACAAAACAGACCCCTAACCACGAGACCAGGTGATACCAAGTACGGAACCCTCATCGGCCAGGATCGCTTCGGCAACAAGTACTACGAGAACACGGAGGAACTGCCGCTCCGAACCCGCTGGGTCGACTACGTAAAGCACGACTACGATGCCGCCCACATCGAGCCCGGCTGGCACGCCTGGATCAGCTACTCCGTCGACAAGCCCCCGACCCAGGACAGCCTGATCGCCACGGGCACCAGACACTTTGAGCCCGCCCTGCCCAAGCCCAACTTCACCGGGACACGGGGTGCCTACAAGCCGTATAACACGTGAGTCGAGATTCTACACTGGAGCTGTGTCTTGCTGGGAGAGCTCCATATGTCTGTGGAGGCAGATCAAAGGCTAATATGTGAGACAACAGAGTGAAGTCGAAGCTTAATGCTTGGGAGCCGGTGGCCAAGGATCGGGTATGAGTGGTTTTTCGTTGTCTTTTTTTCCGTGGGAAAATATGGTGTACATATTGAAATCGCGCGACAAACGCAAACAAATCAAACAATAGACACAGGCAGACATGTGCATTTCCGATGTGAGAATCATGAAGCTTGCCTCACTCAAGAGGCAATCACAAAATATCGACAAATGTTTACTCTTTGCTAAATCAAGATGGAACTATGAAAAGACCCAGTACTATCTAATCCCATCTATTGCTACGCAACAAATGATCAAATCAAGTAGGAATCCCTACGCCTTGCAATCACGTCTACCAAAGGCTCATACACCCACTCTACAACTTCGCTTCTACGGCTGATTTAATTGCTATCGAGATTGTCAGCAAATTCGAGTGTCACAGGTGGGAATAAATGACTTACCATCGCAGGAAACCTTTGCATCGCCAAACAACATCTTGGTGTTGGGCATGTAGAACATTGGGTTCGGTACATCAGCTGTTTATCGCTTGTTAGTACCATTCCGGATTACAAAAGTTGAGAAAACAAGGATTCAACTCACCGTAGCCGCTCGCCAAGCTTCTCTTCATTACCACAACCTGCTTAGCTTTCCAGGCATGCAGGACAGGCATTCCTTCAATGGAGCTGCCCTTTTCCATGGCAATCGGATTAACCGTGTCGTTGGCACCAATAACCAAGGCCAAGTCAGTCTCCGGGAAATCGTCGTTGATCTCGTCCATTTCCAGGACAATATCATACGGGACGCTCGCCTCTGCAAGTAGCACATTGCACTGTCCAGGCATGCGACCAGCAACAGGGTGGATGGCGAAGCGCACAGTGATACCCTTGGATCGCAGAGATTGGACAATGCTCGAGAGTGCATACTGTGCTTTTGCAACAGCCATTCCGTATCCGACAATGATGATGACGGATTCGGCATTCACCAACTGATCTGCAACATCTTCCACAGACGTTTCAGTGGCTTGGCCTTCTGGCTTGTACTCCAGGGCCGTCGTTGGTGTTGATAAACCTCCGAATAGGACATTGGTCAAGGACCGGTTCATGGCAACGCACATGATGTACGATAGAATGGAACCAGAAACACCTATCAGAGCTCCCACAGAGGTCAAAAGAGGGTTATCTAACATGAATCCTTCTGCTACCAAGGCAAAACCGCTGTAGGCGTTCAACACGGTGATGACTACAGGCATGTCAGCGCCTCCAATTGCGGCGGTTGTCGTGTATCCCTTGATGAAACTCAGAACCGTATTGGCTGCCAATGCTCCAGCAGCAATCATTGGAGCACCAGGAGCCATGGTAAGAAAAGCGCCCATGGTGGCAGCATTAGTTGCCAGCAATCCAGAGTTGATAACGTGTCGTCCAGGCAGAATCTTGGGCCGAGAACCCATGCGACCAGCCAGCTTGAGGAACGCAACAATAGATCCAGTAAAGGTCACGCCGCCGATCAAGACACCAAGGTAGGCGGATACCATGTGCAAGGTCGAAAGATCCGACACATCAGCCATGACGCTTCCAATGCTGGTCAGCACGGCAGCTAGACCAACGACAGAGTGCAAGGCGGCGACAGTTTGAGGCAAATCAGTAGGCGTAATTCTTCTTCCAATGAGCATGCCTAGAGCATTGTCAGTAATCTCACCATAACGAATTTGGGGCCTTTGAAATTACTCACCCGCAATGGCTCCGACGGCAGCAAGTCCAGTAAATTGAGTCAAGACCTCTGGGGAGAATCCCACAGCAGCCAGACTAGCCAATACACCAGTACCCACGCCGAGAATGCCGAGCATATTGCCCATCCGAGCGGTTGTTTGAGAAGCCAACCCTGAGAGAGATCCAATGCAGAGAACAGAGCTGATGAGATACCCAGCCTGGACGAGACCGGCGGCTCCAGTAGACAAGGCGGCAATGTAACCTCCGCCGAACAAGGCAGCCGGAACAGCGTAAAGCCACGGGTATTCAGGAGGATCAGTCTTTCCTGATACATTGTTAGCCTATACTTGTTCATCATGATTTCTAGGATAAAGAACTTACGCTTGAACATGTCGAGCATTCGCTTGGTGATGACGAAACCACCGCCAACATTGACAAAGGCTAGCAACACGCTGAGGGCTCCCAGTGATTGAGGAATTGTTTCAGGCAAATAGCCTCCTCCAAGGATGAAGAGACCACCAACACCCACCATGCCAGAGATCGCATTTGTTACACTCATCAATGGGGAGTGCAGCGCTGGTGCCACACCCCAGACAACACGGTAACCGATTAGACTAGCCAGTGCAAAAGTAAAGGCGTTGGACATGAACAAAGGACCGGTAAACTTTCCAAGGGCCAACACGCCTGTCATTCCAGCAGTCACAGTAGCCACTTCTTGAGTCTTTTTCTGCCAGGGGGTGAGCTCTACAGGTTCGACTACGACTGCGGCCGCAGGCTTGGCCGGCGCTGGAGGAGGAGCTGGACGGGGAGCAGGTGGAAGAATCTCTCCTTTTTGCATGACAATGGAGCCTCTGACAACTTCATCGGACAGGTCGATACCGAACTCCTTGTCCTTGGGTGCCATTGACAGCAAAAGTTTGGTGATGTTGTTCGAGTAGAGAGTAGACGATTGGGTGGGCAAACGAGACGGGAGATCAGTGTATCCTGCGGTCATAGATTAGCATGAATAATATGATATAATTGGGCATAAATTGTTGGCCACATACCAATAACCTTGACATCGTTGTAGGTAATCATCTCGCCGGCTTTGGTGGCCTCACAGTTACCACCAGCCTCCGCAGCGAGATCTACAATAACGCTTCCTGGTTTCATAACGTCGAGCATGTCCATTTTAATCAGCTTTGGGGCGGGCCGGCCTGGAATCAGGGCTGTGGTGATGATGATGTCCACTTCCCTGGCTTGTTCCTTGAAGAGTCTCATTTCGGCTTCGATGAATTCTTTGCTCATCTCCTTGGCATAGCCTCCGGCACCAGAGCCATCCTCATGCATGTCAACCTCGATGAATTCTGCACCGAGCGATTCAATCTGCTCTCTAACTGCAGGGCGAGTATCAAATCCGCGGACAATGGCTCCCATGCGACGAGCAGTTGCAATGGCGCTAAGGCCAGCTACACCAGCTCCAATGACCAAGACTTTACATGGCGGAATCTTGCCAGCAGCCGTGACTTGGCCAGTGAGGAATCTACCAAAAACGTTGGATGCCTCCAAGACAGCCTTGTAACCAGCAATGTTGGCCATGCTGCTAAGGGCATCAAAGACTTGGGCACGCGAGATACGAGGGACCATTTCCATTGCAAAGTAAGTCGCCTTTCTAGCCGCAATCTTTGCGACGAGATCTTTGTTTTGACCAGGCTGAAGAAAAGAAAGAATTGTCTGATTCTCCTTGATGGCGCCTACCTCGGCGTCGGAAGGCCCCCGAACTTTGAGTACGATGTCGGCAGCAGACCAGATGCCCTTTGGGGAGTCGACCAGAGTAGCGCCAGCCTTTTCATACGCATCATCCAAGAACTCAGCCGAGGCACCAGCTCCGCGCTCAACCAAGACCTTGGAGTATCCCTTCTTGAGGAGGAGAGTTACATTGGCTGGGGTCAATGCGACTCGACGCTCTCCCGGGAAGGTTTCCCTTGGCACGCCCACTGTGAGCTGGCTGTAGGGAGTCGTTGGTGGCACAGCAGCAGTGGCTTCCGTCGAATACGGCTTTGGCAGTAGGACGGGAGCTCGTGTGACCGGAGAATCATGGCGAACCAGCGCCAGAGACTTGGTGGCCGCTGCGACAAGGGCAGTCTGCCGTGGAACCCCGGCAGAGGCATGCCACTGACGGCGGCAGTTTAGCAAAGGCTTAACATCTGCGAGAAGAGTTGGAAGAGTTAGATGTTAGTCAACGTTGTAATTCACGCATAGGCAGGGAGTAGTCTCACTTTGGATTCGAGAGCGCAGAAAACGCGAAGAGGAGGCAGTAGATGGCGACAAGTAGAGCTCGGTGGCTATGGGGCGAAGCAAAGAGGACGCCATCACGAATCGACCCTCATCTGAGGCGATTTCCACACGTCACACACGAGTTGTCTGAGGCCGAGGATCTAAACGGGCGCATGGATTAGACAGAGAGGCAATTATTTTCCAGTCGAAGCCACTTACCGGGTCGATTCGATTACACGGGTTCACATGGGCTGACGCCTTGATAATGCGGACAGCAGCTACCAGAGCCCATGCGAGCAGCAAGCAGCAAGCAGAAGCGCTCCGTAGATTCCGCAACCGCAGCAGCAATCACGAAACAGCAAAAAAGAGGTTTTGGAAGAAGCAAAAGAAAAAAGATCATGCGACGAGCTGCGCATGAGGAGAAGTGGCCTTTAGGCTGGCCATCCAAGAAAACGGCCTGCACATGCAAAAACCCCGCCCAAGCCGACTCCAAGTCGCACGACTGGTACGTAACAGCGGCTAAAAATCACCAAAAACAACAACAAATGGGTGACATGACGGAGCTTCGCAGCCTCGAGTACTCGCGCGATACGAGCCTCATAGGCCGTAATTCACCGGCTGGCAATGTACCTTGGTCGATCTCGAGCTCCACGGACCTTCTCTTTCTGACGTTACCACTAACACCCACGACAGAACCATCAGGTGCGGGGTTCCAAGGGGTCTCTCCAAGATTTTTCCCGAGAGCTACAGGGGGGGCCTACAGGGGCGTGAGGGGGTCTTGGGGGCATCGATTGGGGGAGTTAGGGCAGCTTAGGGCAGCTTAGAGCAGCGTAGGGAGCAGTTCTGCCTGTCGGGGCCGCTAAATCCCCCACTGCGGGGGACCTATCGGCGCTAAAAGCTGGGGAAGGGTGAGTGCATTCGCGCGAACGGGCAGCCAGATTGGGAAGAAAGGGTGCATGAGGGTGTCGAGGCAACTCGAGTTTGTGGTTGCGATCTGACGTGCTCCGATGCAGCCGAGCGTACATACGAGCGTATTTCCAGGTGCAGGGCGCGGGATGAGAGGAGAAATCGGGGGGGTTTTGGGCGGGATGAGGAGGATAAAGGAGGGGGGATTTTGCCGGTGGGAAGATTGGAGAATCCGAGGTCCAGAGACGATGACGAGCATGGATGACTTTTTTAGTTCGAGTAAATTAATTGGAAATTACATGAAGATTACTGGTCCGACTAATACCATCCATGATTCATTATCCAGGCTCTTCAGCACCTGGTAAAAGTAAACCAACTGCATAACTGCACTCACTCATCAAAGTACACAACATCTGTGACGGACCTGGGCATCTACACGCAATCATGTAGTCGTCAATCTGTGAGGGCCATAGTCCGTCTCAAAGCACGCAACATCAAAACAAAGTCATTTCAAGCATCCCATCCCCAAACATCCCATCCCTCACTGCAGCTGCAGCTGTACCTGGCAGTTCCCGGCGTGGCACGGAGTCTCGCAGCGGCCGCGGAAGTCAGGCCCAATGTTCAGGCACTTGTCACACCCGCAAACAAGGTCCAGATGCGCGCCGACTTCTTGGTCAGGATCGTTGCAGAGGCAAATGTAGAGGGCAGACGTGACGTTGGTGGACGGCACATGGTTGTCGCAGCTGGCGTTGGGCGTGTTGCAGTATGCCTCGGCGAGTTGTTTCTGAGACCACGGCTTTTCTAGGCACAGAATCAGGTTCATGTTGACCAAGTCGTCCTAGGATATGTATCTTGACTTACTCATGCCCATCAGTACAGACGCGCAATACGTGTAGCCGCATTCGCAGATGGCCTCATCTGGTGTGGGCGGCGCCTCGGTCGGATCCGGAGGCGGAGCGCCCTTGGCCGTCGTGGTGGTAGTTGAAGTCGTAGGAGGAGGTTTAGGATCGTCTTCGGTTTCTGGAGGAGCGTGGGAGGAGAGAGGCGGAGGAGGCGTGTCGGGAGTTGGAAGCTGGGGTCTGGGATTGGCGGCGGCCAGTCCAATCAGGGCGATGAGAGTGAGAGTCAGATTCATTGTGAGTATGTCAAAGCGTATGAGTTGAACGATATGATATTGTATAGAAATAATCCCATGGAATAATGAGTTGGAAGCTGTGATCACAGTTTAGTGGATGATGAGAAATGGCTGATTCATTCCGTCTTTATATGCCTACTATCTGGTAGTGATAGATGTGTTATTTCCGTACAGATCATCTCATCTCAATCCATCATCTGTAAATATCACGGAGATCTTAACAGGTAATACCAGTGCATGGAGATCGGTTGGGATATTGGCTTTCTGTGTTGAGGACAAGCTATGGTTGTGAACCCAGCTCGGCTCTTCTCTCTTCAACTTTCTTCTTTCATTCATTATTCGTCACAACATGGCGTCTTTCAACGCAAACATCCAACTATTGCGTAATAGGTTCTCTGTTGATTGTGAAACTGGTGATAGTGAGGTATTCATCTCATAGTAACGGACCGCGATGACGTCTAGGCAATCTGTAAAGAGGTTTGTGTTAAGCTTTCCAGATCTGCATCGGTTGTAATATTTCGAGTTCGGGAGATGTTGCACATGCTCTTGTGATATAAGAATAGAAACAGACGGGCAACACAAAAATACGGAATAAGAATTTTCATCCTTAGGAGCAATTGATAAATATAGCTGAGACTTGTTTCGTTGATGCTCAAGCACCTGGTTAAATCCTCATATCGAACTACCCTACACAAGACAGTAGTATATACACAATTCATACTGTATATCCTGCGCCCGCACACCTTTGGCACAGTATAAATGCCCCGCCAAAACTGCTGACTACCCCTCCACCCGGCATTCGGAAGTTTGCAACTCTTCTCGAACCACCCTCCTCCAGAAAAACTTCCGTCATCACCATCCTCAAGAAAAAAGCAAAAGTTCCCTCCAAAAATGGCCGACGAACAAACACCAGCCCTCGCCTCTGGCCCAACCACCATCAGGGTCGGCACGCGAAACTCGCCGCTGGCCCTGGCCCAGGCCTACATCGTCGTCGCGGCGCTGCGGACCGTGCTGCCGGCGTACTCGTTTCCCATCCACGGAATGACGACGACGGGCGATCGCGACCAGCTCACTGCGCTGTACAACTTTGGTGGCAAGGGGCTTTGGACGACGCAGTTGGAGGACAAGCTCGAGGCAAACGAGCTAGACATCATCGTCCACTCGCTAAAGGACATGCCCACGACGCTGCCAGAGGGCCTCGTGCTGGGCTGCGTCACCAAGCGGGAAGACCCTCGAGATACGCTGGTGCTGAAGAAGGAGCTGGTTGACAAACACGGCTGGAAGACGCTGGCCGACCTGCCCGCAGGAAGCGTCATTGGAACCAGCAGCGTTCGGAGAATCGCCCAGCTCGCCCGACGATACCCTTCCCTCAAGTTCAAGGACCACCGCGGCAACATCCAGACACGGCTGAGGAAGCTGGAGGAGGATCCGGAGCTCACAGGCATCATCCTGGCGGCGGCCGGACTGCAGCGCATGCAGTTGGACGCTCACATCTCACAGTTCCTCGAGTCGGACAACGGCGGCATCTTGCACGCTGTTGGACAGGGAGCGCTGGGCATTGAGTGCCGATCTGGCGATGACAAGGTGCTGGCGGCGCTCAAGATGATCGAGGATAAGGACGCCACTCTGGCAACCATAGCCGAGAGGAGCCTGATGCGAGCGCTCGAGGGCGGGTGCAGCGTTCCGATTGGCGTCGAGACCAAGTGGGTTGAACCAGGACAGCTGAGGCTACGGGCCACGGTCGTGTCGGTCCAGGGCACAGAGGGCGTCGACGGCGAGGCAACCGAGCCCATTACCACGGCGGAGCAAGCCGACAAGTTTGGAGAGAAGATGGCGGCCGATCTGGTCAGCCGGGGCGCAAACAAGATCCTGGACGACATTAACAAGAACAAGCCGGCACCACCGCCACCCCAATGATTGGAATGAATGAATGAATGACTACTGTACAACACGGGCAAAAAAAAAAGAGGAGAGGAAAATTGCATCATCATAGCTCTTGATCTTTGACGCCGCTGATAAACCGGCCTAGCAAACCAAAAATGTATACCCTCATCTGATGTAAAAGGAAGATATGAGTCCCACCCACTTTGTATGTTTAGTATGTATGGCACACCAAATGCGACCTGTCTGCCAAAATGTTTCCCTAATGTTAAAAACCAAAAACCAAAAACCATCCATTCACCCTCTACCCCCCAATTGTCAGGTTGAGCTGTTTCTACGCCATGCAAAAAATTCCTACCCCCTCATTTTCAATGAAGAAATAAAAAAAAAAGTCTCTCTTTTTCGGTTCTTAATTCCAAAACCACCCCATCTCCCCACAATTCGAAGCCCATCGTCCAAAAAAAAAAAGACCAAGCTTCGTCTAATCTTTTACCCGCCCAACCGCCAAGCCGATTTTCTTTCGTCCCCTTTTACTCGGCAATAAACTCCTTGTACGCAGCAGCGTCCATGAGCTCGTCAAACTGCTTGGCGCCCTCCTCATCAACCTCGACCTTGACGATCCAGCCGCCGCCGGCGCTGTCGTCCTCGGGCACCTGGTTGATGGTCGCGGGCTTCTCCTCCAGCAGGGTGTTTGCGTGGGTGACCTTGCAGCGCACGGGGGCGTTGATGTCGCTGGCGCTCTTGACGGACTCGACGGCGCCGATGGAGTCGCCCGCGTCAGTCCAGTCGCCCGCGGGGGGCAGCTCGACGTAGACGACGTCGCCCAGCTGCTCGGCGGCGTACTCGGAGATGCCAATGACGCCCGTCTTGCGGTCGGCGGAGAGGTCGATCCACTCGTGGTCCTTGGTGTACTTGCGGGCGAGGCCTGGAGAGAACGAAGATTAGCTCTTTTTGCTTTCGTTTATGCTAGATATGTAGATTTAGGTGGCGAGAAAAAAAAAAGAGCGGAAACATACTCATGCGGGAGCTGGAGAAGCTCCTCACAGGCATCGCCAGCCGAACCATCGGAGCGGCACGGGGAGCAAGGCGCATGGCCACAGGCCGAGCAGCGCGCAGCGAGCAAGCAATTGAGGCCATTTTGTGTGCTGTGAAAGTATCGAGGCTTTGCGAAGAAGACGAATTGGCAAACAAGACGAAGCAATGAATGGGTACTGAGAGAAGGAGAAGAGAGAAGAGAGAGGAAAAAACTTGTATGACGCCGCCGCCGAGGGAAAACGCAGTGACCCGTTTAGCTTATCGGAGCGCTAAAAGGTAACCCGGTTGCTTCCCCCCGACCTCCAAAATACCGGGGGAAAGACGAAAATGCAAGCTTGTTCGGCTTAGTCATGACAGGAAATCGCCGTATCAAAGCCTTCGAAAAAAGGACCCGATGCAAGGCGCCGACACCCGGATGAGGGGAGAAACCACCGGGATACTTAGTAGTTATTATAGTATCAAATGATCCATTGCAGGCATCAGGGGAAGACGGAAAAGAGCAGCCAATCACGCTGTGGTTTTGCGGGTAGTGGGTTTGTATTGGGAGGTGCTAATTGGGTAATTATTACCATACGGGAATATGGGGGGTTGTGTTGATAGCGGCCTGGCATGATTTCGCGATGGGGCCCTTTTTTTCTCTTTTTTCTTATGGGGATGCGTTGTGAGTGAGTGAGATTCGGGGTGGGTTTTTTGCTGACGTGGAGGTGGGATGACATGCCAAGGATAGGAAGATGCAATCATTCTGCAGGTGAATCTAAAAAGGAAAAAAGAAAGAAGCAGAAATAAGAATCAAAGACTTGGACAAGAGACGTCCAAAAAAACTTCAAAAATAGAACTTCTCCGGGGACGGAGTCGAACCGCCGACATTTCGATGAGATGTTGCCCATTACAGTCGAACGCCATGAACCAACTAGACCACCCAGAGTTTTGATTGGTTGCCGACGCAAGGTATTCTGCTTATCAAGGCGATGCAATTGTCACGACGTGGATGAAATGTTTGTTCGGTGAGGTGACAGGGGGGACTGGATGTTGAGATAAGTTCCATTGCTTGCTAGGCAGGTAGATGTTGTGCTTTGATACTGAAGGTAGAATGAGATGAGTACGAGAAGAGTATATATCGTCCGTATCATTGGATATGGCAACTTGAGGACGCCAATTGCACTCCTTGACTGGACAAACACACACCAGAAATGCCGACTAATATGCATGAATAAAAAGCAGCATCGACGTGGCCCATATCACATCACACCCCATCATCACAACGCAGTCCTCACCACCTTGCCCATCTCACCCGCCTCCACCCTGTCGACCCTGGCCCGGACCTTTCTCCAGATGGCCTCAGACACCTCCTCCACCGTCCTGCTCGCATCCACAACCACAATGTCCTCCTCGTCCTGCCTCCACGACGCGCCCTCGATCCCGCCCAGCTGCTGCAGCAGGTCCTGCCCCTTGATGTCCTTGCCGCCCATGCTCAGCGCCCAGAACAGCTCCCGCACCGTCCGCTGCATCTCCTCCTTCTCGTACTTTTCGCTGCCCCAGCCGCCCCGCGCCCGCGCCGCCTCCTCGTCCAGGTCCAGGAACAGCACCACGTCTGGCCGCGGCAGGCCCGTGTCCGGGGCGCGCGCCCAGGCCAGCGGCAGGTGCGGGTTCTTTTTCGCGGCTGAGTAGACGATGCCGGAGTGGTAGAAGCGGTCCGACACGACGGTGATGCCCGCGGCGAGATAGGCGCGGATTTGCTGGCTGTGGCATGTGTGTATCCTCGTGTTAGCCTTTCAAATCTCATGTTGTATAGTGAGAGCGGGGGAGTAGAGGGGAAATGAGAGCAAGACATTGACTTACGCAGCTTCCCACCGGTTTGCACTGAAGAGTAGATGGATCGCATGGTCACTCATATCGACATGGCTCTTCAAATAGCCATCAATCATCTGCCCAATTGGCGTTGTTCTATCTGTACCAGCAAAACCCCAGCACCATTAACATCGCTTCATCTCATCAAGCATGAAAATCCATTAAATAAAGAGCTCAAACCCACCCGGAAATCTCATCACCTTGACCGGCCTCCCCTCCTCCACAAACCTCTGCTCCAGCAGCTTCACCTGCGTCGTCTTGCCGCTTCGGTCCAGGCCCTCAAGCACAATGAAGGCGCCCCTCATCTTGGTCTCGGTGCTGTCATCGCCCGCGGGAGACGAAGTGCCGGCGACAGCAGCGGCGGCGAGGTCGTGGATCGAAGACATTGTTGCCTTTCGATCGATGCTGCTCTCGGAATTGATGACTGGGATCGTGTGTTGTGCTGAATTGATTATTCGTTGGCTGCGTGCAATGCTTGACGAGTTCAAAAGGTTGCAGCTTGTGCTGCATGAGCTTTCATCATGGCATGATAAGCTTGGACGCCCGCACTGTGAGATTTGTGGCTGAAAATGGGCGTGGCTGCGACACACACAGTGTTTAAACCACTGCTAGACTAATACAGCTACTACCTTGGTCGGTACAGCTTTGTTATGCACCCAGTAGGTGGATTGGGCTCTCATGTAAAAGTTGGGCTCAAGCACATGATATTACAGTCACTTTATCACTTTACTATTCGCTTCACGCACACAAATGTCAAAGTACCAAGACTGTAGCATTCAAACAATACGATTAAATGTGCACGATACTCTGTACTCTGATAGGCTCTACACGTACAGCCGCAGACCGGCGCATCAAGCAACAACTCCTGGTATAACCATTCCGTACCGAACCGGAAACGCCGCCCAGCCCGGGAAAAGCAAAACTGATGCGCCAAGCCACGACCTTTTCACAGGGAGAAAAAGGAAAGGAAGAAGAGGAAAAAAAAAGAGACAGAAACAAGACACAGGTAGCAGGCCGAGCCGAAACAAAAACAGGACGCAGGTAGCAGGCCGAACCAAAACAAAAACAAAACGCAAACACACAAATGCTCAAGGCTCGCTCTTCATCCGACATTTAAAGCGTACACTCATTCCCTCGTTTATAATCCGTTTGCCATCCATTGGGCAGCCGATTACGGGCTTCCAACGACGCTTTCGGCTTCATCCTTGGCGCTGCTGCTTTCCCACAGCTCAAAGCTTTCGCCTGCGCCTTCTATGGGTTGCAAGACGGCAGCCTTGGATGATGTGTTGTCGGATCTTGAAATGAGGGCGTCAATGTCTTCATGAATCTCCAACTCTTCCTCTTCCTCTTCCTCTTCTGGCTCCTCGGGAATGTTTGAGACACTGGCAATGGGAGCTTCTGGCTCCTCGTCCTCATGGATGAGGATCACCGATGTCTCGTCACAGCCCTCGGCATAGAAGTCAGATGCCTTCATCTCACCTAGCGCAACTCGCTGCTTCTCAAAAATCATCTCATCACCCTTGGGCGGCGGGCTAGCGCGCTGGGCTGAAGTCTGAGAGACGTCATCCGAGGGAGGAATATTCTCCTTGTCACGGCCTTCGGCGCCATCTCGCTTTGCGCGCTGCTCACTCTCCTCATCAGATGAGATGTCGAGTGTGCAGGTGCTGTGCTGTAGAAGATTGGTCATCTCCTGCTCAGGGGTGTCTTCGTGAATGTCGAAGAACCAGCTGGCCTTGGCTTCAGGCTCAAGCAGGCTGGAGACGGGCTTCTTGACGGATGGCCGAGGGGTGTATCCCGCAATGGTGCCTTTCAAGGCGGCATCGAGAGAGAATGGAGCGGAAGAGCCGCCCAGAAATGAGGGGGGGTCCAGGCGAGTAGCGCGCCGCCGTCCCGACAAAAGTCTAGAGCGCTTGCCCTGAGGTGGCGAGCGGCCTGCGGGAGCTACTGGACAAGACTTGGGCGTAGTGTCGACACTGGTCTTGCCCAGATTTGACTTGGGATTCAGAATACGACGAGGCGTTGAGGCGGCCTTGTTCTGGCCGGCGAGTGATCGTGCACTGGCGACGGGAGTGCTGATCTTGGGAGTGAGGAAGAAGTTGGTTGGCTTGAGACTATCCTTGGCAGGGGTGCCTGAGCTTACGCCCTTGGAGCGTTTTGCAAAGAGCAGCGGATCGACATTCTCACAGTTATCAATCTCGAGAAACTCTGCTTTGCGCTTGGGGGAAACGTTTGCTGCGACAGAATTAGTCACTGCCTTTTCTCCTTGGACAACAGGCAAAACATACCGTTTTGTCTGTTCTTTAGGCTTGTTAGGGACTGGAGGCGAGCTCCGTCAAGGGGAGCAAAAGGCTGGCGAGTGACGGCGGCCATTGCTCCGGAGGATTTGAATCGAAGGACGGAAGCGATGCGGTGCGGTGCGATACAGAAGCAGGAGTGATTGATGCGATGCGATGCGATGCGATGCGATGCGACAAGTTGCCGTGGTTCCACTTTGAAGGAAGACTTGGTGGGGAGATGCAACGACTTTGGTTGTGATGGCAGTTGGTTCACCGAGGACGAAGGGAGCAAGCGGTCAGAGACGTCAATTATTGGATTTGGAACTGGACTGGTGTAATTAATGGATGGTAAAAAAATGTCTGGTGGTTATTTTCTTCTTTTGCCTCTTCGATGGGTTTGGAACTGTGCGTCTCTCGAGTTTGGCGAGGATCACTAACGAACGTGGTGGCAGAGAGAGCGATGAGCATAACAAAAGCAAGAGATGAGGAGGGGAGAAGAGCGCGAGGCCCAAGTGGGACAGAGGGAGTACTAATAAACACTGAAGAAGCGCGAAGTGGACGTGAGAAGGGCGATGCGGCCAGAGGGCGGCCAGTACTTGGCAGGAGGCGTCTGGGCGGGAGCCCCTCGAGTACCTGCTACACTGCGAGATACCCGAGGGATACTTGCTCTGTGCTGGCACTTGCAGCACTTACCGGCACTTGTTGGCAACTACTGGACACTTACTGGGCACCTACTGGGCTCTGGTCTGTACTAGAGCGCCCGTGGTGTCTCGCAAAACACGGCCAAACAGGGGCCTAGCGTTCCAGCTAGCAAAGGTCGCAACGGGTCGCAACGGTAGCAGAGGTAGCAAAGGTAGCGGGTGGCACACCAGCAGGTCGCAGATACTTCAAGGTCCGTGCGCAAATTGGCAAGAGGGAGGTACCATCGCGACGCGCCTCGCCGACCGCTCGCTTAAGTTTAATGGGCTGGTGGAAGGGGATTTTGGATTTGATGGCATTTCTCGACGATGGCCCAAAGGTGGGGTTTGGGAACTGGAGGGAGCTGACAGAAGGGGATTTACAGGGATGAGTGAGCCTCTCTCTGCCCTCGGATCAGGTGCTTCTGATTTGATGCCCAGAGGGGATGGAGGGCATCGAGACATGAAGAAGCGGCTTCGTGAAGGGGGCCAGATCTCCCAGACCAAGACAATAAAAGCGAGCCGGCGAGACACACGGCGCCTGGCCATGCATTTTGTACTTTGACGCGTCGAGCCGGGACGGGTAAAGTGCTTGACACGATTGGCGGGATGCAGGCCAATGGACGCGTGGGGATGCGTGAGGCCAGGGATACGCCATGATGCGCCATGATGCGCGACCAGGGGAGAGGCCTGTCGGCTGGCAGCTGTGGGTGATGGTGCATTGCATGATGCGCTAGAGAGACGCGCGCAGCACGCGCGAAACTGCGGGCCGGATGTACAAGTGTCGATATTTATTTGCACTTTGGAGCGGAAGCGAAGAGAATTGGGTCCATTGGTTGTGGTAGACGCTGACATGAGGTGATGTTGCAGCTTCAATTCTCTTTTGGCGGTGACGGATGGCAAATTGATGACATGAACCCTTTGGAAGCAGCACCTGTCAAACAGATAGGTAGTACATCAAACTAACCTCGCAACCTCACCCTACTGCCAGCAAACCTCTTCCTCTTCCTCTTGGGCACCCCCTCCCAAGCACTTTACGCCACCCGCTCAGCCTCTGTAAAAAAAAAAACTGCCTTGCAGTGCGTTGATGACGTGCTGGAGACCAGTGCAAAGTTCCCTCCTGGGCATCTCCCTGTCCGCGCCACTCGACCAGGGCCCTCGGCTTGCCCCGAATCCCAGGCAGCGGCGCCAATCAACGCGTCCAGCCGCTGCCGAAATCTTGACTCTCCACCATCATTCAGCCCTCATCAAACCCGCATGCTGCATCCGACTATTGCACAACTGCGGCACACCCTCTCTCTCTTCGACATAAAGTCGCACCAGGCCGATGCATCTGCGCCATCGCCGGGCCTCATTGGCCCCCATTGGTTGCTACCGCTTAGCGCTTTGCTCGCCTCTTCGCTGCTCTTGTTCCGTCTTGGTCTGTCTTGGTCTGTCTTACTATTGATTGCCTGCATTGCATCAACCCACAAATGGTTCAGTTCTGTCTCACCAATGGCTGCGGGAAGAGGAGCAAAGTCAATTCAACTTGAGTTTCAGTTTCAGCTACCTGTACATCTAATCGAATCCATCCCTAGGGCCCCATCAAATCTGAGCACACAGCTGTCTCTAATCTCCCCAAGCTCGATCTCCCTTTTATCTAACACCAGTCCATCAATGGATGCCATTTCCCAAGTACAGGCTCTCAGTTGCCCTTCTGTAGCGCCAGCTGCTGGTCTATCAACCCTCCAAGGGTCTCCCACAACGGCCGCCACTTCATTCCGAGCACATCATTGTCAACCCTGAACGGAACTGGGCCGTCTTCCACCAGCTTCGTGTCCAGCTCTGGATATGTGCTCCTGGCCCACGCTGCGATATCCTTCCATGTCGTTGGTGCGCCTGAGGCTACCAGCTCGATGCCGTTGGGCACGTCCTCCTTGGCGGCCCTGATACACAAATCGGCGACATCGCGCACGTCTACAACCACAGCTGGGAAGAGGGGTGCCGGGGACTGCAGTGACTTCCAGAACCAGGCATTGATGCCGTCGATATCGCCAGCCGTCTTGCGAATCAGGCTGGGGCCCAGCACAAAGGTCGGGTGGATCGTGGCCAGTGTAAAGGCCGGCTTGTGCTCCTTGACCCAGTCCAACGACGTCTGATGGGCCAGAATCTTGGAGGCCACGTACATTGTGCCGTGCTCGCCCTTGTTGTCAGGGAACATCTTCTCAAGGTCAACCTCGTGCCTGTCGCCAGTGTTTGCTGCTACTGTGTTAGTTGAATGCCTCAACTCATTAACTTGCATGCAGGAAGGTGGGTACTCACCAGGGACAAAAGTGTCCGTGTTGAAAAACAAGTCGAGGGGACCAATGCCCAGGATCGATGACATGATGACCACCTTCTTGACGCTGGGGATCTTTCTGGCAGACTCCAGAACGGATACCGTTCCCCGCACAGCCGGATCGAGGTAGTCCTTGTGCAGGTCGGCTCCCTTGCCGGGCATGGGCGATGCAATGTGAAAGATGACTTGGACATTGTCTAGAGCATCGTCAAACGCCTGGGGCTTGGAAATGTCCGGCACCACGACAAACTCGAGTCTTGAGACGTGGTTACGGAAAATCTCCTTGAGCCCCTCAATCTGCTCTGCTTTTCGCACGCTTAGTCGCACATTGTACCCGTCGTTCAGAGCCGAAGTGACAACCTGCGAGCCAATGAAGCCCGTTGCACCCGTGACAAACGCAAGCTTTGAAGACATGATTACTGAAGAAACTGCTAATTTGTCTTTCTTGTTCTTGTTGTTGTACTTGTTGAATTGCTGACCTTTTTTACTTTGATTGAATTGATGAACGATACTGATGCTGTCTATATATATTCCGTCACCTACAAACACAGACTTTGACTAAACACAACATGAAGACATATTCAACACACGATGATCAGTAATCCCACTCATCTTGGAGTCGATGCGAGTTGATGAGAGGCAAGTTTGTCCGTCCAGAGATGGGTTTGTCAGCCGCTGGCCATGAGCAATCAAGAACACATCACCACAGCCAGCCAGCGATTAGCTCAGCGCCTCCGATTCGATCGACTTGGAATTAACCCCCACTTATCCCCGGGCCCGGGCTCCAGCCGGCGAAATGCGGGAGACGGACTTGCGAATTACCTCCACAAGCGCCGTATTACTCGGCGCCACTGTAGAGGGATTGCCCTTTAAGGAGATTTTGGCATCTCTGTGCTGCGTCTTGCTTTCTTTTATTAGAAGCTTTTGGATATTCATAGCATCAGACGACGTTGACACGCCCGAAGTGTTTGTAATTATATCTCTTGGCATACCGCCTTGTATTGAACTTGTTTGCCATCTGGATGGCCTGCTGGACGTTTAAAAGGACGCCGAAGCCCTGCACAATGAAGTTACATTGTCTCTCTTCATCACTCACTTCATAAATCAGCTATTACACCCATCTCCAAGCAGCATCCGCAAGAAATCAACCGCAATCATGCCCCACTGGCTCGTCTACCACCCTCCCAACGCTTACACCAACGACGAATCCAAAGATGCCCTCGTCAAGGCCGTAACTGCCTTCTACGTCGGCGTCGGCATGCCCGCCTTTTACGTTGTCGTCAACTTCATCAAAGTCCCCCATGAAGACTTCTACGTCGGTGGCGTCAGGCGAGGCCCCGATGACAAGCCCTTTGTCCGCTTCACCATCAACCACGTTGCGCATAATTTCCCCGACGACGACCAGGTCCGGCGCGAGGCCGGCGACACGTTTAACAACTTGTTGACGCCGCTAATGAAGGGCAAATACGATTGGGAGTTTCACATTTCTGAGACGGACAGGAGGCTTTGGAAGACGAACGAGTTTACGCCGCCGGAGAGGGACACTGATGGCGAGAGGCTATGGGTCAAGGAGAACCGTCCGATGGCTTATTAATACCTCAACTGTACAAGTATCCTTCCGATAGACTAATGGTAATGCTGTGTATGCTTCTTACCTCGGTTGCCGCTGTCATGCCGTGACGAGAGCCAACCATTTCATCCAAGACAACCATCCCATACTCAAACTTGCACAAGCACCAGTGCACCTCGACTTGTTGCCATATATAGCAAATGCTCGCTCCACAGCATCTTACAAGCCGCCCCCAAAGTCCAGTCCAATCCAATCCATTCCACAAACGCGCCTGGCCTCACCAACGGGCCGGGCCCCCAATCCTTACCCAACTTCGCTTCTTCAAGTTTCCAAACCCCAAGCTAAACTGAAGGCAACCTAGAAAACTAGAAACTACGTAACACCCCCCGACTCGCATTACAAAGGCTGCCACACCACTTTTGTTGTGAGAGGGTGTGCTTGACGCCGCGCGCTATTCGAGAGCGAGTTAGGCTAGTTGTGGACGAGATTCCTAATGCGGATGGATGTCTTGCTCGATGCGAGCTGAAGAAGAAAATAGGTATCGGGGTTATTATTCTCGAGGGTGGTGAGTTATTTAATGCCGAGGTTGGAAGAGTACATGTATGAGGACGGCCTTTTTGTAAGCGCTTGTACTAAGGCGACATGGAGGCTTATTTGGGGGGTTCAGTGCTGGAATTCGGTGGATGGAAATGGTAGGGCTGTTTTGCAGGGGCTTATGTAACTGGGTTCATGGAACTTGGATGAATATGAACACTTGGTATTTGCGGATAGTAAGTAATACATGTTCTGATAAAATATGCAAAGATAGTAATAAATTATTCACCTCAAACATATCGAATAAATAAAGACCTCAAACTTGTCTACAAGATTGTCGAGTAGATGTGAGATACACGCGCGCGCATTTATGATCCACGCCGATGTCCGCTATGAAAGAGCCTCATATGGCGCTCCAATATTGATGCTTTGTAGCTTAAAATCCATGCCTCCACATATTATGTAGTGCGTATTAATGTCTTTCTAGACTTGAGACGGTTGGAGGCTGCCGTATGCCATGTGGTGCCGTTTCTGATAGACTCTGCAGATTTTGCATTTTGCGAGGTATTGTCTATAATGTCACTGACTTTGCTGTATCCCATGTGATTTCCTGCGTGTGCTGTGCTGAAAACGTCTTCCTCGCAAGATCTAGGTATGCACAATCGAGGGGTTGTTCCTGGTGTTTCCTTCCATAAGAGTCCGTCCCGTTGTTGAAATGGCAGTTCGGCGCGGTCTTCTGGCTGCAGGTTGGTGTTGGAATCTAGTACTTGGATGATGCGTGTCTAGGTTGGGTCTGTCTTGTATCCGGCCTTGAGCTTCGCCTTGAAAGCCGGGGACATGCTTACCATGTGAACTGTTGGTGTCGGGACTGGCTGCAGCTGTCCATCTGGGAATCGGTCGTTCGCGGGCGGTTGCAGTGAGTTGGCTGTCGCTTCTTTCAAAGGGGAGATTGGGGCATGCAACTGGCGCAATATGCAGAGCCTCAACATTCTCCGACTGTTTGTGTGATGTCTGGTCTGTGACATTCCATTATTGGTCAGATGCTACATGCAGTCATCTTCAGCCTCTCTGCCTATCGAGAGGCTATTATTGTAGTCCCTGGTTTCTACTTGTACTATTCTAATGAGGAGGCAAATTATTACTCATCACCATACTGCAGGATGAAGTAATATAGATTACACGACACTGACCGCCTTGACTGCATTACCATGCTGCGTATGTATCTACCTATCCTTTCTTTCAACATTGACCAATGCTGATATCCAACTCCCTCAACTACGATATAAATGGTTGTTGATACCTTGCTCCCTCTCTTTGCAAGCCAGTACAAGTCTGACTAACTAGCCCTTACGAGGCTCATTGAACTCACAAATACGACACCCATCGGCTAAACAAATGATATGGCTAGGGGTTCCCTTTTCAACTAAGAGATCAAGGGTGATAATGAGACGATGGACAGGCCTCATAACAAGGATGAGATTTTGCACCAATCAAGAAATTGAGTCTAAAGAGCCGCATGCCTCAGTTGCGCAACTTGTCCCGGCAATCATGTAGCCATTGAGCCGCTCAACTACCGGCCTCACATCACAATGCTAGTTGATTTCCATCAATACCTCAACATTCTTGACAACTCCAATGCAGCCCTCTGCTCACACAGCATCACTTCGTCAGGGCCCACCATCGAAAAAAGCATACATTATGCTTAGCGGCAGACTAAAATCCCATTGTCCCCCAGCCCTTACCAAGCACACGATGACAGGCTGCTATTTTTGCACCGCTCTGTCGCATAAGAAAAAGCTCACACATTGCTTCCTTGTTCTGGCTAATTAATCCGCTCGTGCTTATATCTGACACTTACATCCTGACGCTGAATCCTGCAATGGCAACCCGTTGTATATCGGCGGGGCAATGCTCCAGGCACCAACATCTACACCGATTCTTCAAGTTTATTGTCTTTTAAAATCTCAAAAGGAAAAGGAAAAAGAAAAGAACAAAAAATAAGGAGAGATAGAGAGGGAGAAATACCATCAACCCAAGCTCAAACACAATGGCCAAAAAAGTCTCTTGGCACCATCAAGTCCTCCCCGCAATCGACTCCTCCAAATCGGAAATACGGACTCTTCAGATCGAACCCGGCGCCCATGACTCCCCCCTGTGCTGCAAATTCCATGTGACTACGCTCGACAACCTCGACTGCCCCTACGAAGCCCTCTCTTATGCCTGGGGAAATGACAATCCCGACTCGCACGAGAGCATCTTCTTTGGAGCCAACCAAGTGGGAGTAACGCCTTCTCTAGCTGATGCCCTCCGACGACTACGACTATCCGATGAGCCAAGACACATCTGGGCCGATGCCCTGTGCATCAACCAGGCGGACAATGTCGAAAAGTCTCTGCAAGTCTCCATGATGGGCCGCATCTACAACCAGTGCAAACAAGGCGCCATCTGGCTCGGCCCCCTAGGAGACACCACTCAGACCGACGCCCAAGCCGCCCTCGACACCCTCTCCTGGATCGCAAGCGACCAAGACCCGCCCCCCTGGATGGACGACGAGCAAAGAAGAATTGCTACCGCCGCCGCCTTGAAAACCGCCATCAATGTCTCCTGGTGGAGCCGCATCTGGACCGTCCAGGAAGCCCTCCTGCCCCCAAGGGCTACCCTCTACTGGGGCCCATGCGAGCTCTCCTGGGACGTCCTGGACAGAGCCTCAGACAGCTTCTTCGACGACACGGCTCCTGCAATCCACGGCGAGTTCTGGGACAACGGCTGCCTTCTCGACCTCCAGGCCAACCTCCGCGGCCTCGGCGCCTCGCGAGAAGAAGAGCTCTTCCAGCTTCTCTGGCGCTGGCGATTCCGCAAAGCAACAGACCCCCGCGACAAAGTCTACGGCGTCCTGGGATTCCGTCAAGACGTCTCCCTGCCTTCGGTGAAAATGTGCGACTACACCGTCGACGTGCGCACGCTGTACCACACAGTCACCATCGACCTCATCGGCATGAGCACAGATCTTCAGCCTCTAATCGGCCGCGGCGGCGAAGGCTCCGATATCCCGGGCCTTGCATCGTGGGCCGTCGACTGGAACGGCGTCAAGGACGAGTCCAGACGTAGCAAGTCCAACTTCTGGGACCACCACCGCTGGTGGCACTGTGGCGGCTTTGAAGCAGACCGCGGCATATATGGTGTTGGAGAGGGCCTAAGAGTCGAGGACAATAACACTGCTCTCCGCATCTGCGGTCTCAAGCTCAGCCGTGTTGCTATCGTGGACGAGTTTCCAGTTGGTGATGACATCCCCGGCGAGGGTTCAGTTGCATCAATCTTCCGCTCATACGGCAATCGATGGGGTAAACTATTATTGCAATACCATGAAAAGTTCCCAGACAAGCTCTCCGATGGAGGATTGACAGCTTTCCTAGGCCTCATCACAGGAGCCCTAACGCCAGACGGATCCGATGACGAGGATAACCCCAACGAATGGGTAATACAAATGGTTCGGCCACAGGCAATCTTCATCACCGAAGACGGGCATATTGGACTTGGCCCGCCAAATATCAGACCAGGCCAGGAACTCTGGATTATCGGTGGGTGCAGGGTGCCTGTCATTTTGAACCCACTACCAAAATCTTCTGACAAGGAGTCCGATGTGAGCATGACCTTTCACAGCGAATGCTTTGTCTATAGCGTCATGAAAGGAGAAGCTGTGGAGGGCAGAGAAGACGAAGTGATTGAAATCCTGCTTCGCTGAAACTGCAAAGCAGATATTTGTAAAAAAAAAAAAAAAAATGAGCCAAAGTAAAAAGGAGCGATTGGCAGTGGAATCAGGCTTTTACAGAATCATATACACACTTGACGGAGTAAAGATAATATGCTATTAAACTATTTGTAATGCTATTGAGCCAAGTCAACATTAGGACCACTGCGGTGTGTGAGTGTGTGTATAGGCAATCAAATCTTCACTGTCTGAGTTGGCGCGAGTGAGCGGATTTGATCAATGAATCCACTCTATGTATCTTATTCCGATGCTGTAATCTTCCAAAAGGGGTGCATCGGAAAAATACTCTTGAGACTTGAGAGGGCTGTTCGAGTTGTCGCTGTCATGACGATACTGGCCTACAGATATGAGCAACGCCAGCAACAGAATATTGTTGGGCAATTGGATCCTACCTGGCTCATTTCACAAAGGCCCAGTTCGCAGCGCCGTTGCCCCCAATTCATGAGGAATGGGTTTCGCGGGAGTCGCGCTCTCGATATCATCGTGAAGGGTGTGCTCTTGGCGCTTTGCCTTGGTGGGAGGGGCAACGTCATTGTGAAGAATGTGTTCTTGTCGCTTTGCCTTGGCGGGAGGGGCAACATCGTCTTCCAAAGTGTGCGGGGCTCGACGATTGTTATTGGGCGTTTGATGAACATCCTCATGCATAGAGTGTACTTTGGCCGGAGAGGGCTTGACGCTGACATTTGCGTCTGCTGCCTTGTTGTCGCTGGCAGTGACCTCAACTTGCTCCCCTCTGACTGCGTACTGCTCTAGCTTGGGGGGATACAGCATTTGATCGTAGCAGCCATATGGCAGCTTGTGTTGTTGTTGTTTTCCCTCTGAAGCTTTGCGAATCCTCTCACGAAGAATAATTTCTTGCTCGTTCTTGAGGATTGTGGCGGTGGGGAAACAACAGGCATCGCCAAAATCTTGTCTCCTGGTTCCGCTGAGGCCGAAATAGCTGCGGACAGCATATTGCAGTGATCCGATCGTGAAACCGTAGACTATACGCCGTTGTTAGCGACAACTGTGGCCTTGCTTTGCGTAATGTAGAAGATGGCAATGGTAGGAGATGGCATACGGGGCAAGCAGAATGCAAAAGCAGCAGTATCTCTGTAGCAAAAGGCAATATCTTGCGAATCGTCGGCATCTTGGCCATAGATGGCCATTTCGAGCCGAGTCCAAGCTCTAGCGTACATGCCACAAATCCCACAAGGATCCTCGAGTGTCGGCGGTTTGGCCTCTTGGTTATCACTGCTCACAAGCCAGGCCACTCCTTGCTCCTGCGATGCCCCATCCTTGGAAATGCCATTGAGGCATGGTAGGCATAGCGAGAAACGCATCAAACCAAGTTCCACGTCGTCATAGTTCGAGCAGTGACACATGTTTGCGTGCTGTCAATGGATCCATAGTCGAGCAACAGCCTAACCGCGGTTGAAAGCGAATGACTTTTAGCGAAGGGGGAAATGATACCAAAGATTAAAACAATGGAGCCGATTGCCAGTATGAAGAGAGAGCGCAGATGGTGGAAACGAATGATGCTTGGGCCCGTAAAGCTGATGATTGTTATGATGCGATAATGGTGAAGAAGCAAGGAAGAATCAACAAACTAGCCGGCAGAAGAAGACCAAGGGTGGGGGTTGGGGGGGAGGCACGATGGCGAAGCGAATTTAGAAACAAGAGCGAGGAAACCCTCATCGAATGCTCTCGTGGGCAGTTTCCTAACACCTTGGGTAGGTATAAGACATTGGAATGTAGGTACTGTAGAGCACATAGGTACCTTAGTAGGTACGTTACCTGACATACCAGGCACTACACTTACCTACGTACCTAGTAGTACGTACGTGAAACCCGGAATTCAGTTATTTAAAGTACTTGCAGGCAGGTATTGGGTACCTAGTATAAATACGCACCTGCCTTGGAAGTATACATAGATACCTAACGTTGTTATATGCAGCTTCAAGTATTGGCTGAATTATCGAATCTCTTCTTTTTTATCACTACCTACATACCTAGGTAGTCGCCAAAATTCTAAAAAAAATCTCGTCATTTTAGCTTTTACATCCTCTCGATCATCTATCAAGTACAACCCAGACTATCGGCCGAAATTTTACCTGTCAGCGCTGTGGTTATTGCTGGAGGATTGGCTCAATTAAGCAACAGATGCCGCATTACTTGATAGCAAAGCATGTAGATGGACTTCATTTCGTATAATGAACTTCTTTTTATATAAATTTGCGACCCATAATTTAGGTACAATAGGCGGCTCTATCATCACAGCTGTCGCAATGGTGCCCGATCATATCCCCTCCAATAAGATTCCATCGCGGGTTGGGCTTTGTCTTGGATACGACCCTGGTATCCCAGACACCACTTACCTCAGCTAGGTCCATTTGCCTTGCTGCATTGCTCAGCCTGATTTTCTCAACCTCGAAATCCTTCACATCTACCTGTCAATACAAAGAAAGTTGTATTTCGATCAGACATGCCGAAGGATATTTCGGATACAGGGCTATCCGTTGTTTACGAGGCCGAGAACTCCTCTCCAATCATCGAGTGCGTCCTTACATATATGCCTTTTGGTTTTTAGCGGAATAGGCGTAAGCCAACTGATCCTATGTGTGCAGCATCGTATTCGTTCATGGCTTACAGGGCCATCCGTCCAAGACATGGACTTACCACAAAAAAGAAAAGAAAAAAAGTTTTATTCACCGTATGTTCCAGAAATTATTGAAGGCTACCACACATCCCGAGGATAATGGCACCCAGTTCAAGCCGGTATTCTGGCCTGCTGATTTGCTTCCCAACAATTGTCCCGACTCACGCATTCTCACATTCGGCTATGACAGCAAGGTTACTAAGTACAACGCCAGTGAGATAAACCAGAACAGTATTTTCGTGCACAGCAAAGATCTTCTTGGTGAATTGCATAGAGGAAGAGAAAGAGATCCTAAACGCCGGTTGATGTTCGTTGCTCACAGTCTGGGTGGAATTGTTGTCAAGGAAGTAAGCCTATCCTAGCCGTTAGACCTGATACAATTTTTTTAATTTATGTTTCTAGATGCTTGCAAGATCGTCTTCATCCGTTGAGGGCGGGCTTAGAAATATCGTCGAATCAACTGCAATGGTTGTTTTCCTTGGCACACCGCATCGCGGTAGTCAGCATGTGGCGGCTCTCGGCGAAGTGGTGCGGTCTGTCGTCAGCTCTCTCGGCATGAAGACAACACCCGTTATTCTTGATGCTCTGGGATTAAAGACTACGGATTTAGTACGCGCGCAGGAGGATTTCTCCATGCTATGGCACAAATACGACTTTCGAGTCAAGACATTCCAAGAAGGCCTCACCTTAGCAAAACTTGGAAAAAAGGTGGTTCCCGATTACTCATCCTCGATTGGAGATGCTCGTGAATATGCCGAGACGATGCAGGCAAACCATATAGGGATGTGTCGTTACTCAGGGCCAAACGACCCGAACTACTGCAAAATAGCTGGAGCGCTTCAATCGATATATCTTTCCATTCCAAGTCTGAAAGCAATCGAAGCTTCCCTAGACCGACGAATACAACTTACTAAGTCGGTGTTGAGTACAACCTCCACGAATGAGCCACCTCATGTTGTCAATGGTAGCAAGGTCAATGAGGCTTGCCTCAGATCTTTGTGGTTCCCAACTATTGATAGGAGACTCCAAAGTCTGGGGAGTCCAGCCGAGAAGACTTGTGCATGGTTGTTCGATCACAAGTTGTACAAGGATTGGTTTAATGGTACGGGCAGGCACGAGAGCTATGGGCTTCTTTGGCTAAAGGGAAAGCCTGGTGCAGGGAAATCGACACTTATGAAAGAGGCTTTCCATCAGGCCGCGCGAGAACAAGCCGAATCAAACTACTCTACAGCGGCTTTCTTCTTCAACGCTAAAGGAGATGAGCTTGAGCATTCGAGTCTTGGCCTTTTTAAGTCCTTGCTGTATCAGCTTCTGCCTGGAGACAAGCAAGGTCTTGAATTCTTCCACAAAATGTGGGACGAAAAAAACAAATTCGTGAAACGAGACATAGGGGAGGAATGGGCCGCTTGGGCAGAGTCAGAACTAGAATCTTTTTTAGAATGGGTGCTTCTCATTCAGACAAAGAAGAGGATTATTTTCATTGATGCCCTCGATGAGTGCGATGAGCCCCAGATACGACTAATGGCCTACTTCTGGAGGCGGTTAACCCGGGGGGCCTACCTCAAAGGAATTGACCTCAATGTCTGCATCTCCAGTAGACACTTTCCCACAATCACCCTGAGTGACTGTCCGGAAATATTTGTTGAACAGCACAATAGTGATGATATAGAGACATATGTGGATTGCAAGTTCGAACTTGCCTTCGCCACAAAAAGGCCTCAATGGGAACTATTGAAGAAAAATATTCTTCAAAAATCTGCTGGAGTATTCCTTTGGGTTGTGTTGGTGGTGGAAGATGTTCTTAGAAGCTGGGATGATGGAAACGAAATGCCATACCTGAACCAACGAGCTATGGACTTACCGGAGGAGCTCGAAACTTTATTTTCCAACATTTTCTCAAAACTTGAACCCAATGCAAGAGAGTTAACTGTCAAGTTCTTCCAGTGGGCTATTCTGGCCACAAAACCACTCCGACTTTACGAGTGGCGTCACATACTGGCTTTCATCCGACAGCCGACTCTGAAATCTCTTCGCGAGTGGCGTCAATCAAACAGCTTCATCGAAAGCGATGAACAGCTTGAGAAACAAATTCGAACGATCTCTAGGGGTTTAGTTGAAGTGAAGAGAGTATACGTAGGAGATTCACAAGAGGAGGGAATTGAAGCCATATCAAACCACGCGGGAGCGGGATCCCTTGATCTCGAGCATGGAGATTCCAGGATCGTCCAGGTTATACATGAATCTGTGCGTGAGTTCTTCTTGAGAAATAACGGATTCTTCATGTTGGATCCGGGCCTACGGTCCAACCCGATTGGCAATGGCCACCTTTCAATAATGGAAACTTGCCTGGACTACCTCAATATTAGGGAGCTGAATGCACTCGTTCAGGCACGGCTTTCCGCGGCTAAGCGTATAGGCAGTCTGAAAGATAGGAGAACATCAAGTACTGTGAGCAGTCGGGTTAAAAGCTCATCCCCTGAGGATGGTGTATTGCTTATGGAGCATCCTAAGCCAAGAACTCCTGCAGTCATAAAGAGGAGGGACACGGGTTCAGCCTTGTTTCCCCTGCAGGCCCACTCAAATCTATTTGACAACAGTCCATTCAATTTTGATTCATCATCATTCGTCGATCATGCAAGTTCTTATGATTCCATATCCAGCAAGGAACACCAGTTGCTACACAGCAAGAGATCAGCAACAAAGGAAGAGAGAAGCTCTGTTTCTGAGCTACTGAGATCATTAAAGTACAATCCGAGCATGAAGGTTATTGAATGGATGACAAAGGATGACGCTATTTCGGTCGAACGGGCGTCTCCAGACCGGTCTCCTTGCGTATCTATCACCTACTTTCATGAAATAAGCCAGGAGCTGGAAGACGATCCAGCGCTTCTCTCATATGCCACATTTAAGCTGTTCACACATGCTCAACTGGCCGATAAAAATGGAGCTGACCTACGACCTTTCATCGACCGCTTGAAAGATGAAGTAACATGGGCTCGCTGGGTTGCACTCAGAGAAGATATACCACATGGGACTAAGGCGAGCTCATATACTCTCGACATGGGCCTATGGTCATGGATCAAATCCTTTTATGACGGATCCATCTCTGATGCTTCAATCATAGAGAGAATCCGCAACCACGAAGAAGATGAAAAGAAAGAAAGAGAAAGAGGAAGAAAAAGGGAAGAGAAAGAAAGAAGGGAGAAAGGAGAAGAGTTTATGTGGTACACGAGTGGAATCAAGTTTCGGAAGGAAAGAGAGGAAGGGAAAAGGGTGGAAGAAGCAGATGCAAGAGAAAGAGAAAGAACGCAAATGCCGCACATTGGAGAAAACAAAGTTGGGGAGGAAGTGGCTGGCATGTCCAATGTCAATAATCGTCACCGCAGCCGCAGCCGCCACCGTAGTCGGACTGGAAGTGTTGCAAGTTTTAGTTCCGCAGGTAGCCACGGTTGATGTTTGGGTAGAAGCAGCCGCATTACTCTTAATTGTCTTTCTCTTATCCAAGATTGTTTTGTTATATTGAACCTCTCAATACAAAGCATTTGAACTCCGCACTCTATACTCGCAGCCCTATCTTGAGAGTATACGTTGCATATTGCCACCACCAAATAATACGACCGGAGAAATGCAACGAATGGGCACTAAGATGTCACAGGGCTCAGCGCCATCTCAGAGAGACGTCGATAGTGCGCGATACTAAGGGATTTAGCCATAGCACATCCTGTTCTAGAGCCCAAGGAAGCTGCCGAAACTGGCACATGAAAACGCGGGGATTGGATCTCGAGAATCCACTGGGCGCCACCCACACCCGCGCCACGGAATGACTTTTGAAACGATGAGGTGGAAGCTAGTCGCTGATAGCAGAGGCTGGACCAAGCCCCTGAGCAGAATAGTAGTAGTAGATGGTGGTCTAGTTTGCGGTTGGACTGCGTGATATAAGTACGAGGAGGAGCGTCGTGGTGGTTAGTGGTGAAAGAGATAGTACTATCTGGTATCTATCGGATGCTGCTAGCACGAGGACTCGTATGCAGATGCAGTCATCATCGTCATTTCAGCCAGTGGCGATCCTCATCGTCTGCAAGGGGCGGGCCTCTCGGTTAAGGAGAAGAGGAGGAATAGACAGCCTAAATCGGCAAGAGTTGAACCGAAGAGAGACGAAGCGAAACGGCCAGCATGCCGAAAACGAAACTGACTTTCCAGCGTGCAGTAGCATTGATCGCCAGTCAATCACCCGACGACAAGCTCCCAGTCAGGCAACAAGCCATTTTGCGCGCCGGCTCGAGAGCCATCAAAAGCCTCCTCGGCGAGACATGACTAAGGAGCAGCAGCAGAGCTGAGCACAGGATAAGCCCGGTTCGTACTCGTACTGCCATGGTTCGAGACAAGATGGCGGATGGCAGATGGCAGAGGGAGGACCGGGCCAATGACTGGGCGGCGTCTACGCGTGGTGGCCAGGGATTTGACTCGGGGGATCCCTGGCGGGCGCCTCCACAAGGGCCCAAGCGGAACAACGGCTGCGTTGTCCATCAGCGGGGACGGAGAGAGAGATTTTGATTGATGGGTTTTGACTGGACCTTCGAGTGGTGTTCGGATGCAGTGCCGTCTGCAGGTACATACAGGTGCAGGTAGAGGTAGAGGTAGAGATAGAGGAGGATGCTTGGGGATGATGCTTGCATGTGCCAATGCTCGTACCGACTGGCGTTATCGATACTGTACAAACACCAACGCAGGGCATCATATCAATTTTCTTCGTACTCGTCAAAGAGGAAACTATCGAAACCCCATCTTTGAAAAATGGCATATTCCGAGACATGTAAAAGACAAGTTCTCTATTTTTGTGCTGCTGTTGTTCTTGTTGTTGCCATGGCTATTCGTTGCTGCTGTTGTACTCGGTATCTTCATCGTGATGCATATCAAGCAGGAATCATCACCAAATCCCCAGCCAACATCATCCAATCCCACGGCCCAATCACCCCCAAAAAATCATTTGATGCACCCACGCAGTCCTTTCATCTATCTGGCCCGGAATCCCATCCCGCCGCCCACGTTTCGCCCAACAAACTGGCATCGTCCCCCCCTGCCTCTGCCACTGCCACTGCAACTGTATCCGTAACTGAACGGTTCGTTTCCCCCCTCCCTGCGTCGGCTGCAGAGCTGCAAGGGCCACTAACATGCAGAGGCTAGTGCGCTAAACCTTGCGGCTGTAGTGGCTCTAGCGTGCCACTAGCCGGGGCTGTTCTAGGCTCTGGGTGGCCCGAGCGGGAGGAGGCAATCTCGCTGAGCCGGTTTCCCCTGGTTGTGCTGCAATGAATGTTCAATGCGGGCGACTTGGCGGCTGTCGCCAAGGTACCTGTGGATGAGACAGATGCTACCTTGACTCAGTATCCCTTGTTGCTCTCAACGGAGTGTATTCTACAGCTTTTACGCCAGGTACACAAACTACACGCAACAAGTACTCCTCGCTAGCACTAATCTCTCTCCTCCCCCCAGCTGCTGCAAACGCCTCGAGCTTCAGGTTTCTTCCACTCTTAGCCCCAAAGCAGTTACGAGTACATGTCCCTTGTACTCTCTCTCTCTCTGTGCGGTCTAACTCCAAGCAATTCGCCTCCCTGTTTTCGATATCAGGCTACTGCTCTCTCTTCTCCTCGACTTTCCCCCTCTTCTCGATCTCTATCCAATTGTCCTTTGTCTTCCTTCATTTATCGAGGGCATTTCGATCGAGATTGTCCAATTGGATATTATTTCAATTACATCTTCTTGCATCTTCAAAAGAGGTCGAGGCTCGCCAATGTCAACTTTCTGAACCGCATTCATCTCTCGTGGCTGCTCAGCACCATAACTTCTCTCTCTACTCCTCTCCCTCCTCTTCTCTTGTCTCTCTTCTCTACTCCTCTTTCTCTCACTCTCACCCTCTCCTCTTCTCCACCATCATCACCACACGAATACGTTTCCCCCGTCACTTGACAAACCTCCCACCAGCTGCATTCGTGCATTCGTGCCCCCTTCCAAGACTCGTGCAACCCAGAGGTAAGATATTTTACTTTCCCTTCATTCTATTCGCACCTGCATGTGCCAGCTGCGGCAGTGTCAGGTGCCATCCATGCATATTTTCATTTTCGCCTCTGCCGGATTTTCCCTACAAACATTCTCCCTTGCATATGTCCAAGATGCTAACCTCCGCCTTTCAGACAACCTTTTTTTTCTTGGACACCTTGTTTTGTCTCCTCTTCATACTGTTCTCGCCTCTTGATCTGACGAGATTCTGATTTCGGCCATTCTTCCCACACATCGCCACTTTTTGCCTTGCCCCCACAATCATCATGGCTACTCCCGACAAGAGGCAGTCTACTGCCAGCGTTCGCCTCACCAGAGAAATCACCATCGAGATTTCTGTGCCTGACAAGGCTCTCACGCCAACCGTGGGCGTTTATGCTGTGCCGACCAATGCCACCTCGGTCACCAGCATCACCTCCAACCCCAATTCCGACAAAACCACCACCAATCCCTTCGACGCCGACATTGAGGCTCTCCATTCTCACAGCTCCATTGACAAGCCCCTCCGGAAAAGCATGACGCTAGATGCCAAGATGGAGTGCCAAGTATGGCCTGGAAAGGACCACTGGCAGAAGCAAGCCAAGCAGACCAAGGTGAAGCGAAACAACTGCTCCTGCATGGCCAACCTCAGCCCGCGCAACAAGATCATTGCCAAGATTCTCATCATTGTGCTGGTGGTGGGAATCGCCGTCAGCGTCGGCTTTGGCATAAGCAAGCCGCTTGGTGCACCGCTCTGGGGCGACAAGAACTAAAGGCAAACATGCTCCTCCATGATGCTTCCGATGACGAAACGTCGTACGAATCTTTTTCTCACAGGTCCTCCAAGGGCCAAACGCCGACCGCAAGAGCACCACCCATCTCTGAGGTCCCCTTTTTTCTTCACCAAGTCACACATTGTGCCACCGCTTCTCTTGTTCTTCTTTTATTGCACTGTTCATTGTAATCATGTACGACCCTGCGGAAGCAGAGTCAAGGGGGTTTCATATCATAGCCGGGCGTTGACGGAGTTGTGTGGATTTTAGCCCCAATATTTGGAGCGCATTTACGGTAGAAATACACTCAGGAAAGGCCTCTGGATGGAATTGTGCCTCGTCTATGAGCTCCAGCCTCGAGCACGAGTTTGTTTTTTTCAGTTACCTATATAACGGGATACATAAAAGCATGCATGCCAGCACAGATTACGGCGAGATGAGCCAACCACGCGGTGATTACAATGTCATGATGCTGTCTTGTGGATGACTTGCTTTGCCTGTTTCTGGCATTTTTTCCGATCGATTCTTTGTTCGCCTATTCTGCAGTGACTTGTCTTTTTTCCCTGCAGCTGGTGCTGAAAATGACGGGCAGGTTACATGGCGCATTGACCCCAGTTAAGGGGCTGCTGCAGCTGGATCACGCCGTTCTGGCATTTCGGCAATTGATGCGACGATGCCAAGATGCAGTGATGATTTGAGTTAGAAAAAGCAAAATATGAACCTGGAAATTTTAATGAAGCCGTGAAATGAAAAGCGGAATGCAGAATACTTGATACCTTTTTTGCATGTGACAAACAACGCATATGGCCGCATGCAGCATACAGAAATTGATGGCTTGCTTGCTGCAGACACTAAATTGAGACAACCTAGCAGCGCCAAGTCAAAGAGGCTCTAGTCCTCGTACTGGATACATACATGGATTACGCGACACCTCAAATGAGATGCGAAATACGGAGCAGATTTGCAAGAGGTGAAATGAATTTTGAATAGGTGGACGTCAATGTAGTCGCATGAATACACGTAAAATGTAGATTCGAGATTCTAATAATAAAGTGTCAAAAAAATGGAGTTGGGAAGGGCTATACACGTATTTCGTAGTGCGCGGAATATTTCATGGCCAATCAAGGAGAGGCCGCCATTGGTGGGGCTGACAGGTGATTTGTGACGATGCCTTCAAGATGGATACAACTGCCTTTTGAATGCCTAATCTGTTGTCGACTTGGCTTGTATATGAGAATTCAAATCACGCATTTTAATTATTGTTGTGATTTAAAGATACTTTTCACATTAACATCCATAGAGCCAGAGTGCCTAGTGAATAGCGGATGTCGCTGTACTATTCTTATTCCTTTCTTAGCATCGGCCAAACAACAAATGCTATTAGAAGCAATATAGTATAATGATTTTAGAAATTACTCTGAATTTACGTTGATTATTTTAACTTGTATTATGGTGTATTTGGTCATCTCACACACATGGTAAGAACAATGGACTGGCAGCTGCCACCGGAGAAGAAGAAAAACAGGCAGGAACGACTTACCAGGTGGCAGCCAGCTGAACAGCAGATGGCAACAACTGATTTCACTGCTTAGTCAAAAGCAAAGAAAAAAAAAAGAAGAAGTAAAATTCCCATCTCATCTTTGACGTGGTTTGGAAATCTTCGTGCTCGCGTTTTTCCTCCTCTCCCCCAACACTTTTGTGCGAGCTTCGGCCTCCCCCTGAAGCAACTCTGCAAGCCTTCACCACAATCATCTCGCCATCAAACCATCAGAAAAACCATCCTCCATCAAGCGCCATCATGGAGAGCCCAAGACCCTCCACCGCCTACCTCATCGTAGCCATCATCATGGCCGTCCTCATCTTTCTCAACGTCCTCATCGGCATCGCCTTCCTGCTCATCCCCAAGGACTGCACCCGCTGCCGCCCCGAGAACCAGCAACCCGCGCGCCGCAACCCGTTCAACATCGCTCAAGGATACAGTCTTCGCTCCATCTTCGTCTCTGGCTCGCACGGTCGTCGTGTTGCCTTCATCAACGGCTTTGTTGAGGTGGACGATGACTTTGATGCTTGGGCGTACTGGGCGACGGACTCGGAGGAGACGCTCAGGGGAATTCCTATCCACTCTCTGCCTCAGACGCAGGTTCAAGCTCAGGCTCAGGCTCAGAACCAGTATGGACTTCATGGTGATGCGGGCGTGGTCAGTACTAGGCCTTCTGCTACCGAGTATGGCTACCAGCACCACAATGAACGTATGGAGATACCTCGCGACGGCACTGTTGCCAGGATCCCAGCTCACCGAACAGACGGTGGTTTCGCTTTCACTGAATACGAATTTGAGCAACCTATGCAGTACGCCACCGATCCAGCTGTGTCGCGTCATTCCCACCCTCTCGCTCAAGGCAACGAGGTCGATTTTGGCCCGCACTCGCAGTCACCCGCCCCCACTGTGAGAACTTGGGGAAGAGACAGCGATGCTACCATTCGTGCGGTGGTGGAGAATCCCAGACGGGATGTTGGTGGCTCGAGGCCCAAGAGCTCCCGTTCTGAGGGACAAGCATCGAATGATGCTGGCCGTCAGGCTTATTGAAGGTACGACGAGTATCCGTGAGGAAACGAGAACGAGAAGCACAATCGGATACACTAAACAGAAAAGCACCCCAAAAAAGGGACATCTCAACTCTTCAGGGGACAGGAATTTGCCGATTATTAAGGGGCATCAGCTGCATTTAGATCATTTCTGGCTCGTCAGATACTTGGTTTGTCTGAGCTGAGCACATGTACGGGATATACAAAACAGGGAACAGGGGCATATGGGATCAACTAAACCACCAAGTCAATTCATTGTCTGCTAGGTAGGTATTGAGCTTGGTATTCAAGCTCCAAATCATAATCACTGTATTATAAATCACAAGTTCACCACCACATAAGAGCACCGAGTAAAAGACCAAGCAGGCGAATTATTCTCACACCATCAAACATGAGCATATTTCATGGACCATCACATTAACTAAAAGTAGATTCAGACACTGGCCCAGCCGTGTCCCCCGCCCCATTTGCCATCTCGTTCTCTTTCGCAAAGGCTCTTGCGCTTGTCTAAAAAGAAGCAGAGGCGCCTCACATCCCTTTTTTTCCCTTTCTAGTTCTTCATGTAGTTTACCCTTCCTCGAGCCCCGTTTCAAGTAGAATTGTTTTGATCAAAAATAGAAAAAAAAAAAAAGGAAAGGAAAAGAGTAAAAGAAGAATAAAAGAGTTAAAAAAAAAGGATTGGGAAAAAAATACAAGTAGCCTCCTTCTCTCCCACCTCACTGTCTCTGTTTAGCATCTTCCAAATCCAAACTAGTCAATGCTTTGGTAGTGTTAGTTTCAGTGTTTCTGTGTACCTCTTACGGCGTTTCTTCATGCCGTCTGCGCTCAGTCAAGGGGTGAGGCTCTGAAGAGCCTAGTGTTTCCATCACCAGAGGTAATTCTATCGCATTGTTTTCCTGGGATGCCCAGTACCGTGAGTGCAGGGAGCAGAGTAAAAAAGCAATAGGTCAAATAAAGATGGCAAAGCACAATCTTTCAAAACGGGGGGTTTGTTACAAGTACGCGATTCGTCGTTCCATCGTCTCTCTGCGTGGCGAATGGCTGTTTTCTCGTCCTCAGGGGCCATGATATTCCGCCATCATCTGCGTCGCTGGTCTGAATGCATGTGCGTTGTATTCTGCTGTTTGCCGCTTGTACGGACGGCGTTCGCGAGCACTCATCCATTAAAATGTATATCGTAAAGAAATGGCTTGGCGAGAAAAGAACAAGAAAAGGAGAGTCTAGTCAAGCCTTGAAATGGGAGCAAAGAGTGCTGCAAATCATCAGACAGACTGATATAATAGTAATGGCTCGCCGACATTTTCGATTTCGGGAATGGTGCACTTGAGATCAAACGCTTTGGAGAGAACAATTTTGAAAATCTACAAATCAGGTTAGTTTCTCGCAATACAACAAGTACAAGCGCTTGGAAGCAGTCACACCTTTTGTACGTTGATGCTGTGGCTTGTACTTGAGAAAATCAGAGATGCCCGCATAGCTTTGGCAAATCGTCTCGCCTGTCAATAGACATTTCGTCAGCAAATCGTCCTGCAGTCTGTTCCCTGCCACGAACAACCTACCTGGTTAGAGATTTCCTCTTGGTCCTGGATCGGAAAGTTGACAAAATGGTCGTACTTGGTGCCGACCAAGACGGGGATTGCCGTCTTGTTGAATCCGCGTCCCTGACGATACCACTCCTTGATGCTGTTGAGCGTGCTCTTGCGCGTGAGGTCGAACATGAAGAGGATGGCGACTGCGTCATTGCAGACCAGCGGCAGCATGTTGACAAACTCGCGCTGGCCGCCCAAGTCCCAGATGGAAAAGGTGATTTCGGTGTTGCGGATGGAAATGGTCTTTTCCATGAAATTGACACCCAGCGTCTGGATGTAGTCTTCGTCCCAGCTTCCCTCGACGTATTTGACCATGAGCGATGTCTTGCCGATTTGGGCATCGCCAACCATGCCAACCTTGATCACCACATGGCTCCGGCCGTTGGATTGGTCGCCTGAGCTCGGCCGGTAATCGTTGTATGGCGGAGGTGCCGGGTTTGACAGGCCACTAGCCGGTCTCGAAAGCGAGGGGCCAGACACGGGCGGAGTCTGTCGGCTCGGGGAATCTTCGTCTTGCCTCAGACTGCCGGCAAGGCTGTGGTCAAGCGAGTGGCTCGAGAGGCTCTGCTGGTGGTGGTAGCCATTGCTGGAGGCGACCTCTGAAGGGCCGTCGAAGCCGCCAATGGTGTCGTCAGGGCCCTGGCTAATGTCGGCCTCGAGCGGGGGGAGAAAGTCCTGCTGCTGCGAAATCTCCATCTCCGTGATTTCGACGGCGGCGGCGTCGTGGAGCTGGTCTGAGCGGGCCGCGACGATGGTTGATGAATCCAGGCTGAGCAAAGGAAGAGAAAGACGGACGGCGGGACGATGACGGCCGACGGGCGCTGCGAAATGAAGGAGTGGGATGCAATGAAATTAAATCAGGGCGGTTAGTTGGTTTGTAAGGCTCGTCGGGTTCGGATTGGAGTGGAATCAGGTCGTCGTCACGTCGGCGCGGGGATCAGCAAGCGGGCGGTTGCGCAAGGCAATATTAAAGAAGAAGAAGAGAGAAAAGAGAGAACGAAGAAGAAGCGGAAACAAAGGAAACGGGTCCAGGTCACGGTCAAAGTCAAAATGTCGAGGTTTGAGGTCCGAGGGTTTTGGGATGAGGGGTGGTGAGAGTAATGGTGGAAGACAGATTGGGCCTAGCAGGGGTTTGCCTGGTCTGGGGGATTTTGGCGTTTCTCAAGGGAAGCCAAGCTGAGAGAGAGGCTCGGGCCGGAATTACAGTGGCGCCGCCTGATGGGATTATGTTATGTACAAGACATGGAACGAAATAAATGGACGAAGCACGGGGCAACAGCTGGTCAAACTGCGCTGTGCTGTACAGTAGTGTGCTGCGGTTAGTTGAGTTGAGGCCTAAAAGGACAGCACGGTTGGTTTGCGCCACGGCCGAATGGACCACTAAAAGGCCGCTGATGCCCAGCGAAGAAGCACCTGGACTGGGCAGGTTAGTGGGCGTAAAGGGGGCAAGGCGATGCGTGACAGACGTGACGTGACGTGACGAGCTGAGATTTGATGGGAGAATGAGCGGGACGATATGGGGGATTTTTTGCGTTTGTTTAATTCGACAAGGGTGTACATAAGCGAGGAGAGAAGGGTGGGGATGATGATGACGATTTGATGATTGTGATTGGAAAAAAATGTGAGATTTGATGAGCCTATTTATCTATATATAAGTGAGTGTGTGTATGAGTGAGTATGTGAGGGTATGAGGATATGAGTGAGTGAGTGTCTCAATATATTGCAACTCACACACACTTTACTCGGCTTCACATAGTGCTGCATCTGGCGCTCTCAGTTTACCTCCTAGTCGCCGATTGACTTTGGTCGCTTACTTTGGGCGTGCATTAGGACCTGATTTCCCAGCTCTCGTGCGCTCCGTAATTATCATCCAAGCTTCCCGTGTTCTGCTGACATTTAATTCCAGCCCAGCCAATCACATGCTCAGGCTACGCCCTCAAAGGCATCAACAATCGACGCACAAAACAGGTGGCTTGAACCATGTACAGCGTAGTTACATTGCACTTGGCTGGATGCAGCCCAGCGTGGAAGTAAATCGATGTCCCGGCTACACCATGGAAACAATGTAAACAATTCAATGCAGACATAAACAAAACAAAACAGATTACAACGGTTTCAGCATCAACTCTCTAACTATTTCCTACTAATACTCCGTAATGGATGGCACTATACCTTATCATCTGCTTGCCTTATCCTTTATCGATGCTTTGCCATGTACTTTGTACCTGGACAGCTTCACGATGCATCAGTCATCTCACGTGACGCGTCTGCTCTGCTCATCTTGTTGCTGCAAGTCACTCTTCGGAGCTTTAAGTGACTGCCGACTTGCACCATCACTTGCATCACGGCTGATGTTTCTCAATTCACATGTCAGTCTTCATTTTCATTCACTCATCAGTCATTCATAGATACAGGCATCAGCTTTATCAAACCGCCATCAAGGACCTCCTCCATGCTCCCACTCCAACCCACGCAAGCAAGCTCGTGCCCCCCAGGATGCCCAGCCAAATCAATATAGCAGTGCGAAACACGCCCTTGGCAAACTTCTCCATGGCCTCGCCATCATTGGCATGAGGAAACGGCTCATCGGGAACTGGCTTGTCGAGAAACTTGGCCAATGGCTCCCAGCCCTCTTTGAGTTCCATGGTCAACAGTCTTTCCTTGGGGACGGTGTTGCGGACCCATTCGTTATGGATGAGGATAGAATCTGAAAAGATTAGCATCACGGCGTGAAAAGAGCAGCGACTTGCTTAAAAGATGCAGTGACAAATATGTCTGCCACGGGTAGCTAAACCTACCTCGGGACAATGTTGGTCCAAGACGAGTTGATTCTCTGTCCTCAAATATCAGCATCAGTGCTTCTCCCTCATAAGAACAAAATAAGAGACAAAGAGAGGGAAGGGAAGGGGAAGGGGAAAGAGCAGACAAACACTCGGCTTAAACTCACGTCTTCTCCAGGTGTTTCAGCCATCTCGGCGCCCACCTCCACCCAGGACAAGGCCACAAAATCACCTTGAGCACCGACATGGAACCAATGCCACCCTTTATCAGCGTCTGCATGCTGTTATACCATCGATCGGGATCCCGTGTCACGAGCACCACCTTGGCATCTGGGTAGAGCTCGACCAGTTCGGCGATGAAGGCGGTGGCGGGAGCGTCAGTCACAGCGACAAAGCCAGCTGTGGCCTCGCGCAGGAGCTTCATGAGGACAGGCTTGTTGTTGCGATTGGCAAAGACGTCGCACCAGAGCTTGACGTACGCTGTTTCCATGAGCATAAGCATGAATACATGACGGTGACCTGCCAGTCAGCGTCAGGGGTTGGACCAACCGTCTTCTCGACCAAACAGCTGCGTTCCTCCATGCATAACTGGCCCTCCAAGCAGCTTTTCCAAGGCCAGGGCCATGGATACAGTGCCGGTGCGGGAGTAGCCGGCGCCGATGACCTGCACGGTACGGGTCCGGTCTGTGGGGATTGATGGAACTCCGCCCATTTTGACAGCTCGCGACTGTAACTACAATATTTTGCACGTAAGACGTCGGTATTGCGCTCTTATTAACGACCAAGAGATCAGATTACTGCAGACAAGGAGGTGTGCTGCCCTTATACTTCTGATGTGACTACCTTCGGGCCGTCGGCGGCATGTATGCATATATGCACCAACCCCCTACTTAGACATCACCGCTTCTATGCCGCTTTTAAAGTCGCCATGTCTCAAAAAAAATGCGCTAGGAGGTGCTGATTGACCTTTTCCGATGCCTCCTCAATGCTCTGTCAGACTTTGACCTTGCTCTTGAGACAAAGGATCCCATGCGCGCGGCTCTTGATCCTCCGTGTCCTCTCTAGCTTCGGAAGTCGGCGATCTCGTCTGGGCACATCTTTGCAGGCAGAATGGCACTTGGCATCCTGTGCCCCGTTTTTGATAGACCCTAGCCAAGAGGGGAAGCACCACGGATCCTCTCTCCTCCGTGTTGTCACATCGGCGATACCTGGCTTGTCGCCGTGCTTGTTCTTGATTGATTCGCCAGCGTCGCATTGGGTCAAAGGACAGCCCTGTTTTGGGGCCGGGCATTAATAAAGAGCCCGTCAGCGGGGCTTCTCTTGAACATGTGAGGGTAGTGAGTCTAATGCCGCCATGGGCAAGTAAGATGGAGTTGGACTATGTACGGATGCTAATTCATCGCCAGATATATACGCTTACACTTTTTGTCGTGCTACTTTTCTCTCTCCCATCAATTCATCATGCTTAAAACACCACCGTCTTGTGTCCGTTCAAGAACACTCTTCCCTCGGCATACCAGCGAACCGCCGCCGCCAACACCTGCGTCTCGACCGTGGATCCCTCTTCCGACAGCTTCTTGGGGTCCATGCTGTGATCGACTCGAGTGACTCGCTGCTCGATAATGGGGCCCTCGTCGAGATCGGCCGTGACAATGTGTGCCGTGGCACCGATAATCTTGACACCGCGGTCGAAGGCCTGGTGGTAGGGCTTTGCGCCGATGAAGCTGGGCAAGAAGCTGTGGTGGACTGTTGTTGTCGTGTTAGTGTACGGGAACAGGAATGGCATTGGCAATGGGACAATGGGATAGGGTTCGACTGACTGTTGATAATCTTTCCCGACATCTCCTCGCACAGCTTGGGCGACAGCACCTGCATGTATCGAGCCAGGACAACCAGCTCAATGTTGTGCTGCTTGATCAGCTCCAGCACCTTGGACTCCTGCTCCAGCTTGGTGTCCTTGGTCACGGGCAGGTGGTGGAACTCGATGCCATAGCTCTTGGCCAGGTCCTCAAAGTCCGGGTGATTGGACACAATGATGGGCACCTCGATGAGCAGCTGACCGGTCTTCATGCGGAACAGCAGGTCGTTGAGGCAGTGGCCAATCTTGGACACCATGATGAGCACGCGGGTACGGCGCTTCAAGGGTCGGAAGTTGTACTTCATGCTGTACTCGCTGGCGAGAGCCTGGAAGTCCGGCTCAAGGTGCTCAGTCGACGAGGCATCGGCAACATCGGGGGCAGGGCCAAAGTGCACGCGCATGAAGAACTTGTTGGTGACGGGGTCGGAGAACTGCTGCAGGTCCAGCACGTTGTGGCCCTTTGCGGCGAAGATGCCGGTGACAGCGTGGACAATGCCGGGCTTGTCGGGGCAGCTAAGGGTGAGGATGTGGCCGGAGGACGACATGGCGATGGGTTTATCAGGCGTTGAAGCGCAGTGTATTGCTGGTGATGTGTGGATTGGCAGAGGAGGGGAATCTCGAGTTGAGTCGAGATGCTAACGATGACAGCTACGTCAACACGGGGAACAGCTCACGCACAGCTTTCAATTCAATTGGACAATGGAAGAGGAGAAGAGAGTGAAAAACAAGGTTCGACGCCGCTGCTGGGCCCTTAAAAAAAACCAATTGGAGCAAAAAAGAGTCATCCGGATGTAGCTCGGAGAGTTTGGCTGAGGACCACTCTGACTCTTACTAGCTGAATAGCTGAATAGCTGCGCAGCTTCCAGACTCGGGACCCCACTCCGGGCTGCGTAGCCCTCCGGACCGGTGGCTTTTTTATTAATTAATCTGCATCACATAAGCTGTTTGCTGTTTGCTGGGCTATTACGGAGTATAGCCTGAATAATTTCTAGATGCTTCTCTTTTCGATGATGGTTGGATTTGTGTCGTTTGGCCTGAGGTGAATGGGGCCGAGAACCGGGGCTGGTGGAGCTCCGGTTGTTGTGTCGTCGCTTGGCTATTTTGACATGTGTCAGCCGTTTTGCGATGGGACTTTGGTGGGATTGGATGATTTGTGTGATGGAATGTTGCAAGGATAAATGTTGAGAGCGTTCTTGGAATGAGCATCGAAGGATCAAACGGTTCACACTTTGCACGCCATATAATACCGAGTCAACCATATCGATCAACATGATTTTTAGACAAATGAATTGTATAATTATTCAACTGCGGGTATTATTAAAAAAAAAAAATGCTACTTGTAAGAAAGACACGCCTTCATCAGCATCATTACACATATCCAGATGCAATAAACACGGTAACACCACCCCAAGTTTTCATTCTCTCGCCCAATGCAAAGACAAAGGAAACATCAAGTCAAAGACAAACAAGAATGAGTGTCTCAACACCCCCACGCCAACATCTCACACCATCTGCTCCGGATGATGTCCAACCGCCCGTCGAGGCACCGTCGGATTCGCATACGCTCCGTCACCCGCCGGCCCAGCACCGATATTATACCCATAATCATGCTTAGCATGCTTCCCAAACCCATTCCCAACCCCAACGCCATTCGTCGTGCCCCCTGCAAAGCTCTCCATGCCCCATCCAACACGCCTCGTAAACGTCGCATCGAACAAGTCACCATTCCCCACGGTATACGGAAACGCCACGCCGCGGTTCAGCGGGATGTGGTTGAAGCGCCAGTCCCAGATGGACGCGTACGCCATGCGGTATGCGGAAAAGGCCATGACGATGCCGATGACTGCGCCGGCGAAGACGTCGTACCAGTTGTGGAATTCGTCGATGGTGAGGGCGCCGCCGATGAGGACTGCGCCGAGGATGGGGGCGTAAACGGCGATGAGCTTCCACATTGCGGGATGGTAGTTAGCGAATACTTTGAGTTTTGCGTTGAGATACAGTGAGAGGTAGACGAAGCCTGCAAAGGCGGCAGTGGTGTGGCCGCTTGGGAAGGATTCCAGGCTGTCGTCAATCTGATCTGGGTCACCGGTGCAAATGTCCCGTGTGAAGTAAATCTGCTGGTATCCCGTCCTATCGAGTTCCGAATTTGTGATACGGCTCAGATCCGGCTTGCACACGTCCAGAAAATGAGGGCGAAGGCCGCCGATGAGCCACTTGAGGAATACTTGGAACACAGCCGCGCAGATGAGAGAGTACAAGAGACCAATGACGCCGTTGTTGACGTCCCAGAACGAGCGAATCCGGATCTGCATCAAGAGAATGATGAAGATGGGTATGATAGAGGCGAGAAACGCCGCCAGCCAGATGGGGATGATCTCCTTGCGAAGAGGGTAACCGAATTCAGGCCAGACAATTTCGCCATCGGAAAAGGTGACGGGGAACGAGCGTGTCGGTGCAGGTTTGGCTTCGTAGACCTGCGTACAAGTGAAGAGTCAGCTTAGTACTTCTTTTGAGTTGGTATTCCATAAGACGCCTGACTTACACCGAGGCCAATCGCTCCCATGGCCACCATGGTCAAGATATCCAACCAAGTGACTCTAAGCCATTGTCCAAAGCTGGGACGCGAGTGCATCGCATACGGAGCGTGATGGCGACCATGGCCGAACCCCCATCCTTTCCGTGTTGTCGTCGTGGTACCAGCTGCTGGTGCTTGTCTCCCAGGGGAGCGAGCTCTGCGTCCAAAGAGAGCCATGGCTGATGACTGGAAGCAATCCCCAATAGAGAAAAAGAAAACAAGTGATGGGAGATGAGCGATGAAGCCAAACGCAACTTGAAGTCAAACAGCCTTGGCTCCTCCCTTTATCTCCCAGCACCCAAACCCATCGTAATATACTCAACTCCTCCAGCAAGCATCCCATCAAACCACCAAATCCGGATCGTCACTTCCTGACGTCAACCACAGCTCTTCCCTCCGTCATCGCCACCCGCTTCTGTGGCCCTGAGCCATCGCCATCCCGCAGCTTATCCTGCACTTGGCCCATCCCCCTGTCCACTCCCGCAAATAAAAGAGGCCACAGCCGTGAATAGCGTCATACGGTGCAACAAGCTTGGCAGTAACGTTGTTTGGTTGTTTAGCCGGCAGCTTTCCTCCGAGTGGGGGCTGCGAGAAGCCCAATCAAAACGTCATAGCTTGTCATGGTCATCGAGATTTCGACCCGCCATCCACTTTCGGGCTGCTTCACCGAGGCCCGGCTGTGCTCTCACCGACTTCACCGAAGTCATCCAAGCATTCCCTGTATTCCAAGTATTCCCACATGATCATTAACTGAGCAGCCAAAAACATTGTCAATCTCGTATGCTATGCCTGGTATAGTACAAAAAATTCCAATCTCTCGTCTCGTTCAAGCGAAATCCAAATATGGCCCCGTCCGCCTACCAAATCTTCAATCCCTTTCAGATGTAAAACATGCTGTCCTTCAATCTCTCGTGAATCTGCACCTCCTTCATCATTGCCCCAGTCTCAAGACCACCTGCCGCGCCCTCCACCATCGATGGCGCTTCCGAATTAGATGGTGACTCAAACAAGCTGCTGAGATAGCACCGCGACCGCTCGCATAGGATATCTGCATAGTATGCTGGTGTGCAGTAGCTCACGGCCTTGGTGGCTCGACCAAACGCATAGCACATGCTCTGCGTCAGGTCCTGGAATTCGTCTGCCACGTTCTTCCCAGGTATTTTCGCGTATCGCGGGCGGAAAATTTCATCCAGCACAACGTAGTAATGCCCTGGCCTAGCCGTTCCCTGTAATGCTGTGTGTGCTTGGAGGAAAAAGTCCCAACTGCGAGCTTCTGTGACGCCTCGGTCAACTACAGTACCAGGTTTGGTATTTCCCCCCTTATCGGCGTCGGCGACTGTAGTCGGATAGAAGCGAGTATGGTGACGTTTGCCGACAATGGCCACAGTCAGGCGCGGCAGGCCTTTCTTTTGGTCTGAGGCTGGATACATCTCTCTGCAGGCAGCTCGTAACAAGGGGAGCTCTTGATCCAGTACCAGCTGATACTGACCCTCTGAGACGCCGTCACGGTATACAAGTATGTTTTCCGGAAGCTCTGAATGTTTGCCCTTCTGACGCCACAATCGCAGGCGTGATTTCAGCATTTCAGTGAGATCCGCAACCATTTCCTGGCGGCCTTTGGGCTGGATGCTGAGAATAGCGGGCCACTGGCCGAGCTTGTGGTCAATACTAGCGACCATACCAGCAACACTAGGAGCTTCCTTGTGTGATGGGGCTGACGGATGGGTCACATCGATGCCGACAATCATAGTCTTGTTCTCAGAAATAAACCCCAGGTGTGTAGGGTCAACAAGATGATTATTACCACCCAGTTTAAGGTTGATCTTGAGCGCGAGGTTGCGAAGGTACTGGTCCTGACCCTTGGGGTTGGCAATCTTGCTGCCAACGCTGCATACGGTATGGATGCCGTATTTCACATCTCCAAGGTGCTTGATGCGATTGTACAACGGTATTGGAGTTGCAGGCAGGATGACAAAAAGTAACTGTAGCGATGATGCAGCACGCTTCATCAGCGCGTCGAGTTGAGGGTCTTCGTTACCATCCAGCTGGAGCCGTTGAAACGGTTGAAGCGGCGCGCTGGCAGCGATGCCGGTGTCGCCAAGCACATTATTGAGGTTGCGCAAAACTTCGGTCAGGCCTGCGCTGCTGAACGTATGGGCGTTCGGGTAATCGCGGATCATTTCAATATACACGCAAGACCACTTTTGCACACTCCCGGCGGTGGTGAATTTGAGGCTCGAAGAGTCCCTTGGTACCATATTCCAACTACCCCCAAACGTTGCGATTTGTCGATTTTGGCCGTAGCCAACTTTTGGGCTACCAATAATGCGGCCCGGCACGGTGATGAGATCCTGAGAGATGTCGATTCCAAATTTAATCTGAGAGAAATCAACAATCCATTCATTTTATGCGCTCAGAATCGCAATGGGAACTTACCAGTAACGGATTTGTTTCGGAAGACAGGCCTGCAGTTTTCAGCCCCTTCGACACAATAGAGGTAGCGTTTTCGAATGGCCTACGAACAGCAAACCTGATCATTTGCTGCGTCTGGGCCGGGCTGAGCTGGCTGTTGCACGGCTGGCCAGGCAGCACATAACAAACCTGGAGCGGCAAGTAGGTGGGATTTTCTCGATTGCCGACATTGATGACGGGCAGTCTAGTATCATTGATACGGATGTTATAGGCTGCGGAAATGTCAGTCGATGGTGGATAGATCAAATAGCGTGACATGATGGAAGGCTCACTTTTGGCGAAGAAGTCATAGACAGAGATGTACTGTCCGTCTTGAGCTTTGGCAGCTTTCCCACCCTGTTTCTTTTGGCCTTTTGATGCCCTTTCGAACCAGAACTCGACATCCTTTGGTCCAGCTCCAAATGTTTTCACTCGGGGAGGGTGCTGGAGGCTATGCCCATCATTTGCATTGGCCAAGGACCAAATACTTTTCACTCGCATGATGGATTCACCTTTCTTGTTTACCTTGTCTTTTAAATGAGTCGTCCTGATACGGATCCCTTGAATGAATGTCTGCAACGTGTGTAATCCGCCCCGATTTCCTAGACGTAGAATGAATTGATCCAGAGGGCCCTCTTGGAAAAAGGCGGCGTGGCTGGCGTCGACATTGACAAGCACACGAGCCGTAGCAGCACGGACACTGGCGAAAAAGCCACGTATGGCTATGAGGGAGTTGCCAAGGTCCCAGTTTTCAGACAACTCACCCAAGGCAAATGTTTTGGACGATCCATTGGACGATCCAATAGAGGCGTGGTTGTCGGCCGACTTGGAGTAGTGGTTGAGGAAGATGTTGAGGGCCTGGATGAGAGGTAGCTTGCCGTCATACTGGGCAGACGGGTTCGTCGACGTGAGGTATTCTATCAAATCCGAGGTTGCCAAAGTGTTGGTAAGCTGAAGCTTGACCTGAAACTGACGGCCACCCGCCTTGGGTTCGTCTTCGCCCATGGCTCGATACGCGACATCGATAGTCCGGTCATCAAATTTCTGTCGACAGAGGAGCGTTGCCTTGAAGTCGCTCACAATATCGTGCTTATATTCGGCGAGCTCCGGAGCCTCCAGCAGCAAGCGAACGATCTGTATTAGCTTCCTCCCAGTTACGGTGGGAGTGACTGAGATCTGATATCGGTATAACACGAGCTTGGGTGATGCTGTTAACGCAACGTAGTTTGCCCACAGAGTAACCTCTGCTCCCTTGGTGCCGTATGCTGGCCGGCGAGGGAGAGCATCTTCCAAGCCGAGTGTGCTGAGATCGACTGATTCGCCATCCTGACCAATAAGAGCATCTTCCGTTGTGGTCACGGTTTTGTCAGGGACTGGGATTCCGCCGGGAACACTGTAGCAGCAGCTGTGATGAGTGCTTATGGCCCCATGATTGAGGTGTATAGGTAGGATAGGGATAGAGATGGAAGCAATGAAAGTGGTGATGCTCACGAATACACCGGGGGCGGCCCTCCACCTCGCCCGCCTCTAAAGGAACCTCCTCCTCGATCTCCTCCTCCTCCTCCTCCGCGATCTCCTCCCCCACCGCGACCCCCGCCGCGATATCCTCCTCCTCCGCCTCCGCCTCCGCCACCACCACCTCTTCCTCCCCCTCGGAATCCTCCCCCTCGGGATCCTCCACGGTCTTGGTATCCTCCTCTGCCTCTTCCGCTTCCACGAGAAGACATTGCAACGACACTCGGACCTTCTTCCTAGCTTGTAAGCTATGCGTCGACTTTGGGACCAGCCAGTGGGGCGATTTCTTAGTTCCGGGGCCGTCGAAAGTTGGGTTCAGACGGAGCAAAAAGTGGGTTTATCGCGAGTCGCCAGCATTTGAGGCGTGCGGGGTCACGAGCTTGTTTGCTTGTTTGCTTGTTTGCTTGTGCTGTGCGTCATGACTAAGCCCCATGCCGTCTCATGTATCATGTATCGTGTATCATGTATCGTATCATAAGAGCAAAAGACTCCAAAACACCATCAAAAAGGCATCAACATTAAAAAGCGTTCGTACTTTTTTCTTTGGTATATCCTCATGACAGCCTCAAGAAAAGCAAAGCAAGAGTCCAAGATCGCTGACAGAAAGAGGCCAACGCTGCGTAACTTCTTGACATGTCCTCCTTCTTCCCTCGCAGCCGCCATTCAATCATTTCATCACTGCCCAAACGCCGATACCTATGCACATGAGCTCTAGCAACCAGCCGTCATCCATAAACTTGCCCAACCTACCGGAGCTCCGAAACAAAGATACAATGAAATCAAATGCCCGACACGGCCACACAAGCGCTCTCCTCTCACCTCCGTCCACGGCCTCCTGCTCCTGGCATCCCAGGCATACCGGGCATCCCAGGCATGCCACCGCCCATACCCATCTGTCGCATCATAGCTTGCATGTCCATTCCACCGGGCATGCCACCGCCGCCGAGCATCTTCATTAATGATCCCATGTCCGGCATGCCTCCAGCGCCACCAGCACCGCCCATGCTCTGTAGTCGCTTCTGCATGGCCGCCATCTGCTGGGCTTTGTTTGCGCCTGACATGGCTTGCTGTGCTCTCTGCATGTTTTTCATGTTGCCACCCATCTTCTTGGCCATGCCGGCCATCATCCGCTGCTGTGTCAGGAGATCCTCCACCTCGCGCACCGATGTGCCTGATCCTCGAGCAATACGTGTCATTCGGGTCGGCTCGTCAATCAAGATCTTGCCATCAGAGTCGAGCTCCTTATCTGTCATAGAGTCGCAGATGTAAATCATGCGCTTTAGCTTTGCGCCTCCTTCCTCGTCATCCATACCCTGCATGAGGCCGCTCATGCCAGGAATCATACCGGCCATTTTCGACAGAGGTCCCATCTTCATAATGTTGGACAGCTGGTCTCGTAAATCTCGCACAGTAAAGATACCCTCTTGGAGATGCTTCATGGTGTCCTTCTGGTTCAAGTTGAGGCTCTGCACGTGCTCAACCAGTCCGGCCATGTCGCCCATGCCCAGCAGCTTCTGGACGAATCGCTGGGGCTCGAATCGCTCCAGATCCAGCATGTGCTCTCCTGTACCAATGAAAACAATGGGCGTGTGTGTGGCGGCGACAGCAGAAATTGCACCACCGCCATGGGCGTGGCCGTCTGTCTTGGTGATGATGATTGCTCCAAAGTCGGCAGCTTCCTTGAAAGCTTTGGCCTGAGCCTCGGCCTGTTGACCTATTGAAGCGTCCAGCACCATGATAGTCTCGTCGGGGCTGACTGCCGCCTGAATATCAATCATTTCCTGGAACAGAGCCGATTCCTGTCGGTGTCGACCCGAGGTATCGACAATGATGACGTCGAACTTTTCCTTCTTGAACTGCTCAACACCAGCTCGAGCAACGGCAGCAGGGTCCGTCTCCGTAAGCGAGCCGTAGTAGGGAATCTTGGCCTTTGTTGCATTCTGCTTCAGCTGATCAAACGCACCAGCACGGAACGTATCGGCGCACACCAGACACGCCCGCAGGCCTCTGCTCTGGTAGTGTCGCGCCAGCTTTGTACACGTCGTCGTCTTACCGGCACCCTGCAGACCAACAAACATGATGACATTTGACTTGCCCTTCTTGGGCTTGAACGGCTCGGCATGGGGATCGACAAGTTTGACCAGTTCGTCGAAGACGGCCTTTTGGATCAGACGCTTCTTGTTGACGGCGGGCGGGAGTTCTTTGAAGTTGACGGTGCTGCGAATCGATTTTCGAAGCTGGCCGACGAGTCGAACGTTGACATCGGCCTCGAGAAGAGCGGCGCAGATCTCCTTGAGCATAGAATCGAAGGCCTGGAGCCGCAGTCAGTCAATGATGCTGCACTTTCGCCATCAGACAGCGCGGGGCAATTAGATTGGGCCGTACCTTTTCATCGAGATTCTGCTCGCGCGTGAGGTTTGAAACGGCCGCATTGATGCGGCGCCCGAGATCTTGCAACACCATGTCGACGGTTGTATCGGCGCCCTCGCTGAAGCAATTGCGGAATTGTCACGGCACCGGAGTTGGATGATCAAGTTCAATTTGTTGGCAACTGGCATTTCGGCGTTGCTCCAAGTGGGGCCCATTTTTGGGTGTGCATTAACCTTTCTCCGGCGCCGAATATTAAGCAGCTTTACGGATTAACACAAGCATCAGGCTGGTCCAAGTCTTAGATGGAGTTAAAAATGCTGTGAAATCAAGAGCCGCAACTTCTTGTGCGCGAGGGGATATTATTGGTCTATTATGCATGCATTGAAACCGGGGCCAAATCTATTAAGCTAACTTTTCCTCAAGGCTTGGGAAGGGGTTAAAAATGCTGTGAACTGTACAGTCTCACCACCATAAAGTGGTCAGACCACGCCGCTACGGCGTACCTACCACATAGCTTGTCAGAAACCACCGCGTATAAAAGGCGTAGTTGATAGCAGAAAACTACGAAGGACAGAGATAAATACAGCCACCCACTGCTACCTACCTGCAAAGGAGTAGCTACAGTATTCTTGTCCCTCTTCATCCTTCTCACGTACATCCGGCTTCTGACAACAGATGCGGATCTGTGATATGGCAGGGAAATATTTTCGATGTATTCCGTAAAAGAAATTGGTGACAAAACTATCAAAGCAACATTTCCTCGACGTTTTAGAAGGGTTCAAAATACCTATGTACTGTGAAGAGCAGGCTTCGTTCGTTAGATGCCATCAACTCAACTGCATTTTATATCTTCTGCCCCATCACATTGCCAGAAATATTAGACATAATTAATTCGCCTCGTGAATCCGCCTCTCACTTAAATTGAATAGAAGTTTACCTGATATTATTATAATGGAAAGTATTTATTGTCAATAACGAGGTATTATGAAAATTGTGCCGGATACGTGAAATCATTATCCGGGGTGCTTGGATGGAGTCCGGGGTGCTTGGATGGAGTTAAAGGTGCTGCGAAAAGTTGTAATCAATAGGTCGTCCATCAGGGGATGTTATCGGTCTCTCCCTGTATTAAAAATTGGGACCAAAACTATCAGAGCAACTTGTCCTCAAGCTTGGAGGAGTCTAAAAATGCTGTGAAACTCGCTAATTCGCAATTTCGCAATTTCAGGCCACAAAACTCACAAAGCCCAAAAGTGCACATTGGCTAGCCAGCGTCTGGATAGTGGTATTCTACGCCGTATCACATTGCTAGAAAAGAAAGAAAAAATCCATACATTCTCCCTGAAAATTGATCTACCGTTCAAGTTGAATAGATAAACCTTCTATCATTGCGATAAAAAATGTAGGTGGTTAGTAACGGAGGCATTATGAAATCTGTGCCGGGTACGTGAGCCTCTGACTTTGTGGTCACGGCGCTAGGATCGGCGTTCAAAATCAACAAGGAGAGAAATAACTCTACTTCTGCAGTTTAAAGCTTCTGAAGTGCCAGATTAGTGTGAGAAAGTAAAAGCATATTTGTTTAGGTAATTACTATCGTTGTGGAGATATACTATCCCCGTCAGTTATATCTTGCAACCCTATCTTGGCAGCTGGATGAACCTTTCATTTAGGTAGCAGGATCCCGAAGATGCAATGCTACGCTACGCTATTTAATTAATATGACCAAATTGAATCTGCCGAGAGACCTAAAAGAAAGAAAAAGAACCGCCGAGAAATAAGACAGAGACTATCTGCAATGCAACCCTCTTCATCCCATCTGCATCAGCTATCGAGTGCCCGGTGATTAGTGATGGTGTCCTGCACCAAACAGGGAGCAAACCCCGGGATTTTTTCTTCTCAATGCTACTCTAAAAAAACGCGATGCTTCTAGGATTGTACACCCTAAGAGGATGGAGTCATGTTGCACTGGGCATTCATGCTTCAAAGAAATAGGCCCGATATATCAAATCTATTACGAACCACCATCACTGATGCAAGTCGAACCCTCCCGATCTATAATGATACACACCATTTCATTTTTGCCATCAGCTTTCAGCTCAATGTCTCTCTATAGCACATCCAAATGAGGGGATTCGAACCAGTTCTATATATCAAGTCGTCAATTAACCGTCGGCATTGAGACCCCCCCGGCGATAGACAGCACACACCCAGAGAAGCCTCCTCGTCGGTGGCGCCATTCATCATTTACTCCAACAATTTAGAGATTCTTCCCCCGCATCTACCCCAGGTTTTCCTCATGCAGGTGTGAGGCAAAAATTTCCCCTGTTCATGCAACGGAACGGGCAGAATACGAAAGGATAAAATCTCCTTGTCTGGCGGCTGAATTGATCTCAGGGGGACCCCTCATGATATGATGTAAATTCTAAAGGATTCGGCCGAAACAATTAATTAATTTGGGTATCAATTAGGAAACGCCTCCTAGATAGCGTTTCTTCACATGTACAGTCATTGTATGTAGAACATATTCATCCTTGAGTGTTTCCATCATTACAGTGCCAGCCCCTTGGCCCCCTTTGTCCACCGGTACAAAGAAAGAGCCCTTCGTCGTGAACGATGCTCATCCCAATTCGTAGTTCCTGCGCCTTGAACGCTGTATAGAGTAGATCGTAGAACTGTTCGGAAATTTTTCTATTTGGATGTTAGCATTATTGTCTGGGTGATGGCAAATTTAGTAGAGCTCTCCATACCTGAAACTCTGTGCTAAGCGTCACAACGCACACCTCGTGGGCTCGAATAATATTCTCGCACGCCTGTGCCACCGACTCGTTGGGACCCAATTGCGGCATCCTATCTGCGAAAAGGAGAAGGATAAAGCTTCCCTGGAGTAGATATATACCAAAAAGATAGGACATGAAGGTAAGCTCTGGATCAATGGTCAAGATGGTCGAGACCGATTGTGAGGCGGAAATGGCATGTGACGCGCACTCGTTGAATCTCTTGGACGTAATCCAGTCGTCGCCGTCGTCCAACATGGATATGGCATCCCATTTGCCGTGTAGAAGCACATGTAGCACGTGTAGAATGTGCGTACTATAGGCTTTTGCGAGCCGCATCTTGGAAGGATCACCCGCATTGTATGGCGCTGCAGATGATGGGTGCGGGTGAGAGATGGAGGGCCTTGAAGGCATTCCAGCAACAATGCCTTTTGGGGTGTGAATAGGGAGAGGTATTATGTTGCTGTCATTACCCTCCGACGAAAGCGCGGCAAGACTCATCTCGTAGGTCGAAAGAAGCCCCTGAATAACAGCTACAGAATGTGAATCGTCGAGATCTCCAAGCCTTGGATGACGGCGCCTATGGTGGACTTCTATGATGTCGCCCAGTATCGCCATGAGGGGCAAAAAGTATTCAAAAAAGGCAGATCCAGAGGCGGTAGTTGGCGGTCCGATCCTTCGAGCGGGGATTTCGCTGGGCGGGATTGTATCAAGGTTTTCCCAAACAGCTTCAGGTAGCGGAGCTGAGAGCAAAAGTTAGAACAAAAGCCAGTCAAGAACGAATTGGTATACTAACAATAAACTTCGCAGTATGAATCGGGTATCGTTAGAGCCGAGTTGAAGGACAAGGCTAGATGGCGATCCAAGGCGTAGAGCAGCCAAAAGACTCTCCGGCGTTCTTCCCGTAACTCCATATTGTATATGCTGCCATCTTGGTCCTTTTTGCACGAGCAAAGGGGGTTTGCACATGGTGTCACAGGTCCGGCACATTGTTCATCCTCTCGATTGAGACCCAACGAAAAGGCCAGCCGTGTTGCCTTGGACCACCATTTGTAGCAATCCGATTTGAAGTCGGAGCCTGAGACAGCAATGGAAAGGAGGATGAAGGTTAAGACATCATCAATCTCGCCCGCCGGTTCGTTATTCACCGTGGTTTTCGGCACTGTTGGAGCATTGGGGAGCCTAGGATGGGGTGTCTCATTTTCTGCTCGGAGGCCACCTGAAATAATTCCGTTAGACTTGGTTATTTCGGGGTAATGGGGCTTGTCTCACCGTGAATTCGTCGCCATCGATCAGGGTCACGTTCGGATATTAGAGATGTTGCCAAGTCATACAGATCGTTAACAACCTTGGCTCTTGAGCCCGGGACATGCAGCATCATGACATCAGCAGTCTGTGCAACACACCACAGGATTGTTGCAAGCAGTGCCGGTGTGGTATATCTGGGAGCTGTGGGATGTATAATGGACTTTTTACGAAAGACTCTGGTCAATATATATGGAGATGCGACGCGAAACAGCGAGCTCCCCGGGTCGGTCAAGAAGATGTCGAGTAAATCACACGCAACAGAGGCGGGAATGATGTTGCGGATGTACGGCAAGATCGGCTCGAGAAACTTGTACCAGCAATCCTCGTTTGGGGCCTTGTGGAAGAAGTCCAACATGAGGGCCCCTGAATCATGGGCAGTTGCGGCGGTGCTAAAAGACTCTCGGTTTCGTTCATGACTGGGAGTCGACTTGAAAGAGCCTCGGTGCTGGCGCGTATTTCCAGCCTCGATATGGGGCCGGCCGTTGACCGGTGACGGATAGCCAGCGCTTTCATCAGACAAGACGACTTCGGAGTCGGCAAACTGGCCGTCAAACACGTTGACTGACAAAGGATTACCTATGGCAGAACGCTGGGGCGGCGGCGGCTGAAGTCCGACTTGGATAAGAGACGGGACGCTGAGCGGAGGAGCAGTCCGGCTTTGAGAGTAAGGCTGGCTGATAGCGTGCAGCACATCTTGGCGAGTGTCAGACATGGTGACCTGATCTCGATCCAAGGTTACACCATCGGGACCGGCCGAGGCTGCATCCACTGGGTCGGCAAAGGGATGCTGTCCAACGGTGCTAGAGCTGATGCTAGCTGAGGTGGCTGACGGAGACGAGCACGATGCCTGGGAGATGCCATTGCTGTTGCTGTTACTGCTACCGTTTCCATTGCCGCTACGCACCAAGTTTGAATCGTTTCGTATGCTGTTTCGTCGGTGTGATAGAGGCCAAGAGTCTCTTCGGGAATTGATGCTGCCGTTGGTATTGTGGTTGTTGTTGGCTGTGGCCGAGGCTGGCAGACGACCTCGCTTCTTTACTTCGCGATTGTAGCGACAGGTATATCCGTAGTCTCGAGGGAAGTTAGATACAATAGGCTTTCAAGTGAATCAATGAGGCAGAGAGGGAGACCCCAATTCAGGAGACCCCAATCGAAGCTAGCTTACCTTCACAACGACGACAAGGACTGGAGACGCGCAGATATCTCAGTCAGTTCAGATATCACGATAACGAGCCACCGGTTGGCTGTAGTATCAGACTCACCATTCTCCATCGCATCGTGTCCTCGAGGCGCTGCACTTGTCACAAGCCCTACGGGTCCGTTTTCGCGGTCGGGCGTGCTCCGTGTCGGGCGTCTCGCTGCGCTGCATCAATGACGCGACGAGAGGCTCAGGGCGATCCCGTTCTTGACCGTCGGCTTCAGCTGCCATGTTTCGTCGTCACAGGGCTGGATACGAATCCACCTTTGCTTTGCGCTCTGCCCATAAAAGATGGAGACCCGTGGTGAAATATCCGGGCACGATTCAAGCAGAGAGAGACGAGCTCAGGGGGACGAAACGGGGACCCGACGGATTGGCGACTGGTTATTATGCGGGGACCGACCGCCCAGCAGCTCGGCTCACTCAGCTCGCTCAGCTTGGCCTTGGACGAGTCGGGGGGGCCCTTTTATGAAACACGACAAAGGGCTGCTGTAACATTTATTGGGAGCAGCAGCAATAATTCTCTTCGCAGTCCCAAAATGCGGGGAGACACAACACGACCCCGTCAATGCTAAATGGCATGAGCCTTGCCTATGGAGGCCATTTGCCCGAATCGGGTCGCGCAGACTCTTGCTAGCAGCGCTGCTAGCAGCAAAGCTGCCAGGGCTTTTGCCTCATGCCGGCACCGTCGTTTTTGCTGGCGCCAGGGATCCAGAAGAACAGCCGTGTTTCCCCAGGTTTCCATCGTTGGAGGCTGTGGAGACTCTGGAGACTCTGGAGACGGTGGAGAGGGTGGACAGCGCGATGCTACGGCGCACGGCCTATTCTCGTGGCTGACTCGGCCAATCATGACGCCTCGTCTGTGCCGTCGGAAGAATGATCCAACCGGAGCGCGGCCTGTCGTCTCCTCACTGCGAGAGCCTGATTCACATGACGCCGATCCTGACATCCATCACTGTCTGGACATGGACGAAAATACGGGATGCTAATGCACCTACCTGGGGCGTGGAGCACCGGGGAACAAGAAAGACATGGTGGAGGGATGTGTATGTACATTCTCAAGCTCTCTCCGGTGGGGTTGAGTTGAGTTGAGAGCGGTTGTTGGCCTTCCAATTGCCGTCCACATACAGTATCACTCGATACCCAACGATCGACCCATGTATTGCAAAACGTAAATTAGGCCGAGTTGCATCCCTGGGGAGAGACAAAGGCTATAGTACGGAGCACCACTTTATCCAAAGATCAAGGTAAGTCTGTAGAATACTTCTAGAATAACCTGACAAGACTCAAGTTGAAGCTAGGATGTCTTGTCAAAATGGTACATAAACCGCATGTACTCTCTGTATAACTGTAACAACATGAACTGAACTTTAAACAACAGCAAAAACGGCCACTCCAATCCCGATGATAATAATGATAATAATCACAACGCCGCAATACAATGCAAGCCAGATTCCCTCTCTATGGCGTCAATTCCTCAAATCCACGCTCCGTCTACCTTGTACACGCTTCCGCTAACAAACGTGCTCTCCGGGCCCAACAGGAAAGCAATGACATTGGCCGTCTCCTCAGCCGTGCCTTGTCGCTGAAAGGCCGTGGGATCGTCAAACGCGGCGTCCTTTGGTCGACCTGAAAAGTCCCAGTTCTTTTGCATCAACGGCGTGTAAATGGCGCCTGGAGCGACGCTGTTGACGCGAATCTCGCGTTCTCCGTTCTCGAGGGCGGCTGCTCGTGTCAAACCGACGATGCCGTGCTTGCTTGCGTCGTATGCGCCGTGTCTAGCAAAGCCTAATCACACACAGTTAGAATGAGAAAGGCTCCAAAGGAAACTCCACATGAAGGGGGAAATTACCCTTGAGACCGTGGATAGACGAAACGTTGACAATGGAGCCGCGGTCGACCATATTCCTGAGCTCGGCCCTCATGCAGTACATGGTTCCCGTCAGGTTCACGCCAATAATCTTGTCCCACTCGTCGTCATCGAGCTCTGAAACTGGAGACACGCCGTGGTATTTTCCAATTACTCCTGCCACGTTGGCGGCGCCGTCCAGCCGGCCATGCTCGTTGACAATTGACTCGATCCAGGCGTCGACCTCCTTTCGCTTGGAAACGTCCACCTTTGTGATCATATGAGGCACTTCCAGGGAACTGAAGTAGACTTCGGCAGCCTTCATGGCTTCAGGATCTACATCGGCAATGCAGACAGTAGCTCCTCGTCTTGACAGAACCTGGGCAGTCGCCAGACCAATCCCGCTCGCGCCGCCTGTGATTGCAAAGACCTTGCCGCTCAGGGGCAACGGTCCAGTTGGCACAGATGGCGGCGGGAGTGGTGTAGCCACGACCTGGGGCGCCTTTTGAACCATTTGGGGGTTTTGAGACGTCTTGGCGAAGCCGTTTCGTAAGCCCGAGGGCTGTGACGAGGATCGAGGGACTGACTTAGAGTGGCCCATTAGGTCCGACGACGGTGACAAAAAGGTCGAAGGAGGGAGGATTGGTGATTACTGGAGATGATGGAACTACGAATCTACAACTGTTGCGGCTGATGGCGATATATAAAGGTCGAGATAACGCGGGCTGAGAGCTCCATCTCCGCTAAATAGGAGAAATGGAGCTGAGATTGGGTGAAATACCCCGAGGCTGTCCATTGAGCAACGCCAGGATAGGATAACGGGACTTCATGGCGGGTAATAATCCGCAGCAATGAATCGACCGTGATTGCTATCATCTGAGTCTCGAAGCGCCTTTGATTGGCATCTCGAGCTTCCGTCGGGGCCATGATTTGCGGCTAGAAAATACCCGACGGCAATTTTCGGTGCGCCACGATCTATTGGACTGGCTAGGCGGTCTTTGGTAAGGGACGAGTAAGATTGAAATGTTCGGGAATAAAGGAGATTTTGCTGACCAAGACGAAAGCTGCTAAACTATTGGACCTAGGGGGGGAGAAGGTTGTGCCGCGCCAATGAAGCCCATTGGCCTATTCGGCTCTTACAGGTGAGTGCCTGAAGATTAAACAGAAGTTATTATTGCATTTAATATTTCTTTTCATGGATGATAATACAATAATGTAAAATTAAATAGGAGGAATGAATGAGTTTCAAGGCATTTAATTGGACCCGAGGATTGAATAGATGCCGTGGAAATCGAGCGCTCAATTGAACTTCCAAACTATTTCTGAACACTGAAGTACAGTAAAAGATGCATAACGCATCCTGTGATATCATCTGTGTAATTTGTAAAAACATCGAGGAGAAATGAGAACAGGGAGATTAGAAAAATAAAAAAAAAACCCCTTTTCTTTTTTCCATTTGTCTGTATAGAGTGTTTGCTAGTTGCTCAGTCACATATAGGTACAGCTTACCCTCATTTGGATGAAATTGTTCTACGACTGAATCTTGTCATAGCCAGAGATTTCGTTTCTAAAATGAATTCCTTTCCCTGATATCTTTCTATGTATTTATTCGAATGAAATCTATTCTATATTCATTATTCACCGGCATCACATTATCTCACCCACTTTCTTACAGCCAAAGTCACAGACACTCCTCCAATCGCGAATATAACAGCCCATCTTGCCAATCCTCGCCGGACCTGCCTCTTTGTCAACTCATCAATCGCCTTGCTGTCATTAATATTAGGAAATGGCACATCTTTCGGAACCGGCAAATCTAGCGCCTTGCATAATGGCTCCCACCCGTCCTTGACATTCACAAAGACGAGTCGTTCAGGTGGCACAATCTCCTTCAGCCACTCGATGTGTCGGTTGTAGGTCTTCCTTGTAGGTGGCACGGTCTCGTCGTACAGATGCGACCATACAGGGCGGTTTATATCGATAAATTGCACAAAGTACCGCATTGTCGGCAATGGGAACAAGACGAAGCGGAGGAACGACATGGTCGCGTGGTTGGTAACCGCGTCCATGCTCTTCTCCCAAGAGTCGATATCCCGCTCCGTGCAAATTACCAATGCATCTGGATAAAGCTTCATAAGCTCTGGAACAAGGACCACGCAGGGATTGTCAGTCATGGCGACGAAGCCATCTGTTTGACTTCTGATGAGCTCCAAGTTTCTTTGTTCGGTGGCTTCGTCTTTGGCTGGCCATTGCGAAAACAGTTCGAGCCAGGTCTTGACGCCTCGTTCGGGACCGATCGTGATTTGGGTGCCGCCGTGGTATACCGGGCCGTCGAGAAGGATTTCTAGAGCTCGGCTGAAAGAGGTGGTTCCGGTTCGGGGCATTCCGGCGCCAATGACACGGAACTTGGCGCCCTTGCGGGGAGCAGATGCCTGTTGGCCCATTTTGGCGGGTGTTGAGATATTGAGCTGTAGACGGGCTCGAGATTTGCCATTTAAAGGATTGACAGGCGAGGGGCCGAGGCGAGGAGCCGAGGGGGTTCTTATAGGAACACGTATGATATATGAAGCTCACCTTTTGTTGATGCATGATGCATTAGCGCTCCATTTTGCCAAAGGATCAGACGGAGCAGTCAGCGCTAATGGTGGTTGATCCTACTTTCAAGTGAGATAGAAATAAGAAGCTAACAAGAAGAAAAGCAGTGGGTTTTTAGATGCAGCTCAGTTTAACTAGAAATATAAGAAATAATTAATTAATGTTGTGATGGATATATGGCTCAGATGCTCAATTTGCGATGATGCCTGGAGCTGTTATTATCTTTCTTTGTTGGTCTTGATGGTGTTTTTGGTAGATGCGGCCAAGGATGATAGGTTATCAACTCGCATTGAACCAAATACGGTAGGTAGTGATAACCCGAAGTGGACATCCTGGTGTGGTTGATTATCAGGCGTTAATCAGATGGTGTTAGGCTTGATGGGGTTGAGCTTCCTGGAGATCAACTAGCACAATTAATGGCTAGCTGAAACAAGAGGATAGAAACGTACATATACACCCAGTAGTTTAATAGAATAGATAGGTATGGTTTAGATTCTTATCGCTATTTGTATCTTGGTGCACTATTTTCATCTCGCAGTCAGATCTGGTAATGCCTTGTTACTCCCACCGAAAGTTACTGACCAACATCGACAACCATCATCCAATACCATCATTTGCATAACAAATCATCATTAATCTATCTTAACCTCAACTAATTCGGGAGATCTTATCACAAAAAGATATCAGATTGCCAACACACCTCCCACATTCCATCAGCCCAAGATCTTCCACCCGTCACACCACCAACACGCCAAAAATAGCCAACTTGCTCTCCAAACCCTCAACATCCGCCACAATCACACCGTTGCCTGAAATCCCCATAGTTTCTCCTCATATTACTCAGTCGTCTATGCCAATGCAATCCCGCTGTCAAATGCGGGACACGCAGCTTTTCCCTCGCAGCCCGCACGTCATGCCCGCATCATACCGCCACTGCATTGAAGTCATCGAACATCCAGGCACCTAATCACGATAAAAAGCCCCTCTTCCACACAGTCTCAAGTCCTTGCACACCCTCTTCTTCTTGTCGTAAACACCAAAGATTCACATTCCCATTCAAATCAATTACCACAAGCCCAAGACAAGCTCTAAACAATGTCGGCAAGATCCATTACCGTCTTCCGCACCGCCCTCCGCCCGGCGTTTGCCTCCCGCTCCGTGATTGCCCCTTTTAGTACTACTGCTCCGGCCCGAGTCACCGCCTACGGGGGCAAAGATGACCTTGGCGGCCCCGCTGGCCAGAAGCGGCCAGGCGGAACTGACGCTCTTAAGCGTAATTGGTGTGTCTTTATGTATTGCCCCGATACATCAGTGAGATCGTCAACTAATATGGTGATGATCTAGGATGGCTATTGGTGGTGCCGCCATCGCCGTTCTCATAGGCTACAACTGGGTCATCAAGAACCCCGAGGAGGCAAGGCAACAGCGTGATAAGACAATGGGCGAAATGAGTGGGAGGACAAAGACAGAGATGGGCAGCTTTCGACATGACTGATAGGGAGGTGTGTCTGCTGTGTCCGGGACTACCGCCCAAGTGAAAGTGAATCGAGATTAAAACGAACAATATGAGGAGCAGTGGCCATCCAAAACAGAAACTTCATTCATTTGGCCTGTAAGAATATTGACGGAGACGCTGGATCATCAGTGTGTATATGGATGTCGGATTAATGTGTCAACACAAAATAATAAATATGCATTTCAAGTTCTAGTAAGCCGAGTCTTCTAAAGCAGTCTATGCTCTTATACTCTGGTCTTCTCGGGTATCTTATATCCCAACCCTCTCACAAACATACAGGTTTATCATCACTTGGTCTCCGCCGCCGTCTCCGTCTCAGCTCTAACAGTCGCCTCGCTCTTTTTCTCTTTACTCTTCTGAAGCAAATAATCACCCCCCTTCACCGCACTATAAAATCCTCTCAGTCCCGCCAACGGCCAAAGATCCCAGAAGCCGGCCTTGCATTTCGTCTTCCACGTTGCATTTCTCGCCCTCTCCTCGCCCTCCACATCGACCTTGACCTTGTCATACACGCTTGGCAGGTACTCAGCCTTGTACTTCTTTCTCAGCGCATCATATGACTGCCTGTCATAATGCGCCCAAAACTCCTCCTCTGTGTAGTATGCGTGTGCATACAGCCATTTCTTTCCGTTCAGCTCTTGCACTTTCCGCTCTAGTGCGCGGTTCTTTTCGATGACCTCCCGACGAGTGCCCTTGACGCCACCCCAGACACCAAAGTTCATCAAGTCGGGGATGTCTGGGTTCGCAAACTCCGAGTGCAGGCCGTGGCCTGAATCTGGATCATCACGACGGATGCGCAACGGGCAGATCCAGAGAGGGTAGATGTGAAGCTCCTTGTCCAGCCATGTTTGGAACTCAACGACCTTGTCGTATGGAACACCAACATCTTGAACCATGTAGTAATCAGCAAGGCCACTCTTGTGGACGGCGCGGTACATCTCGCGGGCGTGCATGAAGGGATCCAGGATGTATCTGGTAATTCTGTTGAACGGTGTGATGAAGTACTGATAGGCATACACGGCAGTCCAGAACCCGCCGCGGTCGTATCGGAAGAGGTAATCCTCTAGGGGGATAAAATCCGTCACCGTCGTTTGTTTCTCTTCTCCTCCCTTGGCCGTGGGCTTATTGAGTTGCTTTACAACATCTTTGGCCCGGGTATAGAACCAGGGATCGCTGCGACCCAGAAATCCAATCGGTTTCGTCCCCTGCGGCAATTCATCCGCCAATCTCCCTGTGCAAACAACCGTCGTGTCCATCGAGAACACAATGGCATCCACATAGTCATTCTCTTTGACTGCACATGCGTCCTTTACCTTTTCTAGCATGTCTGCCGCTCCGGATGCAAGCGAGTACTCGAGCTTTACATACTTCTTCGCCTCCTTCAGCTGCACCTCCAGTAGTGTCACCACTCCTAGCGTCCCAAATGCTGATGCCGCGCCCCAGAACAAATCCTGCCGCTCCGTCTTGGACGCTCGCGCCACTTCGCCGTCTGGCAGCACAATCTCGATCCAGTTGATGTTCGCGTCAAACGCGCCATATCTAAACGAGCTGCTCTCTCCCGAAGTCCCCGAGAAGCCGCCTCCAACTGTGATTCCCGGCAGTTCCATCACTACCGGCGCGACCAGTCCATGGCGCAGCGTCTCGCTCACGAGAAGATCCATTGGCACATTGGGCTCTACAATGGCCGTCTGGGCAGCGGCGTCAACGGAGATGACATGGTTGAGCTGGCTGGTATCGATTGTATTGTCTGAGCGGCGATGGGAGCGACGCGTGCTGTTTGTGGCGCCGTGGTAGATGCGAAAGGGTTTTTGCTGCTGATAGAAGTGCTTGACGCGGGAGGATATGGATGAGATGACTTTATCGTGGGCTTCCATGGTGGCTGTGGAAATGTCTCTATGGTGGTTTAAGCATAAACATAAATGAAAAAGAGACGCTGAGAAAAATGAAACGGGACTCTGACAAAAACAATTGAGTCTCTGCTGAAGATGTTTGAGTGAGATTGAAGCGATTGGCGTGACATTTGCGGTGGTTGATGTTTGAAATTACTGATTACGTCAGGCTAATATACGACACAGCCACATCGAATGGCACGAGCACCAGCCAACCAAACCGCAAAAAAGACATGATTGTAATTGAGTATGCAGCAATTGATTGAGGCGAAGAGTTTGGGAGAATTACGTTAAGAAATATTGACAAAATCAAATATACGTATCGAGAATTCGACCATGACCTTCAGCTGTAACCTATTTACGTTTGAGCTCCTATTGAGTAATGGCATTCTAAGGCGTTTATGGCTCACAGCGCACACATACACACATCTATAATTTCATGTAGCTATCCCTCTAATGACTTCGCTGATTTCTCTTGTTCTAAAATATGCCTCTCAACTACCTATGTACTTTTTGCAGTTCTTGCTGATTGCAAAGGGAACCAAGCAAGTCACCGGTAAGAGAAGAATAAATCCTCGTAATATAATTTACTTTAAGTTATGAAGAATTAACTTTAGCTTCTTTCGAGACTAAACATTTGTATACTGTTTTCCCAAGCTCTATCAGCAACTTCCTCTATAGTAATACCCTTTAGTCCAGCAACTATGAAAGCAATTCGCTCAATCATACAGCTTTCGTTTCTTTCTTTAACCATACAACGAGACTCCCATTTATTCCGTTTCTTCGCCAGTGGCAGTTGAGAAGCATTTGCGCAATAGCGCTTTACGAGCTCAGAAGCGTCTGGCAAATAACCCCACGGTGAATCAGTCTCGATTTGAAGGCGATGTAATGGAACATCGGCTACCATCTTGAGGCTCTCCTCGTCGGAAAAACTGAAAGCATTGACGCTTATGTCGAAGCCTAGCTCGACAAGCTTTTGCATCTGATCAGTCGACCCAACAAAGCTGTGAACCAGGCCACGTCGGCGAAGCAGCGGTGTGTATGGTGTTATGATTTCCACGAAATCTTCGAATGCCGATCGGCAGTGCAAAAACAGTGGAAGGTCAAACTTCTCGGACACATATAGGTCTAGTTGAGCCTTGAATGCCTCTCTTTGCGTCTCTTTGCCTGCATATTGTAACCGGTCGTAATCGAGACCAAGTTCTCCAAATGCGGCAAGTGGACTTGGGCTTTGTCTCCGAAGGGCGTGCACTTCACCTGCTAGACGCTGGAGATAATCTTGACCGCCCTGTTCGATTTCAAGCGCATGATAAGGATGCACTCCTGCCGTAATGAAGCACTGGCTAGGACGAGATCTTGCAATGGCCGCATTCGAAGCGACGTCAGCGAGACGCATGCCAGTGAGTAGAACTTTTGAGACGCTAGCGTCAAGGGCCCGGTCGAGTGTACACTCAAAGTCAGGAGCGTGGTATTGCTTATCTCTGTAAACCCCCGCGAATTCCTTTGCTGTTGCGGTAACAGCGACCTGCGTTGTCAGTCAGTTAGTCAATATGATCCTGCTGGCACCACGTACATCTGCATATTGAAGCTTTCTGGACGGTGCGCGTGGGACTACCGTAGGAACTGCACCAAAGTTTACAGGTCTGCTCCCCATCTTTGATGAATTCAGGGAACAAGGGGATCGACTGAATAACTGGGAGGGGTGAAGCATCAAATAATATAATGGCACGAAAAGTGAGAGTATAGTGGCTACAAGCTGAAGATACAATTTCGGGGTAAAGAACTATCAGTACTCCGTACAATGATGGTATTTCTGTATATGAACTGTAATGTTGGGACAACTCCCTTACAAAGTACATAACAGCTAAACCCTTGAATATCTTGGGAAAACACTCACCTGAAGGGATGGCCAGATATCCGGTTCCGGTTCCGGCTCCGGCTCGGCTCCATAGGGGACTCTCCCACCCCCCCCCCCCCCCCCCAATCCAGTTCCGGCCCCATAAGAGCTACAGCTGTCGATAGCACGCCCTTGTCAGAGCGGCTATCTGGAGCCACGGCTGGGGCCTGCGCCAATGTCGGCCGCTAAGCTCGCCGCTATTGCGAGTATATAACTCCGTCGTAAGAGCACCAACTTGTATATGGTGTAATAAGACTGACAGCTACTCTGACCAAGTCTGAAGGGGCTATATCATCTCACTCATCCCGTCTGAATTCAACATCTCAAAAGCAAATTCGATACACTTCCCAAGGAGCTTTCTGCATCACTTCAACCAGGCCTTACTTGCACAGTCATGGCTCGACTTACAGATCACCGCCTCTTGACGTTCGACGTGTACGGCACTCTGATCGACTGGGAAACTGGAGTACTGAATGCATTCAACCCTCTGATAGAAATCAGTGGTATTTATCCAACCCGCGGCCAAATCCTACAAGCGTTTCACGAATGTGAGCGCGCCCAGCAGAACAAGACTCCGAATATGAAATACAGCGACCTTGTCGCCACCATCTGTCCACATGTTACGGCTAGTTTGGGTCTGCCTGAGCCTACTTCGGAGCAGAGCGCTAATTTTGGGAATTCGGTCCCGAGTTGGCCGGTATTTCCGGATACCGTGAAGGCTTTGGAACGTCTGAAGAAGCACTTCAAACTTGTATGCCTCTCCAATGTTGACATGGATTCTTTTGCGGGTTCCAACGCTGGGCCTTTGCAAGGGATCGATTTTGACCTTGTGATTACTGCAGAAGAGGTAGGAAGCTATAAGCCAGATCTTCGCAACTTTGAATACATGCTGCAACAGGTCAAAGAAAAGTTCGGAGTGTCAAAGGAGGAAATAATCCAGACGGCTCAGAGTCAATTTCATGACCACCATCCGGCTCATAAGATGGATATCCGTTCGAGCTGGATCGTTCGCCCCGGTGCTCTCATGGGCAACCTCGACGAGCAGGTCTACGACTGGAAATTCGATACATTGGGCGCTATGGCGGATGCTGTAGAACTAGAACTGGAAGCATAAATAAACCTTTGCATTGTTTGCATAGCATTGCAAGAATCATTGATAATGGAGTAGAAGGTGCTGTCAATGGAATATCAAGGCTAAACAGTCGTGGCAGGGAAATGGTTCAGGATGTGTAGGGAAGTTGCCATCTGAATTAGGAATTTAAGGCACCAGGTTGAGACTTAGAGCGGCTATAACGACATACCTAGCATAAAATTATAATGAAACACATTGTATAAATAACCACTACAGGGAGTACATCATAAACTTTGATAGCTCCAAAGCCATTCCCAGGGATTCCTGTTATAAACCTATGCCTGTGAAGATATAGGGGGGCAAATTGGCTGACCAAACAAATATCAATTCTCGACTCTGCCACTTCAAGCTCCTCTAGTACATAACAAGAAATGTGTTGAACATCGGACACCGGCATCATCTCTGCGTCCTTGGTTCAGTTAGAGTGAATGTCTCCAGGGTATGTTTCCATACAGTCTCCGCCATGCCCCTGACACGGTTCTCTGCCATTAGCTTCAAATTGCCAACTTTCTCTCCATCCCACCCTAAAGAAAACGCACCGCTTCCTTTTTCACCATTGGTCCCTAAGGTAGCCTCCATTGTACAATTTGAGTTTGCTACTTCATTTGCAGTTCTTTTAGGATAGAATCGATCGGAGTCGCTTTCAGGTGGCGTTAAGCTGTGGAGGTCCGACTTTTAGTGTCCGATGTGGCCAATATATTCGCTGCTCAGGACGCCGTTATATGTGCGCTTGGCGGTTCGGCAGTCGAGCTTCAGACGAAAGTCATCCTCGCAGCAGCAAAGGCGGGAGTTAAACGGTTTATCCCAAGCGAGTTTGGGTCCGACGTGTCTATTGCAAGGGCCAGAGAGGCCGTGCCATTGTACAAGGAGAAATCTAACATCATTGACTACCTTGTCATGACTGGTTGTTCTTATCCAAGTTTCTCCTGGACAGTCATCACGACAGGTCCGTTCTTTGACTGGGTGAGTGTTGCGATTGCCACTATTCTAAACTAAGCTGATCTCCCTTCAAATAGGGGTTGAAGCATGGATGCCTAGGGTTTGATCTCCAGTCTTGTACAGCTACCATATTTGGCAGTGGAGACCAACGCTTTAGTACATTTACAATCTCCAAAGTTGCGCAGACAGTTGTAACAACTCTATCTAATTTCGACGAAACTAAAAACAGACGTCTATTTGTGGCATCTTTCGCCACAAAAAGAGATTTTAGCAGCTATCGAGAATGTTACCGGCGTAAAGTGGAAAGTAAAACAAAGCTCCTCGGAAGCAATGGCAAATATAGGACGTTTCCAGCTATCAAAAGGAGACGTGACGGGAGACTTCTTCTTGATGGTAGCAGCTTTATTTAACGAGGAGCTGGGAAATAAGATTATGCGAACCTTGCATGATAATATACCTAAACTGCCAAACGAAGATCTTATAGATACCTACCTATAATAAACCAGATAACTAGTAAGAAACTCTATTCTTAAAATAGGGTATTGGTAGGAAGTAGTTTATATCGATTGTTTGTTTTGTTGATTTATTTTATTATTAACATTTTGTAATAAACCGGATGGCATTAAGACTGTAGGCCGATCCCTCTAACATGCTTAGCTATGCGCAAGAGATCACAAATGGGGAGTAAAACTGACCTTTAGTCGGTTGCCATATGTTGAACCTCACCGCGCTCGCAAGATTTGATTGTGAAACCCTTGCTTTTGACGACTTCATGATTGGCTCGCGCAACAGCTGAAACTTCTGCCTGCCGTCCACACTCGAGATTAAGGGCGGTAATTGAACCAACTCCGCCGCTGCCAACCAAAAGCACTCTAGCCTTTGAACAAGCCATCATGTATGGTCTTGGCAGTCGAGAACCTTGTACATGTTGAGTTTGCCAACAGAAGACAGCTCATACATATATGTATTCAAGCTGCATGGCTATTGGGTATTGGATAAACTAGCTCCTGCAGAGGTCGCTTCACATCGCCCGCGGCATTCCACTGGTTGTGGTTGCATTAGGCTGCTGTGGCTGCTGCCACCCCTCGTCAACGACAAGGCGCAGCCCCGGGCCGGTTCGATCAGAACTCCCCGGAACCGGATGCTGCCACAGATTCGTCGTGAGCGGGCGCTGCCGGTTTTTGGGTGTTGCCAGTTTTTGGATGCCCTCAATACAGAGAGTGCTCCACTCCCCTTTTGAACTGCGCTTGTTGTAAGTGTGACCTAAATTAGTAATTAGATTTCTTCCATGAGCAGTCTTACCGTATATATGAACTAGAACCGAAGGTATCTAGAACACTTACTACAACCGTAGTATACCTTTATAGGGAAGCAACTGTTTAGACAACGTTAAAATGGAAATCGGCATTATTGGTTCCGGCGTCATCGGACTCACATCAGCTCTTGCCCTAGTCGACGCTGGTTACAACGTGACCATTGTTGCCCGCGAACTACCTGGAGATGATACCTCCGCGAAATGGGCGAGCCGTTGGGAAGGACGACTCTTCCCAATTCAGTTCCTCTAAGAATCCGGCTTAAAAGGGCTGGTGCTGGCATTCTTCCTTACCCTGATAGCAAAGGACATGATCCTCAGACCGAAGCATTCAAATTTTATTGGCATCTGATACAAGCGCTTGGTCCCTAAATGTTGCCGCTTGCCGTCCAAGGAGCTCCCTGCAAATGCCAAAATCGGGTTCAGATATCAGTCAATGACCGTCATTCCAGCTATATTCTTACCCTGGATCAAGGCGCTTCTCGACAAAAGAGGAGTGCGCTTCGTTCGTGCTGAAGTCAAATCTATAGAGGAGGCGCGGTCCATCCTACATGCAAAAGTCATGGTTTTCTTAGATGATATGAAGAACTTTGCTTAGTTCAAGTTGGTATATGAGACCTATTTCACTCATAAACCAGCTCGAAGCTGTGTAGCTGTTGAGACACTGCCAAAGGGGTTGCAAGTGGAGATAGAGTGCATTGCATTAGTAAATTAAACCAACTTATATTCTTAAAAATATTGAATATTTAAGTCTATAATGAATACCTCTTTTTATTGTAATTTAATAATTTATATTATATAATATAATTGATACCAAGTCACCCACATCCTTGTTTTCCGTATATTTCAACAGCGTAACCGGACCCCACTCATACCAAGCTGCGACCTTTGTTCTATAAACCGAAGCTGTTTGGGTTTTATATAACAACGGACGATATAATTTGCTACACGCATTGTGGCCAGACCGTGTAAGTGAGGCGGCCATCAATGTGTTTGACGGCAACTTGGCCAGCGACTGTTGATCAGCCATAAGACCACCCCTGTGCTTAACAGCCTGGAGCAAGTGCATGAGTGGAGCGTGGCAGGTGAAGTGGCTAGCAATAAGCTACCCGCCGTTGTCCAGGTTGGCAGTGGCATAAGCAGATCAGGCATGAGCTAAAAAAGGCACAGAACAACTTCTCAGCAAGATTAAGGCAGCATGCTGGGGAATATTGACATCAATATGTTGTATCAATTAAGGCAAAGAAGATGCTCACGGTCCAAACTAACAAAATAAACGGCGGCGTAGCTGCTTATATTAGAGATGTCAGAACACTGAGCAACAGCGACATTGTCGCTAACCTGCCTACTCTACATACGTATTTGTGGGATATAGAATTATGTTAGAGTATGCATCTGCGATTAGTATCCATAGCGTCGTCGAAAAAAATCGGTAGCTCACTGACATGCCTGACTCCCGCTACCCCGTCGTCAGGGCGATAATATTCCTAGACGCTCGTTTTCTAGAGAAATCCGAGCCGAAACGTAGCCTTGGCGTCCAAAATAGAGTGTTCATCACGATAACTCTGTCCAAGCTTTCCTTTGCAACTGAGGTAAAAAAGATTACAATGTGACAATCCATGCTGTGCCCCAAAACTCCAATGAAAGAACCGATTGATAGCTGCGAGTGCGAATACGGAATGTACGTGTGTGTAATACATACAAATGACCTTTTCCATTCGGCTATTGCCTGTATTTAGAGGACACTACTTGCAGGAAAGAGACCTTGACCGGACCTTGACCGGTCGGTCTCTTATCCGACACAAATATACTGCAACCTATGGAGCGTCGGATATTGCTCTCAGGTAGTACTTCACGAAGTTGCACACCATCCATAGTTTCAGTTAATCAATTGTGGGGTAGCTCTGTGCAAGAGCAGAAGATAGGGATATTACGGGTGGGACAAGCTGTTCATGGGCGGAGAATATCCTAATTTACCAGGATTAGATGGGTGGAAGAGGCACCTCTGCAAAGAGGTTACGGAGATCTCAGTGGCCTCGCATGATTACTGGCTGCTATTCAGCTACTATTCAAGAAGAAAAGAAAGAAAACTCTTAACAATAATTGCCAATCAGCAGATAATCCGGCCACTGTCCTTGGATTTATCCATAGGTATTTTCAAAACGTGTGTAACTTTGTGGAACACTTCTGAGACAAAATATGTCGACTTCGCCTCAACTTCCTTGGTCTCAAGGTAACACGTATTTTCGTCGATAGATGGAGGTTGGCAGATGAGGGGTTTTGATGCAAATACACGTAATTGCTAAAGCTTACCCAATACAATGGGATAATTTAGATGACGGTTGAATCAGCCGTTCTTGCATATGCGGTCAGAGATTCGGAAGCCAATTGTGTGGCATCAAATCGTTCCGTCCCGAGGTCATCATCTAGTAAGGCAAAGCAGTCTTATTCATTTATACCCCCTTGCCGTTGAGCATGGGATGAGAAACAACGTTACTCGCTTCTATACGATAGTCTAATACTTGGTGTCACTGTGGCGTTCTGACCTTTCACATGTCTCCGCTTATATCGGATTCTACTTCTCGTTTATTAAGCTGGACGACGGCTTAAACGCCAGGACAATGAGGTCTTGCCTCTGCCAGCTCAGATATGTCACGATATTACATAAAGCCATCATTTATGAGTAAGTGCAATAACTAGTCACGTAATCCCCTGGAGGGGCTTCTACTAAGAAAGTCATAGAAGACGTGATGGGATAAGGAGGGGGGTAGGACAACCTATAGCTAGAGTAGCCTATAAATAATTATAAATACTAGACTTTCCCCTGCTCCATCTTGTCTGTCCAGGACAAATCAACGACTGCGATCAACGACTGCTCCAGACTGTTTAACTTTTGTTCATTTCCCCAATATATCTCTCAAGATGGCAAGCAAAATACCCGCGTCAGCTGGGCCTCCTAGTGGTAACAAAGCCAATGTCGATGGCGGCTTTAATCCCCAAGCAACTTCCAGGGTATGTAAACAACTTGCACCTCTTAGAGCATAATAACCCCTGACTGAAGTTTGAAACAGATCAAATGGAATGTCAGGGGAGGGGGTGATCGCACGAATACCTGGGAAATTGGTCACACCCACCAGCTGCAGGGCCAACCGTAAGTGAGGTATTTTTAAACTGACTGAATTTAATTAACTTTCTGCTATAGAAATATCCAGGGCGTCGAAATTACACAGTCACCTCGTGTTGTCTTATATTGCTGGGCGTAAGTGATAACCCTCAATGATTGCAGAAGTCGCGAAGTACTAATTACCTACCTACCTACCTATGTAGGAGCAATAACGGGTCTGGTCCGGTAGCTCTTACTGTTCTGGGGCCGACGACTAGTCAGGTCAAGAACGACGCTGTTCGTATTGGGTCGTTCCGCCTTCAGTTACGTGCATGAAGCTTGAAATGTTACTACCAGACTCGTCTGGTTGTCACATGGCACCCAGCCTCAGTCGAGGCAACGGATATCTTGCTAATTGAGGAAGACTGAAGTCGATGCCAATTTATTTCCACTGCATTTGGATTTGTGCAAATCCCTCTCGGTTTACAATTATCCGGATATCTCTGCTGAACATGTCGATTTACCTCTCTGCACTCATTTAAATTAAATAGCTAGCTATCAAGGTCTCCATGCTATAACAGAATATTCTTATCAACTGGAATCCAACTTAAATATTTTTTTTTGGTTAGTTCGACCAGGGCATTTGACTGGCCCGTGACTGATTGATAGCCAAGCTCGTTGATAAAGAAGAGGAATGCTTCCTCAAGGCTGGATAGAAGAACAAAGACAGATTTTCCCTTCAAAATTACCCCTAGCTGCCGTAGCGGCCTTGTTCTTGGAGGAACGAAGCTACGGTGGCTAAATTAAATGATTCCCTGACTTATTCTTGTACCTTGGTCCTTATAGCCGTCAGACAAGCTTGGTTTCTAGTATAGTGTGTAGTATTAGTCGAGTAAACGTGTTGAGCAATAACTTAGCCAATGTCAATCTGCAACTGTTAATTAAGTAAAAGATCTCCCAGTACTTAGCCTAGAGGAAGTGTATAAGTGAAACGTAGCAGGAGAGGTAGCTGGCTATAAACTACCAGCTTATCTTTTTTTTCCGCAAATTGGTAACCGTTATGAAAAACAGTACTGACATAGTCCATTAAGAACACGAATGATGCCAGACGCAAATTGTTAAACCATGCCAGCCTCGCGCTCGCCATGCTCGGGTTACCTTCTGGAGCGCCTCAAGTGTTCAGCGCTGCTGTTGTCATTGGCGGTCTCAACCTTTCTGCCAAGTCAAAGAAGGACATGTTGTGGTTGAATGATGAGAAAAAGATAAGGCAATTGCGATGGTGTTCCCTGTGGACAAACTACAGCGTATTGTTGGGGGCCTGGGGGCCATGACAAATGGCTACATATCATGACGGTGGGCATATCATTTAGACAAAGTGGATTGTGTCTACAACTGTGGGCCTGGACATGGATGGAGTCCGCCAAAATTAGTAGAGTCCCCCATTGTAGAGCACACATTTTGGTCAGAAATGGTCACCGGGACAGCGGTCGTGAAAAAGAGCGATTGATTACCTACGTAGTTAGGAGTTGAATTAACACTCGCTTTCTACTCCTGAATAAGTTTGATCGCTTAGTGTAAGAGGCATTGATAGCAAATTAACATTATTTGCAAATTCATCGTATTTGCCAAAAACAGTTATGTCATTGATCATATGCTGCATTGAGAGGGAAAGTGTAACTATTTCAGAGGATTATAACTCTTTGCAGGCATGTCCTAGTCCTTATCATCTATCTGTGAAGTGTCAGCTAATTTAGCCTAATGCCATACAGTTTTACGGAGTAAATAGAATTCAACGGCATGCTAGCGCTTATAATTGCCCTTATGCCTATAGACCTTTTGACGGTAGAAATTATGCGTTGGAGAGGCTAGAACATCTGTACGAGTTTTGTAAGCACTTTATATATAGAGATTCTTATGAAAGGCAATATGACTAAAGATATTCCAAATACAATCTGCTACGCCAAGCTGTAGCTAGGAACCTATGTCGTTCGTGTCGAAAATACAATTCCCTGTATACAGTTTATTCTACCAACAGTACTCTGGATTTTGTTAAGTCTACTTGTTAACTTCATTGTGGTTGGAATACCAATGTGTGCTCAAAGCTATAGATATATTCTTGGAAAGAGTATTGTCCCGCACAGTGTGTTGGGCATGTCAGCTATGGTATGATTGAGTGTGTTTGGACCAAAATCTAAGGAACCATATGTAGTATGTAACAAAGTCTAACCACGAGTTAAGGGCGAACCCTAATGAAGAATGCCTAGCCTAATCTACATGGATGGCCTGACCGGTTAGCGGCTGGGGACTTATGTTATCACGGAGAGGTCTCTTTCCGGTCCGGTCTTCGCAACGCGGTCTTCGCAACTCGGCCCCGTAAGAGATCCTGTCACAACTGGGCTATGCATTGCCCCATAACCTTTACTTGTTAGTAACGCAGCTTCCAATTACTGCAAAGCAGATTCCCACAGTAGAAGCTAACGAAATCAACGGCGAAGTAGTTGCTTATGTTAGAGTTGTTCAAACACTGAGCAATAGTGACATTGTCGCTAATAAGCTTACTTTATCCACTCCACAGTTTGTTAATCTTATTTTATCAAGCATCATATTCATGCCTTATTTTTAGACATGATGCCGTTAGACTACAGAGAAGCAAAGTTCAATCGCCTATATAAAGAAAGGATTCACCACTGTAAGATCTCCTTATTCTCACTACATTCCAACAAATCACTATTCTAAGCTCTTCGTTCAAGTACTATAATCATCAAGATGATCTTTTCTATCGTTTCTGCTCTATTGGTTTTGCCTGCGGCTTTTGCAGCTCCCACTGCTAAGGTTAATTCTGATACATCCACGAACATGTCCGATATCCATATTTCCAAGAGGTTGAACTGCGGCTACGGAATCCCTCCCGAGGGCACCACGACACGGCCTGTTACTCCTAATGATATCCAGGGACTTATAAGCCAAATCAATGGTATGGGCGGCTGGGATACACTGGTTCCTCTCCCGCAATGGGGTGGCACTTGGTCTTCTGAATACGGCAGCGCAAAGATATGTATTACAAACAACTATCTGTTTGAAAATACACACTTGAGTATGGGGGAAGCAGCATGGGTTGTCAACTACATTGCCTACAATGAGTGTGGCGTTGGAAGTAATGGCATTGGGAGTGATAGTGTCCCTTTGTGAGTATAATAAGGACATCATAACTGATTATGTGTTGTTGGCTAATTAGAAAATAGCTTTGGAGGAGAGGGAATTTGCCACGGCGATAGTGGTCTCGCTTTAAATGCCCATCTCACCCATGCTGGTGGAAGCTGCGTATTTTAATGCCTCAACGGAAGCCATATAGCCACTAATTAGCACAATGTTTTTGTTACTATCAGGAACATGGGAATCTATTAGTCACTGTCTTAGAAGATTTTGGGGCGGGGGGTGGGGGATTCTACTACGGGCCGCGGGAAGTTAGCTAGATGGCAACTATAGCTATTTTCAACTTAAATCAACCGGAATTCAACTTATATGTTTATTGTTCGTAAGACCTCATAGTTAATTAACAAGAGATTACCAAATTAAAGCTTGAAAAAAAGATCTTAAAAACATTTCATTAATTCACAACTTATAACTAAGTTTAGTAATTAAGCTAAGTAAAGCCTAGCTTAGTAATATAAAAAAACATTTTTGAGATTAGAGAAAAAAAACTAAATAAAGAATCTTTTTACAATACACCTTAGCTACCTGTAATAGCTTTATTCTTAAAACAATACAGCTGCAGTACAGCAGCTAACTTAAATATTTCCCGCACAGACTGCTATCAAAATCAACGACCGTTTTGCCCCTCGAAACAAGCGCCCAATGGCTCGTCCAGTCTGGCCCCGTGAACTTGGCAAAGAGGGTCTCTCCTCTGCAGGTTTGCAGCCAGCATGTCACTGTCAATATTGCCCAGCCAATTTCCTCATTACCGTGATGCAACGCGCCAGACCAGAACTCGCCCAAGATCAAGCGTCTCTTCCTCAGCTCCAGCCCCAGAACGGGATCAAATGGGGATGCTCGCAGGACCCCTGCGGTTCAGCGTTCCTCTTACGGACTGCTTTCCCTCTTTGGCTCGAGAGGGGAGTCGCTAAGCCGTTCTGCGATACGCCAGGCCGCAATATTGGCAGCTGAACCGCAATATTGGCCAGCTGAACCGTGTAGACCATCATCCGGAACCTTTTCCTCTGCAGCAAATGGCAATAGTGGCGGGCTAGTAATGCAAGGGACGGGACGGGAGCATGTGGGCGTTTGCGTTTGCGCAGTGCGCGCGTTCGCAGGTGTACATTCTAAGTGTTGTGGCATAAGGAAAAGAAGAAAATCCTTATATTATGGAAGAGTCTTGGTTCTGGCTCGGTATGGCTGTGCTGGGTAACTCGATTTCGGCCGCTATGAATGCTCTCGTTTTGTTGCTGCTGCCTGTGTGCGAGGAAGCCAGCGAACACTGAGAGAGGCCGGTCAGAGGACAATCCCGAGACAGGTATTTCTGCCATTGTGAGTGAGGAGGGGAGGATTGCCGCTGATTGAGAGGCAGAGTCAAATCCGCTGCTGGAGAATCATCCTCCAGAGCTTGAGCAACCACCGCAGACTGCTCCGCTCGCTGAACCCAGGGAGCGCTCTCCGTCGCCGAGACGAGAGGTCCCTGAGTCCTCACTTGTAGATCAGTGGGCCCCTGACCTTGAAGACGAGGTTGAAGACGAGGTCGAAGACGAGATTGAAGTCGATCTCGAAGACACTGAGAGCGCAGCAGACAGAGGTGAGCCATCCAAGACAATGTATCCGACGCTCTACTAAGAACAACTTAGACGAGTCCATCTCGCAGAGGAACCAAGAGCCAGAAGAGGAGACTCAGCAGGAAACAACCACAGACTCGCCCTCTGTTCACCGAGAGGACAGTCCACCAGAAACACAACCACCTAATACAACAACTACACACACACCAGTCACCATGGCGAACCCCGCGCTGCCCATCCTGCACGTGGTGTACGCCGGGCGCGGCGACGCCATGTACGTCCAGTTCGAGACGGCCAACAACCAGCAGCAGAAGCTCTACGCCATGGACGGCGGGCCCGCGGGCGCGGGAGGCACAGGCGGCGGCGGCGGCCTGCCCCGTCCGTACTCGCGCTTCTACCGGTCCGCGGCGCGGGACATTTGGCACGACAAGATGGACCACCCGACGACCGACGCCATCGAGTTGCACGCCGTCGTCAACTCCCACCTGCACGCGGACCACAACGAGGGCTTGTGGAAGCTGCTCCGGCTGGGGCAGGCGTACGTCCGGATCGAGGCGAACAACGGCTTCATCTTCCCGGCGTTCGAGGAGAAGGGCGGGAACAAGCACGTGTCGACGCTGTGGTACAAGCTGTGCGAGCCGGGCAACCCAAACAACGTGACGCCGGAGTTGAGGCTGGCGGGGGACGGGCAGGTGGCCTGGCAGAGGGGCAACTTTGAGGGCGGCACCATCGAGTTCCCGCCGCTGCATGCCAACGGCGACGAGACGATCCTGTGCGTGAGGCATCTCGCGCCTGTGGCGAACCAAGTCGGCGTATTAACGCCGGACATGACGTGGGCGGATCTCTGGTCGCCCATCTACGCCGTCAAGGAATGGGTCCTCGAGAGGAAGCTACAGTACCACATGAACCGGTCTGAGAAGGACAATCTCAATTTCTCGAGTCTGCTCATCCATGTGCCCATCCAGCGCCTTCGGACGGCGGCGGCGGGGAGTGGCATCTACCTGACGGGTGACAACAACGGCAACGTCATCAACTACTGGATGAACGGCGGCGTCTACCCTCCGACGAACGTCCGGCACTTCTCCATCTACAAGATCTCGCACCACGGTAGCAGGGAGGACAGCGAGATCACGCCCGCAGCGGGACAGCCAGGTGACTTTACGGCGGCGATCATGAACGTGGTTAAGGAGACGTGTCTTATGATGACGCTTATCGCAACGAACAAGAAGGCCCGGGAGGACCCCAATCACGCAAACCACGCAAATCAGCTGCTCCTGACGCCCGAAGCGCACACCCAGATGGGTCGCGAGCACGGCTTGGCCGGCCTTAAGCACCTCCGGATAAAGTACAACCTCCATGTCAAGATCCAGGACGCCGGCCTGCAGGCCGTCGAGGCGGCCCTGGTGGAGCGCCACCTGAAGTACCGGACGGCCGTTATGGACCTGGAGGCGCCGGTGGCGATCCCCGGCTTCACGGTCACCATCGGCAACCAGGACAGGGCCCTACCGGACCCGTGGGACAGCTGGGATTCACTCGTCGACAGCGTCGAGAACGGCAAGTACTTCAAGAAGCCGCTGGACCTCCCAACCCGGGAGGTGCGAGCCACGCGCAATAATGACCCGATCCATACCCCTGACGACCTGTGGAAGAAGCAGAAGATGAACACCAACACGGCCCCGAACCTGGCCATCGTCAACCAGCCGCGGACGCAGGCCAATGCCGTGCGCTGGGGCGACGTGCGGGACTGGTGGGCGGCGTGGTGGGGAGGCAAGCAGGGCGGCGTAAACAAGGGCATCTGGACGGACCTCTACAACGACATCAGGAAGCTCGGCCGGACGCAGGCCTTCTTCCGGTCCTTCACGGCCGACGCCTACGTCGTGAGCGCAAACTTCCACGAGCACGGCCACCCCAACGTCGAGGTCCTCGTCGGCCTTGCATGGGCGCTGCGACAAATGGGCCGCTTCGCGACGCTCTACGTGACGAACCCGGCAAGCTTCAAGAAGGACGAATTTTTGTCCATGTGCCGCTTCGTCAACCTCGACACGGACGTGCTGGGGACGAACCTCATCATCCGTTACCCGCACACGGAGCACACCATGAGCCTAACGGCGAACCCGCCCGTCACTCAGGAGTATCTCAACGAGCGCGGCATCGACCGTCTCGACGCCGCCAATGTGCCGAGGGATGCCGCGGGCAACTTTGTGTCTGGCATCCACGACTTTGGACGCACGACACGCGTGCTTGAGGAGGTCGGCCAGTGGGGGGACTGGGCCGTCGTCTGCAAGACGCGAGACGACAAGCTGGAGAACGTCTCGGCCTGGGATGCCATGCTCCGTTCCACGGCCACCGTCTTCGAGCTGCAGTCCCCAGACACGCAGAAGTTCGTCAAGCTCACCCAGCGGCAGGGCACGCTTAGGTTCAACCCGGACCTGACGGACGACCGCACGCAGCTCCGCGTGCGCGAGTCGTACGAGTACGACCAGGCCGTGGACGACAAGAGGATGAACGCGCTGTTCCTCTCGCAGACGCCGACGTCGGTCGAGCGCGTCGTCATCTGGGTCAAGCGCGTCGGCGTGCTCACTGACTCGCTGTACCAGGTTATGTGGCTCGACGAAAACGACCAACTAAAGGCCTTCTACCTCAACAACGGCCAGCTCGACGTCAACGACTACGACGACGACGAGGATGCTGGCGCGGAGCCTGCGTCGTTTCGCTTCTCGCCCATCGAGCCGCAGTTTGCGCAGATGGTGGCCATGAATTTTGCCAACCTGACCCTCTCCGATACAACCGTCTCTTCCGCGGGCACCATTGTCGACCTCGACGGCCTGGATGACGATGATGATAACGACGACGACGGTAATGGCGGTGGTATCGGCGGTATTGCCAGTGGTGCTCAGGGCACTGTTGCCCGCCAGGCTGAGAGTGGCAACATGCTCTACAGCAACATGGCCGTGTCCAACATGGCGGCATCTTCATCCGCAGCGGCGGCTACAAACACGGACGTAGCCCCCCGGAGCACCTTTGACGACTTCTTCGCGGCCGCGCGGCTTAAGAAGGAGGACATGGTGACCACGCGGGACATCCTCAAGGGCATGGTCAGCGGCAACGACCTCGGCAGACTTAAGTTCGCCTCGGCCGGTGTTGAGAAGGCTGTCCTTGACTACACCGTCGACTACGATGACCTTAAGAACACCTGGATACAGTACACCGATGACCAGCTCGCCATCACGACTGACTCGGCCAAGCTGCAGCTCAAGCTGCCCGAGGGCGCCGCGCTGAGTCTCTCCGGCGGCGAGCCGGCGCCCGTCGTGGACGCATCCGTCGTGCTCGAGGCCCGCGTGGACCAGACACTGCGCGTGGGCATGGTCGTCACGACGCAGGAGTCGAGCGAGGACCTCGACTCTACCAACCGGCTCGTCATGTACAAGGTGCTGCACAACGCCACGGGGCCGGAGCTGCTCGCGCGCGCACTCACGGCCATGGGCTGGTCCGAGGCGGACCTCACGCAGGCCACCATGGTGCAGACCCTCGGCGCCGTGCTGGGGAGCCACGAGACGGCCATCGAGATGGTGTACGACAGGATCCCGACGAGACTGGTGATGCTCAGGGGGCTGGTCGATCTCAAGCCGGACTGGTACCTGTCGCCCGGTAAGGCAGAGTATACGCCCACGGGGCAGGTGTACATCCGCAACACGCGCATCATCTGCGACCTCAACAGCGTGGCCGATAAGGCACTCTTCGACGAGGGGCTCACGCTGAGCGGGTTCCAGATCAAGATTAAGACGCTCACTATTGAAGTGGCAGACGCGAGGATGTCCACAGAGCGGGTCACCCTCCTCGCTGACGTCTCCTTCTGCTTCCCGGCTCTCGACGCCGTCGCCGTAGACCTCCAGATGGCCATCAGCCTCTCCTCCACCTCGCACACCAAGGAAGCCTGCTTTCTCCTTAGCGAGGGCTCCTCCCTAGACAAGCTTCTCGGCGCCCTCGGCAAGAATGAAGGCATCGCGGCCCTCGACGGCGTCAAGCTGCCCTCATTCAGCACGACTGAGGACGACGACGACACGCCCGCGCACGCCGTTGACAGCCTGAACCTCGCGCCGGGCTCTATAGGCTTCGTCCTCAGCCAGTACGGCCGCCTTGAGACTGACGTCGTCCTCGACCGTATCTTCTTCACCGCCGAGCTCGAGAGCTGGATCGACGTCCTACCGCTCGGCTTCAAGCCCACGACGTTCCAGGACCCGCAGATCAGCGTCAACATCGCGAGCCCCTTTGATCAGGACCAACGGCGCGTGCGTGTGGACGTCGACTTTGGGCTCGAGCTGACATCGAGCAAAGACAGCAAGAGGTACACCGTAGGCACGAGGCTGTCTGCTATCCCGCTCGTGCGCAAGGGCGACTACGAGTACCGCCTGGACCTCTGGCTTGGCGGCTCGCGGGGCCTGTCACTCGCCGAGATTGCGGACACTGTCGGCCTGGGAGACATCACCAAGTCTATAGGCGAGTCTGTGCCCTTTATCGACTCGGCCCTGAGCGGCGTCTACGTGAAGCACGTCTCGGGCGGCCTCGTCCACGAGGAGGGCAAGTGGCGCTTCGGCGACTGGAGCGCAGGCGTCTGGCTTCCCAAGTTCGAGCTCGTCCCCGGCGCCGTCTCCCTAGTCGATGTCGAGATCCTTATCACCAACTACGACGAGATCCAGGTTGAGGCCTACGGCGCCGTCTACCTGCCGAGCCCGCTAACGACCATCTACGTCGACGTCAAGACGCCTACCGTCACGAGCCAGGGCGAGCTCTGGCTCACCGTCGACGAGACACGCGCCGGCGCCGTGACGCTGCAGAACATCCTCACCGGCCTGCATCTCGGCACATATGACGACCTCCCCATCGTCGGGCAGGTCCTCCTCACGGAGCTCCAGTCACTCTACGCCGTCACGAGCCCCAGCGTCGCTGGCAAACCCCTAACGCTCGACGCGTTCTTCGTCAAGCTGTACCACCCCAAGATTACTGTCGGCGGGCTCGAGTTCAATGGCGTCGAGTTTATGTTCGACGTGCGCTGGGTCGTCGGCGAGGACGGCAAGAGGGTCGGCCAGAAGCAGATCAGCCTGAGCGCGTACATGCTCGGGGACGGGGACCTGCAGGCGAGTATCGTATACGACAGCGTCAAGAACACGCTCGTCGCAGCTCTGCTGCCGGTGAGGCCCGTGACCATCGGCCAGATGCTAAGCGCCTGTCTGCCCGCGGCGTTTCCCGGTCTAAGCATAATCAAGCCAGTCGTAGACACGCTGCAACTCAAGGGCTCGTCCATTGGCTTCAAGACGAAGGACGGCCTGGACATCATGCACTTTGACTTTCACATCGCTGACGAGTCCGTCGTCGAGGTCCAACGTATTGTCCTCAGGGAGGTCATGGTTGTCTATGACGCCGAGGGAAGCCCGGCTCTGACTGACGGTCAGGATGGCAGTGGCAGTGACGGTGACAGTTCGGACGTGGTCAAGAGCAGACTCGACATCGTGGCCGTCCTCGCCAAAGAGTCGGCCGGCGCCGTCGCCCTCAAGACAAAGATTATCATCCGCTCCGTCACGACCACCGATGACAAGACGCTCTCCTTTGGCATCTACCCCGTCGAGGCCAACTCGCTCACCCTCGGCGGGCTCCTGAGCCTCTTCAACTGGACCGATGCCGACGTCGACTTTGTCCGCCCGGAAAAGTTCCCCCGCGCCTTCAACGTGGTCATCGACGCCGTGGAGGGCGAGCTTACACACCCCGAGACGACGGAGCCCGAGACCAAGAAGAGCCTGGCATTAAAGACCTTCCACGTCGCGGCGCATACGCAAGGGAGCATCGACCTCGTCACGAGCCCGGATATTGATATCCTCGACGTTGTCTTAGACCTCACCTACTCTGCTGATGCTGCCGACGAGGCTACCAAAAAGACCGGCCTCAGCGCCGTCCTCTACGGTAAGTTTAAGATTGGTGATATTCTGCTTGAGCTCGCCTACCTCCGCCAGACGATCGGCAAGGACAAGACCGAGGACGTCTTCTACGCCCAGGCCGGCCTCGCCGACGTCCTCTCCAAGCCGTACAACAAGGCCGTCAAGGACTCCAAGCCCGACGACGTCAACATGGACGTCCTTGCCGACTCGTCCTCCTTTGGCAAGGAGCTCCTCAACCTTCCCCCCGACCTCAAGCTCTCCAAGACCATGGTCAAGCCCAACACGCTCGGCGCGCGCATCCGCCTCCAGCCGACGACCAAGATCGAGGTCTGGGCCTCGGGCGACGAGCTCTGGCACGGCGACGTCTGCGGTGTCGACGTGGACCTGCAGAAGATCGGCGCGCTCTTCAAGTACACCGAGGGCGCGTTCCAGGCAGGCCAGCAGACGCGCTTCGATTCGGTGTACGAGGCGTACCTGCGCGGCCACTTCGCCTTCAAGGGCTACTCGGCCGACGCGGAGCTTTCCATCGGGCCCAAGGGCAACGCGCGCGTCACGGCGCTCCTGCGCAAAGACGGCAGCGGCGTTGGGGACATTGCCGTTTTCGAGCAGGTGACGGACGACGTGGCCGCCGCCGAGGGCACGTGGAAGAAGTCGGTGCCGGACTTCCAGGAGTCGCTGAGCTTTACGGAGGAGTCGCAGCTCTTCTTCTCTGCCGACTTTAATACCAGGCAGATCCTCTTCACGGCCGTGATCCAAGACTACGGCGGCGCCCTGCTGCTCGGCAAGGAGATCGTCACGGATGCCACGGCTGACCCGCCAAAGAAGGAGCGCAAGTACATCTTCTTCCTCGAGGCGACGGACCTCGGCCGTCTCTGGTCCGAGACTAAGGAGGAGGCGGCCGACCAGTTCAATATCTCGCGCCTCTCCGTGCAGGTCATTGGCTACGATACGACGCTCAAGGAGCTCAGGGAGGACGTCTCGGGTGTTATCAAGTCCGAGGAGGAACTGGACGAGCCCGACGATGACCGGCTAGACCCCCTGAAGGCGGCGCCAGCGAGGACGGCCCTTAAACTCTTCGAGGGCGTCGATGAGAACACGGAGATGAAGCAGGGAACGTGGTTCGTTGCCGATATTGACATCAGACAGTCTGATAAGCGAGAAATGACGAGTGTCATTGCCCTCGACGCCTCGAACGCTGTCACAGACGTCGATAAGGCTCCCACCATCAGACTCTACGCGCATGTCGTGCCCGCGGCCTTGCAAGCGGACGACCACCAAACAACGTATGGCATTAACATCCGCAACCTACAGATCTTCGACGGTGTCGTCACCATCAACGGCGCGGGCGTGTACCTCCCGGCCAAGAAGGAGCTCCTCCTCGACGCCGACCTCAAGCTCCTCCTCTCGGACAAGGAGCCCAAGCAGGAGCTCAACTTCCAGGTCGAGCTCGCCATGACCGAGACGGTCACCTCGTACGCCGTCGCCGCGGGCAAGACCTCCAGCGAGAGCGTGCAGAACCCCTTTGGCGGCATGTTCAACGTCAGGCTTGAGAAGCTCGGGATCCGCGGCTCCTCGACGCGCGCTTCCGCCGGTGGCGCCGTGCAGAGGGAGTGCACAATCTACGGCTCCGTCCTCATCGGCAGCGACACCTCCCAGGCCCGGATCCTCGGTCTCATCCACTTCGAGCAGGGCAAGCCCGTCGTCGGCGTTGTCGAGTTCACCCGCAAGGTCCTCGACGCACTCCCCACAGGTGATGAGCTCGTGGCGACAGAGAAGCAGTCGGGCAACGTCAAGATGACGGAGATCTACGGGGACCTCATCACGCCGAGCCCCGCGGCGGACGAGCAGCCGGGCTCCTGGCCGGAGGACTGGGACGACTTTGAGATTGAGGAGGCGTACATGAGCTACAACCGGACCGACGCGCCCGTCGCCGTCGGGGATAGGAAGTACCCGCCCGGGTTCTACCTGTACGGTCTCTTCAGGGTGTTTGAGCGGCCCATCTCCGTCTTGATGCAGATCATGCCTAAGCGCAAGGGTCTCGTCCTCAGCGGCTCGTACACGGACGAGCTCGACCTCAGCCTCATCAAGCTAACCTCGTACCCAGATAAGAACATTAACGGTCTGACACTCAGCCTCGACACCACGGATGGAGTAGGTCTCACCCCCCTTTTTTTCTTGGACTGTCACTAACACCCCCCAGACCAAGTACAGCGTCGAGAGCGGCATCCAGCTCCTCGAATTCAATAAGATCTACTTTAAGCTCGACTATAAGTCGGCTGCCTCTAAGACGGACCGTAAGCTTGAGGGCACGGCCGAGTACGACGGCACCATCCTTAGCTACCCGAACCCGACTATCAACTTCTGGTACGCCGACGGCCGCTGGGGCTTCACCGGCTGGAAGATCCGACGCACGGCCTACTGGGACTCTGGCAAGATGGACGCCGCGCCGCCCAGTATTGGCGACCAGCTCGACAACGTCGCGCTCGACATTGACAAGGCCATCCGCAAGGCCAGCGAGAGCGACGGGAAGTGCGGTGCCCTCGTCGACTTCGCCATCAACGAGCTTGTCACGATGCAGTTCGAGTTCACGCTCGGCATGCCGGCCATGCGGCAGAAGGACATGGACGAGCGCAAGGAGAACGCGGAGCAACCGGGCACCAAGGGCTTCCGCTTCACCGTTGACTGGCTCTACTCAATTAAGATCAAGGGGACGGATATCGGTACCAACATCGAGCTCACGCAGTTTGAGTTTGTGCTCCCCTTTGACGGGTTCGAGCCCACGTCCACCGGCCTCCTCAAGTACCTCTGGGAGAAGGTGCTCAGCGAGGAGAACCTCGAGGAGATTGGCCGCAAGATGCTCGAACCCAAGACGCTCGGCAAGCTCGTTGGCGTCCTCGCCATCGACGAGCTGGCGCCTGAGATTGTCAAGAAGCTCATCTGCCGCGAACCCGAGGGCGACGACACCAAGAAGCTCAGGGACAGGGGCAAGAAGGACCACGAGGAGGAGACCGACAAGAAGAAGGACGACGCCAAGAAGGGTGGTGATGATATGGACGACGTTAAGGATAACGCTGATGGTGAAAACGACGGTGGTGGAGATGGAGGTGGAGGTGGAGGAGGCGGCGGTGGCGGAGGAGGAGGAGGAGGAGGAGGAGGCGGAGGAGGAGGCGGAGGCGGAGGAGGCGGCGGCGATTTCCCATCGATTCCAATCCCTCCCGTCCCGGTCCCTCCTTTCCCTCCTCCCATCACTATCCCTGTTCCTCCCCTGCCGCCCCTCCCCATCCCTCCCATTCCTCCCATCCCGATCCCGCCCATCCCCGGCATGCCACTCCCCGACCCTCCTAAGCCGCTCCCCTTCCCCGTCCCGGAGAACCCGCCACCGGACACCACGCCGCCCGACGGCCTGCCGGACGACGAGTGGCCGAAGCCGGACGAGGATCACCCGCTTGGCCCGCCGTACTACACGGCCGGCCTCCTCGTCCTCATCAAGATGTACGTCCAGGCCGCGACCGAGATCAACGGCATCAAGCCCGACGACCTCGACAGCGGCCTCGGCGCCGTCCTTAAGAAGTGGAAGCAGTGGGAAGACCTCGACGCGGAAATTGTCACGCGCTACAACGACGTCCTCTCCATCATCGCGGAGGCCGTGGCCAAGGGCAGGTCGGCCAAGAAGGCCATCGAGGACCGCATGAACCTCCAAAATGACTACGACCTCTTGGCCAAGTTCAAGGCCCCCGACGAGGCGTCCATCACTGTAGACGTAGCCAATGCCCTGCCGCTGCCCAAGTGGGTGCATCCGGAGGACTACCAGGGCGTGCAGTGGCAGGTGTACATGAGCACCGAGGACAAGACGCCCACACCGGACACGGACCTCTCGGGCGGCTACCTCTTCCCAGGTCCCGCGCGGATCCTCGAGTGCCCTTCCGAGGCGTTCCGGTATGTTGAGACGGCGTACATTTGGGTCCGCATGCGGTGCGTGTACAAGGGCTTCGAGTTCCTGTCCACCGACTGGAAGCCCACGACTGCCCTGCACAAGCCGTGGCTGAAGCCGCCCACTGGAGTCCAGCTCTTCGCGGATGCCAATGCCAGGGTTGTCGTCGAGCTCCCGCCCGTGCAGGAGCCCGCCAGCGACTGGGACCTGTCACTCGTGACAAAGGATGGTAAGGACGTTTTGTACGACGCCCCGGCGGCCGTCTCGATACCCCACGACGGGCCGGGCAAGTTTGTCATCGACGTGATGGACCTGGGGCTCGACCGGGCCTTCAGCAAGCCCGTCGTGGCTCGCGTGAAGCAGCGACCCTGGTCGACGGACCTGCATCACGAGAGTCTGACGGCCGACTCGGTCCAGGAGCTGCCCGTCCTCACGGCGCCCACCAACCTGGTCGCCTCGATGCTTCACAAGGACATCGTCCTCGTCTGGGACGCCGGCGTCGGCCTCACCGCGACGGACTACACCGTCAAGCTGCTCCGCAAGGAGACGGGCCGTCCGGTCAACTACAGGGTCACGTCTGACATGACGCTCAAGGAGGGCAAGATCAACACCATGATGGCCCTCACCGAGCTCGAGGAGGGCCAGCAGATCGAGGCCCTCGTCAGCGCCAAGTCCGCCGGTGCCCTCTGCCTCTGGTCCAGGACAGCGATCACGGTCGACTTCCCACTGGAGGTGTACATCGACTCCAGCTCCAGCTTCGACCTTGCCTCGGGCATCGTCAGTCTGAGCGTCCGCGCCAGCATGCCCCTGACTCAGTCCTCCACCTTCCAGCTCCGCAAGACCCGCCTCGGCGCCGACGGCTCCTCCACCACGGAGCCTATCGCGCCGCGCTCCGTCAACATGGACCACGCCGTCCTGCGCTTCGAGCTTGCGCCTGCAGACTACGGCAGTACCCTCCGCGTCCTGGTCAACGCCGCCGGAGCCGACAGTGACGATCCGCGAACCCAGGCCGAGTCGGACGACTACGACCTGCCGGACCACACCCTCGTCGCGGACGTGTGGGCCTGGAGCCTCGGGGACGTCAAGGCGGAGATCACGGCCGTCGAGGGAGTCGGCGCGGCGCTCGAGGTGACGTGGACAGGGTCGCACCCGCAGGTGCAGGTGCAGGCCACGGTGCTGTGCGAGACGGTGCCGTTCCAGGCCGTGGCGGGGGCGGAGATGAGCGAGGCGGGCCGGTGCGAGATTGAGATTGAACCGGCTCAGCTGCCGCCTTCGGGGACAGAGATGGTCGTCTACCTGCGTGGCAGGATCCCATCGTCGGGAACGTTGCTGGAGGTTGCTGCGAACTGCCAGAAGATTGAGCATGTCAAGGTTCCCTAGGTCTGTCTGTTGCCGAGGCTCTGAATTTCCTTTTCTCTTGTATATCTTGTATCTATGTGTATCATATGTATATATTATATAATTTCCTTTTCTCATGTATATCTTGTATCTTTTTGTATTTTGTGTATATTATTTGATCTCTAATGTGCGCCCCAAAAATGGGTCGCTTATATTGAGCTGTATTCATACGGACAGTCTAGAGTGGCTAGCACACGGAATGGAATAAGATACCCAAATTCTCTAGCTTGACTGGAAGTGACGATGCCGTGTTTCTCAAGAAACTTCTACGTCGATGAAAAACTGGCTTCGCCCCAATACTATCAAGCTACTTGGTTTCTTGCCCAGACCAGCAACTACGGCTTGGAGCGGCTATCAGCAGAGACTCGGTATAGTAGTTGGCTCGCTATTGTTATTTCATCTATCTAGAACCATCAAAAGGCGTCGAAAGGGCGCTCTGCAGGCCAATACTCACTGCAGCCACAGCGCCAGCACTAGCCGAGCAAATCAACTGACAAGCCAAAAGACAATACTGGCATCGAAATCTCAGTTCATTGGAAGTTTTGTGTCATATATCTGCCATGAAGGGTGGACAGGCAGGAGTGGCGTCTGCCTGGTGTGACTCGCCCCGTCCCGGGATTTGCACTACATGCTAATTCTCTGATGAAATGGACTACGTTTCCTTCAAGTCGGTCCATATTTTGCTTTTCTATTATACATTATACATGGTCTATAGCATATAATCTACAATGAGAGGTCTCACTAATGCGTTTTTTTTAAATACGTTTAAATCCGCTCCATGGAAAGATATAAAAAATGCTGAAGAACGAGATAGATCTTTACCTAAAGACACGTGACAAGACTATGCAAGCAACCATACATTGAAATTCCCTATATATTTCAAATATTCTCTCCGAAACTGAGAGAGCAATGCATCACATTGCCGAGTTACCCCCATCTTCGTCTTCCGCGAATTTGAATAGCGTAACAAGGCCCGACTCATACCCAGCTGCGATCTTTGTTCCATGAACCGAAGTTGTAAGGGCTCCATGTGACAACGGTCGATAGATTTTTGGAAATTCGACCAAGTCCTTATTCTTCCAAGTGATTCCACTTCCGTCCAATTTCAAGGCGCACAAACTTGGTTTCGGCTTATGTCGACTGTCGCACAGTAAATGATTTCCAATTATCCCAACTGGTTTTGTTTGATGTTCAGGAAGAGGCTCAAATCTAAATTTCCAGCCGACGTAGTAGGGGCCAGCTTCGGTGAATATGTATTCTGGATAATTGTCATTCAATGTTACGGACTGAAACAATGTCAGCCCATTGTGAATAGTTCTTATGCGTTTTTTGGTGTGTATGTCCCAAATGCTCAGGTGGTTTTGCCCAGAAGCAATAATGAAATTTCCATCCGATGAGAAGAAAATCCTATGAGAAAGATAAGTCTCTTCTCGTGAGAGTTTGCTGACATTTGCAGCAATATCCTTTGATTCCATGTTCCAGACTCGAATGACTCTACCATCATTCGCAGAAGAAGCTAATTTTCTGCCGTCAGGTGAAAACGCGATCGAAACCACTTTGTCATTTTCGCAGCTGAGCTCAAGGGCCTCTTTTGTTTCTTTAATTCCGTCATTGTTCGCCACTGAATCCAATTCCCATACCCGGACGGTCTTGTCGAATGACCCTGAAGCTACGTACTTCCTGTCCGGAGAGAATAGAGCACACGATACCTGGCCTCGGTGGCCGATGAGCTTCTGTCTCGGAGACCAAGTTGCTGTATTCCAAATCATCACCGTTCCGTCGTTAGAAGAAACAGCCAAACTCTGATCATCCGGTGAGATTGAAAGCCATGCGGGGCTGTTGGATTTGTTCTCAAGGGAAGCTTGGTGTTGTCCTGTTTCTCCATCCCATATGCATATCTTTCCATCGCAAGAGGCAGAAGCAATAAATTTCCCATTATGAGAAAATTTCAGACAATCGATGGCACATGTATGTCTGTCTTTTGGAGTAACAGATTCATTTAGTGCGTCTGGAAAAGTATAAGTATCCCATATCCGGACAGTACCCTCATCGCCATGGCACAGGGCTGATGCCAGGCTGTTTTCATTCGGCGAAAATTGTACTGACACGACTGTCTCAGAGCTCCTCACTGCCAATTTTTTGGAAACTGAGCCCTCACTGTCGAGGTCCCAAATGTTGATGATCTGACTGCGCGCCCCTGAGGCCAGCTTCGTTCCATCGAACGAGAAAGAAATGGATGTAACGGGTTTTTTGTGACCTTGCAATGTAGCTAGTAGCTTGAATGATTTTGTATCCCACACCCTTATAGTCTTATCTACTGACCCAGAGGCTAAACACTGGCGGTCTAGTGAGAATGCCAGGCTAGTAATATCCTTCGTATGCCCCAGAAGTTTATGAACAACACTTCCGGTCTTTGAGCACCAAATATAGATGGTCTTAGAGAATGCAATAGCGATTAATCCATCTTCCAAGAATTTTAGACAATGAATTATACCATCATCTGAACCGAGTGAAGATGGTTGTTGCGAGAAACCGAGCGAGGTCCAGATTGAGATGGATTTTTGGGTGGCTATAGCCAGTTTCGTTCCATCTGGCGAAAACGCAATGTCTCGGAATTTAACTTTCGGATCCTTTTCCTGCATCGCTTCTTTGGGTATTCTCTTTAAATGAGCGTGTGTAGAAGAGCACCATATATCGATGTCACCAGTATCAGATAGCGTTGCCAAAGTCTCCGAGGCTGAGAAGACGATACAGCGCACGCAAGTCAAATCAGATCTATCAAGCATGCCGATCTGGGTACCATCGGAGGTATCCCATATGCGTACAGTATTATCCCTCGAAGATGAGGCGACAAAGCGGCCATCTAGGGAGTAGGCACAGCAGACAACCTCTTTAGAATGACCGAGATTCAGAACGATGTCGTTTAAGTTGCATTCTGTCGCCGGCACATTCAACAGCTGAGGAAATTCCTTTTTGAGTAGATTTCGCCTCATGCGGTCGGATGAGTAGAACAAAAGGCTATCCTTTGAATTGCCCGTGCCCATGTTGCTGTGGAAAATGTGAAATTGCACGGCGTCTATTATATCAGGGACAACTTCGTGAAAGCTGTTGTTTTTGTCAATGTATTTCTGAACACATTTCGGTTAATAAAAATTTTCAACTTCATCTCCTAGCCAAAAAGAAAAGGAACAAATGGGCGGCTGACTATGACCAAAAAAGGTACCGGGAAATGGATAAGTTCATAGTCATATGGGGGGGTTGTAACTCACTGTAAAGTAATCGCGAAGCCGAAGAAGGTCTTTACTAATCGTCTTTACGCCGCTGAGATGCTTAGTAAATGAATTGCTCAAGAAGTTCATTAAAGCAACATCGAGACCTATACGCTTTGTATGAATATCATGAGATGTGAATTGTGAGGACAAGAGGTGTCTGATCCAGTATGAAGCGAAATATTGAGTTCCAACTTGATCCGTGGCTTCACCGCAGCAGTCTCTTGATGCCAGGATTCTCAAGCATTGAAGTGCAATTTTTGCATGTGTCTCTTGTGCCACCGGACGAATATGATGCTTCATTAGAAATTCTTTGCCTAGCTGGTGAGTAAAACGAATGCTATCGCCCTGAACTTCCAAAAAGAAGAAAAATCGCGTCGTGATCATTTCTTTTAAGGTAGTAGTATCCGGCAATGTGATAAAAGCTCGGAGTTCTGAGATAGTAAGTGGCCGATAGGCGGATAACATGACAGTGATAATTTCCCTGAAGTATTCACAGTCCGGCGATCTAAACTTCAGGTTTTCGTAGCAGAGCGTATATAAGTCATCAATTTGCTCTCCAAGGTCATCAATTATTTGAAGAGCATTCCAAGGATCATCCTCAATAATATAGCATGCAAGCTTGATCCATAGCAGATTTCCTTTAGATTTCTCCAGGATTCTTGCTTCGAGAGCCTTCCGTGAAAACTCGTAGATGCCAGTTTTTTTGAGAAACGTATCAACCTGCAAGGAAACAAGCCTCTCTGCGGGCGCCCATGCCTCTTGGTCATTCATATTTATGAAGTGAGCGATTTTATCCCATAAGCCTTTGTATTTGAATGATCTGACGGAAACGATCCAGTGAATATTGGGCGATAGTTTGCTACTTGCAGAAATCATCCAGAAGAAGCTTGACAAGTTCGTACCCGTCCCGTCGTCTTTTAAACTGTTGCACTCATCTAAGCCGTCTATAATAATATAGGTTGGGGTACTTGTTTCTTTAATGGCGTCATATAATGTATCGCGCATAGTGTTGAAGTTTGGCGCATTTTGGGTGTCCCGTTTAATCATCAGATCTTTTGCATGGTAACAATGAGCCAGCGGTCGAAACTGTCCGACTATTGATGAGATGCAATCTTCAAAAGTGTCCCCTTGCTTGCAAAAATGCGCAACCACTTGGTGGTGATTGGTTGAAATTTTGTATCTTTCCATCAGGAAAATTCTGGTAATATATAGCAGCAAGTTTGTCTTGCCATATCCAGGCTCACCAGTCACAAGCAGCAGACGGCGTTTGAATTTATGCTTATCTCTGATGCCCAATAAAATTTTAAAATTCGACACTTGGAGTTTATCACAAATGCTCGGAGCATAAATCTCAGAGAGATCCCTCGTCTTGAGCATACCCCAGTAACTATTCGGTAGTGTGAGTGGGCTATGCATCTTTTCGAAAAGATTATCAAGCACCAAGATTCGAGAAACGACCTCTTTGCAATAATCCAAAGATATATTCTTGATGATAAGTCTGCTGGTGTTCACAGATTTCGGACCTTCCAAGACCAGAGATCGAAGATCATTCAGTAATGGGAAACACAAAGGGGAGTCCTAATTTTGCTTCAGTGTTAGCCTTCGCTGTATTCATTGTTTTTGAATAAGCCATTACTTACATGTTCTTCTGCCATTGTAGAGTTCAACTCTTTATCGCCATCGGGGGGGATGGAGTTCTCGGCAACGGGGTCCTCGAAAACGGGGTCCTCGAAAACGAGGTCCTCGAAAACAAGATCCTCGACAACGAGGTCTTTGACAACTGAATACTCGACGGGGTTCTTAACAGTAGGGCCTTTGAAAATGTTGCCTTTAGTTTTCATATCGTATACACGTTTTCGGGCTTGTTCTCGAAAGCTTTTGAATTTTGCTGCAAAATGAAAATGAAATTTCTGTTTATGTGTTTAGTATTAACCGTTACTTTAGGGAACTGTTACTTACATCCTTAGTCCCTGTTTCATCTGCCGTTTCCTCTTCTGTTTTCCACTCCATTTCATTCATTGTTTCGACTGCTGGTTTTTCTGCTATTTCAGCTGCTGGCTTATGTGTTGTTTCGGCCGTGGATTTCTCTGCTGTTTTGGCTGCCAGTTCAGCTACCAGTTCAGCTGCTGGTTCAGCTGTTGCTTTTTCTGCCAAAACAACTGCCACTTCATCTCTTATATTCTCTTTCGTTTCCTCGTCTGTATCCTCGTCTGTTTCCTCGTCCATTTCCTCCTCTGTTTCCCACGCCAGTTCTTCCAATTCTTGCTTTCTATCTATCGCTTTGATTTGCGCCTCAAGTTTCAATCCCAGCATCGTTATATCTGCAGCTTCAGCTGCCAATGCTATTAATTTGTCCATCCGGACTTTGGCTGCCCTTTCTTTGGCTTGTTGTTTTAGCATTTTCTTGATTCGCTTTTTGTTAAACAAAGGTTCGAAAATCTTAGCCAAATCGTACAACGCAATGCCAACATCCTCGGGAATAGTCCAGTCCTTAGTAGCGGATGCTGCTATCTCATTTTCCAACGAATTAAAGGCTTTTAAACCATCCGTGAGTATGTTGTCAATACATTGATGGCCCGAGAAATGACATCGGAGACGTGGGCAGAAAGCTGCCGAAATGTAATCAAAGCTGTCTAGGAAGCCTTGCAACTCGTCTAGCGCGCCTAGATATTGGTCCTTGGGGTCGTCCATGTTGTCGAATTTGGGATGCAGGTCGAATAATTCTTCTGAGGTTCCAGGTTGTCCTTCAAAACAAGTGGTGAATCGGCACCTCTTTATGTAACACTCACCGCATCTCAAAGCTCCCTTCACCAACCAGGCCAAAGACCGACCACGCAAGATTGCAAATTCGTACAACAACCAATCAAGATTCACATGATGCATTACAACTTCAATGCTCTCAAAAGAGTTTATGAGCGCAAAACCACCTGTTACGCTTATTGGTCGCGCTCACCTTCCTTGTACAAAGGGAGCTTGTATCACCTGATTGGCGGAATTCCAGTGTTTAATTGCTGCTGCTTTGTTTGGAGTGAAATTACTGCGTTGGGAAGTCAAGCAAGCTCATCTTATTTGGACAAAAGAAGTTTATCAGCTAGTTGACTTTTTAGAGTAAAACCAAGATAGTAGTTAATTTAGGCCATATCATTTCGGACAAAAGAAACTTTGTCATCTGAGTGATCGAGATACTGCGTTGACTGCGGTTGGGCTGTTGGAATGAAGCTTTTTTGTCTGAAAGAACCTGCAATTAATCGCAGTCATTTTATTGGATCACGGCTACATTGCTTAAATAACAATTATATTAAAACTCAATTCCTTTTGTCCCTCTTGTACTTGCCAACCTGTTTCGGCTGGCTACCATATGATCTCCTCGCCTGCACCTTATCCCGTCCCATGCTTGCTCCCAGCGTAATGTCCACGCGCGGCGGTGTGGGGAAGCCAAAGCTCTTTGCAATCTTTGTCAGGTCCAGCTTTTGCACGTCGTACACGGACCGCAGGCTGTGACTGGCGTAAGCGTGGAGGTAGGACTTGAAAGCGTCCTTGGCGCTCTGCTGCAGGTAGTAGTTCTTGCCAATGAGCTTCTCGAGCTGGGATTGGACGTTGATGATCTTCTTGCGGGGGAACTCAAACTCGACGACGGGGACACGAGCTGCCTTGAGGTAAGACAGGAAGCCAACTTCGTTGGGCTATTAGAATGTTAGCAGGGGACTTTGATGAAAACTGCACGGATGATGAATTTACCTGGAGGAAGAGCAGACTTCGTCCCTTAGCATCAGCACCACGGGCTGTTCGTCCGACGCGGTGGATGTAGTCGCGAGTGTTGTCCGGAGGGTCAAACTGGACAATGAAATCGACGGCAGGAATCTAGTTCTTTTTGTCAGTAACAATGGCTTTTAACCCAATCACAAGCCATCAAAATACTCACATCCAAACCACGAGCGGCAACATCGGTACAGATCAGAATACCGTGAGGCGCATTGCTGAACTCGAAGAATGTGTTCGTTCGCTTCTGCTGCTTCTGCTTGCCGTGCAGATCCAGAACCGGGCAGTCGATGTAGTTCAACAGCTCAGCGTAGTATTTGACAGAGGCACAGCTGCTGAAGAAGACAATAACCTTCTTCTTCTTGGCCTGCATTTTTCGGAGGAAGGAGAACAGCAGTAGGAAACGCTCGTCACCTTCGCAAAGGACGTAGCCCTGCTCCAGACCATCGACTGTGCTGTGCTGCTTCTCCTCGTCGACATTGATGTATAGGGGGCCGGGTCGCAGGGAGATTCTGGCAAGATCCTCTGCACATCACATTCAGTCAGACACGTGCGCTTTGCATGAAGCCAAGTCCGGGGGAAATACTCACCAACTTTGGTTGTTTGTGTCGCAGAAAACAGCATAGTCTGTCGGTCTTCGTTTGACAGGACCTTGACAATCTGTCTCATTTCGTCTTCGAAACCAACCTCCAAAATTCGATCCGCCTCGTCAATGATCAGGGACTTGAGGTTCTTGAAAACGAACTGGGTGTTGAGAAGGTGATCGAGCAGTCGACCAGGAGTGGCAATCAAAAGGTTGACACCCTTGGTCAACTTGTCAACTTCTGCTCTTCGGTTCGCTCCGCCAATGACGATACCGTATGTTTGTGAGTGGTGCTTCATCAGCTCGCGTGCGACGCCGAAAATCTGGAGGGCGAGTTCTCGAGTTGGGGAGACGACAATGACACCGGTGCCGTTTCTCGGCTTGAATCGCAGGGAGCTGAGAATCTCAATCGCGGGAATCAGGAAGGCAAGTGTCTTTCCGGAACCAGTCTTGGCGGCACCGAGGACGTCCTTGCCAGCAAGAAGTGGTGGAATGGCCTGTTAAGAAGCAAGTCAGTAAATGTGTGCCATTGGAGATTGAGACCTAGGCTGAGACCTAGGAGGTGTACGGACACTGCGCTGAATGTTGGTCATCTTGGTGAATCCCATCTCCTGGATCGCCTTCATCGTCTTCTCGGACAGCTTGAGATCCTCAAACTTCTGGGAGTCGGCCAGCGTTGACAGTATGGGCGCAGAGTTGGTGGGTATGACATCTCCATCGGCATCTCTGGCGGCGGGCTTGTCCCCGAGATCTGATCCGCTATCTGATTCTCCATCCTCATTGTCGTTCTCCTGGTCCTCGTTTGAGACAGCCTCCTCTTCTTCCTCCTCTTCCTCTTCCTCTGCTACTTCATCTTCAACCTCGGGCTCGACCGCTGGCGGGGGATTCTTGAGCTTCTTTGACTTTTTAGACGCATCAGCAGCGGCCTCGACCTGCTTCCGCTTGCGCTTCTTGTTCAATGTGGCGGCGTCCATTGTGACGATGTGGTGATTCTGCGATGATTGGGCGGTTTGTGATGGCAATGCAGGTTCTGCAGCAGAAATATTTCACCAGCAATCAGGAACCGATAAGAAAAAAAAAAGTTGCTAGTCTACGATTTGCAAAAAACTGTTCCCACTTGAGTGGGGCTACGCCACAGATGTAGATGGGACAAAGAGGACACCAGCCACAGTGGCCGATGCCACAAAGGTACATTCGTTTTGTACCGTCTTGGAGAGTGAGTGGCAGCTCATCAACTCATAAACTCCATCATATAAATAGGTGATCTCCTAAGACGGCATCCAAGGATATACTTTTCCCTGAAGGCCAACAAATTACCTATCTTTCATTCTTTCTTATCCATCATATATTCTTCACAACTTCATCTTCATTACAATCGGCTCTTGGCCGTCAGATACGTCCCTCCCAGCTTGAGCATCTCAACCGCCTCCTCCACCATCTCGGCAACAATCTCCCCAGCAGGCTGAATCTTGTCAATCGCACCCGCAACCTGTCCCATCAAGTGCGGCATATCCACGTCTCTGCCCTCATCCAAATCGTGTTCCATTGGCACAATTCCCTTGTCGCACAGCGCCTTCACCTCGCTAGGTCGATCATGCCAGCTCTGGATATACTCGTTCGTCCTCATCCGCAGCGGCCGTCCTGATATCACCAGCGTCCGTTCTGTGCCTTCAAACCCGCAAGTCACGACAGCTTGTTTAGCAGCCTCGCTGCATCCGGCCTCTACTGAAGCAACGAAGCGTGTGCCCACCCACACGGCCACCGCTCCTTGCATCAGCGAGCTGGCAAGACTCCGTCCATTGCGAATTCCTCCCGCAGCAACGACAAGAGCCGTCGAGCCCTTGAGCATTGGAGGCTTGTACTTCCTTGCCACGTCGACGACGGCTGGGATCAGCACCGAGTTGGCGATGTCGCCTGTGTGACCACCTCCTTCGCCACCCTGAGCGCATATAATGTCCACGCCCAGATCCAGCGCCTTGACCGCGTGCTTCGGGTGTCCCACCATGTTCATGACCAAGATTCCGTTCTTGTGAAGCTTCTCGATGACGTACTTGGGTGGCACGCCCACTGCACTGACAAACAGCTTCGCGCCGCTCTCAATGGTGATGTCAATCAGCTCATCCAGCTTGCCGCCGGTGTAGTCGTGATTCGTCTTACGCGCATTGCCTCCGATTTGTGGCAGCGCCAGATCCACGCCAAACGGCATGTCGGGGCTCTTGAAGTTGGCCTTCATCTCGGCAATGATCTCGCGGAGCTGGTCGGGCGTGTACTGGAAGCCGCCAATGACACCCAGGCCACCTGCGTTGGACACTGCTGCAGCAAGGCGGCCGCCAGAGGTGCGCGCCATACCCGCGAGGATGACGGGATGCTGGATACCCAAAAGGGTGGTGATGGGAGTGGTGATGGGTCCGGTTGGTGCCATGGCGGTGATACAATGAATGAGACGAAGAGAGTGTGGTTGATGCTTGCTAGTAGTATGATGGGAGACCTGTTGGATTAAATTGGTTGTAGTGGAGGTACGATACAATGTCCGGCCGCTTTAAGCGATCACGCAGAATTGATATGGAATGGACAAAGGAGGGAGAAGCGGCTGGCAGCGAGACATGAAATTTGTATTTGATGGATTGATCCTGAAGCTCCCTTCTGGGCAATAGGTGGCTCCAGCACGGTAATATTCACCGGCTAGTACCTGCACAAGGCCCTGAAAACGGCTACGGCTGCGGCTGCGGCTGCGGGAGACGATTCGCGGGGATGCGCTTTGCGGGGAAACGGCCCCTACCGAGGTATCAAGTGCGGTTGTGAGACGCTGCCGTGGCATTTGAGATTGGCTGCATGCATTTTCATAAGTTCGTAGGCAAGGGGGATATTTAGTGTCTGCTGTGAATGATGCATAGGTATTTGAACATAATTGCTAGTCGATGGGGGCAGTCATATAACAGAAGGAGGAATTGGTTCTCATCATGTGAAAACTCGACAAACCAACATCTCTCTCCATTGGTACAACTAGACTCTACGAGCATCATCACCAAAGCCTAATTCATATACATCATCAGAAGAAGAAAAAATTGATTCATCATTCATGCATTCGTCATCGTCAATCGATGTTTGTAAACCTACCTCTCCGTCTGCTCCACGTCATACCCACGCAAAGCAGCTCCCAGACGCTGTAAATCTCTTCCCAAGAATCCCATCATAACAATAAACTGTGACATCTAGATATCCCATGTCAGTAATACATATGGCCTTCGAGGCCAAGCATGTCCCAGCCAGCTAGGTCTCCGAGAAAGCTAGCTCCAGTGTATTTAACCAAAATGCGGCAGCCGCGCAGGTACAAAGACGCTCTGCCGAACAGGCGGCGATGCCTTATCCTTTACCCGAATCTCTAGATCACGTCCGGATAACCCGGAATCGTGATGTGCCTCTTCATCACTGTCCTCATCGTCATCCAAGTGAATCTCGTGCGGCTCTTCAGCCTGATATTCTTCATCAGCCATCACATCTGCTGGCTTCGGCTCTGCTTCCGTTTGCAAGCCTCTCTCCAGCGCCAGCTGAGCTGCAGCCTCTTTCTTCTTTGCCAGTTCTTCATCCTCTTCTCTTCCCAGGCGCTCTTCTTCCAACTCCAAGTCCTTGAGTGACGGTAAGAATTGAGCATCTTGTGTGGGATCCTGAGACACCTGGCCGAAAATTGCAAGACCCAGCGAGTCTCTTGACGCAACCGAGCCAAGCGTTGTCCTCGACACCGTTCTGGAGACGGTATGTGCCGGTCGCTTGCCTTTGCTACTCGGTGTCCTTCCACTCCTGCCGCTGCTCCTATCATCTTTCCTAATCATGTCATAGGTCACCTCGCCATCGAGCGCTACTGCGTCTTCATCTCCTTCGCCGTCACTTGGAAACAAATCACCGCGGGAACGGTAGGAATCCGATGTCCCACCCGATCCCGTCGTGCCGCTCCGCTTCCTTGATCGAGATGGCTGTAATAGCCCCTCATGGTCCGAATCATCTTCCGCCCCCAGCAGCGGCTGGGATTCGGTATACTCATGTTTTCTGGCACCAGGGTGTTCCTGTAGATCTGCCGCACTAGGTTTGTATCTCAGGGTGCCGCCCATTTTCCAAGGGAGCTTGCTCAAGAACCCAATGGGCTGGGTGCTGGGAATAATGGTGGGATCCTGCTCGCTGTTTTTCCTCCTGGCTCCTCGTGTGCCGTAGCTCATACCCCTCTTTCGCCGGGGCTGGTCAACCGTCTCGGGCCTCCTCTGGCTTCCAGAGCCCGCCAAGAGACGATCCCAGTCTTCCCCTCCCCAGTTGCCCAACAGGCCGCCGCTCTCCTCTTCGCGGTCCCAGTCATCGTAAAAATTAAAACTGTATTCTGCCCGCTCGCGAGCGCGCTCTCGTTGCCGCCGGATGCGCTCCTCGGGGTCTCCCAGACACACGGTTGTGCATTGCTCAATGGCCCCTCGTATTGACCCCAGACATGGGTTGATGTAGTGGTGCTGGAAGGTCCAAATGCCGGCGGCGGCATTCTCCGTGACGGCCTCTGCATCGTGTGTGATCTGGTTCCAGCGCTGACGCAGACGCGGATCCTCGAGGAAAGCCATCGCTGGCGGTGGGCGGGATGGTTGGATTATTATTATGGCTGTGGTGTTTCGTGCCCAATTGGTGACGTCGCTGGCATGGGACGACAACGGCGAGATTGCTGAGAACAAACGGCACGCAGCGGGCCGATCAGCTGGCCATCATCGACGGGCAATTGCTGGCAAGACTCGAAAATACGCAGTGGGCTCTTCGCTCTCGACGGGCGTCAGGATCCGGGCGATGCTCCAAATGTTGGTGACGAGTTTGAAACAATCTCAAGTCTCTCGGTGGTTTCGATGAAATAGGCCGGTCAAGCCCTCGATGAAACAAGTCGACAAGGTGGCACGTGCAGGCATCCCGGCTTATGTAAGGCAGCTTGGCTTGGGGTAAAGTGGGCATGAAGCTCTCCACATTGTCTTAGTGCACAGACTACTGTACTTTATTGCTTCGGTATTTGCGAGTGGCTTGGAGACAGTTTTGACGCCGGCCTCAGAGCTGGGCGAGACAAGCGGCGTGTCTTGCTGAGGCGGCGTAAAACTCATTGCCTGCATGTGCTTGGGCGACTTGGAACCTATCGTGTCTCGCGTTAGTCAGCCATGCAATTACTTACATGATTACTCCGTACATGGTTACATGATACACCAATTGATGAAATGAGGCATTAAGACATTGGTCATGACGGGCAACTTGAACGCATACAGAGGTTGTACGAAAATTCAATTCTTAAAGTTCCACAAGTCATCATTATATAGCTGCAGGGCTAATGAGGAACTTGAGGCTGGCAAAGAATATGAATCCAGGAACACTACACGGCAATAAGCACAACTCAGCAATGAGTCCTAAGCTAATGCACCAACAAACTCTTCGCAAAGTTTAATAGATGGCGATACTCTTCGGGAATACCAAAAACTCAACTGTCATATTGCACTCCTACTGACATATGATATCACACAAACTCTAGCGTATTCGTTTCTCCCCCAATTTCCACTAGTTCCGTCAAAATAAGGGTACAGTGCTCAGGTCCCGAGGTCCAATATTTGGCCTCTTGTGAATACTCTCCTTGGACTCTCCGCTCTGCACCCGTCTCAGCATATCTTCAGGGTCAAAATCCACCCCAATTGGGTTTTCCACAAAGTCTTTCGACGTCATATACGCATTTTGCTTCTCCGGGTCATCGAAAGCATCGACGAATGTTTCCAACACGTTGCCATCCGGGTCTCGGTAGTACATGCTTATAGTCAGCCCGTGGTGGACGCACCAAACCGGCGTGACTCCGTGCTCCTTGCGCTGCGAGTATGCTTTCAATAGGCTTTCAATGTTATCAAACCCAAATGCGACATGCTAAAAAAAGAAGAGAAGAAGTGTTAGTCCCATTAATATTCGACCAATTAGTGCTTTGGTACATACATCGAGGCCACAGGACTTTGGTGGCAGCTTTTGTAGATCTGACCGCTGAACGAGGGCGAGGCGGTGGTGCTCATCGTCGTAGGTAATGAAAGCGACCTGATCGCTCTCAACCTGGGCTTCTCCACCCAAAAATGTCTTGTAGAATGGAGACATCTCTTTGAGGTTGCTTGTACGCAAAACCACATGTGCCAGCCTCGAGGGCGACAATGTGACAGGTGCTTTCCTGGTTCCGTTGGACATATTGAGGTAGAGAGTAGACCTGTAAGAGATAATCAAACCAAATTTAAATTAATTGATGCATACAAAGCTCAGAGACTGCTCCTCTCTCTATAAATATGCGTGCGCATTGGGAGGTTTATATGTAAGACACCCAACTGAACCCCTCATAACGAGATGCAGGCGAATGCAACCACGCCCTTTTCTCACAGGTGTAAAAAAGTTGCGGAGTTTGATTACATTAACGCGCCAAATCTTTTTGTTCAATGTCAGCTTGCACTGGTGAGTTCACAGACTGCGGTGTGTTGTATTCACTTTCTAATTCCCGGTCGGAATTACACGAGTTCAACGGCGGAGAACTGCCGGTTCTCATAACAAGTTGAACATGGTATCATTATGATGACGTTTACTGCAAGTTTACAGAGCCATTATCTCCGTTGTATGTATCGAAGAGAGAAGAAACAACCAGTCTCGGGGTAGTAATATTACCTAAATCCGAGGCCAACTTGAGTACGTCTATCAGACAGTTACATACAATGTTGAGAGACGGGAACTATAGGATCCTACACATATATGGGGTACATAGAATTAATTATTGAGCATAATAAGGAAAAGAGAAGAGACAAAATCGTGAATTATTTGCGCGCTTCGAGGAAGCATCAACGGGAATGCCCAACTTGAGCCTTTACTTAGATCACTTCAGCGATAGCAACGTATCAATATAGTATTCTAAAGACAGGGCTATGATCAATTATTATGCTCGAGGATAAAGTATTCAATTCCAAGTTGAGGAAGGAATTACAAACTGCATAAATGATTCCGCTCGTATGGCCGTGCAATGCCCGTTGAGTCTGCCGATAATTCCGACATTCACTCTCAGGTATGTATTGACGTTTTATAACCATGTGAACATCTCACCGTATATTTACCACTCATGCTTGTATTCTTCAGTGTAGTCACTAAAAAGTATTTCGTTCATCTTACTTGTGGAAATAGCCTTCATACTAACAGCCTCAGTCGCATGCAGAGAGGTACATTCTATTCGACATTTCACGCATTATTATAGACCTTTGGTCTCACTTCTTTTTTTTATATCCATTTTAACATACTACCCATCCTTTTCACTCATACTTTCCTTCAACAACCCTAAAACACTATTTGTTCGGGCAAAGCAATAACACCCAATCGTCATAAATCCGTCCCAAATAGATCCGATACTCAAATGGCACAGAGTTTTTGCCCTTTTTATTCCCCAACATCCAACCGCACATAGTGCTAACTGTTGTACACTTTCATTATCCAAATAATCGGCCGTCCCGTGCGACCAAGACCATGCCTCCCTCTCCAGATTTTACACCCTGATGAAGTGTTAGTGAAGGCGCGTGCACTCATGGCAGCAAAATGGGCCGCTTTGTGTGATAATACTTACACAAATCTGAGAAAATTCCCTGATTAAGATAATCTCAGGTTCCTAATTGAATTTTTCGAGTTTCCCAAAACTTCTAACAATCTCCTTCACCGTCTGACGATCAAAGCGGCGCACGTTTATCGGACGAATAGTCAACTCCGTGACACAGTTCACAGTCGGAAGTTGTGTAGTTTTCCCATTATCCACATCGCTGAAATCAAGGTAGACGTTCTCCACAGCACGCAGTTCTTCGACTAAGTTCAGGTGGTTACGAACAACGTCGCATACGTTGCTGCGCAGCTCGAGTGGGAGCAATTGGCGCGATAGGCTGCAGCTTTCTTTGCCCGTGCACGCCTCAGGCGATCTGCATGGATGGATATCCTTGTCAAAGGTGCAACAGTCGAAGTGGTGCTTCAGGTTGCTTGGAGCATGCACACTAATCTCCAACGTGAGTCCCTGACCTCTGTTGATTCGATCCATCTCATCCCAGGAACCGAGTATTTCCATCAATTGCCATAAAGCATTTGTGAAGATTCGGCTGTTTCTGCTAAGTCGATCAGATGGTTCCAGATTGCCGCAAGTGGAACACTCCCACTTTGGGGGTTGGATGCGCAGCCATATGTGCTTGACAATGTCCTCCCGGCCTCGGACGATTTGGCGAAAGTCACTGATGCAAGAGTAGTTCAGAACGAGCTTCTGGAAGGTCTTTTGTTCAAAGTAATTCTTCCATTCCCTACAGACAGCGGCTCAAATGGCTCTACTTGCTTTAGGACGTGTTGAGAGTATGGCATCAAAGATTTGGTACCTGAGCTCGTTCGGCAAGTCATTCCACCGCGCCATTCTAAATGAACCGCTCAAGGAAACAGCTGAGGAAGAAATGAATTAAGTAACGAATAAAGAGAAAATGGGCAAAAAGAGGGAAGAAAAGGTCAGGAGAGAAGACAAAAGGTCATGGCTGAAAGACACTCATGAAAGTTAAGTTTAATGGCTTTCTTTATTCTGGCCCAAATTCATGAAATATCCCAAATATTTGAGCTCGTAGCATCATATAAGCAGATTGCTCCATCCAGCGTGAGAATTTGAGCTCCATTGGTTTGATGTATGCCGCGATTATAGTTATCCAAGTCAAGCCCATAACTATAAATTAGTTGCAAAACTAAGCCACTCTGGAGTTGTAGAATAGCCATCCGTATCTACATAGGAAGTTGAAGCTAGCACTGATAGTCATTCTTCATCAAGAAATACGCTGCGAGTGTAAAGCGGATGCCATTGCGGTCTGAAATGTGTAGGCTCGATATACATAAGCAAGGCTACCTCTATCCATCATGGCTCTAGGGTACAAGTGCGCCTCTCTTGGTGTACAAGGTACAGAGGACATGTACCCAGTACTTGTACCTACAGCACTGGATGATTCCGAGAGATCTGACTTTGAGGTATCCCTGTTTGCCTGTGCATGCATCTTGTGCCTAGAATACGAGTCCAGATGCCCGTGGTTGCGATTACTAAGTGTCTCATCAGTTGAGCCAAGATGGATGCTTAAATGAACGTTGTCCCAATTCTATGTTAGTAGCAGTAATCCCGATTCGGTTGCCGGCTTCCGTGTGGTCAACTGTTGCTCCGGAAATATATCAATCAGGACACAATCCTACAAATACGAAGGAGAGAGGCTGTGTATCTTTTTTAAGATGCTCAAGAGTTGACAGTCGAAAAAAGTTGCCAATTTTAACATCAATATCGGCTAAGAAGCGGTTGGTTATTGGAGGGTGCAGGTGGCAAGTCGTACTGCAAATGAGCCGACTCTCACTCTTGTTCCTTTTTTTGATCTGCCCCCGACTCTTTTTCCGTTCAGGTTTTTTTTTCCTTTCTCTTCTCCATGGAAGTGGGACTCGCTGGGATCCTAGACAAGCTGATAAGGGTCGGGCGCATGTGCCTGTGCCTGGATATAATGGGGCCACGGCTCTGCAAGCACAGATTCAGGGGACTTTGGTGTCATCCAAGACCCTCTTGGTCACTGGACGGCGCATTCTAGCGCATGTGGGTTTGCATTTCAGCGCCCTTGTTTAGAGGCCGAGCAGCACGGCTAGCTTGATTCACGATGGTCAGAATGCCAATTGGATCCTCGAAACCCGCTTCAACACCACGAACCAGTTGAGCACAAGAGGACGGGAAATGTCACTTCTGCGTTCTAAAAAGGTGCTGCCGGCGAAATGCTGCATAACGCCACCAGAGATTTGCCCAGTACAAGTAGCGCGGCGTGGCGTTCACAACGGCCATGCTAATGCAGCAGCTTCATCCTTCCGTGGCATGTGGCATCAGCGGTCGAGGATTGGATCTGGATCGAATCAAGGTTAGTAGTAGCACAAGTTTGGACCTGTAAGATGCATCGACGCCTCCTGTTTGAGCTGGGGCTCCTTTATGATACCAGGTATACCTACTGTATAGCATGGTAGTACTGGTACTCTGCGCGTGCACGGCCTTGCCGCAAGGCCTTTCCCCCCTTCCTTCGCCGCAGTAATTGCAGGACTCGCAGCACAAAGGCGACTGACTGGCCCCTCCACTGCAATTTCAACAGCCTGATTATGCGCTTCCGGAGACCGATGGAGCTTCCCGAACTGGCCTCTTCCAAAGGCCAAGAGCCAAGTCGATGACTTGCCTCCTGCATTAGTGCGGTACTTGGGGGAGCCACCCGAGCCTTTGCCAGGCGAGTGTAACCAATTATCTCGGGCGGTGGGGATGGCGCCCCTGTCGAATATCAGAGCTGCTTGGATGGCGGCCCCTGGCTCATCCCCTTTCTTGGGTGGATTGCTGCTTGGATTAGTGGCCCCCCCGCGAGACTCGGCTCTTTTTGGAGGCAAGTTCGCAGCAGAAAAGGGCCAGTAGGAGGGCTAGAAAGACGGCGAGGCGCCCAAAGCAGAAGCGCCATGAATCTGACTGCAGAGTGCAGAGCGCACAGCGCAGAGCGGTGCAGGCAGTAGGTACGTAATCGGCGCGGGAGATGTCGAGGTGCGTGTGCTCTCGCACGTGTGAGGACTCGTATTGACGCAGCCTCTCTACTCCGTACAGTAGCTCGGGCTGTTTCTGCGAGATAGTATGTAGTCGTAGCGTGTTGGATGGGTTCGACGGCTGGAATGGACTCGAGTTCCTGAGGAGGCGGGTTGTCGGCCGGGAAAAAAGTTGAGGCGGGTGGATTGGAGCTTCGAGGTACAGTACAGTAGGATGGTCTAGGAAAGGAACAGGACAAGGCGCTCAGATCAAGGCACAAGCAAGTAGAGGTACCTGCACAACTACGGCCCTGCACGCGTTCTAGCACCAGACCCTTCCAGGACCGTCGGTAGCAGTACCACCGCCAGTACCTGTACCGCCAGAGGATCCCCTGATGCCCCTGTGGAAAGCCAGGTCTTTGCAGTACAGGGCCACACAGGCTCCAGAGCCCTGTGCAAGCTCGCCGAACAGCCCCTCCCCCGTCGCCGGCACACAGCAGAACCAGCCGCTAGACGTGTCCCCCCAGCGCTGTCAATGCCAGACCCAACCGCAAAGGTACTGGTACATGGCCCCAGAGGCGGGACAGACCACTGGCCGAGTCGTCGCGAGCACTGCGAGTACGAGTACATGTAGCTGCTTGCATCCGCCTTCACCTTGATCCCCTTTCTCTCCCCCTTTGGACTGTGTTGGACCGCCCACGTCTTTTCGCTCCCTTCCAGTTTGTTCGGTGCTTGTCTTCTTTCCTTCCCTTGCAACTGATTCACTCCAGACAGACGCCAGTGGCCTCTCGCAGCATCTCCAGCATCGTTTTCCCTCTCTCTCCAACTCTCACTCCCTGCAATTAATTCCCCCCCCATTCGCGCGCTACAGCAGAAGCTACAGCAACGACAGCAACAACAGGCGAATCAAAGCTGCAGCAAATATTTGATGTGATCGGCGCCGCGCCCACCGAAGATCTTGCACAATCACAACCTCAAGTCGGCTGACCAGCAACTCGCTGTCGTCACAGCAAAGTCATCTCACATTGCCAGCTGGTGGTGTGGTCAACAGAAGCGCAGACGCACTCGCAGACGCCTCCCGCCCGCCACATTCAAGACCGCGTTTCTTTTTTTGGAGTCTCGCCTCCAATCGCTTCCACCAGATCTGTTTAGGCGCCTCGACGTTTGGAGCACGATACCCCCATTCACGGCAGCTTTATTGATTTTTTACGTTTTGGCACTTTCCCAGTGGCTGAATCTTATTTGTATGCGCACAGGCCTGGTTGCTGCTTCTTCTCTCAACTCTCTTTTTCGCACTCCCGCAGCTCCTTTCTGCCGCGGCATACACAAGCGATTTATTCGACACTGGTGCTAAAAGCTACGCGCCATCAAACTCTCCCCTATTCTCCTCCCCTCTCAACGCTTTCTCGAGCTCTTTGCGCCATCGCAGCTCTAGCCGGGTGACTGCCCGCGACACAATCAACAATGGCCAATGCGTGAGTCGACTCCCTCCGTTTCCAGGGCAATGCGGCAATTGTCATGAGCGGCAAACTAATAGATTTAACCACAGAATTGGATCCGTCTTTCGCGAGTTCTGGCATACGATGACCAGTAATGACCGACGTATGTCTCGTGCCCTTTACATGTCAGCCGTCGACCGTGTGTACTAACTGCGCCGACCCCTAGACTCCACGTTTGATTCACCGCAACGAACGGGTCGCCATGTCCCGCTCCAGAATGGCCGTAATATCATGACTGGCATTGCGACCGCTTCCGACTCTCGAGCCGATATTCACAGCCCGTACTTTGACGATTCCCGGGCGCCCTCTACGCAAGGCTCGCCTACCAACGGCACCCGAGGATACTCACCTGGCCTCCGATCGCAAAGCGTAAATAAGGATGGTTTCGAAGTTCAGTCGCCTGGTGACGTAGCCATGCAATCATTTGAGAACGGCCTTCCCCCGCCGCCCCCTGTTGCACACTCGTGGAGACGCATAGACGCGTGGGCCGAGGAGAACTACCCGGAGCTGTTCGACCAGCTGTGCGAAGGTGCCACAAGCAATGACCTAAATGATTTGGAGCACCAAATGGACTGCTCCCTGCCTCAAGATGTCCGCGAGTCTCTCATGATTCACGACGGCCAGGAACGAGGTGGAATGCCATCGGGTATCATTTTCGGCTCCATGTTGATGGACTGCGAAGAGATTCCCCAGGAGTGGGAGACGTGGCGACAAGTGAACCAGCAATTCATGTTGGACGCCGCCGCCAACAAGCCGCCCACCCCATCGGGCAGCGAGGCCTCCTCTTCCAAGCAGCGACCTGGGTCCTCTTCGTCGTCAAACGGCCCTGGCGAATGGAGACAGAATCTCCTGGCCAAGCAGAACTGCATCCCGCCCAACACGGTCCAGAAGGCATATGCACACGCAGGCTGGATTCCTCTTGTCCGTGACTGGGGTGGCAACAACTTGGCTGTCGACCTGGCCCCCGGACCTGCTGGTCGATATGGCCAGATTATCCTCTTCGGTCGTGACTACGACACCAAATACGTCGTTGCCCGCTCCTGGGCTGCATTCCTCGCAGTGGTTGCTGACGATCTCAACAGCGGCAAGTGGTTCGTTGATGAAGATACTAACGAGCTCAAACTACGAGAATTCAAAGACGCGCGCGTCGAGCCCTCTTACTTCAACATTCTCCGATGGAGAATGGACCAGAAGCATGGCCGCCGCGCTGCCGCAGCCCGACGACAGTCCCAGGGACCCTCGCAAGCGGCCTCCAAGAGCAACTCGCCTCTAGGCTCTAGATCAGCCTCTCCTTATGCCAACCCCCAGGACTCGGCCGGCGACATCCGGGGCCGGTCTATGCAGCGGCTCCGTGATTCCGCTCCCCTTACGAGCCCCATGAGGAACGGTCTCGGCAAGCCCCAGGCCCCTCTTCTCAGCCGTGTAACGGAGGAAGCAACGATTGAGCTTACCGACGCCGTTATCGAGCCCAGCATTTTGGTTGATGTGGAGGATGATGATTCTCCTCGAAACAGCGAAGATGGCAAGCGCCCAACAGTGACGACGCTTGAGCGGACTGAATCGGACTTGGCCAAGGATAAGGGCAAGGAAGTCGAGGTTCCCAAGGCAACCAGCAAAACCCCCGAGGTTGTTATTGATGACACTATGAAGGAGATTGAGATTTAGACGGATTTCGCATAACGAATCGGGGCGACAAAAATGAAGGAGCTACCGAGTTGATATCGCACACTCTATGATGGCACGACTTGAAGTTCCCGAGACCGGTCAATAACAGGAGCGGTCTCCGTTTACGCGTCAGTATCTACGTTTTAACAAAACACACTTTGGGCGTTGGTGGCGTTATGGCGGCCGCTGGAGGCGTGTCATAAGCATTCTGCTTTTTCTTCTTTTTTTTTCTTCCTTTTTTCTCCTTTTACTTCGATTTCTTTATTTTTTTTCTTCTTCATCAAACTTGATTCTCTTTGGAAGATGTACAGCGCTTGAGAGCATTAGAGCGGCAGTGGAAATCAGCATACGACTTTATACCGGGCTATTGCCTTTTTTTTCTATACAGAAAATGCTTTAGCAAAGACCTTGTTTGGCCGAGGTTTTATATCTGGTTGCTGCTGAGCAGGATGAGCGAGGCTGGCTATGAATGCAGGAAGTGTTGTAATTGCTGCTGTGTATCATTATGAGAGCTTATTCTGCATTGGACTGTACTGGTAATTAGAAGGATAAAATGGATTTTGCCATGATTAGTCGAGGATGAATGGAAAACGATTAACTTGATTAAATTGTGTCAACGTGATTGTGTCAACGTGATTGTGGCGTGTACTGTATTTCGTCTGCGGCTAAAGGTAAACAGCGGGAAAGGCGTTGTTGACGGCAATTGGCCAATGAGAGGAGGGCGGCTCGGGAAGCACAGACGGTCGCTGGCGCTAATGGGTTTGGTGTCGTCTTCGTTTTCAATTCATTTCCGGAGATGGCTTTTTGCTGGTATTTGGAACAATTGTTAGCCTGGCTGCTATTTTATCAAGTGGCTGCTGTTGAAGCTGTCGTGGAGAGTGATGTCATATCGTCTTACGGGAGGTCAGTTTGGCCATCAAGGTTCGCTTAAGTAAGCGATCGATAGCTGTCGATATGGTTTGTATTGCTCCGTACTCGCCACAAGCTTCTCTTTGCCTCGTCTTGGCATTTGATACTCCAGCCACTTTCAACCGCCACCAGAAATCTCCAATAACTCACATTCACATCCCCTCATTATAGACATCACTACTTCCCTTATTCCTCTATTCATCGGCCGATGGGATCACATATTCTGAGGAGGTAACAAATCTGTCAACATAACAGCCAAAAGGTTCCTCATATTGTCGCCTGCCTGGCCGATCCTCGACTCTGTACCAATTCAGAGCACGAAACCAATAGTGATGAAGCGATTCGACGTCCTGCTGATTGATGCTATCAGCTATCACGCGGTAGTGTAGAGATGCCACAATACGTTGACACCGATTGATCGCCAGAGCTCGCATTCCCACATGAAACAGCTGGCATGTCGAGGACGCTGTGTAGTAACTGGCTGCGCAGAACGTCACAAAAGCTCCATTATCCGAGTACGAACTGAAATGGTAGCTGTGTACCACATATGATGCGGACATCAAGAGTGACCTGCATTGCAGTTGCAGAAAAGCCATTAGCCGTGCTCTTGGACAAGATCCCTGACTCTGGGGGACGAAAAGGGGAGCAGCAAGCATATTTCAAAGACACATCTGAGAGGAAAAGGGAAACGAACCATATCGTAAGAGAACCGGCAATGCCGACCACATGCTTCCCGTTCTCATAAAGCAGGTCCAGGATATTCTTTAATGCGACCAAGCCCGAGATAGCCATATCGGTCTCTACCTTCTGCCGCCATCCGTTAGTGGATATGCTTCCGTCACCGCAACGGACAATACTATCGTTCCCTTGAGGATAAGTTGCTGCTGCTGCTTCTATGTTAATTTACAGCCCTACTTGAATGCCCCCTTTTGGAACGAAAGCATTAACTCACCCCAGCCACCCTCTGGAACCACGCCTTCCGCATCCTTGTTGCGATTTCTATTCTCGACGAATTTCCCCAAATGGTACTTCACGGAGCGTATCTTTGAATCAAATTCTATCCAAGCTGCTGCCTCATCGAGCCTGTGATAGTGGTTGGGAGCAAATACAAATGCAGTTGAGCTTCCTCTTTCCCATTGGCGCGAATTCATATAACGGACGATTCTGCTGCTTTCAAAGATTGGTTGTCGGCTTTCCGTTTCCATACTGTCGTTATAGCGAGGTTCTTAGCCGGCAGTCCTTTTTATTGACCAAGCAACAATTAATGTTGCTATACCGGCGCCTGCCGACACATTTTCGAAAATATGCAGACTTGGGAAGCACACAACAGCTGGATGGCCACAAAGCTTTCAAAAAGATACTACCATGATGGATATTTACCTGCTCGGCGCTCTGGTTAAAACCCCGCAGCAGGTTTGCCAATAGCTCAGCCGGCGAGGAACGTACCGCTCCAGTCACCCCAGGCTACGTGTTCGTTCATGCATCATGTCCAATCCGCGGGCGCAAAACTACCTCGGGAATATACTTGGGCATCAACAAACAAATATGGCGAAATCATGACGTTATCTGGCCGATAAATGGAACGACGAGGCGAATTTCGATATACTTGCCACCAAATTGCGAGGCTGCACCATAAGGCGGGGAAATGCAAAGTGACTGCCTCGGATGTCGTCTATCATATTGATATGGAATCACTTTTTCCTTCGCCATGAGCTATAATATTATGTTGGATAACATTCGCTCAAGTTGGTTCTCAATTTAGAGTGGAATCATCTTTCGACCGCATAAATTACAGTCATCATCGTCCAATGTCTGGACCTGAAGAATCCTCAAGCTCGTTCTTTGGGATGGGCGGGAAGCCTCCAAACTATGAGGACGTTGAAGTCATAACAGTTAACCCAAATCCCAGGTTGCGACTTCGATTAGAAGTTTGGCACTTTTCCACTGACGGTAGATCCCAAAAGAAGAACAAAAGATTTGCCGAGGTGTTTAAGGAAGCCAATCTTGAGAACTGGGATGTGCAGGAAGTCGCTGTTGTTGAGCCAGACGGCGCTTCTAATCGTGACGATTTCGTACCTATACAGGCAAGAACCCTTCTCTCTACCAATTTACATGAGTGTAGCAGCATCCGAGTCCCGTAGTGCTGTAGCTGATGCTGGATTTCCTTATTCAAGGTTGATTTTAAGCACAATGAATATACCGACAATGACCCCAACGGCAGAGCTCAGAACCATGTTCGAGAACTCTTCAGGCGTATTATTCCGCCAATCGTCTTTCGGTTCTTTCTCGATATTCACAGTAAACCCCACACTATGAGTCTAGTCGCCCGTAATGTGTCACCGGACCACCAGCAGAGATACTGCCAGCTTTTCATCATCAATAAACTGAACATCCGTGTTGATCAACTTTTGACGCCTGCTGGATTTGAAGATTCGTGTGTCGATGATATTGTGGCCCGGTATAGTTTCATGGCTTGTTGAATGATCAAGGGGGTGCCATTGCTAACATGAAGAAAAAGGCTCTCTACTCTTCCCAACGGCCTTTCAACATTATCGCAGATTGTGGAGATATTTTCCATGTACCAGCTCCTTCACGGCCAAACTGTGCCCCAATTTTCTTTCATGCATAAGCAAGATGCTGATCATGTGTTTAATGTGCGAACGCTCACCCTTGGGGATATCGAGCCCCTTGTCACAATCGCGGAAGAGGTAATACACATATCCCTTTTTACGAAGGAGGTTGTCTAACAAAATACAGCTTAGACCGCTATATGAGGCTAATATGAATCAGTCAGTGGCTGATACGTTGGCAACAAAGTTCCAAGCCGATTTTGCAGATGTAATGGGTAATCTAGGAAAAGTAAAAACCGACACACGTCCGTACCCCTCTCATCCACATTTGTCTTCTGCTGCCATGTGAACTCTAATCTCAATGGTGTTTAGCTTTTACTCCACAGCAATTGTACGAGACTGGCTTGAATCTCCGCACAGGCAACACCATGCTCTTAAGAGCAAGAGACTTTCTGGGGCCACATCTAGAGCGCCAAATCGAGCGATACGAAAACGACATGCGCTTGCCTAAGAATATTCGACTTGGAAGTGTGATAGCTGGTGCAAGTACCGGAGGGGCCATTTTCCTTGGGGGGCTGGCCTCAAATCCTTTGACGTTGACTATTGCTGTGTTTTTATACGCGGCTGTAGCAGCACAGGGCAATATAGGGGCAATTTCGAAGAAGAATAACGCAGTTAAAGCATGTGGGTCATCCAGAAAAGCCTTTTTCACTGTTACTTATTCTAACATTGTGTAATAAAGTTCTGCAAGATTTAAAAGATATGGCGGATGTATTCGACGAGGCTCGGAGGTCTGTGGCCGTGGCCGTTTGCCAGGACGTCTTTAATATAGGGCTCGATAACTTGGGACAGCACGAGCGGACGGCAATTCTACACAGCTTTGGCATTGACGTCAGTGCATTGAAGTACGAGGAATATCGGCAGAGTCTCGTTGAGAGCAGCATTGACAAGCTGATGACTTATTATAAGGAGATGGGAACAAATTTTGAGCATATGGTTAGGGTGTGTGGGCATGATCTAAATGATGCAAAGATGCCGTTGTAAGTTATGGTTATTCGCAGGAAGCGCTTACGAGACGATAGACTTCAATTTTAAGGAACGAACCTAGATGCCTTGTTACGCTCAATATGGGCACTCAAGATGGACACTGAATCTACAAAATGAATATTCGTATCTCAAATTTCTGAGAAATTGTCAGCTAGTTTATTTAATATTCGCTATAAAATTCATTTATCTTATACAAAAGTTCTATATTATTTAGATAAGACCTTATATGAATCATCAAGTAGGTATCATTCCATCCAGTTTATAAAAGCACCAAGCTTATCATCTTACACCCTCATAACCAAGTACCGCTTCTCACTGGTTCAAACTCTTTCTGGTTCCTCCTCCTTAAATCTCCCGTCACAGCCCTCCGCAGCACAGACTTCTTCTCTTTCAAAGACGCGGGATCGATGAGCGCTACATGAGGATCCATGTCGATCCCCAGATGCACTTTCTGATCCACCCCGATGTACCGGCCGAAACTATAAGTCTTTTTCTCCTTTTCCTTGTTGTCTGGGCCTCTTGATGATGGTCCTTGGTCGTCGAGGATGTGACTTGCTGAAACGAAGGCGAGAACTGAGCCTATGGTCGTGGGAACGCGGGGGAGATTGAATATGATGCCGCGGGAGTAGAAAATGACGACTGCGATAATGTTGAGAGATAGGACCGTCACGGTGATTATAAAGGCGTTTTGATCCATAAAAATCCGTGTTTCTTCTGTTAGTTTCTGGCCTGTTATTGAGAGCTTTTCATCTCCGGGCACAAATAGTTGCTGATTAAGGCTAAGGAGGATCGCAAATAATCGTCGGTACAATTTTTCGATTCCAGGGATCAAGTCATTAGGATCGGGAACAGGTTTGTTAGGATCCAGAAAGTCCCGCGAGTCCAGGGTTATAGTCAGGAGATAGTTGATCCAGTCCCTTGACAATGTATCGTTATGCCATGTCACTCCATATCCTCTGATCAGGTCATTCATATTGGTGATCATCCTGTTTGTTTGTACGTCCCCGTCATCGCCGTCCAGATGGATGGAAATATCGCTCGTTCTTTCGTATTCCAGAACATTGCCCTCTGCGTCATGCCGCACATCGAACATGGCCGTCTGGAAGAATGGCTGACAGACAGCGAAACTAGCTTCCACAGTAGCATTTCTGTTTAGTGCTTGAGGCGTCCGACCCCATCCAAACGTCATAGGTCTGGTGCAGTTGTCGAAATTGGATTTTGGATTCAAGGAATTACTATATTCGATAGCAGATGGCCCGGTAGGTCTCGTAAAGTTGCTTGTTCTAAATACCCTTTCGGCAGCCTCGAGCATAATCGAGGTATCAGTCGAACAGACTGTATCCAAACTTACGGGGTACGAAAGTGCAACTGCACGTTGCGGTACAGCAGTGCAGTTTAAACCAACACCGAACCCTCGAGTGGAAATTAAATAAGTGCTGCTGCTGTTACTTTGACCTCCGCTATCAACGGTGTATGGCTGGAAGAAGTAATCAGACGTTGTCCAGGGTGGAAGTCGCGTTCCCGATGAGATGTTTGCCATGGCAACGTATAACTCATCTTGGTACAAATGGTCAGTTATCGTTCTCTCAAAAAGGTATCCCTGGAGGTCGAAAACAGTTTGGTTATCGAACTGCGTTGCAATATTCGGGGTGAACGTTGCCACATAGGAGGCAGTTGTCTGATCCTCGTTGAAGAGGGCACCGAGACCAACGGCGAGGACGTTTGACAGCAGCGCAATGATGCACAACATAGCCAACATAAGATGGCGCGATCTAAGCGCCCTCCAAAGGACGAGTTGAGGAGGAAGTGCCGTGTATGTTGTGTCGATAGACTTTGAGCGTTCGCTTCGTCCCCTCGATAGGACTTTAAACGGCTGAAGGAGACACATGAACCTGTTGATCAACACCCAGAAAGGTTCGGAGAAAGTAGCAAAGGCCGTGGGGATGTAATTTTCGAGGATTTGTAGCACCTCGAAACTGTTCGATGGTCGAATGAGGCCTACATGCATTGTTAGATCGTAGACCAATGGGCGTTATAAGCCTACACTGACCTTTATTCTTGTCGTTTTGTACTTTGAGGTATGCGATAACGACAAGAGCCCCAACTTGTACCAAGCCAAACAGTAATCCAATTTCTCTCTTTAAAGGTATCGGTCGAATAGGGTCATAGTAACCCGTCGGTTTGTCAAATCTTCTCTCGTTCTGATCACCCTCCACACCATCTACTTTCTCTATGTAGATACTTCCATCACTGTTATATTCATCTCTTACAAGTCGAAATTTGTCGTTTTTGAATAATTCTTTTAGTGATTTTTCATCAGCATGATCGGCGGGACGGAACAATTTATTTGTTTCCTGCCCATTGCGAAAGATTGCGGCGAGTCTAGAGATAGAGGACGGGTTGGTAGTTAAATAGCTCGTAGAAGTATGGCAGGACCATAGCAGACAGACTGTAAAAATTGCTACAAGGAGGAGAAGGCCTTCGACAATGGCAGAAAACAGTCGACTGACAATAATCCCACTCTGTTGGAACTCGGATACCGCTGTGTTGTTGGCCATTTGTGTATCATTAGTCAACATCTGGTTTACTGCAAGTGAAAATAGATATTTGTGAGCACGATTGAATGCTTCGTGCAGCAGAACGGGGTCGGCGTATGGAGTTGCTGGCTCATTATGAGGAGCAAGAGCATATCCAACCATGTTAGAAACCGGAATGGTCAAATTTGTCTTGTCTAGCCGAGGTCCTTGCTCGATGACGCCTTCGAATGGATAATCTCTTATGATGTTCAATACCTGCTCCATGGGCATCCCGTTTGCGATCAAAAACTCGAAAGAGGTGGAATTGAAATCTTTTTCGGTCAGAAGTTCTGGGGGAGAGATTGGTTGAATTGACGTATTCAGTGGTATGAAGCCATTGGTATCAACAGAGACCATCACCTGCTGCTTATAGTAAGATGGCTGGCAAAAAAGTGCAGTTAAGTTGACTTCAGGTAGTTTTGTGGTGCTGGCACCCTTAGTTGACACCCATACAGCGAGAAATTGATGAGTCGAGTTTCCAGTGGCAGGACAGTTCTTGGGATCACCCAACTGGTAGTCCGAATACGGACTACCATAATATCCAACGTAATACATCTTGAGATTTGCGAAGGGCTCAATGTTGATGGTGGTGTTGCAGCCCTGGCCGTTTCCAAAGTGCAGCACCATAGAAGCAATGTCCTGTTTCGGTTGCTGGGCTGGCCAGCATTCGAGTTCGGTCCATAACTTTGTCGTCGTGGCTGTCCAATTTGTATGTAGCTGCGATTCTCCAGGATCATTATGTATATAGAACGGAAGTGTCGCATAATCGGAGGTCATAAATGGTGGGTAAGATTGGCCGAGCCATGCGATGGAATATCCCGTATTAAGAATTTGGTTGGTAAGAAATTCAGATTGGTTGGCTAGCGGAACAATAGATGATCTCGTGCCAATTACTGCCGGCTCGATTCTATTCACGAAACCAGTTCCCATGATAGAACTTTGGAGAGGGGTGATAAGCCAGAAGATGACGACGGTCACCGTTCCCGCGAAAAACACTGGCCAATGCCTTTGACAATTAGATATCAGAAGTTTCATGTGTGCGTGGGAATATTTACCTCCTCCTAGCAGCTTTGACAGGAACAGTCGCAATAAAGTCATAGGGGTAGTCGAGAAACATCGAATTTTCGGCTGTCGCTCCTTCAGGCTTGGATAGCTCGAACCAGGGCTGCATCCGTTTGACATCGAGGTCCACCCAACTCCATACCAAACTGTATAAGACAGCAATGATATTAGGGGCGTAGAGGTAGCTTATCATAGCATATTGTGGGATGTCGTCTTGCGTTCGTGAGAGTGCGAGACCGCCCCTGGAATGGCTGAGCTGTGCTAACACCTCGATAGCACTGCCAATTAGAAGTGTTAAAATCGCAAGCAGTGTCAAGATCGGGGCCGTCATAGAGAGTGGCTTCCATCCTTTTTGTGGTCCTGAACCGTTTTAGTTGATGTTTCCCCTTGCGAAGATCCCCAAGGCGGTATTTACCATCCTGTCGCCGCCAGGTCTCTCTTATACGTGGATACCATGTCGTTTTGGTCTCCACCGCGCGTATTGTACTTGTATTATGTCGGAACGACTGCGATTGCCATTGGCTGATTGCTGTGTGATTGTCGGGCGAGAGAGGCTCGAGTTCCGGTCGCGACGCCATAACAAATAGGCAAATGAGCTGAAGGGTCCAATTCTAGTTCAAGAAAACAAGCGAAACATGACACTAGAAATCCGCGGCCAGCCACAGAAAAAATGATCGCTCAGAAATAATAAATTCAAATATGCAAAACAGAGAGCAAAAAAAATTTGATGGGAGCGCGAGGGAGAGCGAGGGAAATGAGGGAATGGGAAGCCTACGAAAAAGGTTGCACTGAAGGATGGCGTTGCCTATATAATATACCGAGGACCGTTCCATCCGACGCCTCACAAGAGACACAAGTTTAATTCAACTACCAACAGCAAATATACATTCGGCTCTAACCAATATTCACTTATTTTTCTCATCAGGCTGTTATCACCGTACCTCACAAATCTGTTGGTGCCATCAGCCATCCTTGCTGCAGAAATTCCCATGTGTGAAACTCGGCATCTCCACTTTGACGAACGGTTAAGCGCCAGAGATGCCGCGTCCAGCCAATAGAGATGAATCTTCACTGAGATTAGCCGCAAAAGCCCTGTCAACTGCGGTTCCGTCAAATGTCGAAATGGTCATCGCAAGGCTTTCTGCTGTTAATTTTAGTATAGTCTTGTGGGTTTAATGGGGCTTTTGTAGCCTCGATGCTACGTTCCCGCGCCTATTTGGACTTGATAAAGAGGCCAAAGAGGCGCGAAATGTTGCCCTTATATACTTTGCGTTCTTGACATTGCTAGTTGTCTCTTCCGTGTCATTTCCTGAAATCTAAAGCAAACTAGGTTCACGACATCATATAGTTGTCATGCAAGATTCACTCCATCATTTACTTTAAATTCTCTCCTTTCTCAATACCCTTTTCATTTAGGAAAACATATTCATGTATCAAATTTGATGTAACACTACTACAGAGAGAACGCGGGGTAGCTGGCACATATCACAAAAGCGAGAAACACGGGCAAGCAATCGAATAGTTTGATGGTAAAAACCAACGGTATGCCCATTCATATTTTCTAGGCCAAGCCAAAAACCCCCATAATGATACAGAGAAAACGAAAGTATAAGTATATATACATCAAAAGAATGTAAATCCTTCCCACAAGTGAATGTCCAAATGTTCATCACAAATCTATTCCAAGTCCCTAGCCCGTTGTCTTAAACGGTATCGACAGGATAATATCCAAAATCGAAAGAAAAAAATGAGAAATGCCAATTTATGCTGTTTAAGCACGAATGCGAGTGGCGCGACGCATGGACTGGCTACCTCGCTTGGCAACCATGTTAAGGGTGTCCGACTGTCCAGCTTGGCATTGAGTGCCAGAAGCGAGAGCCTGAGAAGGAGACCAAGCTCCGCTGGCGCAACGCTGGAACTGAGTTCCACCAATGCAGTTCCACTGGCCCTCGGAAGAGCAAGCAGTGCCAGCCGCGAAACCACCGCTAGGGCTAGAGCCAGAGCCCGAACCGGAGCCCGAACCGGAGCCGGAGCCGGAGGTAGGGGCAGGGGCAGGGGCAGGGGCAACGGAGGAAGTAGCAACAGGAGCCTTGGACTGAACGGGCAAGTTCACGACAGGAGCTGAGGTCGGCTTGGAAGGGGCGGGCTGAGAGGCAGCAGGCTGAGAAGCGGCAGGCTGGGAGGCAGGTTGCGTGGCAGCAGGAGGTTGTCCACCGATAGGGCTAGTGATGAAGACACCACCGGGAATGCTCTGAGGTGCTCCAGTGGGCTGAGAGGGAGCGCCAGTGACGGGAGAAGATCCAGATCCAGATCCAGAGCCTCCGCCATTGGTAGGCTTTGCGCTAGGAGCAACAGTAGGGCTGGCACAGTTGGTAGGGCCAGCGAACACCGAAGTAGCACCATTGAACCGGTCCACGTCAGTTCCAGGGTCAGGGAACACAAGATCAGTATCAGATGCAGTTCCGCAGCCGTTTCCGCCAAAGATGTTGGCCTGGAACATATCGGGGAGCGTGTTCAGGAAATCCTTAGAGCCACCCGAGCCAGTGACAGTCAGAGGAGCGCAGTTCATGTACATCTCACGGTTGCCGACCTTGTTGAACCAAGTCCAAGCGAGGGTGTAGTTGCCACCCTCCAACTCCTTGGGAATGGTAAAGTCGTATGTGTACGGATCGATGGCGGCAGCGTCATCACCCATGTTGCCGACCTGATCTTTCGCAGGGCAACCACCCTCGATGGACTTGATAACCTTCCAGACAGAGTTCTTATCAGGCTGAGCATCAGTGGTGACAGAGATCTGGCAAGAACCGCCGCCGTGAACAGCGCTTCCAATGAAGGAGAGTTTCTGAGTGCTGCCTTGAGCATACACGTTGCTAGCACCCTCAAGATCGTAGGTACCACCTCGCTGTTTGCAGGGGAAATCGGAGCCATCAGCCAAAAGAGGGGCGTTGGACAGAGTCGATTGGCCGTAGGGGACCGGGTTGGACATTTTCATGTGGGCACTGGCGGCCGTAGCCAGGACAGTGATGGCGAAAAGCTTGGAGAACATTTTGAAGGAAAGTGATATCAGTCTAAATCGTACCGGACGAAGAAGTCTGAAATGTTGCAGTGATATGTATAGTCGTCAAGACAAAAATGAATGCTCTAAACACTGGATAGTGATATAAAACTGGAGTTTCATGTCAGTCAATGCGCTCCCTTACTGGTCATCGAGTTGAGGAAATAGTAAGATGAGTAGAATTGAGGATTCGAGTGTGGAGATATGTACTGTAGAGACTTACAGTGAAAACTTTGAGAAGAAGCAGTAACTGTCTCGCTGCAGTCACACAAGATATCACAGATTCTTTGTTTCGATTTGGAAAGGCTTCAGGGATGGATAGCAAGCAACCGGGCTGGCGTATGCAATTGAAGGCTTGGGATGGAGCAGAGTAAATCAAGAAAGAAAACAAGGGCTAGCCTCGTGTAAGAATGAAGGAGAGTGAGTCTTGACGACGAACACTTTGAAGGAAGGACTGTTGACTGGAGATGTCTGGGACGAGAACAAAAGGCAAGGTTGGGATGAGACCTCCATCTTATACATTGCGTGCCTCGTGGTGGCATGGTGGAGGAGAATCGCCAAGCAACTTCGCCCCTAGATCATGACTAGCATAGAAGAAGCAAGGGCCGGGAGATGCCAGCTGCAGGAACAGAGAGCGGCAGGAGAGTCATTGGCAAGGCAGGGGATGGAGTCCAGACAGGGACCTGGGGTCGAATGGCTCGCATGTTTCGTTCAAGAAACCAGAGCCGTCGGGGACAGGGAGTCTATCCAGTTAAGCACAGCCGCGGAACGAATATCTCGCGGTTTCGAGGCACGGCGGATCACTAGTGTGGCCTGGTCGTCGAAGGGAGTGCCCTTGGGAGCCCACTGATAGGCTAGAGTCGTTGTTTCAGGATCTCAAAAAACAACGCCTAAATAGGACGGGCATGAGTGGCATCAGCCGAAAACCCCAGAAGCCCAAGTAGAGCTAGAATCAGCCCGCGTCGAACCCCTGAGTAACCTTGACCTCTCTCCAGTATTGTTTCTTACAAGCAGGTTCGCCACCAGCCAATGCTGGGATGTGGCTAGCACATACCGCGGCCAGGAATGTGCGCCGGACAGGGGTCTTACATCTGTGGTCCGTGGGCATGGCAGCATTATGCACAATGTGGACCAAGCTTGCCAGGGAGGGTCCAAAAATCTTCAGAGGGCACGGCGATGCCTAATAATAAGTCCAAGTAGTACTGTAGCGAATGGACGGAGCCGCGTTGAAGGGGAGCCCGCATAATTGTCGCATACGAGTATTATCGTGAATCCAGCAGCCTGATGTCCATACAACCAGGGGGCCAAAAGAGACTCGGCTGGTGAGGCGCGCAGGCAAAGTCAAAATGCGGAGGGAGGCCGCACTACCATCTTCGTATGGAATACGTGTACTCCGTACCTATGCATCGTGACACCGTCGTACTGCTAAAATAGATGGCCGCCAATGAGGCCAAGCCGACCCCTTGGGTACAGAGCCTCGGAGGCCACAAATCACGGGCTGAGGTTAGTACAAGTCGTAGTCAATTGGGAGGGCCCACAGCTGTCACCCTCTCCCTGGTCTTTCATTCACAATTGGCCAACACTTGCCGAGCCGTGGCAGCAAGTGAAAATATCTTGCACCACTGATTTCTCTGTCGTCCGGCTCAAACGGCTTAGGCTCCTAGGCGCCGTGATCTCCCTGCATCTGCTGCTGAAAACAAAAGCAACGTCTGGAATACTCGCACCAAGCATGCCGTCCTGCGCCGACGCCAGGGGGGAGATGCATCACGTCGCTGAACCGTGAGGCTTTACTTTTCCTTGGGCGAGGCACACTTGTAAGTCGAGACGGCACACACCTTACTGCTTGGTGGGGGATTCCAGCAGCAGGGGTAAGATGTGCTGTGGATAGTAAAGCTGACCAGACGGGAATATGTCACTTCGCGAGAGCAATCAGTGCAGTATAGTAGCCGCCTGCAGACATTTTCATAATGCGCGGGATCCAGTATCGTCTTTAGCCAGCAGCATCATGCTTTACAGCCGAGAGTCAATAATGGTGAATAGGGGAATGAAAGCGACATTGCCGCATTTCATGCACATCATGATTCCTTTCCTGAGCTGGAGACTCGGTGGCCATTTCCAGAGAGCCAAGTATGAATGTGGGGAACTTGTCCTTGTGCGCCCAAGAAACATTGTGATCGGCCACGGCCCGAAGGTAACGGTTCTTTGGTCGGTCATTGTTTCTTGTGATTTAGACTTGCTACTCCATAGGCCGAAATCACCGCAACGTCATATTGATTTTTCCCCAAGCATGACTAAAGCCGTTGCGTCTCGTCCATTTCATCGCAAAGCCGCACTGGTGCTGCCAGAAGCGCTGGACAAATGCAAAGGGGGCACTCGCCACCGCATTGTCACTATACGAGTCGCGTCGTATAATAGCATCGTATCGTTTGTTCCTCTTACATGCCATGTCACAACAGCCACAAAAAGACGCGTGGTAGATCCGGTCAGTCTGAGTCTGTGTGGCGAGAATCGTCCCTCCTTCAGATCTCAATACGACGCTGTGTTTCTTCCATGCAAAAGTCTGCTTCTCAGACCCCGGCCCCTCGGAATGCAGGGGCAGGGGTAAGGGTGTCTAATCCCTCAGTAGGGTTACTTTTGCAGAACTAGCCTCTGCTGTCGTGGGGTTGAATCGACGTCTGGTGAAACAAAGGCTGGTTTCATGCTCAGCATCTGCTTTTCCGCTTGGGCACGTATATCCACTCCATTTTCGCGAAGCTCAGGGCAGGGCGGCCAGTGGGCAGAGGCAGTATCCCAGGCTTCCAGCTGTGATTTGTGATGGCGGCGGAGGGACTGAGACAATCGGCTGAGTCGCCGGGCGGCAAAAACGCGGTGATGGCCGATCAGCAGCGCCCGATGCAGGCAGCTGAGATGCCCGTCGTTGTTTGTTTGGACGATAGACGCTGAGGCTTGACGACGGTGAAAGCTGCAGACCACTCAGAGGTGCAGATTACGTGTTGCCCGTCTCGTCGCTGACCGCCTCGCCAAGTCCAGGCACAGGTACGTACTCCATGTGATTATGCATGCAGCTCAGCGCAACACGGACCTACAGCTTTGCGGCTCAACGGCTGCTAAACCAGCCTATAGCGGTCTGCATCTCTATTTCTGTTCGTGTTTATAGGCTCCTGTGCTGTCCATCCAGTAGCCGCCCGGTGGCTGTTTCTGGAGACGGCACTATCATTCTGTTACTGGGAGGTGCCTGGTACCTGGTCTACCTGTCAGAGCTGTAGCAGACGGGACTCTCTCTCGCATACGATTACACTTGATATTCCACATGCCTGTGGACTCTGTATATTTCGATGAAACCTGGCGCTTCCATCAGATCCTCCTCGGCTCATGCCAGCCCCGCTTGACCAAATGCTGCTATGCAATATCGTAAGATGGTGATGAAGCTATGACCACTAGGAGAATATGTCAGTGGCTCTCGATCCGTCTTCCTGGTTACATGGACGCTGGTTACATCGGCGAATATGCCAAGGGTCCATGCGGCAGAACAATTCCTCAACTCAACTTCAGTCCTTGCCTATCCACACGGAAACAAAAGATCTTTCTAGCACGCCAGCCAAGACGGCTTGTAATGAAGGAAAATTAACAGCAGCCGTCAGCTCCGTGAGAGGCGCAGATCTGAGGAATGACCGCATGAATCTATATATGTCAGACACCCCTATGCTTGGCATCACACTGCGGCAAGAAATTTTTGATCCTTTCTTAACTGATTGTGGGCTCATCACCATATCATTACACAATATGCTCCTCTTTCAGCCCGACTAATGAGGCGGCTGAGTCCTCTGAACACGGCTGGAGAGTGCATCACCTTTGCGTTCGGACATTGCGATTCAGTTCCGCCAACTCCATAGCAACAGGGTTATTGCTCCGAGACCATGCTACTGTACCGACATTTCTTTTGCAATCTTGTTTAATTAATTTTAAGCTTCAATTGTCCCGTCTTACAAGGAGTGTGACAGGCAAGCTACTTCGGAATCAGGGCCGAAATTCTCCTAAAATTTGCGTGGCTGTTTCGACCTGCTCGTTTTGTCGATAGTGTTTGTTTCTGGCAAATTGCCTTGCCGAGAGGACCATTCAGCTATAAATCATCCTTGCCCCCTCTTATTACGCGGTAATAAGCATATAACCAAGTGATTTCACCAATTTGTATCAATAAAATTTTTGCGATATGTAGGCTTAATGTGAGCATGTCGTTGAGTGTGGAGACAAAGCATTGTTGGTCGTGTAGCCGCTGAGAAGAAAGAGCTGTTGGTTCCGTCAACCTCCCAGCAACGCATGACACGGATAGAACGTTGGCCCAGCATGCCGAATCTATGTATTCAAAGAGCGTTCACCAAAAATAGAATTACACGTGTCATAACACGACGCAGGTGTTTGGCGATAACTTCACCGTCATTTTAGAAACGACGCGGGCGCTTGCGTTGGCCAGAGGACAGCTGAAGTCTATATGGTGTATATTGTCTTTTCTAAAGCGTCAGTGTGTCTCTATCACTAGGTGCGTGCATATTATCCGTCACATGTGTGCACGCACTCGTTCAGCGTATATGCAGGCATCAACGTTTAAGCGCTCTCTTCATGAGCTGCCTGGTTATCTGACGGCCGGGTCAGTGTTTGTGCATTGCACGCAAGCAACAGCTTTAGGCGTTACCCTCTGAGAATGCCCAGTCACCTCGTGTCCAGAGCTTCATTTTCTGTTGGCGGAACTCTTCATAGTCCCATTCGCGCTTCTCCAGGTCATTGGGGTTGAGAAAGACGTAAACGGACGCCTCTTTCACCTCGCCATCGACTTCCTTTTCTCCCTCCATCTTCAGCAGCCTAACCTTGGTGTTGATCCGCTTATACTCATTTCCCTCGAAGATGTCCAGTTTTTGCATGTTAGCCTCTGTTAACCCAGTCGCGTACATGCCTCGCACGCTGTGGCCTTCCTCCGCAACTATGGCGGGATAGTCTGCATATTGGACTCTGTGGCGGCAGTAACCATCTAGAATGGCGGGAGTGAATGTGTGAAGGTCTTGGATTGCTTTTGGCGGCTGCTTGTCACCATAGCAAACGCTGAAAAAGACCTCAGGGGCCATCTATCATGATAAGTCTCTCTTCTGCCTTGCTAGGAGAATCAGCATATCATCTTACCAAAGTCCCTACAGTTTCATCACTTTGTTAGTCTAAAGCTTTTCAAAAATGTGAATCGTGCTATTTACCATAGAAGAAAGCCTTGTTTTCGCCGCTCATTTTGTATTCGATGTATGGATCTGTGTTGATGGTTACCGCCGTCAAATGTTTGGCGGTCTAGGTTAGGCTCAATCGAGGAGAGCTTGATGATTAAATACGGCTCTGGGAATCAAGTAGCACACTTGGCAGTGTGGACGAGATACTGGTTTAAAGTAGGAATGAAGGTACAATAGCAAGCTGCTTTGATCTGGCTTCGCTTTATAGTAAATTCCCGACAGTCTTTGTTATCTCCTCGGCAGAATTACGAAGCTTCCCCGCCGTTTGAATAGCTTTAGTTGTGGGGTTGTGGGATTTTGTTCCCTTTTATTGACGATACGGCACAAAGGGAGCAGCAGCGATAATAAAAAAAAGAGTAAAGTTGAGCTTGTAGACGACACTACAAGAAGATGGATAAAGGAAATATATAGACAGACAGATCAACGGATGAGGACGGACACGGGATGCAGTGAGTAAGACTCTCTCCGAAGCACGGAGACTTATATCAGACTCCATATCTCGAGGCCCCAAATCTGCCGTGGGGAGGTGAGATCGCTATCGATAAGATAAGGATATATCCACGCCACGACGTTAGGGGTGTATGCTCACTAGCGCTGCGGAAAATTGTTTATGCACCGCCTAGCGCAATTGGTTTTGGCGACCACGGTGCCCAGTTTTGCTCGAACTCTGGAAATTTCCTAGGCGTCACGTTAAAGCTTCGTTCGTGCATCTTAAGGCTGCGGGCCGAGTCTTTCAATCTTCTATCCTCCGTCACCCCCCACTCGAGTCTTTCATTATCCCAGAACGACGTCGGACTCCCTTAACCCGTATCTGCCGAATACCGCTTTTTTACTCGTCTTGGCCGCCAAATTCCAGCGCTCTGCAGCACTCTGGTGCATCGATCGTGGCGCGTCCTCATACTTGGTTCCTCAGCCTTGCTGCGATTAGTCGTTTTGCGCATCGCCTCGCCACCCCTTCCGCGGATGGAAGGCAGAGCTGCGTCTCGCGGACGCCAATAATGCAGCCATGTCGGGAACTACTATTGACGATGTCGTGAAGCGACTTAGCACCGCTGATATAGGTATGATGGCCACCTCGTCCCCGCCTCTCCATACTTTACCCCCTCCACCTTATCGCATACTTCCGTCATCATACCTGGTCTCTAACCTCTTGTCACTGAACAGATACCCGACTCAAGGTGGAAGCCGCGACCACCTTGCGCGACAGCCTGGACGCTTACACCAATGGCCCCATCTACGAACCCTTTCTGAAGCGTTTGATGCCCATCTTCATAAACATCTTGCGTGGACCATGTATCTTCCAAAGCAATTCTCCGGAGCAGGTGAGAGCTCTGCGTGATGCCCTGGCGTTGGTTTCTGCTGACGTTTGATGATAGAAACTCCGCAACTGCATCCTCGAGGTGCTACACCGACTACCGACCAACATGGCACCCACCGAACCGTTCAAGCCCTACGCCGAAGAGATCGTCGATCTGCTTATGCAACTAGTCCGAACCGACAACGAGGATAACGCATCATTGTGTGTTAAGATCACTTCCGACATTATGCGCCATCAGCATCAGGTTTTGCAGGGCAAGGTCCAGCCCTTCCTGACCTTAATTCAGGAGCTCTTTGATCAGATGGAGAAGGTCGTCATGGAGCAGCTGGATAATGCATCTCTCGCCCCAAACCCGCAGCCTGGTGCACCGTCAACGCCAGGCAGCACGCAAGCCAACTTTCAGTCTCCTCGACCGGGCTCTCCTGTGGCCTCGGTGACTGAGCTTGGCGCAGATCCCCAGCAGCAAAATCGACCACTCCTCAAAGGCATGCAGTCTTTCAAAGTTCTCTCGGAATGCCCGATCATTGTCGTGTCGATCTTCCAAGTCTATAGGAATACAGTCACCCAGAATGTGCCTAGATTTGTGCCCCTGATTAAGGGATTCCTTTCTCTGCAGGCCAGCGCCCAGAAGCAGGCTCACGATGACGCTGCTGCCAGAGGCGATATACATACTGGTGTGAGCTCAGGTATTAAAAACCGAGCTGCCTTTGGAGATTTCATCACCGCACAGATCAAAACTATGAGTTTTCTGGCATATCTCCTCCGCCAGTACGCTTCTCAGTTGAAAGACTTTCTGCATCTATTACCCGATATCGTCATCCGGCTACTCAAAGACTGTCCTCGAGAGAAATCTGGGACACGAAAGGAGCTCCTGATTGCAATCAGACACATTATCAATTATAATTTCCGAAAGATCTTCCTCCCCAAAATCGACGAACTTCTGGACGAGCGTACATTAACGGGAGACGGCCTGACCGTATACGAAACGATGAGACCTCTCGCGTATAGTATGCTGGCGGATCTGATTCATCACGTGCGCGACTCCTTAACTCCAGAGCAAATTCGCAAGACGGTGGAGGTGTATACCCGAAATCTCCAAGACAACTTTCCAGGAACGTCTTTTCAAACTATGAGTGCGAAGCTTCTCCTTAACATGGCCGAATGCATTGCGAAGCTCCCCAATAAAGTAGATGCAAGGCATTACTTGATGATGATCCTCAACGCTATTGGAGACAAATTTGCCGCCATGAATCGACAGTACCCGAATGCTGTCAAACTGTCGAAGCTATATCATCAGCAGGCCGAAGCTGGTGCGCCTGAATCATATCTTGCTGATAAGGAGCACCCGCCGGATTGGGACGAAACCGACATCTTTTCAGCAGTGCCCATCAAAATCTCCAACCCTAGAGATCGAGGAGCTGACCCGGTGGGCGATAATAAATTTCTCTTTAGGAATCTGATGAATGGTCTTAAAAACACATTTTATCAGCTGAGAACTTGCAACATTGGCACACCGATTGACCCTCAGAATGCGCCGCCGCATTGGCAAGAGGTCGCCTACGGCTTCACGGCGGAGGAGGTCAATGTGATTATCAAGTTGTTCCGAGAGGGCGCCTATGTGTTCAGATACTACGAAATTGAGAAACCTGCTACTGAGAATCAGTACGTATCGCCAGTTGAGTACATGGCAAACTTCTACATGGTTTCGAGTAGCAAGGAAGAAAAAGACCTTCTTGAAACATTCGCCACCGTCTTTCATTGTATCGACCCAGCTACCTTCCATGAGGTCTTCCAGCAGGAGATTCCACATCTCTATGATATGATTTTTGAGCACACGGCTTTGTTGCATATACCCCAGTTTTTCCTAGCGAGTGAGGCAACCTCTCCTAGTTTTTGCGGCATGCTGCTTCAATTCCTCATGGAACGAATCGACGAGGTTGGCTCAGCGGACGTTAAGAAGTCGTCCATTTTGCTGCGGCTCTTCAAGCTGGCCTTCATGGCGGTCACCTTGTTTGCCACGCAAAATGAGCAAGTTTTGTTGCCTCACGTAGTCAGCATTGTTACAAAATCGATAGAGCTGTCCACCAAAGCAGAGGAGCCCATGAACTACTTCCTTCTTTTACGGTCCCTTTTTAGAAGTATTGGCGGCGGGAAGTTTGAGCAACTCTATAAGCAGATACTGCCGCTACTTGAGATGCTGCTGGATGTTCTAAACACTCTGCTGATGGCTGCCCGGAAACCGTCTGAGCGAGATCTCTACGTTGAGCTATGCCTTACCGTCCCGGCACGGCTTAGTCACCTGCTGCCGCACCTGAGTTTTCTTATGCGACCGTTGGTAGTTGCTCTTCGGGCCGGCACAGACCTTGTTGGCCAGGGTCTCCGAACGTTGGAGCTCTGTGTTGATAATCTAACGGCAGATTATCTCGATCCCATCATGGCACCTGTCATTGACGAGCTCATGACTGCCTTGTTTGATCATCTAAAACCACACCCCTACAGTCACTTTCATGCGCATACCACCATGCGAATCTTGGGTAAACTTGGAGGTAGAAATCGCAAATTTATGACAGGTGCTGTTCCTCTCACATATACCAACTATGCCGATGATGCCTCAAGCTTTGACTTGCGACTCATTGGTTCCAAGAAGGACAGAGCCTTTCCAGCTGACCTGGGAATCGATCTTGCGATACAAAAACTGATGGAGGTACCTCGGCACAATAAGGCTAATGCCCAGAACCGACAGTATGACGAATACTACAAGAAACAGGCCATACATTTTATCAAGACTCAACTGAAGCTACGCATCGGGTTTGACCAACTGCCCGAAGACTTGCCCCGGATTGTCAGGCTCCAAGCACAAGACTTTTTGAACCGCAAGATGGATATTAATTTCGCGCCGTTCGAAGTGTCGAGCCGCGAAAGATCCATCCCAAAGAAAGATGAGCAGGATAAGATCACCAAAAAGTTGCTCAAGGCGGTCATGTTTTCGCAGTCAATACCGGATGTCAAGCAGGAATCCAGCGCTTTTCTCCTTGACGTGTGCCGGCACTTTGTTCTCATAGAGGTAGGAAGATCTCTGATCGACCTGAAGCGAAATTACAACCCCTTTGACCCGAAAGCTGGTGAAGGCCCGCTGACTATTGACACCCGGGTCTTGTCTGACGCAATTGTCGAATCCCTAGCATCTGACCATCCGGACGTTCGTGAAGCGGCGCAGCAGGCAATCCGGGAGCTCTACAAATGCACATCGCTCATTCTTGGCTCCGAGACCAATGTCGGCCGTCTCCATCTGTTCAACCACCTAAGCAATACCTTCTGTCACAGCTGCTATGAGGAAGAATGGTTCACAAAGACAGGTGGAAGCCTTGGCATTAACTTTTTGCTCACAGAACTTGACCTGGGCGATGCTTGGGTGACATCTAAGCAGACTGAATTTATTCGTGCTCTGATGTACGTTATCAAAGACATGCCGCTGGACCTCCCGGAAAAGACAAGATGTCTTGCACAGACTAGTCTCGAAGTTTTGCTCAGGCGCATCACCAAGAACATCAAGAAGGAAGATGCCCTGCCAATTCAACAGCAACCTGGCCAGCCGCAGGCCAAGCAACCCCGCCTCGCCCAAATCTGTATGCAGTTTAACAATGAGCTCTCTCATATGAACAAGTTTGTCCGCGAAACAGCCAAAAACTCGCTGGAACTCATCGCAAAGGCTGCTGGCTGTGAAGTGTGGCAGCTCGTCGAGCCCTACAAGGAAAGGTTTCTTCAGCCTATCTATGCTAAACCTCTTCGTGCCCTTCCCTTTCCTATACAGATTGGGTACATCAATGCCATGACGTATCATATGGGCCTGAAAAACGACTGGGTTACCTTTGACGAGAATCTAAACCGTCTGTTGATGGAGTCGCTCGCATTAGCTGACGCCAACGACGAGTCCTTGGCCAACAAACCTGCCGAGTTCAGAACACATGAACATATCGTCAACTTGCGAGTGTCCTGCATCAAACTTCTCAGCACTGCGATGACGTTTGAAGAATTTGCCAACAACCCGACCAAGGGTAAGATCCTCTCGGTCTTTTTCAAATGTCTCTATTCTGAATCGAAGCCAACCATCGCGGCGGCAAACGATGCCTTGAAGTCGGTGTTAGCTGTTGATAGGCGCCTGCCGAAAGATTTGCTCCAGAGCGGCCTGCGCCCTGTGCTGCAGAGTCTATCGGATCCGAAGAGACTCAACACGCATGGTTTGGATAACTTGTCAAGGCTTTTGAAGCTCCTGACGAGCTACTTCAAGGTCGAGATCGGTGCTCGCTTGCTTGATCAGATCGAGTCTATTGTTGAACCCGGTGCGTGGCAGCAAATTTCGTTCACGTTTTTTGAGCAGCATCCTCAAATGAAGGTCATCACTGCCATTCTCAACATCTTCCATCTTCTACCGGCTCCAGCAGAAGCGTTCAAGGACCGCTTAATTGACTGCTTCCTTGGACTCGAAGAGCGGCTTCGACGAACTCACCAGAGCCCGTTCCGGCTGCCAATGTTTCTCTACTTGAACCGGTATCCCAAGGAGATTTGGGCCTATCTACTTGGCAAGCTGGATGATCTGAAATACGGTAGACTTCTGGCCCAGGTCCTTCTACATCCAGATAGCACGCCCTTGAGAGAGACGGCCGTGGAAAATTTGGAGGGGTTGATCGGCAAATGCAACGAGATTGTTGGGCAGAACAACGACAAGAAATACGTTGCCATTGTCAACACGATTCATATCCTCCATTCCATCGGTCAATTCCCAGCCTCTAGTGCTTGGATGGATAAAAAGGAGCACCTTACCTGGCTGAAAGCCATTGGGAGAGACCTCGAAGCAAATATACGAGGCTATTCGCTTCCGGCCTTTGTGCGACTGCCGGGCTACCAAGCCGCCGAGCAATTGATGAATATTCTCGTCAAGTCTCTGGAGAGATCGCCGGGGGACTTGGATGCTTTATTCAATCTAGTAGAGTCCGTTGCCGCCGAGGAACTTCGGTCGACTCAGCCTCTATTCTCCTTCATCTACGAGAAGATTATTTGCAGCGACTCCATGGAGTTCTGGAAATCGACGTTCCTTCGCTGTCTCGAAACCTACTCTGGGAAGACTGCTTCAAATAAGACGAAATACTTCCTACTCCACTATATCGTTAATCCAATTGTTGCTACGGATGTCATGCGGCATTGGAATCAGCCAGAACAGAATCGCGTCCAGAGGCTGATGGATCGACCTATCATCGATGCAGTGAGCACTAAGATCTGGAAAGTACATCCTGAGATGACTCCAGATGACTTGGCCCAGCCAGGAATTGACCACATTAGGTTTGAGGTGCTCCAGCTGTCGGCAATGCTTGTTAAGTACTACCATGCAACACTCCAAGAAGCGCGCAAGGACATCATCAAATTTGGATGGACTTTTATCCGCTTGGATGATATAATCAACAAGCATGCGGCGTATGTCGTGATAGGATATTTTATCGCTCACTATGAAACACCTCCAAAAATCGTCAGCCAGGTATACTTGTCGCTACTCAAGACTAATTCCAATGAAGGTCGGGCGCTGGTTACGCAAGCACTGGAGCTCATTGCTCCGGTTCTTCCCAAACGCTGTGGCACGGGTCCCAGTGATAGGACCACACCATGGGCCGTAGCACCGCGTCGCATCTTGGCTGACGAAGGCCAAAATATGCAGCAGATGACAAGCATCTTCCATTTCCTTGTGCGACATCCCGAACTTTTCTACGATGCTAGAGATAAGTACGCTGTTCTCATCATCACGTCTTTGAGAAAGGTTGCCGCACCGCCAAACCCTTCACATGAGAGTAAGAAGCTCGCCTTGAACATGATGTGGCTGATTTGGACTTGGGAACAATGGCGGATCGAGGGCAAAACTTCACCTCTTCTGACGACGAGATCGCTCTCTGAGTCTCCGGTTTCGAGGAAACGAAAGTTGGACAGTGACCAACCAAGCACATCCCCCTCGGCAGCCAGGCAAACGGCCGATCGACCAGAGTATCAAATCCCGCCACTGTTCCGCCTTAAGATGGTTAAGTACCTGGTTGAGTTTATTGCGCAACTGAACGAGCGGTATCAACTGCCATCCGCTAAACCTCGTGGATCACCCGCTGGTGCAGTTCCGCAGGCCGGGCCAAATATGACGGAGCTTTGCAAGAAAGCCATGGCCCTCCTTTACAACCTCGTACAGCCTCAGTGTTGGGGGGACCTGGATCTAGATCTGTTTCCCAACGTCACCGACGTTATCCTCGCTCACGACAGGACGCAGGCAGCTCTTAACGCTGATCCAACTGATAAGGAAAAGTATGACGAAAAATTCCTCACCAACATCATCAATACACTGCAAGTGGTCCGTATTCTTCTGAACTTCAAGTCAGACGAGTGGATACAAAGGAGCATCGCCCCAATCCAAAAGGTCTTGGAGAAGTGCCTCAAGTCAGAAAACCCAGAGGTTCAGGATTGTTTGCACCTCGCTGACAAGGAGTACGATGATGGTCGAGAGTTGAAGTCTATCGTTCGTCGCATTCTCGATGCGGTGCCTGAAGATACGCCAATGGAGGACGCCGATGCTGAGGGTGAATCCGAGATTCAAACATCTGAAATTGTGGCCTATCTCTCACAGGTGGCAACAGAACAGATGAATAACAACCTCTATGTTTCGGGTGTCAACATTTTGTGGTCTCTGGGCAATCGCAAGCCTGCCATCATTGATCAACACATCCCTTCGCTTATGAAAGCAATGCAGAGTAAGCATGCGCGAGAACATGTGCAGCACTACAGTGCCTTAGCAAATCAAGCAACAGGTGTCCAGCGGACTCAAGAGACTAACGGTACCACTGGAGAGCTCTCTGCATATGAACTTGAGATGCAAACTAAACTGATGATCAAAGAGATTCAAGTTGTCGCATTGCGAATGGAAACTCTGGGCGACAACCGACGACCATTCTTGAGCGTTTTGGCAACGCTTGTCGAAAAGTCCATGCACATTGAACTGTGCACGGAAATTCTAGGCATGGTGGAGGGCTGGGTGTTTAGATCTGAGGGTACCTGGCCGACACTCAAGGAAAAGACGGCGGTCCTTCACAAAATGCTCTCCTTTGAGCACAGGCAAGATCCCACAATGCTCTCCAAGTTCCTAGAACTGGTGATTCGCATCTACGAGGACCCTAAGATTACCCGGACCGAGTTAACAGTACGAATGGAGCACGCCTTTCTCATTGGCACACGAGCGGTTGACGCGGAAATGCGAAATCGGTTCATGGCGATTTTCGACAAGAGCTTGTCCAAGACAGCCAGCATCCGCCTCTCATACGTACTTACATCCCAGAATTGGGATACTCTCGCGGATTCTTACTGGCTGGCCCAGGCCAATCACCTTCTGTTGGGGGCTGTGGAAATGAACACCAACGTACAGCTTCATGCTGATGATTTCAAAGTCATAGCTCCATCCCAGCTGGCTGCAGTCTACCCCAAAGACAAGGACACGAGGGAGCCAACCATGATGGTCGACGAAAAATTCGAGGCTCTCATGGCTAGTCATCGACGATTTATGGCCGAGCTAGGAGATGTGAAAGTACGGGACATTATCGAGCCGTTGACGCAGCTACAACATATCGATAACCAGCTGGCTCATCAACTGTGGGTTGTCGCATTCCCGATGTATTGGTCTGCGACTCTGCGAGATGAGAGACCCGAACTTCAGCGCGGTATGGTCGCGCTTCTCACCAAAGACTACCATAGTCGCCAAATAGAAAAGCGGCCCAATGTTGTTCAGTCTTTGATAGAAGGAGCGGCAAAGACCTGGCCGGAGTGTAGGCTTCCTCCGCATGTGTTGAAATTTGAAGCGAAGACGTACGATGCTTGGTATACAGCCCTCGTACAGCTCGAAAATGCATCGATTAAACCAGGACCCGATTCAGCCACTGTCCGCGAGAGCAATCTCGATGCGCTCGTGGATCTCTATGCATCCCTGCAGGAAGACGATCTTTTCTACGGGACTTGGCGTCGTCGTTCTCAGTTTGTAGAGACCAACGCCGGACTTTCATACGAACAGAATGGGATGTGGGACAAAGCTCAGAAGTTGTATGAGACAGCTCAGATCAAAGCAAGAACTGGTGTGATCCCGTTCTCTCAAGCTGAGTATATGATTTGGGAGGATCATTGGGTCCTCTGTGCTCAAAAGCTGCAGCAGTGGGAGATTCTTCAAGATTTTGCTAAGCACGAGAATTTCCAGGACTTGCTGCTCGAATGCGCATGGCGCAACACGGAAATGTGGCAGGACGAGCAGCACCGCGAGGCTTTAGACAATATCATCAAAGGAGTCATGGATGCCCCTACACCGCGGCGAGCTTTCTTCCAGGCGTTCATGTCTCTACTCAAATTCCACAACCAGCAAGAGGCGGCAACAGATTTTGCGCGTGTGTGCGATGAAGCGATACAGCTGTCCATTAGGAAATGGCATCAACTCCCGGTTCGGTTGACCAACGCGCATATCCCACTGCTCCAGAATTTCCAACAGTTGGTGGAGCTGCATGATGCAAGTGTCATTTGTCAGAGTTTAGCCAACACCAACGCGTCCAATCTCGATGTCAAATCAGGAGAACTTAAGCTTCTGCTCGGCGCCTGGCGTGATCGCCTTCCCAATATTTGGGACGATATCACGGCTTGGCAAGACTTGGTAACTTGGAGACAGCACATTTTCAACCTCATCAACCAGACATATCTCCAGCTTCTTCCACAGCAAGGCCAGCAAAATGCTGGTGGGGCTTCCTTCGCCTACCGTGGCTTCCACGAGACAGCTTGGATCATCAACCGCTTCGCTCATGTCGCACGCAAACACAGTTTGCCAGAAGTCTGCATCAACCAGCTCAGTCGCATCTACACGCTTCCAAACATCGAAATTCAGGAGGCATTCCTGAAACTTCGCGAGCAGGCCAGATGTCATTACGAAAACCCTGAGGAGCTGAACAGTGGTTTGGAGGTAATCAATAATACGAACCTTAACTACTTCAATCCCCAGCAGAAGGCCGAGTTCTATACCTTGAAGGGCATGTTCCTTGAGAAACTCGAGCTTAAAGAGGAGGCTGATGCAGCCTACGGAACGGCCCTGTATTTCGATATAGGAGCAGCAAAGGCTTGGGCAGAGTGGGGATACTTTAATGACAGAAAGTTCAAAGAGGATCCTTTGGATGTAAATGCGGCTAGGCAGGCGCTGACCTCTTACCTCCAAGCCGCAAGCAGCTACAAGAGTGCAAAGTCGCGAAAACTCCTCTCCCGGATTCTATGGCTCCTCAGCTTGGACGATGCCAAGGGCTCTATTGCTGCAGGATTCGATGACTTCAAAGGCGAGACTCCAACGTGGTATTGGATCACATTCATTCCTCAGCTGTTGACTGGTCTGGGCTACAAAGAGGCTCCACGGGTCTACCAGATCCTTCTCGGAATCGCAAAGTCATACCCCCAAGCTCTCTACTTCCAACTCAGGACAAACAGGGAGGATATGATGGCTATCAAGAAAACCCAAGAAGCAAAGGAGAAGGCACGGCTACGAAGTCAATCTGCTGCGGCTAACGGCAAACCTAGCTCAGCTTCCCCCTTGCAGACAAAACAAGAGCCTCCCAAGGCCGAGGGAACAGCATCACGGCCAGGTACTGCTACTGGTGGCGATGCGGCTCACATTAAGACAGAGAATGGCGAGGCTAATGGCGGCGCGGCATCAGTAACGCCCGCGCCCGCACCTGCAGGTCAAGAGCAAGCGCAGTCTCAAGCTCTCGCTCAAGGCGGCCAAGCGCAAGCTCAACCGGCTGCCCAAAACCAGAAGAGGCCACCTTGGGAACTGACTGAAGAAGTCATGTCAGTGCTTAAGACGGCATTTCCCTTGCTGGCATTATCAATGGAGACCATGGTAGACCAGATTCAGAAACACTTCAAGTGTCCGCCAGACGAAGACGCATACCGTCTAATTGTCGCACTGCTTAATGATGCCCTGACGTACGTTAGCAGAACTCCTGCGTCTTTCGCCAAGAGTGTCAAGCTTCCTTCCGCCACAGAGACGAACATCACGCGGTTTGCCGAGACGATCCTACCAAACCACATCAAAAAGTCGTTTGAAGCCGATTTTGTTGAGGTCAAGCCGACTATGTATGAGTACATCCACAAACTGAGGCGATGGAGGACCAAGTTTGAGGAGAAGCTGGATCGTCGGATTGTGCACACGCCTCTGGAAGCATTCTCCCCTCACCTGAGCGAGTTCCGATACCAAAAGTTTGACGAAGTTGAGATTCCTGGGCAGTATCTTCAGCACAAGGACAAAAATCAGGACTTTATTCGAATAGAGAGGTTCTTACCTAACGTTGACTTGATACGCTCAGTCAATGCGTCGTATCGCAGACTCAAGATGCGTGGTCACGACGGTAGCGTTCACTCATGGGCAGTGCAACATCCCGCAGCAAGGCACTGCCGCCGCGAGGAAAAGATTCTGCAGCTCTTTAGGCATCTCAACCAGACCCTGAGTCGCAAGAAGGAGAGCCGTCGACGAGACCTGCAATTCACCCTACCGTTGATGGTTCCCCTGGCTCCACATATAAGAATTGTGCAAGAAGATACCTCATACATTACGCTGCATGGCGTCTATGAGGATCACTGTAGACGTATGGGCATGTCAAAGGATGAGCCGGTCTTGTTTACGCTTGAGAAACTTCGAGGAGTGCTCGAGTCTAAGGGAGGACAGGTAAGCTATTCCCGCAGCTGGAGGGTGCTCAGTGAAGGTGATGACTAACGGAGACTATCAACAGACCAAACCTGAATTGACGCCCACGGCGCGACTGGAGGTGTTCAACGCCATCCAAGAGAAGTGGGTGCCGCCAACGGTGGCGCTGGAGTATTTCCAGCAGGCGTTCCCGCAATTTGCCGAATTCTGGCTGTTCCGCAGACAGTTTTCATACCAGCTGTCGGCATTGACGTTTATGACCTACATCTTGTACATGCATAACCGATACCCGGCCAAGATGAACATTGCTCGTGGGTCGGGCAACATCTGGGGCTCCGAGCTCATGTCATTCATGAGCGCATCTAAGCCGTTCTTCCACAACCCAGAGCCAGTGCCCTTCCGGCTGACGCCAAACCTGCAGACTCTCATGGGGCCTCTGGCCATGGAGGGAATATTTGCCTGCTCAGTCATGGCCATTGCACGGTGCTTGACGGAACCGGAGCATGAGCTTGAGCACGCGCTGACGTTGTTTGTGAGGGACGAGATGATGTTCTGGCTGATGAACAGCCACCGCAGTGGCATTAGCGAAAACCAGCTACGCGACTCGGTGCAGCTCAACAGCGACTCGATAGTGAAGCGTGCCATCAGCCTCGCCCACAACCCGTCGGGTAACCTGCCTGCGAACCAAACGGTTATTGACGCTATCGCCAAGGCCGTAAACCCCATGAATTTGGCGCAGTGCGATGCATTGTGGATGCCATATCTTTGAGTCTTTTTCTTTTTCTTGTTTTCATGTTTTCTTTTTTATTTCTATACCCTTTTGGCTTTGCCTGATACAAAGCTGAACTGTGGGCTCATCAGGTAGAGGCTTGAGGGGCGAGGAGACGTTAAAGGGGGGATTTCAACCTTTGTGCGAGATGGCATTCAGCAAGGCGTTGGAGGGATGGGGAGGACTCCTGTGTTTACGTTTTGTTTATCTTTACTTGTATTAATCTCTATTTTTCTTTTTACTCTCCTATTGCCTGGGTAAAAGGGGCGGAATGCGTGATGAAAGGCTACTGGGAATGCTGCTGATGAGAATTACGGTATACAGACCCAGCTATGGGTTACGGAAGAGCATAGACTTGGTAAAAAAAAAATTCCATAGCTTCATTTTTACATATCTGGTTAGGATGAAGTGAACGGGAAGATGATTTGATGCTAAAGAATTAATACTAATACTTGCTGATTTATTAAATGAATTTTGCTGTGAAAATGTGAACCTCTCATAGTCTGTTGTACAGATGGAATCCAAGTGTCGTGATAAAAGCCAGCAGTCATCTGAGTTAAACCAATTTGTGGAGTTAATGTATCCATTCAGAAGATTAGTGCAAGAACATCTGGAAGTTGATAACGGATGCTGGTTTCTTCGAAGAAGCGTAGAGTTTCAGCAAGAATCGCAGACGCTCTGGTTTGTTAACATGGATGTGTCTTATTCTTATGTAACAGGGTGTCCTTGGCTGTTTAGAGGACTATCTTTTGCCAAGCTTTCGTAAAGCTGACAATTCAGGTATTACAACTCCGAAATTCCAAATTTCTTGAGACCCCTGTTGCTAGATGCATGTCCTCCTACATTTGCGGCATACAAATAGCTTCGCGTTGCTTACCTACTTTGACCTAACTTTATCAGATAGTCTTTTCAGCCATGTTAACGTGCCTGCTGCGGAGTAGTCTCTGCCCTCGGGTTCCGGCTTCGGTGTAAACAACTGCTAGTTTCCACTGGCAAATTAAATTATTGGGCGCCTCTTCCACTGATACCCGGCCGATCCTCCGCATTTCCAGCTAAGACTTTGCACCCACGGCCCACAACGGGCCGAGGTTCCATCCGGGGCTTGATATGGGAAATTTGAGAAGATGAAGGTGATGATAGTTCCAGGAACCACTTCGTATTACCGTACATGCGTCAGCGGAGGATTCGGTGTGTTAGTGACCGGGGCTAAGAGACCGGCATGCAAGTGGGAGATGAATAACGTGTCAATGCCGAGCCGGGGAAAGACGGTGAGGAGGTGCTTGGAGTTGATATGATACAAAAAGAAAGGAGGGGTTCGTGGTTGGCACTTGTGTACGTAGTATGGGGTATGTGCCTCGGCTCATTTCTCTTGGGGCTATATAAGAAAGAGAGTGAATGTATATTTCAATGAGATTTAGTGAATATAGTGAGGCCTGAACAGAGCAATTGTTGCAGCACTACTCTTTTGGTTGAGAGAATTCTCTGGCACGACACAATGGCTAGCACCGACTTTGACAAGTTGCCGCGGAAGCTGTGGGAGCATCATGACCGCGAGAGCACTGCCATGTGGCGCTTCATGCAGGATGCCAACAAAAAGCATAATCTGAATCTACAGGTCAGTGTTGAATTGCTATACAGCGAGCTCAGCACAACATGTACGCGTATCTCTTCATCTACACCACTCTAATGCTGCTCATAGTCATTCGCTGAGCTCTACAAATGGTCATGCGACCACCGCAGCGACTTCTACCGCAATCTCTGGGAATTCGTGCCCTACATCCACGAGGGCACATACACCCGCGTAGTGGACGAATCTATTCCCATAGACGGAGTGCCGCGATGGTTCGAAGGCGTGCGCATGAACTGGGCTGAAAACGCCCTCTACACCCGCGACACTTCGTCGCCATCAACTGAAGCTCAGTGCAAACTAAACAAAGAAGACGGCAAAATTGCATTCACACAGGTGCGGGAGGGTAATACTGAGATTCGACATGTGACGTGGGGAGAACTACGGCAGGATGTTGCGGCATTGGCGGCGGCGCTGAAAGAACGAGGGCTGCAGAAGGGGGATCGTGTTGTTATTGTTGGAGGACACTCATATAGGACGTATGTGGTGTTTCTGGCGACATTGTGGCTGGGTGGAATATTCAGCAGCAGTTCGACGGATATGGGAGTTGGGGGGTTGCTGCAGAGGGCGGTGCAAGTCAATCCAAAGGTGAGATCAGGCATCGATGCCTTTGAGCTTTGATCTGTGAGATTAGACTGACTGATATTGGCTGTAGTTTGTCTTCTTTGATGATGGCGCCCTGTACAACGGCAAGACGATTGATCTGAGGGCCAACATCCGTGGCATGTTGGACGGCATGGCCGAGTGCGACAACCTAAAACAGTTCATCATCATCCAGCGATTCGCCAAACCATTCGACACGAGCGCCATCCCCAAGACGGAACGATTCGAAAGCTTTCTGCAAGCCGGCGCAAACAAGCCTCGTCCCGCCGTCGTAAGAATCGACTTCATGGATCCCTCCCTCATCGTCTATTCGTCCGGCACAACGGGCACGCCAAAGGCCCTCGTCCACGCCGTCGGCCCCATTTATCTCTCCTCGAGCAGAGATGTCTTGCACCGGGGTCTTGCGCCGACGGATGTTGGTCTGCAGTATACTACCACCGGGTGGATCATGTACTTGTCAAGTATAGCCAAGATGATTTACGGCGCTCGGTGCGTGGCGTATGATGGATCGCCGCTTACGCCGGATCCAAAGGTTTTGCTGAGGATCGCAGAGCAGCAGAAAGTGACGGTGATGGGAGTGAGTCCGCGGTGGTTGGGCGAGTTGATGAAGAGGGGGGTTGTGCCGCGAGAGGAGTTTGATTTGAGCAACTTGCGGTTGATGACTTCGACGGGGATGGTGTTGCCAGATCAGATGTTTGAGTGGTTCTATGATAAGGCGTTTCCGGCGAAGGTGCACCTGGCAAACATCTCTGGCGGGACAGATATTGTGAGTTTCTTTTCTCCCTCTCTTCTATTCTATTTCATGCTCCGTGCTAACGGCAGTCCAAACACAGGCCGGCTGCTTTGCCCAGGAAAACCCCCTCACTCCCGTCTACGTCGGCGGCTGTCAAGGCCCCTGTCTCGGCATCCCCATCGCCGCCTACGACCACGATCTCCCCGAAGGTAGTACCGGCTCTCCCCTCCCGCCCGGCACGTCCGGCGATCTCGTTGCAACGGCGGCCTTCCCCAACATGCCCGTGTTTCTGTGGAACGACGGCCCCGGGCCGGCGCCCGGGCCGAAGTACCGCGCCGCATACTTTGAGCGCTTCGCCGGCGTCTGGGCGCAGGGCGACTTTTGCGCAATCAGCCCTCACACGGGCGCGGTTCTCATGCTGGGCCGGTCCGATGGCGTGCTGAATCCGAGCGGGATCCGGTTTGGCAGCGCGGATATCTATGCCGTGCTGGAGAGGTGCTTTCCGGATGAGATTGCGGATAGCTTGTGCGTGGGACAGAGACGGCCGCAGGACATGGATGAGCAAGTTGTGCTGTTTGTGTTGATGAAGAAGGGGCTTGCGCTGGATGCGAAGCTGGTGAGGAGGATTAAGGATGAGATTGCGAAGGGGTTGACAAAGAGGCATGTGCCCAAGTATGTCTTTGAGATTCCCGAGGTGCCGGTAAGTTATTATTCTTCCGTTTTTGAGAATCTTTCATTTAAGATGCTGACACAATTTGACGCGATAGACTACTGTGAATGGCAAAAAGGTCGAGATGCCCGTCAAGAGCATCATCTCGGGCAAGACGATCAAGCCGAGTGGAACGCTGTTGAATCCGCAATGCCTCGAGCACTTTTACCAGTATCAGAAGATTGAAGAGCTGACAGAGCCACGGGCGAAGCTATAGAATAATGGATTTACAAGTCAAGTCGTGTTATGCGATTAGAAAATAATCAAACTACCTTGGGTCCCTGTGAGATGAGTTCATGAGTGTCATTCCGCCGTGCCATCCTGTTGTTACAAATCGTGTTATTACAGCAATATCCTCGCTTCCCCTTTCAACACCATCCATGGCTCAAATTCCCTTCCTCTCCCCCTTCTTGTCCTTTTCAACAAACTTGCCCCCATTGATGCCATACCTCCACGCCATGTACCCAATCATGCCACCTACACTTCCAATCCCCGCAGCTCCCGTCACGCCGCGCCATCCCAGCTTCGCAGGCCCTCCCGCTCCCCTGACGCCCATGACGCCCGTTGCCAGCAATGCCGCCCCCATGCCGGAATACGTCCAGTCATCTGTCTCGAGCTGGCCCCGGTTTTCCAGCAATCTCCAGCTCCGGTCCTGCCACTCGATGGGTTCCCGGCCCCACATCCGCGCCGTGAGGCCCACGCTGACGATGGCGGTGGTGATGATGGTGCTGCGGGTGGCTGAAAGGAGCAGTTTCTCGGACAGAGGGCCGGGACGGCGGAGGGAGGGGATGGCTTGGCGGACGCTCGTTATGACGAGGCCGATGATGCTGCCGGTGGTGACGGCGCGGGTAAGGACGTGGGTTGTGAGGATGAGGCGAGAGAGAGGCTGGTCCTCGGCGTAGGGGGTGTGAGGGAAATAGCGAGACATTGTTGATGAGTTTTGGTGGTTTCAGCCTTCTTTTTGCTCTCTCTTTATCTCTCTCTCTTTACCTCTCTCTTGTGGTTTTAGTTGATTGTCGTGGGTTGTCAAGGCGAGTTGCAGGTTAGGCTCAATTACACGCAAGTCCTCTGGTGAGCAGTTGTGAAACAGCTTGTTGAAATCGGCAATTGCTCGTCCAGTCGCGTGAGCTCAATCAGTCATGAAGAAAATGCAAAACTGTGTTTGGCCTCAGCTGAGAGAATTTATACAGCTTCCGCATAAAGGACAACTTCAACCGTGACGCAATCAGGTGATTAGTAGGCTCACTCCAACTCGCATTCGCTTAGTCCAGTGCTTATGCCCGTCGGAGTCTCGCTCCATCTGAGATACCCGAGACTGTATGGCGTCTCTAGCGTAGGGACATGTACTCGGTACGCGCCACTAAAGATTCATTGTTTTGGCACATGTGAGTCGTAACAATTGAGCCTCCCTCGCAGCCAATTGATGGCTGTCTTCCTTCTTCCTTTCTTCCCATCATGCCCTTCTCTTCGGGTGTTTCTTGCCAGCCAATGAAATCGCCGCTGTTTGCAATGTAAGAGAGACATCTGGTTGACAAGTATGGGGACTTACATAAGCTCATGTTGACAGGCAGATGCAATTTCGAATCAACTGCTGAATTTGGTGGTTACCATCAAAAATAAGAAAGGCACAGCAAAAGCAAGTTTGCGGAGACTTGACAAATATCTGGCGATGAGGCGATTTAAATGTGCTACGAGCATGACCTGAACAAGGCAAAACCATGTATAATAATCAAGATGTCAGAAATACAACCCCGGATGGCGCAATTTCTGTTCCTTACATAAAGCTCACCGTCCTGCATCAAAGCCTCAGCCCATGAGCGAGCGATGTCGCAGCAGCAAACGGATTATTATCCTGCTTTATTACATTGCTAACTTCACCGCACTACGACAAACACGACACACTAATCCTGCTCAGCCCTGTCAGGACAATAGGCAGAACCAGCTGTGCGGGGATTCCATGGATTTACCATCATACGGTATTTCACAGCTCGACGAATCGCGGGGAAGCTTAACCGGCTCGACACCCCATTCGCGGAATCTCGCTGTTGCGACGCTGGCGGAAGAAAACATGATTCGGCCCGAGAGAGGTGGATAGGGCCAACGGATATAGCTTCGCTTGGGCTTTTTGTCTCCAGGGATGCTGTCACCACGACATATCGAACAGTTGTCGGAGCTCTGATCTTGTCAATTTGTCTTGTTCTTTGCCAGATGGGCGGTCTATAACATCAATTACTACGGTCTTACTTACATGCTCCCTATTTAGCAACGGACGGGGAAGAGAAAAAGAAAGGTTACAGCAATGAATAATAAGCAACATCCCTACTGACCCGCTATTAATACCGAGCAAGCTCTGAAAATGTCAAGACCTGTGCCATCATCATTCATGTTCCCGTTTGGGTAGGTGACGTGCCAATCCCCAGGGCCGAGGCCACTCAATCATGAACCAATGCATTGACTAGCAAGGAACAAGGTTGCAATGCATTATTATGCGGGGGATGCAAACGTAGGAACAAGGTCCCAGATGTTAAGTAATATCGAAAAGAAAAGCTCATCCGGGTCCTATGCTTCGAGCAATAGGCTCCCAGGGGCAAGGCTATATAAATGGCATCATCGGCACGTCTTGACAGTTGGAGCTTCCTCTTTCTTTCTCTTCAGCTGTTTTTCCTTTAAGGTATTTGACGGTACACCATGTTTACACAAAGCGCCATCGTCGCGCTGCTCGGTGCCGCTTCATCCGTTGCGGCTGATGTATACACCGTTCCTTCTCAGCCCAATGCCAATGGCCAGCCCCTTGATGGCTTCGTGAGCTACTCCATTGAGTTTGCCTCATTCCCTGACTTTGCCGGTAAGGCCCAGCTCATGAATAACTTCCCTCCTAACGGCCAATTGGGTCTAACTCTATCTCCTCAGGTAACAAGTCGTCCCCAAACTTGTTCTCATACAACCTCATCAACAATCTCGGACTTCTTCAAGGCCACAAGCCATATATTCGTGTCGGTGGTAACACCCAAGATTATGCGCTCTACAATGCCTCACAAAAGGCATCCTTGATCGGTATCGTCGACCCTAGCAGATCGCCCGACTACCCAACCACCATCCACATTGGCGATGCGTACTTTGAGTCGTATGGCACTTGGCCCGGTGTTCAATTCTCTCACGGATTCAACCTCGGCCTAGGCGCCAACAGGTCAGAGGGATGGGAGACCCTCGCCGACACGGTCCCCTTGGCTTGCAAAGCTCTTAGCCATGGGAACATATACACCTGGGAGTATGGCAATGAGCCTGATCTCTTCTCAACGTCCGCTCAGGGCCCTGTACGACCCTCGAACTGGAACGAGAGCACCTATGTTTGGCAGTGGCAGAACGGCACGGCCGAGATCAAGAAGCAGGTCCAAAAGCACTGCCCATCCTTGACTCTCTTTGGGGGCCCCAAGTTTATGGCACCTTCTTTTGCTGGCACTGGCAATCACCTCAAGGCACCCCTGGCCTTCCAGGACGGTCTTGACAAGAACCAGGACATCGAGTATTTCTCAACTCACAAGTAAGCTTCAGCATCTTATTCTTTGCAAGGTGAATTCGTGTTAACAAAGCAAACAGCTACATCAGCGGCGCCACTTCTCTCGGTGTCACCCTGCAAGGTACCCTGATGAACCACACCAGGACCGTCAGCTCTGTGCAGGGCCATCTCCCCGAGTACAATGCCATTTTCAGCACTGCTCAGGCACAAAAGGAGACTCCTCTCATCTTTGGCGAGTGCAACTCTCTCTACAACCAAGGCAGACCTGGTCTGTCCAACACTTTTGGTGCCGCGCTCTGGGGCATCGACTTCAACCTGTACGCCGCTTCGGTGGGTTTCAAGCGCGTCCACATGCACATGGGCACCAACTATCGTGTAAGTCTCAGTCTCCACAGCTTCCAACACTCGTGTCAAGACGACCATTGCTGATCCATCATGATAGTACCAAGCTTGGCAGCCTATTGAGACGGACCTGGCCTCCAGGGGCACCAAGGCGCCTTACTACGGCAGCATCACCGTCGCCGCCACGCTGGGCAACTCCCTTCTCCCCGTCAGCATCTCCAACATCCCTCTGCCCGATGCTCGTGAAGCCGCCTACGCAGCTCATTACTCAAGCGGCCTGCTCAAGGGCCATCTCGCCCGCCTCACCGTCCTCAACCTGCGCGGCTACAACACCACCGTCGACGGCCAGGGTCTCGAGTCGGTCCCCAACCCTCCCCCTCGTCCCAGCCAGACGTACACTTTCGCTGTGAGCGGCGCCCGTAATGGAGCGCTTGTTGGCGTGCAGCGTCTCCTAGCCAACGGAAGTGATGCCATTACTGGCATTACTTTTGATGGCTGGAGCTACAACTATGAGCTTGCACATGGCCTGCCTGTGCGACTGCATAATGTGACAGTGGGAGAGACTGCCGTTGTGAAGAACGGAAAGGTTACAGTTGAAGTGCCGGATTCGTCGGCAGTTTTGCTCAACTTTCCTCTCCTGTAAGGGTGATGAGTTAGATGGTATTTACGAGATAGATGCATGATTTATGAATAATGTGTGTTATGCTCTACTTGATCTCTTGCTTTCGTGACTTGTTACATTCATGACACGGAATATAAGTGTGTGAAATTTCTCCGATATGCGCAAAAAATTAGTTCAAACGTTCTATGCCAAGATTTAATGCTGCTGTGCAGGTTACATAGTATATGTAGTAAGAAGAATGAGTTCCATGCCGTCTGAGATGGACGGGGAATCGAATTAGGACAATGCGCACTCTGTATAGGTGACAATATGAAGGAGGCATTTCAACCAATCATGGGCGGATGGTTTAGTGGTATAATTTTCCCTTAGCATCGGCAGCTCTTCAGTTGCCTTCCCGCATGGGAAAGGTCCGGGGTTCGATTCCCCGTTCGTCCAGGTTATTTTTTTGACGTTTTTTCCATATTCTATCTTCATTCTGGCCTTTTCTTTTTCCTAAAGTATTGAGTGAATTCGGCTGTTTTGACGGCCTGTGTATCAGGTGCATCTGAGATGAAATATATGAGAGTAGTCTATAGAGCACTCATTATCAACGAGTGACACCACCCAAGTCTTTTATTCAATTTCTGCGAGCAACACCATCCATTATAGCACCTTGAGAGCCAGCTCAAAGAGGTCAAAAAAGGCCTCCTGCTCCTTCTCGGCCTTTGCGAGCCCAAATCCGAATACAAGCGTCCGCCTCTCCTCCGGAGACTTCAAGGAAATGTGGCTAGCAATTTGTGAGGCGTAAAGCTGTCCTAGAGTTTCTCTGTCGTCACCTCCACCTCCCAAGAGGGTCTTGGGGGCAAGGTGAGTGGCAGGGAGCAGGCCGTGGTTACTACTCGGCAGGGCCATATCAACAATGCCCGCAGTGGTTCCCATCATAGGGACTTGAATCTGTCATCTCATCAACAACCTCCATTCAAATGAGTGTCAATATCAACCTACCCATTGCGCCAGTCGCCCCTCCTGGCTAATTGTGATTAAAATCTTGTCGGAGAATTCCAATAGTGTGACTTCTGTAGGAACGCCGTTGACTAATCCAGAGGCTGCCCGGCTCTGAGCCGGGAAAGAGTCTTCTCTTATATCTAGTGTCGCCATTGTGATGTTGTCGTTTTTTGAGTTGTCTGAGATCGATCCAGGGTAAGTCAGTTGAGCTTCACGGAGCTAGCTGAGACGGTCCCCGCACTATTCCCAATTCATGTCGAGACTTTGGCGGTCGGCGGCGGCAAAATTACTTATCTGCCAAAATTTCTGGTTATCGGCCTCTGCTTCTCGCGATAGCGCTGCGATTTGAACGGCGCCATTGAATTTCAGCATTGAGCGGAATGCCATAGAGCTTTTCCATCACCAGGCCTCACAATGGCTAAGTTCGTGCCCAGACAGAGAAAGCACAAGGTGCTGGCTCGTGAGAGAGCCAAAGAAAGCGCTCGCCATGAAGTCGAAGACACCAACCAGGAAATCTTGCCGGCCGCAAAGAAAGAGCTGGAGGAGAAGAAGGCTCGCATGAAGGAGCAGTTGAAGGAAGATGGTGCAAAGATGAGCGGCAAGAAGGCGAAGCGCCTGGAAAAGTACATTGACAATAAGCTGCGCAAAGACGAGAACCGCGAATTGCTTGCGAAGCTCGCCGAGAGAAAGATCGACACGAGTCTGTTTGCGAGCAGCAAATCTCTGGGACAGGGTCGCGAAACGAAGAAGCAGGCGTTGTCTCGTGCGCTGAGAGAACACAGAGCTGGGGTTGATCCTACATCTTCGGTGGAGAATGTTCTTTTTGAGCAGCGACCAGAGGTTGATGAAGACGACGAAGATGATGATGATGCGCACATGTCGGACGATGCGACTGCACCCGTGGCACAACCCGATACTGAGACGCCGAAAGCCGTTGCTCCGACTACCCAAGAGGCGGTGGCCTCGGCAGTGACTGCTGGATCCGGTCTCAAACGGCCGCTCGAACTAGATGACGAAGGCCGGCCGGTGATTCAGAAGCGACAGAAGAGAGGAGGCTTGAAGACCAAAGTTTCACTCGTCCCAGATAAGCAATCGGAGTCTGAAGAGGTGGGAGATGACGATGAATGGAATGGTTTCAGTGGCGACGAGGATGACAAGGCTGAGAAAGATGACGAATCGGACGAAGAATCCGAAGACAACTCGAGCCAAAATTCCGAAGACGATGACGACTCTGAATCTGAAGAAGAAACCAGCGAAGAGGAAGATGACGAAGAAGAAGAGATAGATCAGGAACAAAAGAGCCAAAGATCGTCCTCTTTCAAGGCATGGGCCCATCAGCAGCGAAACGAGGCGCTTGGATACCAGCCTGTGGATGCAACTTCGGCTGTGCTAGATATACCGAAGCCAGAAAACTTCGTCCCAAGAGCTCCTGAACAGGATCCCTTACCGATGGAATTACAGATAACCGAGAAAACGTCAAGAAAAGTCTTTAGCGTGGCTGTTGTAAGAACGCCCGAGATCCAGGAGGCCCGAATGAAGCTCCCTGTCGTCTCCGAAGAGCAGAGGCTCATGGAGGCAATCCACAACCACGACATTGTTGTAATTTGTGGTGCTACTGGTTCAGGAAAAACTACACAGGTGCCTCAATTCCTGTTCGAGGCAGGCTATGGATCTCCCGACTCTCCAACACCAGGAATGATTGGTGTCACGCAGCCCCGTAGGGTTGCTGCTGTCAGTATGTCTAAGCGAGTGGCAGACGAGCTTGGAGACCACTCAAGCGCGGTGGCCTATCAGATCCGTTTCGAAGGCAACGTTGATGCAAAGACAGCCGTCAAGTTCATGACTGATGGTGTGTTGCTCCGAGAGGTTGCGCAGGATATTACGCTGCGAAAGTACTCTGCCATTGTTATCGATGAGGCCCACGAGAGAAGTGTCAATACCGACATCTTGATTGGAATGCTTAGTCGAGTCATTAAACTCAGAACCGAGCTGTCACAAGAGGACCCAACGATTAAGCCCTTGAAACTCATCATCATGTCTGCCACGCTAAGAATAGAAGACATGACGATGAACCCTAGCCTGTTCTCAACACCACCACCTGTTGTGGAGGTCGAAGGACGACAGCATCCTGTTACTATCCACTTCGCTCGTCGTACTCACCACGACTACGTTGAAGAGGCATTCCGGAAAATCTGCCGCGGTCATAAGAAACTACCCCCTGGAGGTTTCTTGGTTTTCTTGACAGGCCGCAACGAGATTCTGCAGCTGAGCAAGAAGCTCAAGGCGGCTTTTGGCGGCCCAAGGACGGCTGAAGGTCCTAAAGTGAAGATCTCGGCGACTGAAGCACCAGTTGAAGTCGAAGACCTCGAGTTTGGCGACGTTGACGAGCATGATTTTGACGATATCGATGGCATTGAGTCTGATGTTGAAGAAGAAGGGGATGACGAGTTCAAGATTGAAGAGGAAGATGAAGTTGTTCCCCTCAAGATGCAGGTATTGCCTCTGTACTCTTTACTTCCAGTCAAAGAGCAGCTGAGAGTCTTTGACGAGGTTCCCGAAGGAACTCGACAGATTATCCTTGCAACCAACGTTGCTGAGACCAGTTTAACCATTCCCGGCATTCGATTTGTATTTGACTGCGGACGCTCAAAAGAAAGGAATTACGATCGTCTCAGTGGCGTTCAGAGCTACGAGATTGGCTGGATTAGCAAAGCCAGCGCAAGTCAGCGATCAGGTCGTGCTGGTCGTACGGGGCCTGGTCACTGCTACAGACTTTACTCATCAGCGGTTTACGAGAGAGATTTCCAAGAGTTTTCAGACCCTGAACTGCTGCGGATGCCCATCGAAGGCATCGTGTTGCAGCTCAAGGCCATGAATCTACAAAACGTCGTCAACTTCCCGTTCCCTACACCTCCAGACCGACAGATGCTCGCCAAGGCCGAAAAGCTCCTCACATATCTTTCTGCCATATCTCCCAGCGGCCAGGTCACCAAGGTGGGAACAACAATGTCCATGTTCCCCCTGTCCCCTCGATTCGCAAGAATCTTGCTCGTGGGACACCTCCACAACTGTCTGCCGTATACAATTGCTCTTGTGGCTGGTTTATCCGCGGCAGAAGTCTATCTTGCAGAGAACCAGGCTATTCCGGCTCTGGCTGAGAAAGAAGACACAGCAATCCGCACCGCGGCTGATGTAATTGAGGAAGATCGCCAGGCCAACGTTCGGCGACTGTTCAACCAAGTTCACAAGAACTTTTGCTTCTTGGATGACAAGTCTGACGCCATCAAGCTTCTGCAAGTGGTAGGCGAGTTCGCACATGAGCCAACCGAGCAGTGGTGTGAAGCCCATTTCGTCCGCTACAAGGTCCTTAAGGAGATCCAACAGCTGCGGAAGCAAATAACTGATCTTTTACGTGCAAACATCCCCTCCTTCGCTGCGCTGCAATACCAGGAAAAGCTGGATCCCCCCTCACCAAAGCAAGTCAGCGCGCTGAAACAGATGACAGCCGCCGGCTTCTTGGACCAAGTCGCTATCCGCGCCGACCTGGCACCCAACCCACCCGAGCAATTCAGAAAACCTCGCCGCGCCATCGACGTGCCCTACATCCCGCTCATCCCCCTCCACAGGCCCGGCAGCGGCGAAAACCCCTGCGTCTACATCCACCCTACCTCCTCGCTCGCCCACGTCAGCCCCCAGGAGTGCCCCGAGTACATTGTGTACGCCTTCCTGCAGCGCGCCACGCCTTCCGGCGCGCTCGACTCGGAGAAGAAGCCAAAGACGAGAATGCACGCGCTCACTGATGTGACGGGCGGGCAGCTTGCTGGGCTGGCAAAGGGCACGCCGCTCATTAGCTATGGAAAGCCGATCAAGGAGGTCAAGGCACAGGCTCTGGGCGCCGATGGAGCGACGACACGAGAGTGCTGGGTCGTTCCGTATTTGAGGGCGGAGAATACGGCTGGTCAGGGATGGCCGTTGCCGGCGCAGAAGGTGAAGCAGAAGAAGGTGGCTGGCAAAGGATGGGTTGTAGAATGAAGGAGACATGAAGATGAGTATAGAATCTCATACTGGCGTTAATGGGTGGGTAAAATTGAGTGAAAATTATATGAATATAACAAAGCGATATTATGCCTGATCATCAGATAACCTTCAGTGTGTAGTTGATATGACCTGGAATGATAAGTCATAAATGCTATGCTATATGCATGTCTATGTGCCCGTACAATATTTCGGATTCATCTTCGAACCGGGTATCAAAAACCAAAAACGCAAACGCCGATTCCCCCCCCCTCTTTCCAAAAACGCCAGGGCCCTGAGCACATCCACCTCGAAGCAATTCCCCTCCTTCATGAAGCCCCAGGCGTCGCCGCAGGAGTCACGCTCGGGCTCATCTTGCTCTTCTTCCTCTTGAGTTTAGGCATCGTGGCTGATTTCGGCGTCTTGTCCGCCCTGCCATCCTTTTTATCATCCAGCTTCGTATTCAACATGGGAGGCCCGCTCATGGCGCTGATGCCCGTAGGAGCCGCGCCCTGCGGAGGCAGCACCGGCTTGCGACCCGTGGAAGAGAGGTGGAACTCGCCCGGCTTGCCTGTGATGGGGTTCTCGTCGATGTATTCGCCTCCGTATCTCAGATGGATCATGAAGGATTCTTCAGCAACTCTATCAATGAAGGGGGCTTCGTGCTTTGCTACTGCCGAGACTGGCTTGCCGGTGTCGTCGAGGGCGGGATTCTCCTCCTTGGGCTCTTGTGGCTTGGGTTGGGTGGAGGGTTGGCTTGCGGGGAGCTGGTATACGTGGCCTGTGGAGGGACGCCATTTGCGGGCTGCTTCGGCGGCTGGCAATGCTTTCGCAATGGCTGAGGATATCGTCATCTAGTAGCAAAGGTTAACTGTGTATCCTGGATTAGGGGCATTTTGGCTCTTTCACGCACAATTCTCGAAGCCAAAATGTCTGCAAGGGTCGGGGCCATGTATATGTTTTCGCCCACGACAAAGAACGAAGCGTGGACGGTGATCTCGTCATCGTCCTGGTACCGTTTCCGCCTCGTCTGCTTCCGAATGACCCAGACACCGGTTCCCATGCCCGGGCCTGTCTCGGCCGGCTCCTCACCCACGATGAATTCTAGTCCCGACATTGTCTTGAGACGTGTTTCAAAGGCCTCGCGCGTCTGGATGTAGTGGTACATGGCCATGTTGTTCATTGCCTGGGCCATGATGACGGCGTTGTTGGAGGTGCGCTCGAAGAAGGGCGATTCGGCAAAGTAGAAGAGGATTGTGTTGGAGTGGAGGCCACCCATCTGGGCTACGATCTGGGGAGAGCGCCATTGGATCTCGTCGAGGGGGGGATCGTTGGGATTCGCCATTGTGAGGGTGTTGTTTTGCGGTTGGTGATGGAGAGGGAATGGTGTGAAGTGAGCTTGCAGAGGACTAGATAGAAGCTTTTAGTGGAGAGGCAGCTGTAGAGGCGCTATTACAGAGGCGTGGGGCTTCGGCTTAGCGGCCCCGCGGGTGGGTCATGGATTCTGCCAGTGCTGCGTCCTTCTTCTAACTTGGCACATGCATTCTTCACTCTCGACTTTTCTACCTTATTCACCAAGGGTCATCAATCGTTGACCGTCAAGCTTGGACAATATACATCAATACACTATTACAACGAAATTACTCCCGAGAGACCTCCACCATGGATCTGCTTTCGACTATCCGCAAAACCGGCTCCAGAGGTGGCGTAAACTTTAGCTGGGACGAGGTCGCCAACTCCAGTCACCGCGAAAACTATCTCGGCCACAGCCTCAAGGCTCCAGTTGGGCGATGGGCCAAGGGCCGAGATTTGAACTGGTACGCCAAATCGGACGCCACGCCGGCGGAATCCGCCGAGACAGACGAAGAGCGCAGAGATCGAGAACAGAAGGAAGAACTGCGCAAGATTAAGGAGGCCGAAGAAGACGCAATCGCCAAAGCATTGGGTTTACCGCCGCCTCTACGGAACACCTCTGGAGCCAACGCCATTGAAGTCGAGCCCAAGCGACAAGTTGGCCCCGCGAGCGGGCCGCCAAGAGAGGCCGAGGCGAAACCGGAGAGATCAAGACGGCATGGCGACGATAGAAGAGAGCGAAGAAGACACAGAAGTAGGAGCAGGAGCAGGAGCCCCGACCGACGACGTGACAGAGACCACCGACGGCGCAGTCGTGATCGGGCCGAGGGACGCGACGAGCGCGACCGTGATCGTGATCGTGAGCGTCGACACCGCCGAGATCGCGATAGGAGCCGAAGCAGAGATCGGCGCGACAATAGGCGGGACGACAGGAAAGACGATAGGCGAGACGAAAGACGACAGAGGGACAGGAGCAGGCAACGACATCGATCGCGATCTAGGGAGCATAGACGACGAAGCCCGGGGCCGAGCTCCCGCCGAGAGGATTAGACTGGAGGACGTGTCTCGTTTGCTGGCGTTTAGTAGTTGCTAAAAATGATACCCAATGCATATCACTATCTGGCTGCAATTATGGTGGGAGCAGCTAAGTTGTTTGATTGCTCTATATAAAATAAATTAAAATATAGTGTACAAATTAATGCCTGGTTCCTGTACGAAGTATATCAGTAGTATTACAGCGCTCCTGACTGGTGCAAGAGCTGTCATATTCCGTCTTTCTCCCGTCCATATCCCGTCCATTCCAATCTATGTCCAATCCATGTCCAATCCATCCCATCCATGTCCCATCCATCTTTTCATCATTATCGCTTCAACCAAACACCATGCCTGCATAGATCCATAAAAGCATATCAATTTAGCAATTGGGTTCCCCGGTTTTCATACCGGGCAATTTCATAAGAGCAACTTTGACCGAGTCAATACTTGGCCTGAGTTGGGGATCCAATTCCAGCATCCCGACAACCACTGCGTAGGCCATCTTCTGCGCAGGGTTGCCTCGCATACAAATGGCCCCGAATGCTGACATGAATGACGAATGCTCGAGTGCAATAGAGCATTGACAGTTTTCATCGTCCCGATTGAAGCTCTCATGAAGCTCTTCGTAGCCGGACTGCCCTTTGCTTGCCACGGCAAGAATCGCGGCAAAGCAGCATCCCAGCTGCCAAATATCGGATTTGAAGGTGCTCGCTACCATTGCATGCTGCTCTGGAGCGAGGTATTCGTAAGTGCTGTCCTTGTAGTTGGTAGGAGCTCCAGGTATGTAAACTTTGCTGACACCAACGTCAGTAATCAATGCTGTAGGGTAGTCGCTTGCTTCTTTATATAGAAGGATATTGTCGGGTTTGAGATCCTTGTGCTTGATAGCATGTCCATGCAGGTAATCGACTGCGTCAGCTAGCTGGTACATGATTCGATAGATCATGCAGCAGCTAGATTGAGACGAGCTTTGTTGAAACCAGGGACAGCGAGCCTTTCTTTTTCCATCGGAACTGTGAAGGAACCGTAACAGTGTATACGGCGCCCACGGATGCATAACGAGACGTATCGATTGATCGTCATCGTCGGTCCTGAATGCCTCGACAAACCGGACAATGTTCTTATGACTGCAAACCTCGAGAATTCCAATTTCTCTCAGAATTTTCTTCACTTGCTTCTCGGAGAAGACTTGATTAAAAGTCTTCATCGCGAGCGGCTTGCCGCTTCTTTTGTTGTTGACCTTTTGCACGATGCCAAAGCTGCCTGTGAATACTTCTCCCGCCGGATCGAGGGTATACTGAGTGTCCGCTAGGCTTTTGTAATTGTGCAGGTATCGGGGGCGAAATTGCTTGTAGGCTCGGGAAGAGGAATCGTGCAACCTGGGTCTAAGACAATGTTAAAACCGAAGTCCCAGTCTCGGCAACTGGAGAGATGCTATGCCAGGTGGGTATACATACTGCTGCAGGTGGAATCGCTGCACAGCGATCCCTGCTGTTATGGGTTCATCCTGACCAAGCTCTGATAGATACCGCTTTAGCTCTGACACGAGGTGGACCAGATTATCTTCCCCGTCATTGTGATGCTGGGGGTCGCTGTAAATGTTGTTGTTGAGAATGTGCATGCGTGCGTATAATACATTGAGTGCGCCCTCTTGGCCACCGCGTTCTGCTTGTTCGTGGAAAGAAAGAAGATCCCACGTCACGACAAGCTGTGTTATACAGCATGTTTGTGTCTGTTGAATAATCTCGGGAGAGATATAGCCAGCCTCGGTAATCTGGGTCTTGAGCTGCGTGTAGGTAGCACAAAGCCTTCGGATCTGGTCGCAAACCAGGGCAGTCAGAGGCACTTCCAAATCAGCGTGTTTCTTCTCCCAGATCGTAAGTCGTTTGCAGAACTGAGGCATAGCATCAAGCATATGTTGAAGGGTAGGCTCCTGAATGGCGACAGGATCATTCTGGATGGGAGTGGTCATCATGTATGCGAAATCTTGATGCTCGTATCACCCACAACACAAGATGGTTCTGGTATCAATGTTGCTAGATATAATGGTAATAACAACGATGGAGGGCACAAGGTCACGCATGCTCCATGCGATGACGATACAAGAGATGACGGTACCCCCCCGGTCTGTAGCAGGGGGGAGACATGGGTTAATCGTGACCGTTCAGAAACTGACCGATGAGATTTCTCCGGGCTCCTTTCAACTGTTCCAGTCTCCTTCTTATTTCCCGACGGCTTGCACCAACGGCTGCTCGCAACGTGCAGTCCCCATTTCCAGCTGTGGCGGATGATTATCGACCAAGTGGTGAAACAATGTGTTATCTCAGCAGCTGACAGCGAGTTCTATCCATCCTTCATGATCACATCGGATAGAGGTGGACTGAGTGCTCTAAGCATATTTGTGGCACTCGTAGGGCAACCAAATAACAGAAGCAAGAAGGATAACGATGGCAGTACCAAGTTGGCTACGGATTTCAGACCTCACTGTTTTAACAGCGCCTAGCTGCCGCGTTCAACGAACGCGTTGCTTCTAATTTTAATCCTGCTCGCGATTACCGAACCCATGCCTGATTGGCTGAAGTGGGTGGCAATGATACCGTATTCCTATACGACAGGTAGGCAGGTAGGTAGGTTCCTGTAATCCATGGGAGGTACTTGACCGGTACTAAACGCACCTATGTAGATAATTCGTATTATATGTCTCTTATATGTAGATACCGAGTTTGCGTTAACGGACGATACATCTATGTCCATGGATTGATAGTGCTGTGAGCCCTCACACGAGACTGCAGCATATACTCCTCTAGACTGTTTTATTTGAATCTCAAACGAAGCTCTCTGCTAGGTAGAAGACTGGTTACAAGTAGAGCTAATTGTTTTGAGTGATGGCTAAAAGAAGTCAACCAGTAACTGGACGTACACACCGAAATGCATATATATGTCTGAAGGCCAGACACTAGGATGCATCGTACACGGTATCACTTAGCCCTCCAAGTCGCATGCTCTACCAATAATATAGTTTATCGACCCATTTCCGATCAACTAAACCGAGTTAATCGTAACGCGAACCATAGTTTAACCAAGTCTGGGGATGATCTGGGCTGAGAGATGGAACCCTGATAGCGTTGGCTCAGTGACGGGAGATTCTTTAGTACAAAATACATGTACCCCACGCTCCACCTGTCCAGCGCAATATTGTAGATACTACGCAGGGCAAGACATGGCAGTACAGTAGGTAAACTGGCCGATGGACAACAAATTAGGCTTTAGAGTTTGTTATATCAGAAGTCTAACACAAACCTGGCGCCCCATCTTGAGCTTGAATCCTCTCTAGGTTATGGCGTTGGGGAATAATGAAGTCTAAAAAAAAAAAGGCCCAGTGACGTACCTAGAGGTTGATGGTTAGTGCCGGCTTTTAAGGCATGGCCACTCCCTAAATCTTCCAAGGATTCACGTGCTACACGGCGGTCGAGATCGATAAACCAAGGCACTGGCCGCAACGTAAGCTCTCGTTCACTCAACATCTCCCTTGACGAGCTGGTGCGGGCATCCATACGCGGGGGATTTTGCGATTCTAGACTCTTCTCTCCTTTGTTTGCCACGGTTTATAGATTTGCTGACTCGTCAGTTTGACCCTGCGCCTCTTCCCCTTTTGCCCTGATAACTGATGGTGGTGATGCCCTTAGTTTTGCGTTGCGAACCATAGAGAATGCACCTCTGAGTCCCGACAAGCATCTGCGACCATGGCGATGGACTACTCGAGCCTGCGGGCTGCCGCTCTGCGCGACGGCGAAGACGAAGAAGCCGTCACTGTCGACACCCGCGCGCTGATTGACAAGGTCCTGGCCCGTTATTCAGGAGAATGGACGACGCTGCGAGAGCTCATCCAGAATGCGGCCGATGCGCAAGCCACGACTGTGTCTATCAAGTGGGAGACGCATCCGTCAACAAGCATCCCTCTCCCCAGCGCTGCGAGCCGATCCGACCTGTTGAAACATACCATAGCCAACCACACACTGCGCCGGCTGGTTGTCCAGAACAACGGCCAGCCGTTTACAAAGACAGACTGGGGCCGTCTGAAGAGGATCGCAGAGGGAAACCCCGATGAAACCAAGATCGGCGCATTCGGTGTCGGCTTCTACAGCGTCTTTGCCGACTGCGAGGAGCCGTTTGTGAGCTCTGGCAGCGAGGCCATGGCCTTTTACTGGAAAGGAAACTCCCTTTTTACCAAAAAGTCACACCTGCCTGAGGATAAATCATCGCCATACACCGCATTCGTGCTAGATTATAGAAATACGACGACCCCCATGCCGAATCTGCTCTCCGTCAGCCAGTTTCTTGCTACAAGTCTTACCTTTGTTGCACTGGAGAAGATTGAATTTTGGATCGATGATCATCTAATTCTGTCTCTCAACAAGAAGACATCTCCAAATGTTGACCTGACACTGCCTCGTGACCTCGAGGCCAGGACGAAGGACAACATCATGAAAGTGATAAGCGTAGGTCGTACAAGCACACAAATTGACGCATCCTTTATGAACGTAATTGGATGGAAGCCGCAAGCAGCAGCAGCAGCAAAAGCCACGGATTCGTACGGCTCAAACGAGGCTCCCTCTCTGAGGTCCTTCTTTGCGAGGCTCACCACGACGGCCTCGAACACCAGCCTCCTTAAGACGAAACAGCAGGCAGAGGAGAGCCAAGCTCAGACAAAGATTACAGAAGATGTTACCGGATTGAACTCGGCCACGATATTCCTCAGGGCTACCACAGCCAGCATCAAGACACATGTATCAGCTTCCTTTTCAGCCGAGCTTGAGCGTGCAACCAAAAAGCCTCCACCCAAAACCACAAAGATATCCATTCTCACTACATCATATGACGAAGCTGAAGCTTCTCAGGGCTCGTCTCCGGAAAATGGTGCCTTTGCCAAGGCTACAGACGTCTTCGCTTCCGTACTGCCCAACAAGAAACCCGGTGGTCGCATCTTTATTGGATTCCCTACTATGCAGACAACCGGTGCCGGAATGCATATTTCTGCTCCCTCTGTGATCCCAACTGTCGAAAGAGAGGCCATCGACTTGAATGCTCGCTGGGTCAGGACGTGGAATGTCGAACTTCTCCGGGCGGCCGGTATCATAGCCAGGTTAGCCTTTGCTAACGAGATGAGTGAGCTCGATCGCAGAGTAAAGCAATCAGTTGAAGCTGGCAAGAAGATTTCTGCTGAAATAGTTAACCGCTTCATGCCTGAGGCGCTGCACACTCTAAGGACGTTCACCTTTGCCGACTCTACGCCAAGCAGCCAGGTCGGGCAGATCATCGAGGAGGCCTTCTGGACCTGTTTCAAGAAGGCCTCCATCGAGGTGTATTCAAGCCGAGGTGTCCTACAGACGTCGCAAGTTCGTTTGGGATCATCAGAATTGAGCTCCTTTGTGGACAGCATCCCAGTTGTGCCCAAGGAAATGACGGATTCGCCATTCGTGAGGAAGCTGATTGACTTTGGGCTCATTTCACACATCACCGTAACGGACGTCAAGGAAGAACTGGAAGCCAAGGCTCTCACAAAAACTCAAGCCATCAACTTTATAAAATGGGCGGGCAAGAAGAGTTTGACTGGCGAGATTGACCCAGGAAGCAGGGCCGCGCTTATGGACGTTGCCGTTGCCACTCTGAGCGATGAGAATGACAAGGGCGAAATCGTGGCCCTAGGCAGCATAAGCAATTACCTTTTTCTCTCAAAGATTCCTGCCAATATGCCAGTCCCTCCAACAACCGTTCCATATGCTCTCATAGTCAACATCAGTGCTTCTGAGCTGGAAGCTCTTGGATGGGAGCCCTTGGAGGTTATCCCATGGCTGCGCTTTCTCATCGAGACCACGGCATCCAGGTCGGAAGAAGAGAGTGTCACTAGATCGCCCAAATTTGCCGTCGCCGTGCTTACAGTCTTGTCCAAAAACTGGGAAAGCATGACCATGATTAACAGGGGCACAATGCTGAGTCTCATCAAGTCCACTCCGATGATGCCGACCAAGTTGGGGATGAGAAAGCCTGAAGAATCCTTCTTTGCCTCTGTCAAGCTCTTCGATGACTTGCCAGTCATCCAAGGTTGCGAAAAGATTAAAGAAAAGTTCCTGACAGCTCTTGGCGTTCGAAAGACGGTTGACCTGGAGACTATCTTTGCTCGTCTGGTCAATGTTTCCGGTGAAGATGGCCAGAAGAAGTGGAGTCACATGGAGCTCATTAAATACTTGGCCTCTGTTCAGAATGATATCCCCTCGGACGACCTCCGGAAATTGAGAGAATCTAGAATTTGTCCTGCCGAAGCAGGGCCAAAAGGCATGGAGCCTACAAAGGCCACGACGAAGCTGTACAAGGTCTCGGAACTGTTTGAGCCCAAGGACTCCCTCCGGACTCTCCAGCTGCCAATCATTCAGTGGCCGGGACCTCCTGGTAGCTTTCGAGCGAGCAGCCCTGAAGCCCGATTCCTTGTTGTCCTTGGTTTGCGGACTTTCCCTTCTGTTCCAGAGCTGGTGGACATGATGTCGTCGAGTGATCAGGCGTTGAGGGCCTCGGCAATGACTTACTTTATTGCCAATCACCATTCGAATCGATATGCTGCCTTTGACCTGAGCGACTGCCGCAAAGCCATCCTGCCGCTTCAGGGAAGCACCAAGCTGGTGACACCAGCTGCATGCTTCACCAACGAGAAAGCGGCGGTGCTTGGGTTTGATATCTTGAATCGTGACCTTCACGATCACGCCAATGTAAGCGCCCTGTCCCTCTAAAGATGTCTATTCAAACTAACACTGGAAATCAGAAATTTGGCGTTGCTAGGGATCCGCCCATGGCTGAGTGTGTTAATCGTCTGCTGGCCAGCCCTCCACAGAGCCAACAATCTGCCGTGACCCTCTTTGTCTATTTTGCCACTCGCATCGGTGAGCTTGGAGAAAGCAGCTTAGTTAAGCTTCGAAATGCTCCAATTGTTCCCGTGAAGCGGTCAAGCCCTTCTTCCGCTTCGGAAAAGTTGAGCGCAAAGCTGGCTTATATCAGTCCGTCGCAGGCATACGTAGGGACGTCATCAACATATGGAGATATCTTTGATTTTGTAGACTTTGGTCAAGATGGAAACCTATTCCTCCTCAAATGTGGTGCAAAGAATGAACCGACCAAAGTGGAAGTTGCATACATGGCGTGCAATGAACCGGCAAGGCTTCTCAGTGTGCTCCAGAGTCCCGAGAAATACTTGGATCTGCTCAAATCTTTAGCCGAGGCTACTTCAACTCTCCAGCGCGATAAGGAGCTTTGGCGCAAGATGAAAAGCTCGCCGTGTCTCCTCGCATATAAGGAACTGGTAGCGCCTTCCAAGGGCAATGCTAATGCCAATGATTTGGATGAGGATGAAGCGCCGATCAAGCAGTATCAGCTTGCTTCTGCCAGCCAAATCGTTGTTCTGGACGACATCATCAGCTACCGCCTCTTCAAAGAGCATTTGATATGCGCCCCTGAAGAAGATGTTCTCGAGACCTTTTATCTGAGACTTGGTGCGTCGAGGCTAAGCGGCATAGTCCAAGAGGATGTGCGCATTGGCTCCCATACGACACGGCAGCAGCTGGCCGAATCGCTTAAGAAGCATGTTCTCGAACGATCCAAGATCTTCCTTTACGAGTATGCAAACTACCGCCGAGATGCCATCAAGCACGACGCAAAGTGGCTCGAGAAGAACCTGACGGTAGAAGTGGTTCGATCAGTGGCGCTCCGACGAACGCTGCAGGGCCAGAGGCAGTCGCACACAGAGAGACGCTCTGCGGCTGCGTCATATAACAACAGGTCATGGACTTTGTACGTGGCTGATGAAGGCAAGCCGGACATGTACCAGGTCGGCCAAGCGATATGTCAAATGTTGCTTGACAGGCCTAACCAGCAGGCATATCTATTCTTCGAACCGTTCCTTACTCTGGACCTCCTTGGTCTGAGATCGCGTGGATACAACGTCGACCGAATCCTTCGAGCAAAGGCCGCAGAGGCGAGGATTGCAGAGGAAGAAAGGCGCAAGGCGTTGGAAGAGGAGCAAAGACAAATTCGGGAAAGGGAGCAAAACTGGGCTCAGTCACAGGCAGAGCATTCCAAGTCTCAACAGCTCCCACAGGCAGCTGAGGCTGCGCGGGAAGCCCCCAAATCTCCACAATCTTCGCATCCTTCCATGCCTGGCTCATGGGACTCGCCCGAGGAGAATGCGCAGGATAAAACTGCAAACAATAGAAAGAGCAGGGGTTTGTTTTCGAACCTCAGCCGCCGATTTGGCTTTGATACGCAGGATGATGATAAGAATGAATCGCGGGGGCAGGTGGAGCAGTTTATGGGCAACAACTCCAATTCTACCAACCGAGGGCCTGACAAGTCTGGCGATAATGGAGGGTCGCAAAACGATGATGGCAAAGTGACCAACCCAGCTGTGGTTCAGCAGAATCTCTTGAACGCGGTCAATGCAACGCGGGCCCACGGTTCCGACAGTGTTTACTCAGAGCCTCACGTCTCCGAGGTCAAAGAACAGGCGACATACTGTGACAAGAAGCCAGCTCAAAACATTACATTTGTGGCAGAGGCTTCGAACGGTATGAAGGTCTTTGTGGCCAGGGATATGGCGGCCAACGCGGCTGCATTTTTGTCAGCAAATCTGGCTGCGATCAACTCTTTTGCATCGCTGCTCGTCGAAGTGGGCAACGTCTACTCATTGGCACCAAAGGTGCTTCACATCTTTCACGACGATGCCGGCGGAACGATAGCATTCAACACTGGAGGAAGTATCTTTTGCAACTTCCGATTCTTCCTCCAGCTGCACGCCGCCCAGATAGATGTTCCAAACGGAGCTGGCAAGGCTGAGGCAGGCACCTGGTGGTGGGTGGTGTTGGCCCACGAGCTGGCACACAACTTGGTTTCGCTACACAACTCTGACCACAGCTATTATACGTAAGATGCTTCTCTTTGCCTTTTCACACACTCTTGGATACAGTATTTAACTAACACTTGGACAGTGAATCGTTTATTCAGCAATACATGGGGAAGATGATGGCGAAGACGACGCAGTGGACTCAGGGAGCTCCTGCGCCGGCTCCATCTGCCCGGCCTGCATCGCAAACAGCTGCGGTGCCTTTAGATCCTCCGCCGGCGTATCGCCCGGTATGAGGAGCAGCCAATTCCGTGGTTGATTAATGTCATGATTGCATCTGTGTGGCGTTTCATTTCTGTTTCATTTATGTTTTTGCGAGGCGTTTGATGAATAGATTGAACGATAGATGATCAAAGAAGGGCTGGTCGCGATGACATGTCGGGAAGAGAATCTCCTTAGAAAGGCCGTTGATTTAGAGGATTAGACTTTTAATCTGATGATGTTTCTGGTATCATGTCAAGGAGTAGTTGGTGCAAGGGGAGTGTCAGTAACCGCCACATACAGCATCGAATCACCTTTGCGACAGATGAAGTAATTTATTTTAATCTCTTTCAAAATCAAAGATCATTTTCAAAAATATTAAATTACACTAGACGTGGACTCATTTAAAAGCATCTTGTCATCGCAGCATCTTGTCGTTGTCGCTCCATTCTAGTTGTAAGGCAAGGTCACATGCCCCGCCACGTGACGCCACTTTCCCAAGAACCGCCCAACCTCATCACCATCTCCAATCCCAACTCCAGATACCCGCGCATCTCAAGCTCGCCTCCCCCCAAACCGGCCAATTCCTCCGCCCGCGGCCCTGCAAACCAACAGAAACCACCGTCTCACGACTCCTCGACCTCCCCAAACGAGTCAATCCCATTCACCATGGTCCACCGCATCGCATTCTGGAGCTGCTTCGGTTTGTCTCTCAACCTTACACTCCCCGCCGTGCCCCCGGAATTTTTGAACTAACACCTGTTGGAAATACAGGCCTGGCCGTGCGCTTCTGGCAGGTCGGCATTGAGATGCGGCCCTTCTTCAACAAGTCGTCGCTGTGGGCGTACCCCGTGTATGCGGCGGGCGGCGCGAGCTTCGGATACTGGCTGCAGGGCGTCGACGATAAGCAGACTGCAATGCTGAACGAGCGGAAGAGGGCGCTGCTGGAGAAGAGGGCGAGGAAGGCCCAGCGGGATGCGGAGAGGCAGGAGGCTTAGGTTTGAGGTTTTGACGGGGAGAGAAATGGTGATGTAAAAAGAATGGGAGGGTAGAATTTATCCGGATTTGTACATATAGATGGGACTTCGAGAGAGAGAAGGGGATGATGAGCTCTTTGGCTGGGATGAGATGTGAGCTATGGGAATCATCAATGGCCGTACGAAACCAGCCACGAGGGCTCAATGAAAATGATCAAAAACTTCAGACATGTTGCTGCGTGCCAATTCACATTACTTGGTGCATCATTGCTGCAAATGTCACGATAAAATGTTTGGCTTATTTCTTTACTTGTTTTTTTTATTCCTTGGTTCTTTTACGTCTTTTCCTAGCTACATGCTCATGTGCCTCATGGTTGCCTCCCTTTTACAATTCCTCCAGCTTCCGCAAAATAGCAGGGACAGACTTGGCCGAACAGATGCCCAGCTCCGTCACGACGGCCGAAATCGACTTATCTCTCGTCGTGTCAAACAACAACCTAAACTCCTCATCCGTGTTTCTCTCCGGATCAATTTCGTTGTAGGTGAGCGAATCTATCGACACCCGCTCAGTGAAGTTGATGGTCTCGCACAACGACGTGACTCGCATGCCCAGGTCAAACGCCGCCGTAGCGACGTCACAGGTGCCTGCTCGCGCGTACATGGCGCCGTTGCTAAACATGGCCTCTGCGGCGACGAGGACGGTGGTGGACTCCTGGAGGTTTGTTCGCAGGGCACCAAAGTCGGGCGAGTAGGCGACGGGGATGCCCGCGGCGGCGAGCTTCTTGACATGGGCGAGGCCGACCCGCTCAAAGGGATCGTCGACGAGGATGACCTTGAAGCGCTTGCCGCTGGCCTTTGCCTTGAGCAGGGCGCGCTCGACGAGGTGGTGGTGGGCGTATGTGAGGATGACGTCGTCCTGGGCAATCATGTCGGCGGCGGTGTTGACGATGACGAGGTCGGCGAGGGTGATGCGCTCGTGGATGAAGCTGTCGATGGCCTCGCACAGAAGCTTCTTGGCGTCAGAATCGGCCATGTCGATATCAATCTTGCTGATCTGAAGCTTGAGCCATCTGATGGCGTTGCCCATGGAGAAGCACATGGGGCGGCATGCTGTGAGGTAGACGATTTGGGGGTTGAGGACGTGGGAGGTGAAGTGTCGTGACAGCGTGGTGCCGTGGGGTGTTGTGTATGAATCGATGACCTTTTGAAGTTTCTCTTGTTAGATTCCAGTGAGAGGAAACTGGTTGATGGCTGTTTCTTACCTTTTTGAATGCCAGGAGAGTAGCTTCCAGCCGAGTGGTGCTATCACTGATGGCCATGGTGCTCATCTGCTGGCCCAGCAGCAAAACAGCAGGGTGCACGTCCTTGTCCGCATGCGTCAGGTTGACGCCCTTGGCCATGGCCAAATGGCTGAAGCACTCTGGAACCGACGGCTTCACCTCCTTGGGCGCGGCCGTCATGGGCGCAGCCGATCGCGGGGCGGGAGTCTTTCCATGCTGAGCTCCAGCCTGAGGTCCGTCTTGCTTGGGCTTGGGCTTGCCGCCCTTTGCGCTGTCGCCCTGGCCCGGCGCGCTGGCGGGCGGCTGTGGCTGTGAGACTTTTGCTGCCGCTCTCCTGGCGGCCTTTTCCTCCTTGGCCTTCTTCTTGAGCTCGGCGTTGGACAGCTTCTTTTCGCCGGCGCCCTCAGCTGCTGCCGCTCCTGCTGCCGCGGGGGGCTTGCTCTGGTCTTTGGAGCCCTTTCGCTGGTCTCCCTGGTCCTTCTTCTCTGCTGGAGCCTCGCTTTTGGGCGCAGGCTGGCCTGCTTCTGCCGCCATTAAGAGGTTGGTGTTGTGACAGGACTAGAGGACGTAGAAGCGAGAGGTCGTATCACAAGGGAGATGGAGTCGAATCGGGGGACGCAGACTTGTCGCGACAATTGATGCCGAAGAGGAAGTCGAGCAAAATCAGTTCCGTCGTCGCAAGGGGAAGCACCGAAAAGATGCAAGGCCGCAAAAATAAACAAATCCCCCGGTCCAAAGAATGCGAAAGTGTGTCAGTCGATGAAATGCTGCTTGTGAGAGTTCAAAGGTGGGGTCTCTCTTTTGAGTCACTGGAAAATGTTCGATGGTGGAAACGGAAATGCCCCGCGCTAAGCTGGAGAGGCTGCAGAGAAACTTTGCTTTGTCTGCAGGTGATTTATTTTACTTTTACGGGTGGTGCAGGAGAGAAAGTTTGGGTGTTTGGGAGAGAGAGATGAGGATATTTGATGCTGATTTATTTACGTAGAGAGTGCTATGATGGAGCGTTTCGTAAGAGATGCTTTGCTACTGTTTGGCGAGCTCCAAACAAAGACGCGGTTCAGCTTCTTCCAACGCCTAAGACATCGATGCTCCAAATGTTGAGTTGCAAGGCTGCAAGCTGGCCGATACAAAGCGAGTGACGATGTGCCTTCGTGCACCGCAATCCAGAGAAATCGCACATCGTCAGAATCCCGTCAAATCATCGTCAACGCACCAGTGACGCGTCTTCTCTACGTGACCACCACCTAAAACCATCTCGAGCCTCCTTCTTCACGCCAGCCCTCAAGGGACCAACCGCAATGAAAGAAAAAAAGACATCTTTCCACCAAACAAGCAGAGAGTTGAAGGGTTCCAAATATTCCCTGGCCAGGCGAGCCCAGCCAGGAGTGGTCAGTGTATAGTTTTCAACTAGCAAAATTCCTCTCTCAGCTTATCGCTTCACGGAGAAGGAAAACGCCCGTGCACTTGGATGGGGAAGAAAGGAAAGAAAAGAAGAGTGAAAAGGGCGGGAGGGCGGACGAGGTTTTATAGGCGCCTAGTGGGGCCACTGACTCAGAGGATGAGGTAAGCAGGGCCAGCCAGGTACGTTACCGCATTGATGGTTTGTGGCAGGCAGCCGCTCAGCCCATCGTAGGCAGCAGGAGAAGAAGGATTGAAGTGAGACAAGCGGGAAGAAATAGAAAAAAATAATTGATTTCCATTAATCCGTCATGATATATAATGTACTGGAACCGGAAATAACATGATTGATGCATCTGCTGTGTATTGGGGATTATTCTTGGGGCACATCAAAATTTCTTGTCAGATCAGACATCACAAGGAAGAAATGATAAGCCTCAATGAAGAGGATTGATTCACCCAACAAAGAATCAATGATTAAATCACACAGTTTAATACATATACGGATGAATTTCAATCTTGCTTCAATAAATGACTCCTTTTACTTATTCAATCGCCCAGCATCGGCCCTCAATGCCATGGATTGTCAATTTGACTCATAGCTAGCCATCTATCAGTTGGCATGGATACTAGAGCTAGAGCTCCGAACCTAGGTGCTAATCGCCCCAGCTAAAAGTCTCTCTCAACCCACTTGCAACAGCTCACACGACAATGCAATTATAGCCACCCTCGTCTTCCTCACAAGCCGAGCATGCTTAAGTTCAAGCGCGCTTATTCCACCGGCCTGGCCAGCGCCATCCCGCCGGCCAAGCTCAAGTACGTGCCCACGTCCGGCACGTATCCCAAGGGCTTCCTGGCGTCGGGCGTCTTCGTCGGCGTCAAGCCGGGCAACACCAGCAAGCCGGATCTCGCCCTCGTCACGTCGGACCGGCCAGCGTCGGCGGCGGCCGTCTTCACTAAGAACAAGTTCCAGGCGGCGCCGGTGACGTTCAGTCGCAAGATTCTGCAGAGCAAGGCCAATGCTGGGCTTCGCAGCGTCATTGTCAACTCGGGCAACGCCAATGCCGTGACCGGTGTCGGAGGTCTGGAGGATGCGGCGAGCATGGCCAGGACGACGGACCAGCGGGTTGGCAGCGATGATTCGACGCTGGTGATGAGCACGGGTGTAATTGGACAAAGGTTGGTGAAAAAGGAACAAGAATACGATGAATTGCTTTTACTGATGCTCTCCATTCAGGCTTCCCATCCAGAAAATCGTGGACCACATCCCCATGGCCTACCACCAGGCCGGAGACTCCCACCGGCACTGGCTGGACTGTGCCAAAGCCATCTGCACCACCGACACCTTCCCCAAGCTCATGTCCAGGACCTTTGAGCTGCCGTCTTCTCCTGGCGTCGAGTACCGCATTGCGGGCATGACCAAGGGCGCTGGCATGATGGCCCCCAACTTGGCCACCATGCTCACCATTCTGGCCACCGACGCACCCATTGCCCCGAGCCTCATGAACCCTCTACTCAAGTACTCTGTCGACCGCTCGTTCAATGCGCTGACCATTGATGGCGACACCTCGACCAACGACACCGTTGCCCTGCTTGCCAATGGCGCTGCTGGTGGCAACGAGGTTTCGTCCGAGCAGTCTGCTGACTATGAGGCCTTGAAGAATCTGCTGACGGATTTCTCCGCCGAGCTTGCCAAGTACCTCGTCCGTGACGGTGAGGGTGCCACCAAATTCGTCACAATCCGTGTCGTGGACGGTGCCTCCGAGGTCGCCTCGCGCGAGATTGCCCGTGCCATTGCCCGCTCGCCCCTCGTCAAGACTGCGCTATACGGCAAGGATGCCAACTGGGGCCGCATTCTCTGCGCCGCTGGATACGCCCTCATCTCGCCTCCCGGCCAGCCTGTCAACGACGTCCCCGAGATCATCCCCGAGCGGACCAGCGTGTCGTTTGTTCCCACCGATGGCTCGGCTGAGCTGAAGCTTCTGGTCAACGGCGAGCCGGAGAATGTGGATGAGAAGAGGGCGAGTGAGATTCTCGAGATGGAAGACTTGGAGATCCTGGTGAGGCTGGGAACTGGCGATAAGAGCATAGTCCACTGGACGTGCGACTTCAGCCATGACTATGTTACGATTAACGGGGACTACAGGACGTAAAAAGTGTACAAAAAATGTTGCATGTATGATGACTAGTTTCTTGGGGCAAATAAAATGGGATGGCTGCATACGCATACAGTGGCTATGGGTATCCAAAATGATTTCTTTCTATTCCAATATCAATGTGCTCCCATGTGAAAGCTCGCCAAATGGCCAAAGACACCTAGTCGCACCACGGCGGCATGTGTATCAGCAATATCTAAAAACAAGACTCCAAACTCCATCTTCTACTTTTAGCCTTTGTTCGATTTGTATTTACTCTCATGAAATATATCTTCCTTAAGCGCTCAATGTGCCCTTGGTGCTGGGAACCTCTCCCTCCTTGCCGGCAACCCTGGTGGTAGCCATGCGAACGGCCACAGCCAACGCCTTAAAGGCACTCTCAGCCCGGTGGTGGTCGTTGTCGCCGCGCAGGCAGTCGACGTGCAAGGTGATGCGAGCGGCCTGGGCAAAGCTCTGCAGGCAGTGGGGGATCATCTCAGTGCTGAGCTGGCCAATCATCTCGCGCTTGAGGCCCAGGTCGACGACGGAGTACGGACGGTTGGAGAGATCGACGACGGCGCGAGAGAGGGCCTCGTCGAGAGGGGCGTAGGCATAGCCGAAGCGGGCGACGCCGGTCAGGGCGCCGAGGGCTTTGGCAAAGACGGCGCCGACGGCGAGACAGCAGTCTTCGGCGGTGTGGTGATCGTCAACTAGAGATGGGAGGCAAGGAGTCAGAACAATACAATACATGCATCTTCATCACAGAGAGTAACGCACTGTGGAGATCGCCCTTGCAGTTGAGCGCCATGCTCCAGCCGGCGTGCTTTGCCAGCGCATGTAGCATGTGGTCCAGGAAGCCGATGCCCGTGCTGATGGCAATCACCTGCGACTTGGTGGACTGCGAAGCGTGTGTGCTGACGACCTCGAGCAGTCGGGGGTCGGTATCCTGTGGGAGGTCGCCGCCGTCGATGCTGAGGGCGATCTGGATCGAGGTTTCATTGGTATTGCGGACAAGGGCCGCAGCACGGATTGGGGCGGAGGTGGTCATTGTGTTTGTTTGGGGCTTTGAATCTGCAGAATGCGAATCGGTATCTTTGCAACAAGAGTCAATTGGCGCTGTGATAGTGTCAGAGACTAGATTTATACTGATGTTGAGGATGGCGCAGGATTTGACTCGCTCCTGTATCGGCGTTGTGGAGTTCATTTTTTCTTTGCCTCTTGGGTGCAGGAAATCCGAAATCCCGGATGCAGCCAGCGGGTGTCTCGCTGTACTGAGGGGTTGATCCGCTGAAGCTACCCCGCTATCTGCAGAGCGCACCCCCCTGCAGCAACGCCTTACGCTGAATCTCACTCCCTGGCAACTGAGCATGGTGGCATACAAACAAGCTTTACGCGCCTGGGCCATTCTCTTGCGCGTCAACCTCGGATTTGGATATTCGATATCGATACAAGCACCCTTTGTTGCCGCCCGCTCAGCCATGTTACCCTGCTAAACTACCTATGCGGATTTGTTCTTCTTTTCCATCCATCTTTTGTCTTTTTAATTCTATTTTTCTTCTATTCCTCCCTCGATTTGTCACTCGTCGTTCTGCCCAATGTTCTCTTCTCGATGCTAGAGGATGGAGAAGTTTCTGAGGGATTGGAGGCAGGACGCCCTCAACAAGGCACAATATGAATCAGCCATCTTTATCGGAGACAAACTCCTTGCCTTGACCAGTCTGTGACCACCTATCAATTACTCTTCATGGTAGACATTTGGGCTAATGCATTTGTATCCTGATTTACAGACGACGACAACGATGCCTTTTGGCTGGCCCAAGTCCACTTTGCGACTGGAAACTACACACGTGCGCAATCGTTCCTCTCCAAGCAAGACCTCATCAGCCGCAATCCGGCCTGCCGCTACCTCGCTGGACATTGCCTCATCAAGCAGTCTCGGTTCGACGAGGCGCTGGCTGTTCTTGGGGAGCGCAATCCGACACACCTGATATCCAATGGCCCAAGCAACAAGCGCAAGGCTTCAAATCAGCCTCGCAGCGGACGAAGGCGAGACGACGATGCCGTAGATGAAGAGGCGGCGACCCGACGATTTGAGGCAGCTATGTGCTTCCTCCGGGGCATCTGCTATGCGAAGCAAAACGCCTTTGACCGGGCCAAGGAGTGCTACAAGGATGCGGTTCGGATCGACGTGCAGTGCTTCGAGGCATTCCAACAGCTGATGAAGAATTCATTACTATCACCAGACGAGGAGTGGCAGTTTCTTGACAGCTTGGACTTTGACTCTATACACCTCCCGGGAGACCCAAAGTCCTCCCAGGAAGCGGCCGAGTTCACAAAGATGCTCTACACGACACGGCTTTCCAAATACAGGAATCCTGCGGCATTCGATACCGCATACGATTCACTGTCAACACACTATCAGCTGGCCGCTAACCCCGACCTGCAGCTTGCTCGAGCCGACTTACTATATACGCAGTGCCGATACCGAGATGCCCTGACCATTACCAACGCCATCTTGGAAGAAGACAAGTACAACTTTGCGATATACCCCGTTCATCTGGCCTGTCTATACGAGCTCAAGATGAAGAACCTGCTGTTCCTGATATCCCACGACCTAGCAGACAGTCACCCCGAGGAGCCTTGTACATGGTTAGCCGTGGGCATTTATTATTTCAGCATCAAAAAAATTGCAGAAGCCAGGCGGTATTTTAGCAAAGCGAGCATGATGGACGCACATTTCGGCCCTGCCTGGATAGGGTTCGCACACACATTCGCCGAGGAGGGAGAACATGACCAGGCCATTTCAGCTTACTCGACAGCGGCACGCCTCTTCATGGGCACTCACCTACCGCAGATATTCCTCGGGATGCAGAATCACGCACTCAACAACATGACCATTGCAGAAGAATTCCTAAAGACTGCCTACGGGCTGTGCAAGACGGATCCACTGCTTCTCAACGAGATGGGCATTGTAAAGTATCATCAGGACAGGCCGAAAGAAGCCGTCCAGTATTTCACAGCAGCCCTCAAGGTGGCTGACGAGAATGACAGTGAGCCGTCAGCATGGCTCGCGGCGAGGACAAACTTGGGACACGCTTTTCGCCGGCTGCGGCACTATAACCGGGCATTGGCGGAGTTCGACGAGGTACTGCGGGCAGGCGGCAAGGATGCAGCCATCTTCAGCGCCAAGGGGCTCATTTTAATGGAACAGAATAGGCCACAGGAGGCGGTGGTTGTTCTTCACGAGGCCCTGGCTATCCACCCGCAAGATAGTATCGCAACAGAGCTTTTAAACAAGGCGCTGGAAGAAACGGCCTTGATGGACGGTGCTGCGGAAGAGGAGGCGGAAGACTTGGCGGATTTCGAACAACTTCTAGAAAGAAAGAAGGTGGAGGCATCTCAGAAGGTGTACGGCACCAGAACCGGCCGCGGCATGATGGACAAGGGAAAGGGGCGACTGGGCAGGCGACGGACGATGCTGATGGATGACGAAGACGAAAAGGAAGAGGGTGGGATGGAAATGACTGACGACGATGACAATGACGAGGTCTAGGAGGCAGTTTGCGTGTATCGGGGCATCGAGGAGGTCGCGGGAGTCAGCGTGGCTAACCTGGGGTGTTTTGGCGATTGAGCATTTGGCATTGATTTCATTTTACACTTTGATTAAGCAGGGAATCAGACTGCATGGACGAATAGAGCTAAGCAGGCATTGGGATGGTTTTGGTTGATGATGTTTGCTTCCTTGCCGGGTTGGCTGTGTTTGTTTCTCTTCCCACTTTCGCTGTGATTGAAGGCATAACTCATATTGCCTGTCATATGTACCACCTCGGCGTTTGTGCAATCAGTTAGTATTTCACGGTCGCTCACCACAGCGACGGCACATGGTGTTGAATTTGGCACATAATTTAATATTTCGTGTGTCTTCACTCATATCAATGGCCTCAATGTCGGCTTCGGTGAAATCAACTCCCTGGAACCAAGTCTATCGTCTAACGGTCTCAATGGGTAATTTGGGGATTGTGAGCGCTATTGCCTGTTTCGTCCCCCACTTATTACTTCAGGCACCCACGGCCAGTAAATTTGGGCTGTCCCACTTGGTCTTGACAATGGCGTTGTGAAACCCGAAACCTTATGGATATAAAGATGGCCTCCTTATTAAGACTTCGACTTTGTCTGACTCGGCCGCTTCAAATCACTCATTTTCTTCATACTCGGTCTCGGGGATTCAATCTTGACCGTCTGCCTCTTCCTCTTCACACCACACGGCGCCACACAGGCATCACCAAGTTGACAACCTCTCTCAACAAGCTACACTTGAATCTCGCCAGAAACTACTCCGGCGACGCTCAGGATCGCAAGATGAACATGGCAAATCTCTTACTCAACCTTGACCTTCTGCTGAGTCAGAACGGATCCTCGGAACAGAGCCAGCTCAACAGCAACCGCATCGCTCGAGGCAATACGCCGTCTGGAGCCATGGACCATGTCCTGCAGCCAGATGCGCCTCCTAGTGTAATTGATGCGAAGCTGTGGATTGTAGACCGCATATTGGAGCCTCAGTCGATCCCGCATTTTATCGAGGCCACCATGTTTGGGGTTCTTTCTGACGGAAGCAAGTCATCGTTTCCGCCTCTGTCGGAAGAGGTTGTGATGCTGATGCAGCAGCCGCTGGCATCGTGGGCACCGCCTCCCTTCGACGCCAGCCAGGAAATCCCCGTGCAGCAGATGATGGTGCGCATCGGCTCTCACGAAGATTCAGCTCGACTGGTGCCCATTTCAAAAGAAATCCATGCGATGAAGTCGAGGCTCTGGGAGGGCATCATGCCTCTTTCTGAGAGGCGATGGGACGAACTGAAGCTTGACTCTCCCGAAAACTTTCACACTGCTTGCCAATACATCGCCGGTGTTACAAATGCATTTCACTATCTCAATCTTCCACCCATCAAAGGAGCACTTCGCGAGACGTACAATCTAATTTGGGCACACTTGAAAGACTTTGAGGACGCAGTCAATGCCAAGAATAGGCTGGAGATCAAGCCCGAGGTTCAAATTGCGGCTAGATGGCACGAGTATATCAAGGCTCACTACAATGCTGTCTCATCACGCTCTCACCGTTGGGTAGTGGACAGCATAGACCGTCTCCGCGTCCCCATTCTCGAGGAGCTTGCAAACCTTCCTACTACGGCGGATATCACCCCTAGCCCGCAGGAATGGTTGCTGACAAACAAACTCCACGATTTGTTGGAAAACGGGGCTCAAGCTGATTCGGGCATCTTTTTGCCAATGGACGGCTATGAAGGAGAAGGTCTTGCTGAGCAGGACGACGCGCCGCCACGGCCAGATGCCGCTGAGCCATACCGCAGGGAGCCCATCTCCTTTTCGGCCAACGCGAATGCTCGAAAGGGGGATTACTACTTGAGACTAAAATATCTGTCACGCACTGAGGTATGGCTTGGCCAGGAGCGTGGCGGCATGGACATGCCAGCTGGCTTGCCGACTGGCTTTGATGTTCTGTCTGATATGGCAAAGACGGCTCAGTGCCAAGTAATTGCGCAAGAAAAAGCAAGGCTGGAGCTTCGAGGAGAGCCGGTGCCCATGGAGCAAGAGCAGTGGGTGATGAAGGCACACCAGTATATCGGTACCGGAAACAACTTTGAATGGGGTTACGTGGCATACCGTCTCTCTCATGATCACACGGACGAAGAGTGGGAGGCTTTCAAGGCGAAGTTTGAGGCTGATATCGCGAACTGGGGCCGTGAATTGAGCGGCGTCGATACCATTAGAGAAAAGTCAAAGATCCATTGGCGGGATGCTCGGGATCTGGGCATCGCGGATGGAGATATTGATGCCCTCAGAACGTACGTGCTTTACTTGCATACAATCCATGACCACAAACTAATTACTTACCACATCATACAGTCAATTCCAAACCTTCCGAGACTCAGAAGGGTTTCCATTGGGCGTTCACACCGATATTCTGCTGGCTGCGGACAAGGGCGTCATCGACTCCTATCTCCATCCGGTGCCGCAGCAAGACGGCTTCGTGATTGCCATTGACGCGGACCACGATCCAAATGAAGTTGATACCGAGCGCTTGGCTGAATCTCCGGGCTACAAGGGAGTTGTGCGCGTTCTTGGGAGCTTGTTGTGGGATGACCTTGGGGCTCTTGTGTTTATGCAGACACAGGGTCTGGCTGAGCTGTGGCCGCTTGCGATGCACCATCCCCAGGGGGTGTACGAGGGACCACTTGGAGGATTCCAGTGAGTTTGAGTGACTCCAGCGTAGTTTTCTTTGTTTTTCCTTTTCTCCTTGTAGAGAAATACCCCCCTCTCTTTTAAAATGGAGATATGCTGGCGGAAGGACCTTGCCTAAACTTTTTAATCTGCGCCAGATTTGTATTATAGAGGCTTAATGATATAACTATGATTAAATGATTGAGATGTTACCATAATTAGATGGCAAAACTCAATATATACTGTCTCTACCAAAGATTAGTAAAAAGCTGAGCGAGGAACTAGTGTCGAGATGTTCAGCTGACTATCCGCCATGGAGGCGTCATAATGGCATCACATCCAACACGATGTAAGCGATGGCGAGTATTTCACGACATGGCATAAGGCAATTGAGAACAATTGCCTGTCTTGCGTCAAAGAATGTGTTTCTAAATCATCGCCATTCTCGTGGCTGTCATATCTCATACAGACAAATCATGTCGCAACCGGACAAAATGGGCCGCTTCATCGAAGCCATGAAGACAGTCTACGGCCCCTTTGACGAGCTATCAAGTGACAACGCAAACGACTGGATTCCTCCTGATAACCCCGGAGCCGGCGGCCATCGCGGTAGGTATCTGTGGACAGACGCCTTTGGGGTCGTCAACTTCATAACTCTCTTCAAGGAAACCGCCAAGCCAAAGTATCTCACACTGGCGAAGCGACTTGTTGAAACCGTCCACGATACACTGGGCCGCACAAGAGACGGAGCGAAGAGGCTCGACGGCGCAACGGATGAAGAGCCTTTGGTAGGCGGGCTGCGGATCGGCAAGCTGGATGCTGCGGGGAGCGATGGTGATGGGCAGTACCATCATTATTTGACGCTGTGGATGTTTGCACTAAACAGGCTTTCTGTTGCGGCGGGTGAGAGGGATTATAATGATCTGGGGATTCAGTTGGCTAGGGCGATTCATCCGCGGTTTTTGGTGCATTGTTTGTCGGGGGGCGTCAAGATGGTGTGGAAGATATCAATGGACATGAAGAGCGTGCTTGTCCCTTCCGAGGGCCATTTAGATGCTGCAACTGGATATGTCGTCTACAAGCTACTTCAGGAGACAGCATCGAAACAAGGTCATCGGAATGGTGTGCTGAAGCAGGAGATTACCGATTACTGGAACCTTATGTCGAGGAAAGGGAGCCTGTCGCCTGGAACCGATATGCTGGATCTGGGCATGGGGCTTTGGATGTGTCACATCTGGCAAGACGAGCCGTGGGCTATCAAATTCCGCAGCAAGGCATTGCCAAAGGCAGAGGAGCTTCTCGACGGGTCTTCCGCAATGATGCAACGCAGCGCATCACGAAGACTGGCGTTTCGCGAGTTTGGCACCTGCGTTGGTGTGACGTGTTGTGATGCGAGTGAGGCTTTGCAGGATCGGGTGGAAGATTTGTTAGCGTTTTGGGAGAAGCATATGGATTCGAGCGATGGAGATGATGATTTGAAGCCGATTTCACGGGTGATGTATGCGACGGGTCTGGTTGTTGGAGGTAAAGTTTTGGATTGAGACTGTTTTTGGGACTTTTGGCTAACTTTGAGTAGCTTTCCGGAGAGGATATCTTGAAGACGATGGGGTGTGAGATGTGGGAATGGACAATATTATGGGACTTGGATTTTTGGCTTGTATCAGGTATGTTGCTGACGTTGTGTTGCTGTGGATGATATTCTAACTCGTGGGTATTGACACTATGATAGGATGACAACACCACAGTCATAATTATTACACAAGACGTCATTGTACTCATAATGCAAGGCAAGATGCAGATATGTAATCCAGATCATTTGTCATTCGACGATCCCAACGCTAGATCTTGTAAGCATCAAGTAAACAAGTGGATGAAATGGTTGGAGATAAAAGAACCACCGGGGCCTGCATTTCCCAAAAGTCCCGATTTGGCAATTTTCCCACCCTATTGCCGTTGTCCAGAGGCGGGGATAAACGTTGTAACGCCGATGTGCTAATTGGATCAGAGAAGAAGCGGGTGGGCCGATCTATTCAGCTCGTTGCATATTTTAGGCTTGCGTGCTGTTTGCTGTGTTGAGATACTTAAAGACGGGCTATCCTCAACCAGCTGGTGGATTCATGTTCATTGTAGGGGGGTAAACTCATGGCACTTTCATAAGAAACACAACACAGGTTTTTACAGAATAATTTACCAAGAGTATTATCACAATGGCGCAACTCACTCTAGCGTCCAAGTATAAGATATTGTCGGGCTATGAGATCCCCGTCTTAGGATTCGGGGTAAGTCTTCAAAACCATCAAATGCACGTATCAATTTAGAATTAACACAAAAAGACTAACCAGTAATACAGACTGCTGCTGGTGCTGACCGACACTACAAAATCGGCCACGAAAACGGCGTGGCAGCCAACATTCACGCACTCAAATCTGGATACAGACACTTTGACTCAGCCCGCATGTACGACAGCGAAAAGGCTTGTGGCGAAGCAATTAGAGCAAGCGGCATCCCTCGCGACCAAATCTTTGTCACCACCAAAGTGCGCAAGGGCGGATACAAGGAGACCAAAAAGGCCATTGAAACAAGTCTCCAGGAGACTGGGCTGGATTATATCGACTTGTATCTCAACCACAGTCCCTATGGTGGTCCGGAAGCAAGAAAGGGAACCTGGAGAGCCTTTGTTGAAGCAAAGAAAGAAGGAAAGATTCGATCCATGGGAGTATCTAACTACGGCGTGCATCATCTTGAGGAGACGCTAGCGTACATCAAAGAGCTTGAAGGAGAGTTGGGCCAAGGCAACGCGGGAGAGATTAGCGTTGGGCAGGGGGAGCTGCATCCATGGCTGGCTCATCCAGACATCGTTGAGTGGTGTAAGAAGCACGGAGTTGTGATTGAGGCATATTGTCCGATTGTCAAGGGGCAGAGATTCGAAGAGCCGCAGGTGCAGGCTCTGATGAACAAGTATGGGAAGACTGGGGCGCAGATTCTGTTGCGATGGAGTTTGCAAAAGGTGCGTGGTGATGTCTTTTGAGTGCCCTTTTATTACATTTTGTGATGTGGTGTTGACATGTGCTGCAGGGTTTTGTTCCTCTGCCAAAGAGCGAGACGCCGTCGAGGATCGAGTCTAACACGCAACTGTACGATTTTGAACTGACCGAGGAGGATATGGCGACGCTGGACTTTGATTCGTATTCGCCAACTACATGGGATCCTACAGTTAGCCTTCTTGAAAACTGAAAAGCCGATAGATTGTTATACACGATATCACGACAAGCAAGATAAACAGTTTACGACTCGTAGTTTTGCCATAAAGCTTAATTCTTCTATGGCAATTCCAAAACCCACTGCATCTTTTCCAACGCCGCAAATAGGTCATTATCATGGTATTTCCTCGCTACAATCTGCAGATTAATCGGTGCTCCTTCAAAGTCACCCTCCTCCCACATTTGTCGTACGTGCTCGTCCTCCTTGCTCAACGGTGCCGGCGCATCAGCAGCATACTTCTCCGCCCCTTTCTTCCCAGCCTTGATCGGCGTGGGCACCACCGCACCGGGGTAATCGACGTAGTTCCAAAAAGCAGTGTAGTTCCAGTAAAAAGACGTCTCGTGCTCGCACGCAGGACCGACGAAAGCCGGACAAATGACGAAGTCGACGTCCTGAGACGCCCAGTGACTCGCAAAATCGCAGCGGAACTGGTCCCGCTCGAGGCGCTGCGCCAGGATCTGGGCTGGCGTGAGCTCGGGGCCCTCGGCGTCCTTGATGATCCACTGCGTTAGGGGAAGAAGGGGCTCGCCTGAGGCTGCGAGATGCTTCTTTATGCCGTTGCCGCCGTCGGGCCAGTATGCGAGGCGGATGTTCTTGATTGCTTTGGCGGTGTTGTATGGCTCAAATGTCTTGACGGAGAAGTTGTTTGATGCTTTGAGCTTTTTGGCGGCCCAGTTGAGGGCCCGCATAACAGGGGGCTGTGGGACAATGGCTCCGTCGTTCATCATGATACCAATCTTCAGCGGTTTGGGTTGTGGTAATGACTTGAGACCGGTCCAGGGGATTGGAACGAGTCTTGGGTCCACTAGATACGGCTTCGAGTCCAGTAGTACTGACATGAAGAGATCCATATCTCTGAGGGAGCCGCACATGGGGCCTGCGGTGGCCAAGATGCCGAGTTCTGGTATTGAGCCGCCTGCTACAAAGTCTTTCCTAGGAACAAGGTATGATGTAGGCTTGAAGCCGTAGATACCGCAGAAGGCAGATGGACCTCGGATGCTTCCTCCAATGTCAGTGCCAATGCCGAGAACAGATCCTCGCATGGCCAGCAGGGCGGCTTCTCCTCCGGTAGATCCTCCTGATGAGAGATTAATGTTGTGGGGGTTCAAGGTGCGGCCCCATGAAGAGACGGTCTCGAGGTGCATTATGGCTTGGGGCTGGTTGGTTTTGCAGTAGAAGACAGCGCCGGCATCTCTCAGGATTGCTACTATGTGGCAATCTTCTTTATCCTTGACTCTTGTGTCGCTGAAGCCCACCTCGGAGAAGTGTCCGGCTAAAGGCAAGTGTATCTTGACGCTGATGGGCACGCCATGAAGAGGTCCGATTGTCTTGCCTGTGGATTGTAAATACTCATCCAAGTGTTTAGCTTGTTCAATAGCATCATCCATGAACCATTCCGTCAGACAATCTGTGAGCTGATGTACAATGATGGCTCTCTTGGAAAAAGCCGTGGCGACAGCTACCGAGGTCAATTTTCTCGATGCGATGAGGGCAGCCAGAGTAGTGGCATCATATTTCTCAGTGATGGCGAGTTCTTCGGGGGTCAGAAGACCGCATTGTTGGGGAACGTTGGTAACATTCTTAGGAGGGTTGTTGATGAGTTCAATGGGAAGCCGAAGGCTGTCTGGTACCTTGGCGGCAAATTCCTCGAGCAAAGACACCCGCTCAGCCTCATATGCTGGAGAACCCTTGACCAGTGGCTTTACCTGGACAACAGGCAGAGTATTTGAAGGCATTGTTGTGGCATTTACCACAGAATAGAGATACGCAAAGAGGAGATGATAATGTAAACAACGGGTGAAAGAGGGGAGAAGGCTATGTACAAGATTCAAGTTCTCCGCTAGATAGATAAGGCCGAGGCAGAGCTGGTGCAGCTGAACCCTTTTTCTTATTCACTTGTACGACGTACGGGCCGTTGCAATTGGATGCCGTTCATCCATCGGCGTGCGGAGTAGCTCCAGATTGGGTGAACCTTGGCAAGGGCTAATTTGGCGGGCGGGGAAGAGGCGCCCATTTACAAATGATATCGACAAGCTAGATTAGCAGGGGGGCTAGAGGTTGAAGCTACCAGGATGTGATTGATAACGGCCATATTTGAGTCGCTGGAAACCGTGGTTCAGATACATAATGGACGGAAGCGAACCCAGGATTCGTAATGGCGAGATCCATGGCCCAAGCTGTTGATTAGCATCTGCGAGGACCTTCATCATATCTAGAATTAGCGGGTCCACTTACCGCAGTTGTTTGCGTTAGCTTCATGTGAGATATGCTGTGTGTCGTAGTCTCGCGATAGCATCACCAATACCAAGATGGCCTCCGAGCTTCATTCCAATGGCCTTGAACATCACCACCACCCCACACTTCGCAATATACTGAGACGGCCAATTGGAGAGTTGAAACAACTTCTCATTGTCCGTTTATAGTCGTCTGAGGCGATTGCCGTGGCTTTTTGGTACTTGAGATAGGGCTGTCCTTGGATCAGTTTGCTGCAAGGGAATACCAAAAGACAATGTCCAAGGAGTCCAAAGAAAATTATGGTGATTAATTTCACACTTTCTACGATACTTTAATTTCGTTTCCGCCATCAATGCTTAAAGAACTCTCTTTGCGCGGCCATTTCACCATTCAACAGCCATCTTCATCTATACACAAAGCTCCTAAGTACTAAGAAGAATTCAGCAACCATACCTATGATTGACAGACATCCAGAGGCTCCTTAGCACAGTTAAAGCCGTCGACCTCGTAAATGCTGCTGCAGATGGCGTGGTAGAGCTTATAACTGGCCCAAGTGATGACAGAGAGGCCCCTTTGATCTGTAGCCGCTGGCGAAAGTTTCTTGTCATGACCATAATTATTGTTTCTACCCTAACCACGAAAGTCCCCTACATACTCCAGTATTCTGTGCTAGCCGATATCACCCATGACATGGGCATCGCCACACTCTCCACACCAGATCTCGGCCCTACCTAATATGAACATCGCCGACATCATTTTTGCCCTTGAGCGAGGAGTGTGAATATCCGTCTACGTCTTCGTCTTGTTGGACTATAGTCGCCCGTCTCCTCTTGTGGCGGGTTTCTTCTTCAAGGCGCATGGATGTCGATGGACTATTCATTTTGGAGTCAACGTTACTAGACATCATTTGTCCTCTTCTTCTTTTGTATGGAGGAGACTAGGTCTTTCTGGCCAATGATAGAAGGCGTGGAAGATGAGGTCCGTCATATGAACGAAAATACTGTAGAGCCTAGAGTGAGTATGAAGGAGAAAAAGGCCGGGTCGACTGTCACAGACCAGAACACGGGCATCGTATAAAGCAAGAAGAGCTATATAGAGAAGAAGTTGAAGTCCTTTGTCAGAATGAAGAGCCGACCGATGAAGACGTAAAGGTTCAAGTGTATGGTGCGGTCACTTGCCATCATTGTTCAGTTTCCCAACATTAGATGGGCCGTATTCATATAAAGAGTCAGTTTAGTTCGCCGCCGAATAACTAGTCTACTGGCGCTGTTGGCCTCATTTATGTCGACCCTCAAATTGGCACAGCCTCTAGAGGCCACTGGCCGTGCTGCTTGCAATGTTGAACCTCTCATCTCCATGATTGCTCGCCGACAGGACATTCGGGAACCATAACAGAGCCTCTCTGAGGCATCTTCTCCTGCATCGGCCTCATGATCTAGGACTTCGGTGTCCACTAGGCAGGTTTTGGTTGTTGGTCTCGCCATCCTGACATTTGGTTGCGCTGCTGGCAGCTCTATTGTACTGTCGTACACCGCCGATTGCTTCGAAGACATGAGTGAGAGAGCACGGCGTCTATCATCATCTACAACACACTCAGCTTCGCCACATCTTACGGCATCACCCCCTGGTTTCCAACATGCATTTGCAGGACTGCCCCGTGACGGCTGGCTTCATCTCGCTGACTTGCATGACCTTTTGTTTATGGTTTAGAAGGGCAAGTCGCTACGTCAAATCATGTGCCAACAGGTACTGGAATTATGCCGAGAAGGATACTTTTGCTACGAATTAGGGCATTGGCAGATGCTTCTACAATATAAATTATACATGCATTTTAGATTATTAGTCATTATTTTGTTCCCCCCTTCATATTATACTATCAACTATAATACATAGTATTCTGTTCGTTGAATAACGCGTCACAGACCTCTGTATTGCTTTGAAATCATATCTACTAGAGAGTGAGGCTTTCATCAAGGCTGCCATCCGTCTTGGCGGAGATAGAGAGGCGCGAGGCTGTGTTACAAGTCTTTTGAGAGGGGACATGTATGCCCAACCGGCATGGACACTATGAGGATCATCGACCGAGTCTCGAATCGGGCATCATTCTGGGCTAATTCCAAGTTTCAAGCTCCCAAAGACTGTGAATTTGTATCCATCCGGAAATATCTGGCGCCGTTTCGTTGCCAAGACGGGCAATCATGCGTATACTGGTGATAGCGCCGCACAGCCACCCTGCATACTCCTTGGTGTGGCCAAATGCGGCTTGATGCAAGGATCTTTGGTTTAGCAAATCCAGTTTAAGCTTAAATCGATGCTTCATTAACCGTAACAGTCTTTTGGTGGAGAGGTCCTCTCTGTATGCGTTGGTTGTTTGTGGGGAGTCACATTGTAAACCTGCGAGGAAGCGGGTGCGCCCACTCACGCGACTGGGAATAAAGTCATTTCATATCGACTCGTTAGGATCGTGTAGATACGCTAAGATCCCAGAATTTGCACGTGGTGGGCTCAGCCTCGTCCACGATAAGAGGGCTCATGAATAGCATCACACCGTCCTTTTCCCGTCGCCCATTTGGTTTTATAAAAACCCTTTTTACTCCTGTTCCATCTCTTCTAGCAGATATAGGTTCGTTACCGCTTGCTTCAGCCGACCAGCAAAGATGAGTGCCCAGAATAATGTCAGTTCTGTCTATTTGGACAATGTCGACTTCTTCATAAACACGAGCAACATGGTCAATCTCTCTTGGCCAGACGTGTCGGAGGCATTTGCCAAGCCCTTGATGCTCAATTCGTTTCCCATCTCTGGCTACGACTGGACTCAGCCTTACCCAGGAAAGGGTCTTGTTGACGGCCATGGTGTGCGTCTTTCGATAACTGACGATTTTACTATTGATGACAGGAGGGATGTGGAAAACTCGACCACAATCCTGACTTCGTTGACCTTTAGCATCCCTGAACACATGAGGCGTAACGGAAAAGCCTTACCCATGGACCCATCATGGTATATCTGCCGCCATATCTTTATTTCGACCAATCCCGAGGCCAAAAAATCTGCTGATAGAGGCAAATGCGGAACAATCACTCAGGAATGTGCGAATGACCTTGCTGCCGACTTGACCTGGGATTGGGGCTACGCAAACGATGATTCTATGTGCTCGCAGCGGATAGGCCATCCTATTCCGAACAATTGCGTCGGCTCACTTGGTTATTCTATTCAGGATATTCTAGGTACGTAATAGCTTTATCAAGAAAGACTATAAAATGTTGCTTCTTCTAACCGTTTCCTGCATGTAGTTGCCAACAGCACTATTGTGGCCGATCCTGTGCTAGGGCCTCTCCAGACAAGCGGGAAGCAGCAACAAAACAGCTGGCGTATTGGAACTGGCTATCACCGTCCTCGTGATCCTCTTGCCTTTGAAAAAGCCTATAACAGAACCTACCTCGTGGCTACTGTTTGGGGCTTCAGCAGGGGAACTGATCCCAAGGACGTTAAAATCCCAAGAATCACTTGGACCTGCGTATCGGGTGGAACTCCCTGGGTGCCGCCTGCTCATGACTTTCCCGATCCCCCACCGCATTTACATGAAACCTACGCGCCTAGCAGGCCGCCTTCAACTGCCACCTCATCCAGGGTGACAACTTCGTCTACTATCACGTCTGGCGTGACAACTTCATCTACTACCACTTCTACCGGTTCAGCTTTATCTGCCACCCCCACGTCTACCGGGCCAACCTCGACAGAGCCGAATTTGCAAATTGTATACTTGTTTACTGTAATGTTAATTATAAGCTTTGTTTTAGATGAGTATGCTAGCATTATGTAATATCTTTATATAGTATTACTGCTGTTTAAGAACTATACTTAGCTTTAAAATCTATCCAAAATCTATCTAAAGGGCAGTATTTTATAATTTAATAACAGAAAGCTCCTTTTCTATAATCTACATATATTTATTAAATCTTTTTTTTTTTAAAAAAAAAAATAATTTATATTCATACTACTGAGAATAAATAAAGATATTTATTCTTAGCTGTTATATTTTATTTAATATAAACCTGGAGCGAACACCGAGGACTAGTGAATGCGGTCTTTTTTTTTTTTTAATTTCTTTGATTGGGCTATTTATATACGCTGTAGACATATTAGAAGCTCCTTTCTCTAATCTCCCTAAAATAGACATCTATTACGTCGTATCTAAGCATACTCATATTGCTATTTAATATGCCGCGTCTCTCTAACATTGCTAATTTTAATCCAGAAAAAGACACCCTCAGTCTCTGTCCACAACCGCATATATCTCTCTCTTCTCCACACACACAATTCATCTACTTGCAAACGTGGCAACGTCAGAGCTCGGTAGGAAACCATTTGGAAGGGCCACTGTAGTGACGGATGACAGACAGCAGCCACCACGATTCGTCCTTTGGTGGTGTAACCCCTTGTCTAGGCTTCTCAGCCTCTGTCTCTGTTTCACAGCTGTGTTGTTTGGCGGGCGGGGGCACCGTGCCCTCAGTAGTCTTGAACTTTTGGTCTTGATGTTCGCTTTTGGCATTGCTCTTCTGCCCTGTTTCTTGTCGATCTGGAGAGATTTTGGTCAGTACCTCTATTTTGATGTCGCTCGAAGAAGGGGGTTTCCATTTGTCCTTTGTACGTACCGAGAGTAGGATGAGTGACTTTTCTATGGAGGGCAACTACTTGCTGATCGAATTGCTCTAGTCGTGTAGCAAGATCACCCTTTTTGACGGGCATAAGATCACGAAACTCGAAGATTGGGGCCGGTTTTTCACTTGCTCCATAGACGCCTTCCATGCGATCCCCTAAGCCTCCGATCTGGCCATGTCGAACCATCTCATCCATTAACATCAACAAGTCGAGTTGTAATGTGCTTGGAGGCAATGGTTGGAGTGTGTCTAGAAATTCCTTGACCGGCAGATTTCCACTTGCCCTGGCGGCCGCCTTGCCGGGCCATTCCTCGACGATGTCCCGCCGCAAATCTTCTGGTAGCCATTTGAACTTCTTGCCCTCAATGGTCTGCTTGCCGTTGGACCCCTTTGAGGCGAGCTCGCGAACAATGTCGTATAAAGAGGTGCCTTGGGCAAATTGCGCCTGAAGCTTATGCGAAGCAAATGCTTTATACATGGTAAGGAAGTTGGTACGTGGCATAATATTCAGCCCACGCTTCGGCCCATGCTCGGGTTTCCCTTCCGAAGCAATAGCGCAGTAGCTAGTCAGTAGGGAGAAAAAGCCTAAGAATTCAGCGTCGATGTCCTCCCGCCGAATAGCTTTGAAAGCCCCGAAACTTTCTGCCGTCAGAAGAATGATTTGTGTATTATAATCTGACCCTTGGTTGATCAAGATGTTGCCCTTATTCTGGATTTTGGAATCCTCGAGAACTTGGAGAACGCCCTCCATGGGCATCGCGGTGGTAACTTGAGGGTAAAAAACAAACAAGGGCGAATCAATCGCCAATCGCCATTTGACTTTCCATGGATTGGCTGCCACCGGGTCGCCCTGGACGTCGGCGAGGCACCCCCCACCGCCACAAAGCGCCCACCAGTTTGTCTGAACAACTATTTAGCAACGCATGAGCTGGATTACAGACTGATGGATAGAAAATTATACCATGTAGTTGGCAATCTCTCCGCCAATGAGAGCTGATGTGCCAGCACCGACTTTATTCTGTTCGCCGTCGACTATGATCTCCGTTATCAGATTTTGGGGCGAGATCTCCGCGGTAAGCTTCCAGTTAGTTTGAGGACCGCCAGAAAATCCTTGAGGTGTGACCTTTTTACCCTTCAGAGCCTCTCTTTCAAGAGTATCAAAAGCATCCCAGACTTTCTTAGTGGAATCATATGAGACTGAAATAACTTCAAACTCGACTCCAAGCCCTGGAGTCACATAAGCCGCATTGATACCATTTGTCAAAACCTGTTGTTGGAATGGAATAGCAATGGCCGCAGGTGCTGTACAAAGTATCGTAGTGGCAATAAGATAAGTAGGTTTTATAATGGAACGCATGTTGGTAATGCTTTGGGAAAACCCCGGTTGGACTCGAAGCAACAGTTAAATAATTATAGCAACAGAATGATGAAACAGTCTGTTTTAAAATATAGGATGACCTCGAAACTCTGGTTCTTGGTGAAAATCAATGGAATGAGGGCTGATAGCGAAAGAAGGGAAAGGATGATGCCCGGGGTCCTGGTCTCGTATTATAGACGAGACACTGATTCTTCCGTTGAAGACCTAATTGATTGACAGAAGGAGATGGTCAGTCCTTGTACGGCGTATATCGCTCATGTACCGAAGTCCCTTAGCATGTTGTGATAGAAGAGGGGTTTCGTATCGAATACACGTCTGTTTCTAGCTCGGGCTCAGATTTACCAGCTGCAGTAGCCACTGCACATGATGCCTCTTCCTGCACATTGTCGCAAACGCGGAAGAGACGGTGTGGTGGCAATTACTCGAGCTCTCTCTGATTGGTATCTCACTAACACCCTCGAATAGTTTCGATCGATCTAGATTGTTGGTCAATAATGGCTCATCGTTGGTCAATTATGGCATAAATACCTAAAAAAGGATATAAGATACCTATACTATAGTTACAACGTAAGTTCGGAACGAAGTGTCTCTGGGCAAACAACCATATGCCGCGTCACCGTATAACTACATGTACCAATGCTATCGGGGCTTTGCGTCATTCTCTCAGGTTGGTGTCTAATTTTACTCTAGCTACACATTATGTATGCCATCCTCGCATAGTTTCGATCCATTTAGATTGTTGGTGAATCATAAGGAGCTCATTGTTGATCAATTATGGCTCATCGTCAGTCGACTATGGCTCATGTGCCCGAAAGGGGGTGTGAAATATGCTCTAGTTGCATCGCCCTACGGCAATAACAGCTACTAACAAAATATCTCCGGCAAACGACCATGTGCTCTGCAGCCGTGTACCTACCAGGGACTAATATTGTCGGGGCTTTATGTCATAAAATCAGAGATGTCACATGCGCAAGGCTGTCAAGGCTGGCAAGGCTGGCTGACTGGTTCGAGCCACACAATCCACGGATGTACTGAAGCATACTGACGACTAAGTCTGCTTCATTGTCGTGCCTCTACTCGCTTCCACAATCTTACAAATCTTTGGACGCGATGCCTTCTTCGCAAGCAAATTCACCGCCCTCCCTTACGAATCTCCCGCAGGAGATCATCCGGCAGATTTTCGAGTCCGCCCCGGACTTCTCTGTCGTCAATGCTCTCGCTCGAACAGCCCGACCTCTCTATGCGAGCTACGTTGCAGGCTGCCCGGCCATCTTTCACGCCGTTGCCTCCCGCATCCAGCCTGAATTTCCCTTTGCCAAACGGCTGGTCGATACCCAAGAAGCAGCCAATGATGCGTCACCTTTCCTCTCTGAAGACAAGGACAAGCGAAAAAACGGCCCGTCTCGCGATGAGCGCCTGCTTTCCAACGCCCGCTGTGCAGCCATAGCCAGCACCAACTTCGCTGCAGAATGCAAAATCCATCTCTTCACTAGCGCTCGCGGCAAAGAGAATCCGGAGTTTCGACCCTCAGAACGCGCAAGGTTCAAAAAGAGCTTCTATCAACTCTGGACCCTTTGTATCCTTGCAAATACCCCTTCCCTCCTCTCCTCCGCCCTTGAATACCTAGACATGCTGAATCCGATCGAGTTAGCAGGCCTCGACGAGATGACAAATTGGGCCATGGGATACAGTGAAAACGAACCTGAGGATTCATGGCTGGATTTTAAAACCGGCTTACGGGATGCCGGTTTCGATATGGTGAACCAGTATTGCGATTGGGAACGGAAGGAAAAGAGCGGGCATAGGAAAATACATGTGTATAGTGATGAGGCACCGCTGGGATTCTGGGTCTTCTTCGACCACTCGCAGAAATATCTAAAGCAAATTGAGGCGCATTGGTAAATCGGACAAAATCTAGATAAGGAACGGAACATCTCTTAGGGTTGCAAGAGTCAGTAAAGCAGCAACGTGGCACTGGGTGCTGCGGTCAAATCCGAACAATTCCTTAGCAGAGAGGTTTTTTTGCACTGTGGGTGGGATGTTATTTGCCTAAGAGCGAGCCGAGTTCCGTTAGTCAATAGATCGTCAAACGTAGGAAAATTCACTTGCTGGTTAGAATCGGTTGGTGGAACGAATTGTCATTATATATACTCTTGCCTGAGGGTATCGTGTATATAATCTACCTCTATGAACCCCTCTTCACTCTCTTCTAACCTAACTTCTGATACGCCACCCCTTCGTCTACCGGGCCAACCCCGACAGAGCCGAATTTGCAAATTGTGTACTTGTTCGCTGAAATGTTGATTGCAAGCTTTATTTTGGGCGAGTATGCTAGCATTATGTAATGTCTCAATATACATAGGTAGTGTTGCCGTCGTTTAAGGACTATACTCAGCTTAACACCGGAATGTATCCGGAATGTATCCGGACGGCGGCATTTCATTGCCTAGCAATAAAAAGCTCCTTTCCTATAATCTATATACATTTATAGACTCTTCTTTCCGTGAAATAGTTTAAATTGGAGCCGTGATTAGATAGGTAAGTGGAGCTATTCAGTCCCAGCTGTTGAGTTCTATCCAATGTGAAGCTTTACATTGCAATTATGGAGTATCTCGCTTCAACTCCACAGTCTATTGCCCATGGGGTAGATCGACCTGTTTAGTATCTTGTGGAGCAATAGTCACTCTTCAAGTTTCACCAGGGTGCGGCATCATTAGTGGGCAGAAACATATTTAAAAAGGTATTGAGGCGTCATTTTGGTCATTTCAGTCTTCTCACAAATGCCTCGGCTTCTCTTGATTGCCTGCCATGAAATCCGTCATCGTCAAAGCGCATCCTCTACGATGCGAGATCATAGACACTCCCATCCCACAACCCGGGCCGGACGAGGTCCTGATAAAAGTCATCTTCTGCGCCAGCAACCCACGCGACTGGAAAGCCCCCGATCATCTTATTCCTGGCATTGAAATAAACCAGGGTAATGAAATGTCTGGGATTGTCGAGGCAGTGGGGAACAATGTGTATGAGTTCCAGAAAGGCGACAGGGTTGCGGCAGCGCATCCTATGCAGACGGAGAATGGCACTTATGCCGAGTACGCAACTGCTCCTGTGAATACGTGCTTTCTGCTGCCGCCTAATATCTCATTTGAAGGTTAGTTGCCAAGATGTAATTTGGCACGTTTACCAATATTTGCTCATATACGATATAGAAGCCAGTACCATACCGTTTGCCTTGTGCACAGCAGCAATAGGCCTATACCAACGTCTCAAAATTCCGTTTCCTACATCCCCAGAGAGCACCCAGGTTCAACCTCCATTGATCATCTACGGAGGAGGCTCTTCCATTGGAGCATTTACGCTAAAATTGGCAAAGTTTGGACGCTTTGAAAAAGTCATTGTTGTATGTGGATCTGGAAGACCATACATCGAGTCGCTTGGCGTAGCTACGGATTTTGTGGATTACCGAAACTGCAATGTCGTTAGTGATCTAAAAGCTGCTCTTGGAGGAAAGAAGTGTTTTCACGCTGTTGATGCTATCAACGATAGTAACAGTTTTCGACATTTATCACAAGTGTTGGCGCCAGAAGGATCTTGCATATCGGTATATCTGCCTCGTTTAGATTACAGCGATATTCCTCCCTGGATTTCTGTTGGCATTACTTTCTTCGGCACGGTTCACGGTCATAAAACTCCAATTAGCGACGAGGTACACAACGAAAATATGGATTTTGCGTATGCCTTGTTTCGGCTCGTCGGTCGATGGATTGCTGAGGGTAAGATGAGCGGGCACCCATACGAAGTTCTGCCGCACGGGTTGGAGTCTGTTGAAAGGGGCTTATGGATGTTGAAAGATGGAAGTGTAAGTGCTAAGAAGCTTATATATAAGGTTTCTGATACGCCTGGGATAAGTCCTGTGTAATATTATAGTGGGATGTATTAGAAACTAAGCTCTTACAAGTTAACTTAAAGTGCTATTTACTTAATTAGATGATGTTCGAACACAAATTAGGCGAAGACAGTTAGTGAGATAGTTTTCTACGTAACGATTTCCAGATAAGATGCCAAGTCGGCTTTCAATTGACAACTCTAATCTATGTGCCATTTCTATTCTAAATGTCTGCGGAAAGTAACCAACTTACATTGTAGAGCCATTCCTAGACAGTCTTCATAATATAACCTTTAGATTCCCGAGTGCTCGGCAATCAAGTTTGAAGAGTTGGGCAGAGAATCGATGCAGCTGCGGTCAATGTCTCCAATCTTGACAAATCCGCCAACTTCCATCAAAATATCAAATTCCGCCAACAAGCTCTTCAAGACATGTCGCACGCCGTGCTCTCCGGCGATTCCGAGACCCCAGACCCAGAGACGGCCGATGAATACGAACTTTGCTCCGAGGGCAAGGGCCTTGAAGGCGTCGGCAGCGGTGCGCACTCCAGAATCGAACATGATCTGTTAAGGATTAAGTCAGCTTTACGAGGTTCCTTCAGTGTCCAGATGGGGGTTCATCTTACATAGATCTTGTCTCCAACAGCGTCGACGATCTTCTCAAGAGCATCAAGACTGGAGATGCCTCCGTCAACCTGTCTTCCAGCGTGGTTCGAAACAACAATTCCATCCACACCCCTGAGAGAAGTCAATATTCAGCATATTCGGTTATTGTAGCAATATCTCAAAAGAAAACTCACAGTTCAACCGCTTTCTTCGCATCTTCCACACTCTGGATGCCCTTGAGACAAAATGGCCTTCCTCCGCTAATCCTCTTCCACTGCTCCATAGTCCACTTCATCTTCTCCCAGGTGATGGCGCGGCCGTGCCAGATATTCTCATCAATCCACTTTGCGCCCGCCTCCTTTGGATTCTTCACTGGGTCAATCCCAGACTCCTTGAGGCGCTTTTGGAAAACGGGGTCCTGGAGACCAAGGTCGCCAGCTCCGTGTTCATGGTAGAAGGCGTAGTTTCCGGTGAAGACGTCGTTGTGGCGCCAGCCGAGGGACCAGGTGTCCGTTGTCAGCATACAAGCGTCGAAACCGGAGTCAAAGGCCCGCTGGAGCATGGAGATGCAGAGTTCATCGTCGGGACTTTGGTATAACTGGAAGAATCGAGGTCCGGAGCCATTCGCTTTGGCGACGTCTTCGATGCTGTAGCTTCCAGCAGAGGACAAGCAGTAAGCCAGGTTAAGCTCTTGAGCTACTTTAGCCACGGAAAGCTCTCCGGTGGGATGGTAAATGCGGTTGATGCCAATTGGAGCAAATCCAATGGGAGCAGACACGCGGTGGCCAAAGATTTCGGCTGCAGTATCTCGCATGTTGGTGTCAACCAGCATTCGAGGGACGATGCGGTGCCGGTAGAAAGCCTGGCGGTTAGAAAGGTGGCTCCAAGAAATTCCGGCATTGCAGGCAGAATAATACCTATAGTTTGATCAGTTTATCTTTTCAATCTGAGATTGTGGCCTCGTCAACTTACCAGCCTCCTTGAGAAAGCTTCTCCTTCGCCAGCTTCTCAATCTCAGCCGGGTCTTGACCCTTGCGTTAGTGGAAATTTGTAGTAGGAGGAATCATGAGAACTTGCCGGTGTTGAAGATTGGGTATTTCCCATCGTTGGTATTCCAAAAGGATTCTCGTTGATACAGCGACCACTGGGGAGTGGTCCTGATGTTGATGTTGGGGTTGTTGGGGTCAGACATTGTTCAGAGGTGTTATTGATTGAGTATTTGATTCTATTGATGTTATTGCTGTTGGATTTTCAGTTTCTAGAGTTTTTTATTCTGAGATATGGAAGATATATATACATGTTCTCATGTTCTTGTCAACACTACAGATTTTAACTATCAGCCAGTGTGCTGACGGTGATGATGCTTTTTTGGCATCACCGCCGCCACAGAAACACGACTAAATCCCGAGCATGCTCCGATTATGAGACCAAGAAATTCAATTCAACTGAAATGAAGCAAGAAAGAAGCCATCGTAACGTCCACTTGACGTCAGCACGGTTAATCTTGAGCCCTTTTAGAGTGTAGGTACTCCGAACCGAGCAAATGTATGGACAACAGTATGAGACACAAGACAGTCAGCTACTTCATCTCCTGTAACACACCGTGTCGTTTCTCGGCAGAAATTTGCCTTTCGAAACTGGATTATTTCCATACAAGAACCCATCCCCAGACGGATATCCGCCTCCGCTTGCTGGTCTGCTGCCATCTACTATATAGCATGTCGGCTAAATGAACTGCCTAAATGCAAACTCCATGATCTTACCCTAGATCATCTCGGCTTGCGGCAAACATGGCAGCTGTGGGGCATCTAGTGATCCAAATCTCCGGCACCATCTTGATAGGATTTTTATATAAGAGCTGCACTCCCATCTTTGCTCAAGCAAACACTTTTAATTGCTTCCGTCTCGACAATCCATATCATCGGCATATCTTTCTGGTGGCAATTTATCCGCAATGCAGTTCCGGCAGCCTCTTATCTATGACATCAGCGGCTATCATGATCCGAGATCGCGGCTATTCCCGAATCGGCCTACTGATACCTTCATCAGCTCTGCGGAAGACTTTTCATTGGCTTCTCGAGAACCACAGTTATGCCCGTAATATCCGGAGCTTCATCCTGGCAAATAATGCAACTGGATTATTATGCATTAGATCATCTCTGGTTGGATTTATTCATTCTCTGTCGTTAAAACGTCTTTTCTGCGCTGACAATTCAGAGAGCAGAGAGCTACCGAAGCTGAGATGGACAATCTTGGGTTTCAATCCGTTTCTCAGATGCCGGATTCCTCAAAGATGACGGCAGCTTCAGCTCAGGAAAAAATTTGCAACCAGGGTGAACCATCATGCTACTGTACACGGACTGGAGTGATTCGAATTTGCGTGATCTCTCAAAAAAGGCCGAGATAATGTGACTTTCTACATCTGTCGATCAGGGGACACGGACTGCGAGCTGCGCAATGCAACCTTGGCAACCTCTTCCTCAGCTCCGAAGGCCCATACGAGGCACAAATTGCGGCCATCAGACGACTCTAAACATCGTGGGCCGAGCAGAAATTTCTCATCTTGATCCTTCGGTGGAGATCACGTTATTCTGGATATCCCAGTTTGCCAGAATACGGGCATTGCGCGTTCATGCCTGGGCTGAGTGGACACCACTGTGGACACGAGTGGGAACGGCACGCCTTTGACAGCGATCCGCAAGCGGCAGATGCACGGCAATCATGGCCGGACATTCCGGTGCCATGTGGAGCTCTCGAGACAAATCCATGACTCGGCGTGATGTTTGCAGAGCGAAAACGGCAATGGCTGGGAGAGTATCTCCGATGAATTTCTCCGCCTCAACCTCATGATGGTAACCGCATTGAACAGGAGACACTATGTATACCTATAAGGCTCTGGTGAGGCCCATCTGGTGATCCAAACCACGGGACCGCTTGATTATTGAAAGCCATTCTCCAGCGGCCCGCAAAGCCACCGAGATGGACGCGAGCGCACAAGCTTTTATATGCCATGTGGGACTATCCCTATTGCAATCCCCTTTACTTGTACATTCCAAGTTATATCAGCATTACGACAGTTAGCTTTCGAAACTAGTTTATCTATCAGACATCTTCTCCCCTAATCTCCATCTCTTGAAATCCTCATTACACTAAATCTGTGAATCAATCAAACCATTGGATCGAGTGTAAACGCATGATTCGCAGCTAAAATCATGGGATTTTTCAAGAAACAAGCCTCTCCTCCTCAGCAGGAACCAAAGAGGGACCAATCTCCCAGCAGTGGAGGCTCTGAGCCTCACTCTGAGGAAAAGGTCACTGTACTTGCCTGTGCTTTGGGAGCCGTTGCTAGCATTGGTGGTTTCATCTTTGGATATGTCAGGTAAGACATAGTGACATCTACGTCAATTGATTGTATCTAATCTTGTTGGCTCTACAGTGGTCAGATTTCTGGCTTCTTCTTGATGCCAGACTATGCCAGCCGCTTCGGAGAGCTACAGAGCGATGGATCATACACTTTCGGTGCTGCCCGTCAAGGCACCATTGTTGGTCTCCTTTGCGTTGGCGCACTGATTGGCGCTTTGATTGCTGGCAAGATGGCGGACACCATCGGCCGTCGACTCTCGATCTCGCTGTTTTCCTTCTTCATCTGCATTGGAACCATTATCGAAATCTCCTCCTCGCACCACTGGGTTCAGTTTGCTATTGGCCGTCTTGTCACTGGTCTTAGCATTGGAGCACTGTCTGTTGTTGTTCCCATGTACCAGTCGGAAAGTACCCCAGCTGTCATCCGCGGTGTCATCATATCCTCGTACCAGCTGCTCATTACCCTGGGTATCTGGACAGCTGAAATGGTCAACTGGGGAACTGAGACAAAGGCTTCTAGCGCCGCATGGAGAATCCCCAACGGTCTCTCCTTTGCTTGGGCCCTGGTTCTTGGAGCTGGCATTCTGTTCCTTCCTGAAAGTCCTCGATATGCCTACAGCCGTGGCCGAGTCGATGAGGCCCGACAGACTATTGCACGACTCGCCGGTCTCTCAGTCGACTCGGAAATCGTCAACCACCAGATCGCTGACATTCAAGCAAAGATTGATGAGGAGAGTCAGAACGTGGCAGAGTTCCGCTGGACTGAGATTTTCACTGCCCCTCGTATGCTCTATCGCACAATCCTGGGAGTTGTTCTCGGTGGAGGCCAGCAGCTGACCGGTGCCAACTTCTTCTTCTACTTCGGTACCACCGTCTTTGCCGCCACTGGTATTAGCAACAGCTACACGACACAGATTATTCTCGGATCGGTCAATGTCTTCTGCACAATCATCGGCCTCTGGATTATTGGCCGCTTCGGTCGACGAGTCATCCTCATGACTGGTGCCACGTGGATGATGATGTGCTTCCTGTGAGTTTTCTCCTAATTCTTTAACGGTATCAAAATTGGACAGCGTTGTTGACATAATTGATAGTGTGTATGCGTTCGTCGGCCACTTCGCTCTCGACCGCGAAAACCCCATGAACACCCCCAAGGCCGGATCTGCTCTGGTTACATTCTCCTGTCTTGCCATTGCCGCTTTCGCCGTCAGCTGGGGACCGCTGGTTTGGACTGTTAATGCAGAGCTGTACCCAGCTCGATACCGAAGTCTCTGCATGGGTATTGCCACTGCTTCTAACTGGTTCTGGAACTTGTACGTCAAGACCCCTTTATTGACTCTTATGATTGAACTATTTGCTGACTCAAGACTTTAGTTTGATTTCATTCTTGTAAGTTTTATTCATGTTAGAAGGGCAACAGAATCAAGCTAATGACTGTGACTTATAGCACTCGATTTATCACCGACGACATTGACTATTTCTACGGTCTCATCTTTGCTGGATGCTGTGCAGCACTCGTGCTCGTCGTATTCTTCTTCGTTATCGAATCCAAGGATCGAACCCTCGAAGAGATCGACATGATGTACGTTCAGCACGTGAACCCCATCACGTCAAGCCGATGGGACGCTGCCAAGTACCGCAACGAATTGAGAAGGGCCAGCGATGCAAGAGACCACATGGTTCATGAAGCTGAGAAATAAAGGCGTGTAATCCAATCCATCATACTGATTCACTGTCTTATTAGACAGTGGTCAGACTGTCACATAATGTAATCTGAAACGAGAGACGATATGTACGGTATAGGAGATTTGAGGGTGGTGGATAGCATGTAGCATAGCGTGTAAAATAGCGTGTAAAACAACATACATACAATTGTCGATTTATTTCCATTGCCAATCGCATGAGCTGAGCAAATTCCTATCTTCAGACTACGGTGACATCCTCCAATCATGCATCACAGCAGCTTCATTACACTAAAAACACTTCTTTCAGCCACCATGAGTCCAATGTGGGAGGTTACTTTTCTTTTCCCTTTTTGGCGATGGAGAAGCGGCTAAAAGGCATAATTCTGTGGAGTTGGCGTTGTGGTATTAACCATAATTTTGCTGCACTCTGCCGGATATCGGACCTAAGACAGGCTTCAAGAAATTCAGCATCTCACTCATTCACGATGTAAATTTCTGGAGCGTGAGCTGATCTGGTGTTGAGCCTAAGATTTATCATTATTTAAATAGTATCTGAATAATATAGGTGGCAAATGATTAGCGATGGTATCGTAATACTCTGTCTTTGCGAAACGCCAAATATAGATTGGCATCCTTCAAGTATGCTAAGACAAGCTCCGGTCTTGGTCATCCCCGCACGAAGAGCAATAGCTCAAATTCATAGTCCTGAAGTTCGCCTTTCAGACAAAATAATAATAGGATTTTCTCTGTGAATAAAACGCGAGCCCTTCAATTTCAACCCATTCACTGTAAACATAAACCTTCCATTGCTGAAAGACTGTATGCTCTCCCTTCGAAACCACCTTTATATCACCCAGACTTAAACAATGGCGCCTATCCTCCTCCCTCCAAATTATCCCCCCCGCCGCTTCTATTCTGGTGGTGCGATGATCGGCGCCTTTCGTCAAACCAACACTCCCGTTGCTTCTTACGAACCGGAAGATTGGGTTGCTTCCACAACCTGTTGCCGCGGCCAAGGGAACATTGGATTGACCCGTCTGCCTAATGGAACCTTGCTTGTTGATGCCGTCAATTCTGAGCCCGAAAAATGGCTAGGGCCTGACCATGTCGCCAAGTATGGACCGGACACGAAGCTCCTTGTGAAGCTGCTTGACCCTGGGCAGCGCCTCCCTGTTCATGCTCATCCTCACGTTGACTGGGCATCGAGGCATCTCCAGAGGAAGCATGGAAAAGCCGAAGCGTGGTATATTCTCATGCCGGGATCCGTCTGGCTCGGTTTGATCGAGGATATCGACCCGAAGGAGTTGCTTCAAATTGTCCAGGAGAAGAGAGGCGTTGAGCTGCTGGACCGAATGCATAAAATTGACGTCGAGCCCCATCAAACTGTCTATGTGCCCCCTGGAGTCCTCCACGCAATTAACTATAGCGTCTTGCTCGTTGAAGTACAAGAACCAGAGGACATGTCTATCTTGTGCGAATGGGATGGATATAAGATTGATGGTAGCAAGGACGGCCATCTTGGTCTTGGTTTCGAGACGGCGCTCACGGCAGTTGAAACAAGAGGTCGAACCAGAGAGGAAGTCATGGCATTGGTAACTGATGCAAAGGTGGCTGAGAGTGTTTTCGCCGAGGAGTCGCAGAGCTACTTTCATTTGGAGAGAGTAGTCGTTAACGGCCAGAGTCGATGCCGACGGGGCTTTGCTATTCTCGTCGTTCTAATGGGTCTTGTCCGTTTGAAGACGGAATCTTCCGAGCTTTCGATCCTGAAAAAGGGGTCGACAGTGGTCATTCCGTATGAGGATGGCGAGTTTATCCTGGAGAGTGAGAATGCAAATGTTGTTATTGCTCGACCACCTCAGTAAAGAGATGAGTGTGACTAGTTTCCTATGTAATGTTAGCGGCGATGTTGATCAGTTCATAAAACACATGCTTATACGAGTTCAAAGCAAAGTCGGCTTCCCAATCACGAGTGACAGTGGCCAAGTGCTCATAATTTCCCAATTAATTTACCGTACATATCAACAGGTACCCCCCTCACGCTTGAGTAATCATGTTGTCAACCAATATGGATTCTCCAGGATCCAAGACTACCGAGACTCGACACTTCGACTCGCCGTTTCCTGACTCGCCAACTCTGCATCTCGGCCAACAATGTGTTCTTCGCTGCCGTCGTCAATCGTCGTCCAGCCAGTCTTGTTCGATCGTCCATCTTTTCCCAATCTCTCCAGACGGTTGCTCTGCTGTCCGATCGTGACAAGCCCGGGACTTGAACCTGATCCGCCAGACTGATTGCTCTTTGAGCCGCGTGATGCGGCAACAGAAGCCTTCTTTGTCATCCAGGGGCCGAGGATGGGTGCGTTGACGGCAATGATGGCAACGAACTAACAAATGTACCCTTGTGAGCGATCTGAAATATGGTGGTAAAGAGGGAGTGTGGAAGCGAATTAAACTAACAGTCTCTCGGATAGACCAGATGGTTCCCAGGTTAATGGATGATACATCTTGCAAGCATAGAATACATCGCAAGAGTGTCGCGATAATGATAAAAACGCCCATACACAACCAAAGAGCACAAACAATTTTCCTACAGCAATATTAGAAAGTCTAGAGGCCAATCTATGTTAACGGACATACCGCATCAAGGGCATTTGTACTCTCCAGAGCAGTGGGAGTGGGATTGCCAATATCATCAAGTCGGTCCTGGATTTGACATGATAGCGGTCAGCTGCTTGCCATGGTAGATGGAGGGTTGATGAAACGTACGTAACGTTGGTAACGACCAGCGCCAAGTAGTTTGGAATATTCAGAGCGCAAGCATCTATCTGCAGTTAGGTGGTGTTTATATCCCGGATGACGACCTAGCAACATACCTCCTGGATAAGGATAAACTTGCCAATTTTTGTGAATAGGTAAACATTTTGTTAACATTACGATGAGAGTAGAGAGGTAGCCCGCAAGGCACACTCCCGAAGTAATGTTAACAAGTTGCTTTTGCCGTAAATCAAGCCTATCATCGTCTATTAGTTGTCTCTTTGCCGAACCCAGAGACGCCGACAGGGTCTATGGACAACTCACGTCAATCTCCGAAAGAGGAAGAGCATGCATGTCTTTAAGCACCAAATCATCGTTACGTATAGAATCCATCCGGCAAATAGGCATTTGCTGCCGACAACAATTCGTCTCGTTTGTTCTGGCGTCAGACTAAGGGCTATCTCATCGTTGATACCAGTAATCGAACCATTTTGTCCTATAGCAAAGTCGAGATTCGTTAATACCACAACAACTGCTGAATGAGGAGCTGTTTGCTGATGAAAATACCTATTAGCTCGAGCATACACAGCTCGCCCTATGTCATGTCAGCCAGTCAATTGCACAGAAGCGTGGTAGAGGCAAAACGAACGGTCCAGAAGAAAATAGCAATCACAGCAAAATAATCATCTCCATCCCAGTCCCAGCCGACTATCGAACATCGACAAGCGATGCGCGCAAGAATAATTAGAGTGCCAAGGGCATACTCTGTCCATGCCTCAACCTGGAATGGTGTTGCCGGCATAATGTCGTCCAAACCCACACAGAACCCTTCTCATTGCATTACAAAATATCCGGCACAGTAGTCGAGTTTTGAGTCTATTCTCCCCTTCTTGGGGTACATGGTTGTCAAATACTTGGAATGCACAGGCCAGCTTTCCCCCTGAGAGATTTCAGCTTAGATTCAACGATCAGCCAAGACGACCATGCCAAGGTGGAAGCGAACCGACGAGCCTTGCCCTCACGGGTTTAAGAGCCTAAATAGCCAGGACACGAAGCACCGTTTTGACAAATACGTACAGGTACATGGATTATTACCTGGCAGGATTAAATGGCTCAAGGCCGCGAGAAAATAGCCCTTACTGGGGGGTCCATTGCCGATGGCAGGTTACTGGGATGGATGTCAAGAACGAGGGCTTCGAGTTGCAACAGCCAACAAGCTCCAGGCTAGGGATGCTCCGCGTATGCCTAAATGAGCTAAAGACGCCCGATTAAACAGACCAACTGTTGAAAATTCCAACCCCTAGGCCAACATGAAGGCCATGCCTGTATTGAAACGCCAAGACCCATAATCTGCTGCATCTAATGATGCATGCCAAGTTGTGCAGCTGTCAATCGCGTCTCTTCTCGTTGGACGATGCCCTAAAAGGTATTTGCACTCGTATAGTATAGTATGCCATCTCTATCTCCATCATGTCCATGAGATGCCTCCAGTCTGGGGTAGTACATGTATCCCCTTGTGCGGATGCTGCACAACGATCCAAATTGGCATCTAGCCATTGTTAATAAAACCCCAGGAATGCTCCCTTTCTCCTTACTTCTCTGCCTTGCTCTGCGACCTGCCCCATGCTATTATTAGTACTCCTGAACTAGATTCAGATTCGCAAAAAGTTGGCACTGCCGACTCACCGCTTCCACCGATCGAGTGACGATCAAAATGACCCTCGTTACGGCAATTCCGGAGCATTTACAGGTCGAACGAACCATCCCGGCCTCTACTCCAGCCAACTATGAGCCTCCTTTCCCAGCTTACAGCGCGCAGTTCGCCAAGGATGTCTCTAGTTTGGTAATGGCCGTCATTGGTGCTCAGTTCCCCAGCAAGACGGGAAAAGAAGAAGTTGCCATCTCCAAGGTGAACTCATTCTTGACATTTCCTGGTGAAGATGGGGAAGAATCCCTTAACCCAGAGTTTTCAGAATGGGCGGCTGTGACTGACCACAAGGGCTTCTACAACATCACTGCCCTGGCGTATTGGAAAAGTGAGGAGGTGTATCAGAAATGGACGACCAAATCTGGTTTCAAGTCTTGGTGGGAAAGTCTTGACGCGCAGGAACAGGAGAATGGCTGGTTCCTCGAAATCTTCTTCCCAACCATGGACAGGATCGAAACAGTATTTTCCAGCGGTGAGATTCCCGAGGGAGCAGCTGAAATGCGAGACGGAGTCGTTGGACCCATCAAGGAGCATGTCTACTGGGGAAGCATGCGAGATCGCCTGGCCGCTGCACAGACAGACACCCTCAAAGGCGAGGAGTTCCTCAAAGATCCTGCACAGTACACGGCAAACGGAAATCCGTCCCGGCGGACCCGAGTCCCGGGCAAACAGAACCTGGCCATCATCCGCTCAGGCCAAGATTGGGCCGACACGGCACCTGAGGAGCGGAAGCTGTACGTCAATACGATGCATCCCGTGCTCGAGGCAGGGATGACCTTTCTCCGAGATCACGGAGACGAGGTTGGCTGCTACAGCTGTCGCTTCATGGACATTGTCGACCCAGCCACGAGAAACGCTGACAAGGACCGCACCTTTGGTCTCGCGTACTTTGATGAGCTGGCCTCGCTTGAGAAATGGAGCAGGGAGCATCCCACACACCTGGCCATCTTTGGCGGGTTTCTCAAGTACGCGGCTCAGCTAAACAATGTCATCACGCTACGCCTATTTCACGAGGTACTGGTGGTGAAGCCGGAACAGCAGCTGTTTGAATACGTTGGGTGCCATCTGGAGACCGGGATGCAAGTTGCGAAATGATACTAGTTGTACACGAAGGAAGCGGTCTGCTCCGCAACGATTGAGGGGACAGGAGACTAGGAAGCCGGCATTTGGTCCCCGGCCTAGGTAGTATGTTGTTAAAAAGGGCACATGCTGTCTCAGACTGGAGTTAATGCTTACTATAGCTGCAAGCATATGAAATATAGGCAGCAGTGGTTGTTCAGCTGAATGCTGCAATTTCAAGCTTGGAGTAACTATCTGCGAAGTAGCAGTGTCCTAAATCCGTAATAGGCTCATCATCCAACGGCGCAAAATATGACCTGTCAGCCCGATCACCGCGTAGATACTACTACCCGTACAAGTAAGACGGCAAAAGTCTTGGCTCAGCCAGGTCTAGGAATACTATGTAGATCGACGACTACGGAGTACCAACACCTTGACCAGCAGAGGCCCGCTAGAAGCAAAACCGTTGCGTATACGCGATACCGCCAAAATGTGGGCATGCATTTTTCTTAAGCGGGAAATGAATACGAAGCTAGGTCCACTAGCTTCCATTGGTGATACTACTCTATACTATGTAGGCTGCTGGTCTATTCCTGGAAGTTTGCTTATAAGCTTTTTACTCATTCGTGGAAGTTGGCTACTGAGAATAGCAGTATAAAATAAGATGAATGCGGTCTGGTATAGGTCTGACGGGCTGTTGGGTCCGTCTCGTGCTCATGTACGTTAATAAATGCCAAATGATCAAGAAAAGCTCCAAATTTTTGAAACATGAACTTGCGGCATAGCATCTGGCCATGAGTCAGGAATTGAGCCTAATTCCATCCTACAACGGATAGATCTCAACGGCTACAGCCGACCGTTATTAGCTTGGGAGATGATATCTAGTCACTTTATCTATCTCAGGGGCTGGATACAATCTTTCGTCGACCGTTGATTTCGCAGAAGTGGCCGTAGTAACGCCCAGTTCTCATACTGCAATTGGAGGTTTCAGTATGATCACATACTCACATCCCCCACAGCTCTCCACAGCTGCCAAGAACTACTCTTTCCAACGGCTGAGAACAACTTGACTCCACAGACTCTGGGAGTGATGCAGAAGCTTCAGTAATCACCTGCAATCTACACCTGATCGCCCTACTCACTCAGATAATATATCTCCAATCATTATCCATGTAGATGATCCCAGCTACTGTACAGTACAGCTCCGTGTCTACTTTGGCAGCACAAGATGAGTTCCAGTCGCCGGCGTGACAACTCCATCTTCTTGGGCGCTGCAGATGCCCCACTAGCGATCATAGTTTTGTACAGGCTCCTTGCTTTAGTTTCCTGAGAGTTTCAAGTTCGACGTGTTTCCTGCTTGTCGCTGTACCTGGAACAGTATCAACGGTCTATTACATCCTATAAGTAACAGCCAAGCAGAAAGGAGAGAAATTTCCTTTGGCTGGGTGGCAGACACCGCAACGTAGCAAGCGGTGGACAGAATAACTACAAGGTAGATAGAATTGACCACTGGTCATTTCTACCTATATCTAAGTACTGCCTAATTTATCATGGCTATTAGGCATGCTCGTACTATGATGTCTAGGTTACTACTGAATTCATTCAAAGCGTACCAAGGTTGAGTTTATACAAGTATATAATTCGATTTCTGTTAACATTCTATCCGTATACACAATTGTTTCATCCGATACCCAAGTTGCCCATCCGGGCCGATTCATATCATACAATTCTCAATTCATGCCAACCCACCCCCAGAAAACATCTGCAATGCCTTTGCCTTGATCGCATTCAGCGCGGCAATGTATAGGCTAGGTCCAACGCTGATTCTCGCAACACCAAGGCTGGCCAGCTCAGCTGTGGTGAGAGAACCAGGCTTTCCAGACAACATGACGGCAACTTTTCCATCCAACTCCTTGACCAGCGTCTTGACGGTTTCGCTGGTCAAGCCGTTTGGACCACCGAAGAAGAAAACTGTGGTGGCACCGGCCTCTAGATATGCCTTGCCACGCTTGATGGCCTCAGCTAACCGAGTTTCGAGGCTCAAATCGGAAGCCTCGAGGCGGAAAATGTCACATCGGGCGTTGATGACGAAATCTGGGGCACCAGCTTCTTTGGCGGCATCGACAGCACGCTTGAGCCGTGCGACTTGGTTGTCAAGCTTGTAGAGGGAGCCGGAGATGCCCTTTCCGAAGCCAGCGGAAGGGATGCTATCTTCGAGGTTGGCTCCAGCAGCGCCGTACTCTACGGCAGCGGTGACGACGGCTGTGATGAGATCTCCGTACCCGTCCTGGAGATCGACGGAAAGGGGAAGACCGGCCTGCTCTGCAAGGGGGGCAATTCGGGAGATGGCCTCGAGGTTTTGCACCATGGTGAGTTCTTCATCTTTAATACCGAGACTAGCGGCGATAGCCCATGAAGCGGTTGCCAATGCCTTGACGGGCTTGAGGCCTTCTGAGTTTAGGGAGACAATGGCATTGAGAGATGAGGCGTCCCAGATGTTGGAGAGAACGAGGGGCGAGCCGGGCTTGTGAAGAGCCTTGAGGGTCTGAGCTGATTGGTTGATGGAAGCCATTGTTGGTGATGTGTATTGTAGATGAGATGATATGACTTGAGTTGTTGTTGTGAATGGGATTGAGATGTAAGATGAGAGGCGTGAGGGGTAAAGGGTGAGTCTATATACTTTTCTGAGCGTGAATTTGAGGCGTCAATGGAAAACACAGGTACTCAGTCAGCAATGGCAAATGTAAAATCCAACACGCAAAGTCTCTACCCAACTTCTGAAGCAATATACAATAGCAGTAGCAGCACTAGGCTGTTGTCACTCGAAGGGCGGAGTTAGCGGACTCGGGCACGAAGAAGCGATCCGGCGCCAGCCGCAGGCCAAGCCCAAGCATGCACTCAATGCAAGGCGCCCCATAGATTCACGGCCAGCAATGCGGTTCGATTCGTTATGAGTTCGCGTGGCGTTTCTTCAACGACGCACGCAAGTACGTGGAACGCAAATCGCTCGAACACGTATGGCTTGGGAGGCAGTGCTGAAGCCAGGCACCAACCACTGGGTAGATGCAACACACATGTCAGCTAGACTGATGATTTGGCCATTGTTTTTGAGGCGAGCCGGTTCTCCGGAATCCAGTCCGGCTGGTTCGGCTGTTGACGGCGGTTAGGGAGCAACAGCCAATGAAGATGGTGGTTTGTGAGGGAGCAACATGATTGGAGATTTGGGTGGTGACGATGTTGTTTGCGTTGGCAGAATAAACAGCAGCCGCATGACTAATATGGCGGGGTGATAGCAGCGAGGTTCCTGTATGAGCTCTGGTGGTGGAATAGCTGTGGGATATGAAGTGCATCATACACGCGGCATAACATTACTTGCAACTATACGGAAGAAATGACACGGCGGGCGCATATAGCGTGCCTGGTCTCTAGGTATTACTCAGAGATCAATTACGAGACATGTTTCTCATCGAAGAGGATTACATCTCCGGGGTTTTAGAGCGCAAATTATGGGTGGATTTGCTTTTGCAAACGACTTAGGGCTTCATAGGTGATTAATATTACTGTGAAGGCTGATAGAGACCTACCTAGAACATTTTATGGACTTGGGAGGGGTTGAAAATGCTGTGAAACGAGGACCTGGGTCCTATTGGTCAATGACAAGATAGAGTAGAACATCTAATAGTCTTAGGAGGTGTTAAAATTGCTGTGATGGCCGCGCACGGATGATAGCTGCCATGGCATTAGTTCCCTCAAGAAATAAAGCTTCGAGAAAAGATAAATTTGCTGTGAAGAGTCTTACACCAGGTGCATTATCGCCGAAAGCTGCTATGACTGGCAGACGCATCTGGCAACAAGGCCGTGAAGGGGGCTAAGAATGCTGTCAACGTACACGTTCTTACATACATCCCCAAGCTGTTATAACTGGTGGACGCCCCTGTAATAATAGTACGGCCTTGGGAGGAGTTAAAATTGCTGTGCACTCGACTATTGTAGTTTTTCCCCCCCCCCACCGAGTTTTACTACCCACTTGCCCACTTTGTTGACAGCTCGGGAACGTACTACCTTTGAACTGGCTCGACTGACACCCAAACACCATACTAGAAACCTAGCTTGTCTAACAGTCATAAGGACCACGACACGAAAACAAGTCAGGGAATCATTTGATCTAGCCACCATAGCCTCGTTCTTGAAGGAAAGAGACCGCTACCTCGGTTCACTGCCATTTTGACGGGAAAACTTGTCTGGTTTCTTTCTATCTTGTTTTGAAGAAACGTTCCTCTTTTAAGACCTAGCTATCAATTAGTCACGGGCCGGTTAAACTCTCTCTTCAAAGTGACAAGGTCTCAAGGAGGATTAAAATTGCTGTGAAGGCCCTTGCTGTAGCTTGCTCCAGGTAGTACCACACACCACATATAGGTAGATGCAAACGGGGACAGAAAAACAGGGACCGCAAAATGAGTACATGCATACAACAGCGTAACATGAGCACCCTTCTCATCAACTGATCATCAATATTGTATGTGCATAATTTTAGCGTGTGTGTTCAAAATCCTTCTCTTGCCTGTTTTTCTGTCACCCCTTGAGATGGTACGAAAACTATCAGAGCGCAGATAATGGGTGCCTTAGTATTTGTGCTTAGGTATGTAGTCAGATTATCACCTGGGGAGGGGCTAAGATTGCTGTGAAATAGGTGCATGGATGCGCAGCACCAATGATCATTGGTAGATGTCCCGATGGAAGATACAGACTTAGGAGGAGTTAAGATTGCTGTGAAGTAAGTGTAGATGCGGTAACGATGATTATTGGTAGATGTCCTTATAAAAGATATAGACTTAGGAGGAGTTAAAATTGCTGTGAAAGGAGGTTGCTGTAACCATATAGTATTATCGGTAGATAGCCATCCGATAAGTATAGACTTAGGCCGAGTTAAGATTGCTGTGAACAATACGGAGTATGCGTGGCTGACATAGATCGCACGAAAGCTACTGTAACTGGTAGACGCCTATAGCAACTAGGCCTTAGACTTGAGGGAAACGGTCGCATGATAGATACTTGGTACATATTCTGGAGATAATACTAACTTTTTAAGGTAATGGATATTTCTAGGTACCTAAGGAATAAATGAGGAAAATACTAATATTCGATACTTAGAATTTGATAATGCAGCCAAGAACCTGCGCCACAGCGGCGTGGGCGCCAACTGAAACGGGGATGACTGAGCCTCACCAGCCACTCCAAGCTCCAAGCTCTACTCAAAGGATCGTCGAGTGTAATTGGGCAATGGCAACATAGAGATGCCAGCAATTCCACATCCAGCGCCAAATCCGGAGCGAATAGCAACCTGAATCTTATCTCCTCTTTTGACTCTCTCGATATACTCCGTAAACCCCGTGTCACTCCAAATTTTACCCCTCACTAATACCTATACGTATATACTACCTGTCTGGAGTACACGTCGAATGTCGATATCAGCTGCACGATGCAGGAGAAGCAGCTTCTTCTCACCACATATCCCACATCCGGAGCTTCACCATGCAAAGCATCTCCACCGTCTCTACTACTACCTTCACGGCATGTCCGTCATTTGCTTGTCCCAATCCAGCAACAAGACACACGGCCTCTTCCCTTTGGCTGCGTCGGTATCCGAATCGGCTTAGCCCTGAGCACGCCTCTAACAAACAGCTCCACGCCAGTTCCTCTTTGCATTTTTCCGCCAATTTTTCTTTATTTCTTAGTGTTTTCTGCTCTCTTGTTTCTTCACTGTGCAGCAGGAATGGAGCCCAGATGCATCTTTACCGCCATTGGAATCCAAAAACAAAGCCTGAGTCGCGTGACGAGATCCCGGATTGTGTAGCTGGATCCAGAGCAACCGCCAGCATTGGCCGCCGTCCACGAGTCCAGACCCATCGTCTCGACGCTATACCGCCCTACGAAGCAAGATTTTTGCTTGCTTTTGCTTGTGATGCTGATGTAATGAGGCGATCTGCATCGCCATTTGCCAGCAAAGAAGCTGACCTGGGAACTGGGAAAGGGGCTTGCGTCACTGCAAACTTGCTGTGCCTCAGAAACCTTGGCGAGCAGAGTACCTACCAGTAGGTACGTATCGTATTCGACGCAACTCGCGGATTATTTATTATTAGAACTAGCTGTTTTGCACGACCAATCTTTATTTTTCATTTCTTTCCTCCCCCTAATAAAAAGCTTTAATATTACCTCCCATCCCCCTAGCATCCTTCCTTCCATTCCATTGTTTCGGACCTGCTTACGACTATTTTTGCATTTATTTTTCCATCTCTTCTTTTTCGCCGTCTTGTTCTTCCTTTACATCATCATCGTCATCATCACCCCCTTGCGGTCGCATCGCATTCGCCTCGCGTATCTCTCTACACCCTACCTACCTTGCTCGATGCGATTAGGTCATCGCCACCTCATCTAGACGACGACACCTTCATCACCACAGCCTCGCCACCATGATTGGCGCCTCAGAGCCCTCCGCGACGTCGCGGCTGTCTGCCTATCTCTCCCGATTAAATCCCGTGCCAGCGTTCCCCGAATACACCGGACCATACAAGGTCGGCACCCTCGATGTCGAGATTCCCGTCGCCGATCTGCCTTCTCCAGCTCCGCGACCCGAAAATGCCAGCGACATCCCAACGGTGCTGTTTCGAGTCTTCTATCCTGCCGTCGCGGGATCCAACGAGAAGCTGATCAGCTGGCTGCCCGCGCCGCAACGACACTATGTCTCAGCTTACACCAAGTTCATGGGCGTTGGACACACCCTGGCCGAGCTCCTGTCGTAAGTCATATTTGACATTTCATATTTCACGTTTCATCCAAACCTTATCTCCAACTATGCTAACACCATTGCCCAATAGATTTCTCCCCAGGCATCTTCACTACACCTCCATTCCTGCTCACAAAAACGCCACCTTGGAATCCGCCAATACCGACAACAAGCGATGGCCAACAATGATCTTCTCGCATGGCCTTGGAGGCAGCCGCAACTCGTATTCATACATTGCCGGATCGCTTGCTTCCCACGGAATCGTCGTCATCTGCCCCGAGCATCGAGACGGAAGCGCCGTCACCTCGTATGTTCGTGTTCCTGAAAAGAATGGCCGCCTGGCCCGGAAGGTTGTCCCGTACAACCGAATCTCCCATGAGGTCACACCCGAGGTGTACGAGGCGAGAGAAGCGCAGCTTAGGATTAGACTTTGGGAGATGGGCCTGGTCCACGAGGCGGTTCTGGCCATGGATGCCGGCCGAGAGTTTACCAACCTCAATCTCACCACCCCGAGCCTGAGCCAATTCGTCGGCCGACTAAATGTCAACGACCCTGGTAGCATCATCTTTGCGGGCCACAGCTTCGGCTCCACCACCATGTACCAGTTTCTCAAGAGCACCTACTACGCTGATGTTGCAGAGGTTGCTGCCATGGAGGCACCGCTGTTCAGACCCGCCAAGGACAGCAGCATTCGGAAGCAGGTGACGGAGAAGAACGCCACTTTGCTCCTGGATATGTGGTGTCTGCCTCTGCTGGCTCCCAATTCGACTCCTCTCTTCAACCTACCGCTTCCCATATACGCCGATATCCCCTCAGCACCCGGTGGTACTGCGCTACTGGCTGTTGAATCAGAAGCCTTCTTCAAGTGGCCTGAGCACCTTCATGTCACAGCACGACTATTGACGCCCGACCCATCGGCCAAGGTCGTGACCCCAGCAATCTATGAGCGGCCCAGTGGTAACAAGCTTCCCGAGCCCAATTTCTTTTACGTCGAGAGTTCGGCTCACCTGAGCCAATCTGACTTTGGCATTTTATTCCCACTCTTGACGAGGAAAATCTTCAATGCTGTCGAGCCCGAACGTGCACTTCGGCTGAACCTTCGGGCGCAGCTGCAGTTTCTCCGAGCAAACAACATTCCTGTTGCGCGAACCTGGATTGGAGATCTCGTTGATGGTGCCCACATGGACAAGCTGGACTTGGCAAAGAAGGGCAGTTCTAACGCCGATGTGGCTGTCGATGGACTCAACGATGACAAGGCCATTTTCGATAGGAGCGGACACAACATTATCGACCACTGGAACTGGATCGATACCATTGGCCTAGGAGAGCCAGATGAGCAAAAGAGCGGCCAATCGACGACGGAGCAGATTGAGCGCACCGAGGAGCAAATGAAGGGCGAGCTAGAGCCCAGCGAACAAGCCTCTCAGCCAGCTGCGATGAAAGGCGTTACTCTACCACAAGGCCACGGCTGGCAGGAGATCTAATCTCATGACTGCTCAACGGCGCTTATTGGCAGATGAAAAGTGTTGATGATATCCAATACCGGAGGCACATCTCATGCGCTTTGGCCGCTTGCCGGTCAGTTTGGTGAAGAAAGTGTACCAACACATGCAAAACATCTTTTTGCTTTGTAATGTTTCTCCTTTTTTTTTTTCAGTCTTTTTTTTTCTTTCCTTTTTTAACTTGCCTCCTTTTGACTTTTGTCTCTGTTGTTCTTCTTTGGCCCATCTCTTCGGCCCAATGTATCTTATAAAGTGCGGTTACTCGGAGTTTGGCGGACATGTTTCTTTTGCGAGCGCTGATTACAACTGGATGGATAACGACCAAGCGAACTTTTGCGGGCAAAAAGCACCCCCCCTGCCTGACATATACATAGACCGATATATAGCATATATAAAGCATTTCCGTTTGTTTCATTTGCTGCATTACTGGATATCTCATAACTTTGTTGCTTATTATGTTGAAAATTGTTGATGATTGGATCCAAGTATGACCATGATCCCCTTTCAACATACACCTAACGTCTCCTTGAATGTCCTCGAGAACGGTAGTGTGGCCTATCCTCATCTTCCCTCGCTCTCCTCTCTGCGTCGTATCTCGCCCTCCTCCTCGCCGTCTCCCTCCTCGCCTCTTCCCTTGCCTCTTCCCTCCTCGCCTCTTCCCTTGCCTCTTCCCTCCTCGCCTCTTCCCTTATTCTCCTCGCCGCCGCTTCCCTCCTCGCCTCTTCCCTTGCTCTCCTATAAGCTTCTTCCCTCCTCGTTATCCTGTCTGCTTCTACCCTCCTCGCCTCTTCCCTCGCTCTCCTGTCTACATCTTCCCTTGCTCTCAGCTCCTGCCCCCAGCCTATACTCTCTTCCTCCCTCGCTCTCTTCATCGCCTCATCCAACGCTCTCTTCCTCGCCCGCGCCCTCGCACTTTCCACATGCAATGTCCCAGCACCAATCTCTTTCATGGCCCAGGACAGATTTCCCAAGCACTCGTCGAAACTCTTATTCTGCCAACCAAGCACCGCCCTCACTCTCTCCACGTGCCACGAACCATGCCCCATTCGCGCCTCATACGGGAGGTCCCTCGCCCGCAAATCCCTCAGCAATCTATACAGCACATCGAGCTTCTCTTCCCGATGTCCTTTCGATGCGCTGTCAGGACATAACGCCTCGTATTGACTGAGGCGTTCCTGGATATCTTCGCGCTGCTTGCGGAGGAGCCCATCGTGACCGTCGAGAATCGGGGACGGCTGCATGAACCAATTTATGAAGATCTCCGCGGACTCAACTGGGTCGAAGCAGAAGAGGTTGTGTTTGCGACTAGCAAGACCTTTCAGGGTGACATGATTGCATTGGAGGGGGCGGGAACCGCTTTCGACGATGTTCGGATAAGGGCCTTCTTTTATATTAGGACAGTTTGTGTAGTCATGCAGGCTGGGCTCATTGGGCCTGAAGCACCAGCAGCCGTATTCGAGGATGTCAGGGGGAGGGGTGAGGTAGAGGAGATGATTTCGGGCCTCAGATGGGAGAGTGGAGATTATGAGGTGGATGAAGGCGTCTCGCAGGTGTTCGTAAAAGGTGCGGTCGATGCTTCGGGGAGGCATGGTGGTATTGGAGTTTGATGGTTTGGCTTGGTTTGGTTGATTTGAGCAAGTTGGATGGGGGGGTTGACGATGTTTAAGAAGTGGTGAGACTGTTGATAAAGAGTCTCGATAGTAGGTGTTGGTGTTCAGTTGTGAAAATATCAGTGAGACTGTTGATGAAGTGCCGTGATGATGGGCGTTGGTGTTGAAGTTGTCAAGATATCAGATCAGTGAAGAACATGCAGTGATTCAGGAGATGGCATCAAAGATGACTTCCCCAGCCAAATCCCTCTGCTATATACGCAACAAAGACAAAGAACCAAAAAGGGGGCGAAGCATTACACAGAGCCTCCAAAGAGAACAAAAGGCACCTTTCACGGCAAAAAGCTCTGCCAATCATGAATCATAATGTGTGAAGATGTGCAACCTACATTTTGCATTCATTATCCAAAATCCATCATCCTAAGCCCAGTCTAAAAAACACACATGAATCAAATCCAAGTATTTCCCCCAACTTGAAAAGAACTCCGCAGTATAATATCCAGAAGAAGAAAAAATCCTCCCCAAATGCTCCCAGCGATTATATATACTCATAAGATTTTCAACCTTCCCTGATATAGATGTACCCATGAAGAAGAAAAAAAGAAAATCTGTAAAAAAAAAAAAAAAACAAGGAAACATAACTCCTTTGTTCTTCAATTCATTGTCACGGCCGTGTTGTTCCCCCTAAAAGCATCTCTTTGCACACCTTTAACCGCTCTCGCGCTTCCACTAGAAGTTCCGTGTCTGCCTCCTCAAGGATGTCCACCATTACGTCAAGCAAATCAGGCAAGCCCTCGTGCAAAACGGCGGATGCCTGCTCGTCCAGCTCCGGTAACGCAGCCACGCTGGACACGTACTCGACCATCCGCGCATAACTGCTATGTCCCAGCTGCGATGTCGGCAACGGGAATCCCTTGCCCGGCGGCCGTCCCAAAGCCTGCACAAAGGCCCAGATGGCCAGCACGGCGTAGTACATGATCCACGGCCGGTGAGGATCTGGTTCGTTGCGGACAGAGTACTGGATGGCGGAGTGTTCGGGGGGATGAGGGCTGTTTCGGCGGCGTGGGTGAGGATCGACGACGACGCGGTAGAGAAGCTTGAAGGCGTGGAGGATGGCGTGGCGTGTTGAAGCTTGTGTCGACCAGGCGCCCATGCGTTTGATGACGTTGGAATAGTCCCTGGACGAGACCTTGCGGCCGAGGAGACGCTTCGCACCGGCGTATACCTGGCAGTCGACAATATCTGCGTGAAGACTGATGTGCGCAAGATGATAGAGTACCGAGGCGCTGTTGATGGGTCCGTTGGGGATGCCACGGTGGCCAGGGGCGTCGGAGATGGAATCGGACATGGCAATGTCGAAGCTGCCCTTCCAGTTGTCAAACGCGCGTAGTAGCATCTTGCGCCAGTTCTCCTGCGTCTCCATGGACGGTGTGCGGATGTCGAGCCACTTGAGATGCGTCTCGCGGTGGTTGAGATGCCAACCCACGCTGAGCAGGCCCGAGATGATAATCATGCGGCCAAACGAGTGCGTCTTGACCTCCTTGCCGTGCAGCGCGCTCTTGAGCCCGTCCAGGAATGACACCTGCTTGACGCCGTACATGCGGAAGTTTGCGTCCAGCTGCCGCACCACGTCGGGGCTGTTGGCCGCCCACAGGTTGTCGTCGCAGGGGAGCGGCAGCCGAATCTCGTGAGGTGCCATGTCGGCGGCGTGGCCAAACATGGCGGCGTGGATGACATCCAGCATAAAGGCCGCAAACACCACGCGGTGCATTGACTCTGTCTCGGCCCATCGAGCCCACCATGTCCGAGAATCCAAGGCCATGTTCGGTGTCTGTCGATCGGGTCCCAACGAATCTGGCTCAGGGGGTGACTCACTGCCGGTCCTGCCAATCAGGGGGCTTCCACGTCTGAGAAGTGTTAGGAAAGCAGGGTGGTAAATGTGCGCCCTTTCGTGGAGTTTTCGAGAAGAATACAGCTTCTCGTAGAATTCAAGAAGCAAGAGAGCTTGCAGAACCCAGAGACTAGCGGGCGGTGCAGAGTCATCCGACGTCAAGATCTCCCATCTGACGCACGAAATGACAACGTCTGCAAATGCGCCGTATTCCGAGAGCTGCCCCGACATGTCTCGGCCGCGCAATGACGCAGCGCCGAGAGAGAGCATGACGAGGAGGAGGAAGACGGGGCATCGGTTCGGAGAAAAGGTGTGTTGGTGGATGATGGGTAGCCGAGGCGAGACATTGTCCCAAAACTCCTTGAGACAGTCCCTCATCATGTCGAGGTTGAGCGCCGGCATGTCACCGCCGCTTTCGAGCACCAGATTGGGCATCAACGGCTCATATCTCGGCTGCTTCTTGCGGAACGTCTGAAACCAGTGAAGCAGCTCCTGGCGCCTCGATTCCGTGATCCAGTCGTCAGATGATGTCTCAGAGAGTCGCTGGGGCTGATCCATGGGCGACAAGCTGGTGAGCGATTCGTAATCGTAGTGGATGTTGTTGTTAAAAGTAGACTCCAGTCCGCCCTCGAGGAACGGCATACTGGCCATGCTAAAGTCACTGTACGTGGTCTGGGGGTCAAAGAGCCATGCGGCAAAGTTGCCCTGTGTCAGCGAGTCGTCGGCAGGATATCCCACCGCGCCAAAGCCCACCATGCCTGAGGGCTCCGGCAGAGCAGTCGGATCTGCCGTGTAGAAGCTGGGCCGGTGCCGCATCATGTCACCCGAGCGGTCGTCGAGTGAAGGTGCCCACGTCGCGGCCTGATGGCTCGCCCTGGTCATGCTGTGGCTCAGCGGCGCCGGAGTGGGAGCCGTGTTGGACTCTGGCGTCAGCAGGATGGCGGCATCGTGAGGCCCAGACGGCGGTTGTCCATACGAAGACTGCGGCGGAATGGCAATGGCGTGGCGGTCGGGAGGCGACTTGACGGTCTCGCCCGTGTCGAAGCTCGGGATGCGGTTCCTGGGCGTGTACGAGGCCGTGTGCCGCTTCTTATGGCGCGACAAGAGATCGAGGCGCACAAACTTTTGGTCGCAGTCGCCCACGTCGCATCGGTAGATTTCCTTGGGGTTGTCTGGCGACATCAATCAGCCATCTGTCAGCGCCGCGACTCTCACAATCAACAATCAACAGCCAATTCGACTCCTGGAGAGGCTCTTACGGTTCAGCTGATGGCGCTGCAGGTGCTCGGCTCGCGAATAAATCTTCTCGCACCCAGCATGATCGCACACGAACCTCCGCGGCGCGCCCTTGCGACTCGCGCGCTTGTAGCCCGATCCCGAGCCAGCGGTGTTGCTGCCGTTGACTGCGCCGTTGCCCGAGCCAGCGCTGGATCCCGAGCTGGTGCGAGTCGTCGTGAAGACATTCGCGGTCTGTGACGACTCCATCCAAGTCATATATTCATTGCTGGCCCCCGTCGATGAAGGCAGAGTGCATGGGGGGAAGTTTGCGATTTGTTTAGTCTCGTGTCGCCGCCTCTTGTGCAGCGAACCCCAGCAATCTGCATCGGCACTTCCACAAGACACACGAGGATTTGCTTAGAAGGGGTCCTTTTCCGTTCCGCGGGGACGAGCTGGGGAAATCCCACGTTCCAATGTTTCCGGGGTGACCCCCACCAAGGCGGATTTTGTCGACAATCTCCAACTTTTGTTGGAGTTTTCGCCGCCACTTATCAGATAAGCCACGGACGCTGCTGGCGGCGATTTCCGGGGAACTCGACCCTTATCGGACAGTGGGGGTCACCTCCTGTATCTTACAGTATAGCACCAGCAATAGTCGGAGAACTTGGAGAAAACGGCACTGGATCGGATGCCTTATCCAAATCTCTGCCAAAATCCTCTATTCGCGTTAGCTCATCTATGTTACGTAGCATTGGCCATCTATTGGGGACTAGTCGCTCTGTCAAACGCGCCTTGACCCGACTATTGATTCTCCATCTAATACTCCGTAGAATCATGTATAGAAAATTGTACAGTAGTCTACAGATTAGGCCTGTCGAGTACCACCTCGTATATGGTACTACATATCCATGAAATTAGATATAGCATTCGATACACTTGTAACGATTGAGTGCTCGACAAATACCTATCTGTAGTTCTATAGTCCCAATGTACCGAGCTAAACTACATCATGAAGCAAATCAGGTTCATGTCAAACCTCGGATATGTAACCTCTTACTAAACCAAGACACATGCAGCACATATGGCGCCTAGGCATACGGACCCTCATGCTCCAGATCCTTTCTCATGCTCAGAGTCATCTTTTGAAGTGTACGAGCTAAGTTTAGTAACCGCAAGATGTCCTACGGATGGCATATCGTCGTCACGTATCATGACCTCGACGTGGTGAGTATCGCATGTATAGTATGCATCACTACCTGAGTATGTCTAATAGCGATGTATGGTTTACATTTCTCCGGCTAGTCAAATAGTTATTAAATGATATTAAATGACGAGGCTGCTTAGGGTATAATGTCCACATCCCAATCGAATGCATGCTTAGCAATGGTCATGCTTGTCACCTACTATAGCTGGACGCTGAGCATGAACTTGGCCGGATACAGTCGAGAGAGTCTCCATACTATTTGTACGAGTTGATCAATACTTTATCACCAGGAAACCATTCATTCGCCTTTTTCATATTCTTACTATTCAATTATTCCCATAATAACACAAGCCATCATGACTTCCCACTTGGAGCCATGACCTTGAGCTTCCGCCTCTCACCCAAGATGAGTCTTGTGAGATACGACCACTACATCAGTTCAATCCTCTCAAGCACATTCAAGTCAAAAAAGTCAAGTTCTCTTTGAAATCTATCCGAAGCGAGATGATGTACTTTGCCACCCCAAGAACACACATGTATGGTATCTTTTTTTGCCGTTGTCGCGACAGGCCCATTCATATCGGCCTAGTCCCTCGATTGTACCCTATTGCCAATGAAATTTTTCCTCGCATCTACCCAAACCTCATGATGCTGAAGCCTCGTTCTCCTCCTCTGCGCCCTCTCCATCCTCCAGCTTCACCGATTCAACAGCGCCGTTCAGCCCGCTCTCCTGGTTCTTGTCCTCCAGCATTCCCGCAGCGGCCAAGAAGAATTGCGCTACCTCGTTGTGCTCGTTCTGGTAGGCAAGGTCGAGGGGGACGTAGTTTCGCTCGTTGGCCACCGCCGGCAGAGCGCCCTGTTCCACGAGAAGCTTGACCGTGTCCAGGTGGCCACCGAGTGCTGCCCAATGCAGACCAGTGTTTCCGTGCTCATTGGCATCATCCAAGAAAGCCTGCTTCTCCTCCTTGGGTCTCTCATCAAAATACTGAATGAGTTTGCGAACAGTCTCTGGACGTCCCGTCAGCCTCTCTCTATAGATGATTTGCCCTCAAATCTCCTCAAAAGCTCTTTTATAGCAGTGGCTTAACTCGTCTCCAATGAAAATTTGCTGCATTTCTTACCTAGATGGCCATTTCCCGCCGCCATGTGTAAAGCTGTTGACTTGCCCTCATCCTTGGCGGCCAACAGGATCTCAGCTGGTGACACCTTCTCGCGCTCTGACAGGGCCGTCAGGGTCTCGACGAGATCTGCATCTTCGCCTACCCTGGCGAAATATACCACGTCATCAATTTCGTCTTCTGTGAGGTTCGGCGCCATGGTGATGAATGAGTTCTCACTCGTCTTGGATTGCAAAAATGCTTGTATAAAATTTTAGACGATTTCTTCTTGGTGGAGGGGACTGTGTGGGTATTTTGCCCCGCGATTTTTGCACTGTGCATCTAGTCCCGGGTAGGTGGACATCTTGATTCAGAACAAGTCTATTACTTGGTGTCTTAAAAATTTGGTTTCGCGAGGAAATACTTGCAGACATTTAAGCCAGATCCTAGCAATACATAGCCTTCTGAGGAACATCAGCCTCAAAATCTTTCCACATGGGTTCAAAACTGCATATATTCTCCATGATGAGTGATGACTGTTGGAGAGAGGAGAATTGGATGTCGATGAGAGAGAGACACCATGGGATAGACTGAGCGATGGAATTTGCTGCCTCTTTTATTGGCTTTCCCCCTCTCGCTCGGCTTCAACTTTTCTCCATTAAGCCCCCAGAAGCATCTGCCCAAGCTTAATATCGAGCCATCCCGCCAAAGTGCCTGCTTCATCAAGCCATTGTATCTCAGCCTTGATACCCATCATCAACAAAACCTGGAGCTCTCGCCTAAGTTCGATGGCTTCGAGGTCATCTCTAGAGCCTACAACCTTTTCTAGAATTCTAACGGCGACCTTTCGATCTCGTGTTGAAAGGGCTGAGATTGGCTCACGGCATTCGGTGGACGAGATGGAGGCTTTGGAGCCGGTACTTTCCTCGGACGACTGGCTATCTGGTGGTTGCAAGTTGTCTGGGGATGGTAGTATCAACATATCAAGACGGCTCTTGCGCTCTAGGAGATCCTGCGATTTGATCCCTAGCCAGCGTATCGCTGGAGCTGTAAATTCTTGGGACACAAACTCCGACTTGAGGCGGTAGTGGCGAAGAATGTTGAGTCCATCAGGGTCGTAATCGGCCAAGACGAAGATCGGTATTTGCGGGCAATTGAAGCGAATCAGTTGTATAAACGAGCACGTAAGCATGTCCGGGTAACCTTTTGCCTTTTTACCTATGGTATCAGTTACCATGATGACAAAAGAAACCTAGGGATAACATACCGTTATGAGTAGTCCTGGACCAACGCAAGACGTTTGCCAATACAAACAAGACGCTAAAGAACGAAATACTGCCTTGATAAGGTTAGCAGAATGGTAAGGTGGACGCTTATATATAAAAATAGCACAAACATCTTTTTCAACAACCAGGATCCATCTGATGGTTTCGCAGCTAATGGCTGCAATGGACCCGGTTGCTGGCAAAGCAATTCCCTTTCAGGATGTCAGACTAAGAAAAAAAGTGATAAATAATAGTTGCGAGTGAATATACGAACCGCATCCCCAACAGCTGGACCAATCACTGTGTTGTCCTGGAGGCAAATACTGAGGGGTCCCAAGAAGACTCCCTTGGAAGATGCAACCTAGGCCCATTAACTGAATTCTAGGATCAGTATATGCCCCACGTACAATGTTCAAGTCATCACGTTGGACGTTGAGTGCAGAAGCAAGGTTATCCACCAGCTCGTCCACCGTTCTCTGCCTCACGAAAAGCCCTTGATGCTGATAGAAGATGTGGCTGTATCATCAAAATATTTTAGTTAAGAGCTAGAAGGGGCCATTTCAAATGTCAGAGTGTACTAACCGCTTGGTTGATACTGTCCCTGATACTAGAGCGTCATGGGCGAGCTGCAAGATGAGAAGTATCCGGGCTTGAAATCACACAAGATGAGAAGCAGTTCGCAAAACCAAACCCGCTTGGGCAATGCTGCGTACCAAACTTGGTGGCTTCCAGAGCAGTCCTTCCTGGGAAATGGACCGTTTGCGGATTATGTCCCGATCTGTTAGTTACAAAGTCGATGCTGAGCTCCTTTCCTTGGGCCAGGCAATCCAGAATGGCTTCCAAGATGGATTCGATACGAGTGATGACTGTCCCAGCGGATGTTGTCACGGTGACTGGGCGGATAATTACCTGCCTTGCATCTCGGATTATTGTGCCCTCCGTTACTTGGTCCATGATGACTCTGGAGTCTGATCACAAGCCAAATGGACGCAGTTACGGAGTTTTGTGCAGTCCGTCAAATTGTTGAGCGGTGGAAGCCAACACGAGCAAGTGCGTGAGCAGAGGTACGAATACGAGCCGATTGCAAGGGGCGTTAGTTGTTGATCAGGCAGTTTCTAGCGTTAGCGGCCACTGAAAGGGCATGTCACTGCACTGCAGGCACAGTAGCACTAGCCCAATGTGATCCCTGAAGCGGGCAAGATGTCAGCCAGGATTGCAACGTGCTTCTAACGTGCTTCCATTAGGCAAAGCCAAACCTGGTCTTTCGCATGTGAAAGACTTTGGAGGGCGGCCATTGACTTTTGACTCGCCATTATAAATCTTTCAACTGGCCTCCATAGCCAATTGTCCATTCACTCAGCACAGGTCAATCGACAAAATGGCCACTGCAACGGGGAGAGATACAGGCAGCGCCAAGTCCCGCAAGCGTGCCTCTGACGATTCGGACAGCTTTCCCAAACGACCCAAGCTAGCGGCCAAGACAGACCTCACACGATGGAGAATCAAGGATGACGACAGCCGTCATACATGGCATTACCTTGTTGACGACAAGGCAGCTGCAGAGTGGCCGCAGAGCAATGCTGAGAAGTGGTTTCTGAACTTGCCCTTGGTATGCCCTCTCCCCTCTTCCCTCTCTCTTGAAGTCGAAGGAATTACAGAGCTCACACATCGCTGTATTAGGATCTTCCCGCGCTGCCAAAGGCTGAGACGCCTCTCGAAGCTGCTCAAAATGGCCTCACCTTTTTCGAAAAGCTTCAAATGCCCTCTGGCCACTGGGCCTGCGAGTACGGTGGCCCCATGTTCCTCCTGCCCGGTGTTGTCATCACTTGGTATGTTACCAAGACGCCAATCCCCGACGCCTACGCGACCGAGATCAAGAACTACCTCTTTGCACGAGCGCATCCCGAAGATGGCGGTTGGGGCCTCCACATTGAGGGTGAAAGCACAGTTTTTGGCACTGCCATGAACTATGTCACCCTCCGCCTTGTTGGCGTCGACCCTGAGGACCCTGCCATGGTCAAGGCGAGGGCTACTCTGCACAAGCTGGGTGGCGCACTCAATTCCCCTCACTGGGCCAAGTTTTGGCTGGCGGTGCTGGGCGTGGTGGAATGGGATATCGTGAACCCTGTGCCCCCCGAAATCTGGCTGCTTCCTGATTGGGTCCCGATTGCTCCCTGGCGATGGTGGATCCATATCCGACAGGTGTTCCTGCCCATGGGATACATATATTCCAAGAAATGGAGCTGTGAGGAGACGGATACCATTCGGGGATTGAAGCAAGAGTTGTTTGTTCAGCCTCACGCCGAGATCAACTGGGCTAGCCACCGAAACAGTATTTCTGCAATCGATAATTACCATCCCAAAACATGGCTGCTCAACACGGTCAACTGGCTCCTGGTCAATGTCTACAACCCCTATCTGCGCTTCAACTTCCTCAAAGAGTGGGGAGAGAAATGGGTCAGCGAGCTTGTCGACATGGAAGATGCCAATACCGCGTATGCGGGCTTGGCACCAGTGAGCGCGCCGATGAACACACTCGTATGTTACATCCGGGATGGTCCTGAGGCATACAGCTTCACGAGACACACTGAAAGGCTGGAGGAATACATGTGGGTAAAGAATGAGGGAATGCTGTGCAATGGCACAAACGGTGTCCAGTGCTGGGACACCGCCTTTGCCGTCTTGGCCGCCGTCGAGTCTGGGCTGCACACGGATGAACGCTGGAAACCTATGCTGATCAAGGCCCTCGAGTATCTGGAAAGACAACAAATCAGAGAGAACTGCAAAGACCAAGAGAAGTGCTATCGACAGCCCCGAAAGGGTGGCTGGCCGTTTAGCAACAAAGACCAGGGCTACGGCGTGAGCGACTGCATTTCGGAGGCTCTCAAGGCCGTCATCCTGCTGCAAAAGACGGAGGGATACCCACAACTTCTGGAAGACCAGCGAATCTTTGATGCCGTGGACACGCTGCTCCTGTACCAGAACGACAACGGCGCCGTCTCGTCCTACGAGGCCAGAAGAGGTGGTGAGTACTTGGAGATGCTCAACGCCGCCGAGGTGTTTGGCAGAATCATGATTGAATACGACTACCCCGAATGCACAACTGCTTGCGTCACGGTCCTGTCTCTCTTCCACAAGCACTGGCCCGATTACCGAACCAAGGATGTTAAGCTGTTCATCAAGAGAGCCACCAACTGGATCAAATCCAACCAGAGGTACGACGGTAGTTGGTATGGCAGCTGGGGTGTATGCTTTACGTATGCCTCAATGTTTGCGCTCCAGAGTATGGCGGCCATTGGAGAGACGTACTCCAACGGCCAGATCTCACGAGCAGGCTGCGATTTCCTCATTTCCAAGCAGCGCGAGGATGGCGGGTGGTCTGAAAGTTACCGGGTGAGTGCCATGTCGCCTCGACAAACAGGGTGTTTGTCTATATTTCTCTTGCCTTGCTAACCTCTTGTTCTCTTTTTTAGGCTTGTGAAACTATGAAATACTCCGAACACGAGTCAGGGTCCCTTGTAGTGCAGACAGCCTGGGCACTGATTGGGCTCATGGAGGCGGAATATCCTGACGTGGAGAAGATTAAGAAGGGCATCCGCTTGATTGCGAGCCGGCAACAGCCCAACGGCGAGTGGCTGCAGGAAGCCATTGAGGGCGTGTTCAACAAGTCATGCATGATTTCGTATCCCAACTACAAGTTTACGTTTACCATCAAGGCGTTGGGCATGTTTGCGAAGAAGTACCCGGACGAGAAGTTGTAGCTGGATGGATGCATGGATGTACGAAGTTGATGACCAAAATATCTTTCTGCCTGCTTATCTATCAATTTTTAACCCCGTTGTCCAACTGCGTAATAATATGTGCACTACTCGAGGCGTCTTTTCTTTGTCATTCTTTGGCCTTCTTTGTTTCTCTAAATGAAGGTTTCTACATGCATTGTATAGGTACTTAGGTAGGTACCTTCCAGCGATGCCTGTCTTGGTGGCTTGCTCTCCTACATTGTTACCTACCTAGGTAGGTATGACACAGTGAATCTACATCATCTCTCGGAATAAATGAATTTCAAGATAAAGAACCCATCATCATAGAAAATACAAGGCATCTCTTCATTTCTCCCGCTTTCATGTCCGTTGGTAGCACCTGGTTCCTCACGCCGTGTGATTCGCTCCAGCAAACGGAGAGCGGGGCACCGAATTTCACTGAAGCTTCCACGCCTCACCCCACTACAGCTTGAACTCTTACCAGCAACTTCCCTCCAACATATTTAAACTCCAACCTCTGCCACTCACTCCTTTCACCTGAATCTTGACGACTCTTTATTCTTCTTACGACGCATCTCATTATCAACCACTTCGCCATTATTTACGAATAAGTTCTCGCCCGCCGTCAAAGTCCCTGCGACATAGTCGCTATTCGCCATGTCATACGTCACTTTGGCTCAGCAGGGTCTCGCCTCTGTAGAGGCTCGCAACTGGGAAGACGCCCTAGATAAGCTCTCCACGGCGCTCAAAGAATCTCCCAACCCAGCGTGGCTGATTGCCCGCTCAAAGGCCTTGGCTGGACTTGGCCGACCCCAGGATGCCCTCGACGATGCCGACCTGGCCTGGCACAAGGCCTTCGAACGAAACAAGCGAGACCTCATGGCGACCGCTCAGTACCGTCGCGGCGTGGCCTATTTCCAGCTGAAGCAGTATGCCAACGCCGACTACTGCTATACGCACTGCATGAGACTTCTTAAGGGTGGTCCAGCGATGCCTAAGGAGGATCCTGGCTTGGAATTTGTAGATAAGGATGGGTTCTGGACCGTGACGGCCGCCGAGGCAATGGATGCTGCCCGCCACCAGGACATTTCCAAGAAGGAAGATGGCTTGCAACAAGCTATGAGCAATAGTCTTGCTGCCGATAAGGATAGGTCACACTTTCGCGAGTGGCGGATGGCTAGTAACATGCGAATCCAGGCCCTGTCGGCTATGGAGAAGCTGCCGGAGGATGATGCCGCTAGGAAGTTGACGATATCATTGATTCCGGATGAAAAGGACCTCGCCATTCACCTGTCTGGCAGGCCTGTGAAGGAACCTGCAAAGGCCGAAGCTGCAAAGGCTGAAGCTTCAAAGATTGTGGCTGCAAAGGCAGAGGTTGAAGCAGCACCACGCGTGATTCCCGAAGACACCCCGCTCCGCTTGCAAGAGTTCCAGAGCAAGACACACATGTCGGTTTCGATTTTCTCAAAGGGCGTTAACAAGGAGAAGCTCCAGGTGCAGTTTTCCGAATCTTCGGTCCATCTGGATTCTCTTGTCTTTCCAAACGGCGACGAGAGGGAGTTTCAACTGGACCTTTGGGGAGAAATCTTACCTTCCAAGTCCACGTATACCGTTACACCCAACAAGGTTGAACTGAGCTTGGCCAAGAAGATACCTGGCAAATGGGCGGCTCTCAAAGCTGATGAGTCCTCCAAGCAAGCACCAGTGTCCAAGCCACAGGTAGTTGAAGCAAGGTAAGCTTTTATGATGCAACTATGTTGCTGCTGGTACATCATTTGCTAACCCGTTGTGTTACTGTTCTAGTTCCGAGACTGCCCCAGCTGCGGCTCCGGTTGTAGCTCCGGTTGCAGCTTCGGCACCAGCCTATCCCTCGTCTTCACGCAGTGGTCCTAAAAATTGGGATCAGGTCGGGGAGGACAACTCGGATGACGAGAAAGATGTCAACCTCTTCTTTAAGAAACTGTACAAGGGTGCCACCCCTGAGCAGCAGAGGGCGATGATGAAGAGCTTCACCGAGAGCAATGGAACCTCTCTGAGCACGAACTGGGACGACGTCAAGGATAAGAGAGTCGAGACTGTCCCCCCTGACGGAGTCGAGGCAAAGAAGTGGTAGTTGTCAACTCAGCTGAGTGAGGGGTGCTGATCGAATTGGACAGTCTCTGTCATTGGGAGTAGAATTAGTTATTTCGATTGCGATGATGCATCAAGGGCTACGTGCACGGCGCACCAAACGGAGGGAAAAAAGGGAATTGCTTTTGGCTTTTTTTCATTGCCACTTTTAGGTTGCTTAATCTGAATTGTTATGAGAGGTTATGTTGTACATTGAGACTATAATAGTCTTTTTTAACCCTTTTTACATTCTTTACATCATGTTTCTTTGTTGTCGCGTGCTTGTCTGCTAAGACAAGATGCACGTCGTCTCATGTCTTACACAGTCAGTCCTCCAACGCCGGATCAAGCTCCTTGATCCTCCTCACAGCATCCTCATGCCACGCCGTCTGCCTCAACGCCTTCTGCGCCAGCGCCGGCGCCCACGGCTGCTCGCCGCGATACTTCTCCGCCATCCCCTTGGGAATATGGGCGGCTCTCGACAGGAAATCTTCGGCGGCAATGTACGCGCCCCTGAGCCACCTGGCGCCGCCGCCAGCCGCGTCAAAGGCGTTGCGGCCGTGCAGCACGCGCAGGTTGTCGAACAGCACGCACTCGCCGGGCTCCATCTTCTCCTCGTGGATGGCGGCCGGGTCGTTGATCAGCGAGGAGAAGATGCGGGCGGGCTCGATCCAGCGGCGGATGTCCTTGACGGGGCTGAGGTAGCGGCCCTGGAAGGGGGGCGACCAGAAGACGTTTGTGAAGCCCGAGTCGTTGCCGTCGATGACGCGGCGCGAACTGAAGTAATGGTAGCCGTTCTTTCCGTACTGATACGGGACGTGGTGCTCGGCCAGGGGCGCCATGCGATGGCGAGTGAGGAACGGCCAGAGGAGGCGTCCGACGCGCTCGCCGTCGCTGAAGAGAGACTCGCCGCCGGCGCACGAGTTGTCCATGCAGTGCAGCACCTGGATCATGGGCGGCGGGTCGAGATACAGCAGGTCCTGGTGCAGGCCGAGGAAGCCGCTCGTGTAGGCGACGTTTTCCGCGTTGGGCTTTGCGCGGACGTCAAACGTGCGGCCGTAAAACGTCTCGCGGATGTTTGCGATGCGCGTGGTGATTCGCACGATGGACTCCTCGTCCCGGGGCACGTTCTTGAGGTACACCAGGCCGAAGCGGCAGATGTCGATGATGACGTCCCAGAAGGCCTCGCTGTCGTCCTTCATGAACTCGGCGTAGTCGATGCGGCGCACCTGCTGCGCAATCGTCTCGCGGTCCCAGTACACGACGCCCGTGCGACGCAGGACCGATCGCTGGCGAGGCAGAGTCACGACGTCCTCCATGCCCTTGCGCTTGAGCGACAGATCGACCGACTCCCACGGCAGAAGCATGACGTGCGGCTTGCCCTTGTCCTCTGCGAAGCGCGGGATGTCGTGCAAGAAGGTGATTTCGAGCCCCTTTTTCGTGGGCTTGACGTTTTGCAGGCCAATGTCGACGGGGATCTCGACGGAGGAATACGTCTTTTGGCCGGATGAGGTGTCTCTGCACTTTGGACAGGCGCAGCTATCCCTCAGCGTCGCAGGCTTCAGCGCCCTTCGTCCATTCTCCGTCGCAGGATCCTCGACAAAGAGAAACTTGTCCGTCCAAGCAACCCTAACAGGGCCACGCCTCGTCGTCTCATCGGTGAACGTGAACCGCTTGGCCTCCCTCGGAATCTCCAGCTTAGGCCAGTACCGCGCCGCCGAAGTCTGCTGCTGCTGCTGCTGCTGCCCTGCTTCCTTGGCCGAGATCCTCCTCTGCTGCGGCCTGTATCCCGTCTCCGAGTCTGTATTCTGGCGTTGCCTTTGCCTCCTGGGGCTCCTTGGTCCGTCTGCTGTGTGAGCGGTGCGACAAGCCACAGCTTTAGCTTGAGCCTTTGCCGCCGCCGCGGCTCTGGCCCTGGATGTGCGAGCCAGGGACAACATGGCTTTCTTTAAGCAAAAATAAACAGTGATAAACAGGCGGAGGCAAATCCCTTGAGGCCCTTGAATGTGCCAAAACGCACTCTTTGATCTGTCCAAAACGAAAGATTTCACTTGGATTTGAAACTATTGTCAAGTCGCATGTTTGCGCTAATAAGAGCGGGCGAGTGGACCGAGGCACAATCCGGCTGGCCGAGAAGAGCCAGGCTGGAGAAGCCAAGTTGCGTAGAGACTATGAGAGAACTGTACAGCACAATTACAATCTGTATATTGAAAATTATCTTAATGGACGTTCAATATTAATATTTCAGTAATTGGTATTCCTATTAGGATTTTCTGCTCCTCTTTTCTTCTTTCTTTTACTGTATTTGCAATTGCTTCTATATTCTCATCTGTTCATCAACGTCTCATCTGCTAACCCTCCTCGGCCCAAGGGAAGTCCATCACCATACGATCTGTGGCGTTTAGAATCACATGCTTCATAAATGTTGATTCATTCGATAATATGTTTCAATTTTCAAAGTATTGAGCCTCTTAGAAATGCTACCAATCAATTTGGGTTTCTCGTAACATCGCGCCAACTCTTTGCTTCGAGAAGGCACCTGTAACCTGATTCAGATTCGTTCCATCGTTTCTCGTATACATTACACACGTTGTCGCTGACGTGTATCCAATATCATTTGCCCATGTAATACTCCATACATTCCCCAAGCATCACCCTTAATGTTACAAACAAGACACTGGAAAGGAAAAAAAACAAAGCAGAGGTTGAAATGGACGCCAGCGGTCCATTCATCGGTTTCGATTGCTCGACCATCTCTTTACCATGACTTCTCTGACCTTGTACAGCTTCATTGCCTCCGTGATGCCGTCCTTCAGCGCCTCTTCAAACTTGTGAGGAGGCGGCACATCCACGTAGATCAGCACCAAACTCTTGGTGACGTGGGACAGGACTCGTACAACGCTGTGCAGCCACGACCACGGCTTCCGAGGGCCTTGTTTACCCTCCTTTTTCCACCAAGCATCGGAATACGAGGGGATCACAATCAGTCCAAACTCGGCGTGGTCAAACACCGGTCCCCTGGCGTACAGCAGCCAGTCGACTCCGAATTTGATGCCCGCTCGAGGTACCCACCCCAATGATCGGAAGTGATGGTACACGGCATAATGGACGAGGAATCCATCATCGGGCTCGAGATCAGGCTCGTCTGGGCCATTTCGGGGAGGGAAGTAAGAGTATTGCCGGAACAGGGAAAAGAGGTCTTGGCGCGACAGCACTCTGCCAGACGCAGGATCCGTGATTTCCAGAACCCCAAGGCCAAAGGAGAGGAAGAAGGCCTCCTCTGGCATCAACTGGAGGTGTTCCTTGTTGATAATGGGATCTGACACGGGAACGCTTGCGGATGGCAGTTGGGTGAGGGGTTGGCTAATTGACTTGCCCTCGCCGTTGGCCTGGGATGGCTGGGAAAACGACACGGGTGGGGAGCGATTGGGGCTCGGGGGGTCGGATGCTTTATACGTCGCCGATTCCACCGTGGGAGAAAACCGCACGCTCTTTCTGCGCTGCAACTTGTTTCCCGTGCCATCACTAGATGAGTTTACGGATCGGTCGTCCCTAAACAGCTCTGGGGTCTCGGTGGTGATGGGAGTCCGGGGCTCCTCGGAATCGTCAGTGGACGAACCGTGGTGAGAGGAAGGGAGTGTCAAGGATCCGTTTGCTTTAGTGATGGGGGCCGCATCAGGATGCGTCTTTACTTGTGTGGCATTAACAATGTCGGAAGCCGAGTTTGGTAGTGCTAGAATCTGCAGGGGACCGACAGGTGCGACAAATGGTAAAGGCGCCGGAACTGGCTGTTGCCGTGATACGACAACTACCGCTGAGTTTGGGAGTGCGAGGAGCTCTAACGGGCCAACAGGTGCAAGGGGGAGCTGGGGGAAACTTGATACGGCTGCCTCTTGGGCCTCTTGGGCCTCTTGGGCCTCCTGTGCCTCCTGTGCCTTGTGATCTGCCAGACGGCGAGCTTCAGCCAGCCGCTCCTCTTCAAGCTTTGTCTTCAAGATGGCTTCCTGTTCAAGTCGTGCACGCTCCCACTTGGCTTGTGCTCGCTCATCTCGCCTTTGCTGCGTGAAAATCTCGCTGACGTGAACTTCCTGGAGACCCCTTTGAACCTGCTCTCTCTTGAGCCAGTTGGGCTCACTTCGACTGAGATTGCCCTTGCCATAGAAGCCTTGCTCCCACAAGGCCCTCATGGACTTTTCATCCTTGATATGCACAGAGATTGTCGTCTCAGACCAGACGCCATGGTGGACAACGGCAGGCTCTACAGGCGGCGGTCGGAAAACCTGACCCAACCATGCGTAGGCAACATGGAACAGCGAAATAGGGTTGTTTGGGTAGAATGCTGGGAGGGGAAAGGTTCGGATGGGTGCAGGCAGCGCGTATATCTGGTGGATAGATGGGCCTCGCGGTTGCTGTTGTGCAGCTGGCGGCTTGGCCTGGGCCTTGCCTTTGGCCTGGGTTTGGGCTTGGGGTGCAGGTGAAGCCTTGCCTATGGAAGGGGGCTCAGTATGAACTTGCATCTCAGCCATCTCGGACTGGGCTCATTTTGGCCTGGACCTGGAGGAGCTCTAGTTAGTTTTTGAAGCTCCAAAATGTGTGTAGCGAGACAAGACGATGGGAAAAGAAAAAGATCCCCATTGCTGTATCAGATACCGTTGTAGTCTATAATGAAATGGCAATCACAGAGGTCTCCAAATGAATGGTCGCTCTTTGCACAAATGGTGATCATCATAACAGCGAGAGGGAGAAGGGAATTGTAGCTGGAAAACTCTGCTGTGTTACCCATGTGTAGACACGATGGGAGCAGAGCAAGGAGCAACAACTTGAGCAAGAATATGCCTAAGCTGATATGAAGCTCCAGAGCTGAAGCAATTGGCGAAGCGCCTTGATACGCATCAAGGTAGAAAGAATAAAAAAAAAAAATTTCGACTCACCTGTCTCAAGGCATGGCCCGGCAATCACGACGCTCCTCTTGCAGAATGAGTCCAGCTGGATCTCATCCACGACCGTCCCAGAAAGGTAATGGGACACTCTACCAACCTGGGAACTGCGAAAAGGAAAGAGTGTCGAGACGCAAGAGGGAAGCTCTTTTGTTTTTGTTCTCCCTCTGCTTTTTGGGGGTTTTTAAAGCAAAAGAGAGGGAAATTTTTCTGGCTGGCAAGGGATTTTCGGCGGTTGGTCGGAGAAAATCGCAAAACTGGATCCCGAAGCGGATGCCTGGGGCTCCAGGCGTCAAGAATGCGTGACCTGAGTGGCTGGATGCAGCGACAGCGACCTTGCAGGAGAGGCTACTGACGGCCCAGGGCGGGTTCCAGGGCATGTGGCAGGCACCGCAGGCACCGCGAAGCCCTGCAGCATGCCCTAAGAGGTCCCTCGACTAGTAGCAGTCCGCCAAATGTCATCAATCCAGCAATTAACCTCCACCGAAAGCGTGGTTTTGACGAGGTGCGCTCGTTGATTTCTATTTTGGGCTTCACCTTTTGTTAGTTGAAACTTGAGCCTGAGCCTTGGCTATGGTGAAGCCCCGAGCCTTCCGACCGGTGATGGATGCGAACAAGCATCAGATGTCATGCCACGTTCAGTCTGTACTCTCAACCACTGCCCTTGAAGGATTCTGTACTCCTCTGTGTAGGTACCTCTTTGCATCTGCGAGTACTTGTACTGTAGGTGCTACTCAAATATGCATGTGATCCTTCATCACCCAAAGCTTCAGGTACCACCTGTCCAGAACAAACAAACATCAAATCCAATTATTGCCCCTTTGGTGCGAATTTCCCCAACTCCCCGTCATCCCCTCTCGTGTCAGACCTAGTTGCTACCCACATAGGCCTAGCGACCCGTCCAGGGCTTGTCCAAGCGCCCCCCAAGCTTACCAGAGATCGCCAAGTCTCTTCTTTTTTTCTGCGTCGCCAACACGATACACGTACTTGGTTTTTCTCCCATATTCCAAGGCCAGAACTTCTTCCTTGTCTGTCTTTGTACGAGAGCGATCCAGCGGCTCTCTCTCCCCAGAAGGAGCCCTCTTTTAGTCTTATTTAATCCCCGGGCGAGCCGTCAGTCGCCATCTCTCGTCTCCCCCCCTCACCTATAATACCTACCACATATCCTATAATCTAACATGTCCTGCCCGTCCCGCCGCATTCGCAGGTGATTGTTTTGTCTACGCTCGAGTGAAGGAGTAATGGTTATGCCTCGATCCTAGGCCTTGAAATGACTAGCTTTGTTGAGGTTGCAGCTACCATCTGCCTTGTCTGGGCCGTGGTGGTTGTTCTCGTCCAGATTGTCGGCATCACCTCCATGTAAGCCCTCCTCCATCTTCCAGCCTCCAATCCCAACCTTTGCCCTCGAGGCTAATCTCTTGTGCCTCCCGCCGCCAGATTCGTCAAGTTCAACGAACGAAACCCCCCGCCGATATCCTCCACCCTCGAAGATGCGCCCAGCGTCACCATCATCCGGCCGGTCAAGGGCCTCGAGCCCTGTCTCTACGAATGCATCGCCTCGACCTTCCGCCAGGACTACCGCCGCCAAAAGGTCTCCATCCGGCTGTGTATAGAAAACACCGACGACCCGGCCTATCCGGTCCTCCAGCAGCTAATCAAGGACTTTCCCGCCTACGATGCGCAGATCCTGGTCGAGGCCGAGGACCCTGTCCTGCACGGCGCCGAGGGTCGCGTCAACATGCTGGGCCCGAATCCCAAGATACGAAACATTAGCAGGGCATATCGCGAGGCGCCCGGGGAGGTTATCTGGATCATCGACTGCAATGTCTGGGTCGCGAGCGGCGTCTTGGGGCGCATGATAGACACGCTGATGGGCTATGCCCCTGCTGAGGCGCCCGCCCGAAAGCCTTACAAGTTCGTTCACCAGCTGCCACTGGTTGTCGATATCGTCGACTATCAAAAGGACGCCTCTGCGGAGAGCCAGGCGTTCCTCGGATCGGCCGCCGAGACGTCCAAGCAGGGCAGCGAGTCTCTATGGAACCGGCTATGGAAGAACGGCGGCGGCCGTCTAGACGAAATGTTCATGGGCACCTCTCACGTCAAGTTCTACGGCGCCATCAACGTCGTCGGAGTAGCCCCTTGCATCGTGGGCAAAAGCAACATGTTCCGCAAGGCTCACCTGGACCAAGTCACCGATCCCGCCCGGAATCCCATCCTTCCAGCAAACGAGGGGCGCCCCCGCGGCGTCGACTACTTCTCGCACAACATCTGCGAGGACCATCTTATCGGGGATCTTCTCTGGCGCTCCAACATCCCGGGCTTCTTGAATCACGGCATTGCTTGGGGAGACTTGGTTCTGCAGCCAATGGCAGGCATGTCCGTGTCCGCCTACGCTGCTCGGAGAGTCCGTTGGTTGCGCGCTAGAAAGTTCACCGTGTTGGCAGCTACTCTTGTGGAACCTGGTGTTGAATCGTTCCTGTGCTGTGCTTACTTCGCTTTTGGCCTTACCACGCTGCCCTGGTTCCATGAGGCGCTTGATATTCCGCAGACTTGGGCGGCATTTGGGTGGATTTGGCTCATGTCCATTCTAGCTTGGATGACTGTGGACTGGCACACCTTTAAGCACCTTCACACAGGCTGCACCATCGAGGCCGACCAAAACACACCGAAATTTGCGTTTGGTTCGGCCAGTCCTCTGGGTCTGCCAAAGCGACGGTTCCTAGAATGGCTGCCGGCCTGGATCGGAAGAGAGGCGCTCGCTCTGCCGGTCTGGACTCGGGCCGTCTTGCTCGGTACGACGGTGAGCTGGCGCGGAAAGGTGTTTCAGGTCCGTCTAGACACGACTGTCGAAGAGCTGTCGAATGGGACGCCGACGAGATTAACGAGGACGCCAGAACTGGAGAGAGCTAGACAAAGTAGTAGAGATAGACTATACTGATGATGACGACGGTTTTGGGCTCGAGGTGTTCTTTGTTTGGAATGACATGAGATGGAATGGAATGGATGACTGTCAACGATATTATTAGACGGGGATCGTAAGATTACTGATTGGGGCGTTACAGTGTAATAGAATAGCTGAATGCGTATTTCTGAGCTTTTGTATGAATAAATTCCATGTATGTGAATCTAGGAAAAAATGAAAAGCGAAAGTGAATAACAAGAAGATGGGAAATGTACACGAAAACAAAATGAATTGAGGATATGAAGAAATCAAAGAACCATAAGTCGTATCTCGTACAATCATAACCGAATCGCTCACTCTAAAGAAACAACCCAACAGCTACATGATCCGCCCCCTTTTTTTTTTCAACTCTTTTCCACGCCCCCAAAGACGCTCGCCGGCACCAACCTCGATCTCTTGGCAATGACTTCCGACAACTGCATCATCGACATGGAGCTCATCAGCTCCAGCATCTGCACATGTGCCCCCAAATGTCCCGTGATCCAGTTCCTCAGCTCTACCGCGACAAGCGAGTCCACGCCATAACTTGATACGGCGCGGTCCGGCTGGATCTCTGTCGTGGCAACTGCCAGCAGACGGGCGAGTTTCTGCTTCAAGCCGGTATATACGGCTTCTATGGCTGCGTCACCACTAGACGTGCTTCTAAGAGCGGCCTGCACGTCAAAAGCGTCGTCCTCACTTCCCTTGGACGCACGTGGTGCGGTGCGGGACCAGACGTGCGCGAATCGAGCGTCTGGGCGCTGCGTCACCGTGGCAGAGGGATCTGGCGTAAATTGGCTGGCGCCACAGATGATTTGTCCCTTTACAACGGGAGTCTGAATGACGTAGCTGATTACTGCGAGAACTTCTTCTATCGTCTGTGGCCGGACGTCGGAAGAAGGTAGCATATCATCATCTCTTTGCACCGCGCCAATGTCTATAGCTTTGACGGGGAAGCCCAGACGAGACTGGGACTGGGCAAAGCTATCCCGGAAGGCGCCGATCGCATCCGCGATGCTCTGTTCTTGGCCGCCTACAACAGAGGAAGTCCGGTTCAGCAGAATGAAGAAGTCGAGGTTTGAACCAAAGGCCTCTTGGAGGTTAATAATGCCTTTGGTTGTGGGTTCAACTGCACTGGACCACTGAGAATATGTTACGGCCTTAATATCCGTATCCTAATTAAGATATTGTCAGCTTTTGCCCCCTAGAATAAGCACGGGGATGAAAAGAGGCTCTTACATATATCTCAGAATCCCCAAGAATGACTCCCCTGATGGGCACGCCCTCGCTTGCCTCTCTAAGCTGATCCACAAGGGGCTGAGTGGAAGTATTGCCGGGGATAAAGGCAACTTCTGTACCAAGTCTCTTCACCTCATCCGCCGCTGCCTCGATTCCAGATCCTTGACATGCAATGAGGCGATAAGCTCCCAATTTTGCTAGATACTTGGCAATTGGTGTGTCCAATTTTCCAGCATTACCAACAACAAGGTAGGAGCTGTTGTTTTGCAGAGACGCAGGCTTAGGCTTCCGTGGTTGAATCTTGATCCAAATTAGTAACAATATACAAAGCCGTTGTAAGTAATCACAACTTACCTTCAAAGGCAGAGTGGAGTCGAATTTGAAAACCATCTTGCCTACATGACCACCCGCCTGCATAAGCCGAAGCTGCTCCGCAACATTGGAAGCATGATACGTAGTGATTGGGCCGATCAAGGCCAAGGTTCTCTTCTGAAGCATATCGAAACAAGTTTCCAATAACTCCTTGAACACCAGCGGTCTTTCTCGTGCGAGAAATCCCATGCTGACCACAGAAAGAGAGGCATTTCTCTGAAGATGCTTCATATCAACCCGTCCACCATTTGCAACATCCCTCTCGCACAACTGAACGATTCGGCCAAAGGGAGCTATAGCGCTGCAGCTCTCTGAAAACACGTCTCCGGAAAGAGAACCAACAACAACGTCGACGCCGCGGCCATTAGTCAACTCAAGAAGACGATCACCGAGATCTAGGTCTTGGCTGGACAATATACGCCCAGCTGGGATGCCATACGTTTTGCTAATAAGCTCTGCCCTGTCTGGGCTTCCAGCGGTGACATAAATTTCTTCAACACCAAAAGCCATTGCAAGCGCAATTGCTGCCTGGCCAACTGCTCCAGCTCCAGAGTGTATCAGGATACTCTCACCTCGTTGGAGTCTGGCAATATCTCGGAGAGCATAAAGCGCAGTTGAGTAGGCCAATGGGACTGCAGCAGCAATGTCACCGCTGACGTCTTCTGGAACCTTGACCGTGTAGCGGACATCTACATTGCTGACGGTAGCAAGCCCATCAGGGGCAAAGAAGCTAACTCGATCGCCCACAGAAAGACTTGACTGCGAAGCGTCACCAACTTCGATAACCGTGCCGCTTCCCTCGAATAGGAGAGAAGAATGACCTTCAAGCTGGCCAGTAGTTATCAACATGTCTTTGAAGTTGAGTGCAAAATTCTCCAGGCGAACTTTGACCTGCGTTGATTTGGGAGGCAGAGAATGAACCTCGTCATCTGCCCAATATATGGAATCAAACACTCCAACAGAGTTGATCCGCAGACTCAACGGCCGGCCAAAATCGGTATAAATTTCATCACGCGGATGGTGCTTTGATGTAGCATCTTGAACCTGGAGATTGACCTCCTTGTTCTCTAACAGACGCGGTATCACGATGCTTCCGTTGGATAGGGCAAGCTCCCATTCTGATGACGAGTAAGGAGAAGCACTTGGGCCAAGGTACTTTACATACACCTGCAGAATTCCAGCAGCCTCCTCTGAGCTTGCATCAACATCGAGAGTGAAGAGTCTGAGATCAGGCCGTGATGAACGCAGGCTACGCGCCAGACCTGTGACGAGCGCACCAGAAGCTCCTTTGGTTACCCACAGCACTGCTTTAGCATCACTTAAGATGTCCCGGGCGTTTTCCCAGTCCTTCTCAGATGCCCTCAGCAAGAAATCTTCGGCAACATCTGGAAGAAAGATGTAGGTTCCAGGAGATGCTGTTGCTTCAGCGAGCGGAACGATAGTCACCCCAGTTCCGGGATATTGCGCGACTAGCTCACTTCGTAGCTCGTCCGCCACGGAACTACTCTGCTGTCCTGTAAAGATAGAGATGTTTCCAACTCCTGCCTTCACCCCAGTATTAGCAGCGTGTGAGATAAGCAGGCTTGCTTCATGCTCTTCATCTGATTCAAAATCCTTCATTTCGATTGATATACCAGAAAAGCCGCTCTTGACGAGAACTTTTTCCCATTCTGGTGTTGATAGAAGTGGAGAGCTTGTACGACCTTCCTCAGCACCAACCCACCAGTTTTGGAAGCTCCCGCCAAGGAGGCCCCATCGCAACGATGGTGTTGTGAGCTCTGCAAAGGCAATTTGACCACCTGGTTTGAGGAGGCTATTTAGATTGTTAAGCGTATGCTCAAGGCTACGCGTCGCATGTATGGCATTAGATGCGACGATGATGTCAAAAGAATTGGGCTCAAATCCCTGCTGCGCTGGGGACTGTCCAATATCGAGACACTTGAACTCGATGACATTTTCAAACATCTTCATCGTCTCTTGAGCTCTAGAAGTAGAGATATCAGAAATATCGGTGAAAACGTATGTGCCTCGGGTAGTAGCATAATCACGCCTTTCCCCGTAGAGGGCCTCAAGGAGTGTAGAGGTCAAGACGCCAGAACCCCCACCAACTTCTAGAATACGCAGATTCGGCACCTTGTATTGAACCAGCTTGAGATATTCGGCAAGCTGTGCGTGGCATCTACTGAAGCAGTCGTCTTCCGAATAAAAGCGGTGCAACAGCTCGCCGTCTGGCAAGACAGACGTTATATCTTGGTTCCCTCGTAGAATGTTGGGTAAATGAGGGCCAAGTTGGTTCAACATCTGGCCTGCTGCACTCAGTGCTTGGTTATTGGAATTTGCTGGCGGGGCGGTTGAAGTGTCTTGCTCTTGCAGCCAACGGTAGAAATGTTGCAAATGGTGAGTAATTGACGGCTCATCTTCGCATGAAATTTGAGCAAGAGTATCTCGGATGATGCCAAGAGAAACTGGATCACAAGTTTTCCGCGACTGCTGATTCTTATAAGACAGGTTTCTTTGGCAATACCTGGCCACGGCTTCTCCTGGAGAAGAAAACGGATCCATGAGCCATTCAACTTGATGACACAGGGGGTCATCAGCCTGGTCAGTGGCTTGCTTATAGCTACCCAGGGACGAGAATTTGATCCCTCCAACTCGAAGTATAACATTGTCGGTATTATCAAAATCCGTGGCAATTATGTTGGAAGAGTGTTGTCTCAATCCATATGGACCTGTCTTGGCTGTAATAGAGAGTTTCTGTCCAGGTGAGAGATCTATATCTGTGGAGATGCAAAGCTCATCGATAGCAGCGACAACCTGAGGGCCGTCTAAGCCATCCGCAAATTTCACGCCAGGGAGGCATGCCAAGAAGCAGCCTTCAAGTGTGGTGGGATGTATGTGATGTGGCTCTTGGTGAGTCGAGGGCATTGTGGCTTTCACATCCGGAACAGTCAGCTCACAGTTGGACTCCCAAGCACGGGCTGAGACATTATCAAGGTTTGCAAAGCACCCAGAATAGTCATTGCCTGAGGAACTAAGAAGCTTGTATAGCTGCTTTGACTCCAGCTGTGTCCACCCATCAGTAGACAAGTCGGCTGTAGAAGCCAAGTTGCTTCTCAGCTTTCCCATATTCTCCGACAGAGCAATCAAACCTCGACAGTGTTCCGTAGATTCATTGTTCTGAGAGATACTATAGATTCGAAATTCTTGCCACTTCAAACTGGAGTCACGAGACGTCACTGAATAGGGGCGCAAAAGAGTGAATACTTCAGCTCCAAATGCATCATCCTGGATAAGAAGAGGCCGATCAATGACGACTTGCCTAAACTCTATCACTCTATTCTTCCATGGGCGTTGTAACGTATTGGACTGGCGTTTCAAAGCCTCCACAATCATGGTCAGGAAGCCAGCTGCGGAGAACACCATCTGACCATCAATGCAATGGCCTTTGATCCATGGCATTTCGGAAAGCCTAATAAACATTCTCCAAGACGGCTCAGCGCTGATGCTATCAGCAGCAGCAGACCCAAGAAGATCATGGCGGGGGAACTTTCGCATACGGTACGCCTGACTTCGTCGGGATTCGTTCCAATGCGTCTTGCTATGGTTCCAGCTATACGAAGGCAAGTTGGTCAAAACTTTTGTGTGGATACCCTGGGGATTATTGACGCTTGTGAGCGTAATAGGAAGACCGTGAATGAACAGGCCACCAGCAAGGGAAAGTACGCTTTGGACTGCGTCTTGGTTCCTCTTCAAACAGGAGAAATATGCCGAAGGCAGTCCTGATATAGTTTTTGCTATCTGAGTAGCAGGTCCCTGGAGTGCTGAGTGGGGGCCGAACTCAATCATGACAGTTGGTAGCAATGTAGACGAGGCACTGCCATTTACAGGTAAACTGAGAACCTTGGACAAGGCTGGTGAGAAGCGGACGGGGCGTAGCAGATTAGAAACCCAGTATGCACCATCCATTTCCCGGCCGTCAACTTCATCACAAGTGACTGAAGACACCATTCGAACATTCGGTTTGAACTGGCGAGGTTGGAGCTTTTCCAACGCCGCGAGGTAAGATTCTCCAATAGCAGCCATGTGGTAAGAATGGTAGGCTACTGGGACGGCCAATCTTCGATTGAAGATGCCGTCTTCTTCCAGTTTGGATGCAATCTCGTCAATGGCCGCAGCATCACCCGACAGCGTCACACTGGTGGGGCTGTTGATGCATGCAACATTGACTGTTTGCTCGCTGTATGTTGATAGATACTTTTGCGCATCAGTCTCTGATAGACCTGCAGCAAGCATCCCACCCTGTCTTGTGCCCTTCTTCAGCTTGAGATAATATACGGACTTTCCCCTGTGATAGGCCACCTTGAGAGCTTCAGGGGCGGTTAAGCTCCCGCCAGCATATGCTGCAGCAATTTCTCCACTTGAGTGGCCGCAGACCAGATCGGGATGCACGCCCCATGAGGCAAGAAGATCCACCAATGCGACTTGAATAGCTGTACAGCAGGGCTGCGCCAACTCGGCATCATTGATGCGAGAGTTCTCCTTGGTTTTCTTCAACTCATCAATTAAGCGCCACGTTGCGCCCATGCGGATGAGCTCTCTTTCAGATTTCCGCATGGACTCAGCAAAGCATGGGTAGGAGAGAAGCTCCAAGCCCATTCGCGCCCACTGCGCTCCTTGGCCTATTCAGGAAGGAAAAAAAAAACATGTCAGCAGGGGTTGATTGGTGCTACTTGTGGTTGTATTGAACACAGTCTCAGCGACTTACCAGTGAAGATGAAACACGTTCGCGCACCCGTCCATGCTTTGACAGGGCGGATTGATCCCAGTTCAATCTTTTTCAGCCCGTCCAGAAGTTGTTCAATGTTGGAAGCAACAAATGCAGCTCTCTGTGAAAATCGGGATCGCCGAGATGACAGCGTAAAAGCCAAATCATCCAGAGACAACTCTTGACGGTTTGCCTTGGCGGCCATGATGAATCTCTTCCAAGTACTGGCCAGCTTGGCAAAGCCATCTTCTCGCTGGTGACTCCATACAAAGACGTTTGAGCCTTCGTTGAGAGATTCGGTGACAACTGCGCCACGCGTTACCCTCGTCTCAACTTTTGGTGTTGGCTCGGTTGTCTTGGCGGGTTCTGTCCAAGCTTCGAGAATGACATGGGTATTTGTACCCCCATAACCAGACCCATTAATGGATGCGCGGCGGAGCAGCCCCTCTGGCCACCCTTGGAATTTGGATGCAACCTAAGGAAGAGAGTAACGGTCAGTCGATGCTGTCCAATTCTTCGTATTTTCTTCTTCTTCTACTTTTCCTTCTATTTTCAAATTTGTTGAAAAAGATTTTTGGGGAGGATATATTGCACTCACCTCTAACCCGCGAGCTTCCAATTCCAGCTTAGGATTTGCAACTTCAAAGGTAGGAGTCGGAACAATTGCTTCTTTCTCAAGCATCAAGAGAACTTTGACTAAGCCCGCCAACCCTGACACACATTCGGTGTGGCCCAAGTTGGACTTGACGCTACCGATGATCAGTTTGTCAGATCTGTCTAGGCAAAATGCTTTATTAAAAGCAGTAGCCTCGCAGTTGTCTCCGGCATTTGTACCAGTTCCTGGGGATTTTCTCTGTTAGTGAAGCCAGACGAAAGATTCCCATCAGGATGCATTACCGTGTGCCTCCACATAAACAGTCTCCCTGGGATCAAGCCCAGCAGTCTTGTAGGCACGCTGAATAGTTGCGTATTGGCTGACTGGTGATGGCATTGTGATGCCCGGAGTTTTGCCATCGGACACAACTGCGCTACCTCGGATGACGGATCGAATTGTATCGCCATCCCGAAGAGCTGCGCTAAGGGGCTTGAGGAGAATGGCAACCACACCTTCACCTCGGGCATATCCGCTTGCGCGAGAGTCGAAAGAATAACATCGGCCGTCAGGGGATAGGAACCTTGAGTTTATTAGCAACGGTAGCCGACAAGGGGGACACCTAAATCTCACTGCATGGACGAAATGATGGACATCTTGTCGGGGTCCAAAATTAGATTAGAGCCCCCCACCAGAATTTGGTCAGCATCGCCAGCTCGAAGAGCCTGGATGGCATCGTGTACGGCCACCAGGGCGCTAGAGCAGGCCGTGTCGACGGATTTGCTAGGTCCGTGCAAGTCAAAGGCATAGGACACACGGGCTGATGTGAGAGACGGGCCGGTTCCTGTGAAGCGGTACCTGCAACCCGGCGGTGAGCATTTGTAGCTTCGCTTTCCTCGTCTTGCCTTTGTTTCGAGGAAAAGTTGAGGGAAACTCACCTTGGTGATGCCTCGGGATCGCGGCCGAGGATCTGATCGTAATCTGTATAGGAAACGGCACAATAAACGCCCGTATTCGAGCCTTCGAGTTGATCTAGGGGAATGCCGGCATTCTCAAAGGTCTCGTAGGCTACCTCAAGCATGAGTCTCTGCTGAGGATCTATGGCTTTGGCTTCAACTCCACTGATGCCAAAGAAGTCATTGTCAAAGACAGCTGGGTCCTGGTTAAGCAGATGAACGCCTCGAGCGTTTGTCTATGAAAAGAGCGAATTAGTCTTCAACGCCATGCCATCAGGAGAGACAATGCAGTAGAGAAGAAGAAGGGAAGCAACGGGGAAGAGAGGAAAGACTTTATCTCCCCCTCTTTTCTTTTCTTTTCTTGGCAACTCTGACTTTGCAAACCGCTCACATACCGAACCGGGGAGATGGGCTTGGGGGTGCCAGAACGACTCCATCTTGAATCGGTTTCTGGCATGGCTGGCCCAGCTGGTCCTCCCGCTTGACAACATCTGCCAGAGGCCATCTTCATTGGAAGCAGTGCCTGAGAACCGGCAGGCTGATCCAATAATGGCAATGGGCTCGGCCCCGTTGGCATCAAGCCAACGAGAGTCAATGCCGTCAGTCGAAGCCATGATGTGTAGGGGCTCAACTGAAGAGCAAAGGACTCCGTGATAGAGAGACTGAGAAAACGAGTTTTCAAGCCAGGTTCGAGGCTAGGGATATATGCGATTGCCGAAGCGTAGTGCCAGACGAGCGGGAATAATAAGCTGACTTCATATGGAATAATCTCCTTGGCCGCCCCAGTTTTGATTGCATGGCAAGGAAGCGCAGATGGGGAAGAGAAGGAAGGAAAAGGAAAGGAAAAGACGGATGACATTAAATGCCAGGCCTAGCTCGATGTCGCCGCCATGTGACGGCATGCAGGTTGGGAGAGAGAAAAAGGGATCGGCCTGGTCAAAGTGGCCGTAAAAGTGGCCGGCTAGAAATCTGGAGACGCGCTTGACACGATCCGCCGATGCGTAGCCCATGAGCGCCGCGGATAATATAAGATTACCCCCGACCCGGCGACTCAGATGCCATCTCGAGCACAGCAATCAGACACTATTTGCACGACATCTTCCTGCACTCGGCCTGTGCGTATTTTGCAACCATGGGCTCAATCGCCTTTTTTGAAAAGACGTTGGTTCGACCAAGCAAGGCGCCCGTGCCTGGCCGGATTTCAGTCACACCGCTTGATCAATACATGGTCAGGGTCATTCTCCCGATGATGGTCATTTTTAAGATTGATGAGCCTTCGCTTCGACCCATAATTTTACAGAATCTGAAGAGGGCCCTCTCGCTGGCAATCGACGAGCTGACCATTCTGGCGGCGGACATTATTCCGTTGGACCCAGTCAACGACACAATTCAGCTCGAGTACGGCGAGGACGCGGGTGTCTGGTTTCACGTCAAGGAGCTACCAGATGTCGACTATGAGGACCTGGCCCAACGCAACTTTCCCTTTTCCGCCCTGCCGGCATCTCAGTTTGCCCCGAACCCTCTGGGGCACTCTGCAAGAAGCCCCGTCATGACGCTGCAGGCGACCTTGATCAAGGGCGGCCTGGTCCTTACCTTTGGCGGCCATCATGTGGTCATGGATGCCCAGGGCATGGGAACCTTCGTGGCTGTCTGGGCCAAGCATGTGGCTGCGGTATCTGGAGGCCTGGTTGTCACCGAAAAGCAGCAGCTCAATCACGATTCGTTGGAAGCATCTCAGCTCTTCGGCCCAAGGATGGAACGCCCGCTGGCAGAGTTCCCCACATACCAAACTGGCCCGGATCGATCATACGAGCATATGCAGGCCAAGATCCTGCAGAAGGCCGTTGCGGGTGACCATGACGGAATCGCCAAACTCATCCGCGTGTCGCATTGGGCCATGACGCAGGAGAAGCTAGAGGCCCTTCGAGATGCAACCGTACCACAAACCAAGGAAGAATCGTCAGTCACTGCCAATGCCACACTATCCGCGCTTATCTGGAAACAAGTCACTAGGGCTCGGCGGCTCACGGAGAAGCAGGTCGCCTCGAGCTCGCTTCTAACTTCGGTCAATGTGAGGAGGCGCGTGGATCCGCCACTGGCCCCCGAGTACCCTGGAAACGCCATTGCTCTGGCCAAGGCTAATGCAACGGCTGAAGAGCTAGAGTCGCCCGGGGTGGAATCACTTTATGCAATTGCAAAGAAGGTTGCCGCTTCCATCGAGTGGTGGACACCAGACGAACTTTGGTCTTTGACCGGCGCGCTGCAAACATGTGGCAACGTTGCCAATAAGCTGCTGCCACCACTCAACTACGACGTGCTAGTCACAGCACCGGCTCGGCTGGGAGACATGCTCAAGGAGGCCTGCTGGGGTCCGGAGCTTGGAGACATCAAGGCTCTGCGGTGGGCCTTCCCGGCCTTCATGGACGGGTTCGTGATCATTTTACCCTCGATCCACGGAGGTATCGAGATTATGCTGTGGACTGCGCCGGAAACAGCTGTGCGGCTGAAGGAGGACTCGGATTGGACGAAATGGGTAACTCAACTGGAGTAGTGGCTCCGGCTTGATAGCTGCTCTTGATCCAACCAGAGGTCAATGTTTGGGTTTGAGGCGATTTAGGACTTTGCACAGGCATGACTAGCCCGACCCCCCCTCTGCCGCAGCAGCAGACCGAAAGGCGCGATATGACTAGTCGAATCAACCTAACACTGCTTTGACAATTGCCTATTAGTCTCGCTCTCTGCTCGTGTCTTGTCTCATTAATACCAGTACTCGTAGTCGTAGTACAGCACAAGTTTTGCACACATACGAGTAGTCTACACAAAACGCACTACTCGGGCACGCCGATCATTAAATAATACTAATGAGCTCTACACCTGCTGTCAGTACGAGGCGGCGGGCCGAGCCATGATTAGGGGCGGGAAGGGCTTGAGAAAGACAACTTTTAAATTCCCTGGTCAGCAGAATCCTAGATTTCTTGCCCATGCAGTTAGTACGAGTGGTAGTACCGTAGCATACTACCTACCTAGTAGTATACAGCAGTCGAGACTTGGACGAGGTGCTGAAACGCCGCGTGTGTGTCCTTACCCAGTTTCCCGGGCTAGCAATATGAAAGGTGCAGATTAAAAGCCGGGTTGTCAATGACGTGTGCAAGTTGGAGGGGGGATGGGAGGGGCCAGCTCATTGAACCCGACAATGTGGTTGAGACATTGACGGCTGATTGGACGGCAAAGATGGAAGAAGCAATTAATAACGGGGGAAACGGGCGGGGTTCCATACAACCGGTATCCGCGGAAGACCCAACAACAGACAACCGAACGAACCAAGAATCGCCCACGACCAGGGTGGCGGGATGAGTGCGTCGAGGGTCCAGGGGAGGGATCCAATCGAGAAGCGGTGAGAATTTAGCTGCGCGGCCCCAAGCAGTATGTTGGCGGCATTCAAATCCATGGGCGCCACGCGACAGATGTACGGAAGCGAAATCTGATTAATCAGGCCTGGAGGATGATCTGAAACGAGGGACTTGTGTATCGCCTGGCCAGGTCATCGGAACAAGAGCAGAGCACAGCAGAGCAATGATTGAAGACAGACCAAGCTCCGTATGGAGTCACCCGCAGGCATCCCATGGTGGCGCTGGCACTTGTACTCGTATATCCTGTATGGCTACTAATGCACCTACATTAGCTGACCATCGCGACGGGTTGCATTGACGGAGCCTCAAACAAAAATTAAGACCCCGGACCAACAACACAAAGGCCGCAGAAAGGGCCTTGAAGCCGAGTGGCGGTCACAGTAGCCGATGAGGAGCTCGCAAACATGCCTAGCGGCACACAATGTTATGTTAGGTAGCCACCAACTGAGCCTCGCCGATATTGAACGCCGATTTGTTTGCATCTGTTCGCACTCACCGATTGGACAGAGAAGCGACGTCGTTGGGAATGTGCTTTTGACGATGCTTGGCAGTATGCTGGATGAACGGTGTTGTGCATGAGAGACGAGACAATAGAAGAGAACAGAGGAAAAGTCTCCGGCAGCACCTGGTCTGCACTGCAGCTCGAGGCCTGCGGATGCCTGAGGGTGCCTGAGGATGCATGAGGATGGCTGCTAGGCTAGTACCTGCAACGCGCTGCACCCGTCACCGCAGCTGCACGTACCTGCTAATGCCAATGCTAATGCGAATGCTACTGTAATGCAGATGCAGCCTGTGTGCGAACACGGCAACTGAAACACCTTCAACCCGCCATCGAACCACCGCTGCCTTGCCCAAGCCCATCAGCATCATCGACCCTGGGAAGTTGGAACCAACCGGCATCCTCCGCGCTAGTCAGTTGTTTGCCCACCGAAGCTAAAAGCAATTGGCCCAGGCGGCCGGTATTCAGGGCAAAGAGAACTTGGCATCCCGGGTAGAAAGGGCGGGATACTACCTGGATCGTCGGCTGCGCAGCACCTGGGAGTCGGCAATAAGTCGAGGCTGGGCAGCTCGGCCGAGCTCGTCCAACATCTCGTGTGCACTGGATTCTCACATGGTGGCCGTCTGAAACAGGGTGCCAGTGCCCATCTCAACGGGGGAGGCATCATGCCTGATGCCTGCGCGAAGCCCAGCCAAAGCAAAGGGCAGACACATCTCAGCATTACTCGCTTCGCCCAACCTTGGATTGACCGCGCGAGTCAGGGCAATTAGGGATCTACGGATGCGTGTCCGCGGTCTCTCGCCAGGGCGCGGCAGCCGTTGCGGCACAACCTAGTCCTGCTCCATCCACTCATTGGCCAGTCATCACCACTTGCCTCAGGGCTCCCATACGCCCATACGAGCACGTCTAACGGCCAATACTCCACAGTATCTCACGTCAGTATAATTAGAGAGCCACTGCGGAACATTCTCGATACACGCGGAGACCAGTGCAGGCATGCTTGCCCAGTACTATTACAAAGCACCTACACCGAGATGTCAAGGCAGCACAAGCCCATACCTGTACAACGCCTGGCTTAAGTCGTTTTCACATCCCGCGTCTGCCTCTGGCAGTGCAGGAATAGCGCAACCCAGGCAGCTGGATCCCAGGACCCAGACATCCGGGGGACTCATTATGTAAAGCAAGGTGCAGATTGGTGTTAGTCGCGGCCGCAGCCACCGGGCCACATCAGATGCGCCTGGAAATAGATTCAGCCAAACAGAGGCGAGTCGATCCGTTTTGAATCGGTTGCAGCAAAGGCTTGCTCTAGCGCTGCCAGCGGACAAACTCGACAACTGACAAGTTCCCCAAAACAAGATAAGGGTGCCAACCGTGGCAGTCAGTATCAATACCAAAAGGCCGCAATTTCGACGAGAGGGGCAGCAACTGCGATATTTCGAGTAGTTCAACAAGCTGCAGAGCAGCAGCGGCGATAGCATCATCCACCACAGCAGCAGAGGAAGCAGCAGAAGCAGCACCGTCCCGACTGTTTGGGCGCTTACGGGTCCGACGGCATGCGCCATCTCTTCCACTGCAGCTTACATGTATAGTTTACTGCGGATGCGTGCGTGCTTTACCATTTGTGATAAGATACACAGAGTCAGCACGTGCTTTTAATTAGCATCCATCGCGCCCCTTGTCACCAATCCTTTGACCCAAAGCACCAATGGGTTGAATACATGGACTCGTTCGGAGTCAGATATGGGAATATACGCCTCTCTCCCTGCGGGGTTACCGATCAACGTTTACCATTCCAGACCAGCACCCTGGGCCGCATAATACGTATGTGTGTTATAGCCTGTCTAGCGGCGTTTGAGGGGCGGGCGCGGACATGCAGTTGATTGCGACACACACACTCCCACACACTCACACACACTCACACACTCACACACAACACAAGGTTCGATTGCAAGCGAAGCTGGCGGCTTCGTGGATCGAAGGGACCATAGCCTACATTTACCTTTTACGAAATAAAATGCCGCGAGAGAACACAGCCTGGTGCTGAGCTGGCCGGTTTGTCATATGGGGGTGAGTTGTCATGAGACATCATCATTCAACCAAACCCACCACAGTCACAAATTATATGGGATCGGCCAGCCCGATTTAGCAGTAGAGCAGGTCCTAATTCCACAGCTGCGTACATGGAGCACCGAGCATTCATACTGTTACAGGCAGAACCTGCATCGCTGCTCGCGCTCCACGCTCCGTATTGGTCGTATCAAGGGTTGCATAAACATGGATGGATACGAGCGACCACTTGGCAATATCCATACATATTACAAGAGACGCCTCACAGACAACCAGAGCCCATTCTTTCTGAATTACCAAATCAAGTTTTCTCTTTGAAGTACAAGGCTCCTTGTTTAGATGGTTGGTTACATCTGTTGGTTCCATGCTTGCTGGGGTAGGCACAGTTATTATTCCTCTTTCGACGAGAGCAACAGCAACCATTACGGGTTCTCTGCAAGGATACAGGTCATTTTCATTCCATTCAAGGTTCAAACCGCAGCCTCGCTTAGGCATTGCCACCCTGGAGTGTGGCCCAGCCGCAAGGTCATGGCAAGAAAGAAGCGTCTCGCCGGAGTATCCCAAACGGATACATACTATTCATATATGCACCTCCAGTGGTGTTTGTCATGCGCGTCGTCTGTCATGGGCAGGGGATGAGAGGCCCGAGCTGTCGTCAACCTGCAGTATCAAATTTCGCAGAGGGTAATAGTACATGCCGCACGGCCCTCCTGTTGTTCTGTTTATGCTGCTAGTAATAGCGGTCCGCCTCCGCGGTGCCCCGGGCTTTTCCTACTGTCGTGCGTGCACGAGGGTTACACGAACGCCACATTGGCTGTATTTGGCAACTCTGATGCAGGATATTATTCCGTCGGCGAAGCGGAAGGGTCAATAGTGGCTAGCTGTGTCGTTTCTAGTCGAGAGACATCACATACATCAGTAAGTGATATAACTTGTCCAGCCAACGATGCTGCAGTGGGCAATTTCTACGAGTAATGCGGTTATATGCTTAGAACTGGGAAGCAGGGGAAGATGCTCCGTGGAGACTCATGGGATGGAGTCTAGTCCATGTAGGCTAGCGATTCTAGGCGTGATGTGGATGTTGGATGGATAGGGCATCATGTGTTTTGTATCACCATAGGCTGACCAGGGTGCCAATAGCTCAGTGCGGTGAACGTATACACATACGTGTTAATCCATCGATTCAGCCTTTACATGTACATATATATGTACACGATCGGAGTACTGGTGTCCAGAATGGCAGCTGTGCTTGGTCAAATGATCTCTCAACTGTGCTCCGTTCTTGTACTTACGTCTTCATAGTAGCCGTGCCTTTTCATGGCCCTCCTCGGCTGGCCTCCGAAAAACGGACCGACCCAGCTAGTGGTATGTGACCCATTCAGAAAACACGTAGCCGGCATTTCAAATACTCCTCGTTGGCAAGGATCGGCATTACGTGAAGAACGCAATGCAAGGCAGGCCAAGTCTTTCTTTTGGCCCCCGAAATAAAGCAAGGAAGAAACCAAAACTAAGCCGGCGGGTCTAATCCGTACATATGAGGCCTCTTCGGTGACGGTTGGTCGCTTTAGACATAAACTGCCCATCTTGGCAGAGCCGTAAGCCGAGTCTGACCGCCAAACTCTACCAACTTTCTCTTGCGATGCCTCCCTCGAGAAGAAAGAAACATGCAGCCATCACCGGACGCATGTGTGAGACCCCTTCTCTAGTGGTGATGGAGCATTTGGTCCTGTTGGTCCTCGTATTCTCAGTGGCAACATGTGTGTGACGGGGTGTTAGATGCTTTATGCAGAGAGCATGATGCTCTCGTACGAAGATAATGCTCTTTGCTTCCTAGCACTCATTCCTGTGTCCTATTTGGGCTCATTGACCCAGGAGAACGGGAAATATGATGCATACCTATTCTGTGTGCCAGCCATGTGATCAAGAGTTCATGGCATTTCTGCTTGTCTCTATCCATTGTAGTAACAATGGCAAGCATGATGAATGGCAGTCGGCAGTACTGCTCATTGCTCACTGCTGCATGATGCAAACGCTCCCTTGTGCATAATAATGGGAGAGCGTGTATAACTCGGAGCAATGCGGGACCCAGATTTACGGGATGATCCCAAGACAAACAGTCTCATGTTTCTTCCTGGGCACCCGAGATCTACGATTGCTTAGTTATGGGGTGACCTAATAGCACCAAGCTATTCGCCATTCCTCTACTCTGTGCTTCGCCATCACAGTCCTTCCGCTTGGCTCCGTCTCAGGCTTAGACTTTGCAAGGTAGTAGATATGTGTGTTCAATTATGTTCATTCCTTTCCTTGTTATCGATTCGGAACGATTCGTTGGACAAAAATCCACAAAGTATTTTGCAGCTTTCAACTTGTATGTCCTCCTTTTTCAGACGAATCAGCCCTTCCCGGCCTTGAACTGACACCGTGATCCGACGGTGGCCCGTTTTCTGGCCTTCTATCCCTTTATCCTCTCGCCAAGACATTCGGTCAACTTATTGCTTGTGGCTTGAGAACACGTCAGGCACAGACAACTCTTTTTCAAGCGGGCGTATATCATCCCGAATGCAAGGGGGGTTCAATGTCTTGCAGCACTCTGCATGGCTTGCAACAGTCCTCCTCTTGGCAACGCAAAATGGCGCTTATGTCTCGGAACCTGAGAGCAAGATTGGGCTACGCGACCGTTTTTGTCTTTCAGCTCGCCGTATTTTGTCTTTCAGCTATCGGACTCAAGGAGAAAAAAGCGGCCCGCTCCGAGTCTGATTTGCTCAACGGTCTCTGCCATAGGCTAGATTCCCTTCCAGGTGTCGCAGAATGACTGGCCGAGAACTGGCTGGTCAACTCAAGGGGGAGTCTCATAATAATATCCAACGAGGTGGGAGCAGGGCGCAAGGAGGTCCGAAATGAGCGACAATGAGTTTTCATCAATGACAACATGAGTGACGCGTGGGAAAACCCATAGGAGAACTGAGCCGACCATCCGAAGCATAAATAGTGGCCGTTAGTCCTCCGATGGATAAATCTGTTCTCATCATCCCCATCAGCACTTCTACGACTCAAGCAACAAGCAATCGCAACAACAATCGTTCAAGATGCAGTTCTCAGCCATCATTGCCCTCTTTGCCTCTCTGGCTATTGCCGCGCCCGCTGGGGAGACGACTACTCACGAGCTCGCTGCTCGTGACGGCCCTTGCTCTTCTGGTGTTACTAACAACGTCCCCAAGTGCTGTGGTACTGGTGTCCTCGACCTCCTCTACCTGGACTGCAAGACTCGTAAGTCGTTGAAAGTGGCCTCTTATCAAAAGATCATGTTCTAACACATCTCCAGCCACTCAAGCCACCTCCGTTCTCAACCCCTTGAGTGCTGTCTGCGGCCGTGTTGGTCTCCAGGCCAAGTGCTGCACCGCCGGTATCGTAAGTATTCTCAGCTGCATCATCCTCCATTATGAATTGTATTAACGAGTTTTCAGGGCTCTGTCGGTGTTTTGTGCCAGGATGCTCTTCCCGAGTAAATTCTCGATTAGCTGATCGCCAATGTGAATGTTCTGCTAATAGCAACTTCGGAGTTGTTAGAACTTTGCGGCGTGATGAAGGGTTGGGATGGTATACTGGATGGAAAGATCCACCTCGAGGGAGTACGAGGTGGAGGAATTGTCTTAGGTTCCGAAAGATGCTATATCATTATAGGTTGGTAGAGCATGTCTAGTTAATATATGTTACGTCCAACCAATGTATTCATCCCCCCGCCATGGTGTCCAAATGTTTAAGAATACGTTATTGGGGTTCAAATACTCTGAATGGGCTTTCAGGACGTTTCAGACGTGTATTGATTGGACAGCATGTGTTGGATTCATATTGTTGACTAAGAGCCCTGTTTGGTGATTCTACAGACTTAAATCGCTAAATAAATTGCAGTTCATGACTTAATTACGCTCGAATATGATTGTGAAGACCTGTAAAATATCACGCAGATCAAGTTAATGGATTCTCGATGTAATTGTGTTATCCCAAAGAGGCATGCATGCAAGAAAGTCTCCCCAAACTACAGGGTGGCTTATCTACCAAAAATATTTACAACCAACACTCACCTTTGACATGCATATGGATGATGGACATTCATTGACTCTCACTGGGGACAAACTACACCCCAGTTGTCTGAGAAATTGTTTCGTCTTGCTTCAGTTGGTTTTCTTGTGTTGGACTACCAACCAACAGGCGTCCCTAATACCTACCCTAAACATGAGCACAACTGGCTTTCAGCACTATACATACTTGGATTCACTCGAAATCAGTTGTTACATGTTATTATGGCAGAAATTGTAATGTTCATTTAAAATTTGGAAAGTAGTATCGCTGAAATAGGTAAAGTACACGCATGGAGGCATTGGTCGAGTTAGAACCAATTTTCTCCCCCTAATAATTGCATGGCCAGCATTCATCCTCATTGTCTCGTAAGTAAGCCAAATGAGCACAGCACATAATTAACTTGACGGAATTTGAATCGTAAGGTTTCGTTTCCGTATCCAATCCAGAGTGGATGTCTGTTACATGCACAAATTGCTGGAAATCCTCCATTTCGAGATGGTGTGGGCACTCTATCTATATCCGCCTTCAGATGAGGCAGATGTTGAAGCAATATGGTCTTATTCAATTTAGTTTTAAAACACATTATTCAAGAATTCGGCCGTATGAGCTTGCTCTTGTGACAAGCCCAGGATCTTGCTGCATCTCTCCACCATGTGACTACTGTGTCTCATGAGAAACTGGAATGTAACGAACCGACTTGGTTATACGAGACAGCTACTGAAGACATTGACAATTCCTTTCTTCGCCTATTTTAATCTCTTTATTTTCTTGAAATGGTGGCCTTAGCGGTATTAATGCGGCACTCCTTACGAAGCGGCATGTTCCCAAACTGAAATACAGCATTAATTTGGGTTGGCACTTTTGTGTAGAAATACTGTGTTCTAAGTGGTCGCAGAAGCTATGTTGGGCAGCAAACTTAGGTTGGGCATCCGGGAATGGGCAAGTGTAGGAACTAGGTCGACGGGCTGCATGAAAAGCCTCAAATAGCTCAACTGGTTTAACTTGATTCTGCGTTGTTATCTTTAACGACGTGTCAAACACCAATTTGAGTCATCTCTTCTACAAGAAAAGTTATACCAGCCGAAACGCTATGCACTTGATAACCAACAACCTTAATAACCTAAATCTCAACCGACGAACTTATGTTGGTTTCGGGGACGAAAATACACCAGATCACGTTCCGTTACCAGATCACGTTCCGTTACCAGATCACGTTCCGTTCTGTCCGTCAAGCAATTTCGCAACAAAATTGCATGATATTCCGCGTTATCTTTTTCGTGTTTATTCAGATACGTCTGCAGGAGAAAACGATAGCCAATGGATGAAATCCCCCGACGCGCTGAAGAACAACTTGACAGACATATTTACACGGGATGCTTCAACTATTGCTGTAACTCTCAACGAGCATCTTAGGTGGTCGAAAAAAAAATCAAACGGAGATCCTTTTATATCATGGACAACTTCGCTTCTTTTCGCAATCCAGCACGCTATCTTCAAGCATAAGAAGGAACAGGCCGAACTGAACACGATTTATCTGTGCATTATTGACACTACTGAATTTCCCGACGGAGTGTTCGTAAAAGAACTCGACCTGATCGAGGAATTTCACGACAAGGTCCCTGATAAAGACAGTCCATATAACTGGAAGAAAAGGGGGCTCAGCAGCCTCCATGAGCTGCGGAACAAGAAACATAGGACCTATTCTGGCGTTTACAACTTCGGAGAATACCTTTCACAGGGGCAGACCAACATTAATGCCCGTTCATGCACAGTGCCTTGCGATAAGATTATTAATAATCACTTGTTTGCTATTATGCCCCAATTCAGACTCGAAATGGAAGACAACACTCCATCCTTGGCAGAGGCAGTAATAAAGCTTCGAGAGCCGTACTACCACATTATGGAGCAAGGGGCAATAAATAATTCTGAATTCGCCGCGGCAAAGGCGATAGCTTTGGAATTTAAGGCGGGATGGTCTCTGCCTGTGCTAGCCAATTTACTTGCTCTGAATCCTCGTACGACTAGGGATTCCGCAAACATAGATCTGATATGGGAGCATTTTTCCGGTGCGTACACGTTCTGAAAGGACAGTGTCTTGGATTGCTAACAAAACGTCAGATAAAGAAAAATATAACTTATCGTCTAAATGTACGAATGTTGTGGCCAATGTCGATATTCCTGAGGTCTTACGCTTTGGGGACATCATTCAGGATATTAACAAAGACTACTACGCCAAGTCCGCTGCTGTCTTAGTTAGATCTATGAGAGAGACTACAGGTGCATTCTTTATCACAGATTGTCTTACAATAGTATACCAAGGCAGATTTACGAATGCTAACACTTCAATTTCTATGATAGATATTGTTCGCCGCTTTATACGCGACTCTAAAAGCAATGGAGGCCGAAAGATGCTTAGTACAGGCAACTTAGCAGATTATCTCCCTACCGTAAACCGCCATGTGCTGCCACTTATACAGAGCCTAGGAACGCTAAGCAAAATTATACAAGATCTTAAAGAAGATAAGACTTAGAAGGGCGGATTAGAGATCATATGGTACTGAACGCTTCTAGGTAACGCCATTAACATACGCGGGCTGCTGAACATATTCCCAAAAGTGTAGTTTCTGGGCTAGTAAGTAACTAGTACAATACAAATATACTCGTACTAAACGAATTAAAATTTGTTGCTTTTGAAGGTGCGTATATTAAAGGAAGCTATTTGTGCTCAATATACAGTACTCTACTCCGTAGGTGCTTACCATAAGAGTAAAGCGGGTTTCGTGGAAATCCCAGTCGGAATGATACCCGAACACGTGTTATGGTTGTAGCTGTGAGACAATACCAGGAATGGCGATCCTCATCTCCGCGGACTGTTTGCATGGTTCGTGTGGACTCGATTTGATCTCAACATTGGCTCCGTAAGATCTGTCTTGGGAACGTCGTATCCAATGGCCTGATGGGCATGGTTGATGCTACCTCGTACGAATGGCTGGCTTGGCATATAATTATAATGGTTACGATGCTTATTGTAGTCCAAAGAATAGGAGAAGAGAAAAACTTCTCTCCCTCGTGAACAAAGCACTGACCCTACCCTCTTGTACTCGTAATTTCAGACTATTGTATCCACTTCAGAACCCCAATTTCACGAGAACATGTCAAAAGCAACACTGTCCGTGCGGAGAAGTCTAGATGAATCCGCTACCCCAGCGTCTGAACTCCAATTAGCTCTTCGGCCTCAGTCCGTGCCGTCTTCCACCTGATATTATGGAGAAGGATTCTTGGCAAGAGAGCATTCAAGGAGGCCTCAATTGACAGCCCAACTCACCGACACGGAATCAAGTTGATAGATGATTGTCTTTAGAGAAAAGATATAGGGTCTTTCGGGATATCACGGAGCGAGTATCTGCGATATCCGGTCAGAATAGGGACGGCGAGTTGGGGTCAGAGGAATGAGATTTTGGCATCTCGCTAGTTCCGTGGCAAAAGACTAGAAGGCGCCAAACTTCGAAAAGATGCCGGGAAGAAATACTGGAGCCTGGAATCCCCCGCATTTGGGGTAAGAGAGCGATAGTTCATGGGGGTAACGAGAAGAAAATAGTGGCATTAGTCTGTCCGCTGGGGTCGGAATGAATCGCAAAGAAGCATGAAAAGTTGGAGAATCGGAAAGTCTATGTGCTTTGCCACGACACTTTGTTGCCAGGGTTGTTCTGTTGTGACAAATTATTGTCCATCTTCTCCATCTTGGCCAAGCCTTTACGTGCGGAGAGAACAATTCTTATCCTTCCCAGCCTCAATAAGTCGTGTTGAACGAGCGTGAATAGAAGAACAACAGCACAATACCAAGTGTCTTCGTATTAACTAGCACAAGCCCGTTGGTGGCATTGGGCCAGAAAAAAGGAAAAAAGACGGAGCGTTGCGCCACAAACATTTAAGCTTGTAATGAAGGTTGAAAGTGGCGGGAGTCGGAGAGGCCGTTTCTGGCTGTTGTTGGGCGGATCTCGCGAGAAACTCGCGTTGGGCTCCGCTCCTCAAAAAAATAACAAAAAAAAAGTCACGAGGGAAGGAAATCGTCTGATTGGAGGAGATTCGACAAGATGGCAAAAGCAGGGATTGCCGACACCCTTGCATGTGGCTGGAGGAGAAACACAAACAGTCCCTCTTATTTCTCATCACACGAGAGGGACCGCACGAGGTACCTTTTTCTTCTCTTTCGAATGAGACTGAGAGCGGGCGGACGGAAGAAATACTGGGGAGGATTAGAGCCTCGTGAGCAGCCTATGACGGGCTGTGGAAGCCATCTCGATCGTCGTCTTGCGTTTATGCTAGTGTGTATGAGTAGTAGCACAAGCACGAGTAAGCAGAGATGGTGTGTCGGCCGTGGAGAAGCGACCAACACTAGGAGCAATGCAACGCCGGGTTTTCTCCTGCGAGGAGTTTTGGCCGAGCAATGGAGGGTCAGATGCAGCTGGAGTACATGTGCTTAAACGAGTAAGAGTATAGCAGGACTTGGCTCATACAGGAGCTAGACTTGGTAGACAGCACAGACTAATAGAGAACGAGAGACTGACAATCACAAATAAACTGACTGGCTCAACCTCTGTCTTCCTTGATTGATTGCTTCGTCCATTCATTCCTCGTTCGTCCCTGCTTCTGGCGCTTATTCAAACCCGTTTGCAACAGCCGGGCCAAGACTCTTGGTACGCACTGGCACCTCACACCAACTCGCTCTAGACTCGAATCCCACAGCGCTAGCAGGGATTTGCCCTGGGGCCAGCATGGGGTTGCTAGCCGGTGTAGTTGGTTGCTGGTGTAAGAGCGAAGCCGGTAGGCTTCAGTCCGGGGTTGCATTTTCTCCAGCATATAGCCTTTCACCATGGGAGCGCTTATAAGCTTAATACTAAGGTAAACATCAATCTTAATATCGAGACGTTCGGTGAGTGGCCAGAGGCATTGCGAGGGGGGGTTGAGGGCTGGAGCCCTGTGGATTGTGATTGGACCAAGTCATACTGGTTTATCCATATCTCCTCGTAGCAGGAGTGGCTGTACATCGTACTTCTTATGGAATCAAGCCAGAAGTCTGCAGTCTTATCAGCATCGACTAATCATGCGCTACATGTACAGTCCAGGGCATGTGTCTTGAGTACCAAGTATGAGCAGCATCAGCCAAGCGAGCCGTCGTTTCGCGTATCCGCGACATTTCAGGCGTTTGCAGATCGCTCAGCCCGCTGTGCTCCCCCAGACAAACCCCATCTATTGCATCGTATTGTTGTTGTTGATCCATGACCAGCTGCCACCTCCTTGCCCCATACCATCACCATTCACATTACACGAAGCCATGTCCTTTCCCTCTCCACTCCTCCATGTTCTCCATCGCATGATGACACCCTTCTCCGAGTTCAGCCCGCCCCAGGACCAGGCTTTGAAGCCATGGCCATCTCCAAGTGCCTCGTTCTATTGCTCTTTCACTCTCTCTCCACCCATGGAACCCCGAACGTTCACTCCACGGGGTCACCCCCGCATCTCCTCATTCCGATCCCTCCCATCTGAGGCGTCTAGCCCATCTTTCCCCAGGTCTGTCGTTGCGGAAGATGGCCGTGATACCGCTAGAACATGTCTAGGCGCAGTTTGTGCTTATTCCTTACTCCGTGATTCGGGACGCCCGTCTTGCAACAAAACTGGGCCTCTGAAGAGAACACGGCGGAAGGAGGAAAACACCAGGCACATGGTCTAAAGCCATAGCGTTGTATTCTACTGCGTGCCTGTAACACCGAAATGCAAGACAGCCACTCAGAACCAAGAGAGGGGAGCGCCAAAGGCCTCGTTTGTCCAAAAGTAAACTTTAGCCCCAAGCCTTCTGGGCGGGCTGTTGGTTCCATCACAGGGTTCGGAGCAAGAGGAATCAAAGGCGTAGGAGCAATTCGGCCGGGATCCAGATCTTGGGGGGACGATCTTTTCAGCATCGTGCGTGTGTGGTATTGTCCATGCCCCATGTCGGCGTCGGAAAATGTCGTAAGACATGCATGACCCTTTTCAGCTTTTTGCCTGCTGGGTCATTGCGTTCATCTGGTATATAAATAAGGTTGTCGCACTGATCACCCTCTCGCCATGGTCCAAGCCTTCTGTTGGTTCTTGTACCACGCAAAAGTATAAGAGAGTGTACAACGCCATCGAGGCCAGCGGCTCTCATCTTATACTTTCCTCCACCCTCTGTCTTTACATACTACAGGTACATACAGCCATCTTATATTAGTAGTACCCCGGGACCATGGCGGAAAACAACGCTTCAAGGCAGAATGAGCCTGCCGACGACCTGGCCAAGGGCGTCATCGCTACGGCCAAGCAGTCGTGGAAGGATCTCTTCATCTGGAAGCAGCGCGTTGTCATCACCAACGGCTACGGCGAGACGCGGTGCGAGTGGCAAGAGCCCGACCGCTTCCAGAACCCAATCAGCCTGTTCGCCCAGCTGTCGCTCAAGGACTGGATCTTCTTCATCGTCGGATGGCTCGCCTGGACGGCCGACGCCTTCGACTTCCACGCGCTCTCGATCCAGACGGTGAAGCTGTCCAAGTACTATGACACCTCCAAGACGAATATCACGACGGCCATCACACTCACGCTGTTGCTTCGCTCTGTCGGCGCCGCCATCTTCGGTCTAGCTGGTGACAAATGGGGTCGTAAGTGGCCTATGGTCTTCAACATGCTGGTGTTGGGTGCCCTTCAGATTGCCACCATCTACAGCAAGACATTTCAGGAGTTTCTGGCGGTGCGAAGCCTTTTCGGCCTGTTTATGGGCGGCGTTTACGGCAATGCCATTGCCATGGCTCTGGAGCAGTGCCCGTGAGTATTCTTGTTTCTCTTCTTCTGTCCTCCAACTCGTCATTTCTTTTTTTGATACCGACTGCACCCTTTCTGCTTCCAGCCTCACGACACTAACATCTCTTGGCCTTCCAGATCTAACGCGCGTGGCTTGATGTCGGGCATCTTGCAGCAAGGCTACTCCATGGGCTATGTCTTGGCTGCGTGCGCCAACCTTGGCGTTGGGGGCGCCACCGACTCGTGGAAAACCGTCTTCTGGATTGGAGGTGCGTTTCCTCAAACATGATCTTTTATTGAATATCGTCTAATTATTAATACAGCTGGATTGTCCATTGGTGTCGGCTTGCTCCGCATCCCCTTCCCCGAGTCCCAGCAGTTCCTCGATGCCAAAAAGGCCGGCAAGAAGGCTTCTTCGCCCGGAGCCTTTTGGCGCGAGACTCGCACGATGTTGGCCAAGGAGTGGAAGATGTGCGTCTACTGCATCATCCTTATGACGTGGTTCAACTACTACTCGCACACGTCGCAAGACTCGTACACTACTTTCATGCTCGAGCAGAAGATGCTGGACAACGCTGGCGCTTCTCGCGCCTCGATCCTGATGAAGGCCGGCGCAGTCGTCGGAGGTACCATCATCGGATACGTCAGCCAGTTTGTTGGCCGTCGTCGCACCATGATGTTCGCTGCTCTCATGTCTGCCATCCTGATTCCTGCCTGGATCCTCCCTGAAGGTGAGCGAGCTCTCAGTGCCACCGGCTTCTTCATGCAGTTCTTCGTCCAGGGCGCCTGGGGCGTGATTCCCATCCACCTCAACGAGCTTTCTCCCCCTGCCTTCCGTTCGTCCTTCCCCGGTGTCACCTATCAGCTCGGCAACATGATCTCTTCGCCTTCAGCCCAGATCGTCAACGCCATCTCTGAGAAGACGTTTGTCACCATCTCGGGCGGTAAGAAGGCCGAGGCCTACGGTCCTACCATGGGTATTGCCACAGCCATCATCGCCACCGGTATCTTTGTCACTGTCATGGTTGGACCTGAGCGACGCGGCCGTAACTTTGAAGGCGCTGTCGCTGGTGTTGAGCAGAGCGACTCGGATGGCAAGACTATCGACGAGCCAATGGACGAGGAGAAGGGCGAAGCCCGAGTCTCGCAGGCAGAGGAGAAGAGGTAGATTTTTGTTCTTCTTTTTCGAGTTGTGATACGACGATATCTTATATCCATATGAGTCAAGGGTGTGGGAGGAGATCTATTAGTCGAATCTTCTGGCTGAGCTGAGCTGAGAATGCGACTTGCATATTGCGCTGCGAAACTATTCGATGGTTGAGCTAAGTACAACATGAATAAAATAAATAAATAAATAGTTTAGTAATTATCAACTATTGCAGCTTTCTATTCACTTTGCCATATAATTGTTGCGATGATGTGGCAGTATGCATGTACTTTTGAAACCTATTATCGTCCCCATCGTGTACCGTGTAAGAGCAGATGAGACGCTCAGTTTCTGGAGAAGTTTAGTTTTTACCATATCCAGAATCCTGAGTAATTCCAGCCCCAGTATAATTCGGTTCCTGGGCATATGCCAAAGCTGTAGATCTCCATTTGCCGTTTAAACCCTGTCATGGTGACGTCGTTTCTGAGCGCAACGCCGTCACCCATCCAAAGCCAATCAAGAACGCCTACATGTGCCGAATCTATGTACAATCACTTGATTATGATAACAAGGCTACCTTCACACGGCAGATGAAAGCATATCCTCGAAATGATCGACATGGCGTACCACCAACGCCAAGCGCGGAGTTTCTCGCCCGCCTCTAGATTTCCATCATAACCGGTTAGCAGCGTCATGATCATCATGATTCGCCACACGACCGGTTCTAGAACGGTGCCATGCGTTCAATTCGGTAAAGTCGGGTTCCGAAATAGGCATTCATTGTCCAAGGTGTTTTCAGGTTTCGTGCATCATGCCGACATCATGGATGTATGTCATGGCTCGCCACGAGATGCAGCGGAATGGATATAAATATGCCTTCACAAAGGGTCATAACTACGATGTAGTCAACTTCAAATTACACAAAAACCAAAGATTGAACTTATCATCAATCAACACAACAAAAAACACAACAATGCCTCTCTCCAACAAGAAACACAACGCCGCCCTGGCCGCTGAGCAGCAAAACCTCGCCGCGTCCGGCGCCGCAGGTGGAGCTTCCGCAAACGCCAACCTCCCCGGCCCGGCCCCGTTCACCGCCGGCCCGCATCGCCACGACATCATGAACAAGCTCGATCCCACCGTCGACAGCGGCACCGGCGGGATGCAAGTTCTCACCTCGGGCGGCCACACAAACACTGCCGCAGCCGGAGTCCCCGGCCAGCCTCTCGGACAGGCGCCCGCTGCGGGCGGCGTCATGGGCAGCAACAACCCGTACGGCGTCCAGCACAACTCCCGCATGGCGAATGCGCTGGATCCCCGCGTCGACTTCATCCAGGGCCAGCCCGGAGGCGCGAATTACTACACAAAGGGCACAAATGTCATGCCCGGAGCTGCTGCTGCGCCGCGACATGTTCCTGAGGGCACTTACGGCCCGCACAACTCCCGTCTAGCTAATGCTGCGGATCCACGAATTGACTCTGATGCAGACCGCCATCGTGTTGGAGGAGTCGGGGCTGGAGCTGGAGCCGGAACTGGAGCTGGGACGGCTTCGCGGCCTATTTACCCTCCTGGTGTGGCTGGACCAGCTCCCACGACGGCCGGGCCTCATCGACATGACATTTTGAACAAGCTGGATCCGAGTGTGGATAGTCGATCTGCCACCAATGTTGACGCTACTGGCCGCAGACTCGTCTAATTTAAACCGATAACCGATATGATTGGGAAGATGTTGATATTTGAAACGTTTCTTCCAGAATGTACACGTCTAGGATTCGGGTTTGGCTGCTGGTTGCAAGAGATACCACATGGGAATGAATGATTCAACGGCGGTTTCACTTAGGGTCTTTTCTTTACTGTCTAGTATGATATCCGAATGTATTATTACTTCTTTCGTTACGAATGATGATTGACTCAATGATATCCGTGCAAGAAAACAAAAGCTAGCGTGATATGATGACACTGGACTGTATGACACAGGGGGAACACTCTAAAGGTTTGAGCTTCAAAGGCGTAGAACTCAGGCAATAGACATCCGTTTAGATTTGTCAATGTTTGTATTAGGTTAAGAGTATTTTGTCTGCCAAATCTCGTACCAACCTGGCTTCCCCAAGTTACCACGTCCCAAACCTTGCTTGCAGCACCGCTAACGTACATCTAGAGTTCTCCCCTTTTCGTGCGAACTTATTCCTGATTCTATCCAAGAAAACGCGGCAGGCAAAACAGTAGCAGCCGAGTCGACCACCCTCCTTATTATACAGGCGCTGTCTGTAGTAGCTTAACCACCTCTATACCGACATGAAAGCATTGCATGGTTTCATTAAGAGGATTTATGGCGTCTCCTCCCGTTCAGCGGCTAGATCTTCGCTCAATCAAGTCGATTCCTTCGCTCTATCGAGGTATCAAAAGTGGCAAGGGCTATGAGCCGACATAGTCCCCCATGCTTGTGTCCCAGAGGAAGCCAAGCCCTCGCCCTTTGTCATGCACCTGCCATGTACCGTTTCGACATGAGTCCTTTTACACCGTGTTGTGCCATCTCGCTGGCCTTGACTCATTGTGCCTTTCCTCGGCTGTTGAAGATGGTGATGATGCCAAACCCCACATAGAACAGGGCCACTGGATACGCCACAAGTCCACGCATATCTCTCATTTTCCCAACAGCTAGATACGTCGTCATCAGTTAGCATATCTGTAGCTTCATATAAAGTTCATCTTTCCCCGGTTTAACACTGCGTCATACTCACCACAAAAGATGGCGCTTGATCTTGATGTTGACCAGCAAATGGCCAAAGTCGTAATGATGTATCCAGCTGTGCAATCTAGCGGCATGGCCACGCCAATCAGCGACGTGAGGACAAGTGGCAAGAAACAGTACCCCAGCACACTGGCGTTTTGGGTGAATGTAAGCGTGCTAGGCGTAACATCGGCGCCGGGGTATCCTGGAGGCGTATCCGGCGTCATTAAGCTGAGAATCATGTACAGCGCCGTCGATCCCATGAGGGCAAGGCCATAGACGTATCCAAAGTGGACCGAGCCACTGCACAGAAGAAAAGCGCCAAAGAGAACAACAAACAGCAGAGGTCCAGCCAGGTCGGAGTCGTTCATGACATGCTCCAGCCGCTCGATAGGGGAGAATGGGTTGAGCACAGCAAGCGTCTTGGCCTGCATGTGTCCAAAGTCGACGCCCAGCTCCTCTCGTAATGAAGGCTCGTTGTCATATCCTTCTGCGGAAAAGGCAGCCAGCCAGCCTGTCCTTAGGCCGCTCTGTTCGCGAAAGCCGCCGCCAGGTGGTGGTACGCCATAGCTGGTCGGGGGAGCTTGTGAGGGCGTGGCCTGGTAGGAGCCGTGGTAGAACTGGAGGTTCTCGGTTGCCGAGGGAGAAGCGGAAGCGCCGTACTGGTTGTAGTATTGCGACATTCTCGGAATTGGCGCTCGGGGGATTCTGGGTTGGAGATGGAGGGAGTGACGCGATGATGCGAATTGGAGTTGACATGTGGTTTCAAAGTGCTGGCCACTGCCTTAGGTGGCGGATTACATAAGGCGCCGATAAGCGCCGATAATGCTGCGCTGGATGTTGGTTAGGCTGCGGTTTAGCTTCTGGAAGGCTAAGAGGAGGGAGGACTTTAGTGGTTGTTTGCTACTCCGAGGTACCTGACCCTGGGAGTACTACATCAATCACGGGCCTGATATACAGCTGCACATGTATCCTAATAGGCATGATTAAAGGGGCGATTGGTTGTAGCAAACAAAGAATTCATAAGTATCTTGGTAGCAGCTTCATTAAAAAGGCCCAGCCAGACAAATACCCAATCTTACAGAGGTTACACCAGCAATTGCACGTGCCCACGGCCAGGTACACACAGGTACACGGAGCACTCCGCGTCTCCCCGCCGTCCTATCGCCCTACTGAGGGTACCTTGCATGTACCACAGCCCAGTCTTGAATCCGAAGCTCTGCTCTCCCACTTCTCCCACTATCAACACCTCCAAGCTCAAGCTCGTTCCTCTTCTCAACCCAACTTCAACACTGCATAGTCACACCAGCACTCGCCATGGCTTCCTTTGGCGAACCTCCTCCGGATGCCGGCTCCGACGTCCGCAACGAAGTCAAGAAGCCCAAGAAGAAGAAGGTCCTCCTCATGGGCAAGTCCGGCTCCGGAAAGTCGAGTATGCGCAGCATCATCTTCAGCAACTACATAGCACGCGACACTCGACGACTGTGAGTATCTCCCCCCCTGAGATCTGATATCCAGTAGCCATTGCTCACACACAAAAAACCACAGAGGCGCCACCATCGACATCGACCTCTCCCACGTCAAGTTCCTCGGCAACCTTACGCTCAACTTGTGGGACTGCGGCGGCCAGGAAGCTTTTATGGAGAACTACCTCTCCCAGCAGCGCATCCACGTCTTCTCCAACGTCGGCGTCCTCATCTACGTCTTCGACATTGAGTCGCGCGACGTCGACCGCGACCTCGCTACCTACGTCTCCATCCTCTCCGCCCTGCTGCAGTTCTCGCCCACGGCAAAGATCTACATCCTCGTCCACAAGATGGATCTCGTCGTGCCCAATGCCCGCGAGACCGTCTACGACGACCGCGTCAGGCTTGTCCGCCAAAAGACGGTCGAGTTCGTCAACTCCGTCGGCGTCGACATCAGCACCGTCGACCTGACGCCCTTTGCCACGTCCATCTGGGATCAGAGCTTGTACAAGGCCTGGGCGTCCATCATCCACGACCTGGTCCCCAACCTCGCCGTCATCGAGCGCAACCTCGCTAATCTCGGCGTTGCCATCGAGGCCGAGGAGCTCCTCCTCTTCGAGCGCACATCCTTCCTGGCTGTCTCGTCATGGACATCGCCCGAGGGCCTCCGCAACCCCACCGAGGACCGCCTCGAGCGCATGTCCAACATCATGAAGCACTTCAAGCAGAGCATCTCCCGCTTCACCGGCACGCCTCGCAATGCCGAGCAATTCATCCGCATGGAGCACAAAGCTGGTATGCGCTTCAGCCTCTTCATCCTCAAGTTTACCACAAACACCTATCTCATGGTGGTCCTGCCGCCGGGCGAGGCGCGCTTCAACGCCGCCATGCTCAACTGCCAGATTGCCATTGAGCATTTCAAATTCTTGGATACACCTGCGCCTGCGCCAGCTGTGACTGCTGCCTCGACGGCGGCAGCTGCGTAGAGTTGGGAGATTTTGGGAGACTGAGCGATGGTTTCAAGAAAAGGAAACTCTAATGACTTATGAAGCTGGTGATTTAAGGGCGTTTCGGGATAAGAATAATAATACCTTGGCTATCATCTGAGTAGTACCCACAACGTTTTGACGTTTGCCTTTTTTTGCTGTATATACTTAGAACAGTCCATAGTGCAGGATTGCGCAGAAAACCAAAGGATAGCTTTTTAATGACTGCCAAAAAGAGTTGACCAAAACGCTGCCGTCTTGAATGGATATGACTACGTCGAAAACATGAGGAGACATCAGGCTGGATTGTGATTCCATGTCTTACTTGGAATTGACCGGTTCGACGGCCTCTACTCATCTATGAGTTTTCACTAAACTGAATTAAAAGCCCGAGAAAAGAAAAAGAAATATGAAATGCATCCTTCCGTTATTGCCCAAATTCATCCAGCCTATGCCCACTTGACCACAGCAGTTCCGCCCTTTTTGAACTCGGGCATCTCACCTAGAACCAAAGAATGATCAGTGTGCTCCTTGTTGGGGAATGTCGTCACCAGCACCCAAGGCCGGCTGCGAGTCTCCACGGATGCGCCCTGAACAAAGCCGTAGACGTCTCCAACAGTGTGCGTGGTGTTAAAACGAGCAGGAAGTCGGGACCCATCGGGCATCTGGATTCTAAGCATCAATGTAGGTTGTGAATTGTCGATGGTCGGTGCGGGAGCAGAAGAGGTTGAAGAAGCTGCTGCGGAAGATGCGGTCGCCGAGGTCGTGGATGTAGCACCGGGAACCGGGCTGCCAAGGCGATTGCCAGAGCCAGCAAAAGGCTTGTACTTCTTTGGCGGCTGCTTATATGGGGTATCGTGTTGATGAAGCTTGACATCTACCGACTGGTCATGCTGCACATTCATCAGGTGCAGGGGAGCCCGGCCTGATCGTATCAGCGCGAGGTCCGCCTCGTTTGAAGGGTCGTCGAAGCGGCGAAGTTCGCCATCATCGATGCTGAATCCATCCTGCCAGATGTGAAGCACTCGCTCAACTGGGGGGCCGGCAGGTCGCTCGTGACCGTGGGGGTCTGGGATGCTTCGACTCTCCACGCCATCTCCACCAAGAGTCACGCCCGTGCCACGGAAATGAGATGGGCGGGAAGGACCGGCGTCCTGGTTGGCATCTGTCTGCCGTGAGTTCCTGCGCGGATGTGAGCAGCCTGTTATAGATGAATAGCATCAAGCCCAAATCCATCACTCACGCTTTGGCCTTGGCAAGAATGTCACTGATAATCTTCCTAGAACCACCTTCCTGCCGTGGATCTTGGACAGCAAGTCCAGACTTTTCGCCGCCAGCAAACAAGTTGCCTCGTCCATCGTCTTCGTCCTCCTCATCGTCTTCATCGTCGTCGTCGTCGTCATGATGGGCAGCGGAGCTACTGCCTATGGATCCAAGCGTCGCAATGCCCTTCTTCTTCTGCTGGTTCGCTTTTCGGGATGCCAGGCTAGAGAAGTCTTCCTGGGGAGCAGGGCGGCCATCCAAAGTTCTGGGGCCGCTGTACTGCTCCAGCGTTCCGTCTGCAGCCTGTTGCCGGCGTCGTTCGTCGTTTCTCTCGTCCTCGTCGTGGAAGAAGGAGTTGCAGGCAGACAGCATGTCCCAGTCGTTGGATTCAAGATACTGGGTGGCCTAGCCGAGTCAACCACCGTCGGTTAGCATGCGTCTCACGTCTTGCATTGCATATTGCACTGTATTCACGAACCAATTCTACCGAGGCGCCACTCATGGTAACAAAGTCCCGTACCATCTCATCGTGGTCTTTGACTTCATCGTCCCGCACCATGATGACAGCCGTGTGAGGGGTTGTGCACGTTGAAATAGATGGCTCGTTAATAAGCGGGAAGACGAAAGCTGTGCTAGATTATAATGCACAGAAAAATATATTGAAGTCCAGAACTGTTGTTTCGTATGTAAGGCCTGTTTCTAACCTGGACAGAAACGGGCAGTGGTTTGCTGTTCTTCTTCGTGCCGGATTACGGATTACCAAAGCAAGGCAGCGGCTCACTTTCGTCATGCAAGCTTGAGAGCTTCGATGCAGTAACTCGGCACTTGGCCCCACCGGAATAGCGATCCACCGACCCCGACGGTCTTATGCCTTATGTAATAACCAGCTCGAGCCGAGCGACCATCGGCATTGCTGCACCTCTTCGTACTCCAAGTGTGTGCATCACAGCTTGCGCGCCCTTCCTTGTCCAGTCGAGGCGTCAACTGCACGGCATCACAAGATTCCTGGACAAGCCGCCACCATGTCCACCGACGATCTGAGCACTCATCTGGCCGACTCCGGCATCACCATGCGGTCCGACAGCGAGCAGTACTCTCCAGGCGACGAGGTATCGTCACCGTCGTCGTCGAACTCCCCCGTTATCCTCTACAAGCCCCCGACAGCGTGGACGCTGATACGGAGCGCCGCTATCAATCTGATACTTCCATTCATCAACGGCATGATGCTGGGATTTGGAGAGCTGTTTGCTCATGAGGCCGCATTCCGGTTAGGTTGGGGAGGTACAAAGGTCAGTCGGTATATGTTAGCTGGGCTCCTCATGCTTTACAGCCAAATTTCAAGAAAGCACAAGCCTAGTTCTCTCATTTTGCAAACCCAAAACACATTGTTAAAAGCGCAAGCTGCAGTTGGATGGCTAACGTGATTGCGTACAGGTCTTCCCCATTTCTCGAAGACGAGCCCACCCCATTGGCCCAGGCATCGAAGTCCGTGAACGACGAGAGCGACCTGGGCCCTCACTAAGTGATTACGCAAGCTTAGAGTAGGAGAGAATATTGGAAGCACAATGACGAGGGTCATGTATATGAATCAATCAAGTCTAAACAAGCACATGCAGGCGCTTTATCAGAAGATTGCGGCCCATCTGCTGCACTTCAGAGCTATCCATCTATAGGCAGCTGGTCGCGGCAAATGAATGGCTGCAGCAAATTGTACCACTAGCAGATTGCACAAAGCTATAGCCATTGCATTAAATAAACCAATCCAAACTTTTTTCCAAGGCATAAACAGTTGCTTTTTCTAATTGCCTCTCACTGCATATCCATCGCCCGAAATCTCTGCCTTTATACGTCTAACATCTCAAGTAACAGCGCCTATACTCAGTAAGTTGAGCAGCAATAGCGCCGCTTATCTGCAGATCACCAAAGTGGCGTGGGGTAGATCCGATGTTCATCCGCCGCATCAAAAAATTCCCCAGACGGGCGCAACATTTTGATATCCGCATTGCTTCATTCACAACCCCTCGACAACCGTCGCAATGCTTCCAAGCAGAGGGATTGCGCGCTCCCTCCCCTCACCGGGAGCCTGGACGCAGACGCAGAGCCGATTGGTGGTGAGCAGAATATCCTCCCCCGTTCTTTTTTTTTTCCATGCAGTTTTGCAAAACGTGAGACTTTTTGCAGCGCTAACCATCATCCCACCGGTAGAGCCTCTCGAGTCGAAAGTTGGGCCATGGACGGCAATTCGGCACCTCGTTGCGAAGCGTCAATGGCGGATTGACGACGGCCTCGTCACCGTTCCGACACCGATATGCGGCCGCCGCTCCAATTGTCCTCGGGGGCGTCTCGTCGTCAAGATCGCTGTCACTGTGGGGTTGGGGTGGAAGCAGCAAGGATGCCTCTGCTGCCGAAGCCGTTGCCGCAACACCAGAGGCAGCGAGCGTTGCTGCTGCTCCCGCACCGGTGGAACAAGCCTCGACGGCGGCTACTGCATCTGCGACTGAGCCCGCCGCCGTCGCCGCCTCCGATGTCGACCTCTCCTCGATCTCGGCGCTTATCAACGGCCAGGACATTCTCAACATGCGCGAAGAGATCGGATACTTGCACGCAATTGGGCTCGACTATGGCTGGGGATTCACTTCCATCATGCAGTGGACGCTCGAGCATGTTCACGTTTGGTCAGGGCTGGGCTGGGGCGCCTCCATCATGGCCACGGCCGTCTTGCTGAGGGCCATCATGTTCTACCCCCAGATCCAGAGTCTCAAGTTCAACGCCATCATGCAGAAGATGAGAAAGGACCCGCGGTCCAACGAGGCCATGAAGCTGGTCCAGCAAGGCTTCCAGGAGAGCGACATGGAGAAGCGTCAACGCGGCCAGGTTCTGAACAAGCTGCTGCGGACCGAGTATGGAGTCAGCAACTGGGGCATCATGTGGTCTCTTGCGCAGATCCCCTTTACCTTTGGCCTGTTCCGTATCGTGAGCGGCATGGTGCACATCCCCGTGCCTTCGCTTGAGTCTGCCGGCTACCTCTGGTTTACCGATCTGTCCGCCACAGACCCCTACTTTATTCTCCCCGCCGCCGGTACCGCTATGATGATGGGTGCTCTGCTGGTAAGTTTTCGGCTTTTGTTTCTCCTGTATTCCAGCGGCCATGGCTAATTTACATGCTCCTTAGATCAACGCGAAGCACACACCCAAGCAGCAGAGGAAGATGCTCAAGCCCATGATGTACATCTTTGGCACCGTCGGTTTCGTCGGCACCACATTCCTCTCTGCCGCCGTCAACCTCATGACCGTCGCCCTCGGCGGCTCCACCCTCCTCACAGCCCTCATCCTCAACATCCCCTCCATCCGCCGCTCCCTCGGCCTCCCCAACGGCCCCGTCGACGAAGCCGTTGCCCCTCAGAAGACGATCCAGTACGAGGCTCCCCGTACCGAGACCCCCGGCATGGCCGGTCTCAGGGAACGCCTTACCAGCAGCCTCGACGACATGAAGAAGGGAGTCTCCGAGTCCGTGTCCAACTACACGGGCACATACTCGGGCACGGAGCAGGAGAAGGCAGAGAGGAAGCGCCGAGAACTGATTCGCCAGCTGGAAGACACGCGGAAAAAGCAGGAGCGCGAACAATTTGAGCTTAAATACAAGGGCAAGAAATAAAAGGAAAAAATTACCGGACACATAGAGGATATATCAAAGAGGGAGAAAAATGAGAACAGCAAAGATGCTGTTCCCGGGGGCGCCGGAAGGAGAAGAGCGGAGCGTTTAGGGAGCGTTTCTTGTACAACTCCCCCCTTTTTTTTCTCTTCTCTATCCCATGTACTAACTAAACCCTACCGCTATTCGTGTAAAATAAATACTGTACGTAGAATGTATGCGGCGAGAACGAAAAAGAAAAAAAAAAGGAGATGGAGGAGTGGAAACCCCGTAAGACGGGGAAAGGCTGAGACATTTGTACAATAAAGGGGTGGTGAGGGAGGCGAGGAGGCGAAATTTCTCTGTTCAAACAATAGACTCATTAAAAAAAGAAAAGAAAATAGAAGCACTCCTGACAAAAATACCTTTTCAAAAGCAAAAAAAAAAAACTGCTTAAAGTATACATGCTACAAGGGAAAAAAAAAATTGTAAAGTCAGAGAGCCCAAGCTCTATCTGGTCTGCTATTGCTTTTTGTTTTTTTCAAATATCTTTGACCTCCAAAATTTCCTACGTACACGACGAAGAATATATGTGTTCCATACCAAAGCTTTTCTTTTTTTTACTCTCTCTCTCTCTTGAAAAAAAAAACGACAAATTCCACTTTTTCCTCCTCCCCTCCCAGTCGACATTTTTGTACGATTCATTAGTATCGTATTAATTATGAGTGAAAAGAGAAAAACAAAATAAAAAAACGACAAAGGAGAATATAAAAAGAAAAAAATCCCGAAAAGTGCTCATCATTCGACATCCCAAAACAGGCCCAGACAATACGTGCCATCCCAAAAACATTTTTGAAGAAAAGGAAAAAGCAAAAAAAAGGAGGGTTGCAAGTTGGTATAAGTAGTTAAATAGTAGTTTTGCAGCAAAGGGGAGTGTGAAGAGAAAGGAGTAAAAAAAAGATCCGCCGTCACTCCTATTAAACGACAGTTCCGTCGCTGTCGACCAGGATTGGCGCCTCTTTGGTATTTGGCCTGTTAATCTCGGCAATCTCACGACCTCCCTATTGGGCATGTTAGTCCAGTCCTGGTGTGCAGTGTGCATTGTGTGAGAGTATAATTCTTACCTTCCAGCTACCGGCTTCCAATAGCTGCGACAGAGTCATCTCATGGCCATCCAACTCTGCCTCCAGCGCCACATTGACCTCTTCCAAGAGCTTGTCGAGCAAAGCGACCGTCAGACCTCGCCATTCGACAATGACATCATCTGAGGCCTCAAACATGGGCGCAACTTCAATGGCCTTGATGCCAGAGTGCTTGCAGTACGCGCCGTAATTGGCCAGTCCGCGAGCCATGTCAGGCTCCTTGAGAGTCAAAACGCCCAAGTCAACAAAGAGGCCGCCGTTGCGATACTCTGGCAGGCCGGTCAGCAGCTCTGTGCCGGCAAAGTGCATATTTAGCAGGGATTGCATAGGCTGCATGATCGAATACGCAAGCCACTGTGTCAGGTTGTGGAACGGCAGGATAGATTCCCACGAGTTTGATCCCCTGGGCAGGGCCTCACATGGCCAGGCATCACCAAGCGGGACACCGTTGATTGCTGTTCGAGTAGGCCAGATGGATGAGAGGCCGTCCATCAGGAGATTCCACAGAATTGGCAGGGGGACGATGAGAATTGATGATGCTTGGGTTGCAGGGTGTGATAGAAGGTGGTCTGCAAGCACGGTTAGAGAGCACGCAAAACTTGATTCCAAAGCAAACTCGACTCACCAATCATGTTGCCAGGGCGGCCATCTGCTCCAAAGAAATCGGGATGCTCCTCGAGGGCCTCGGCCAACTTGACCAGGACCTCTGTTCGGCCTTCCAAGCCAACGAGCTCGTTGTCAGGGTCGGCCTGCATGCCCGTG